AATTAATATATTTGTTTATTTATGTGTTATTAATTATTATTGCTATATATTATAGGAATGAGAAGATATATTGTCTGTAGAACGTGTAACTTTATTTACAACTATTCAGACATTATCGATGGCTCAGGCATTATCAAAAAATGCACAAACTTGAAAGTCCCTTCCTACGCCAATGGTATAAGACAGCGCTGTAATACTCCTTTAGTTATTAAAGACACGAACGGAAATGTGAAGCCTATCAAAAAATATGCATACAACTCCATCAAAACCACATTAGAGCGACTTTTTATGCGTAAAAATTTTGAGAAAAAGGTTGAGCATTGGAGAACTAGAAGTACAGTACCAGGAATGTTATTTGATGTTTTCGATGGTAGATACTTCAACGAATTTAGAAAAGAAGGTGAAAGTAATCCTTTTGTATCCAAAGAAGGTTCGTTGATGTTGAGCTTAAATGTGGATTGGTTTACACCTACTAAAGGTATGAACTATCATGTTGGTGCAATCTATCTTGTCATCAATAATCTGCCTCGAACTGAAAGATACAAACAACATAATATGATCCTCGTCGGATTGATGCCTGGTCCTTCAGAACCATCAATATCAGAAGTTAACCATTTTTTGAGACCAATGGTGGATGAATTGATTGAGCTATATGATGGCATTCTAGTTCCAACATTTTCAAATCCTAGCGGCAAAATTATTCGTTGTGCCCTCATGTCTGTTAATACTGATATCTCTGGGGATCATCCTATATATGATTATAACTTGATCAATCTCAATTCTAATAATTACACCACACATCATCGCCAGAATCCTATAATAGAATTGGTGGTAGCAGCGACTATGTTAGTGATAGTTCTGAAGATGTTATTATCATCGAATCATCATCAGATAATGACGACGAACATAACAATGTTATTGATGAGTCTCAGTTTTGGAGTCGAATTGTAGTTGTTAAGCCGCCGGTTGCTCCCATTTTCTTTTCCACTATAGCTAATGATACTAATTGTGATAAGTAAGTATTAAATAATACATCCCTATTATATATTAATTAAAAACTAATATAATATCTCGCTTATTAGTTACCTAATGAGTCACGGTATCTACTATAATCAGCATAGTAATCAGTACTTCTGTCGTGGTGGCTCTGCAATGTATTTAGAAGACGGTGCACGCGGGTTATGTTGGAGATGCAATGGTATCTTAAACCGTGATACTGGTAGACGTTGCTGCAAGGGGTCAAGTAGTACGGCTAGATTTGATAGTTTCTTCCATTATCGTCATATTTCGCCTGCTATAACCCTATCTGTATTATATTTTTGGTTGATGAGGGTCGGAAGAACTAGCATTGCATCACTTTGTGGTATATCACCTAAAACAGTCCGTTACTTGCTTCGCGATTGGTACCAACTAATCCAAGAAGATTTAAAAGAAGAAGATATGAAAATTGGAGGTCCCAATATAGTTGTAGAAATTGATGAATCAAAGTTCGGCAAAAGAAAATATAATAGGGGCCATAGAGTTGAAGGTAAAAGAAAAGCTGTTTATTTTAATTTTATTACTAACTTATTTTATACTTTAAATTAGGCGTTTGGGTTGTAGGTGGCGTTGAGCTTACCCCTGAGCGTAAATGCTTTTTAATTACTGTTGATAATAGGGATAGAATGACGCTCAGTGCTATAATTGAGAAGTATGTTCGCCCTGGCTCAATTGTTCGTACTGATTGTTGGGCAGCATATAATCGTATGACGAATCTAGGTATGAATTTGACTCATCAGACGGTTAACCATCGCGAATCATTTAGAAATGGGGATGTTCATACGAATACAATCGAAGGTAAATTGTTTTAACTTTAAAAAATGAATTATTATCTAATTTACTAACACTTTAATAATTAATTTATATTAAGGAACATGGAACGGCGTCAAAATCAACATTAGACCAGCACTCAGAACGAAAAAAATGGTACCATGGCTACTTGTTGAGTTTATTTGGCGTCGTAAACACCATGGAGATTTATGGGGCGGCGTTTTGAAGTGTTTACGTGAAGTTAGTTTTCGTCGCGGTGAGCTAAATCCTGCCTGGCATACACAAATGTCATCTTCAACATAAAATTAAAAAAATAATAAAAGACTTATTATTTCACATATATTTTCTCTTAGATGGTTAAACTTTAATTTTTTTAATATAAAGTTCGATATCATTTATATACTTTTTCAATTTTTACATTATAAGAAAACTATTTTCCATAAAATTCATATTAAAAATTTCTTAAATAAAAAATAAGCATATCTAGCACATTGTTAACATAGTACTCCAACACTGCACTAAATTTCTTCATAATTCAATTTAAAAGCGACAGATATGTATATGTTGTAGTCGGGCTTGCATAGATTACTATATAAAAAATTTCCTGGACGAGCATTTTGTAACAGTTAACCGAATTTTTTCTGTCTGCTTAAAATTATTTAAATATATCGTTTGATTCTTAAACAGATTTCCTTTTTGGTGCATCAAGTCTACAGAAAAAATCTCCAATTGTAAAGAACTCTTTGGGTTTTTGTCCAAATGAGATAAAATTGATATGCTCATAATAAAAGAAATGAGATCTTTCATCTTATATTAAAATATTTCAGAGGCTTGATGAAACTTTAATGAAAAAAGGAGTTATTTGCAGTGACGTAAGTCACGATGAGAACAAATTTTCCTTCCACACGGTTTTTTTCCTTTTTTTTTACCTTTTATCTTTACTTTTTTTTTTTTTTTTTTTTTTTCACCTTTTACCTTTTACCTTTTATTTTTCTTTTCTCTTTATTTTTTGTCTTTTGTCTTTTACCTTTTACCTTTTTTTTTTTCCTTTTTTTTATATTCAATTCCTTTCTTTTCTTACGTTGAACTTGTAACTCACATAGTGTACACCTAATGGGTTTCTACCTATTGGGATTTCCCCCTATGTTAACTTACATAGTGTACACCTAATGGGTTTCTACCTATTAGGATCCCCCTATGTAGTATGAGTTTAATCGTTAGGGTTTTTAAGTTACTTGGTGCGCGTCTTAATGGGTTTCTACCTATTACGATCTCTCCCATGCCTTAGGAATCTTTGTTATTATATCTAACAAACAATAATAAGCACAGAAGTTCATACTTCATGGTTAATTATAATTTGACTCATGACATGATGATGTGCAAGAATTTCTTAATCTTAAAATGACTATTTAATAGATTCGCATTGACTGGTAAGGAAAACAAAAAAGAATTTTAGAAAAAAATAAAAATATGACTAAGAACAAAAATGCATAGTAAACACATGAAAATATCTGAGAACATATTGAAAAAGATTTATTAAAATATAATGAAATTAAATAAAAATACAATTAAGTTTGTATCTATTTTGCTTTTTTTTTTTTTTTTTTTTTTTTTTTTGTACGAAGTTTTTCAAAATTGGCCTTTCAAACATCAAATTCTTATTCAAGTAATACTATTTGAATAAGATTAAATTCATGTTAGTAAATGAATTAGATTTTAAGAATAACTGCTTATAAAATAGTTCGGGGGCTAAGCATCTATCAAAGAATGAAAAAGAATACCGAATCTAACCCTGATGATTATTTATGATTACCAGTTTAGCAGCTTATCCTATACTATTACTCAGGTTTCCAGTAGCAGTTACATTCTCTTTGTATACCGTTATTAACATTTGCCCAAAGCGGCTCAATAGAATTTAAAAAGGCGAATAAGCCATTTTATAGCCTTGATTAATAACCATATCACGAACTTTGGGAACGTTATGTATAGTAGCATTATTCATTAATAAATAGTAATCGGTCATTCCATGAACATCTAAAGTGCTCCTTACGCTACTAATATATATTAGAAATTACTCACTTTATGTATCAATAGCAATGTTTATTTTGGTGCTAGTTGTTTTATCAACACTTTTCTTTGCTTGAGCAAAGTCAGACAAACAATTCCCTTTTCATATATTACACCGATAATTGTTGATATAATACCTTTGTTAGAAGGAATAACTATTTTGGTAGGTATTATTCGCTTAGATTTGTCAAAACTTCGTCTAATGTGCATACTACATTCAGTTTCATCAATAAAAAATTATGTTAGTCCATTTTTTTATCTATTTTCCATTCTAACACTTTTTTCCTATGTATTTGTAAAGTTTTCTCTGACATTCTATCAGTAGCAAACTTGTCTAATTTCTTGAGAATTAGAGATGTATGTTGTACACATTACTTATGGAGATTGGGTAATGTAGTCGAAATTAAAGCAGGAAAGGAAGAAAGTAATGCAATTACTTTTTTTTTAATAAAAATTACATAGAAAGTTAGCATGCTTCTCTTTAAGCTTCATATTATTTTTTCCTGAACGTAATGCTTTATTAAATGTCTAATAAGCATTTTTTATCGTCCTTATACAACTTTGTATAATACTGGGTTGTCCTCACTAAAATACCAATAGCTAATCCTGCTTTTCTTAAAGACTTTAAAGACATTTCTTACTCAATTATAAGGTTAATCAATTCTTGTATTTAAGGAGTATAGGAACGGTATAAGCCTTTGGTATTTGCTTTGACTTTAACAGCTTTTTTCTTCCCCATACCTCCCCTTTTTTTTAAATACTTGAGTTTTTAATTGTTGCTCTATATTTGTTTTTGATAAGTTTTTGTTTACTTTGACTCTGCAATTTTTATAGGTATCTAAATACATTAGAAGTTTAAACTCGAGTTTATTTTTATTCAAAAAAAAAAAAAAAAAAAAAAAAAAAAAAAAAAAAAACTCTTTTGACTTCATTTAGATATTATTGCTGCCAATGAAGATTTGATACTTTGTTTTCTAATAGATGCTTTGTTAAATCAGTTTTAGGAGTCTCGTCTATAATATAAAGGCAATTTATGAATTTTGAAGGTATATTTTTATAAGACGTTGTGTATATTAAATTAATATAGAAAAGTAAAAAGTAGATTGTCATGCAAGAAAAAAAAATTAAGATGTAAATTTGTTAGAAGATTTATTGCGATATTAACAGTTTTATGTAATTCCTTCAGTAAAAACAAGGTGGGATTTTTACATTCATATCATCTAAATCACTTGCTAACACCATATTTAGATTCCATTCTAAATCAAGTTTCATTTCCCAAATCCGACTTACTAAAGGTATCATTCTTTTGAGAAATTCGTCACTTTCTTTAGGGAAATAATATTCCTTTGTTTGTTTCATTCGGCAAACATATCCCCCAGGATTATCCATAAACTTCAATGATAGTTTTGCACCTATTTTCAATAAGAATAATAATTATTATTATACAGTTTTCAATATAAATTATTTTCAACTCTTCTTGTGAATAATAAGAAATGATTTATAAAGAAATCCAATTCATTTTTTTTTTTAAAATAAAAACACAATAATTCTTATTAAAAATGCATGTTGCTTTATACCTGAAATAATGACACCAATTATATACAATTCTTGCCTTATATTTGAGCAGTGATCAAATAAATTTAAAAGCATTGCTTTCAAAGTTTTTGGTAATTTAATACTACTATCATTTATTCCCTTTGTGGAGTTGGATTCAAGCTTCTCGATTTTCCCACATCCTAGTTCATATCTACCACAAAGAAACAAGAAATCGGGCCGTTCTCCATTTTTTTTCTCTCCATTCTTTCTACAGCTGAGATCTTTCTCTTTTTGTTTTTCATCTTCGCAGATGATGAGCAGCCTTTCTCACTATGAACATACAAAATACATCAATGTAAATAAATAAATGGTATATATGTTTAATCAAATAATCCTAACCTTCTGAATTTAACACTACTTGTGTCAAAAACGTTGTCGATGAAGCACCACATCCTCCGAAGAAGATCTTTTTCACTCAAATCTAATGCTGTAAAATAATTTGTATTGAACAAGTCAGCTGCATTAAGCAAAGATGTTTTTGCCCAATACAAATTTCTTTTTTCTTTCGCGCTGATTATTTGCTTGTTCAAGTACTCAAAAATTTCTTCAGTACTTGTTGTTTTTGGAATAGATTTCAGAAAAACTTCCATCTCTTCAGGTATATGATGACTTTGCTTCAAACATGAGGATTTTATTTCCTTTAACTCATCATAATTAAAATAAGAACACCAGTGTTCATCTTCGACATCCGAAATCAAAGAACATGAAAGACTAAGTATTGTTATAAATTATATAAATAAAATGTATAATATGACGCTATTAAAAACTAACATACTGTTCATAGTTGCAACTTAAAGCAAATGTCTCCATTACTTCTTCGACTCGTCGTCCAGTTGAAAGTACCCACATTTTACTTTTATCAAGGGCTTTGTACATTTCTTTTATTTTAGATTTTTCAGCAATACTTAAACCTGATTTAGAAGTAGTTGTATCTACGGTTCTTTTACTAGTTGATACTGACTTAATCTCCAAGTCAATCAAAGATGGCATACTAGACTTGCGTTCTATTATTCTGCATAGGATATTATCCCATTCAGGATTTGCATACGTCTTAAATAAAGATTGAATTCAGTATGTATATTTTCAAATAGCTGGGATTTCAAATATAAATCAAATTTGAATAAACCATTTTCTATTATCCCCCTTAACTTAAGATGAAACTTTTGAACCAAAGTATATGTGAACTATACAATAGAAAACGCTATATAGTTTGCGTTGTATGTGTTTCATTTTAAACTTAATAATAAAGTGATAATAGGCATAAACGGCTATACAAACTGAATATGCTTTACTCAAAATCCCTTATAACATACAAAAAGGGAAAAAAAAACTGCTATTTACCAATTTTATGTTTAACAAATTAGATGTAGACTTAATTCTATTAATCCAAACGCTTTTATATGTTTCCATTTTTTCGCTATTGGTATATGTATTTGCAATAAAATCCGTCATTTCATCTAAAATTGAATTTATGTTTAAATCAATTCGTTTTTCTTGAAGATTAAGGATTGCAGAAGCAATTTCTAGAAAGATGCGTTATTATATCGGGAATACATTTTTTAATAATTTCCTTTGCATTCTTTTACCGTCTTTATACTTGGGATCTACCAAAGAAATGTTTTCATTGATAAGTGACATATTTGCAAAGTTTTATAAGAGAAAAGAGGAACGTTTTTCTGCTTTTAATTATTATTATTAAACTTGAATGTGACCAAAATTACAAAAACAATTGATTCAAATAAAGAGCAATAGAGTTTCATCTAACTTGATATGAAACAATTTGTACTTGTATAAAACTTGTTTTCCCCTTAATCCTGCTTACGATTACACAACTTTTTTTTTTTTTTTTTTTTTTTTTTTTTTTTTTTTTTTTTTTTTTTTACTAATGTATGATGCATCATCATAAATAAAGATAAGTAGGCAATAAAGGATTAGATAAAAATAGACTATAAATAGTTAGTCAAATACTGCCTATTCAAAAATATTAGTAAAGAAAATCAAACTTAACTATCCTTTTATTTCATAATTAAAGGTAATTATTTGTATATAATTTCATATATCATCATTTAAGGCGTAGTTTTCTGTGTTACTATGAAAGTAATTAAAAGGACGAATCAAAGCTTCATTCCTGATATACAATATTTATGTCGTATTTTTAAATAATAAAATAAACGTAGTAGCCTCATAATATTGTTGCATACAAAAATAAAGTTAAAGTTTACAGTTAAACTAAATCTTCATACACAACACAAATACAGTAATAAGCAATTTTATAGCTGAAGCCAGGGTGCTACTAAAAATAATTACAATAATTCAGTAATTAAATGTTTGTTATCAATATACATAAACCAAGCTTGATATAATACACTTTACCGTATATGATGAATCAAGATGAGTTATCATAAATAGTAAATAATAGGAATAAGTATTTATCTATTATAACTGTTATATGCATGTTTATATGGAATTGATCATACAATAATATATATCCAGATTATACAAACTACATTCATTATAACAGGATATGAAATAATGATGTTAGACAATACATTAGGATAATATTGCATGTGCACTAGTTTGACATATTTTTTTTTCAAATCCTATCATAATGAATGTATTAAAACTTCTTTGAAGTTGATATTAATTCCTTCAAATATCACCATTAGTTCACTCAAAACTATAAAGCCAAGTGGAATACATAGGTCCAAAACCTTCAATGGCTTGACGAATATGCATATTAGGAGTAATAAAGCCTTTCCCATAAAGTCGAACATTCATTCAGACAAATTCTATCAATAGGTTATGCGCTTGATTAAGCTCATAATGGGTAATTGAATGTGAAGTAAGAATATGATTTTCATCTACAAATTACATCCAGTTAATCATACGCTGACCTACGAGCCTTTCTTTTAATATTAGTGGTGATTAAACAAGAATCCAAAATCGATATTTGTTACCATTCATATCAGAAAAAAAATTAATTAATATTTGTAAACTTAATGTAGAGAGTCTTGATGGCACAGTAATATCTTTTGCTTCTTCAGCCATCTCAATGAGATCTTTACTAGCTAAAAAGGCTGCAATAGAATGCATTTTTTTTCTTATTTTTAGCTTTATCCAATACTGCACCATCTTTTTAGTGGTTTCAAGATAAAAGATTATGCAGATCATTAACAACAGCACATTGAACAATACCTAAGTAATGTAGTCTATGCAACTCACACTATTTAACACCCTATTTCTGTTCAATTCTTTTCCGTCTTGGTTCGGTCTCAGTGTTTTCCCACAATAACACTCGCTTATAATATGTTGTCTTGTCATGAAGATGCTAAGAAGAACAATTAACATTAGCAAAGAACTGTTGGACTGGATTATCCTCACGGACTGGGAAAAGTATCTGTATATTTACAACAGGGAACAAAAGAATTGGTTGAGGTAAATCCACATACTTTTTTTAACTACTGGTAGAAGACAATTAACTGTGGCAAGAGCGCAACAAATCATTCTGACATTAGGAGCCGTATATGTTTGGTATGAAGATGCCTTTATATAATTCAAGTAACACATCTACCATAGAACGACGGAAGCGATTTATTTCAGAAGAAACTGCTTCAAGAGGGCAATAACATTACGTATCTAAATCACAACAGTTAATTTATGTACCAGAGTAATCATGTATATATTTGTTTTATATTTAACTTGTAATTAATTACTTTAGATAATAAAAAAAATCAAAGCAGCCTTAATTCGACAGCTTCGAAGTGCGTAGAAATATATTTAATCTTGATACAAAACTATATTATTTTAGGTTATCAATATCAAAAGTTATAAACTTTATAAGCCCACATATTAAGTAAAATCTTCATAAAGTTTTTTTTTCTTCAAATGTGTTGTCTGTACTTATTAATAATGTTAGTCTTCAAGATGCTGAATCATTAACAGTTATAGATCTAAACACTTTAAGCGAAATAATAAATTTAAATAGTGAAGATAGTATGTTGGAAAGCATATTTGAGCACAGACCTAATCTTTTTGAAGCACAAAAGTGAAAGACTGACTTATATAAAGCTCCATGTGTTCTTGAATGCATGTAAGTATCTAGATTAAAAGTAGGAAAAAGAAGAGTTTACTTATTTTGTCTAGTATTGAAAAATGTCCATTGTGGTAATAACGATGATTCGGCTACTACATGGCATCGAGAATTTACTAACATTCTAGATATTATCATCAAAAGAACATCATTGAAGGTTCTTGACGGTGAATATATATTAAAATGCACATACGTGATAGTTTATTATAATCCAGTCATTCTTTTTTGATATGTTTAGTGGGAATAGTACAAAGCCTCGTGAACAGAAAATTGATATGGTAACCTCCACAAAAGATATTAATAATACAATAGAACTTTCCTTGAATGAATAGACAACTCCTAATCTCGCTAAGAACTAGAGATCAAAAGATAATTTCATCAATTGTTGTATCCTTAACCAGTTAATGAGAATTATTCACGAGAATAGGCAATTACTTGCAATGGATAGGATTGATCCAGTAGGATATGTATATATCCTCAAATATCAAGAAGGTGTTTATATTGCAAAAAGTGCTTAAAAAATTGTTTATACTAGACGATTTATCACAATTGAAATCTTTCTTGCCAATATTGCAGACTTTGCTTGTATAGAAAAGTTTTTATACAAAATTAAGTAATAAATATGCAGACAAAGAGTCTGTATGATCTTTTGGTTTAGATTACATCATCAATCAAAAGATGGTTCTCAGAATGAAGCAGTCGTTTCGCTGTTTGCTTTCAGCCCCAAAGCTAAAGCTTAAAAAGAGAAGAGAAAAGCAGACGAAATTTGATCTTGAACTTGTCTTATTATTATTATTATTTTTTTTCTTTTAAAAGATAAATAAATAAATAAAAAATGATAAAGATGTAATAGTAAAATTTCAATATTTCACTTCAACACAAAGTTAAATGGTTAATTCAAAAAAAAAAAAAGGGCACTACAATAACACATAGTACAAGTAATTATATTAGCAGCTATTATCTCCAATAGAGGAATTTATAATCATTATAATAATTCATTGGGCAAAAAATTACTTTAACTTGTCACATAATAAAATAAGGTTTTTTCTTTCTTTGTTTCTTTCTTCAGAAATATCCTTCGATATATCCATGTCTGTTGTGAGTCAAGGAATTCGAGACTTTGTAAATAAGGCCATAAAAGACAATAAAGTGATGGTAATTCAAATGTTTTGTATTTAACAATTACAAAATAAACTCAATCAGAATATAAAAGATCTTTAGTAAATCATATTGTCCTTACTGCATAAGGGCCAAAGACTTATTTGACGATATTGAAGTGGATTATAAAGCTTTAGAACTAAATGACCACAAAGATGGGGAGGCTATTCAAACAGTCTTGAAAGAATTAACAAATCAAAATACTGTTCCTAATATATTTATTAATCAACATCATGTTGGTGGTTCAGATTCATTAAGATCTGCCTTAAAATCTGGTAAACTAGAAAGACTTTTTAAAGAGGCAGCGATTAATTATTCAAAACTCAAATAAAGTTTTGTTCTCTATATAATACAATTTTAATAATTCATGAATAAAGCTAAATCTGACCCATCACCATAGATATCATCAAACTCATCTTCACTAAAATCTTGTATTGGATCAATTTGCATTTCTTTATCTTCATCTGATTGAAGTGATTGTGCTCTTAAAGTTGCAGATTGTAACACCTCTTGATAATAGTGTTCGTTTTTATATTTTAATAGAGCATTTTGAACATCAACTAATTTTGGTTTAGAAAACGAATAAAAATTATAGCTACATGTTGTTTTTGGCTTAATCATAATGCCCGTCATAGTCACTAGATTACGATATGTGCTTGGCATATTTTCTTGCCAGTCATAATTAGATCGAATCACATCTGCATCACTTATATATTCTAATGATCTACTGCAGCTTTCAATATCTTCAAAGAAGTTTAAACAATTCTGATGTAAATAATTAATAAAAAGATCATTGTCTACTGGTATTTTGTTTAAAATATGCTAAATAAATAAGAAAAAAAAATATAAATTAGGGAAAATAATATGATAAAGTATTACTAGGGCATACCTCAGGCTTTGATTCAAAAGAATCGTCTTTATTTCTCTTGGCATAAAGTACTTTACCAACAGCATGAAATAAATCTAAGGGCCCTGTCCTTTCATCAAATGCTTTTACAGAACTTATCTTTGCCTTCTTTTGACCTTTTCCTAATAGATTTGAGTTTGGTGTAGCATAGAATTGTAAATTATTAATAGCAGCTCGAATGTCTCCTTCACTCTTTTCTATTAAATCTACTAATTGACTATCAGACAATCTTGTTTGTTCATTTGACATTATCTTTTTCAATATTTTTTTCATGTTCGTTGTTGTTACTGGTTTGAATCTATAAAGATAATGTGAATTAGAACTTGAATTTAGAGAGTCTTATTTGCATTACCTAATTTGTTTCACTCTCTTGTCGTCTTCTAAATCTCTGGGTATAATATCAATCGTGTTATTTAGTTTATCATCATAATTTCTTCTGCTAAAAGTTGATTCCATCCACACATCACTTACAACTAAAATAATCAAACATGGAATAGAAGATTCAACTGAAGATTTTAATGATGCATGAAATGTTCTTTTAACTTCATCTGTTGTGAGATCGGGTATATCATCTATAAAAATAACTTTTTTCATATCTTGCTTTTCTTTTTGCATAATTGATCTTCGTATAGAAGAGGTTAGGAATTGCCTAAATAAAGTCATTGTATTTACTACACAAAGGTTAGTCAAGAGATACATACCAACATTATATCCTTACCATAATTATGTTGATCATACTCATTAATCGGATTGATCCATTCTACAAGTTCAAGTGGCATTGTTTTTTCAAGAACTCTGATTAATGTACTTTTGCCACAACCTGTTGGACCAGATAATAATAAAAGTTTTATAGGTTGTTGTTGATTTCCGATGGATGAACAATTAATGGCATCTTTCACATCTTTTATTTTATCTTGTCGAACACATAAATCAGACTAGTAAAATAAATAAATGTCAATAAATGTATAAATACAGATGTATATACATATTATTTAAAAGAAAAGTATTGTACCTCTACTTTTGGTGCATATCGATCTACCCATAATTCAACTATCAATTTAACAAATAATGTTAATAAATACATTCTTTATATTTTTTTTCCATATTTTATACCTTCTGGCGTTCTATCATTATATAAAGACTCTTCTCTCCTTCGTTTCCCTTGACTAGAGTAATGTTGACTAGAAGATTCAGGTAGAATAAATTCTAATTCTTCCATTTCAAGATTGTAATATTTTTTTTAGAAATAAAGAAAAAAGAAAAATAAAAAAAAAAAAAAAAAACGCCGTAAAGTTTATTTAATTGACTCTAGAAAAAAAAAAGTACTTTATTTAATTCAAACGCTCAAAATTATTACATCGAATAGGGGATTATAAAGATAGAGTATGGTTTGGCTGGATTTAGTCTTCATTTTTAAATGATTGACTAAGTCAACTATCGCCAGGAAATACATATATATAATATCTAGTATACTCATTTTATTTTACTTTATGAGCCTTGCATCTGAAGTAATAGTCGGTATATTACTCACTCTATTATCGCCATGAATAGAATACAAAAAATGCAATAAATAAAGAAAAAGGTTTGAAAAGAACAATCAGGGTTAATATAAAGAGAGTCAGTGTTATTAAATATATACATGCTAGAAATACTTAGAAGAGAAAGTTTGGAAACTCACAGTAGTTTATATTAAAAAAAAAAAAGAAATAGTTTGCTTAGTCGTTTTTGATAATGGCATAAAGAGCAAAGATAAAAATCGGCTTATCACTAAAACAAGGTATTTTTGATCTTAGTAGCATTCATTATAAAGCTATAGTACATCATAAAACAGAAATATAATCACTTTACTAGATTTGGTACTTGTCAGTATAAACATTTGAAAAGATAATAACTAGACTATTAGCTTTTTTTTAGATTACGATTAAAGAATTTTATTTAAAAAATTAAAAAATGACAAACGATCACATAGCATTTATATACTTTTTGGCCCTGGTCAGATCGCTTATGGAAAAAAAGGAAAGAAAACCCCTTTTGGGATAAAAGGGAAAATGTTGAAGTGTATGTATGAGTGATGATAATTGACTATCAAAAAATCATTATTGTATTGAAAGAAGATGATTGACAAGGGATCTACCAAGTAGGTCAGAGGGCCTTTTTTAGATTACTATTAAACTTTTTATCATTTTTATAAATTAAAATTTATAAAGCGACCTATGTGTACATAATATCTTTTAGTGGATTGCCCAGGTCAGTTCAAATTATATGAAAAAAAAGTATCTAAAAACTCTCTTAGGGTACAAGAGGTGAAAAGGTAAATGAAAGGAAGAAGAGAAGGTGAGGAAGAAAGGGGAATCTTGCTAACAAGTTTAAAGGGACAACCAGTTGAGCAATTTCCTGCCTGGATCAAGAAGTGGAAGAGGGTAGTTTATCGTGTATTAAGTAATTCATTTCCTGAAGAATGGTACACATCACTGGCCAGCAATAGATCCAGGCAGAAACATCCTGAGAATTTCGGTACTTATACTGAGGGAGATGATTTAAAAGAAAGGAAAGGGGATCTGCTATTGATCGTGGCAAGAATAAACGGGTGTGCATATGCAAGCATTCAATGGCGTGTGATCGACTAAAGCGTACATGAAGATGATATGGGCAGGCTTTAGGTATTCCTCCGGGTAACCAACCTAGACTCCATCGAATAGTTAGACTACGCTCACTGTGTTTCATGGTTAATCAGAGTATTGGATCAATAATTAGATTAGGGCGGTAAGTGGAAAGCAAAACAGAGCGTGTCCCCTCACGTAGTTGCCGAAAACTCTCTTCAAAAAATTCTTGACGATGTTTTCGAAAGGAGCGTTGGTCTAATGGAATGGAATTGGGGGCACAGAGTCTCTAACATGGTGTTTGAATGAGTTTATACCATTGAGTGTTGAAAGCGGAGGCGTGAAGTTCGGGAAGTAATTTAGCGAGCAAAGTATCATCCGGCAAATCAATAGCACGGAAAACGAATTGAGCCTGCAGAATGGACACCCTAACCTTCGTTGATGGTTGGTGTGATGGAATGTAAATAAAAATAAAAGATAAAATAAAAAGAGAAAAGAGAACAAAAGGAAGTATAGTTTGAGACTGTTTTTATTCAATAAAATAAAGAAAGTTAAAATAAAGCTAAAGAAGAAGTTAAAGATTATTTTGTGTCTAAACAACTGCTTGTATTTATATTAATGAATCCTGAATCAAAGAAATAGAAATAACCGTCAAAGAACATGAGTCATGAAACAGTGTTAGTATTCGTATATACGTCTTGTTGATTCAAGAGACTGATCTATGGATTATCTATAGGGTGTTATAATGATCTGATCAAGTTTTAAATAAAAAATTTATTGTTTAATCTGAGTATATGTTCCTGATATCTTTTATGTTTTATTTTATTGGATCAAAGACGACCTGAATCCTTTATCAAGGTTATAAAAATAAATATTTAGAAATGATACGATGTCTTATAATTGATACATCTAGACAATTGGATGTCAATAAGTTTTATATTATTTACAAGATGTTATATACAGAGTTTTATTTCATATTCAGGCTTATATTTTATCCTGTATTATGTAATTCATCTATTATAATATTACTCATGATTATATCCAGAGCTTGTTCTATAACAGTTGGTTTACCATATGAAGCATCACTTTTACTGACGATCGACTAGAGCCACCAAATATCCGTCTTATGCATGTGTTTTGACAAGATTCCAGTTGTTGGATATCCTTTGCAGTAAGTAGACTAATAGCTAGACCATATTCGAGTTGTGGTCGGACTATCTGCGTGTAAAAGCTGTTGTGATTGTAGTAGCCTTTATAATTAAGTTAATAGAAATAAACCATCATTTATTACATAATAAAGAGGTTATTCAAATAGAACTAAAATATCGCGCTTCACAGCATAATATTCATTCTACTCTCAGTTTTGATAATAGTCATTGTTTGAGTATTCGAGCATTAAAAATAATTATATACGTTATATTATGTAATAATAATAATTCAATAGGATTAGGACTGTTATATTCAATTACATAATTATTTATAAGTCATACATATTATATATAGATAGCTATAAAGATAAATATTGTTATGTAATAATATCTTATAGGATAATAATAATAGTAGCATATAAATAATTGGTATTGTTATAGCTGACATATTCACTGTGAATTAATATTGACGCGTCGCTTACCCCAGAAATAATAATCTAATATTTTTAGTAACAGCGACAGCTCAGGCAGAAAAGAATAAAAATAGATTTTATTGTAGGCAGAATTATTCGGAGAAAATATTTATGACTAATGCTTTATTATAGCAATGTTTGCTTATCCAAATCATAGTTCTATTAATATCACTTACCTTGCAAAAACATATAAATAACCCTTTACATTTTCACATAATTTTTCCTTGTACAATTTTTGTATTATTTTTCTCAATAAAAAAACTACACGAAGTTTTCACAGACTTGTCTTTTGTCTTTTCCTCTTTCTTTAACTTTTTGCTATCAAAACAATAGTCGCCTGTGATTGTGTATTAATCTGTTCAGTTAAGAGTTTAATTTGTTTACGTGCTTCAGCTAATTCCAAGGTCAAGTTTTGAATCATAGTGAACATCTGTTCCATTGTTAAAGATGGCGTTTGATGAGTTTGGCTATTTGAGGAATCCTGAGATGACAAAGTTAATACAGGAATGGAAGGAGAGGTTGTGTTTATGTTTTTGTTGGAAACAGCAAGTAAGTCTGTAGAATTAGACATAGTTTGTGACAAACTAAGGCGCATTTCATACGCATTAATCGTCTTGTTGCAGGAGGTACATTTAAATTGAGGTTGTGTCGAGTCGTGAGGACTGGCACCCTTGCGATGAAATGTTGTGATGGCATGGCAGTTCGGACAGGGAATACGTTCATGCATAACTGAAAAAGTTGCCTGAAGCTCCTCCACTTGCGCTAATGATAAGGCGGGTGGACGGACTTTATTGTAAGGCCCGCTAGTTGCTGGCATGAACTAAAGTAAATGTTGAAGTGGTGAGATGTATAGAATGAAAGGAAGTTAATGTGTTGTTTATATTGTACTGTTGCGCTTTCCAAATATAGTAATAACTTGGGAAGCGGAAGTGAAATTATAATACAGTATCTCTATTTCAAATTCCGACGATGTTAGTTTTTTTTTGGACGATTCAAAATTTAAATTCAGACAAAGTCCTTACCTTTTTTGGAAAAAGTGGAAACGGAAACCCGACAAAGCCCGACAAAGGGAGAAATTAAATTGAGACAAAATGTTGGACGAATTAAAGTGCAGTGGTAGACGAATTGCCTAATTTTTTTTTTACCTTCTACATGGATGCTACTTGTGAACGACCTTAAGAAGGTTTAGTTAGCGTATTTATGAAAAAAATCCATTTTTTGGTGCTGATTTAACTGTACAATGGGAAACTGATTTACTACTGAGAAAATATGTGGATTTTTTTCGATTTGGGGGTGGAATTCTTAAAGATAGTCAGCTTCTCTAGCACTTGTACCACTATAGCACTATACGAACTAAGAATGGAACTCAAAATTCATTTGTATATAACTTTTACTTGGCCAACAAAGTTTCTATTGTTTAATGAAAGCGGAAGCAATTTTGCTCAATTCTGAGAAAAAGGGGGGATTAAAATGAGCAGCGTATATAACAACCTATACATAGGAAAAACCTTGTTCTTTTTTTTTCTCTTAGAGTATGGTGACCTACGATCATGCAATCTATTGAGATATATATGCTGGAATAAATGTCGTTTGTAAAGGAAAACTGAGATGAAATCAACCTAATTTAAATGATTGATCCACCTACAATAATAAAGTGAGGCAATACAATAACATTAAAGTATGAAAAGATTCAATACAAAAGACAATAGATACTGCCTTGTAACTGAATGTAAAGATTGATGAATGATAAAAATAAAACACTTTGGGATGCTAGTATGTAGACGCGATATATTGAATTGATATATTCGAGATTTGTGAAATACCAATTAGCAAGCTAATACTTTTGTATGCCTGTTTTGTCCACAAATCTTGTTCTTTCTTTCTTTTTTTCTTTTTATTTTTAAACAATATGCGTACACCCATCTATGCTAATGTTGAAGCTTTTATATAGGTTAAGAAACAGCACAAGTATGAAAGCGTACAAGCAGAATCTATTAATGATAACACAGACAAACAGTTTATGAAAAAGGGTAATATAAACTATATTGTTTGATAAACCAAACTAACTCAAACTATTAAAAGGTGTAAAAAGAAAGGATACTTATAAAGAAAAGAAAGATAAAGCAAATGCAAAAAGGACAAGAAGCTCTACTTCTTCAAGCAATCAAAACTTAACATGTAAATCTTGCAAGAATATTGGCTATTCGTCAGTAAGGCGTAAAGAATGCCCAAACCATAACTTTACATTGAAAGAGTTATTAAACAGAAACCTTGGATTTAGCTATCAAAGATACACTGTTCCTCTACCGTTAAAATGGTTTGTGTCCGCAGCAAATCAAAATGTCTACAAAGAAGCTCTTGAAAAAATCAAGATTCTGTCAACGTTTTTACAAAAAGTTGTCTCCAATACCCATTTTTTTGTTAATTTCTGTTGTGTATATAATGATGTATTACATAATATCTTATAATGTACAGATCAGAGTCATGAAGAACCGAATGATATTATAGTTATTAGTTATACACTTTATGCATACAATATTATTTGATTTCAGTTTATAAGACATTCTTGTGATGAGAAAAAATAATGTTATAATAAATACTAACTCTACAAAATAATGATAAGAAAAACATAGTGTAAGGAGTTATTAATGATAAAGATATATGAATTATAGATTACACCTATTAATTATATATATGTATTATTATTTAATATTGTCTAAAATACTAACTTATAAATATAATCATATACTATCTATGAGAACTCTATTCTAATTGAATACACTATATAATATAATGAAATTCATTTAAGTAGTACATTGAGGAATGAATATAACATAAAGAAGCTGGTTAGAATATAAATCTATATATAAAGTGTCTTTCCTATATCATTCACAAGTATGAACAAACGAGATTTTATTATTTTGTTTCAAGAAAAATAACCGGCTAGACCAAACACCAATAATTTAATATTTATTAGAGTTAACTGAGATTAATTCTCAGTCAGGGCAAAGACTAGAGCTCTAATACCATAATTTTAATTATTCTATGGGAAAATATTCTTCTTTCAAGATATCTTCACTCTGTTCCTGTCGCGAAGTAACCCGTTCTCCACAAAATATAAATAAAGATCCATCTTGCACTCATCTTTTGAAAATTCAGTTTTTAATTTTAATTTTTATTGATAATAAAAGTTTTATACAAAGTTTTCACAGATTTATTCTGTCTTATTCTTTTGTTATCTTATCTTATCAACAATTTCTATATACTAGGACATCCAGACAATTTATCAAATGTAGTTTTTGAACAAAACTTTCGGTACTCTACCTGTAGAGTGGTGAACGCAAATATGTCTCTCAAGCAGCTCTCATCAAAGTATCCTCAAATTCTGTTTATTTCAGATACGTGGATAGAACTTGTCGGCATTGAAGGTGTTGACTTGATAGTGAAAAGAAATGGTCTGACCAATTATGGTCAAGTGTTGTCAAGTGCCTGTGAGACTTTGGTTACATGTTACAACAATTACTACATAGAAAACTTTCAAACTTTTATAGCAAACTATTTCATATATATGGTTCGTGCAAAATTTCCCGTAAATAAGATTTTTTTTTTAAAAATGTAGAACTGCACACCACTACAAATATTGACATTTTTTTTTTATCAAAAGGAGGTGAAGATATCCATTATAAAACATATAGTATTCAAACATGTCTCAGATGCGGTGGTTTCCCATGAGGTACAACCAGCTATGGATGGCAATATTACTCTTTCATTAAATGAAGAAGCCCAAGGCAACATTTGTGCCCTCTTAAAACCATCGATTTTGGAGATTAGGAACCGATTACCTTCGTTTCCGATGACAAAAGAAACTCTCAATAAAGTACCCTTTAGTATAATGCCAGCATTAAGGTATATTCTGGTTAAATACGAAGCCTTAATTGAAGGAAACCCAAAACTGCAGCCTGTTTTACTAGAACATTCAGAGCAGACAAATCCATCAAATAGAAAAAGACCAAAAAAGAAGAAGGTTAAGAAGAATAAAAAGACAAGTAAAGACAACGAAAAGAAGTTCGTTACACCCAGGCTCTTTAGTTTGTTTTTAAAACCAAGTCTTCGTTGGCGTTTTATAAAGATCGATAGTCAAAATTTAGATGGCATATTTCCTGGGGCTTTTTTGGAGAAACAAGATAAAGAGATTCCTTTCCAACAGATACAAAGATGTTTCTTTGCCTACTTCGATTTTTTGAAAACAAACATTAACAGGCAAATGTTAACATTGTTTACGAGAAATAAGCACACTAATTTTGAATTTGAATAGCCTTGAAGACTTAATAGACTTGCCTCATCGAAAATGAAAGATGTTTTTTAAATAGCATATATATGGACGGATATACATGCAGGATATCATTCTGTAGAAAAAACACAGGCAACATCGCTTAGTATAAGCAAGCCTTCTTTGGAACTGTACGATTTTACCAGCGAAGAAATAAATAGATATTTTAGTCCTTGTGCTGTAGACCCAAATAGAAAAGATGCATTCATCTCTTATCATGGGAATACATACATAAGGTGTTTGTCTTCAGCCGAATACTATGACATGAGTGGAAATGTAAATCGACAATAAATGGAAAAAGAGAGCAAAAGAAGATCCAATGTAGAGCCTGTTGAAACACAAATTCCTTCATCGAAAACCACGTCCATTGATCATTATAAAATGTACATCACTTATATGCTTCAGCATATAAAAGTTTTGTTCAATTTTTACAGCTTTGAAACTGCTAGAATTAACTGGCTCAATTATGTCGGTTCTCAGCACACAGTTAAAAAGGCTGTCAACATTCTTATTAACGGCTCAAAAAAATACAACAAAAAAAAGAGGAAAGACGAAAAGAAATAAGAGAAAATGAAGAAAGACAGCGGCCAAGTATGAAAGAGACCCTTCTGATACTCGTCCCAATCGAGGAAAGAATACGACTAGGTAATATACATATTCATGAATACTTTGTATTCTTAATTACTCATAACTTTTTTTTTTTTTTTTTTTTTTTTTTTTGAAAGAGAACACAAGAAGAAGTTTGAGGAGGGCGACCGCCGCAAGATGTCGTTAGTTGTATTTGGCAATGGACTTAAAAACAAAAGCCAGGCAAAATTTAAAGGGCTAAAGCATGGTATATCAGAAAAGATATAGAGGCAGCTGAAAATATGATAAAAGCTTGGGGAATTGTTGCTTCTAGACATAGACGAATACAAAACATCCAAGGTAGAAAAATACATACATGTGAATATAATAAATGTACTAATACAATATATTACACCTGTATTGTATAGACATGCAATTCCTGTCTTGAAACCAAGCTTCAAAACCTCGTATGTGGAAAGGGAGATGATGCACATAGAATCCATCAAATATTCATCTGCAAAAGTTTGTATATTTATTGGAATCGAGATGTGATGGCTGCAAAGAACATGTTAACCATTGCTACATCAATCTGAAGCGGAAATGGTCATCCCAATGTCTTCAAAAGACAAAGCGCCATCTCAAATGTGGTTGTCACATCCCATCTCGGTGGGGATGTCGACTTCAATATCTTACAGGTAAAACCAAATATATATTTTTACTTTGAACTTGTCTCATCTAATTTCTCCCTTGGTCTGATTTCCGTTTTTTACATTTTCCAAAAAAGGTAAGCTAGACGTCTGAAAATTAAAAACTGTACTATAGAAAGGTCATTCAATATATCTTAAAATAACCTTTAATTGGTTTAAAATTTATTTTAAATGGCCTCAACACTTATGTTAGGCTCCATAAACCTTTCTTCACCATGACTGATAAAGGTATATAATATAGCTGTTAAAATATGATAGTCTTTAATATACATAGACATATACAACTATTATATTATTTAAATATTTATTTATACACATATAATGTAATTACTCGTTTAGATGCAAATAACCAACATTCACAAAGTTTTTTTAAAACTTCCTTCTTATCAAGTATCAATGCATTTTCAAATCATACAAAACAACTGTTACCTGATGTGAATAAACGACTGATTGATTTACAAAAACGAGCACGAGAATTACCAAATCAAATTATTGATTTACAATACAGCTTTGAATCTGAACGAATGCAATTTGTTAAAGATAAAAAACTTGATGAAACGAATGGAGTAGTACATCATTCAAAAGGATCGGGTAAAGTTTATTTAATTATAACTATAGTGTATGTGCTATTCTTATTTTATTTATAGAAATAGTGGCCCCTTGGATGGGTTACCGTAAATATGAAAACAAAATAAAACAAGCCATTTTGGACTTATCAAAGGTATATGATACAGTTACATTATATAACTATACTCACTTGTATACATAGGATGAACGTAATTTCTTAATTCCTCCTCCTGAAGACACTGATTTTCAATTTAATTTCAATGCTTATAGTCAAAGTGCTCAAGCAGTTTTAAAAGAGGATGAACGTTTGGCTCGATTAAGATTTATACTGGTGCCACAACAGTAAGTGTTATATTGGTTTGCTTGAGAGAAAAGGGAAGATATTTAAACTGTTTAAATAGAGTAAGTGAGCCTATATTTTGGAGAAATTATTTTTATAGGGTTACTCTTGTAAAACAGTCTGTCTTGAATAATATTGAATCAGCTGACAATAACGAAAAAGAAGAAGAAGAAGAGGAAGAGGAAGATTTTACAGTAAAAAAGGATAAAGTAGTTCTATTTAATTTTAACGAAAATGAAGATGATTCAACTTTGACAACCAGCAAAAAGCCAGTAGATAGTTTGAAAAATAAAGTAGAGGCAAATGAATATGAGGGCATGGAAGAATGGGAGATTGAGTTAAGAAGAGCAGCAATAGAATAGTTTATTTTAGTTGTTACTATATTCTCTACTAAAATATGCTTCTGCTACTGACATTGCTGACTGCACTAATTCTTGAAACAAATTGCTTTCGATTTGATGTTGAGATAGTACTTTCAAAGTCTACATATAAAAAATATAAATATGTATATGTATATAATATACATAAAGATATACTTGTGCGTATTTTTTTTTTATTTTTTTTTTTTTTTTTTTTTTTTTTTTTTGCTATTAGTTGTTGTGATTACCTCATTCTTAACTTGATTTATAACTTGTTGCCTTGAAATATCATCAGCAACGATTAAGCCTTGATTTACATTCTGCTTTAATTGATAAATATAATCCTTTATACCCTATATACATCATAATATAGGTAAGTTTAATATATGTGTATATAAAATTGGATTTATTATTTATATCATTTACCTTAAATGCAGCAGCGCCTGCTAATTGCTCTAATGTAACGTTATTCAATTCTCCTTCTAAATAAACAAGCCTATAACAATCATATAACTCTTCCTGTCTTGGAAAAGTAGAGTTTCTTTGAACTGAAACGATGTCAAAATTATATGTCAATTATGTGATATAATGCTTACGTGGTGAAGGCCTAAGTAAAGCTAATTCAGCTTTTGATTTTTCATTTTCAAAAGGTTGAATTATCCACTTTTGTGTCTTTGAATGAAGATTTTTAGCATTTAAATAGATTGTATTTCCATTTTTAAATTCAGAATTCTATAAGACATAGTCAATTATACGATAAATAGCATTTCCTTGACTTGCATTTAACTGACCTTAATATCCAATACTAAATGAGGAGCAGAAGTAGGGAAAATATATCCATCTTTAAATGTCCATCTTTGATTATGAGCCAATCCAGGTTTACGAGCATATTGAATAATCGTCTTATTTCTTTCAACACCTAACATACATACATACATACATAAATATTATTTGATTCTATCTGATAAACTTACTTCCACCTCGAATATCCAATACTTTTTTTCCAAGTGAATATAATCAAGTTATTATGTGCTTTATCATTTAATATATAAACCTTATTACCAAGTCCTGATTTCTTATTAATCAAAAATCCTTCTTCATGCATCCATAACTAATAAATAGTAGTCATTTTTACTATATTCTACTTTATACAAACTGACAGATGGTGTTTTCCTCCTCCCCTTAATTACCTGATTTATACTATCAACCATTTTCTACAAAATGGTTACCATCTTTTAAAGAAACAATTAATTTTTAATTAAGCTATTACTTACTTGGGGCCAAATGATAATGTTGGCATCGTTCTACATGACTAATAAATTAACTTTTTTTTTTTTTTTTTTTTTTTTTTTTTTTTTATTTTATTTTTTTTTAAATTTTGGCTATATTTATGTTACCGTCATGCTGCCACCATAGACATCAATAGCATAAGGTTGATATTCACATCGAATAAAAAAAAAGCCATCTGGAAATTCCGAAACTTCTTGCATTCTTATTAATAATAATGACAACAATAAAAGGAAAAAAAAAAACAAGATAAAATAAATAAAATCAATAAATAAATAAAAATAAAATAAGAATAGCATAATTTCATTATATTCTTGAATTCACGTGATAGAATAATCCTTTTTTTTTTATTCTATTTATTCTATAATGGAACAGCAAATAACAATCCCAATTATATACTGGACAACATGGTTCAATACAAATCAATGGGAAGGTTATACCATCGACAATTGTAACTTGAATTATACATGTAAAATAACACATGACAGAACCAAACTAGTTGACTCGTCTGTTGTTATATTTCATGCTTCAGACATGGATGATACTATGCCCTCACAGACAAAAAATCGAGCGTGGGTTTATCATAATGCAGAGGCACCTAAATATCAGCCTACAATCATTAATCAGATGCAATACAGTATGACATATCGACTCGATTCCGATTTCCCTTGGGGGTATTTCGAAAAACGTAGTTTACTTGAAGTGATGGAAACTACTTTGAATAAAACAAGAAAAATGAAAGTGCCAATTGCATGGATTGTTTCGAATTGTAAAGCTTCAAATTATAGACACCATTATGTCCGAGAATTAAATAAATGGATTGATATAGATATTTATGGCCACTGTATGAATAATATTGAGTTTCCAGAGAATACAAGCACTATTGAACTTATATCTCGATATCACTTTTATCTTGCACTTGAAAATTCGAATTGTAAAGACTATGTAACAGAGAAATTAAGTCATGCGTATATGGCAGGTGTTATACCTATTGTTGATGGCCCAAGTAATTACGGTCCATTCATTCCTAACACACACTCTGTAATCCGTTTAGATGATTTTAAGAGTCCTAAAGAATTAGCTTTGTATCTAAACCAGGTTTTAAGTCAGAAAGATCTGTATGATAGTTATTTGGACTATCGTAAACCGGGAGGTGTTTCGAATGAATTTAAAGAAACATTAAATATCTATGAACAGGGACAATGTCGTTTATGTCAATTAGCTCATGATCGTTATATGAAGCTTCCTTATAGTTATTATCCCGGTAAAAAAATCTATTTAGACAATACATGTGAAAGACGTAAACATTTCAATTTCAAACAAACAGATATTTGGAAATTTTATCTCCCATTTTTTATATTTATTTTATTACCAGTTCTCCTTGTAGTAAAGAAGAAGAGTAGATTTACCAGAAAAAAGAAATAAATAAAATAAAATAAATTACATTTTCGACTTGTATTACGTGTATCAACGTTCACAAAAGGCGATTTATATTTCTTTCTTTCTTTCTTTCTTTCTTTTTTTTTCGTACATTTTTTTTTTTTTAAATGAGTCATCACCATAACCCTTTTGTTAAAAAGCTTTTGGCACTTTTCAAAAAGACACATGAAGATGACAAGGATAAAGAGTCATCAAAATACCCATCTGCTCTGAACGCTAAATATGAAATAGGAGAAAAGACATTAGGTGTAGGTTCCTTTGCAGTTGTAAAGGAATGTACTAATCGAATAACAAATGAAAAGTGTGCAGTCAAGATCATCTTGAAAAAAGTAATTGCAGGTAAATTATAAAACTATGATTGTCATGACTTATAAATAGAAAAGATAATAATATTTTCTTTCATTAAAAAAAAAATAAGGCAAACAACAAATGCTAGATAGTGAATTAGGTACTTATATGTGTATTGATTACGCCTTATTTAATATGATATAACTTTATATAGATATATTAACAAAGGTACATCATGAACATATTGTTTCTATGCATGATATTTTTGAATCAAATGATGCAGTTTATATCATTACTGATCTCTGTACCGGAGGAGAATTATTTCAACGTATCGTTGAAAGAGGAACATATACTGAAGCAATGGCTGCAGATCTTGTTCGACAAATATTAGAAGGACTAGCTTATTTACATTCATTAGATATTGTACATCGTGATATTAAACCTGAAAATGTAATAAAATTGAATATCCATATTATAATTCCCTCTGCTGTGTTAACTTCTTGTCTTTAGTTATTATTTAAAACACCAGAAGAAGATGCAGAGTTATTAATTACAGACTTTGGTTTATCAAAACTATTAAAGAATAATAATGAAGTATTAACAACAGCTTGTGGAACGCCAGGCTATGTTGCCCCTGAAGTACTTTTAGGTACAGGGCATGGTAAACCAGTTGATCTTTGGAGTGTTGGTGTTATTATGGTAATTATAGAATATGATACTATTCTATATATGTATGTGTATGTGTATATGTATACGTATACGTATGTGTATGTGTATATGTATATGTATACGTATATGTATGTGTATGTGTATATTAATGTATATAAACTAGTATACTCTTTTAAGTGGCTATACGCCTTTCTATGGTGAAGGTATCTATACCAATAAATAGATAGATACATATTTAAATATATAGTTATTCTAATATGTATTTTAGATCAGAATGAATTGTTTGATTCTATCATGAAGGCTGAGTATGAATTTGATGAAGAATACTGGGGAGATATATCAATTGAAGCCAAGAATTTGATTAATAAGTTATTAACTTTTAATCCTACAGAACGAATTACAGCAGAAGAAGCCCTTCATGATATTTGGATTACAGGAGAAACTGATAATGATATTAACTTGGCACCCAACGTGCGTAAAGGTTTTAATAACCGTAGAACACTTAGATCTATTGTTGCTGCTGTTACTGCTATCAATAAATTAAAGTTGGAAGATTAAATAATGACAACAATATACACGTTTTTATTTATTTTTTTATTGGAATCCAATATTTATAGTGTATTCCTATTTTTAGAAAATGTGTGTTTTTTGTGGTTTTTTTTTGTGTGTATTTTTTTTTAAGCTTTTTTCTTCTTTTTACTTCATAAACATATTTTTATTATTATTTTTATTATTATTACATGAATTCAGGATTTAATTATACAGACTATCCTGTTATTGTAGGAATAGATTTTGGTAAAGTATTTTATAAATATGTATACATGTATCTATTTATTAGTTTATTCAACTGCTATATACAGGTACAACTTATTCTGGTTGTTGTTATGCATTTGCTCAAAATGAAGAAGTCATTGATATTGTGAAATGGTATATATATATTTTTTTTTCTGTTGTTGTTGAAATTAGACATTCTTGTTGACAACATTTTAATGTATAGGCCAAAACAAAATAATCAAGTTTATCCTAAAGTATACATTTATTAACCATTTCTATATACATACATATATGTGTATATATGTATTTACCTTGATAATTTTTCATATAGACACCTACTCTCTCTTTATATCGTAAAGGGTCAACTCAATTAGTAGAATGGGGACATGGAGCTAGAAGACTCGCCATGAAACCAAATAATGCTGATTCCATCTTACTCTCTAAATTTAAACTATACCTTGATGAACATTTACAACAAACAGAGCTTGGAAGTGGTCTTGATATAATTAATGTCATTGCTGACTATTTACGTGCCTTTCACTTACACGTTTGTACTGAACTTTTGAAAGGTTTTGCTGGAAATTATGATCAATCTCGTTTTCGCTATGTAAGTTTTCCACAAAAAATAAATAAATAATATAGTATAAAAAATTGTTGTCAATAGAGCTCCACTAAAAATTAATTTTATAGTGTCTTACTGTTCCTGCAATGTGGAGTGATAGAGCAAAAGCAACGATGCGAGAAGCCGCAATTCGTGCGGGGTTAATAAATAGTGATGATCATCCTGACCGGTTGATGCTAATTTCAGAGCCCGAAGCAGCTGCTTTATATTGTGAAAAGAAATCAGAACAATTTAATTTAAGACATGGCCAACGATTTATGATTTGTGATGCTGGAGGCGGTACAGTGGATTTAATTGTATTCGAAATTAATGAACCACCAGGTCAAAAACGTACTTTAAAAGAAGTTACAAATGGACATGGAGGTTCTTGTGGTTCAGGATTTTTAGATTTAAGGATGAGAGAATATCTGAAAAGAAAGTTCTCTCGTTATCATACTATTAATGATAACGCTATGGAGCTTATTATGGATACCTTTGTCAATGTAATAAAACCAGATTTTGATGGTATTGAAGATCATTTCTTGGATTTACCAGCTTCTATGGGCTTAGGTGATTTAACTGATAATGAGATTGGACTTGATAATGGATCACTTTGTTTACCTGCTGAAGAATTAAGAGAATATGTATTTGAACCTGTTATTTGTCAAGTTCTTGATTTAATTCGAGGCCAATTAGCCCAATCTCCTCAATTAGAGGCTATCTTCTTGGTAGGTGGATTTGGGCAATCGAATTACCTTTTCCGTAGAGTAGAAGAAGAATTTGCAAATCAAGTAGGTATGATTGGTGTTCCACCTCGAGGTGAATTAGCTGTTGTACGTGGAGCAGTTTATTTTGGTCTTAATCCACAAATAGTGACAGAAAGAGTCTCTCGACGTACTTATGGTGTAGAGACACGTATGTTATTTCAAGAAGGTATTGATCCACCTGAATATGCAGTGATGGGAGCAGATGGAAAACGTTATTGTCGTCAACGGTTCAGTGTTTATGTTCATCAAGGACAAAGTATTAAGGTAGATGAATGTGTTTCAAAGAATTTTGTTATTAGTTATCCAAATGACACAGATTCAGATTTATTTGCATTTGATGGTGAAGGACAACCGCCACGTTTAACATCTCATCCACTTGTACGTAAAGTAGGTAATTTCCCTATTCGAATGCCTCATTTAGAAGGTGTTAGAGCAGGTGAAAAGGTGAACATGACGATCAAAATGTATTTTGGTTTAACAGAGATTAAAATTGAATGTATTATTCGAGATAAATCTTTTATATTTACATCCTCATTTGAAGCAACAGATTCTTATTCACCTACACCAAATCAATCACAACAAATGTATTATGAAGACTATCAAACTCCTTTAATTGCTTCATCTGAACATTTACTTTCTCAACAGCAAATCTATTCCAACACGAATACTGCTATAAATGACTTGACGAATAATATGAGTCATGTTTCAATTAACAGTTATCCGAATTATTATCAACAAGCTCCAATGAATAATTCGAATACTCTCTATCGTCCTTCACCACAAACTTCAATGAATTACAATAATAATGATTATTATCAAAATCCGTATTATTCAAATGCATATCCTTCAACTTCAAATACCTCATATCAAGCTTATGGAGGAAATAATAATTATCGTTAAGAAATAATAAACATGTTATGCGAAAAAAAAAATCTTGTTTCGCTTATTAAATTTTAAAATTCCATTTTTGTTTTTGTTTTTTTTTTTTGTTTTATTTCCCTTCTTACCTTTTTTTTTTTTTTTTTTTTTTTTTTTTTTTTTTTTTTTTTTCTATATATGAATTCAACTACTATAACAGCTTCTTCACATTCAACACTGGTTATAACAAATGAACCTAATACAAGTGATTGGACTTCAGCTATTGTTGAACACGAACGACTTGTAGTAGGTCCCGATGGTAACCAGATCTTGTGCGATTCACCCACTCCTTCTTCTGAATTACCTCCCTATACTGAAAGTAGCAATTCAAAAGAAAAAAAACATTTTACATCAGTCAAACCGAGAAGAGTTATTGGAAATTATACACTGATCAATACATTAGGCTCAGGTTCTATGGGTAAAGTTCGTTTAGCTGTTCACAACTTAACTGGAGACAAAGTAAGAATTAAAAAATATGCATAAAAAAAAAAGATAAACTAATCTTTTTATATGTATACCATACATACATACATGCATACATATTTACATTTATATAGCTTGCTGTGAAGATTGTACGAAGACGACAACGAAAGGATGCTAAAGATGAAAATCGAGAAATACGAACAATCAGAGAAGCTAGTATCATGTTATTATTACATCATCCTTATATTGTTAGCCTTAAAGAAATGGTCATCTTGGATCCATATTATTATTTATTTATGGAGTATGTCAATGGTGGTCAGTTATTGGATTACATTATCTCTCATGGTAAACTTAAAGAAAAGCAAGCTAGACGATTTGGACGTCAAATTCTAAGCGCTTTAGGTAATATAAAGATTTTTATATATATATATATATAAAAATTGAAACTAAATATGTTTATAAAATATGTATGTGTTCTGCAGATTATTGTCATAGAAACTCAATCGTACATAGAGACTTGAAAATTGAAAATATTTTAATATCTCAAACTGGAAACATTAAAATTATTGATTTTGGCCTTTCTAATTTATTTTCGCCTCAATCATCGTTAAATACCTTTTGTGGCTCATTATATTTTGCTGCTCCCGAATTATTAAATGCGAAAGCTTATACAGGCCCCGAAGTAGATGTTTGGAGTTTTGGTGTTGTATTATATGTACTTGTATGTGGGAAAGTACCATTTGATGATCAAAATATGCCAGCATTACATGCAAAGATTAAACGTGGTGTGGTTGAATATCCTTCTTATCTAAGTACAGGTATGTAAACATACATCTTTCGAAAACACACATAATTAATAAATACGATGGCTTTTTTTTTTCTTTACTTTAGAATGTAAAAGTATCTTATCAAGAATGTTAGTTATCAATCCTGCTCATAGGGCAACTATCTCTGAACTAATGATTCATCCATGGATAACAAAAGGGAATGATCATCCTATTAACAATTATTTGCCTGAGCGAATACCTCTTACATTACCCATTGATATGGAGGTCGTACGTGGTATGACAGGTTTTGAATTTGGAACAGAAGATGAAATTAAACGGAAACTAGAAGAAATCATCATATCTGATGAATATCAAAAGGCAGCAAAGCAACTTATGGAAAGAACAGCTGAAGCACATCGAAGTCATCGTCATGGTCATCTTGCTTCTAGATTTAATAAAAAGTCATTTACCTTGGCAAATGATGATCCACAATCTATTCCTGCTGCATATCATCCATTAGTGTCTATTTATTATCTTGTTAAAGAACGTATTGAACGTGAAAAGCAGGATGCAAAGCATGAAGAAAAAATCCAAAAAGATAAATTGGATCAACAACACTCATATGAGTCTACAATAGCATCAAGTAAAGGTTCATTACGTATTCCAGATATATCGTTACCCGAGACTGTTCATCCAACCAATAATAATAATAACACTACCTTTGAACAATCCTTATTTGGTGACTCAACCATGTTTACAACTCAAAATAATGCAGAGGGTGTAGCCTATGGTAAAAAGGGGAAAACTCATATTCGTGTAGATGGAGAAGGTCATGTTGACAGGTTTCATATCTTTGAAAATGGTTTCAGTCGATTTTTGTCAAACAGTCGTCGTCGCTCTGTTCAATCCTCTGATGATGACGAATGTCGAGTTAATGATTCAAGTAAACACGTTCTGCGAAGATTAAGTCATGCATTATCACGTACATCGTCTAATGAACCAACATCACATAGAAAGTCAAACTCGTCTGAACCTCCAGCTCCATCTACTTCAACTCCTGTACCAATTCCTTCATCACAACGAAATAATAATAAACCTATGCAATTATCGAAATCTTATGCTGCCGCTGAGACTTCAGCAAGATATCCAAACCATAATGATCATTTAAAACAGTCAACTGAGTTAGAAGTAGCAAAGTCTACAACGTTAGGAAATAGAATCAGTCGTATGATGCCACGGAGAATGACAGTAGGTCAAAACTTTGACAATAATATAGAAAACCATACAAAATTCTTAAATATGGTACAACATAATGAAACCACTTTCCCCATATCTGGAATACAACAGAAGGGAACTGCAGATGAAAATATTAAACCTGTCTTCCTCAAGGGCCTCTTTTCAGTCACAACAACATCTACAAAGCACCCATCTGTCATTCGAGCCGATTTAATTAGAGTCTTAGAACGTATTGGAGTGAAATGGCGTGAAAGTAAAGGACGATTTGAGTGTGTTCATATGCCTAGTATTGATTTAAATAGAGTGGTTGAAAATTCTCAGCATGAATATGATCTGGTTCACGTTGATAGCGGTGTACACCAATTCTCATCCTCTGAAGAACAAATCTCAATTCCCCCTCCTCCTCCTCCTCCTCCTCCTAGTGTTTCTTTACCTGATTTAGTTGTTCGTTTCGAGATTTATATCGTTAAGGTGCCTTGGTTATTAGGTATGCATGGCTTACAGTTTAGAAGAGTAGGTGGGGACCCTTGGCAATACAAGAATATGTGTAGTAAGATATTAGCCGAACTTAAATTGTAAATAACAAACAATGCGCAACACATAGTAGTACATAACGTTAGTTTTATTCCTCTTTATATGTATATGTATATATAAAGAAACTGTACATGAATTTTATTAAAAAAAATGTATATAAATTAATTTACTCATCATCGTCATTATCTTCTTCTTCTTCCTCATCATCATTCTCTTCTAATTTTCTCTTGTTTCGTCTTTCTTCCATAAACTTATCTACAAGTAATGTATACATTTCATTATGCAATGCCTTTGATTTCACATGATGTTCGTGTAGTCGAACCAGTTCTGCCTGAAGTGCATTTACTTGATTTTGTAAACCAATATTTGAGTCATCCGTCTATTTTATTAAAAAAAAAAAAGAAAAAGAAAAAGAAAAGTTAAATATCAAGCCTTTTCATTTACTATATACGCATATACCTTCATGTCTCGAATTATATCTGATGCTTTTTGTACGGGCTTTAATTCATTAGATAGTGTGGAATAAAGAGGACCAGCTTCAACAAGCTGTTGATGTGCAGCTAAATCCATATTGGTATTTTGAATCATTTGTTGACTTGCATCACGATGTTCTTCTTCAGCTGTAGCCATAGCACGTTTTAGTGGCTTCCATGGTATAGGCTGAGTAGATACATCAGTAGCATACAATTCTAATGGTTTTAAAAAGCAAGATACATGACTCACAGGTCCCTTATGTGATTCAAATTTACGTAAAGGCTGTCGACTCATGACATCCCATACAATACATTGACCATCCTCTGCACCTGAAATCAATAATGTGCCATCAAATGATAAGGCAAGTGAATTAATGTTTCCTGTATGTCCTACAAAAATAGAACCTATTCCAGATCTCTTTTCTTCGCCCGACTTTTGTTTCATTGCACCTGATACTTCTTGAATACCCACTGATTCTACTCTACCCATACCGCCGACACTTTCTACTGTGGATACCTTATATGATTGATCTTCACGTCGTCTGTATAAATCAAATGTATAAATCTTATCCTCACATGCAGCAAATAGCATAATTTCTGCAGGGTCCATGATGACGCTTGACACCGGTTTTGGAAATAAAAACGTTGTTAGCAGTTGTCCAGTTGCTAAATCCCATAATTTGACAGTATGATCTAAACTGGCAGTACAAACACGAGCACTTGATAAAGTACCACCTCCAATAAACATATCTGTCACGGGTAATGTGTGATCGGACCAAGAATAAAGTGGAGAAGGTCGATTAGTCATGTCATGTCCTTCATCATTCATGGGTTGAACCAGATGTGCTACCAACCAAACATTCACAGCTGCATCCTCACTTGCAGTTAACAAGGTAGCATCATCATAACTAAATGCTAATCGTGTAATACGTCTGTAGTGTGCTTCAAAAACACGTACCAGATGACCTGTAGGTATATGCCACAAATATACTTTACCACTTGCTGTAGCTGCCGCTAAATATTGGCCCTGGTTTGATGAAGCAACACAAATCATCTTTTCTGCTGTTGTCATCTTGTGCAATACTTGATCGCGATGCCATTGATACACATTAAGAATGGCACGATCGGTTTGAGCTGTGACGATGGAGCCGATTTGGAAACTGGAGGAAGGCTTAGCAACGAGTGCAAGACCACCCTTTTGTGACATGGATTGCTTGAAAGAAAATAAACTCGAACCAGACCGAATGTCCCATACGTAAATAGTGTTATCCGTATTTGACGCTGATAAAGCGACTTCAGTTGCCATTGTAAGGATGATTCAAGATGACTGAAAAATATATATGTATATACCTTAAAAAAAAATAAAAAAAAAGACACTGCATTGAGTTGTAAATGAATTGGTAGCTGATATTGTCAGCCACTAAAAGAAAAGCAGTCTTTTTAATTGAAACCATAGAAACATTTATTTTATGCGACTATACTCTATTTTTTGATACATGTATACAGATATGTATTTATTTATATATATATGTGTGTGTGTGTGTTGACAAATACACATGCCTGTTTCTTTTTTTTTATATATAGTATATAAGTTACAACTAAAAATGACATTGCCAATCTATATTGCTTTTATTTTTTTTTTATTTTTTTTTATATTTTTTTTTTTTTAAGAATTATAATATACATAATAAACCAACGTGAAACCAATGCTTTGTCTTAGATTAAGAAGCTCATCACGTCGCCGTCGTTATTGTCGTGACCGGCGTGTTATCAGTATAAAAAAGTAGTTTGTGTTAAATTCGCTCAAGTTTTTTTCTTCTTTTTACAAAAAAAAAATTTTTTTTTTAAGAAATGTCATCCTCATAAGAATTATCGCTTGTATTTATATTCTTTTACCAAGATAAACTTTCTTAACAAGGCATTTCTAAATTAAAGTCTTTTTTACTTTGTCCTTTAGATGACCCAAACAATTCAATGGTCATGTAAATATTTGTAAAAAAGTAAAAATACATTTATCTTTATTAAAATAAAAAAGGAAAAAAAAAATAATATTTTGTACTGTTCTAAATATAATGAATATATAAGGTCTTCTGTTATATTATACTTTGTTTAATATTTGCAATGACCAACCCAACGAGGCATGGGTATAACTTCTCTTACATTCTCTAGACCTGTTAGCCATAATAATAAACGCTCAAAACCAATACCATAACCACCATGAGGTGCACTACCGTATTTACGTAAATCTAAATACCACTGATAATCTTCAATATTCATCTTTGCTTCCCTCATCTTCTGCTCTAAAATAGCATAACGTTCTTCACGTAATGATCCACCCACAAGTTCTCCAATACCGGGTAATAACAAATCAAAACATCCTACTGTCTTTCCGTCTTCATTGGCTCTCATGTAGAATGGCTTTAATTCAGCTGGATAATCTGTGATAAATACTGGATGTTTACAGTATTCTGACGCTAAATAGCGCTCATGCTCTGACTGAAGACTGGATCCCCATTCAGTAGGAAATTGAAATTTATGCTTGTTTTGAGCTTTCTGTAACACATCTATGGCTTCACTATAAGTCATTCTCACATAGGGCTTTGCTATACTCTTTTGTAATCTTTCTAAAAGAGATTTATCAACCCATTGATTAAAAAATGAAAGATCCTCACTACAAGTATCTAAAACATAGCGTGTCGTCTCTTGCACATTGGCTTCTGTTACATCTAAAAGAGGTGCTAATTCATCAATAAAAGCCATCTCAGCTTCCAACATCCAAAATTCAGCTAAATGGCGAGAGGTCATGGATTCTTCTGCTCTGAATACAGGCCCAAAGGTGTAGACACGAGACATAGCCAATGCTGTTATTTCAGCATGTAACTGTCCTGAAACAGTTAAATAGACTGGTTTTTTAAAAAATTCGGTTGGATTGGTAGTATCGATGGGAGATATTTTAAAAACTTCTCCTCCTCCTTCACAGTCATGAGAGGTTAAGATAGGTGTATTGGTCAAAATAAATTCTTGACTTTTGAAAAAATCATGGAGCCCTTCATTGGCTGCATTCCTCACACGAAGGACAGCGCTCCCTGTATTGCCGCGCATCCTTAAATGTCCAATAGTTCTTAAAAATTCCAATGAATGTCGTTTCTTCTGTAAGGGATATGTCTAAATAGATAAGTTAGATAAAAATAAAAAAATAAGGGAAGAATTAGACTATTTTGATAGAGAGAATAGCTTACACTATCGCATTCACCTAGTATTTTCATTTTTTCTACGTTTAACTCCTTGCTTTGCTCTTTACCTGGACTTGGTATAAGAGAACCATACAATTCAACGCAGGTGCCCGTTGACAGCCTATAAACTAACAATTAACATGTAAGGGGTTCAAAAAAAAAACATCATTGATTTACTTTTCAGCATCCTTCTCATTTAAAATGGCCTGAATTCCTTTAAGTGTTGAACCATCATTAATAGTTGCAAAGCTTATTTGCTTTTGTTTGCGAACAGAGCGGACCCAACCACGAACAGATACATTAGTACTATTATCCTTTAATATTGTCTTTATAGTTTTGCTTGGTAGAATGGATCGGTTTGTTGTATAATGAGCTTTTTGTATAAATTTTAGAATATTTGAGTGATTCATAATTTTATTAACATATAAATTTATACATTAAAAAAAAACATGTAACATCAGGCTCCCCCCCCTTTTACTACTTGTTCTGAGTTATACTTTTTTTTTTGACATGGACTAAATTTTTTAAATAAAATTAAGGGTCTCCAGGTAAAGTAACCTTCCATAAAAGGATTATGTAATTTATTACTTCAGGCTTATTCCTTGAACATTTCTCAAATATATCAATATAGTGTTAAATGAAGCCTCCAAACTGCCTTGTTTAATAAAATACTGTCACAAGTATCACTTATTCTTGTTGGTCTTAGTTCCTCTTTTTTTTTCGCTAGGATAGCTACAACTTACTTTGCCGTTAATATTAGGCGTCCAAAGCTGTCCTATTGGATTGAACTTGGAAGAGGATAGAGAAAGATAAGCATACCTGTAATCTCGTATTACGACCATTCTCTCGGTTTTATTAAAAGTACAGTCTGCCTTAAAAAGAAAAAACATAAGAACAGTTAGATGTTTCTTTACATCACCCATGAAGACCTGAATGAATAGCATATTTTATATTTTTATAATTTAGTTTTCAGTTATCAGCAATAAATAAGCAGGATGCTTGTCTCTACGTATGCACTGTATATAGATATAAGCTGAGTCTAAGCGATACAAAATGATATCCTTTAATTGTTTTCTTTTTTTTTTAAGAATAATTCGAGAATGCAGAGTGAAAATAATATGTGATTCTCTCTTACGTCTTCTAGCATCAAGTTTTCTTGTAGGAGCAACCAATATTACATTGTTGGCATTCTCTACATTGTAAAATGATCTAGAAAAGCATAACCAGCTCTGGTAGTTGTGATAGTAGCACGACTCTAATATAAGATAAATTGCTTTCAATAAAAATTACATTACCAATCCAAAACTAAACTTATCAATCTTACACTCTTATTAAAAAAAAAAAGTAAAGGTAAATGGAATTTGTAAAAGGTGGAGCAACTATATTGAAAACAGCAACCCCTAAAGGTGCCATTATTGGTCATCCCTTAAAACTTCATTTCAAAGTCTCTGAACTTTTATGGATAAGTTACTAGCAGAACTTAATAACCTTTTATCAACTTGTTATGAACAATAATATGTCTTATTCATACTTCTTATAAAACCGAGAGAATGGTCGTAATATGAGGTTACAGGTATGTTTATCTTTCTCTATCCTCTTCCAAGTTCAATCCAATAGGACAGTTTTGGACGCCTAATATTAACGGCAAAGTAAGTTGTAGCTATCCTAGCGAAAAAAAAAAGGAGGAACTAAGACCAACAAGAATAAGTGATACTTGTGACAGTATTTCATTAAACAAGGCAGTTTGGAGGCTTCATTTAACACTATATTGATATATTTGAGAAATGTTCAAGGAATGGGCTTTTACTAGACAAAGATATGTTCGTAAAATAAAAAATACGAAATGCAAAATTGCCATTTGCAATTGATTGTTGGCCAAACCTGCCAAATGGATTTTATATAACTGCTAATTAAATTTATAGCAATAGTCATTTATTTTTTGAAAACTTGCCATTTGAGAACAGCTTAATTCTTTTATAATGTGACTCTATTTTTTTTTTTTTTATTTGTTCTATTTTATTTTATTCTGCTGATTTTGAGTCTTCTCAGCTTGACAAGTCTGGGGGTGAATATAAATAAGCGCTATGTTCAAGAAAAATAGAAAACATTGGTGTTAGGGTACCATAGCAAATTTTTATTTCCTTTTTTTTTTTTTTTTTTTTTCTTTGCTTTTTCATTCCATACATTAACCAATGGCTACATCAGATTCTGCATCAGTTGCACCTAGAGTGTTTTCTCCTCTTTCAGGAACTTTTGGTCTTAATAAAAACCAAAAACCTTCGGGATCGCCTTGGAATCCTCTTCAATGGCCTGCTTGGTTTTCATATCAAAAAGCTTCTCTTAATTTACCTAGCCCTGGAAAATTTGAAAGACTTCACGCTGAAGTCACTAAAGGTAAACCGCTAATTATAAAAAAAAATATAAATAACTAAATTTTATAAAAAAAATAGAAACATTCACTACCAATTATCTTTTTGATGGTGCACAGGCCAACATTGTCAAAGAGCTTTCCGCTAATTTCCACGTTCAACATCAATTCTCTTTAGGTTCACAAGTTATGCCTCCCATGTATAACTTTATGTCTGGCTATATGACAGAAAAAGTAAAATAATATACGTACACATATAAAAGAGAAACCTTTTTAACATAATTTTTTTTCTCTCTATTAGACTATGTTACAGGGTACCATGGATAACGATACAAACCTTAACGGTGTTATTAGACACGCTTGGTCCCCTAATTCTATTACAAAAGTCATTGCACAGGTATAAAGGGAAAAGAAAAATAGGAAAAACAACAATTTTAAAAGAAAAATCTATGTTTTTGTAGCTTACTAATATGCCTGGGCATTCTATGCTTCAATTTGAGCAAGAACTTAATGGAACAGATTATTCTATTAACCTCAAGACGATGAATCCTAATCCTTTGGAGATGACAGGTCTTTATATGGCTTCTTACCTTCAATCAGTTACTCAAAATTTGGTTCTTGGGTCTGAAGTTGTTTTGCAACGCCCTACACCTGATATGGAAGAAACTGCTATGTCATTTGTTGGTAAATATAGTGGCAAGGATTATATTGCTACTGCACAATTCCAAGGCTTGGGCGCAATACAAGCTAGTTATTATCAACGTATTAACGAAAAGGTTGATTTTGGTGTTGAATTGAATTTAATGGTTCAGGGTGGTCGTAGAGAGGCAGTAGCTACTGTGGGCGGTAAATTTGATTTTAGACAAGCTACTTTTAGAGGCCAAATTGATACTACAGGTAAAGTGTCTGCTGTTTTAGAGGAAAAGATGGCACCTGGGTTCTCTTTCCTTATTAGTGGTGATTTGGATCATATGAAGGTAAATGAAAGAATGTAATTATATGTATATGTATGTATACAAATATATTGATTATATTGTGTTATAGGGTCAGAGCAAGTTTGGTATTGGTATTATGTTATCTGCTTAGAGTTTATAATCATCTCCTTTGTATTGTGTGTGTGTGTACATTCGTATATATTATTATTTTGTTGACCTTTTTTTTTATATTTCTGTAAAGATTTATATGTATATAGCATACATACAAAAAATAAAAATAGTATTCCTATAAAAAATAAACGCAAACATAGACAGGGTTTTATAATATTTCATATGTGTATGTATACAATGTGTATCTGTATAGGATAGAATTTCTTATTGAATTTAAATGAAGATGTAAAATAACAATTATTGAATACTGTTATTATGGGAGATAGTATTGAAACTCGCTTTTTTTTTTTTTTGCGTGTTTACTTTATTTCTTGATTAAGTTTAAGCTTAATCTCTTCATATCCTGTCTATTCATAAATTTTTAATAGCATATATGTTTATGCATATTAGCATAAAAATCGGATCATCTATTCCCATTTAATTTATTATATACGAACGATATACGTTTATACAGCTTCATTATCAAATTGCTTAATAGTATGCTTTTTTGCCTCTCGAATTAAGAATACAATCAAGACAAAATAAAATAAGATAAATGAAGCATTAGCTATTAAAACTGCATTATATTTATCAAATGTGTCCTCTATTGTTGTTGTTGTTGTTGTTGTAATATTGCTCTCCATTGATAAATTAATGTAGGTTGTTGGACGTGTAAATTCATCAGGGAGTCTAGGAGTCCAATTTGGTGTATAAGGTGGCCCGTTTTCAATATAATTCCATTTTCCAGGTACTGAGCAAGTTTGATCTACAAGAAACACATCCTCTTGTTTATATTCATTATTTATGTCATTTGTTTTATAATTCCACCATGGTAATACTCCTCTACAGATAGAACAATAACTAGTTCGCTCGTTATGAAATGCTGTATCACTCCAATTACTGATGAATGTTGGTTCTAGTCTATCCTTTGCTGCTATATCTAATGCATGCTGTCTATAAGAAAAATATTCAAGATAAGCAGTATCATTACTATCTAAATAATGAATATAATCTGCTAAATCTTTTGGATCAGGATATGCGTCCATATAAATGACTGATCTCTTTGAAGGTAAAAAACCATCATAGTTAGCTGGCCCATCTACTATTGGCACGGCAGACATTAAAAACGTATCAAATAACTTTTCAGTTGCTATTATAGATGTAAATAGATAAATATATATAAATTTATATACAGATATACAATTCTAAATGTTATATAGTTCTCCTCATTACCATAGCTTTCACAATTTGAATTCTCGGCTGCTAAATAAAACTTGTATTCGCTCATTAGTTCTAAACGAGATTTATTTTCAGGGAATGGCTTATTATTTAAGCACTGTCCATAACTATGTACATCAATATATTCCATTAATTTTCTAATATATTTTTCTCTCCCACTTGTTGCCCTACAATTCTTTGCAATCCACAAAATAGGTGCAGATTTCGTTTTCTTTCTCATAAAATCTTTTGGTAAAGGCCTATTGGCAATATCCATAATAGCTGGTGAATAGTAAGAAAATAGAAAAGTTGATTTAAAATGATAAGAAGCCAAGTAGTTAAAATTGCTTTTCATGATGTTCTCATCAGCTCGAAAGGGACTAGAATAAGGTGTTTCTAATGATTCCAATATCCATGGTTGATGCTTACTATCTATTGTCATATACATATATAATATTAGTTGATATTCTCTTATACATATATATATAACAGAATTTACGAGCTGGTAGTCTATTTACTGATGTATCTGGTGCATGAAATATTAAAGCAGCAGCATCTTCAATATTATCTTTTGAGCTTGTTAAAGTACACCAGGTAGTATCATCATCAAATTGATAACCTTCTGGAATTGGGCATTGTGTACTGCTTAGTGTTACATCCTGATCTAACCAATATTTTGTAGATACATATTAAAAAAAAAAATAGGCTAATGATTCTAGTATGTATAAAAGTTACCAAACTTTTGTAAACCAAACCATCTAGTAGCATATACAATTTTAAGTGGTGGCAATTTCACTACAGATACAGAGGTCATCTTTATTTGTTTTTATTAAAAATAAAAATAAAAAATAAAAATAAAAACAAAGAAAAACACAAAGAAAAAAAAAATAAAAAAAAAAAAAAATATAAATTTTAATTTTTATTTATTTTTATACACACCTAAATCAGATGCATATTTTGAAACAATATCATAATATAATCGTAGAAATATTATTTCAATATCTGATCCATTAAAAAGTAGCTATTAAGCCGCCATCATGACTTTACCTTCATGTTTAAAAATTATATTTTTTAAAAATGCTGTAGACATTCAGTTATATTAAAAAAAAAAAACGCGTAAATAGTCAGTTCTATAATACAAGCTGCTTAGTTAGCTCTTGCTTTATTAGGTCTTCAATGCTTGGCTAAAAGAGACTTTGCTATATATTTTTTGTATATCATAATAAAGGAATGTTTTATACTCTTTTAAATTAAGATAATACATATATATATTCAAGTAAATGGTTTTTTCAGGTAAATTTCCGCGTCATTTTTTGTTTTTTTGCGCATAATTTTTTTCTAACTTTACATACTATTTTTTTTTTGTTAGTTCACCCAGAGATACGATTAAACATTTTTAATTTTATTATTTTTATAAATTAAAATTTATAAAGCGAACCTATGTGCACATCAATATCTTTGTTATATTGGATTCCCCACGTCAGTTCAGATTATGCGAAAATAAAAGGCATCTAAAAACCCTCTTACGGGACAAGAGGTAAAAAGGTAAAGGAAAGGAAGAAGAGAAGATGAGAAAGAAAGGGGAAATATTGCTAATAAGTTTAAAGGTACAACCAGTTGAATAATTTCCTGCTTGGGTCAATAAGTGAACGGGGTTACCCAGAGATACGATTAAGAATTATTTTTTTTATAACAAAAATTTTTTTTATAACAAAAATTTAAACAACCCATGTGAGCACATAATACTGGCGTATTGGATTGCCCGGGTCAGTTCAAGAAAGGATAAAGTGTACTAAAAAACCTTTTGATAGGCAAAAGGGTAAAAAAGAAAGAGAAGGGAAGAGGAAAAGCAAGATATATCAATAAATACTAGATTCAGGGTTACGTAGCCAGTTTACAAGTTTTGTACCAAGGGGGGCAGTTTCTGGAGGAAGTTTACCATGATGGAGATAGTCAAGTTCAAAAAGTAGAAGGGATATAGCAGGCCAACGAATCTTCCAGGCGGGAAAGTCAGATGAGTTGGAAGCTGATGCGATTGGTGGCATGCGTTTTTGTTTAATTGGCAGCTTATTTAAGAGGAAGGACAAAGGGTCGGGTTCGGTCAACGGCATTTGCAATCTTCGATGCATATGTAGACACCATATAGCATGGGATCTTGTGAACAATTCATTAGGATGATATATGCATGGTTTAGGGGCACCACCAGGTAACCAACCTAGACGCCAGCGGACTATTCGACTGCGTTCTGCATTTGACATAGGTAACCAGAGGATAGGATCGATACCTAGGGTAGGACGGCAGGCAGACAAGAGAACGGCATTCTTACTGTTTCGTCGATCACTAAGATTATCTTTCAGGTATGCTTTACAGATACCAGCAAAAGCACGAGGATCATAAATATTATCGTCAAAAGAAGCAGTATACCGTTGCCAGACAGGTGTTTTCGAAAGCTTATACCATTGAGAATGGCTTGAAGAGGGGCGTATATGTGGTAAAAACTTGGAAACAAGAGTATCGTTCGGAGAGTAGATAGACCGAAGTAAGAATTTAGCTTGCAGGAGGTGAACACGTTCTTTCATTGTGGGCAGGTTGACCAAGTGCAACATAACTTTAGTTGAGGACCGAGTACTACCGCCAAAAATTTTTCGGATACATTGTGTTTGACATGCTTCTAATTTTGTGATTTGAGTAACAGAGACCGAGTTAATAGCGAGGCCATATTCAAACTGAGCACGTACTATTTGAGTGTAAAAACGGACAGAGAGAAGCCGATCAAAACCTTTGTGATTGACACCGAGGGACGTCATTTGATTCATAGTTTGAAGCGCCTTATTAATATTGTTCTGCACTAATTCAGCTGTGTTCAAGAGACCACCAGGGCTAATAGAGATACCCAAGTAGGAAAAGGATGTCTGACGAGGTAGTGTAGTGCCATACAGAGAATAAGAACGACTATCAGAACTAGGAGCCAGTATAGCACATTTCAGTGGATTCCAGCGATAACCTAAGCGTTGACTATGCTCCTCACATTTCTGCAGCAGGTCCTCAAGGTCAGTAGGGTCAGCTATGAGTACAACATCATCAGCATACAGGAGACAATTGATGGATCGAGCAAAACAGCAGACATCTGTTGGAGGCACGTCATCAAGCGGTTGACGACGAAGTAGAGAGGGCAACTGGTTAATGTAAATGGAATACAAAAACGGTGATAGAATGGAACCTTGTAGGACGCCAGTGGTAGGTGAAAACCGATAAGAGGTAGCGTTCGAAACTAGAACTTCTATATAGACATCGTCAAAGAGATGTTGAATTAGACCAAGCAGTGCTGGAGATATGTACGGTCGAAGGGATTGCCAAATAAAATTCCGGTCAACAGTATCATATGCGGATTTAATGTCAAGGAAAGCGAGAGTAGGAGTGACTTTAAGCTTTCGACGGAAAATTGAACATGTTTCTACGAGGCAGAGGGCTTGATCAAGTGTACTCCGGGAGCTACGGAAACCTCCTTGGGCAATGTCAAGTTTTGGACTCTGGCATTCGAGGTCAGTGTATAGGCATTTTTCAAGTATTTTACGAAAAGTGGACGTCAAACTGATGGGACGAAAGTTGCTTGGGTCAGAGATAGAGCCTTTTTTGTGTATCGGGATTACTTGGGCCACACGCCAGGAGAGAGGTGTGTACGACCATTGCCAGCATAATCGAAAGATGTATAGGAGTACAGGAGTCAAGGTTTCAGTCAATGGTTGTAGCATCTCAACAGTGAAATGATCCACACCAGGTGCTTTACCACGGGGAAGTTCTTTAATTGCTGTGTTAATGCAATCAATATCAATAGGACATGTATGAATGTCATTGAAAGGTTGATTCTGAGTCGTAGTTGTGGAGTTACGAGACGGTAACAAGTTGCCTGCAAAAATTTGCTCCAGATGATGTGCCATGACGTCGGCGGAATTTTGTGGTCCTTCAGGCATTGAAAAGGTTGATTTGATCTTCCGGTTTTTACGAATCTTGCTAAATTTCGCAATTGCTTTTGTATAATCACCCTTTGCCATTCTCTCACAAAAGCGGTTCCATGTTTCACGTCGTCGTTTAGTCACTAATCGTCGTAATAATGCCTGTGCTTCTTGGTGTTGGATCCACAACGATAGACTATTCAGTCCACGTGCTTTCCGCCATTTCTTATAGAGATATTCCTTTCTGTTAAAAGCTGCTGTCATTTCAGGTGTCCAGAAATCCTTCATGTAGTCGTCTTCCTGAGGAGAGCGCCGGCCACAAACTGAATCGAGAGCCAAGATGATAGCGTCACACAATTGGTTATGTATGGAATCTATGTAATGACAGGCTGTAGTTCTATCAGTAAAAGAAAGAGATGAATGTGGAGGAAGAATTAGGGGAAAATTTTCAAGGAACACTTTCTTATACTTGTCTCTGGTCTTTAGGTGTTTGAGTTTTCCAAGATTCCAAGTGGTTCTTTTTGGTAGTGGAGTATTGACGAGAGGATCTGAAACAATAAATGAGAAAGTCATGAATTTGTGATTGGAGTTGAGAGATAGATCATCGCGAATTTGAAGATTAGGTGATCCTAGTTCATGGTTACTAAAAAAGAAATCAATGATACTTGTACCTTGAAATGTATAAGACGTAGGTTCTCCATAAGTAAGACGTTCGTTCCATAGTATAAGATTATGCGCAATCATCCAGTTAAGAACTTGCCGGCCTGTAGCATTTGTTCGGCTGTCACCGGTAACATCACCCATTCGAGCATTAAAATCCCCACAAATGATAGTAGTGGTAGTGTTTGAAACATGTAACGGTAATAAATCTAGTATTTGTGTTATATCGTCAGTTTTTAATGATGGGGGTAAATAAAGACAGTGAACCAGTATCTTAGATGAGATAATAGTTGATAAGGAATACTTAGCTAATAAAGGATGTTCATGAGTGACTTGGTAGATAGGTAGTTTGCATTGTGGGTTAACCAAGAGAGCAAGGCCAAGAGTTCCCCGATGAACATTATAGGAGTTTGTTGGGTTGCCATATGTATGGTATTGAGACCAGTTAGTAGGATAGCGGTTTGGTGATAAGAGCCACGTTTCGGTAACGAAAAGCAGATCAGAGGTTTGAGATAGTTCGAGTATAGGAGATATTGCTTGTTTTGGAAGGCCTGTAGCATTAAATAAAGAAATTCGTAAAGAACTCATTTATTTAATGTCGAGGAGGAGTATCAGCTCTAGAGGCAGCAAAAGTAGTATTACCGAATTGTTCTCCTTGAGTGCCGTCCATGGGAACGTCTTCTTTTTCGGTGTCATCAGTAATCATACCGTCCGATGTTGGTGTTGATTGTTGTTGAGGAGAATCAAAGATATTGTTTAGTTGTGTATTACGATCGGTCTTGAGTGAGTCAAATTTTCGTTTAGAAATCCATTGTTTGTCAAGGAAAAAACGGGCAACAGCGAATTTAACTGGTGTACGAATATGGTCAAGTGCACGTTCCAGACGGGTTTGTTGGAGATCTGACGCTATGACGTCTCTTTCATTAGTTGTAAGAGTGGAGTACTTGGGATCTGCAAGGATCTTACCACTGGAGGGGTTAAAATCTGCTTTGATTGTAATGTTATGGTGGCGTAGAAGGTCTGTAAATTCGGTTTCGTAATCATTATGGATAAGAATGGCAACTGTATTACGAGCGGGATAATGAATGTCGAGTAATCGAGCATTATTAACACCAAGTTTTCGAAAGGTAGTGCGTAAGATGCCAACAGGAATTCGGGCTTTTGTTGGGATGTAGAGGAACTTGAAACCTTGGTTCAATGATGGTGGTTGAAAGAAGCGGGCGGCTGCAGCTTCTCGTTGGAGACGGCATTGTTCACGATGTTGAAGTGAAGGTTGTTTAAGTGCTTGTACTTTCTCTTTGTTGTTCCAAGGAGCATCTGGGAATTTAGTAAGCTGGGTTTGGGATTCCTGGAGGGTGGGAAACTCCGATGTTGTTGTAACGGCAGGCATGTTGTTAAGTCGGGCATGTAAGTTTTGGATTTCACTACGTGCTTGAGAGAGTTCTGCAGTCAACTGCTCGACAGTTTGGCATAACTGCTTAATAAGTTCAGATTGGCTGTTGCTGGCAGTAGTAGATTCCAATTCGGGTGGCATAGTCTCCACGTTGGAGGTCGTTATAGACAACGGTTGTTGATTTTGTGCAGCAGAACGGACTATAGGGTACATTTCAAAAGCTTTTACAGCTTTGTGACAGGAGGTGCATGAAAATTGAGGCTGGAAGGGTTCTTTATTTGAAGACCCATGTCTATGGAAAGTAGTGGTTTTGAAACATGCAGGACATGTTAATTGTTTTCGAAATGTCGAAAAGTTAATGTCGAGTTCAGACAGCTGTTCCTCAGTGAGGGCAGGGTCTGCATTTTTATTGTAGGCTCCTCGAAGGGGTCTCATTACACTCGTTAAAGGTTTTATTGTCGAACTGTAGTTTTAGTTGAATAATAGAAGTCTTAGTAACGCTTGCCAAATATGGTAAAAATTTATCACAAGTGTTGGAAAGCGGAAAAAGTCCTTTACCCAGAGATACAATAATTTGTGTTAAAAATTCAAGAATTTTTTTTAGCCAATCAAACCGTTTTAATGCAATCAATTTTTTTACCCTGCCAATCAAAACTTTCTCAATACATTCAAGTTTTTTAGTTCCATCTGAAGAAGTGTGCACAGTATATAGATTTACCTTTTTTTCTTATGTGAATCAGCCCAACCTACTTTCTTCTTTTTTTAAAAAAAAACAAAAGATAAATAACTTCCTCTACTTTTTATCCCAAAAATAAGTTTTCCTGGATATACTGGTAAATTATTTTTTCTTTTGTAGAAAAAAAAAACCCTAATACCATATTAAATCAGAACTAGAATCATATGTTGCAAATGCAAGATTGCCAAACTTTGATACATTTGTTGATACAAATCTTGAAAATCTTATAAGCTGGTCAACTAATTTATCGACCGAAGAGCCTAGTGAAATTTATTCAATTTGGAGGAGTCGGTTTGCACTGCAAATGAGGTCTTGTAACAAAGCACATTAACTTGCAAAAGGTATTGAAACATTTTTTTCTTACCCAATATGCCTATCCAACAGAAACAGTTTTGAAAAAAAAAAAAAAAAAAAAAAAAAAAAAAAAAAAAGAAAAAAAAAAAAGAAAAAAAAACTCACTATCTCCTGTAGCAAAACTTAATATATAGCAAAAATTTGGGAATTATTGGCCAAAGGATGCAAGAGTGCGGTATGTCAATGATAATTTTAATAAAAGCCTACAATACGAGTAATGCTAACCCATTATATCAGAAACTTACACGTCTTCAATACACTGTTGATGGAATTGCAATGATTGAAAATGTTTCTAGTGCCTCGAACAGAATTGTTGCTAATTCTATTCTTCAAGATCTACCACCACAGCCACCACATCCACCACAACAAAACGAATTGCAAGATAGTTCTTGCTTAGATGATGAGTTGTTTTTACATACAATTGCACATCAACGAATAGCTGGTGTTGCAATTTCTGAACAACAGAGAACACGTCTGTCTGGATTTAAAAATGATGGCAACCAAAAAGCACAGCTTCAGTATATGGCAGCAAAACTTCTACTCAAAGACACACCACTTAATACTGAAGAAGAGTATTTACTGGAGTTTTCGATCTCTTGCATAGTAAACTATATTCACCCTTCTCTTACAAAATTTTATGAAAGCACATTTTTGTATTCTGATAGTACTGCCTACGAACTTCAAGGTGGCTTAACTATTGAAGAAGAAACTCTATTTAATGAAATTGTTGCCAAAACAGATATTGATGAAGCTATTTCATGTATCCAAAAAATGAAGTACAGGTTGACCAAGAAAAAAAAAGAAGTTGTAGAAAGTATATCATGTTGTCTCTGATGGAAAAAGTGTTGGAGGATATGGAACTGTGGGATAACGAAGAAAAAGAACAAGAAATCACTTTCTATCGAAGAACAGCAAGTTTGTTGGACGTATTGTTTAAGAATACTGATGTAATGCTAACAGAGTATGTATACATTATAAAAGAAACTAATATTGCCATTCAATTGATTTCTCTAAAATTTTCTCAGTGGAGAGACAGCCAGCTACTCATCAAAAACTGCTTTGGAAATGAACAAATGTATCTTCGGTAATGCTGATAGCCCCATCACTACCACCTACCCACGCAAAATTGACCTTCTTCTTAAGTATGACCGTGATGAAAGGGTTGAACTATCTTCTAATGAATGGAAAAGAGCTTGTATTTCTCCTAGCATTGCTCTTTCTCAACAAATAAATAACTTGAAGGTTAATGCTACCATAATCAACAAAAATCAGTCTGTATATTCTTCTACTTTTAACCAGTCTCTCGCGATTGATTTTGTTGGGCTTACGGGCTACGGCTATATACTTGAAAAGCTGAATGATGTGTTTTTTGCAAAAACGATTTGTTTGCTTATTTTACCAAAAGACTTTGACACTTTCTCGGCGTTCAAGAATACTCTCAATTTCTTCTTTACATTGAAGGTAATAACATTCAGCAGTTTTATTGTGTAAATGTTTCATAAAACTGACTACACTTTGTTCAATTTTTAGGAATTTTATTGTCAAAAAACTATTGAGCTAAAAGAGATTGTTAGTACAAGACGAGCCTTGTCTCGAATAAGTTCAATCGTCAATGTTTCATGTGAAGAAGACGCCAGCGCCAAGACCAACCTTATTTTTTTTAAGCAAAGCAGAAAAAGAAAAAGGCCTGATTCAAAAGACGAAGATGAAGAAGCAGCATAAATATGAAAACCTATATCAAATATAACTTAACAATATATCATATAAAGTATAGTCACCAATTAGCAATAAAAAAGCAATGTATTTCAAGAAGCCATTAGTTATGAGATGTTATTAAGTGAATTTTGAAAAATGTTTATGAGTTTAGAGTCAATAAGTATGACTTAAAAGGGTTCTTTATATATACCTGTGGTTTTTTGAGTAAATTCAGATAAAACATAAGAACATTGAAATACAATTTATAATGTTCATTACAGCTGAAAGTAAAGATACAGATTAGTTATACCAGAGCATAGTATACATATACAGTGTTATCCCAAGTAAATAACGACTTCTGAAATACAGTGTTTCGCGTTTGAAAATACAAATAAAGCTGAATAAAAGAATTTTATGCTAAATAAAATTAGTGTGTGAGCCAATACTAAATAAATAAAACCAGTGAAAAAGATGTATTTAATAGATATCTACAATTCCCACAAGCACTATCAACGAAACTGTTCAAAATCATATCATGGTTTTTGGGTAGAAAAATGTCTTAAGCATTCACGACTCGGTGTCGTAACAGCAAATTAAAATGTTTAATAAGAGAACTATATGTCATGGAAGACATTTACCATGATAAACCGAAATAGCAGAATTAGAAAACCATGTCTAATATGTATTTAATCGTAGATGATCTTGTTAAGTCAATTTGCAGCTCCCTGCCAAGATACCAGGATTCTTTGAGGAACCTTATGCGACATGGGTATGAAATCGTGGGATACGCTCGCAAATCTCCTACCGACGATAATATTGATAATAGAATCAGGCTTATTCAATTAATGACAACAAATTTATGTAAATGATCCTTTGCAACAAAAGTATATATGTTATCTTGTAGTTGAACATTCTCACCCTTTGTTAACCGCGATTTAAAAAATGACAATTATGTGTAGTTTTATGTAATATATGTCAAACTACCACAGAACATGTTGTCATAAGTTATTGCTTAATATTACTACATATGAGTTGATAGATATGTGGTAGAATAGTACATGTACATGTAGGATGTAAGAGACCACAAACATGTAATAGCACACGTTTAATATGTATTCCTTGACTTGAGATAAAAGGATTTTAGATGTTGTTATCAGAAACATTAACTGTTCTCACATATATATATCTTAACTTCAAATATTCAATCATCATTCTAGGTTTTAATATAAATAGTTATGATTGGTTTGCAGTAGATAATTCTTGGTCTTTCTGTGGTGAAATCAACACATAATTAGACTGACCTGCCAGTAATTATTAGGCACGGCAACACAAATTCAATATATGATTATAAAAAGAGTCAATACAAAGATTTAGAATATTGTTGTGTAATTGATTGTATAAAATGGATAATATGAATACACAGCTGGATGTGCACTCCTTCCCAGAAATCACCGAACACTTGGTTTTTTTTTTTTTTTTTTTTTTTTTTGATGATATTTTCAAATGAAACGTTCTTTAAATAAGCTCATACTAACAAGAGTACTTAATTTACACTTTCTTAACAATTTGGTTTTTCTTTTTTGTTTTATTTAATATCGTGTATGGCCGTCTTTATCCTCAATTACAACACGACACCTGTCTGGCATACTGGAAACTAAATCTTTTAAAATTGTTGATGGTATCTCTGACCATACCTTACGGATGGCAGACTCAAGCTGATCAATATTTCCTATCTCAGGACGTTTAATACGAAGCTCGTACGTAATATAAGCCCATATATGCTCGATTGGATTGATATCTGGGCTCTGAGCTGGCCAGAAATCAAAACTTTTAAGTTGCACCTTTGTCTTTTGTATCAGGTAGTGTAACCACCAGTATGGTATGGAGCATTGACTTTTTGGAAGAAAAACTCTTTCTGAGCGTCCCCAGAGAGTTTTTGATATCATGAAAGAAATTGCCCAGTCAAACAGTCCACATTTGCATCCTGGTTTATCTTGCCTGCTAGAGTAACAAGAGGGCCGAGTCCACCAGTCCAAAAACATCCCCAAAGTATAATGGAACCCTTTCCAAACTTATAAGTTTCCAGAATGTGTTGTTTAAGGTACCTTTTGCCTTCTTTTCTGACCATCCTGAATCCTCCATCGTTTCCTACAACAGTGCACCTTAATTTATCAAACCAAACAATGGATCTCCACTGATCCAAAGTCCAGTCGACCTTTTCTTGACATCACCTGAGCCTATTTTGCCTGTTTCTGTCGGTCAAGGGTGGCTTTTTTGCTGACGAATACAAAACAAACCCAAGTTCCTTCATTCTTCGTTCAAATGTTGACCTTGACATTTCCATGCCACCAGCGGTGAAATGCTGATGTTGGTCCGAAATTGGCATAAAAAATGCAGAGCGAAATGCACGAACAAAGGCGGTTTTGGTTCTTTCAATGAATACCTTTGGTCTTCCTGTCCGTTTTGATGATATTTTCAAACCTATTTAAGTATAAAAATGGATGACATCAAGTACAGTCGTAACTGGAATGTCCAATGCTTCCGAAATTTCGTGATAACTGGCATTGCATCTAAACATTACAACAACTTGACCTCTATCAAAACCAGAAAGTTGTTTTCTTTTAGGTGTGGTATTAGTAGCGTCTTCAATTACCTTTTTCTTTTAAAAAAAAATAGCTTTATGTGATGTATCTTTAATAAGAGTAAAGTATGCGTTAGTATTTTTCAAAAATTAAAAAAAAAAAAAAATTCCCGTGTTCGAGAAGAAGTGTATAATAGTGAATAATGAGTAATTGTCGTCTACTTTAAGTGTTGCTAACGCCACTCCGCTGTACAAATGTAATATAATAATTAGAAAACCTTGTAATTGTGATATACAAAGGAACTCTTTTTAACTTTCTTTAACTGCTTAAAAAGAACTGAATAAATCGCCCCAACAGACTTTTAACAGATTTGACGGTTCTTACATATTTATTGTTTATTTTTTTTTTTCAGTGAAAACTCTAGTTATTGAACCCGAGTTTCTCCACAATTATAGACAGCTAATAGTTACTAAGTTTTTAGGGATAGATATTCTTAATTGATATAATATAGTAACAGCGTTACTGGATCACCACAGAAGTGAATTTTGACTTTTATAAGTTGGGCCTTTATGATATGGTAATGACGGACGATGAAAACTAGACATATAGTTGAAATGCATACCATGTATAGTTTTCTGAATGAACAAACCATAACCGTATTATTTTCCACAATTCTACACTTTTCCAAATACCTCCGTGTATTGCAAAATGTCTAAAGCGCCCTCAGGCAATTCATTTTTAATAACTCTTTTTACATTATCATGCTACCTAATTTATAAATACAAAGAATTAGTAGCTATAGCAACTGATTATTGTTTTGAGTGCAAAAGATAAGGAAAGAGAAAACAGAAAAGACAAGTGTGTGAAAAGTCTGTATAGTTTAGTAGAAGGAAAATAATATGGAAAATGACAATGGCTATTTATATGTATTTTTTTACAAGGTAAGTGATAGTAATAGAAGTATGACTTGGATAAATGAATACTGGTATAATAAACATTATACATAAACATTGTCTCTGAATAATTCTGCTTACAATAAGATATATTTCTCCCTGAATTGTCGCTGTTACTAGAAATAGATATATCAAATTATTATTTCTGAAGCAAGTAACGCGTTAATATTAATTCACAGTGAATATTCCAGCTATAACCAATACCAATTATTGATATGCTACTATTATGATCATTCTCTAAGATGTAATTAAATAACAGTGTTCAATATTATAGTTGTATATATAATACATATAACTTATAAATAATTATGTAATTGAATATAAAGATCATAATCCTATTGAATCCTTATTATTGCATGTAATTATTATTAACGCGTGAATACTATTATTAAAAATGACTGTAGAATAAATATTATACTATGAAGTATGATATACTAGTTTTATTTGAATAACCTCTTTAATGTGTAATAAATGATGATTGATTTCTATTAACTTAGTTGTAAATACGACTACAGTCATAACAAATATTACCAGAAAATGTAGAATAGAATTAATAATATAAGGATAAGCAACAAATATGATAATCTACAGAGTGTTGTAGAAGAATAAATAAAATATAAATATAAATCACAAAGTGAAATAATAATAGAATACATTACAAACCTAATACCATATAAAAGAAAAAAAATGTATTCAAGTCACTATCTCACTTGGAAGATCCCGCTGTGCACCAATGATGTCCAGTAGATTTCCTTGTTCAATTCACAAAGCCAATGTCATATATGTATATAAAAAAAAAAAGGAAGATAGAGGAAAAATACTCATACTTCTTCAGATGGGATTTTTAAATGTACTAAAAAGCTCTTGATTGGCTGATTAAAATTTTGAATATATCAAGAAAGTTTTGATTGGCAGGGTAAAAATTGATTGCAATGAAAATGTTTGATTGGTCCATTACCACTCCTCCGAACCTCTTTAGTTTCTTGCAATAAAATTGTCTTACTAAATTTCCTTTCTGGAGAAGATGTGCGTCCTGTTTAGAAGATATGTATTATTCTGTGGTTAAGTCATATCATTACCAGTTCTTGGAAGGCAGCCACAATAATCTTCTTACTGTTCCTAAACCCATTTGTTGAATATGTGTTATCTCAATATGAGTATAAATCCTATCCGTTGGCTACCTATATGATCTGTTGAACGAAGTCAAGTCCTCTGTTGACTTCTTGAGTGACTACTAGGCAGTAAGCCTCAAAAATGCTTCTATCATCCTAATGAATTGTGTGTTGGATCTCACTCAATTTGTTGTCTATACATGCATCGTCATTTATATCTTCCTATCTTAGTTGCTGATCTAATATCCTTTCTATTGAACCAAATGCATGTTAAGCTTCCTCGTCAACTGTATCATAGTTTTGTCTGGACTATCTAGCTGGCTTAAAATATCCATCGTTTCCTACAAATTAAATTATATATTTCATGATAAACTCTTCTTCTCTATCGAAAATCCTGATTCTAAGCTGCTACGACGGTTATTTTAATCGTATAACGGAAAATACAAATTAAACATCAATTTAATCTGATTTCAGTACTATAATTTACTTTACAGTCTAACCTATATATTCATATATACTGTCTTATGAGCTTGATTATAATCTTTCTCATAACATGTTGATATTATTTCTCAATTGAAGAAATTTTTTATATTATATATTTAGCATATACTTATACGAAATAGCTTTTTTTTTATACACGTTTCTGTTCGCTTCTTCCCTTATATACATATTTAATTTCCTACAACATACAGAATCCTTGGTTTAATTTAGGAGAATTTAATGTAATAAACACCTTGTATCTATATTAATTTAAATTGTTCAACACTACAGTGTAATTTCAAGAGATTATCATCCTAGTTTGTTATTCCATTTTCTACTTTATTTATAGATCAAAAAAAAAAAATACAATTTCGTATTTTGGGTGCAATTGACATTTAACCGTATCAAAACCCTATCCGTCTATATACTTTAGTACTAGGCTTGTATGTTCATGAATAAGAGATGTTTATATGTATTTAAATATGTGTGTGTATATTATGTATCCTTTTATTTACATTATTTACTACGACGAAATACTAAGGCAGCACCATCTCTGCCACTACTAATATTCACAACAGCTTCCTTTCTTGGCACAGATGAACGATGCATGTGTTGATTTTTCATATTTAACATGACCTTATTCACTTTCTGTAGTTTAGGACGATTATTAAGAACCTTAACAGTATATTCTCCGATTCTTCTTTCCTTTGACAATTTCTTCTTTTTAGCAGCTCTTTCTGCTTCTTCTTGTTCAGCCATCATCTTTTCAAATTCCTCAGCTGTAATATGCTTTCTCTTCTTGGACTCCTCTTCTTCCTCTTTCAAAGCCTGTGTTAATAAATCTTGTGGTAATAACTTGGCTGGTTTTTCAGCTTCATCATCCATTTCTACATCCTTTCTTAATTTTCTTTTTTCCATCTTTTCTCTATATTCCTTTTCAAGTCTCTCTTTCCTTGCTTTTCGTTCCAACTCTTTCATTTGTCTTTTACTGCCTTCTTTTTGTTCTTTAAGGAACTGATCTCTTTGTCGACGTTTTTCTTTTTCAGCAGCTGCTTGCCTATAACAATATAAATTAGAATACATTTATATACATATATATAATATGTGAATCTACTTTGCTGCTGCTTCTCGCTCTGCCTGAGTCTTTGTTAACAGTTCTTCCTTAGCTTTTGAAGTTGATACATCTTCGGGAGCTTCATCATCAGACGATTCATTCAAGATATCATTATCATCCATCTTTTTTTGGGTCTCAGGAATGACAATTTCTGCATCCTCATCAAAAATAATTTTTGCCATTTCTATAAATTTTAAAATATTATCTATTTTTTTTTTTAATGGTCTATTAGTTGCTTTTTTTTAAAAAGAAAAAAAATCATTATGAGTGGCTTTTAAATTATTTGACAATTTTTCCTTTTAATGCAATTCTCGAAATCCATTTTGATTGGCAGGTAACAGATATATTCATATACAATTAAAGAAGAATTATTTTATTTATAACAAAAATTTAAAAAATCCAAGTGAACACATAATACTAGCGTATTGACTTTCCCGGGGGTCAGTTCGAGAAAGGATAAAAGTGTACTACAAAAACCTTTTGATAGACAAAAGGGTAAAAAAAAAAAAAAGAGAAGGGAAGATATATCAACAAATACTAGATTCGAAGTTACGTAACTAAATTACAAGTTTTGTACCAAGAGGAGGGGAGAAATTCTGGAGGAAGTTCAACATGATGAAGGTGGTCAAGATCAAAAAAGTAGAAGGCACATAACAGGCCACCGAATCGTCCAGGCGGAAAAGACAGATGTGTTGAGAGCTGATGAAATTGGCGGCCTGAAATGTCGTGATACCAATATTTAAGAGAGAAAGATAATTTTATTAAATTAGTAATTCAGATATAATTTAACTTCACAGGTTGTTAACATTATGCAATTCCCAGTCTCTTCAACTTCGAAACTCTGTCGCCCGTCTCTCTCACCCAGCTAATTGTTGACGAGCTATTCAACTGCTTCAGTCCCACCCCACTCCTTTTCTCCAACCTTGTCTTGTACACTATGATTCCCCATGTACCTCGTCCGTTTATCGACACTATCACCCTCGACCTCATCACTACCTACGAATTCAACACTCATCAACTCTATTCCTTGCGAATCTCTATGATTTCCACTCAATTTGACTTTACATCCCATTCCTTTACTATATCTCTCCCTACTAACAAAAGCTATCCATCTCTCCCATTAACCAATATAGATAACAACTCATTTCTTCGATCTTCGCTCTCTGCTGCAGAACTTTTGTCATATTTAAGATACAAACAACGTATATTTGAAAGTATTGTCATTAGTAACACTGATTCTTCTGTATCTGAAGGAGAGGTTAAAAGAAAGAGAACACTTAGTTACTTTGGTGGTAGCGGTGTAAAGAAGTGGGATCCAAAATCTATGGCAAGTATTTTTTTTATCATTCAATGGTTTTATTGCGCGTAGTCGAATGTTTCGAATTCATGCTGGTATACATATTTAACCTATAAAATTGCTTTTCTTAATTTTTTTTTTTTTTTTTTAGGATGAATTACAAAAGCTGCAATCAAGGTACAAAAACCGTATAAAAAAGCAAGTTACCACTGAGCACAAGTATGTTAAGGACTCGTTTATAACTAAATTTTCTTGAATAAATTGGGCTTTTTTTTTGTATATTCTCTTTTGATTCTTTCAACTGAAAAACTCGAAATATTACTTTCTATAATAGAAAAAAAAAGAACACAAAAATATAAATGATTATATTGATTAGAACGGGTTGAGAGGCTGAAGTCGTGTTAGTAGCTTATATATTATCGAAACTTATTTATAAAAATCATAAATTTCGCACCATAGTTAGACAATAGTGTTGATTTTAATTAATTTGAAAAAGTTCTCAAAGAAAAATAAAATAAAATAAAGGATGTCAATATGTCTTTTGCGTTATTATTTACTCGTTGCAAATATATCATTATCACACAATTTTATATTATTTTTTTTTAAGTAATAAATTCCAAGTCTTTCATAATTTCCCAAAGATAAAAAAAACAGGTGTACCTCTTTAACGCAAGCTCAAATTAATATTTATGACATTAATTCTACTCCTTTTTCTGCCTTGGTTTTTTTTTTCTTTTTTTACTTCCAATTCCATTTGCGATAAGCGAAACAAAGCATGTTTAAAATGCATAGCTCGTTATCTAATTAACATACATCTTTAGCATAATATTAAAAAGTTTAAAATAAAAAGTTACTTTTACATATTTTTTTTTTATTATCTAATTTTAACTTGAGATACATATTAAATAGCCGCCATCATATTCTAGTTTTATTCTTCTTCTCTAAATTCGTGACATTGAAGAAATGATTCAATTTGTATTTGTTGCTTCTTTTTGTATAATAGCAACTATCCTAATCATTATTCAATTAGCCTTTTCAAAGCTTACAACTTCCATTAACAACACCAAAGAGAAACGCCGAATTCAATTATTGCAGGAACTAGGTCATCCTACTTTGACTAATGTTAAGAGGCCTTTAATTTTAGGCTTCTTTCATCCTTATTGGTATACATCTTTAAAAATTAACCATTAAAAATTCTAGGAAATAATCGATTGATTTATATAGTAATGCAGGCGGGGGAGGAGAACGTGTTCTTTGGACAGCTATTCGAGGTGTTCATAAAAAATATCCTCATGTTGTTTGCGTCGTATACACAGGAGATTTAGAAGCCACAAAGGAACAAATCATTCAGAAAGTTAAGGTATTCTATATATGTGTATGTCTATGCATCTACTGTCTTAACTTGATTTCTTTTTTTATTATTATTATATAGAATAACTTTAACATCGAATTGGATCCTCATAGACTTACGTTTATTTATTTAACCAAAAGATACCTTGTCGAAGACTCCAGGTAAATATGCATGCATACATACATACATACATACATACATACATATATCTTTGGTTTTTTTTTAATATCTTTATTTTTGTACAGATATCCTCGATTTACATTGATTCTTCAGAGTTTAGCATCAATTATTATTGGATATGAAGCTATTAGTAAACTTGTACCAGATGTCTTTTTTGGTTTGTAAAACTTTTTTTTTATACATGTATATATATATTGTAAACACAGTTATGCTTATCAGTTTCAATTTAGACACAATGGGTTATGCATTTACTTACCCACTCGTTCATTACCTGACAAAAGTTAGAATTGTAACCTATACACATTACCCTACAATTAGTTCTGATATGGTCAATCGAGTATATGAAAGAAGGGCTGCACACAATAACGACGCAAAATTAGCCTCAAGTATTATTTGGAGTACTGGAAAACTTTTGTAAGTTTGTGAAGAAGAAGAAAATGTATTCAAGGTGAATTTATTTATTTATTTTTTGGAGTTTAGTTATTATCGTATGTTTGCACGAATCTATGGTTATTGTGGTTCATTTGCAGAAATTGTAATGGTTAACTCAACATGGACAAAAGGACATATTGATCAACTATGGCGTACAAAATCAGTTATTGTTTATCCTCCATGTGATACTGAATCCCTTTGTAAATTGCCTTTAAAAGGACGCCAATCAAAAATTGTTAGTGTAGCTCAGTTCAGACCAGAAAAAGATCATTTATTACAATTAACATCATTTGCTAAACTTATTGAAAAATATCCCGAATGGAAGACAAAATCATTAGAACTTGTTTTAATTGGAAGTTCTAGAAATGAAGGTGATGCTATGAGAATTGATTGTTTAAAAAAACAAGCAAATGAGTTGGGAATTAAGGTATGAAAGTGAAAAGTATCTCAAAAAAAAAAAATTGAACTATTCGATAGGATTTTGTTCGATTTGAAGTGAATGCACCCTATAGCGTCTTGGTATCCAATTTAGGAATGGCTAAAATTGGTCTACATACTATGTGGAATGAACACTTTGGTATTGGTGTAGTGGAATATATGGCTGCTGGATTAATTCCAGTGGCTCACAAATCGGGAGGGCCCAAGTTAGATATTGTAACCGAATATGAAGGAAAGAGAACAGGCTTTTTAGCAGATTCTACAGATACATTTGCAGATTGCTTAAACGAAGCATTATCTCTTTCTGAGGAAGAGTATGTAGAAATTGCATCTAATGCTCGTATGTCTGCTTCTCATAAATTTTCTGAAGATGCTTTTAATTCTGCTTTGTTGACTTGTTTACGCCCATGTTTAGATCAATAAAAAATGACTTTTACAAAATATACTATAAATAGTAACATCATCTTAAAATAAGTATACTTGTGTATTTTTTTTTTTTAAATTTTTCTTAGGTAATAACACTCTTCTAATCTATTTGCTTGGCAGGCTTATAATATAATAAGGGCGTAATTTAATGTTCATAGTGTTTAAACTCATCACTGAAACATCATTTACTATATTAGAAATCTTTTATTAGATACCCTCTTCTTCTACTTTTTTCTTCTTCTTTTATATACATATATCTACTATTTATTGCTATTTTCTTATATAAACTAATTTTTGACTATGAAAGTATGTTTTGATAATGATCATGATGATAGATACTCTTCATATTCATCTATTTCTTCTTTTTTTTTTTCTTTACTTTTTTTTTTCATTATAGCGTTTTGGAGGTGGCAAGAAAGGTGAAAAAAAGGTGATAAAGGCCAATAGGTCAATAAGGGCAGACTGGAAAGAAGGCATGAAGAAAAAGCAAGTAGGCATGTCTGACATGACTTTGTTAACGAAAATTACAAATGAAGCCATTAATGATAACTTGGAATTACGTTGGAAGAATGGAGATATATACGTAAATGTCCAATGTATTGTATAGAATACATGTATTTTATTGCTAATGTCGTTTATTAGACTTATATTGGACATGTGCTCATCAGTGTAAATCCTTTCAAAGATTTGGGAATTTATACAGATGAAGTGTTGGAAAGTTATAAAGGGAAAAACTTGTTGGAGGTATAAAAAATAAATAAATATCTTTTTGACATTTGAAAGGTAAACTCAGTTTTTTTTTTTTTTTTTTTTTTTTTTTAATAGGTTACACCACATGTGTTTGCTATTGCTGAATCTGCATATCATCATATGAACAGTTATAAAGAAAATCAATGTATTATTATTAGTGGTGAATCAGGTGCAGGTAAAACTGAAGCTGCCAAGAGAATTATGCAATATGTGGCTGCTGTATCAGAAGGCAAAAGTGCAGCTATCCAAGAAATTAAAGACATGGTCTTGGCTACTAATCCTTTATTGGAAAGTTTTGGTTGTGCAAAGACCCTTAGGAATAACAATTCTAGTCGACATGTAAAGCAATACTATTCAAAATTACTTTATTGTATCTAATTCTTCTCTATCTTGTTGTTTTTTTCAATTAGGGTAAATATTTAGAAATTCAATTTAGTTTACAAGGCGAACCTGTAGGTGCAATTATTACAAATTATTTGTTAGAAAAGGTATGTAAAAAAAAAACACAAGTCAATAGACAGTAAACTTATTTTACATACAGAATCGTGTAGTGGGACAAATAGAGAATGAAAGAAATTTCCACATCTTTTATCAACTTACAAAAGCTGCTCCATTGGAATATCAACGTAAAACGATATAGACTAAATACATATTAAATAAACTAATTACTTTCTGTGTGTTTATTATTATTAATAGAACAATTTGGTATTCAAGGACCTGAAAGCTTTTTATATACAAGCCGTAGCAACTGTTTAGAAGTTGAAGGTATTAATGATGCCAATGATTTTCAAGATACCTTAGTAAGTAAAAAAAAAAAAAAAAAAAAAAAAAAAAAAAAAGTATTCATAATATTGTATTGCATATTTACTTTGATAAATAGAAAGCTATGGATGTGATTGGCTTACAAAAAACTGAACAAAATGATATTTTCAAAATGTTATCTGTTATTTTATGGCTTGGAAATATTATATTTACAGAAAATGAACAAGGTCATGCAATGGTTACTGATCCAGATGGTAAGTTTTTTTTTTCTTCTTTTAATAGGAAAAAAAAAAGAACTCTAATATTCTTATTTTTTATTTTTTATAGTTGTTAATTTTATTGCATACCTTACTCAGGTTGAATATGAGGATTTAAATAAGGCATTAACCGTTCGTATTATGGAAACACAACATGGTGGACGTAGAGGAAGTGTCTACGAAGTACCTTTGAATATCACACAAGCATCCTCAGTTCGAGATGCACTTGCTAAATCTATTTATGAACGTCTCTTTGAATGGATCGTTGCACGAATCAATGTTTCACTTCAGGCTCGTGCTGCTGTTCAATACACAATGGGCGTACTTGATATTTACGGTTTTGAAATCTTTGATAATAATAGTTTTGAACAACTCTGTATCAACTATGTGAATGAAAAATTGCAACAGATTTTTATTGAATTAACATTGAAAGCAGAACAAGAGGAATATGTAAGGGAACGTATTGAATGGACACCTATCAAGTTTTTTGACAATAAAGTAGTATGTGACTTGATCGAAGCTAAACGCCCACCTGGTATCTTTGCTGCCTTAAATGATGCGTGTGCTACTGCTCATGCTGATCCTGAGGCAGCTGATAATTCATTTGTACAACGTCTTGGATTTTTAGCCTCTAATCCACATTTTGAAGTGCGTGGATCTCAATTTTTAGTACGTCATTATGCAGGTGATGTCTATTATAGTATTGCAGGTATTACGGATAAGAACAAGGACGCTTTACTTAAGGATTTATTGGATCTTACTGCAAGCTCTAAAGACCCCTTTATTTCAACTACTTTGTTCCCCGAGCGTATTGATCCTAATTCAAAAAAGAGACCCCCTACTGCCAGTGATAAAATAAAACAATCGTGTAATGCACTTGTTGATAAACTCATGATGTGTCATCCCAGCTATATTCGAACCATTAAACCAAATGATAACCGAAGTTCAACTGAATATGATTCAAAACGTGTTTTACATCAAATCAAATATTTAGGTCTTTGTGAAAATATTCGTGTTCGTAGAGCTGGTTTTGCTTATAGAACAGTAAAGTATATAAACAAACAAACTATCAAACTCCTTTTTTTTTCTTTATTTATCATCATTACATATTTACAATTTAATTATTTTAGGACTTTGATAAATTTATGGAAAGATTCTATTTACTTAGTCCTGTAACAGGATATGCTGGCGACTATATATGGCAAGGTGATGCTCGTAGTGGTTGCTTGGAAATTCTAAAACATAATAATATACCAGCTGATGAATGGCAAATGGGTACAACAAAAGTATTTATCAAGCATCCAGAGACAGTAAGTTATATAATATTATACAATATCAAAATTAGAAACTAGTCAGCTAGATAGATAGTAATGGGTTTATTAGATTTTTGCATTGGAAGGATTAAGAGATAAATATTGGCATAACATGGCCATACGTATTCAGCGTGCCTGGAGAGCCCATGTCCGATACAAAAATGAATGTGCAGCCAAAATTCAAAGATTCTGGAGACAAAATAAATATAATATTGGTTATCTTCAGCTTCGAGATTATGGACACCAATTATTAGGAGGTCAAAAAGAACGTCGACGTTTTTCATTATTAAGTCAACGTATGTTTTTAGGTGATTATCTCGATATAAAAAACAGCTCTGGATTAGCTACAATGATACGTAATGCCATCAACTTAAAGCCTGGAGAAGAAGTTTTGTTTAGTATGAAAGGCAGTATGCTTGTGCCAAGACCTATGCGATCTAGCATTCCTAGTCCTAGAACATTTGTATTGGTAAAAGAATAAACGAAAAAAAAAAAGAAAAAAAAAGAAAATAGGAATAAAAATAGACGCAAACTAACTTTTTTAATAATACTAGACAAATCAAAATTTCCATATTGTGGTAGCTACTAAAAATGGAAAAACAATTCAAATGGTCGATGAAAAGGTGCTGTCTCTCAATATCATTAGAAGCGTAAGCTTATCTACATTACGTGATGATTGGGTTGTCCTTCATCTTGACTCCTCACCCGATGGCAGTGATTGTATTATTTCATGTATTTTCAAGACAGAACTTATTGCAAGATTATCACAAATTACAAATGGTCGTATTAAAGTGAATATCACACCGCAAATCCAATACAAGAAGAAAGGTGGAAAGACAGTAACTATGAAATTCATTAAGGACGATAAGGTTCCTCGAGATGATACTTATAAAAGTCATGTTGTTCATGTACCTTCTGGAGAGCCTCCTTCTAGTCGTAAATATTTATTTTATAATGTCAGGGAAAAAAAAAAGAAATATTACTAATTTTCTAAATTAGAAACTCGTCCATCTGTTGCTAGAAAGTCAAAGCTGAATCCAAAAGCTAATACAAAACGACAGACTCCTAAAACAACGATGAAACAATCTACAACTGTTAGACCACCTGTAGCTAATTCTAATGGATCAGTTAATATTTATCCTAATTCAGTTGACACTACTGCTGCACCCATCGCTGCTCAAACAATGAACTCTAATATCAACAATAATAGACAAGCAGCCCCAACTTCTCCTCAAATCTCATCCCTTTCTTCTTCTCCTCCTCCCCCTCCCCCTGCTGTTACTGCAACAATAACTTCTATACCAATGTATAAAGCCATATATCCATTTAATTCGCAGCAAGTTGGTGAACTCTCATTCGAAAAAGATGCAATCATGGAAATTATTGAAAAGGATGAAAATGGTAATTTTACAAAAAAATAAAATAAAATAAAATAAATAAATAAGGAAGTTTTTAACATATTTTATAGGTTGGTGGTTGGCTAAAATGAATGGTGTTGAAGGTTGGGTTCCTAGTAATTATCTTGAAGAATATGTACCTCCTAAACCTTCTCCTCCTCCTCCTCCTCCAGTTAGAAGAAGAGCACCTCCCCCTATTCCTCAACAGCAACAGCAACAGCAACAGCAACAAATTACACAACTTCAAAATAATACACCAAATTATTTAAATCAATTCAATAGTAATCAAACAACAAATAATCCAACTGGTGGTGTGCCTTCATGGAAGAACACATCTGAAGCTAAGCCAGCTAATAACATGCAATCACCTCTACCTACTAATAGAAAGCCAGCACCCCCCATTACAGCACCTAAGCCTTCAGTTAATAGACCTAGTGTAGCAAAGGCTGAGTCAATAACTCCTCAAGCACCACCTCGAAGTAATAATCCAGCAGCACTTTCTTTAGCAGATGCTGTAAGTTATACATAGCTTATAAATTGTATGCATATTTAATAATTTTGTTTTGTTAAAAAAAAATAATAGATAAAAGCTAGAAGACAACAAGCTTTAAATAGTGATGAAGATGAGGATGATGAATGGTAAAAAAGTAATAATAGTAATAGCCCATTCTTTAGAAAATATATATGTATATATGTATATCATGCCCATGTATTCCAATTTTTTAATAAATAGTATACAGTTTAGCGAGCCACCCATTAATTTTATTCATTTTGTTGATTTTTTTCTTCACGCTTAGCCTATTAGAAAAGAATTCAATACATATAAATAATGTTTATCTTTTATATATGTATGTATACTTTACGGCAAAGAATGCTTCAATATCTTCTTTCGTAACAATCTTTCCTGTATCTTTGAAAGTCTCTAAAAAAGATTTAATGTCTGTTGCAAGTGATTTATAAGCCATTAAACTTTCTATCGCTTTGATTCGATCAACACATTGAAGCTGCTCCATTCCTATTTCAAATAACGATTTTCCTGCATCTTCATCTTCTTCGGGTTCATATGTTTTCTCTTCCGCAAGTAGATATTCAACATGGTTTGCCTTGTACGCCTCTGCACACTTGTAGAAAAAAAGGAAAAAGAAAAGGAAAGATATGAACAAAATTTATCGGCATTTTTTTTTTCTTCTTTTTCTTGTACATACCTCGGTACATTTACATAAAGCTTCACGCCAATTTTCTTGTAAGAAAATTTCAATATTATCATGTTCAGGTAGCAAAGTAATATCAACTACAAAATAGAAGAATAAACAATTTATACACTTTTCCTTCTTACATCTCTCTCTCTCTCTCTCCTTATATATATATCTGTGTATACAATATACCATTTTTGCAATCGTAGTCACTTTTCAATTTTTTAAATGTATTAGGAATTATATTATCTTTTTCCTCTTGATATTTTCGTTTTTCACCAGTTGATATATTGGGGTTTTCTGATGAATTAGTAGTATTATTTTCTAGCTCATCTGAAATTATATACGTTTCATTATTATTCGAAATCTGATAATTATTTTCTTCGGCTATCATAGAAGAAACATCGTCATCTCTTCTTGTTTCTTGTTCAGTCTCTTTATTGTCTTTCTTTATTAGTAATTCAGATAATATCCATGTATCTATACATTGATCACTTTTTGATAAACCAAAACTAAATTTTGAACTTTTACCATTCATTAAGAATGGGTATTTTTTCGTGCAGCTCCTACACACATAGCACTCAAAATCTTCTATTGTTTCAGGAATCTAGAAAAAAAAAAGACGCGTTCAATATTAGAAAACGCGAATATTTAATTCGTGACATTTACTTTTCCGATACAAGTATCATGAAACCAATCTTCACAGGCAATGCACTAATAAATATATAAAATGAATAACACGAATAAAAATCAATCAATCAAAAAAAACATTATGTACTTGATACATCGTTCCTTCTTCTTTTTCAGGATTATAAAAAGTATCGCATCTAAAACAGACACACACACACACACACAAAAATTAATTATATGTTTTCTTTGTGTTTCTATTATGAAAATCTAAACCTGCAATATCTGCCTTCAAAGTTATGATTGTACTTATTTTCCTCATTTTTCTTAATAATCCTTTTTGCAGGTAATGTAAGTCTACAAGGATAATCATTTAATTTACCGGATAACCCACAATCGCACCTAAAATGACGTTTTGGAAATAATTCAAGCAAGTCATGTTCAGCATGGCAAGCAATTGAACAACTATAACATATGCCAGCGGGCTCATCGATGCTACATGTCTTGCAAGCATAAATCGGCTGTCGAATATATCCAAAAGGAAATGTACATTTTTCGAATTTACCAGGTAGAATACTTTGTGCATCTTTTTCAAGTTGTTCTTGTCGTTGAAGATAATCTAAAGCAGTGACTGTATTGTTATCATCGTCTGTTATTTTAGTCATTTTTTTTTTAAGAAATAATCAAATTAAAAAAAAATAAAATAAAAAGAAAAAAAAGACTGAGATATAATAATGCGTCCATCATTGCCAAAATTGAAACTATTTTTTAACAGTCCCCAGCAGATGTAGTTCATAACAACATTAAGGTAATCTCCCTGCATCTATCATTATAAGAACAGTAATGATTAATGAAAGAAATATCAGAGGCGTTCTTTAATGTTTTTAGTCTGCTCTACCGTAGTAGCTTATAGCTTTTGCTAGCTAAAATAAAAGGGAGGCCAATAAAATCCTGTTTTATTGTCTATCCTTCTCATTAGTTAGCATCTTCTTATTTCCTTCTATATGTCTTATACTTCTTTATATAGATGAGATCTATTTCTTACTATTTTATAGTTACTATAAAAAATCGAAAATAGAATGAAATACAAGTAATTTACATAACAATTATGACCCAAATTCTTTATTTTATACATAATCTATCTAAAATACACTTTATACATCTTCATTGCTCGACTTGATATATATTTTTTTTATAAAAGTTGTATGAAATTTGTTTTTAATAATTATAAAGCAATACCAGTCTTTTATTATGATTAATGATGCTAATAATAAATATACAAAATGCAAAGGTTTGTCTATAGTGAATTTTATTCCTCTTCCTCTTCTTCATCTTCTACATCAGTCCATTCATCCTCTAGTTGCTCTAATATTGATCCTTGATCAACATTGGATCGGCTTTCTTCAAATGTTGCCCTGTCATTTAGTGCTGGCCAAATGAACTGATTCATTCTTTCATCCAAAACTGAATCACTTACTATATTATAACATTCTTCTATATTTATATACTTTAATGATTGACACTTTTCAGTTACTATTTTAATGCCAAGCTCAGTAATGAGTTGACAATCAGGTATATAAAGATGACTTAGGTGAACCAAATTAGTAGCTATTAAATTTAATGCTTGATCTGTGATACGGGTCGAACCCAGATAAAGTTTTTGAAGATTTGGACAAGTTGAAACGATTGCTTTGATTGATTCATCGGTAATGAGCCTACATTGATCAATAGATAAGATTCGTAAGTGATGTAATGGTTTTAGAATTTTAATTAGTGCTTTATTTGTTCTACAATAAAAAAAACAAAAACAAACAAGACAATTAGTTTATACTCAAATAATACATGTGTTTATATATACATATATATATACATTTCAGTGTAATCTTACAATTGAGAGCAATGATCTAAATTTAATAGTTCAAGATGAGATGTTTTCTCAGATATCATGAAAAGAATTTCATCAATTTTGGATGAGTCCCAACGATGGGGTACCATGTGTAGATCCAAGTATCTGACATGAGTGCCGTTAAGTAAAGTTAATGCATTTGCAAATGATTCAAATTTTCTAAATGTATCAAATTTAGGTGAACAAAACAAAAATGGCGTCGATATCGTGTGCAATCTTTTACATGTCCGACTAAGCTGTAATAATGCCTGTTGATCATCCCGTAAGTAGGTTGTAATCTTTGCTAATATTTCGTATGCAAATCGTTTTTCCATCTGTAGCAATTATAAAAAAAAAAGAGAGAGAATGGACTGATTGCTAATTCATTTATACATGCTTTTTTTTTATTATTATTATTTAGTGCTGCTGGGCATTAATTTTATCACATGCCAGACATTTTTTTTTTTTAAGAAAAAAAGATTAAACTATGATTACTCCTTTTGCTGCTAGCTCAGAAAGTGTAGCTTCCAATTGATCAGCATTGACAGGCTTCGTTCCTTCTTTAACAAGTATAGTCTTGAAACCAAACTTGATAGCATCTAAGCAGGTATATTTAACACAATAATCTGTAGCAAGACCTACAATGACTACAGTATCAATAAAATGCTGATATAATATTTTTGCCAAGGAAGTTATTTCTGAATAATTATTATCTGCAAATGCACCATAGGAATCAACATAAGGATTTACGCCCTTTTTGACTATAAAATCAATATCTTTTATATCAATTTCTTCTGAGATTTGAGCACCTAAAGAGTTTTGCTAATAATAATAATAATAATAATACAATATTAAAACATGAATGTGGTGGTTTTTTTTTTTCCTTTTTCTTCTTCTTCTTCTTCTACTACTAATACATACTACGCAATGGTCAGGCCACATAACCTGAGTTATTGTAGTTCCTTCATATTCAATTTCTTTCGTTTCAAATACATTTATGTCTGAATGATTGGATGCAAAACTGATATGATCTTTAGGATGCCAATCCTGTGTATATATTTAAAAAGAGAAAAAAAAGTCAATATATTATTTTATTTCTCACTTCTTATTTTTATTACTTGTGAAGCTACAATTAAACCGTCTTTTTCTTTCACTTGTTGAATAAGCTTTTTAACTGGCTTTAAAATATCGAGTGAGTGAGCTACTGCAAGTGATCCATTTTCAAGAAAGTCATTCTGTATATCCACTAAAATAAGGGCTATTTTTTCCTTTTTATTATTATCAAACTGTTTTTTTTAAAAAAAAACACACACATATTTATTATTAATTATGTGACTCAATCTTAATTTTTCTTTAAAGCATTACCATTTTTATTTAGCAAAAGAAAATGTGAAATATATAAATAAATAAAAATAAATATTTATATATTTACAGTTACTATTATTGTCCTTTAAAAAAAAAAAAGAAAAAAAGAAAAACCTCCGCTGTTTTTCTTGACGTGTTTCTTTGTACATTCTGGGAAACTAGGTTGGGCCAATAAAAAAATAATTGGGTCATTCAAAAATTAAATTAGAACACGGATGTAGAATTGGGACAGCAGCAGGAAAATTGGGATAGAAATACGAAAATGGGACACCCAAGTGAAAAGGAAATATAGATGCGAAAATGGGACAGAGGAGAATAAGTTAAATTGAGACAAAATGTTAGATTTTTTCTGGAGGAAAAAAAAAAAAAAGAAATAGATACAGCATATCTGTAAATATCTAAACTTCTTTAACAAGAGAAACCGTGTACGAGACGGCGATATAAAAAAAGAACAAGACCTATTATTCTCTCGTGAACTTTCGTGGACGCCTATGACCACCAATCACTTGTCTTGAGATCTTGAATATATTTTTCGACACGTTAACGTCGCGTTGCCACATTATTCCGCAACTTTGGCAAGCTTGAATACTGTGTAACCCAATGTAAGCATCAGTCAAGCATGTTTGAAGACATGCATGACAGGTCTATATTTACAGTATTAATAAATTATTCTTTGACCAGTTTTGGTAAATCTTGTTGTACCTTTGAAGTCTTGAACTCATCTACAGAAGCAAGTAAAAGTTTTCCTGATTTCTATCTTATTTTGAGTTGTTTGTAAAGAACTCCTGTCACTTCCACCCTGAGACCCTTCAAATGTACACTATCTTTCCCGAATATGCCATTTCCGAAAGCTATAACAGGCAATTTACTCTTGTCATATTTGAAAGGTTGGGACTTCCAAAGCTTCTTGGTGTTCCTGAAATAATAGTTAATGAATATAGTGTTTGTCTCTCTGCTTTGATGCTAGTATACTCACTTTGTCTGCTGGGGAACTTCTTTGTCTTTTTTTTTCGCTTCTTTGTCTCTCCTCTTCTTTCTTTTCTTCCTATTCTTCCTATTCTTCTTTGTGTTCTTGGTTGTAGGGATGTTGAGAAGTATATCCTCCATAATTTCTCGAGACATTCTTTTTGTTTCTTTCTTTGCGTGTCTTATAGACCCTGTTAAGGTATAATACTCTTTAGTAGAGCATCGCCTGATTTGATGGGATTCATCACCCTCCTCATAAGCAACAGCAAAAACCTGATGTCGGTTGGGATCCAGCCCGCAAAGAGAAACATCAGTCAAGTTTTCATTCTTTATAGCATCTCCCAATTGGAAAATTTTCTACGTCTTCGCTAGATATACATCTGTATTCATCTGTACTGTTTGTAATTTTTTTTTTTGCAATAGAACCACATCAACTGCAAATCCATCAGTTTGAATGACATTTGAGAATGCAACCTTTTTTTGTCCATCCGGGTTTTGGAGATCTTGGAAGCTGTGTATTTTAGATTGTGAGTCATCATCATTAGAAACAATATATAGTAATTACCATTTTTGCCACAATCGCTGCACTTTTGTTTATCTAAATAAGGTTTCATAAAGCGAGTTACGTCAGGAGAGCATACAAATATTTTCATTTTATAAGTCTCACTTTGTTCTTCTAATCCCTTCTTGCGACTCCAAACTCTTTGAAGTATTGTGTGTATTTTTTTTGCTTAAACATCAGTCAACAAAGATAAAAACCGATGCTGAACCATTCAATTTTGAATAAAGTGATGTTAACTAGAACTCACGGTCACTAAGAGTACAGTCACTTATTACAGGAACTATACTTATATCTCATTATAGTGTAGTGGTAGTTCTACTACGTAAACAATTCTTATTACAATAAAACACTTTAATATACCACCACAGATTTGAGGGAGATAAAAAGGTCTGCTCTACTTTACAGTCGACTGGTGAAATGCGCTGGAGCATGTTGTTGCACATATTTCTGACAGATCATATGTTTGATTTGAATCTACACATACTAATAAAGTATCAAAATTTCAGCAAATTCTACCATTTATGGAAAACGCTCTAAAGTGACAAAGCTGCCGATCTGTCTGAATTGTACTTTTCAGAGCATTTTTTTCTCGGTTAAAGTCAGACTCAGTCTTTATTTTGAATATTAGCATGACGCATGACTTACAATTATTTCTGATTCAAAATAATAATATGTGCGATGGTGACTTGGTTGGCTTCCCGGTAGCAAGCCGCAACATTGTGTCTTCCACTCAAACTCAAGGCTTAATTGGGACCATACTATTATCTACTTCGACATGCATAGCCACTTTCAAATGCCACACACCATCCATGACCCTCTTTCCTTCGTCCTGAACAGGCTCCCTTTCAAAAAAAAAAAAAAAAAAAAAAAAAAAAAAGGCATCAACAGGATATTATTCTACTACTAACGCAATACAACAAATACAATGACAAAAAAAAATGAGCTTATTATTATTATTATTAAATCAAGTAGCAGATTTGATAAAGAGAGATTAAACCACTCATTGAATGATACAAAGGAGATGTTGGTTGAATGTATCAATTCGTTACATAATATTATCAAGCATAACGGAAAGGCCAATATTAATACGTGCCACAAAAAAAAAGGAGGTCAAATAATGTATATTAATAGATCAATGTATTTTCCTTACAAAGATATATACATAATAATTACTTTATAGTGTGTTTCAAATTTCATATTAGAGATAAATATCCATAGAGAAATAATGTATTTAAGAGCCATCAAAAAAGATGTGATCAAGCTTGACGATATTATTAAAAATAAATCATTTTATATAAATGTATAGTTTACAATAGGTTATATATATATGTATATATATATATATGTATATGCATATATTATGTGTTTAAAATCTATCTAATTCTTTTTTCTTTTTTTTTTCTCTGTGTTATGTTTTTAATGAACTTGTTTTTCAATAGCTTCAGCTTCAATATGGGGTTCAAACTTCTCTTCTACTTGATAGCTGATGTCTTGATCAAGCATCTTTTTAACACGGAAATCTTCATCCATCTGGTCATAATGCCTGAAGCAATAATAATAAATGCAGCCAAAGACAAATGCAGCTACTGCTACACCGGTATAGACCCAAACCATGTTGGGATCATGTGAAGAGGGAGAGATAGCTAAAGAAATTAAAGCGGCAACACAATTTGGCCACAAAGAAAGAGCAGAGACAAGTGATTTCATGGACTTGGGTGCATGAGTATAAGCATACTCCATGGAGGTAATAGAAGCGAAAATTTCAGAAAAGGCGATTAAGAAATAACAAGGAATCTGCAAGAAAACGGAAATATTAGACATTTCACCTCCTGAAGCAGTAAATAAGGGATCCTTATAGATATAATATTGTACAACAGCAGCATAGACCATAGCTAGGGAACCAAGGAAGAAACCAACAGTGATACGCCTTTGAGAAGCAAAGTTGATTTTATATCGACGCAACAAAGGATAGAAGAAACCATCAGTAATTGGAATAAAGATAATTAAAGCAATTGGATCAAAATTATTCATAATATCGTTAGGAAGACCAGGAGGACGATACATGACACCAGCTTGTGATAATAAGTTGTTTGAAAGTTGATTATAACAAACCCAATAAATAGAAAGAGGAATAAAGATTTTACAAGCCATGATAGCTTGTTTTAATTCATCTACAAAGTTATCATCCCATTTGGCTATCGCATAATCATCTGAACTCCATGAGCTAACACCTGGAATACCAGAATCACGTTTAGCAAAATCCATCACGTCCTTAGACTGCTTTCGAGCTTCTTTATTTTCAGGTAACCTTGCTTGCTTATTAGCGAATTTAATTACACCCCATGCCTTCACAATAACAGAATCAGTAGGTCCAGGTTTATAATATAATTTGGATCCTGCGACAAATACGATAATAGCAATAAAGAACATACATGTTGGTAATAAGAAAGCAGCATAAAATCCGACATGTAATTCCAGAAGTGGACAAATAACACCACCTAAAAGTGAACCCACATTGATTGCCCAATAGAACCTAAAAGTAGTAAAAATAATTATGATTATTATCAAACCAGTAAAAATTCGCGGAGATTTTAAACGATTATTAATTTTAATTTTTTTTTTTTCTGTTTTCTTTTACCAATTATATAAATGTTGAACACTTAGATCATAATCGACTATCACCGTTTCGCCTGATTTAAGCTCTTTTGTATAATTTTCTGTCTTTCTATATTGGTCTGCGCAAAGAGGGGATACAATACCCTTAATACCGCCAGTACCAACTAATAAAAATAATTAGAATTCATTGTTATTGTTTATCCGAATAAATGAGTTTTAAAAAAAAAACTTTACATCCAATTACAACAAGTGAAACTACGTAACCAGGGAAACCAGCTCCATGAGCAAGGGCGGAAGGGATTGAAGTGGTGGTTAAAATTAACCAACCAATCATATAAACGATAGAAAATATAATAATTGTCCAATAACGACCTATATATTGGTCGGCAACGATAGCACCTAACATAGGAGTAAAATAACAAAAAAAGGTAAAGAAATTCTGTAGTGCAGTTGCAGTAGATTGACCACGATTAAGTGCACCTGCTGGATCATCCATTGGCCCATTCTGAAGAAAAAAAAAAAAGAGAGAGATTTAAATAATGAATAATTTATAAATTGATAGATTTCTTCCTTACTTGGACATAATTTTGAAAAGGCGTTGATCCACCGTAATATGCAAATCTATTATAATATATGAATATCCGTGAGAATTCCATTGTATTAAAATGGAAAGAAACTCGATTGTCTCACCTTTCACTAAAAGTTATAAAATATTAACAAACATTATAAACAAACAATCATGCATGCATGCATGCATGCTTATAACAAAACTTACCAAAATTCATTAATCAGAATAAACCAAGCAGCTAAGGGAATACCTTCAGCTACATGACGTAAAGAAGAAGGTGCTGTGTTTTTATTATAGTTGGATTCAACCGAATCAACTTGAATTTCAAATTCTGTCTTTACTTGAAGATCTAAGTCATCTTTTTTATTATCTTTGCTCATAATAAAAAAGTAAAATAATATTTATAGAAAAAAAAAATTAAAATAAAACAAAAAAAAAATATAACGCCCACTCTACTTTATATATCAAAAGCTGAAAACAAAAAAACAAAAAACAAAAAAAAAAAATTATTTGTTCATGTACAACAATTCTTTTATGTATACCAGGATAAATCTTTTTTCACAAAATATCCAAAAACAGCAAAAATGTCAAACTTTACATCTTGATTAGATGGCCAGCAACGCTTGTTTTTGTTTTTTAGATTTGACGGCTATTAAAATAACGACCAATTAATAAATTTAAAACAAAGCCATTTTTTTTTCCTTTAAGTTCATTTTACCAGGCGTATGCGTTGGAACATTTGGCAAATCATCTGGGATGAGTTCAGGTAATTTATGATTGGGTACATCAGGTAATTCCAAGTTCAGCTATAAAATAGGGATTGAGTTTTAATTATTTTTTTCAAAAATGGTAAGAGTAAAAAAAAAAAAAATAAAAATAAATAAATATTTATAACCTCTTGTTCTCGAAGCTCATCTAATTCTTTCATTATTTCTTCTTCATCTTCAACACTTATTAATCCATGCAACATCTCATCAATTTCCTAATATAAAATAGAGTTAAATTTTATAATAGCAATAACTATTTTCCTTTTTACATTTTGGTAAGCAATGGCATCGGCTGTGTCATCCATTAATTTCTCAACGGCTTCAATTGAAGTTTCTTTATGTATTTCATTCAATACTTCATTTCCTTTTTTCAATCCTTCTAAAACTTGCTTTTCTACTAAGGCATATTCAATGGAATGAGTCTATTAAAAAAAAACATAGGAGGAAAAGAGAAGAAATACGATTGTGAGCAGATATATTTACAACATTGCTAATATACATTATTCTATTACAAGTTCCTCAAGATTCATTAATTGCTGTTCCGTTTTATCAAGTAATTGAACTTGATATTTCTTCTTTTTTAAAGCTAGAAGTGCCTTTTTTTTATTTCCTTGATTTAAAGCAATCTTTGCTGCTTCAATTTCTTTTTCAATCACTACATTAATCTAACTAACTCTTTAAACCCATGTATACATTTCAAAACTTATTATTTTATCCTGCTCTATCTTACGTTTTTCTGGTATCTTTTAAGCTTATCTCGTTGAACTTTTAAATCTAATATTGCTTTATCTTGCGAGGTAATCTTATTTTTGGATGCTCCTGCCCCCATTTTTTTTATTATTATTATTGAAGGAAATTAAGTAGGGAAAAAAAATAAAATTAAATAAAAAAGCAACATTATTTATGAGCATAATAATATTATAAATCACTAAGATTAAAATAGCCAATCAGCTTAAAGAATAGAAGCCTTCTTAATTTTAAGTGAATAGAAGAGATATTTTTGATCACTTGACAAATTTATTTCCTGGTCTGATTAAGTAAAGGATGCCAATATGGGTACTATTATTAGTGAGGGAATTAGAGGAGGAGTAATGATTTAAGGATTGGATATCTAAGATAAGGCAGTAGTAGAGACATCTCTTTATTGTGTTGTACATAATACAGCCTGTTTAATATAATACTTATTACTAGTTATTTACAGAACCAACAATATATCCTTTTTGAATAATCAAAGAAAATATTATAATGTGAGCTGATCGAGAAGGAATAACAAAGGATAAGGATATAACTTCAAATAGTATAACTTGAATAGCTCTATTTAAATGTCGCTTTTACTATTATACTTAAAGCTTATAGTACCAACAAGTAAGAAATAATAAAAAATGTTAACCAAAGTGATAGTTAGTTGTATATAAGAAAGAGATCAAGAGACGAATATGATGTTGTTTCTTAAGACAAGTCAAATATAACAACTATCTAACCATGAAGACAAAATATAGCTTTTATTTACAGATATAATATAGGCTAACAAATGAGTCTAAATCAACATAGACTAAAAGATACTAGACCCTTCAAAAAAACCAAAATAAAAATTTCAATTCTTTCCTTATTTTGAATTAATCCAATCTCTTTATATACAATACGTAAATTTATATTATCATCAAAATGAGACATACATGCCATTTATATGCCGCAGATTCAGCAAAGAATCAATTATAATTGACTAGAACAAACTTCTTCAGATCGGTTTCATAAAGTGTCTCTATAATCTTTTAGATGGACATTCCTTTTACGCAAAAAAAAAAAAAAAAAAAAAAAAAAAAAAAAAAAAAAAGTGAAAAAGGTCTGCTTTGATTATAGTCGATAAAGAAATTGGAGTAAAACTGTTAATATATAATATAGTGGAATAAACTAGACTAGATATCAACAATGTTAGGCATATGTATATCTGCATAACATATATTCTTCAAAGTTAGTATATCCATCAAAATAATTTAGTAAGCAGCAATCAGCTGTAGTTAGATTATCTCATCTATTATTATCCAGATTAATTCTTCCGACTTTTACGGGAATAACCCAACATCTTTGATATTGACGATAATTATTATCTCCTTTAACAGTAGTAGGAAGAGAAGGTAATAGTTCAAGCTATTAGACTTTAACTAGTAAGAAATAATGTTAACTCAACTGATAAACAATTACAAATTGCTTGTCTTACATTATAATTATTTTTTGATATTATTTTGATGAATTTGATAATATTAATACTTGATAGTTGCATATAAATTATGTGTAACTAGAAGGCTTTTCGTAAATAGACGATGCACATGTTCATAAATAAAAGAAGGTTTGTGCAAATTAATTGGATAAAATTTTTTTTTACTCCTTAAAAAAATTACTCCTTAAAAAAAAATGTTTATATAAAAAGGGCTGCAAAAAATTACAATTTTCTTTTTTTTTTTCTTTTTTTTTCCTTTATGGTCATCAACTGGCTATTCCACGGCCGTGAGATGACTGTGCCCCAAGGGCCCAGAGTATCTCTTCAGATCGCATGCTCCTCTCGGAGGTGTGCGGCTTTCGTTCAGATACGTCCCATTTCAGAAATAATAAATGTTAATAAAACAAAAAAATGACAGAGACCAGCAAGTCTATTAGTTTAAATATATCCCAAATATACGGATCTATTTTATACTTTGGCAATTGAGCCTGTTGGGATATTTACTTTATTTTTTTTTTCTAAAAAAAAAAAAAAAAAAAAAGACATCTATCTTTATCTTTATACAACTAAGCTTAGTTAGTACACTACTCAGTTTTACAAGGTTGTAGCTTCATTGTGCAATGTAAGAGGATAATAAAGCTATTATAATGTTGTTATATAGATCAAGATAAAGTGTGTCTCATATTGTAAAGCACAACATGATAGTTTTACTCAGTGTTTAAAGTAGTTTTCCTTGTATTTGTCCTATCCCCTTTCCTCCTATTTTTTTTTTTCTTAATGAGAAACAAAAGATGTATATAATAAGCCTATACAGCAGCAAGAAACCAATAAAAAACGGAGCTATTTTTCTATTTTTGTTTATTATGACAATTGTTTTAAGCGGTGTTGACTAAAGCGAAACGAGATGCATTACGATCAAACAAACTTGACTTCAAGTCAAGATCCTTCAAATAAGGATGGTTTGGTGCAACTTCTCTTAATTGGCTAAATACAAGTTAGTTAATAAGTTATTCTTTTATATGCATATATAAAAAAAAAAGAAAAATAAAATAAAATAAAAAATAATTAAATAAATTTACCTAATATAGCGGTTAACCACTTCTTGAGATTTTGCAGTCAAAGTAGCGCATGTAATCAAGTTAATGAGAGTATCAGGATCATTAGAATCCTAATAAAAAAATATGAATATTACCTCAGTTTAACTTTATTATTGTTATTATTACCTTATTTTGTGCTTCTAATAACAAACTTTCAGCTTCAGGATATCTACCTAATGCAAGATTAGCTGCCGCCTGACCATTTAAGATTTTAACAGTTTGAGACGTGTTTGATTGAGCACATTCCTCATAAATATAAAATGCTTCTTGATACTTTTCTCCACCCTATATTTATGTATTAAATATAATTGAATATGACAAGGAAGAACAAGTTCATTATACTTACAACGCGAAGATCAATCCAAGCTTCCATCAATTGTAGTAATAAGGCATCTTCAGCCCAGGTCTTTACATGTTTAATTTCATCTCTAGCCAAGTCGAGGCGATTCAATTGAAGATAAATTTGAACGGCTAAAGCAGAGCTAAAAATAATAAAAAGTTGATGAGTTTATAAATTGTTTGATTTTGTTTATATATATATATATATATATATTTTAAATCTGAAAAATTACCATTCCAACTTTTTTTCACGAGAATGAATAACTCTTAAAGCATCTTCAAGGCGGTCTGCTTGCACGAAAAGAGTAGCAATAGTAACTTGAACAATGGAGTTAATACGATTGGCTCCCTCTTCAAATAAAGCATTAGCTCTTGTAACAAATTCTTCAACATTATTGAAATCATTTTTTTGCTTATCGGATAAAAACTCAGCCAAAAGCTTAATGGCCTTTAAGGATGCGTCTTGACTGTCATCAACATCGTTAATGACTAAATTAAATTTGCCTTGAGCAACATATGAACGGTACAAGAATATTTTTGCTTCTTGTTTTGCTTCAGTAGAAAAAAGGCCATTTGTGGTGCTGACTTCGTTGATGACAGCCTGGTAATTGCCAACAGCAAAAAGATTACGGATGCCAAATAAAATTGATTCTTCGTCCATCTAATAATAAGGATAAAAAAAAAAATGAAAAAAAAGCGGTATTAATCTTGTTTAGCTGAGTATGTTAATTTTATATTAAGTGGAGTAAGTAGTGGTGTGTATTTAAGAGTGTAGTGTGTATAGTATATGAATACCATAAATAAGCATAAATTTATTGTAAAGTTTATTTGTGTCCATGTGCTGACCCACTTTACCTTTCTGCTTTTTGTTCTCTCTCTCTCTTTTATTTTTTGATAGTTATACTTTTATGTCGCTTTATTAAGTATGATTATTTGCCTTGATTAACATGCAATTATCTATTTATTTGTGTTATTGAAGAGAAGCAGCTATAAGAAATAATAAAAAAATATGTATTGCATATATTGTCTTTAAACTGCTAGGTTATTTATTTGTTAGAACAAAAATAATGTTTCTTGAATCTTGAAGCTCAATTTTTTTTTTTATGGTACGACGTGTTCTAGAAGTTTAAGAAAGATTGCCCTTTTCTCTATAAAAACTTGCTATAATAATCTGTTTAGCCAATTAAAAATGATTTAAAAATAAAATAAAATAAAAAGACTGTACCTGCTGTCAAAATCAATCCATCATGCTAATAAGGCCAACTATATTATACACTACATAATTTAAAATCGTTCATATATTTGCTTTCTTGAAATATATTTACACGTGCATTGTCAATAAATATAACTTTTATTTCTTATTATATAAAAGGAGGAATTAAACGATTTACTTTATAAATTACTTTTATGTATTCTATCTTCTTCTATTACATAATGTTTGCTATGTGCTTCCTCCACCAATATACTCTAACTATTGTATTTAAATTATAAATAAAGTAAAGCCGCCTCCTCCACTTATTATTATGTGTTGTCGCTTTTTTATACAACAATCTTCGCGGCTTTTTTTTTTTTTTTTTGTAGAATAACCTGACAAAAATAGTTAACTGTCTACTCAGATATAGTTAAAATTAAAAATGACGTAGTAAAAATGTAACTTGAATAAGGGAAACAGCGGAATCTCTAATCATATACAGTTACATAATCATTAGAGAACACATTATATCTGATTGATTGACATCTCGTTTTTTTATTTTTATTTTTTATCTTTTATTTTTATTTCTTTACAACTAGAAAAAAAAAAAAAAGGGGGTATCCAATGTCGAACCAACCTATTAGAATCGGAATTATCGGTACAGGTATTTTTGCTCATCGTCATCACCGAGCATACCAATCTGTTGGTAATGACAAGTTTCAAATTGTGGCGTGTGCCAATCGATCCAAGGAAAAAGCTTTAGCATTTGCAAAGGAGGTAATAATAATAATAATAATAATAATACAGTAAGTCTAGTTACTGAACATAGAGTAGATTGGTATTGATGAATCTGCTGTCTATACAAACTTTACTGAGCTTATTAACGATCCTAACGTTGATGCAGTGGACGTTATTCTTCCCGTTCAGTTTAACAAAGAGGTATATCATGTTACTAACTTACACATATAATAATAATGTAAGGTTTACATTAAACTTTTTTTTTTTTTACTAAGGTAATTGAAGCTGCTATCGCCGCTAATAAGCATGTCATGTTTGAGAAACCTATTGGTAAGCTGCTAGAATATAAAAGAAAAGAAATTAGAAATGCATTTTACTCGAGAATTGAATGTATTTAATTTATTTTTGTGTAGCCGCTTCTCTGAAAGATGCTCGTGAGATTGTTTTGTTATCTCAAAAGACAAAGACGACTGTAGTTGCTGTTAATGAAAACTGGTCTTATCATCCTTTAGTCAATGCTGTGGCTGAGTATGTGAGAGATGGTGGAATTGGAGAGGTAAAAGTTTGAAGGAATTTATATATTTAGGGGTCATACTCATGTGTTGTTATTTAGATTGTCAACTTTACATATGACTCAGCACGTCCTTATAATCCAAATTCTCCTTATCATTCAACCAAATGGCGCCAAAATCCTTTACATCCAGGGTAAGTTTAACTTGATATAAATGAAAGAAAAGACGACTCAATCATTCTATATCTCCATATAGAGGATATCTTAGCGATGGCTGTGTTCATGATATGGCCCATTTGGTTCCTATCCTTGGAAAATTCACATCCGTTGCTGCTTTTGCAACTAAAAGACACAAAGTACATGTTCTTGAAGATACTTTAGCTACTACCATCAAATTAGAAAATGGAGGTGTTGGTGTCGCTAACTTTACTTTTGTAAGTTAAAGTTTATATATATAAAAAAAGGAAAAGAAAGACTCACTTTGTTGATAGTGCTCAGCAGGTGTTAAAAAGATGACTTTATTTGTCCATGGTACTGAAGGCTCCATTGAACTCATCGATGAAACTACGGTCAATTTATTTGACAAATCGGGCAAACCTGTTGATATCTCACCTATTACATCACTTCAATCTAATTCACCTGGTAATGGTTTATCTGATGTAGAAGGTGAATTGGCTGCCTTTTATAATGCTGTTCGACATGGTAAAAAATTAGGTGTTTCTACAGAAGAGGCCTTCCATCATCTTGCATTTATTGTTGCTGCTTTAGAATCTATTGCATCTGAAAAAGTTGTAAAGATTGAACAAATATAATAAACTTTTTTAATTATATAATGCAATACATTTATATTAGTTCATCTTGAAGAAAAAAAAAACTGTCCTCTTCTTCTTATAAACGATTTAACTGCCATAATTCTTCTTCATCGTCTTGAATATGTTGTGGTAAATGACTCCATTGTCTATTATCCATACCATCTCGGGCAAAATGGAGCAAACCTGTGTTATGTAAGAGGCTTTTACCAACTAGTATTATTAATGTATGGTTAGAACGTATGAAATATTGTCTTTATTTTATTTATATATTTTTATGAATTTATATTTTACCACAAGTTCCACAACAAAAACACCAGCATAGGCCTGTAAGAAATACTGAGGCCATTATTATTAAAATAAACCACATTTGAGCCACTGTAATTTCCATATTGCTTAATATATATGAGATGAAAAAAAAAGGGGGGGAGAGGGGGTGAAAAAAGATACTGTCTATGTATAATTTTTTTTTATTATATTACCTTTTTGGGTATGTCATACCTTAGATTTATTATATAACCTTGATTTGAAAATATTTACATAAAAAAAATTATTACATAATTGAATATTTTAAATGGTACTGGGCTGCCTAGTTCAGCTCGAATAAAATAATAGTAAAAAAAGAAACTAACAAAATATATATATATATATAAGAGATGCAAGGAAAGAAAGAGAGGGAGAGAGAGATGAAGATATATAAATATGTATGTATGTATGTATGTATTTTTGCGCTTATAATTCAGAATTTCTTGTCCTTGTTAAGTAACAAATTATGTTCTAAATCAAGCTCTATAAAGTTTTCTTCAGAGAAAAATGTTTTCTTGCCTTTCTAAAAACCAAAATAGAATTAGTTAACATTACAAGCACTATAGTACATGAATAACAAAAAGGCTTGCCATTTTTTTTTTCATAGTTATCTCGTCTCTATATATAAAACATAACAATATCAGCAGAGTTTCAAACGCAAAATTCATCAATACTCATTTTCTACAACATAGACAGCATCAACATGCTCCTTACTTTAGTGTTATTTCAGTTGATTATATATAAATAAAGATAAAGCAAGAATTCATTAAAAATCTTAGCAACAGTCCATTTTTGTGAAGCGTAGCGTAAAAATTAGTTACCGGGCAAATTATCGTGATCCTGATAAAATAATAGACAGAATCCTGTTCCTGAAATAAATAAAGGCGAGTTTAAAATAGCTCAAGGCACTCATAATTGAGTATTATATATATATGTAAAAAGATATACCATGATATACCTTTTTTTTTGGTGGGAGGGTCTTTTGTAAAAAAAAATATCAACAAGAATGGTAAGAATAAGATAAAATTTTTTCCTGCATCATGCAAAAATAATAGACAAGTAAAATGTAAAGTATTAGTGATATCTTATATAGTTTATATTCTACTTATAATAGAATAGATGACTATTCTGGTCTTTTTTTTTTTAAGGAAATTTAAATTGACAGCTGCACGTGTTTATCGATAAAATTGACGAGTGAATATAATAAAAGCATGCACTCGAGAATGAAAATGACGTGAAATAGACAGTAATTTGGTACAGAAAAAAAAAAGAGAAACATAACTTTATTTGCATAGAACGATATATAATTTTTATGCGAATTTCGTCTGGTTGACGTTGATTTTATCGATGAATATCTAGTTAGGAATGTGGAATGTTAACGTCTTGTTTAAGATATATCTGTATTATTTGTGAATTGAATATAATAGTTAATCATATGTCAGGATTAGAGATATGTTCTTATGAATGAATATAAGAAAATAAGTAGAAGAGATTAATACTCGTATAAAATCTAAAGTTAGTAGTAGAATCATGGGGGGGAGGGGTACCTATTTTTTTTTTTTGTTACTAGTGTATAAATTATTAAATTTTATTTGAATACCATTAAAGAATGAACTAAAGTAATTTTTATTTAATATTTTAATGCATGGATTTCATTTCCATTTTTCTGAATAATTATAAATATGTAAAAGACGTTTTTATAATTTTTCTCTTCTTTACGTATGTACATACATTTATTCTCAATACCAAATTCTTAAAAAAAAACAAAAAAAAATGACAATCATGAATGTTAACAACAACAACAATAATAATAATCAACGTTTTTTCAAGTTAGGAAAATTTATTAAAACATACAACACTAAGAATGAAGACCTTGAGAAAGTAGTTGAAGTCAAGACGACTCTTCTCGGAAAGTTAACAAAGAGATTTGTAAAAACGACCAAGATCCATTCCTTGATCAAGAAACAGGACGACCCTGCTGACAAGCTCTGTGTGTCCTCATTAAAGAGCGTTCCTGAACGGTCTTCTCTTTCCTCCTCTTTGTCAGTCAATGACTGGCAAGTTCATGAAGAGTTGAAAAAGCCGATCGCTCATCGCCAAGCAGAGCTTTGGAAAGAATTTGCTGTTGTTGGCACCGACAGCATTCCTGGTCCAGCAACTAATGGCAGGTTACCAGCTTCCTGGAGAGAAAGCATGATTCTTTCCGGAAAGGTCAAGATATTGGATGCAATGAATGATAAAGAGATCAAATACCAGGAGTTGATACATGAGATCATTTATACTGAACAATTGTATGTACATGATCTCATTTTGATTCATGAGGTATGGATTCATATAATAGGATGCTATACATATCATAGATATAAATTATTTATTATAACAGATTTTTATGAAGGAATCCCGTCAGTTTAATGGATTACCTTCTTCAGTAAAGATTTTGTTTGATAATGTCACCGAAATCATTCAAGTTCATTTGAATATGTTAAAGGTAAATTATTATTATTTTGTAAAAATTAGGAATCTAATAAATATATTTATCTCCTTCGTGACATATCATTAGGATTTGAAAAGTCTGCAAAATAGTACATGCGGAGTAATAAATTCTATTATGAGCATTTTCAATTATTATGTAAAAAGAAAAAAAAAGTTAAAGAGGAGGAAGGAGAAGATTATAGATGTTAACCATCTTTTTTATATCACAATAATTCGTAGCTTGATTTTTTCTCGTTATATTCTGTTTATTTTGACATTTTTGAAGATGCTACAAATACAATTGAAGATTGTATTAAATCAAAGAATGAATTTGGCTTATTCTTAGCAGTAAGTATTTACCCTCCCCGAATTATAATTATTATATTATTATTTTTTTTTCTAAAATATATATGTATATATTTAGCGTCGTTCGTTATGGGAAGAATGCAAGAACTTATCTTTAACTGCTTACTTATTGAAGCCTATTCCAAGGATAATGGCGTATCCTTTATTCTTCAAATCTTTACTTCGATGTGTGCCTGAAACAGATTATATACATGAAGATATTCAATCCTGCTTGGCAAAGTTGGAGAGAATGCTTCGTTACTTTGAAGAAAAGAGGGCAGATGAGGATGATTATAAGAAACTCGTAGATCTTGAGAACCGTATTGTTGGATTAGATGGCTCATCTCCAGTTCATATTGCGAAATATGGTAGAAAATTGATTTATGAAGGTTATCTCGACACTACTACCCCTAGTCCAAAAAGATACCAAGATCATCAGCTATCAGAACAAATTCAAGAAGCTTTGGTTGATACTACCACACAGTCTCTTTTTAAAAGAAATAATCGCTTCCCTAGAATTATTCGAAAGAAGCAAGTTTATGTATTCTTATTCAATGATTTAGTTGTTTGCACTTATGTAAGTTTATTTTTTTTTTTAAAAAAAAAAAAAAGAAAAGAAAAAAAAACCTAAATGTATTTGTTAATTTTGTAGGAACGTAATAAAAAGAAAAAATCAAATATGAAGGGTCGCAATTTACGTAAGAGGCTGTTTTATGGTCCATCTGCAGATACGCTTTTCAAGCTTGCTCAAGTTGCAGGCAATCTTCACTCGTTTGAACGTGAATCTGGCACTTGCTCCTTCAAGCATCCTTCATTATTTCAACCTATTACTGATTTTATCTCTAATGTATTCCACACAAATAACAATGACTCTAAAAGGGTTAGAGACTATAAGAAACAACGCCATGATAGTGAACAAGTATCAGTATTACAAAAGAAGACATTAGGATTTAATTGTATGATTGAAACAGCTAGTAATAATGTCTCTACTCAAGTAAGTTTTATTGCCGATTCATTTGAAACAAAGGATACTTGGTGTGGCTATCTAGAAAACATTAGAGTTGAATACTTGAATAATGCCGCAAATAATGTAAATGAATACGAACTTTATATTCAACAAAAAATCAAATTTGCTCAGGAGTCGCTTCTTTCATTTAATGATCGTTCAACTGAAGTATTCCCTGACTCAACTTGTACAATATGGATTAACGAAAATACGAAATTAGACAATGATGATTGTTTCTCTAATTTGAAGAATATTACATATGATATAAAGCTTCCAGTTGAATTTGAAGGTTTCTTGAAGAATACTTTTAATAATAGAATTTGGACTTCCAATATTTCTATTCTTTTGTGAAAAAAAATGAAAAAAAAACGGAAACAACTTTTGTATCAAGAAGACTTGTAATATATATATATATAGAGTAATTAAGTATGATGTACAGATTATTTATTTATTTATTTATTTTTCTTATATCCAAGTATCTATGTACAGAAATTGTTATATAACTTGATTTGTTTAAAATAATAAATATATCATATACCATAATAATAGGTATTTATTAATAACGGATATTATTATGATGATGTATAGTCAAAAGTAGTATCATAAAAAAATCCAGTACCTAAACCAGAAGGTACTGGAGGTACTTCTATAACACCGTGAGGAACTTCAACTCGATCTCCAGCAATCTGTAATAATTTTACTTTCACGCCCACTTCTGTAAGGGTGTGAAATAACTCAGCAGTTTCTTTGCAAGTAAACCGCTTATCAAGTAATAACATACTGAATCCGTCTTTCCATTCAGCTGCTTGAGTTGTTGTGGCACAATAAAATTCAGCGAGCGGAATATTATGATCCGTATATAATGCAAATGATAATTTGCTAGCATATGGAGCTGATGATAGACTGCTATCCAACATCATGTTGTTACTATTACTGAATGCTTGTGACGTAGCACTATGATGATTCATGGATGACTTGGTATGTATTGTTTGAATTTCAACAATGGAACTTAAATCAATACGGTTAGGTAGCTTTTCATATGATTTTAATATGGGAGCTATTTTTTCTGAAAAATCACCATACATGAGCGCCTTTTTAGATTGGCTTAATTTGTAATATCGCCAGCGTTTATTACCAGTCGTTGTACTCATATTGTTAGTTAACAAAGAGGAAGAAAGAGATGGATTGTTATTGAGAGGTGTAGTAGTAGTGGTAACAGTAGTAGTAGCAGCAGAAGTAGTAGTAGTAGCGTTTGTAATAGTAGATACTAAATGTAAAGAATTATTATTATTATTGCTATTTGATGGAATGACAGACATTCTTTGTTGAGATACAGGACAAGGAAACCAAGCACCCTCTAGTAAACAACTAATTCTTTGTTTCTTAAGAAACTCATAAGATTGTCTAGATAATCGTGTACGTAGATGACTAAAAAATGTTTAAGTATATATTATATAATACAGTTTAATATCTATACCTAATAGCATCTCTTCCTAATAAATCATCAGCCCATTCAAGTTCTTTTAAGCGACGGTCACGAATTTGTTGATATGGAGTTTCAAACATAATTCGATCAAACTCGATTATATTTTTGGATGTAAGACTGTCGTTTAATGTTGATCTTAATTGACTCCTTACAAGAGCTGAAACCTTTGAGAAATCGAACGTTGTAGCTTCCATATCATGAAATATTCTAAAGAAAGTTTGTAAAGTTGTAGAATGCACATGGTTAAAATTTAATATTAATGGTTGGAATTCACTTTTAGTAGTATCTAACAAAAGGGAATGAATTTAGTCTACCTACTGATTTATTGATTTTATATTTATTTATTTATTTACTTATTGATGTTGCAGTTATATTCCAGTGACTAAGTAATAAATCTGTAACTTCTATACTTGCTTTTGCAAATGGACATCGTTTGCCCTCTGGACGATGAGTTTGCTCTAAAATTAGTTTTGAATACAAATCTTGATTATTTATAACGAAATAATGCATTCCTTCCAAACCAAAAAGACCTATTCGTCTAAATTCTCTATGAGGCACTTCTGACTAAACATTGTAAAACATATAAATAAAATAAAATAAAGAAAGAAGACTATATGTTATATACATACTGTAAATCCAATCTTTTTCCATTTCTTTGCACCTGGTATATCAACTTGCTCTAACTTTGCAATTTCCCATATATCATTCAACATTTTGACATGATGCGGATTATTTATTGAAACAGCTGAGTTATACCTTTTATTTAAATTTTGCATAAAAACTGTTTGGTATTCAAGTATCATTAATTTCAGTTCAGTTGAAGGATGGTGATTCATTAGTCTCTATTTTATATGTATATTTTAGAAAAAATAAAATTAAATTAAATTAAAAAAAAACTGTCTTATTACTTATATGTAAAGTCTTTTCGAAATATACCAAAATATTTTTTTGTAAGTTGGAGTGTTCATACATGCTTGAAAGCTGACTTCGATATTCATCTGTTACGTATTTTAAGATGACAATCAAAAGTGACATACTCGTGATAGATAACATGTATTCTGGGCTTAGGAGTCTATCTACAAGAGTCGTAATGAAGGTTGGTTCAGCTTCAATTGCTTTATGTATGGTTGGATAGCCATAACAACGAATGGATGAAACGGAATCTGATGTTGCACAAACTAATTTGACTAAAATCGCGATAGCAGGACGAGCAATGGTAGCCAGTTGTTCTATCACGACAACATGTGCAATATGAATAATAAAGTCATCCTCTAACGACTCCCAACCTGTATCATGTTCCATAAGAGATAAAAAAGAATTTAGTGCGTAAGCTAAAGTATTTCCTGTAGAATTTTTGATGATATCACATAAAGAACCCAATCCTCCTCTTTCTAAAAATTCAGCTGCAAACTCTTTCTCCTTTTTTTTTTTTTTTTTTTTTTTTGATTTGATTTAATAGGATGCATAAATTTTTGTTTGTTTTATATGTCTTACTTTTAAATAACCTTGCAATGAGAAAGTTGCAATTTTAAGTGATTTATCGTCCTTTGCAGTAGAGATATTCACATTTGATGAACTTTCAGATAAACTAAAACCGGAAGAAAGTCTTTTAATAGCTTCTTGTGCAGTTGGTTTGGAATCAAAATTATAAGATTGAGACATTGAAAAAATAAATAAATAAATAAATAAAAAAAAATTAGAGGTAAAAAATAAATAAAAACTCTAAACCTTATATGGCCACGTGATAGTATATCTGCTTCAACCAATTATTTGTCCATTTTTTCATAGCTTAACCTGGTTTTGAAATTAAAATAAATCCAGGAAAAAAAAAAAAGGAATGGTCTAGAGATAATTCAAAATATCAGAAAACTATTCTTATTACACACTTTTTGAAAGAAAGGTATTAATTAAATTAATCTTCAACTTTAAACATGTCGACAATCTCGAAATGGTTAATCATCGATATTAAATACCAATCTTTATTTCAAGTAAAAATTAGGGAAGGACGATGAATTAATTACTTCTAATGTAGAGAAAAAAAAAAGAGAGGGAAAGGCTATGTTCGAAAGATTAAATGAAGAATATCAAATAGCATCTAAATTGAATAGAAAAAAAAAGAAAGGAATTCAGTTTATTGTTCCTATTTTTTGTAGTCTATTAATTCAATACAGAGACTAAGCCGTTTTATGATTTGTTCCACTCACTCAATACGTGTTTATATAATCAATTTTGAAAAAAAAAAAAAAAAAAAAATCTGAGTTTCAACGAATGAATCCATGAAATGTATAAAAACGACAAATTTAAGAATTTTTTAATATTTTTTTAATATTTTTTTTTTTTCTTTTCTTCTAAAAATATGAGTACTTTAATAATTGACAAGGACTTTAATGATGACATTATACATTTGAATGAAGAACCCTTGTATGCATATAGTTCACCTTTTACTATAGATGAGCTTTATCCTCAACAAAAAAGTTTATTTAATGATAATACTAAAAATTTATTTGATAATTCAAGTGAAGAAGAATTTCATCCACAAGCACCTCCTCCTTCACCACAATCAAAACCTATGCTTGATATGATATTCACTTCAAAGCTTAATGAAAATGAAACATTATTTCCTTTTGAACAACATGCTCAAGCTTTAGATAAGCTATTACGTAAAACATTAAAGAAAAATAGGAATGGAAGTATAATAAAATCTTCTAAAAGACAAAGATCGAGTTGTTTACGTATACTTCCTGTTAACAATCAAGAAACGTCACTATTATCTCCTTCATGGAAAACAAGAACAAAAAGTCAAAAAATGGATTTTATTATAAAGGCTACTGAAAATACAAAGAAGTTAAAATCAGTTATAATTTTAGATGATAAAGAAGAAGAAAAGATAATTAATGAATTAAAAGATATGGGATTATAAGTTTTAATTTAACTATGCATGCATATATCGAATAAGTGACAAAGGAAGAAGAAGAAGAAGAAGAAACAAAAAAAGAAAAAAAGAAAAGAATACCTTTCTATATAAATACATACGCAATCATACATATTATTTATACATAAACTATAAATGTACAGAGCTTTACTATGCCAATTTATGGCAATAAATAAATATGAACTAAATAATAAATAACTTGAGTTCACTTTATATTCATTTATCGATAAAAAGAAGCTTATAAAGGTAACAAAGAGTTCTTCATTATTATAAGGTTTTACTTGATAGTCTTTTCAAACTAAATTGAATGATACTCCCTATATGTTGTTGTTATTGTGATACTTGTTCAATATTTCATAATCTGTCTTATGCAGTCTTATGCATTAATATCATGTTACGAGGCAAGGATTCATTGGACAGGTCAGGGAGTACAATGACTTTAATATTAACCATCTTTAGTATTATGTCCATACTATGCTTCCGAAAGTAAAGTGTCTATTGGGAAGAGACTGTTATTTATTTTATTAATAAAGAATAGTAAATATTGTATATGAAGTATATGTTAAATAGCATAGACCTCGTAAGAATGAATTTCACATCATTGTCTTTATTTCAGTTTAAGGGTTCTTTATTGAATATGAAAGTATTATGAAAAAAAGCCCTATCATGTATCTTCTTCAACATTTGAACAATCATACTGGCGCTTTTCTTTTTATAAACATATATTCAAATATTGAATTTTTTCCAATCCAATGACTTGCCGGATTTTTTTTTTTTTTGGACTTCTTAAGGTTATAAACTCTACATCAGATTCGATATTTTAAAGTAAAGATACTACTTCAATGAAATGCTTTACGATAACGAAAGATAGTTAATCGAAAAGCTATATGCATAGTATAATATCAATATTGTTAATGGTTACAAGAAATTAAACTTCCAAGAAAGTATTCAAAGAAACAGAAATGATTGGACTATAAAAGCCTTATTCAGTACCAAGGGATATCTCCTCATTCTTATATCGAACATACTATATTACTCAGTCAATTGAACTGAGACTCCTATTTTTATTTCACTTCAATGGCCACAAATGTAATCAAAATCTTGTTTTGTGTAAAAATCCAATGCAAAAAAAAAAAAAAAAAAAAAAAAAAAAAAAAAAAAAAGAAAGAAAGAAAGAAAAGAAATCGTCGCGTAAAGCTAAAAAATGGACATGCAAAAATAAAAATAAAAAAAGAATGCGTAAATGGATTGGGAAAATCCAATATTTATACATATACAGTCTCTTATAAATATTGTATTATTTGATAATCAGTAGAAATGCTTACATTTAATAAACTTTCTACTAAACATACTAATAACAAATGAGGCCATTTAGTTGAAATTGGCAAACATTAAAAAAAAAAGGTATAAAATATATACCAATATAATTTGCTTAAAACAAGGATAATATCAAGTAAATAAAAATAAAATAAAATAGGAAATATAAAGAAATAAAGTAAAAGAGACAAAGGAAGTATGTTGAGACTTGTTAATAAGTTTTATTAAGATAAATATGAGTTAAGAATTTTAATACAAAATAAAGGTAAACAATGTTAGATTATTTATATCTTTTGTGGATAAGGATAATGACTAATAATATACCAAACTGTATTTGATAATATTAAGAGTTATACATGTCTTTTTTGTATGTATGTATATATTTATTTTTATAAACTAATACATGTACTCTGAGTAAAATCTATTATTATTACGCGTACCTGCGTTATTCTTACTTTACCCCAGTTTAACTTTATAAAATTTATATTCAGCAGAACAATAATAGAAGAAGACATAGTTTTAGATGTAAGGCTTTTATTCCTTATTTTTCCTATACAAGGGTAAATATATTCTTAATATGTCTGCAGACAGAATTATCATAAAGGTGTCTTACTTGTTCTATTATGGCTATTTTATCTTATTGAATTAAGTTATAAATTTTACAACCATGACAAAATAATTTAATATAAATGCTATTTTTTATTTTACAAGTGTATATATGAAAAAAAAATGAAATGAAACAGAATATTGCATAAAGTAGGACTATTAAAAAATAGTCTTTCTTTTTTTAAGTTTAAGATTTGGTTACTTTAGTCGTTGTTCCTACTGCAGCAGAGAAGCCAACTTGACTATTTTTTGCATCAAAAGTAAGATAAGTGTTTCTAAGAATATTTTCGCCAAATATGAATATATTTTCCCCTGTAGCTTCAATAATAGCTCCTTCAACAATACCCCATACACAGGATTTAGCGGTAGATAAATCATTTGTATCTGTAGGATGAATCAAACTCTTTACTGGTACATCGACATTAATAATGGGTGACCCCTTACTTGTGGATGACTGGTAGGAAAATTTTACACGAACATCTGAGGAATGATAGTTACAATCTACAACATAGAGGCCTTCGAAACGACCATGAGCTACGGGATATGTTGTTTGGCCTGTCAAAGCACTTAATGTCTTTTTAGCGTATTCTGGTTTGATATAAGTTAAAGTGGTACCAGTATCAATTATAGTTCGATAAGACTTATCAAATCCGATGTTTGTAGCTTCGCCATCCTCCTTTGTTATAGAAATATCCTGAAGGAAGACTTCCCATCCTTCAGAAGTCTTTTCATTTTTATTAGCAACTTGAGCATATTCAATGGATCCGGTATACAAATCAGTGTTTGCGCCACCTAAAGCTAATTCACCACTCCATCCCAAAGCGTCACGTTCGTCTTTATATCCCAAAGAGATAGAAAACACAGCTTCTTTGATCAAATTTTGCTGTATCATGTGATAAAAAAGATTCGCAGACGGGCTATCTGTTTTGTCTTGTGCATTCATATTTTGGTAACCAAAGCCGAGAATACCATCAACACGAACCGTGGATGGTTCTTCCTTGTTACCCGTGTTGACAGTAACCTCTCTAGGATGTAAAATTCCTTGTTGCATTTCAGCTAACCCAAACTTTTGGTTTTGAACTTGAATACCTGCTAATGTAACTACATCCGTACCATATTGACCTATAACCGTACCAGTACCATAACTTAAATCCAATGTATCATCTAAATAGTTGAAGGTAGATGAATCGTATGTGATGAAAGGTGTAGAAGGACATTCGAATGATGGACAGTCCTCGCTAGCAACCCATAATTCAGTGCTATATATATATGTATATATAATATTATATTATATGTTAGTAGATGTATATGTGTATTGAATAAGACATGTATATACCTTCCAGTATCTAAAATCAGTTGAAATTGTTGTGCAGGTGTGCCAATTCCGATACCAACAAGATACTGAGTATACCAATCGAAAATAGGAGCACTTGATAACGCACCATCTCTACGTAGAAGAGATACGTTAAAATTTTCTCTAGCTATGACATTTCTTGAGATAATGGGAAGTTTGATTAACGAAGGCTCTCGACTAATCGAGGCTGCAGTAACCACTGAAGATCCAGTCAAAAGTGAAAGCTTCAAAATCGAAAATAATAGACTGCTCACAACCATTTTTATATATATGTATGTATATATATATATATGTATGTATATATATTAGTATACTTTATAAATAAAGGCTATAGAAATAACAATAACAAAAAAAACAAGTTGAAGAAGGAGAAATGATCTATTATTTATATATATTATAGACAGAGGAAAAATAAAGAAACATAACTCAATCATGTCAGAAATTTGATTCTCCGCGTCTATCATTTTTACAGGCTTCAATAATTCCGCTTTTATTGATTTCATAAAAAAAATACTGAAAGTATAATAGTGGATGTAATTTTTTTTTTCAAGAATTTATCAGATTAATAAAGATTATCGTAATACAAACTTCGTATTTACAAACTGATTCTTTAGTAGATAATAAATTTTTCAGAAAATTTTGTTCCTAATTTTACAAAGTTTGAATCAATCACTGTTTCTTGTAAATACTTGTCCGATAACTAGGAGCTCTTAGGTCCAGAAATTATTATTTAGAATGTATGAATAATTATGATTTTGTTTTATCTATATTTGTATCAATTCTTGTTTCTTGTAAACACTTGTTCGATAAATGGGAACTCTCGTATCTTGAAATTATTATCTAGAATGTATGGAAATTCATGACTTTTTTTTTTTTTAAAAAAAAAAATCCATATTTGTATCAATTCTTGCTTCTTGTAAACACTCGCGTCTTGAAATTATTATGAAAATGCGTGATTTTTTTTTTAAATCCATATTTGTATCAATTGCTGTTTCTTGTAAACACTTAATCGACAAATGGGAGCTCTCACATCTTGAAATTATTATAAATATTCATGATTTTTTTTTGTTTTATTTTTATTTGTATCAATTTCCGTTTCTTGTAGTCGCTTATTCGATGAATGGGAACTCTCGGGTCTTGAAATTATTACTTAGAATATATGAATATTCATGATTTTTTTTAATATCTATATTTGTAACAATTCCTGTTTTTTTTTTTTTTTTTTTTTTTTTTTTTTTTTTTGTAAACACTTATTCGATGAATGGGAACTCTCAGGTCTAAAAACTATTACTTAGAATGTATGGATATTTATGATTTTGTTTTGTCTATATTTGTATCAATTTCTGTTTCTTATAGTCGCTTATTCGACAAGTAAGAATTCTTGGGTCCTGAAACTATTGTTTAGAATACATGAATATTCATGATTTTTTTTTCTGTTTCTCTCTTTATCCATATATTACATAGCCTATTTACCTGAAGTAGCTTTATCAATTGTATTTTTTTTGAGCTGTTAAGCAATCTATAGGTTAAAAAAAGCATTCCAAGAAACAGAAATGATTGGATTATAAGGGTTTTATTTAGTGCCAAGGGATATTAAAGTTGAATACATATCTCCTCATCCTTACATCGAATATAGTTTATTACTCAGTCAATTGAACTGGGCCTCCTATTTTTATTTCAGACCAATGGCTACAAATGTAATGAAAATTTTTATTTATCCATAAAAGATAATCTGTTTTGTGTAAAAATCCAACGCAATGTTGAAAAAAAATAAAAAAATAAAAATAAAAATAGGATGCGTAGATGGATCGGGAAAATCCAAAATATGCATACAATCTCCTATAATAATCAGTCATGTTGCATATATAATTCTGTATTACATAATATTCTATAATATTCAGATCAGAGTCATTAGTGATTGAATGATATCATAGTTCACAGTTCTGCACTTTATGCATACAGTATTAATTTGATTTCAGTTTATATAAGACATTCTTGTGTTACGAGTTAAAATTACATAATAACAGACACTGGTGTTATCAAAGCGATAATGAGGCAAAACATAGAGTAAAGAGTTACTGATGATGAGGATGAATATATATATTATAGATTAGTTACAACATACTAGTATTATTCTTATTGAATATACTCATTTATAAATGTAATCATATATTATCTATTCTAGTTAAATACACTGTGATATGTAATGGAATACATCCAAGTAGTACATTGAAAGAATGAATATAGAGTATATAAGAAACTGGTTAATATATAAATCTACATTGTAGTGCCTTCTCTATATCATCCACAGGTATGAATAAACGAAGTTTCATTATTTGGTTTCAAAGAAATAGCCAGCTAGATTATAAGGACTCATAATTTAATTTAAATTTTGGTGAACTGAGATTAATTTTCAATCAGGGTCAAAGTATTATAAACCTTAATTAATTTTTAGGGGGTGAGAACACTTTTCTCTCACGATCTCCACATTCTGTTCCTGTTGCGAAGTTACTTGTTCTTCAAAAAGATCCATTTTGCACTTATTTCAAAAGTTCAATTTTTTTTAATTATTTAATTTTTCTCGATATATAAAAGTTTTCATATATTTATTCTGTCTTACTCTATTTTTGCCTGATTATCAAGTAAAACTGTTTATATTTAATAAACTTTCTACTAAACATATTAATAGCAAATAATGCCATTTAGCTGAAATTGACAAACCATTAGAAAAAAGGATGGTATAAAGTACATATTGATATAATTTGTTTAAAACTAGGATAATATCAATAAATCTGTTCGTTACCATCAGAGAATGATTGAATATAAATACTATTTTCTATTTTTTTTTTATTTTTTTTATTTTTTATTTTATTTTACAAGTATACACATATATGAAAAAAAAAGCAAAATGAAACAGAATATTGCATAAAGTGGAACTATTAAAAATAATAGAGTCTAAGTTCATGAAGATTTAGTTACTTTAGTAGTTGATCCTAGAGCAGCAGAGAAACCAATTTGATTCTTTCCTACGTCAAAAGTAATATACGTGTTTCTAAGGAAACTTTGTCCAAATAAGAATAGTCCTGCATCTTCATCATCACCATCATTCACAGCTTTTCCAATAATACCCCAGCCACAAGTTGTAGCAGTAGATAGATCATTTGTATTTAAAGGATAAATTAAACTTGATACAGGTACATCCACAGTTACAGAGGCTGACTTCTTCTTCATAGATGTCTTGAAGACAAATTGTAAACGAGCATCTGAATTACGATATTCACAATCGATAAGAAAGAGACCTCCTGGACGAGTGATGATAAATGATGTTTGGCCTGTTAAAGCACTTAATGTTTCTTTAGCAAATTCCATATCAACGTAAGATAAAGTGGTACCAGTATCAATGATTGTTCGACGAGGCCCTTTCAACTTGATATCTAAAACCTTGTGATTCTCTGTACTCTTTGTCATAGAGATACCCTGAGTGAGGACTTGCCACATTTTATAGGACTTCTTCTTTTTCTTTTGAGATATAACTGAAACATATTCAATGTCTCCTGTATACAAATCAGTGTTTGAACCACCTAAAGTTAATTCACCATTCCATCCTACAACATTATGGGTCCTATTAAATCCCATATAGATAGAGAACACTTCATCTGGGATCAACTTTTGCTTCATCATGTTAAAAAGAAGTGGGTCATAATGTCCTTTTCCTTTCACTCGTGTAGTTAACTTTGGGTAAGCAAGACCTAGAATACCATCAACACGAACCACAGATGATTCACCCTTCTTATGAGCCGTAGTCACATTTACCTTTTCATTACGTAATACTCCTTCTGTCTCATCAGCTAGCGCAAATATTTGTTTTTTAACTTTAACATCGGCTAATGTAACTACATCCGTAGCAAATTCACCTAGTGCTTCACCACTTCCATACAGTACATGAAATTTTTTATTCAAGTCCTTGTAGGTAGATGACTCGTAGCTGTCAAATCGTTTAGAGTGACACATTGTTGATGGACAGCACTCGCTAGCAACCCATAAATCAGCACTATATATATATATATATATTATATGTTAGTAGATGTATATGTGTATTGCATAAGACACGTATATACCTTCCAGTATCTAGAATCACATTAAATTGTTGTGGAGGTGTGCCAATTCCGATATTAGCAAGATACTGAGTATACCAATAGAAAACAGGAGTCTCTGCTAACGTGTTATCTCTACGTTGAAGAGATACATTATGATTGGTTTTAATTATGTCACCTTGTGAGATAAAAGGAATTTTGATCAACGAGGAATGTTGATTTGTCGAAGCTGCAGTAACCACTGAAGATCCAGTCAAAAGTGAAAGCTTCAAAAGCGAAAATAATAGACTACTCACTACCATTTATATATATATGTATATATATGTGTGTGTATGTGTATGTGTGTGTATGTTTATATACTTTATAAATAAAGACCACAGAAATAACAAAAAAAAAAAAAGTTAAAGAAAGAGAAAGGAATCTCTTATTTATACGTGTTATAATAAAAAAAAAACGTTATTATTTAATGGTATTTGAGGTTTGGTTCTCCGCGTCTATTGTCTTTATGTACTTCATTAATCCCGCTATTCTTGATTCCATAAAAAAGAAGGATTTAAAAGCACAATAGTACATGCACAAAAAAATTTTTTTTCTTTTTTAGCATTTATCAGATCGATAAAAACTATTGTAACACAAACGTTGTATTTACAAATTAATTCTTTAAAGTAGGAAAAATATAACAACAGAAAGTAAAAAAATCAAATAAATGATTTTTATTAAGTCATTTATTACTAAAAATTATATATTTGCCCCTTATAGAAATTTATAATAAATTTTCAGAAAACCATGTTCCTAATTTTACAAAGTTTGTATCAATTCCTGTTTCTTGCAGTCGCTTATTCGACAAGTGAGAATTCTCGGGTCTTGAAACTATTATTTAGAATGTATGAATATTCATGATTTTTTTTTTTTTGGTTTCTCCCTTTAACCATATATTACATAGCCTATTTACCTGAAGCAGCTTTATCAATTGTATTTTGAGCTGTTAAGTGATCCATGGGTACATTCAAAACGTTACTTAATACTTCACAAATTTGGTATTTCGTCATACATTCTTCTCCAGAAAAGTGATAAATGCCTTGAATATCTTTATGCTTCTCAAGCTTTGCAACTATATATATATATATATATATTAAGGCTTAATTTTTATATGTTCTAGACATAAATTTCTCTTGTGTACCTGCCAAGTCTTTTAAAACACGTGCCACATCTTGAACTAGAAAAGGGGAGGGGAACATATTTGTTAGTTATATAGAGACAAATACATTGACATGCAAATATATATTACCATTTGTAGGATATCGAACCCCAACATTATCAACAGTAGCAGGCTTATCATGATTCTATTATATACATACATATATATTAGCTCTTGTTTATTTGGTACACTCATATAGATACATGCAGACTTACCAATACAACATCAATCAAGATATTAACAGCAGATTCACTATTGTATTCAGTTTTACCATACAAAATAGGTACACGAAGAATAACAGCTTCTGGATAAACACTCTTGATGGCCTCTTCTCCACCTAACTTGGTTTTACCATAGAATTGTAATGGATTAGGCTTATCGTCTACTTCATAAGGTGGATTCTTTCCATCAAATACATAATCTGTACTAATATAGATCAACATAATTCCAAGCTCTTTACAAATAGTTGCTAAACATCTAGGTGTCTCAATATTTAACTAAACTCAACATTAGAGATTATACATTCATCATGACAATATATAAAATAATTTATATAATTTACACGAAGAACACCCTCATGATCTTGTTCAGCTACATCAGGACGACGTTCAGCAGCACAGTGAACTAAAACTATAGAAAGTTATACATATTAATATTCCATATACCTATTTATTTTTTCTACATGAGTTTACCATTAGGCTTTTGCTCCTTTAAAAATTCTTCAACTGCAGAAGCATCTGTCAAATTAAGCTATACATATCATCATATTTATGTTTATGTTTATATGCATATACTATGATTTATCCTACTATTTTATCCTACCTTGACTAAACCATTCTTAGCACGAGAAAATGCAGTCCCAATAACTAATACAATACTATTATAAGTCGATTACTAAAATATAAAAATAGACTAATTTACCATCCCATCCAGCTTGTTGAAATGCCTTGACAGTAGGTCTACCCAAGAGACCAGATGCACCAGTAATTACAGCTTTCATGTTTTTCTTTGTTTGTTCCAAAATTAAATTGAATTAAATAAAATAAATGAAATAGAATAAACAATGACCCATCAACAAAGCTGACGATAAATCGGAACTTTTTTATGTAAAAAAAAAAAAAAAAAAAAAAAAAAAAAAGTATTAATGGGCGGCTGTCGCCTCCGTTCACCACACTCACTCCTCTTTTTTTTTTTTTTTTTTTTTATTATTCCCATTTTTATTTTTATATATTTATTTTCTTTTCTTTTATTTATTTTCTTTCTTTTCAAATATACAAGATGGAGAATACAACAGTATCTTCAAGTGCCCAAGAAAGTGTAAACAAGGACAGTGTTGTACTTTCTTCTAATCTCGATAATCCAATTGTAACTTCAGTAGGTGAAACAATCTCATCTACTAAAGGTACAACAGATATTAAAGATTGGGAACATGACGTAGAGCCTATTCCTCGTCTTCAAGTAATTGACGAAAACCAAAAATTCACGTAAAAATATTAGACAATGAAAAGAAAAAAAAAAGAAGAGGAAGAGAGTTAGAAAATATTAACTTTTAAATAGTGAAGAACTTCCTGAATATATGAAGAAATGGGGATTGGCAGAGGCTGGTTTTAAGTATAATGTTGTCGCTGTGTTTGGTTCTCAAAGTACAGGAAAAAGTAAAGTATTAATGATGATGATAATAATAATAATAGGGCCCAGTTCCTGAATAGCATTATATAAATATATATATATATATATATTTATTTAGGTACTTTGTTGAATAGATTATTTGGTACTTCCTTTGATGAAATGGATGAAAATCAACGTAAACAAACAACAAAAGGTATCTGGTTGTCTCGTGGTAGAGGTATGCATGTGCTCGTCATGGATGTTGAAGGTACTGATGGTCGTGAACGAGGAGAAGATCAAGACTTTGAAAGAAAATCTGCTTTATTTTCAATGGCTACAAGTGAAGTCATTATTCTTAATTTATGGGAACATCAAGTGGGTCTTTACCAAGGCGCTAATATGGGACTTTTGAAAACTGTATTTGAGGTCAATTTACAATTGTTTCAAAATCAAAAAAGGTTTGTATCTGATTGCACGTGATATTTATATATTAACTCCTTTTTTTTTCCTTCAATTTATCTAGTAAAGAAAAGACTTTATTATTAATTGTCATTCGTGATTTTGTTGGTGCTACACCTTTGCAAAACTTGGCAAATACTCTGAGGACTGATCTTGAAAAGATTTGGGAAAGTCTATCAAAGGTAATAATCAATTAAGATAAAAAGAAGACAACTATTTATACATGTTTATATAGCCTGAGGGACTTGAAAACTGTAAAATTACAGATTATTTTGATTTTATGTATACTGGATTACCTCATAAAATTTTGTTACCTGAGAAATTCGATGAAGAAGTGAATAAACTTCGTTTAAGGTATTATAGCAATTTAAACCTATTATATGTGTATATGTAAATTAACTTTAGTTTTCTACAAGATTTAATGATCCTAATAATCCTGATTTTGTATTTCGCCCTGAATATCATAAACGTATTCCTGCAGATGGTTACAATATGTATGCGTCTAGTATTTGGGATAAAGTCTTGACTAACAAGGACCTTGATTTACCTACTCAACAAGAGTTATTAGCTCAATATCGATGTGATGAAATTTCAAATGTAACAACTAAAGATATATATAACAGTACATAAAATTAACCCTTTTTTTTATTTTAGGCTGCCTTTGAAGTATTTAAAGAACAAATTATTCCTTTTAAAACACCTATTATCGAAAAAAATCAAATTATTGCTGATTTAGGTGATCAAATGAAGGCTTTAAGAGAACAAGCTCTCGAAACATTTGATAAAAGCGCATCACGTTATAATCAAAACGTTTATCAGAAGAAACGTCAGGAAATGCTTACTAAATTAAATACACAATTAGGCGTTTATTTTATTGGTCAGTTAAATAATTTACATAAAAAGGCAGCCACAATGTTCGCTGAAAACTTGGATACGCAGCTAAAGAAACCTGGATATAACTTTGCAGAGATTGTTAGTTTATGTAATAAGGAAGCTACTGCATTCTTTCTTTCTGGTGCTAAAGGTAAGTGTTTTGGCATATTAGTTTCAATATATGAATATATATTAATACTAGACCCTTATTAGCTATTCTTTTATCTGATACGGATTGGTCTTATGAGCATGAAGAACAATTATTAAATGAAGATCTTGCTGATATCTCATTTAAAGCCCGTGCAAAGGAATTTAAGAAGATGAATAAAGCTTTAGAAAAACAAATTGAAGCTGAACTTTCAGATCCTGTAGCACTTGAACTTAATCGTCCTGAAGATGATATGTGGCATAGAATTATTGAACAATACAAAAAGACAATTAGAGATGGTGAAGACTTATTAGCCAAAAAAGCAAAATGTAAGGAGGAAAAAAAAAGAAAGAAATAGAATAACATTGAAGCTAATGACTTTTTATTATTATTGTTATTTTTGTACACAGCCTTTGATTCATCTAAAGAGGAAATTACACAATCAATTATTGACTTGAAAAGACAGACATGGATTGTACTTCGTAAAAAGGTGGATGAAGAGTTGGCTGATAATTTACTATTATTGAAACTTCGTAATAGGTATTGCTATCTATATGGAAATATATCCATAGATATATAAATATGTATATGTATACATATACGTATATATATTCATATATACATGTATATTAACCATGAAAGTTTATAATGTTAGGTTTGAAGAAAAGTTTCGTTATGATGATAAAGGCCTTCCTAAGGTTTGGAAACCTGAAGATGATATTGACTATTACTTTAAAAATGCAAGAGATGAAGTAAGTAACAAACCTCTAAAAAAAGAAGTGTTTGGTGAAATCATTTATATTTATATTGTTATTATTAGACATTATCTTTGGTAAAGACCTTTTCAAAAATTGATTTAAGTTTAGACAAAGACTTTGAACTAGAATCAACTGAAGAATTTGATTTCAAACAATCACTTATTATTCTTAGTGAAGCAAAACAAATTGATATTAATAATCGATTTAAACGTGAATGTGATGCCTTTTATTTGGAAGCTAAACGATCTGTGGTCGCTACGACTGCCAAAGTGCCTACATGGGTTATTATCATGATGATCGCTCTTGGTTGGAATGAATTTATGGCCATTCTCAAGAGTCCTATTTATCTTGTTCTCTTCATTCTTTGTGTTAGTGTTAGTTATGTTGTATATGCTCTTAATCTTTGGGGCCCTCTTGAACGAATTTTCTCATCTGTGTTTAATGAAGTTACAAAAATGGCTAAAACTCGAATTGCAGAAACGGTAAATACTACTGGTCATGGAAGTCAGCAATATGCATTATCAGACTTTAAAGATAAACGAGAGTAAAATTCACATTTATATGTTTTCTCTTTTTTTCTATTTCCCTCTTTTTCGTTTTCTTTTTGCAATGTATATATATAGATATAACACATATCAATAAATATTTATATACGCATTTATATTTAAACAATGGTTCTATATTTATGTCAATTTTTTTTTGTTAAAGGAATAAAGGAGGAGGAGGAGGAGAGAAAAAAAAAGAGATTAAGGCTCCAAACGCTTGGGATCACGAGGGAACAAACTAGAACGACGAATGTTACCAAGAGCAAGGAAGAGCATGACAACACGTTCCAAACCAATACCACCACCAGCATGAGGAGGAGCACCAATCTTGAAGGCATCAATATAAGGTTGAATAGTGGCAATTTCAACACCATGAGCCTTGGCACGCTCGGTTAAGAAGTCAGCATCATGAATACGTTGAGCACCAGACAAGATTTCTTCACCACGCATGAAGAAATCATATGAGTTGGAATATTCGGGGTTTTCAGGATCAGGCATGGTATAGAATGGACGAACAGCCAAGGGGAACTTATCGAGGACATAGAAATCAGTGTGGTATTTCTCTTTGACAAGCTTACCCAATAATTTTTCATTAGCAGTACTCAAGTCTTCAAAATCACCAATTTCAACACCAGCCTCTCTTAACATCTTGATACCTTCAGCATAAGAAAGACGAAGTGTCTTGGGCAAGAATTCAAAATCTTCAAATTCATATTGTTTCTTTACAACTTCAATTTCCTTGCTGAAACGTGATTTAAGATTTGAGAAGATATAGACAAAGAGCTCTTCAAGGACTTCAACAACTTCGTAGTAGTGTTCATTGAAAGCCATTTCCATATCGAGACCCATAAATTCAGTCATATGACGATGTGTGTTGGAATCTTCAGCACGGAAAACAGGAGCAATTTCAAAGACCTTACCAAAATCGGAAGCAATACACATTTGCTTATAAAGTTGGGGAGATTGAGCCAAATAGGCGTTTGTCTTGAAATAATTCACCTTAAAGACATTAGAACCACCTTCAGAGGCAGCACCAATCAACTTGGGAGTATGAACTTCCATAAAACCACGTTCAATCAAAAACTCTCTGAAGAGCAAACATACAGCGGATTGTAAGCGGAAGATAGCATGATTGGTAGTGGTACGAAGATCAAGAACACGATTATTAAGACGTGTATCAAGATTAACACGAGAGAGCTGAGCATCTTCGTCATAAGAGCTTTCAGGGCGAGAAGCGTCTTCTAAAGAGAAAGCAAGACGAACATTCACTTTAGAAACAACAAAGAGCTTTTCAATAGCAAGTTCAGCACAAGAGATAGTACAACTCTTCACTTCTTCAACAGGCTTTACAATCTTGGCTTCAACAAGAACAATAGATTCAGGTGAAATACCAACACCAAACTTGACCATTTGCTTAGAGATTGTCTTATCATCGGCAGTAACAATACCTTGAATTGTAGAAACACCTTGACGGAAAACAAAGAAACACATCTTACTACCTGTAGCACGAGAAGTTTGAACACGGGCACGGACTGTAACAGTTTCACCTTCACGAGAAGCATTGATAGTATTGATATCTTCATACTTGGTATCTACATAGTATAGGGTTTTTTTTTTCAATAACCAAATCTCACTTATATATATATCTTTAAATTTAATTTATTATCTTACCAGTACGAGTTTGAGATTGGTTCATAGGAAGCTTGCCATAACGGTCTTTAGAACAATCCTATATATTGATATAAACATACAAATTTTTTTTTCAATAATGCACGCAATATATAAAGATAAAAATTTAAACCTACAACTTGACTGGCTTCTCTAGCAGCCTTTTCAGCAGCAATTTTAGCAGCAGTAGCAGCCTTTCTTTCGGCTTTCTCTTTTTCCTTTTGAAGTTTCTTATAGGCACTCTTGGTAATAGGCTTACCTTCATCGCTAATAAATAAAATAAATACGATAAGTTTATTTTCTATTTTCATTTATAAATAGACGTGTAAGCTATAAAACATCATTTTAAAACATACTCCAAGTAAACTTCCTTGGTCTTTTGAGTGATGTCTTCAACAGCGGGATCTTGTGCTGACATTGTTGTTCGTAAATGAAAAAAGAAAAAAGATGTATACTCGCGATGTAGGGACGACACACTTATGAAAATTTTTTATACTCAGTCGTTGGCAGTCACTTTTTTTTTCCTGTTCATCCCGAGAAAAAAAAATGAACATAATAAAAAAAGTATTATGTAATAAACGCATAAAGAAAAAAAAAATAATAATTACTACCTAAAAGCAGTAATAGGAACATTTTTATAAATTAGCTAGAAATATACAAGCAATCTCAGTAAAAATAAAACTATGACTTTGTTTTATATACTAGAAACTATAAATATTTGTATTGTGAATAGTATACTCAATTCTTGTTCAAGTAAAATGCATATATTACGTAATATAAGTGTATGTATATATGCTGATTACATTTTTATTACATGTATAAGCTGTACAATATACTGATACATAAATGAGTTAATATTTATAATAAGCCAAATATAATGATTTAAACGTTAATTAAATCTTTTTCTCCAAGGTGTCAATACGTCTTCTCAAGTCAGCGAAATAATAAAGATCTGTATACTGGGCTATTGTTCTTGCTAAACTCTCGCTTAAACGATAATCTCTTTTATACAGGTTGATAGAAGGCGGTAGATAGTCTTTCACCTTATCTGGCAAACAAGTATGTTCTATACTAGTTTCCCCATTAGGTGCATTTATATACTCTAGAACTTCTTGATGATTGCTACATATAATTGATTAAAAAAATTTTTTTATTTCTTCTTCTTCTAGTATATTTCTCTTTTACTACTTACTTTGTAATATTGTTAATATGATCTAAATTCTTAAATAAATACTGAATAGAATCTGCATTTAAGTTCTTTTCAAAGCTTGTCAGGACATCATTCGTTTCCTTTTCCATCTTATCTATCTTTATGATTGATGCTTTTACTTTATTTCTTTCATGATGATTCTTCCTGATTTTTGCTAAATTCTTTGCCTGAAGGGATTTATTATCTGTTGTAGTAGGGTATATAATATCTTTTGAAAACATTTTATTTGTGATTTGATAGATGAGTTGCTTGCCTAAAAGGTCATGCAATGCATCTTTTTCTAATCGTTTGATATCAAATTTTTGATATTCTTTTTCTATTTCTTTTAATGAAGGTAACCCAAGCATCTCTCTTGCCGTACTTTCTACTAATTGATTCATGCTGTCTTCTGATACAAGGTCTTCTATTTGTTTATTTAAATCGTTCATTAAGTTTTCCAACTCCTTGAATTTTTCTTTGCTTTCATTCTCTGTTTCCTCAAAATATTTTAGTAAATATTTTTTTGCTTCTTCAAGATTATTTTCGAAATCGCTCTTTTCAGAGGCATCTAATTTACTGCTGAATAAGGGTGTTAGTTTCTCGACCAAATTTTCAATTTGAAGCTCGAATAAGCTTATTTTTAGTCTTGATTCCATATCTTCTTTCGTAGGAAGTGTTAAAATATCCTTTGTATCATATAATGGCATAATGTGCTTTAATGCCTTTTCAATCAATAATCTTTCATAAGATCGAATTCTGTAAAGTAAAAAAAAAAAAAAAAAAAAAAAAAAAAAAAAAAAAAATGAATAAAACTTCCTTCCTTGCATACTGTTATTTAAAAAAATATTTACTTTGATTCTATATTCTCTGCAGTCGTTGTTAATTCTTGAACATGAACTCCTGAGAAAACATATAAACTTTTATGATTATTTTTTCTTGTGTCTGTTATTAGAGAGTATATGTGCATGTTTTTTCAATGTTACCTAATTTTGGTTCAAAATCTGTACATGTATAAAATTTAATTCGTTTTGTGTAAACCTTTTTCAAGGTCTCCGTTTCACGCTTTCTTTTCTGATTACATTCGTATAATTCTTTGGCATCTGTACACATTTCTCTTAATCTATATATTTATATAAATATATACATTTATATAATTTAGCTGATGTTAGACTAATGGAAAGATAATAAACATACATCTGTGCAAAGTTTTCATTAACTGTATGTGCATCCTGAGAATCATTACTCTCGATCATATTTTAATACAGTAAAGAATTTTGATGAAATAAACATATAAAACAAACAAACAAACAAACAAACAAACAAAAAAAAAAACAAAAAAAAAAAAAAAAAAAAAAAAAAAAAACCGCGATTTTATTTTATTTATTTTCAGCAACAACTATGTATTTACACTTAAATATAATCTATTATCGAGTAATTTGGTATACATATTCTGCCATTAAGAATCTTTATTTATCTCAGTGTGATTTACTACATAAAATAGATTCTAATAGTAATATGAAAATATTCCTTGAATTATATCATTTATTAATATCAAACAAGCAATTATCCAATTTTTTCCTATCATCTATCCTAGACTAGGGGAATCATCAAATGCTATAACTGCAGAAAAATTTCATTTGAAATGATTGTCTATTTAGTGGTGTATCTTTCTTCTAAACTATTCATGACTTTCTTTGTGTTAATCCAATAACACAAATAGCTCAGAATAATGAAATAGGAATACCATTTATTTAATGACTTTTCTTTAATCTATTAAAATCTCGGTGAAAGTGCATATCAAGAATAGACAGAAATTGTACTGTAATTCGGTTTCTTTTTCTTCACTAATCAGTAAATACACACACATATATACATATATTTATAAGTGAAAGCCTCGCGTATATCGTTATTGCTTTGATATTCATTCTTTTATAATTTCTGTTAAACCTTACAACTATCAAATGCTTGCCTTCAAAAAAAAAAAATCTTTCAGCAAACAAAGTATTAATTATTGTTCAATCTTGTTACGATCAAATGTATTTATTTATTTATTTAAGAAGAAATGCTAACTTTAAACTACTGAGCGTATTGTGAGTCTAGTCATGCAATTAAAAGTTTCTAGTAACTCAGGATTTTCTAATATTTTATCTGTATCATGTACAGTTACTTCTCCATTTGAAGGGAGCCGATAAATAACATAGGGATCGATTCAGGATGTAACTATCGTGTGTCATAATAATATATTTATATTTCAAGAGTTAATTACCCTTTATTTAATCCTACCAGGCTTAAAGTACTTGGACAAATGATATATTCGTATACTTCTTTACGATATATAAAGGAAACTATACACTTCTTTAACAATACTATATACTATTATTCAGTTGCAACTAATATTTTTTTTCTTTAATTCCTCTCTAATATCCGTGTATTCTTATATAAAATACACTTCATTTAATAGCATGATCACCTTTTAAAAGTATTGTTTGTTCTCGTTAACTTTACTAGTTTTTTTTTTTTTTTTTTTTTTTGACAATTCTCTATAATGTTATATTAATAAATAAAGCCTCAACTCTCCTTATTCTTCTGCTTCTTGGAAGTTTCACAAAATAGAAAAGCTTCGTCCAAACTAGAAGAGGCCCTTATTGCTATTAGTTCCTCCACCAAAATCAAGTCATATGATATGCAGCAGAAAGTTGTGAACAAAAAGTTATAAGGGGTCATGCAACTTAAAAAAAAAAAGGTAGCTGAAGAAACAAAAAAGAAAATTTCTTAAAAGTAGAATTCCCTTGTCTAAAAGGAACCACAAGTACTCATTATAAAATGACATTATGGATGCCTATTGCGAAATATTACACACATTAACACACACATATATATATATATATGTATATGCTCAATGATATCATGTGCTAATATGACTTTATTCTATACAAAAATCTATATAGTTGACACAGTGGTAAATCAATAGAATCAATTAAAAGAAGGCTTAAATAGGATTGTAAATAATTAAACTGATGATGCCGTTTCTTCTATCTTGAATCATTTTGTCTTATTTAGATTTATTTTTTAATTCTTTATATAGCATTAACATTTTCTCTTCTTTCCAATCAGCCCAAACTTCATATATTGATAATATTTCTTGACTAATTTCTATTATACTCTTAATATCTACATTTAAATCTGCAAACCATTGCTTTATATCAAGTTGATCTCCTGTAGAACCTGGTGCAAAATCAGCATGATTTAATACAATTGTCAAATAAATAGCAGCCAAAGAAATTAAATGAGGTGGGTATAATAGACAAACATCAGTTCTATAAGAGTCATTTACTATAAACCAAGCATATTGAAGTCCAGTTTCTCTCATGCCAAGTTCATTACATATTTGTGTCAGTGTTCGATATGGATGCCAAACAATTAAATAAAATTCTAATTCTTCTAGTAAGTAAAACTCAAATTCTGCTACTCTGGATGAATCATATGGAAATCCTCCAAATTCAGCTAAATTAGAGAGTTTTTTTTTAGTTATATTTCCCTCCCTATTATAATTTATACAAAAATACCTTGAAATACTGTTTTTGCTTCTTGTGTTACCATTTTAATATGTATAGGACATTCTTCAATTTTAGTCGCTAGATAGACACATGTCACTAGCACAAGCACTGGGTCAGTTTCTCTTAAACTATTACTATAGATACTATTTAGTTAGTAAAAAAAAAAATGGTTATAATCTTTTATTATCTTACTTTATATAAAATCGTTTAAAATATACAAATGCTGTAGCTACTACTTGTTGTCTTAATTGAAGTCTTTTACCTAACTTTTGAATCACTACATAGGGAAGGTACATTTAGATGAATTGACTCTTCAATTATAAAAAAAAAATATTTACAATGATAAAACCAGATTCTAAGCTTTACGTAATCTGATTCAGAAACGTATTTTAAATCTTCTTCTCTACTTTTTGCCAGTGTCCATCGATCTAGTGTCCAATGGTGTCTATTCTTGAATAGTTAACAATTTTATACTCGATTACTGTTTCTCTTTTACATCTTACTTTTGTGTTGAAGCCCAATAATTAGCAGCCATTAATTTGAAATAAGTAAGTAAAACCAAAAAAAAAAAGGCTGCAACTAAATTTTTCTTTTCTTTTGTATCTGGTAATATAGCATTGGCGGAGAATAGTGGTATACCAGCAAAATGCAGTACTAAACTACAGATTAACAGATTTCTGTTACTGATAATACTAGATTTTTACTTAAGATCAAGACTATATCCGCAAAAGAATTAGACATTCTCGTTGTTGTTTTTTTCTGTAGGTTTTGTTAAAAAAAAATACATGTTATTTGTATTTTATTATAATACTGTATTAAAAACTCAGTGCTATTTGGTGTTAGACAATTTTCGCATGATATTGCGGTCATACATTGTTTACTTGTATTGCTCAAGTGGATAGTAGATAATTTATTCCTTTTTTTTTTGTTAAATAAAAGCTTAGTTTTTGACACAAATAAACGTCTATTCACTTTCATGACACCTTTGTCGCAAGTTATTTCAATGACTTGATCAGATAAGTTATAAAAAACACATGTATCATTTATATAGATCTGAATCAAGTGGAAAAAAAGAAGGCGTCTTTTTTATTGAAATATACCAATTTAGTTTTATTTTAATTCCTTAGGATCAATTTTAATAATAAAAATGTATATATTTTAAACGTATTACAAGCTTAATCTATCATCAAAACAACTTCTATGCCAAGTTTTTATCTAATTTAGATAAAAATCTAATTTTTTTTTGTACGCATAAAATTATACAACATCGTATTAACTAATCCCCTTTAAATACCTCATTTTTATTTCTTTCTTTCTTTTTTTTTTTTTTTTTTTTTTTTTTTTTTTTTTGTTTTTAGTATCCATGATTGTCATGCAATCAGAAAATGAAACGAATAAACAAGCATCACGATCTGCATCACCAGTTCCATCTGCAGTCATAGCTACGAATGAATCAAGTTTATATGATAACTATAGTACGAGTTTACCTAAAATATCATCAACTGAATCATCTTCAACTGATAATAAGAAGCCACTCATACAACAAAAGTCATTCCCTCACTTACCAGCAATGGCTAAAAAGAAAAATAACAGTAAAGGAAAATTAAATCATCATCAAGAAGAGAATACACATTTTTCAATACCCGCCACTACTACTACTACTATTCAATTTGCTAACGAAAAGAGAAATCAAGAATTTCACAACTTATTTGCAAGTGTTCCCAATGATGAAAAATTAATTAATAGTGTGTGGTATTTCCTATTTTATACAAATCTAATAAGGAGAGAGAGAGAGAGAGAGAGACATTTGATTGATCCTTATCCTTTTTTATAGTCTATGGATGTGCACTTCAAAAAGAAATTCTACTTCAAGGCCGACTTTTTATTTCAAAACATCATATCTGCTTTAATTCGAATATTTTTGGCTGGATCACGAATGTAATTTTTTTTTTTTTTTTTTTTTTTTTTTTTTTTTTTTTTTTTTTTATAGAGTAATTCTTACTGAGTAATTATTTATTAACTTGCTTAAAAAAAATATGTGTATAAATAGTTGGTAATAGCATTTGTTGATATTGAACATGTTGAAAAGAAAACTACTGCAAAAATTATTCCCAATGCAATTTCAATCTTGACCTATGCCTCCTCTAAAGTAAACATAAAAAAATAAAAAAATGAATATTTTTATTCATCTAATATTACTTTTTTTTTTATATACATACATAGTACCTTTTTACTTCATTTCTTTCACGTGATCAAGCTTACGATCAAATGGTTGAATGTTGGAAGGCTCTACCTGAACCAATTGATATTGTATTTGAAAATAAATATGATGATTTAACAACATTTTCAGAAGATAGCGATTCTTCTTCAAGCGACTATAGTACATACTCTTCTTCTTCATCTTATAATAATGGTATATACATATATATATATATATATGTAGATATATGTGTGTAATGTTGAATATAGTATGAGTGTAATAATACTTTTCCCCCCTTTTTAATAGATAAGAATTATTGTCGTCTTCAACAACAACAAATATCATTGCCTACTTTGGCTCTTAATCGATTGATAGATACTAGGATATCTTATGGGCGTAGAAGGGCTATTTCAGAAACAGGCTCACTTTCGAGTATTGAAGGACAACAACAACAACATGTATATCCTATTATTCATAATGACGAACATTCCTCAACTCATGATACCTCTACTAAAACAACAAGAGTAGATTCAACAAGTCAAGTGAATGAAAAAACAGACTGTAAATGTAATAATAATCAGCATTTCCCTACTGTCATTATGAGCAATGTATATAAGGATACTACAATTGAAACCATCTATCATGTATTGTTTCATAGTAAGTTTATGGAGACATTTTTAAGTCAAGTTGAGAAGAGTACGGATATTTGTCTGGGTGAATGGGTAAAGGAAATGACTTGCGTTTATACACGCGAATCCTCTTATGTAAAACACTTGAATTATGCCTTGGGTCCAAAGTTTACTAAATGTCTATTAAAAGAAGAAATTCATCATTTGGATTTGGCCAATTCGGTTACTCACTTAACCGTCACTCAAACTCCTGATGTACCCTTTGGTGGTTCCTTTCAGGTGAAAACACGAACTTGTCTTTCCTGGGCTGGCTTGGGTCAAGTACGTCTGTTGGTCACTGTACTTGTTGATTTCACAAAGACATCATGGCTAAAATGTAGGTACACTCCATGAGTTATTCTATACCATTTATATATATATATATATATGTATGTATATATATATATATATATATATGTATGTATGTATATATCCCTTACCCTTCCTCTCTCTCTTTCTCTCTCTCTCTCTCTTTCTTTTTTTATTATTATTATCTTTTCTTTGTCTTTTTTGATAGCAACAATTGAAAAGGCCTCGATTGATGGTCAACTTTCCTTTTACAAAAATTTGGATATTGAATTGAGAAAACACTTGGAATACCATCATGTTAAAGGAGTCAACCCGATTGTTGTAAAGAAGAGAGGCAAAAGAAGAGATCATCGTTTCAAGAGAAACAACGAACAAACTGCGATGATGATGATGGATCAAGATACCCCTTCTTTTACTCTTAGGGATGGGTCAAGTGACATAAATGTACCACATTGGACTCTACTACTCTGTATGTCCTTCATGATCTTAACTAACGTGTATATGGCAATTAAAATGTCTGGTATCCATACACAGTTGGATTCTTTAGTAGGCCATAAACATACCACCATGGACCCATACTACCCTACTGTCGATTCTTCTCTTACAAAGAGTCCTCTTTGGGATCTATTCGAGCAAATAAACTCGAAGACTGCCTATTCTCGAAATAAGCAAGATATCACCATTTTAGATCATCCTCTCGAATTATCAAAGCGGAAATTAGACAAAAAATTAGCAGAATTAGAAAAAATGATTGAAAGAACAAAACAAGATATAAGGCAAGTAACTGAAACTGTTCTCCAGCAAAAAGATAAAAAAAAAAACAGTAATTGATGATCATATATAAATAAAAAATAAATTGATATCCTTTCTTATTATTATAAGAATACCTAATAATTATATATTTGTTGAAAATATATAATAGTTAACAAGTCTAAATAATAACAATAATACTTATATATAAATATAGAATATATATGAATATTTGTTTGTATGAAAACTTATATATAAAGTTTGGAGTGTCTAGTTTTTTTTTTTCTTTTTCTTTTTTCATCTTCTTTTGTTGTCTACAAGAATTGAGCAAGTTCACTATTAGAAATACCCAAAGTAGGCTGTTGAGAATTCAAAGCACGTAATAATTCAACAAGCTCAGCGCGTGTGGAATCATTCAATTGATCTTCATTACTCAAGACATGATAAAAGACAGGAAGAAGATGTGAAAGTTGACCGAGTATCTACACAAGAACAATTAGATTAATAATATATATGCATATATAAAATACAACTTACAAAGGGGTTATTGGCTCGGAAAAGTGAAAAGAGACAATTAAATACAGGCTCATTTTCAGCAAAATCAGCCTTAAGAGGAAGGACGGCCATAAAGACAGGTAACACTTGATCAAAAGGTACGGCATTGGGATGTGCAAGAATAAGTCTTGCAACAGCACCAGCAGCATTGTCTGTAATATTGGGTAAAGGTTGATTTTGGAAAAGTGGGTACAGAGCAGTCAAGATGGCTGGGTAGTGTGAGCTTAAATCAATTTGTGAATTCAACGTTAAGATACCCAAAGCATAGGCAGCATTACTTCTAACTGAAGAATCTTCATCCCCACATGCTTTGACAAAGAGCTGAAGTAATCTTTCTGTATGTGGTGTGACAGCACTCTTGATGCCTGTTACACATTCACCAAGACAACCTATAGCCATAGAACGTTCAGAAGAAGTCTTGGATTTCTTATAATATTTGGCAATCAAAGGCATAAAGACATCAAAGTAGGATGAATAACTTTCTCCTACTGTTTCACACATGGCTGCAATGAGATCACCAGCTGCACTAATCAACAAAGATTCTGATTCAGCTTCTTCTTCCTCATCTACAAAATCATCGTCATCGTAACTTTGTTGACAAATCGATCTCTTTTCTAAAATGTCAAGTAAATTACGTGAAATTTCTTCAACATGATCTGCAATGATACTAGGCCCCATCAATTTAAGTGCATGAATTAATTCTTGACAAATCTGTACAACAACCATTTTGTCATCTTCATCTTTCCACATGGACAATATAGTTGGAAGGATAACTGTTGTCATATTTTGTACATTATCATGGACAGGATAGCTAACAGGTAAACCTGCTTTCCAATCATCTGCGTTGGACATGATATAAAATGTCTTGAGGAAACTAAACAAACTACCGACAACAGCTTTACGAACACCATCGAATAAATGAAACGAAAGTTCAGTCAAGTCTTGTACTGCTTCTTCAACATACGGCAGAAAATGGCTTTGCGTATTTTCAAATATTTCACCAAGTGCATCAGCAGCGAACTCCTTTTCATCAGCAATAGCAGAATTAAAATTAAATGCACTTTCATCATCATCATCGTCATCATCACCATCACCTAATGTTAAATCAATTTCACTACCAAAGTTGGTTTCATCTTTTTCTTCAGCTTTACATGAAGCAAGGATAAAAGGCATGATAGTGGATAAGTATGGCGCAAATTCTTCCCCAAAGACACGAGCAATGATCGAAAAGAATGCATAAGAGCATTCACGAAGACGAGGAGAATCTAAATTAAGTTGCTCAATAGCCAATGCCATCAGGTCTTGCGTAAAAGGTCGGAATTTTTCTGCACCTACAGCTTCTGCAATGGCACCAGCTGAATCAGTTGCAACCCCACGAAGTAAAACTTCATCTGTACCTTCCTTTAAGGTCATCAAATGATGAATACGAGGCATCACGCTGCTAAAATAGGGTTCAAAGCCTTCACCAGCAGCATGTGCAGCACTACCAATGGCAGCCATCACGGTAGCCTTTGTTTCTGTTTGTGGAGCATTGTCCAAAAGGAACAAGAGTTTTTCCATTAACATGGGCAAGTATTGCAATACTTCATCTCCTAAACTTTCAAGAATAGCATCAAGTGCATTACAGGCATGTTTTGTTACCTCTGGGTTCGTATCGTTCATCAAGTTAAAAACAAGAGGAAGTAGGATTTGATGACTCTCAGCAATTTCAGTAGGCATCTCTTCTGCAAGACAGCCAAGCGCCATACAGGCTGCTCGACGGACGATAATTTCAGGATCTTGAAGACCAGAACAGACAAGAGGCAAAAGCTCATTTAGTTTAGGACTCATGAACTCAGCACAACCTTCAATGATCACTGCAAAGGACATCATAGCAGCTTTACGATAATTAGGGTCAGGATTTTGCATATATGTAACGACAATAGGCATAACAATAGGGAACACTTGTTGAGGAGGCATATTAGTAGCAAGGGCATTTAAAACTTTAAATGCCAGCTAGTCAAATTACTTCATTAGAGAAAAGAAGAGTAAAAAGAAAAAAAAAAGGGAAGGGAAGACACTTCTTTAGTATATACTTACACGAGAAGGAGAGTCATCATCTACATCTTCAGGATCTTCTTCTGAGCCAATAGGCATTAAACGTTCAACAATGAAACCTACAAGCTTTAAGCTTCTAATCTTATTCTGCTTACTATTTCAAGTAAATTAGTATAATAGAATTTTACAAGTAACATGAACACTTACTATACAGCGGCCCACATGAGGAAAGAAAGTGCCATAACACGAAATGAATCATCCAAATCACGATTTGAACCCACTGTTAAGAAGAAACTAATTAAATCGGCTAAATGATTGGATAAAAGTGGTGCGTCCTATTTTTGTTTACATATCATGTTAAATACTCTATAAAGCGCATTTATACCAACAACATACCAACATTAATAAAGTATCAAATACTTCAAAAATTTCACTAGAACTCTCTTCATCTCCTTCCTTTAAACATTGTTCCAAAACATTAACCATGCCAGGAATCATGATTCTGAATGATTTCTATATAATCAAATTGAGAAAATTATATTACAGACAAGACAATCGACGATGACTACTTACAATATTTTCTTTATCTTCAGTTTCAATAAATTCAGCCAATTTTCCTAATGTCCTGCATAACTGTAATGTTATTTTTCATTATTCATTCATTCATCTGAATTGTACTTACAAAACTGTAGTTATTCGAACACGTTTACTTTCAGGATCAGCAATTGATTTGGAAAAAAGCTCAAATAATGGTGCTGTATGATCCATAAAAAAATCAGCAATAACTTCAAACAAGGCATACAAACAATAAGTGCCTACTTCACGATGAATTACAGTAGGACTATTACAGGCTTGATTCAAAAAGCCTAATAATTCGGGCCATTTATTCTCGGGGATATCGATGCGAGCAATGGAGGAGATGACACGAGCTGTTGAATGACGTACGATTTCGCTACAAATTTTTAAGTTAGTTTGTTAATTATCGCACTTTAATAAAAGCTTACTGTTGTTCGTTCAAAGCAATCTGCAATAATTGGCCTCGAATAGCTGCTTGCGTTCCATCAGGAAGATCCTGCCATTTCTTTGAAATGCGCTTTCTTAATTCAACGGCAGCTAATTGACGAACCGTATGGTGTGGTGATCGACTGATAATTTCAATAAGTGCAGGAATACATTCAGCTGAAACATAAAATTGTGTATTTAAAGTTGAAGTAGCCTAAAACAACAACATGTCAATTTTATGATTTAAAAAATTAAAAAATTTTTTTTTTCTTTTTACAATTCGAATAGTTTCTGAATCTTGAGCTGTAGCAAGTTTGTTTAAAAGCTCTTCGAGACTTGCAGCAAATTGCTATGTAGCATAAAAGCTAAGTTAAAATTACTTTAATTAACAGATTTGAAGAAAATTCTAATTTATACCTCCATTTTTTTTTAATAAAGCACAACAATAGCAAAAAAGAAAAAAAAAAAAAAAAGGAAACAAAATTTTAACCCTTTTTTTTTTTTTTTTTTTTTTTTTTTTGCTCAACTTGAGACCCAGCAACAACACAAACACTCCTAAAAACAGCAGCGCTACTAAGTCAGTGCAGATTATAATAAATAATATTTAACAAAAAAAAAAAAAAAAAAAAAATAATACAAATATATCAAGCCTACTAGAATAATAATCTTGAGACAATGTAGGCTTTATTTCTTGGTGGAAGAATATACTTATTTCATTTAAAAACACAGTCTGAATTTGGATTAGCCTAAAGGCTTTCTTTTATTTTAAAGGATAACCTATTTTGTTAATGCACCAAGAAGGAATATAATATAAAATAAAATAAAATAAAATAAAATAAAATAAAATAAAATAAAATAAAATAAAATAAAATAAAATAAAATAAAATAAAATAAAATAAAATAAAATAAAATAAAATAAAATAAAATAAAATAAAATAAAATAAAATAAAATAAAATAAAAATATTTATACATAAAAGCTATAGCCTTGAGTAGGAGTATATGACATATACATATTAATTGTATCCTTTATGAAATCTCGGATTATTTATTCTTTTTTAAGCATATCATCGTGGTGATTTCTTTCGTTATTCACCCATTCAGTTAAAGACCTCTCTAAAGATAAATAGATTAAATTTGACTGTTCTGAAATCCAGTCATACAGTGTACTTATCGCTGTCGTAATATCTCGTCTTAACTCATTCCAATCATAGAAATGAATTATATTTTCATAAAACTTTTGAAGTATTTTCGATAAAGTAGGCGCTTGTTCGATCAAAAATATTTGTATCACATGATATATCTTCTCAGTATAAGCGACTGATACTACAAATACCTTGTTGGAGATAATTTGTATATAAATCCATGATTGCTTAGTAATATAGGTTGTTAACGTGATGATTGTATTATGTAATTTATGATAGATAGGCATTATCATCAGCAAGCTCATATAGACCCGATATATAAACGGACTTAGATAAGAATACCATAAAGGCTCTAAATAGATATGATACCATTGACTCAACCTGACCATAAACATTGTGTAGATATGAGCTAAATGAGGCCTGACATGTTTGGCAAACAATAGATAGGAAGGGTATATCAGTTTATGATATATATACATTGTTCCTTTGAGTATATCCATCAACAAATTACTCAATTCTAGAACTATCCATACGAGATATGGAGCCATGGCTTGATACATCTTTTCTATCTTTTTTTGAATCGTATGTTGTTCCAAAAGTAGGATAACTAACCTATCAATCGACTTTACAGTCCCAGTTAATAACCGTCCAATGATAGGCACTAAAATAGAATCATTTATCCATTTAAACATCCATTCACAATAATGACTGATGAGAATAAAGCTTTGGTATGTAAAGTGTGCTAATTGAGTTGATATAAGATAGTTATACATATTTGGTAGGATCACTTTACATATCCATTCTATTTCATTTTTAATCGATATTATTATAGCGTGTATGCCTTTATATACTAAAATAGAGAGATGGGCTACTCGCATTAGAGGAACCCAGCATGTATTATAAGCAAGAGTACTCAAATCATATACTAGTTGATGCCAGTCATGTCTATTGATAAACTTTTTCCATGCTGCAATAAATTGTAGAATAGAAATTTGAACAGTACAACATACTTTATAAATCGTTATGAAAAATGCTTCAAGCCACTGAATGATGCTTGGAATAGCATTTTGTTTAAATAATACCACATAGTGAATACAAACAGGTTTGCCTCGTTGTTTCCACCATTCTTCTATCTGACTATATGTATGAGGTATAGATAGAGTAACAAAGTCAAACAACCAATCATCGATATAAGGTATCGATCTCTCACACGACCATATTATGTAAAAGAGACTATAACGAATCGTGTCTATTAACAATCGACCCATGATATAAAGTGCTGCAAAAGGTGTTACTAAAACATAATGTATTAGTGATGCTGTTGAATTTGTTTTTGGCTTTTCTGTTGGCTGTTGCTGTTTTACCGAAGCATTTATGGGAATCGTATTAGTTAATGTTTGCTTGTCATTTGAATCTTTATTGCAATGACGAGATTTCCATTGAGGATAACCTTGTAAGAAATACAAGCATATTGCAGCTATTATAATATATAATAAGCCCTTTATTGATAATATATATTTGAAATGAAGCAATGACATGAACATGAGACTTTATAATTAGGCAAAAAAAAAAAAAAAAAAAAAAAAAAAAAAAATTAACAAAAAGGCATAAGAAAGACTTGGCAGCCAGCCGAACAACCTAAATAAATATTCATGTGAGATGATATATAATAAGAACGGTAAATTTTGTCACTTTGAGAAAATTGAATGTCTGTAACCAAAAAAAATGAATGGCACTAAGCCAAATATGATAATTCCTTTATGTCTAGAAATTTTATCCTTTTGAAATAAGAGAAATACGTTATGATTGTAAAATTTATAAGTTAATTCAATAAGATAAAATAGTCATAATAGAACATGTAGTGCACTTCTATGATAGTTCTGTCTGTAGATATATTAAGTTTATTTGCCCTTGTATAGAAAAAAAATACTTAATAAAAGTCCTACACCTTCTTCTATTATTGTTCTGCTGTATATAAATTTATAAAAATAACTTTGTAAGTTAAACTTGGGTAAATACGCGTAAATAATTGATTTCACTCAGAGTGCATGTATTAGGTTATAAAAATAAATATATACATACAAAAGACATGTATATATTTCTATAGTAAATTCTTGACACTATGATAATTAAATCGTTATTCTCTTCTATGATTATGTCATCAGATATAATTTATTATATTATTGCTCATCATCCTTAACCACAAAATATATAAATACTCTTACATTATTTATTGACCTTTATTTTGTATTTGGAATTCATACTAAAAACCAGAAAAGACCAAGACTTCTTTTGTACCCGTGTAATTTATGCCAACTCATTTGATATTCACCTATACCCATCTGGAAGCCGTCAATAAGAAACTCATAATAATTTGATTTAAGTTTTAGATTGTTTGATCTGAGTATAGACTCCTTATGTCTATTTTATTGGATCAAAGATGGCATGAGTCCTTTATCAAGGTTATAAAAATAAATATTTAGAAATGATACGATGTCTTATAATTGATACATCTAAACAATTGGATGTCAATACGTTTTATATTATTTGCAAGATGTTATATACAGAGTTTTATTTCATATTCAGGCTTATCGTTTATCCTGTGTTATGTAATCCATCTTTTATAATATTACTTATGCTTATATCCAGAGCTTGTTCTATAACGGTAAATATGATGACCGCAATGAAAGTAGACGACCTCATGGTTGAACAACGTGAACTTTACAGTATGTATATGACAATAAATCATAATGGTCGTATCATCTACATTAGCAATACAAGACAAAATAACTATAAGAATAGCAGACAAGAGGTGTAGTAGTAAAATGTTATGCTAATCTAGGTGGCTCCAATAGAATGTGCGCGCAACACTGGAGATATTCATACAATGAGGCTGCTAATAGAAGACAGTCTAACTATAAATCTAGAAACCCAAACTTCTACAATGTCCAATTCTACAATTACGATAGAGTAATAGGTTACTTAGCTCGTGATTGTTACTATAATCAGGGCAGAGAAACAATAAAAGACACAAATTCGATTATACAACAGAAGATGCTGAATATAATATATATGCATTCAAATAGCAATAAAATCACTAATAATAATAAATTAGTTAGTTAAATACTCTTCTTCACCTTACATTGAATATATCTCCCTCTGTGATATTTCTTGTAAAATATCAAATAAATATAATAAAAAGACAGAAGGAAGTCAACCAGAGCGAACAATAGTTCTAAAGTCAATCATCTTATTTAGGTATTTATATGAATTGTTAAAGAAGTCTGAGATAAGATGTGAATCAAAAAAGTGTTAGTTACGACTTAATAAGATATGTTAAAGATAATGAAGTGTTAGAAATTTTAATATTGTTTGATGAAGTGAATCAAGAGAGATTCAGGAGAATCTAGATGGAATTCCTTGATTTGCTTGTTTAATCAAGGAACATGATATTATAAGCCAGCTTATGATATTTATAACTAGCATTTATCCTATCTTTTTCTTTTCATTGAATAAACTACTTCACTGATAAATGATAGTCTGATATTTGACATCCTGCAACAAGATTTAGCCGTTAAAGTGTTATACAAATTATTTATAATTCTATAGGAGGCAATTAATAATAATAAAAAAAAGGAGAGTGAGAGAGGGAAGATCTATCCGAAGTGTAACAAAGATAAATAGGTTTAATTATGCTCTTCCATGGAAAGCATTGTGCCTATTAGACCGTTTGTTTATGTGAAAAAAAAAATTTTTTTTTCTTCTCCTATTTTTATTTCACACTCTCGTTTTTATTTTTTCTTTTTTTTTTTCTTCTTCTTTTTTGTTAAAGTGAAGTTTTGAAGATATTGGTCACGTTAAATAAACAATCTTTAGTGAAGTTTTGAGGATATTGGTCACTTTAAATAAACAATCTTTAGTGAAGTTTTGAGGATATTGGTCACGTTAAATAAACAATCTTTAGTGAAGCTTAAAGACATAGGTCACTTTAAATAAAAACAATCTTTAGTGAAGTTCTAATGATGATGGTCACTTTAAATAAACATTCATTAATATCGTTGTGAGGATAATAGTCATTTCTATTGTCCAAAATCGAGAGTATGTTTCATTTGTTGTTTTCGCGTCTCTCGTTAAATAAGACTGTGAAAGGAAGCACATAATGATCAACCTCCACGATTGGTTGCTTCTGGAAACAGTAGCCTTTTTTATTATATAATGAAGCTACTGGCTAATTAGATCATTACCCCTTTTTTATTATTAATTAATTAAAAATGAAAAAAACACATATTATCAATAAATAAATATCTATTTTTAAAACTTTTGTATAATAATGAATCTAATCAGTAACGACTTGTAGAAGAAGAGTCGTCTAATGATGTTTAGAAAAGAGTCAAAATGAGCTTTGTAGCTGTTTATGTACTTTATTTATTGTCCCTTTTATTTGGTTAATGAGTTTACAGAATGGTATGATTATAAAGCATATTTTGCTTTCTTACCTTAAAAAAAAAGGAAAGAAGCTGTTTTCATTATAATCATACTTCATGGATATATTTTCTTATATTTTAAATAAAAGATGGCTATGATTATATAGAACAACTAGCTCAAAACTCTTTACTTTTTTTTTTTTCGTTTTGATGCTGATATTGACCTCATAGGTTTAATCATAATGTGCCAAACCTTAGTGTTAAATATGAACAATCATGATTTTACGGTTTGTGTATATAACAGAGCTGCTTTCCAAAATAGATTTTATATTTTTATATATTGCAAGTTGGTCTTTTTAAAAAATGCAGTTTCTTTTTCATTATTAATGCCAAACATTATTCGCTCTATAGCTTGTGTTTGCTTTGTTAATAATTATATGTTATACATTTCAAAGCAGTATCCTAACGGAAATTATTATTAGAATAATAATTTTTTTTTCAAGTTTTAGCGTATATTGATTATGCTTGTTTCTTCATAACGTGGAGTATATTCGGGTAAATCTAAATCAATATTTATAGCATCATCACCTATCATTAGAACAGTATGATTGATAACTGGCTCTTCTACTGCTACATTCATCATGTTTGAAGAATTAATAGATATATTCTCTACAACAACTGAAGGAAAAGTTGTGATTATGATTGGAAATTCAAATATAAGATTTATTGAGCTTTGAATAAAATCGACTGTCAACTGTAATCGATGTGATATCTCCAAGAATGGATCAAATTGATGTGTATGAATGCTAGGATTTTTACTTGAAGGTATAGGCGTCCTAATAAAATGCGTTTCTGAATGATTTGAAAATGAAGGCAGGTGATAGATAGCAGGTGAAAATTTTGTGATGATGGGCGATAAAATATGAACCTGTTGCTTTGTACAATACCTAATTTTACATACATTTTGATTATATGATTCGTTTATAATACATCTCTTTTAGTTGTTTTTGAATATGTACCTGTAAGTTTCAATTTTTTTCAATTGCTGATTGAATTTTATCGACTTCTATTCTTTCTTTTTCAATACTATATCGAAAAGCAATGACAATTTCACCTGATTCAACTGCTACAGTCTTGGAAACCTCTGCTGACCATTCAAACCATTCTTTTATCCCAGAATAATGTGTGATAGGAATGATGACACTAGGGTTAGGTAAATAATGCCTCTTCACTGTCACTACCTTTTGTGTTCTATACTTTTTTGAAGAAAGTTCCAGCTGAAAAATTAACTACAAGTATGTATTCTACAAATGAATGTCTTGCTGTACAAGTGGGCGGTAAATGGAAAGGTAAGTGAAGACCAAATTCTGTGAATTCTTCACCAGAAAAAATGAGCTCTTTTTCAACTTGGTAAATGGGAACTGTTGTTCGAATTTAGGTGGTCGTCGATATAATAGTGTCTAGATTATGTACCTGCTATGGTAAAATTGAACTCGTCGCTACATCCATATCTATTCCTGCTTTACCTAAAAATTGAAGTGTCACCCTATTCCATTTAATTTTACGATCTAGAAAGATGACTTTACCCATTAAGTTGGTACGGATTTCTGACATTGGGTTTTCCCGACTTACTGGGCCAATATAATAGACTGGAGCTTTATCAATTTCCAAAGCTACAGGAAGATGCTTACAAGACAAGTTTGAGTCATGAATGGTAAATCGTTTCATGATAAGAATATAGAGAAAAGAAAAAGAAAGCAAGCAAGCAAGAAAGAAATGAATATAAAAATTCTTATTTGTTGAAGAATTTAAAATAAGTGTAACAATTATCATAGGTTTTAATCACTGCATATGAAGTAAGTGTGTGTGTGTGTGTGTGTGTGTGTGTTTTTAAATTCTTTTTCTTTAATTAATATGTTTAGTTGAAAAGACATATTGTATCTATGTTATGAATATATAAAAATATTTTCTTTCTCTCTCTCTCTCTTTCATTTTTTTTAAAAAAAAATGAAAGAAAGAAAGAAAAAAGAAAAGAAGGGTATGTATGTTGAATGCAAAAATTATAAGTATAAAAATATAAAAAAAAAATCATAAAAATGAATAGCTTCATGAAAATAAATAGCTTAATAAAGAATACGTGTTTGAATAACAGCGCGAGTAGCAATGAGATCATCATATAAACTTTTAACATCTGTTACATTAGCAATATCGGCCATAACATACGCAATATCACCTTTTGAATCAGAATATTGTTTCTCAACATTATGATCAGCGAAAAGTTCATTGATTTCCTATATTAAAAATTAGTTAATATATTATCTCTATCTTTCTTTCTCTCTTTCTTCCTTTCTTTTTTTTTCTTTTCTTATATATATATATATAAACTCCTTATTTGTTTGTCTAATAATACCCTTAACACTCCCGGTATATTTTGATGAATATAAAGTACACGAACCATATTTTTATCATCCTCATAGATAGCACGTAAATCAATTTCGGGAAGATTGACAGCATTCAGTGAAGTACCATCGTTAATATATTTAGTTAAAGCCCGTGAAACTTCAAGTCCAATCATACGTTGAGCTTCCTCAGTTGAACCACCAATATGTGGAGTCAAAATTAAATTAGGGCAGGTCAATAATTCAGGGTAATCATTAAAATGAGGACCATTGGCAGCTGGCTCTTTCGGGAAAACATCAACGGCTGCACCTGCCAGATGACCTGATATTAATCCTTTAATAAGAGCGGGAATTTGAACGACTGTACCACGAGCATTATTAAGTAAATAAGCTCCCTTCTTCATCTGATAGATTTCACGCTCACCCATTATATTTTTTGTTTCCTCTGTTTCAGGGACATGTAACGAAACAAAGTCAGCCATAGCTAACAGATGTTCAAGGTGATCCACTTGTTTAGCCTGTCCAAGCGGCATGATTTGAAGGATATCATAAAAATAGACTGTCATACCCATTGCCTCTGCTAATACAGACAGTTGTGATCCAATATGTCCATAACCAATGATGCCTAATACTTTACCGCGAATTTCATAACAACCTCTAGATACTTTGTTCCAAATGCCTTGATGCATCTCTGAACTTCGGTCACTCAATTGACGCGCAAGCATAATAATCTCTCCAATGACAAGTTCAGCAACAGAACGTGAATTACTAAAAGGCGAATTGAAAACAGCAACCTAAAAGGATGATTTAATTAAATAGTAGGTCAGCAACAAAATAAAAAGAAGGAAGAAAGCTATCTTTCAGGAACGTTATACTTACACCTTGTTTAGCAGCTGCCTGAAGATCGACTTGATTTGTACCGATACAGAAACAACCAATAGCTAGTAAATTTTTGGCTTGCTGAAGTATCGACTTTGTAATCTTAGTTTTTGAACGAATACCTAAAATATGAACATCTCGGATTTTTTCAATCAATTCATCTCCACTAAAAGCTTTAGAATAAGTCTCAACCTAAATCAAAAAAGGTAAAATAAATTATTAACACGGGATCCAATAGGAGAAGAGAGAACAGAAAGTCTCTGTATGCTTTACATCAAATAATACATCATATATATTTATATATAAATATGTACATGTATTTTTTTTTTTAAAAAAAAAGAAAAAATAATAATTACCTGATAGCCCTGTTTTTTAAATGTTTGCACTGCTGTCTTATTGATATTCTCTAATAACAGAACCTTTACTTCACTTGTATTGAATGGACGAAGTAACTTTGGTTTAACTCGATTAAAGGAATCGGACCGATTACGTTTTATTTCTTTAACAGTTTTGTTAAAGGAATTATTTTTCTCAATAAGCTGATTAGCATGAACCATATCTGTTGTTCCCCCTTTTTTTTTAGATGGAGAGAGAGAAAAAAAAAGAAAAGAATATGTATGACAGTTTATATTTTTTTTTTTCATTTCTAAATGTGTTATTTATATATGCCTGTCCTCCCCCCCTTTTTTTTTAATGAGCTATTTTCTTCAGTTTTTCTGTGTACAATAATTACACTCAGATTAGATCCAGATGACCGTTGCGTAATATCTGAAGCAAAGTATAATAATAAGAGATGTTAATACAGAACTGTGTACAATACAAATTTAAAGAACAAATATTAGTTATTCAAACCAATTTATTATATACACTCTTCTTATGGTAATACGTAGTTGTAAGTGATAAATATTACGCTATGCTACCCAACACTAATGCAGTGACGGTAGTAGTGGTGGAGGGGTTATAACTTAATTATATTCATAATGACAAGAATTTTTTTTTTGTTGAATCCAAAATGCCTCTTATAGTAGATAACAATTAACTGTGTAACATATTTTTTTATTTTATTTTATTTTTCAGTTTACAAATAATCATATGTATAAAATGAGATATATAAATTTGCTACTTTACGAAAATAAAAATGGTTACCAACGGATAATATCAAAACGTTAGAATATGACTTTAAATAAATGCTTCAAGAGGAAAAAAAAAGGTAAGTGAATAAAAGAAAGTAAAGTTTTTAGGTGTATAGGATTTAAACACGTAATAAAGATTTATAGGATATTGTGTTGCAATATCAATAAGCCACTCGGTATTTATAATTTGCTAGAATTGTGTTGTACCTTCTTATCTATTTTGTAAATAAACAAGACTATTTATTGGTTAGTTGAAGTTATATTGTATCTCTTTACAATCTAACTACAAACTTATTTTATTATTATTATTGCATCCATGCCAAGTAGCAAAAGTTTTTAACATCTTCTATTTAATATATATATATACATATATATATATATGTGTGTGTGTGCGTGTGTGTGTCCAAATTGAGTATGTGGTGTCCTAACCTATTCAGCACAAATTAACTTGAAACTTACATGGAGTTGGAGAAAAAAACCAAGACAATCCAGAAGAGCATGAAGATTTGTTTTTGGTATGCATTAATGTCTTTTTATTGAGAAATTTGGAAATGAAATTTTATAGTACTGTCTTTAGATTCTATTGCAATAATGTTCATTCCTTATTTTTTTTCTTTTATTATTAATTGATACAATCAATAAACTAATATTTGAAGTAAAAGCAAATAATATTATATAAGCATAAGAATGATAATTATATATACATAATTCGTATCTTCTTGTCATAAGCTTTCATATATACAATTAATATCACTAATTAGTCAAGATGTAAACTGCACATCATAATAATGATTGAACAAATATCCCACAATAATAAGGACTATAGCTATACTATAATTATAGCAACTTTTTGAATTAATATTATATGCATATATACCTTGGAGTTAATATTAAGCAGTTTAAATAAAATAAAAAAATAGAGAGAAAGAGAGAGAGAGAGAGTTTAGATGTCAGTCTCAAATAAAGTGCACATTCATTTTATTTTTTCTAGGCTGTATAGACAATAAAATTATACACCTTGATCATAAATGTGTAAATATGTGTATACATTTAAAATTATTTATTATGATGCATATGTGAATATAAATACAACGACAAAGAAAAGGAAAAAGAAAAAATCTATCTATAAATATGTCAATACCCATATATAATTCATATTATTAGGATATAATATTAAGCAGAGCCAATGTAACCGTCTTTCTCAAGTAATAGAATAATTTCATGAACAGCTTGAGAAACAGATTGTTTTGTAATGTCTACTGTTAAATCTGCATTACTAGGTGCTTCATAAGGTGCATCAAGGCCTGTGAACTCCTTGATTTCGCCACGTTTGGCACGCTCGTAAATACCTTCTTGATCACGCTTAATACATTCTTCAAGTGGAGTGGAGACATAAATAAGATAAAAGCCACCAAACTGTTCAATCGTCTTTCTAGCAGCATCGCGAGCTTCAGCATAAGGTGCAATGGGAGCTAAAATGGCAGCAGCACCAGCACGAGTCAACTCTCCAGCAACAAACGCCTGACGAGCAATATTGATATCACGATCACGTTTAGAGAATCCTAACTCTGAAGATAATTCAGCCCGAATATTTTCACCAGCTAAAAGTGAAACAGTACGAGTAGATTCTTGATTTAAAGAGACTTGGAGAGCATGGGCTATAGCATTCTTACCAGAGGCATGAAGGCCTGTAAAGAAGATTGTAAAACCTTGCTGACCACGAGGAGGATGTGATTGACGCAATACAGAAACAACTTCAGGATAAGAGAACCATTCAGGAATAGGTAAACCTAACTTAAGTCGACGACGGAGTTCAGTACCACTGATGTTCAATGTCTTTACGCCTTCGGGGATCTCATCTGCAGGAATGTATTCATCTGTTTCTGGGGAATAGGTAACCATCTGGAAGGGAACAATCTCAATACCAATTTCATCTTTATATTGTTCAACTAATTTTTGAGCATCATAGGGACCATAAAAGTCAACACCCTGAGAGTTCTTACCAGGACCAGCATGATCACGACCCACAATGAAATGTGTAACACCATGGTTTTTACGAATTAATGCGTGCCAGACAGCCTCTCGAGGACCACCCATACGCATAGCTAAAGGAAGTAGACTAAGCTCAGCCATACCATTAGGATATTTTGGCATTAAAGCCTTATAGACTCGAACACGAGTGTAATGATCAATATCTCCAGGTTTAGTCAGACCGACTACTGGATGAATGAGCAAATGTGCTTTACGGTGACGAGCAGCTCTAACAGTTAATTCTCTATGAGCACGATGCATAGGATTACGAGTCTGGAAAGCAACAACACGTGTCCATTGAAGCTTTTTGAAATGAGCACGCAATTCAGTAGGAGTATCTGTTTTTTTTTATAGTTTTTTTAGCTTTAAACACATCTATCTTTAACTGCTTTGTTTTCCATTCCATTTCCTTCATCTTTTTTTTTAAACAATTACTTATCAGATACTTACATCTATTAGAAACATAATCATAATGAGAAGGAGCTTGAATAGCTTCCAAGAGTCCACCTATATAGAATTCCTTGGCAATATGATGAAGATAGTTTACAGCTGGGTGAGCAGAATCATCAGCTCCATAAACAAATTTAGCTTCCTTTGATTTATCAGGTCTATAAATATCTTCTACAGTCAAAATGGCTAAAGGTTCATAATCTCGAGGATCTAATAGAGTAATACGTCTTGAAGGCTCAATTTTATTATCTTCAATTTCCCTTTTACTAACATCAAGATTAATAGGAATTGGCCATAACAAACCACTTGAAAGTCGCATATTTTCAACTACACTAATATTAAAGAATAAGCACAACATGATACTCTTATCTGACCTTAATGATTATTACCTATTATAGTCCTTTTCATTTAAGAAACCTTCAAGTGGAGAAAAACCACCATTTAATATAAGCTCAAGATCACATAACTGACGTTCTGTCAAGATAATTGAAGGTAAAGTACAAGCTTCAGCTCTTAGGAGTTCTTCCTTATTTGCATCACGAAGATAAAGATCCTTAAGAACACCACCATGAGGAGTATTAGCCATTTTCAAGTATAATTTAAATCCAAAGTGAACGAAAAAAAAAGGGAGTGTAAGAGATAGGTATATTCAAACATTTTCAAGTTTTATATTTTTTTGTCGACTTATGATTAACTATACATGTAGCGACTCAGGGACGTGATTGCGCAATTGCAAAATATCCAATAAAAAATTATTCAAGCTAAAGGTATAATTTCATAACAAATTTTTATTGGCTAAAATTGACGTATATTCCATTCTATCTTTCATGTTTCTAAATATTTGTAGATATAGATGACTGTTGATGTCTCTATCTTTTTTCTATATTCTAAAGATAAATGTATTTTATGCAATATTCTCCTAATTAAGAAAGCAAACAAAACGTCACGTAATACATCTTTTTAAATTTCAAAGCATGTACAGACAATAAGCTTGCATACAGATCAATGAATAATATAGAAAAAAAGAAGATAGATAGTATAAACAGCCGTTAGTATTATATGAAAAAAGAGTAGTTTAAATGAAAAGAGTATTATCAGCACAAGTAAATAGTACAGCAGAACTTTGCTTGCTTACGTAATATATTATTATATTACCAGTAAAATTGTTTCTAAAGATTTTGCCTCTAAGCCCTCAAAAAAGACTTTATATAATTGTTCATAATACTTTTCATTCTATACGAAGTAAACTTTTTTTTTATTATTATTATAAACTACTGTAAGTTTCTAAACTTCCTCTTTTAAGTATTTCTAGCATGTATATATTTAATAACACTGACTCTCTTTATATTAACCCTGCTTGTTCTTTTCGAACTTTTTTTTTCTTTATTTATTGCATTTCTTCTCTATTCTATTCATGGCTATAATAGAGTGACTAATATACCTACTATTACTGCTGATGCAAGGCTAATAAAGTCAAAAAAGAGTACTTATATAAAGTAAAATAAAATGAGTATACTGGTTATTATACGTATGTATTTATTGGCAGTAGTTGATTTTAATCAATCATTTACAATGGAGACTAAATCCAGCCAAACCATACTCTATCTTTATAATCCCCTATTCGATGTAATAATTTTGAGCGTTTGAGTTGAATAAAGCAGTATATCAATACAGACTTTTGCGGCAAGTAAAATTTAGTTTTCTACAATTTGATAAAATTGAAAAAAAAAAGCTGTATTTCATTTGTCCGTTTATTTATCTTTACTTCATAATGGAACAACGAGTTATCACTAACGCCCTTCCTATATTAATTCTAGGACTAGGATGGACAGGCCAATTTTTAGCCGAGCTTATGATTTCTATGAATTTAAACTTTGCTGCTACAACTCGAGATGGTAGAAATGATACAATTCAATGGTCATTACCGAATATTTGTCATGATGTCGATGTAACACAATTGCCGTATTCTAAGACTGTTCTCATCACATTCCCAATCATGCAACCTGAATGTCTGACAGTTTTAATGGATTCTTATGAAAAAAGGCACGGTAATCCTTCTCAATGGATACTATTATCATCGACACGTCCTTTTGTCGGCAACCCTGCAAACAGACATACGCCTTTAGATAGGTCAAAGGACACAGGTCGTATTGGAGCTGAGGATATTATTCTTGAGCGTGGAGGTACGGTACTTCACCTATCAGGGCTTTGGGGAAATCAAAGGTGAAAACCAAAAAAAAAAAAATAAATAAATAAATAAAATAAAAGAGGAAATGCTTAATTCATTTTTTTGATATATAGACAACCTAAGGGCTGGGTTCCTCGATTTTCATCTAAAGAAGCTATTAAAGATAAATTACTAAGACGTCAACTTCATCTCATTCATGGTAAAGATGTTGCAAGAGCTATCTTGGCTGTACATAATCAATTTAAACGTGGGGAAAGATGGATTGTTTCAGACACAGGTTGTTACGATTGGATTAAATTATTTTTAACTTGGGGAAGTATAGAACAAATCAAGATAGCCAGGGATTTAGCAATGAATGACAAAGACTGTCACGAGGCCTTAGGCAATGGTTCCTTAGAAGATATCATTGAAAACAATAAGATTCATCCTAGACTCGATTCAACTGAATTCTGGGAAACCTTTGGATTAAAGCCTACCGAGTTTTTAAGCATCGAGTAACTGCATAAAAGTAGCAGTCATTGAAAGAGTATAAGGAAGCTATTCCGTTATTGAATAAAACCTTTTTACTGAGAAAAGTAATTTTTAATTAATTTTATTTCTGAAAGCGACACTTTAAATTATGAATGCATTACTTTATTAATTTTATACATTCAAGTAAACATTTTAAAACTAGAAAACATCTGCATATTAATAATATACTTGAAAAAAAAAAAAAAAGGGAAGGATATATGCTATTATAAAGAATTACATGTTAAATATAATTATAATAAAATCAGTAGTTCAACGTTATAAAAAATTAACCTAACACTGCAGATAAATGTCTAATTTTACAATTGTAAAACAAGACTGAAATGTGTAGTTTCAGTCTCTTTTCAGTCTCTTTTCACAATTGTAAAATGTGTGATTTTACATTGTAAAACCTGACACTGTCAGTATATTTTAACAATTGTAAAAGTGTCTAATACAACAATTGTAAAACAATACTGAAATGTCTAATTTTACAATTGTTAAAAGTCTAATTTAACAAGGTTTCACTTGACAGGTCAGATCTGTTATTGGCTTTATTTCATTATATTTTAGGTAAAGCTGTATAACATTATAGCCTTTTATTGGCCTTTGCATTTAAAATAAATGCTTTTTTATTCGATATATTTTGTCATCTTTAAAATACATTTACTAATGGAGTTTGTATTGTTTTTTTTAAAAAATAGTTTGATTTGTCTTTATTTATTCCTTTTTAGGATAATAATGTAGATAATAGATATAATGCATAATAAAAAAAATATATACACGCTGCGTATAGACAACGATGAGGAAAGGATAGCTAATACTTGTAATATAGTAATGAGGATATAGCCATATCTTTTTTTCTACATATCAATGAGGAATCATTAAATTAGTATCAGTAGTAATAGATTAGTATAGGTTTACATTTATTACTTACTATCAAAAAAAAAAAGTTCTTTTTTAATTCTATATGTTAATAAACAGAGTGGATGTTGTCTTCATATACCTACCTAAACAAAAAAATATAATAAATATCTAATATCACAACATATCTATTCATCATATAAAAGAGTTATAGTATAGTTTACCTATTACTGTTTTTAATTCCAATAATTTATAATGGGGCTTTACTAAAGAATATGTTTTTTTCTTCTTCTACATAAAATAACATATACCTTAACTTTAATAAGAATTATTCAAAGATTATAACGTATAATTTACCTTTACTTTTATCAAAAGTTTAATTCAAAGAGACAAGGAGAAACTGCAGACTAATAAAGAATAGAAATAAATCAATTAAAATGTTAAAAAGCTATAACTTTAAGTTTGTTTGAGAGATAAAAAAAAAAAGATACAGTCATTGTTCGAAAACCATAGATCATTTCTACTTTTCAATATTACAATTAGAATTAGAAAATACAAAGATTAGATTTACTACTACTATATATAATTACATATTCCAGCGAAGTGTTTATACTAGATATAAAATAAAAAGAAAAGTAAATGAAAAAAAAATAATGGACAAGAAAAAAAAAGAAACAGAAACAAAATCAAAAACAAAATGCATAATAAATTCATATTGAGACATTTGATTCATTTGTAATGTTTTACATACAAACTAGAGCCCTATAAATAACAAGTCTTTTTGTTGAGATCAAGCTCATCATTTTATAAAATATAACTCTTTATCTCCATTATTTTACCTTACTTATCTTTAACCATTAATAATAATGTTCAACTCATCTGTAAACAATAAGCGTCATAGAACTTTACAAGAAAGACTAGGAGGCCAAGCAAGCAGCATCAATAGAACAAACGCTGTACAAATTAGTGTTCCTTCAAGAAATAATAGGGACACTGCCACCATGAGCTCTAACAATATCAATAATACTTTGGTTGAGCAACTGAAGCAAGATAATGCTAATCTTTCTAATCGATTAGCCAATTGTAAGCAACAAATTGGTCAACTTACTTCACAATTGCAAATAGTATGTAATACTTTAGAGCAATTGCAACAGGAGCCAGCATCTTCTTCTGTATTAACAAAGAATTCGATTGATCACAGAAAAGACATTAAGGCAATTGGGGTAAATTTAGTATATATATCAATAAATAATATTTACTGATTGATCTATTGATTCATAATAGAAATTGATAAGAAGTCGTTTAGTGAACTTGCCAGAAGAATGTCCTCAATTTAATTATCAGAGGACTTTCATGGATAAACTTAATAAGCCAGCTCGTTTAGCGATGATGGAGTACGGAAGAAGACATGTCGGAAAGTATCCGGTGTCGGATGTAGCCTTGCATAGAATACTTTCTGACATGTTCAATAATAAGAAGCGAGAACTGAAAATGCTACCAGAGCAAAGGGTAGCAAGAAATACCAAAAATGCTACAAGAAGCATTAAGGATGCTGTAAGTTTTAATAAGAATAAAGTATATATTTATATATAAAAGTAATTATATTTATTAACATATTTACCTTCATTATATGATATCCTATACATTATTGCTCTTGTCTATATCCTCTATCCATTCCTTTTACTAATAGAAACTTGCTCGTCGTTTAACTGTAATACAAAAGAATTGGGATACATATCCTCAAGCATATCAAGAGGATCTGGAGAAGTTGATGATTGTAGGATGGATGTCTGATGAAGAAGAAGCTGGCGAAAAGAACCCTGATGGTAGTAAAGTTATCAAGGTTATGCGTCCTTCATTCAGAAGTGAAAGGGTAATATTAGTTAATTAAAAAAAAAAAAAAAAAAAAAACTTACATTTTCCTCCTTCATACATAGTTTAACCAACTAATAGATGACCTTGATGATCAATGGAGGAACCCTGAGGATAATGCATCAGGAAAAGTTCAAAGGAATAATCGTTTGAACCGAATATATTCAGAAGAAGTTATACCATTTCCTAGACATCTCAATGAAGCTGATTTTCCTGCTTGGGCATTCAATTCTTAATTTTTTTTTTTTTTTTTGAAAATCAAATAATAAATATAAAATGTAAAGATAATAGTAAACGTAATTTGATAGCATATGAAAAAGGATATATTTTGTATTATAAGATATAAAAAACATGAATAAAAAAGTTGAACATAAGTATAAATAGAAGCATAAACATAGACATAAACATAGACATAAACATAGACATAAACGTAGACATAATGATAATAAAAAAAAGGATTTACATGCCAATTGTTCTTCGAGGCAAAGGAAGTACTAAAACATTGCTATCGATATATGGAGCAAGTGCGACACAGGTATGTATTTGACAAAGTGGTAAAATGGATAAAATACTGTCGGCTTCAAATTCATTTTTCCATACTTCAACATTATGAATATCAAAAGAAGAGAACTGATTAACAGAAGGCTTATACCAACGAACAAAAGCAAAGAAATGCTTTTTAACAACAGGAGGTCCAAAAAGATTATCATTGTTAGGGAAAAATACTTCATTAGTAAAAAAATAGAGTATTTTGCCAACTCTAAAACATCCGTCTTCTAAAGGAACCATTGCTTGAATATATGCGCCTCTGTCTGTTCTACTTTCCATACATCTAAATAGTTGCCCTGCCAAGTTGACTCTATCGAACTTTTGAATTTGATCACTAATGATGGCTGTGAGATATGAGGAGGGAGCATTATCAGTAATCTTCTTGATGGTAAAGCTGGCACTATATACAGATCGGTAGAATTCATATAGATAATTATAATGATGATTATTCATTATTATAACTTTTCTTGTATTTAACGGTAATGCTGAAGGAGGTAAAGGTTCACTACCAGTTAGAATAATGCCTGTATTAATTGAACTAGTAAGGAAAGTTTCTAAATCAAACAAATAATCTTGGCCGTTGCTCCTTTCTTGGTGTAATGAGTTATTATCATTTCTATCTAATTCTACCAAATCTTCCATATCTTCATCGTCCAAAATCAGTTCATCTTGTTTAAATTGCTCATTTGGGATCAAATGTTTCAATACATTCATTATAATTGTATTGCCTTTTAATGAATCAGGAAGCATTTGTAAGTAATCTTGAACATGGACTTGCTGAAGAAACTTTTCCATATAGGTGAACTCGAGTCCTTCTTTAAAATTGATATCAATTTTTTTGATATCACCATTGGCACGTTCGAAGCTATATAACCAAGTAGAATAAAGTGGCCCAAAATCATAAATTGTTTGTTGTAAATGTAGATGCATATGCATATTTGGTGTTATGAAATTAGGACCATAGAGGTCGACATTGTTTTTGATAAATTCTACAAGTAAATTATGAGCTTCGTTAACTTCAGATACAGTTATTGTTGATGATGCAAGTATCTGATTAGCCATTACAAAACGCAACCAGTTCATCATATGCTCACCAATTAAACGTCCTTTTAGAAGTATAGCAGAATAAACAATTGTCCATGAACGGAACTCATCACCTTTGAAACCAGAGAAATTAGCAGATATTTTTGAGCTTATTGTCGTAAACTGAGGAGGAACAATCAGTTTTTTTGCATCTACAGCCATATCTGCTAAATCTCTGTTTGTCAAGTAACATTGTGAACTGTTTGGCTTTTGTTCAGATTTCCAAAAATCTACCATTCTTTTGGCCGTACCAAGGTAAAGGTTATGGAGCCCATCGACTATGGAACATCTAACGACGTCAAAATAACCAAGTCGATGGAGCTCACTCCAACGTACACCATACTTCTTTTCGATCGTTTTACGTTCCGTTAATGTCCTTGCATTTCTCCAAAGAAGGGCTTGCTGATAGTTGGATTCTTTATCACGAAGTGACCATGTTTCGTAATCAACGTTGGCAAAGCATCTCAATTGGGGACGACCCTCTTGTGCAGGAAAAGGACTAGAACATTTATGGCAAGGAAAGGAAGAGTTATACCAGGTGAACCACAAGTCTTTTTAAAGCTGGCAGGTCACAGTTCACAGTCATCAAAGCACAACGGATTATTTGCCCTGTGGACTAGCAAAGGTCTGCATTCTGACGCCCTCAAATAGTTCAAGTAGCTCATCCACCATTGGCTTCAGAAAATGATTGACGTCAGAAATAGCAGGCTCCGAAGGTCCAGGTATTAAACCCACAAGTATCATATTATGTTTCTTGAACCTTTCGTCACGAGGGAGGTTGTTTATGATGAGGTATATGGCACCGACATGATAGTTCATCCCTTTTGTGGGAGTGAACCAGTCACGTTCAAACTTAGCATTAAGAGCCTTTCTCGCAACAAAAGGCTCATTTTCACCATCCTTTTTGAATTCTTCAAAAAATGCACCATCATAGATATCAAACATGAGTCCATCAACTTTAGTTCGATTTCTCCAATGTTCAATCTTCTCCTCAAAATGACGGCGCATAAAAAAAGTTTGTAATGTTGACTTTATGGAATTGTATACATAACGTTTAAATGGCTTGATAGTATTATTAACACCTCGAGTAAATAATGGTGTATTACAACTTGTCTTTGAACTAGCATATGGTTTAAATACCATATTGTTGCAATTTGTGATCAATCCATTCAAAATATCTTCATAATTATAGGTGCAATTACATTTGGTACAAACAATATACTTTTTGATTCCTATTGTATAAAATTGATAATAAAAAATATGTAACAGTCAATATTAGGAGAAACTAAAAATAGATATTAATACTATACCTTTAATTGCGAAGTTAGCATTTATTTTGGCTTTAATTGTAGATAGCTTTGTAGGAAATGTATAATTGTACCCAAGCAAAGCAAAAACGGCATTCATAAACTTTAAGAAAAGTTCAGAGGAAGAAACAGATAGATTCCAATTTGAAGAATACAAGAAATATCATTACAAAGTAGGGCAAAACTTCATTTGAACTGATGTTCAAAAATTGTTCATGTTGAGTAGTATTATCATTATCTAATTAACAAAAAATAAATGTCAAGCCATAATATTATAATTATTCCAAAATATATACCTTCTAAAATCTGTTCATCAGCCATGTAATCAAAATCATCGATATTATTATGGCTGTTAATGCTATCAGCAGTAAGATCAACCTGCTCATTATTAGCATCATAAAATATTTCTTCTGTACAGCGATTAATAACAATTGATTCAATAAAAAAAAAGAGTTTTCAGAGATGGTTCATTAGTTTAAATACTTTATTAATTATAATATATCATTTTGCTATAATAATGTAAACTTTGCATACCTTCTTCTACAACAATGGATTGCTCATCAATTTGCTTGTGAGCACGAGCAGTATGCCTATGCACTACTAAGTATCCTAGCTCAGTAGTAGAGCATGTTGAGCATCTACATTCTCTTTGGTCTTTACTTAACGAGTTGTACATGTTAACATAAAGAGAAAAAAAGGTTATAATATTAAATTAAAAATATTAATCAGATCAAGGTAATATATAGGCAAATAATTATTAACTTTTAAGTTAGTTCAATTTCAAACGCTTCCTGTTATGACTGTAGTTGTATTTACAACTAAGTTAATAGAAATAAACTATAATTTATTAAATAATGAAGAAGCTATTCAAATAAAATTAGTGTATTGTACTTCAAGGCATTGCATTCATTCAACATTCAGTTTTAATAATAGTCATGGTTATAGTATTCAAGTATTAATAATAGTTACATGCATTATATTATGTAACAATAAGATTTCAATAGGATTATGACTGTTATATTCAATTACATAATTATTTATACAAGTCATACATATTATATATACAACTACAATGTTGAATATTGTGATTTAATAACACTTTAGAGAATGATCATAATAGTAGCATATAAATAATTGGTATTGGTTATAGCTGGAATATTCAATGTGAATTAGTATCAACGCGTTACTTACTTCAAAAATAATAATTTAAAATATTTCATTTCTAGTAACAGCAATAGCTCAGGGAGAATAAAGATAAAAATATATCTTATTGTTAAGCAGAATTATTCAGAGATAATGTTTATGTATAATGCTTTATAATACCAGCAATCATTTTTCCAAGTCATATTTTTATTAATATCACTTACCTTGCAAAAAAAAAAAAAAAAAAAAAAAAAAAAAAAAAAAACAGATAAATAGCCATTGTCATTTTTTCATATTATTTTTTCTTTTGTACAGTTTTTATATTGTTTTTCTTTCAAGGTTTTCACAAATTTGTCTTTTCTAATTTCTAGTTCCTTATCTTTTGCATCCAAAGCACTTTCCGTCTGTATTTAAATTTAGCATGCACTAAAAAAAAAAATTGTAACAGTAAACGCTTACGTTTTTTATTTCTTTTAATTTCAAAATAAAATTATAACATCTACTCGCAATGAATTAACAACGACTTCACACATTGTAATTAACTAACAATGACTTAAAGCTACCTATCACCAATCAATCTGTGCTTTAATGTTTTTTATTCAATTTATAATTAACAATGGAACGATTTTATTATAAATTGCTAAAATGTTTAAATAGAATTTAGGATGCAAAAAAATTACATTATAAAAAGTAGAAAAGATAAATCAGTTAAGAATATTATAGTAATACTAGCAAGTCATTTCAATTAAAGAATCCATTTTATAAATGTAAGAGAATTACTCAATGGGACAGTTGTCATCAGGCATTAGCAACAATCTTATTTGCAAATTTAACCATTGCGATGTCTTTTTGTATAGTCTATAACTTTTATTTATTTATTTTTTATTTTAAATATAAATAAATTATATTTTTATAGACGCATTATTATGTTCAAAGCTTTAACGAATTTATTTAAAGCGTCTTTCAGCAAATTAATAGAAAAAATATTCACCTTTATTGTTGAAACTTTTTAATGTACGTTAAATGCTCATATAACATGCTTATGCCCTCTTCTAAAATTGAATAGAATATATTTTATAACAAAAATAGGTACGCATACTTCACGACTTTGTTGTAAAAAAAAAAAGTAACAAGATTAAAAAAAAATTATCACTATGCATATTTAGCCAATCACAATTATTGAAGGGATTATCAATAAAATTCAATTTCATTCTCAATAAAAAAATATGTAAACCCCAGAAATTTGCATTGCATGTAAGCGAAAAGTAAACTTCAAATGATAATAACTCGATGAATTCTTGACCAAATAAATAAAATAAATACATTCTGAATCAGAAAAAATGTCGCTTTCAGAAGATATAATTTTTTTTAATTTATTCCAACTTTTCGAAAATTCTTGTAAAAGGTCACCTTTTACAATTGTGAAAGGTCTACTTTTACAAACATTTAACAATTGTGAAAATAGACTTTATCTGCAGTGTAATAAAATAGAATGCATGACTTACATAATAGCTATTGAATTATGTAACCTATATTCTGTCTCTTAGTGTCCTCTTTTTTTTTTTCCAGTACTTTAAACAAAATTTCTAATTATGTCTTTTTAGAACGCAGCGTCACTGTCGGACATTTTTGTTCGAGACAGAAATAAACATTTAAAAATTCTTGGACGCGTAAGTAGGAAATATCCCACAAGTTAAGAAAAAAAAAAAAAAAAAGATGTAGTAGCTTGACAACATCGCTCTCCTAACATTGGAGCATAGCAGTCTTGTACACCTAGTAGGCAATTTACTATTCTGTTTTTCTTATTTTTTTATTTTCTCACTTTACTTGGTGTTTCAATATTTGTATTCCAATTTCTTTTTCATATTTGTTATTACGCACATTTAAAATAAATTATTATTACCATGGGATTATATGAAGAAATCAAAGAAGGTAATTAAAGCTTATACCTAGATAGGAACTTAGTTATTGACTCTTCTATTCATTACCTCTTCTGTAGAAATTCACTCTTCACTTTTAAGTTTAACAAATAAAAAAGAAAAAATAACTTGGAATGCTTTTATTCAAGATATACAGCAGACAATCCTTAGCAAATACAATAATCAAAATATCGATTCGTATAAAAAAAGCTGGAAACATTGTTTTAAGACTGCAGCTAAATATCTTGAATTACAAATAGATCACCACCAGCGTAAAGAAGGAGATAAATGGAAGGAACTGATAGTAAACAGCCTCAGTACATACACACCTACCCAAATTTCAAGCATTAGAACTACGTTTTCTAAAAGTACCTCAACTCTTGAATACCAGAAAATGTTAACTAATAGTGACATTATTCTACTTCAAAATAACCATAATAAAATTACCAAAAAATGGTCTTTGAGCTCTGGAAGAAATGTAGAAGACGTTTTGTTCAATGCATCAAAATGTTTTAAATTCGAACAGTAAGTATTTTTGATTATGAGTATAACTATATGTTTTCTTCTCTTTATCCTTTTCTTTATGTACCTCTTCGTTTTCTTACAACTACTTTTACTAACCTTTATACAAATACCTGTTCGTCACTAACATTTTATTAGCCCTGGTCATTCTTATATCCTTGATTTGAATGATGAGGTTTGGAAGAATTATTTTTCAAGTGAAGAGATGGCTGAACTTCACTCTCATAAGGACAACGCTCTAATCGAGCAGCTTCCTATTGAATTAAATGAGATGCTACAGAAGTTAAATGGAAAGGTAAAATGGAATGACTAGATATATCCTTTATTTTATGTTTTTCCTTATTAACGTTTGATCTTATTGTAGGCCACATTTAGGGAGATTTATGACGTATATCAGAATGTTGAAGCTGACCCTGTGGAGGATATAGACAAGTTCTGGATTAAGCAAAGCATCCTTAATTATGTACTATTGTTTGTTGACAGTGACGAACATGATGATTATGGGAAAGAACAGGACTTGTTGCACGGTGTTTACGGCTTTATCAAGCAGTCTAAAAGACTGAGCAAAACTAAAGTTATATCGTATGTAAACATGTTATATTTGTGTTTAAATCAGTTATTTGACTAGTCTACTTTAATAATAGAAACACTGGAAGTCAATCCTCTGCTGACTGCAAGAATAGTTTGAGATCAATCGGCTCAATTGACAAGATCTGTAAACAAGCTCCAGGTGATCGTCCCGACCTTTGTTTCACCTATTTATCAAATGAAATTGGGTGTCTTGAAATTGGTTTGACCAACCGTGGCACCAATGGTACAAAGGAGATCAATGAAAACAATATCAAGATACCTATAATGCTGAAAAGCTTTCATTACAGAATTGCAACTCAATACAATATTTCAGCTAATAAAACAAAGGTTATTGGTTTCATTATAAGTGGTAAGTTAGAATTGGAAATCAATCAAGAAAGACAATGTTAACCTCATTGTATCATAGGAATGTATATATCAGGATTGGTAATGACATTTAATAATGGCTCAGTTTCGTTGATATCACGATCGAGACGAATGAAGATGCCAGAAACTGTAGCTGAAATTCCACTTCTTCTTCCACCTGTGTTGAAGCTCATATACAACGCATCTCAAACTATGAAGGGAACAATCGACTTCATCAAGGAAATCTTTTTAAATGTTTCCCTTGATGAATTAGATGTACCATATTTCCCCCCTTGTTTTGCCGTTTGTAATTTAAATAAGAAAAGAAAAACTTCAATAAGCAATTAATTTATTTTTTAAAAAATTAAACTTATCTGAATCATTTTTATAAACAGTCGTATTATAATGTTTTTAAACAATGGTATTAAATAATGAAGTTGATATAAATGTCGTTCATAGCATTCTAATCTAAAGTGACATATAATTTTATTAAATGAAAACCCATGGTACTTGAAATAACTCACAGCTTAAATTGATTTAACATGTATTAGAGTAAAGACACAGTAAATGAATATTATGACAAATCTGCTAGGCTATGTGAAGAAAAACTACATTGTCCTAAAGAAACTTAATTCTAATGAGATCAATTTATTGAATAATTGTTACCACTAAACTCATGTTAGATTATTTCTACCAAAACATATAAATACTTTGAAAGATTTAAATTTATTTAATTAAAGCACAATTCAAATAGACTTTTCTTTAATTATATATATTTAACATGAACCCCATCAGCTTTATTTCACATTCATTATCTAAATAATAAGTCTCTTTTCGTTTCAAAGCAATATACTTTTACTTACAGGAGTAACCACGTGAAGGTAAAGACTATATACTCCCAAAAATTATGTATGCTACTTCATCATCCTACGTCTGGAGTACGAAGACCCAGTAGAGGAAAACGCAGCATCCAAATCTCACATAATGAGTAACAGTCCCCCAGATCCCAAAAGCTACTTCATCATCCTACGTCTGGAGTACGAAGACCCAGTAGAGGAAAACGCAGCATCCAAATCTCACATAATGAGTAACAACCCCTCAGACCCCAAAAGCTACTTCATCATCCTACGTCTGGAGTACGAAGAAAACGCAACATCCAAATCTTACATGATGAGTAAAGGAAAACGCAACATATAAATCTCTTTTAAAAATAAAAAGAGGGATAACGTCACCTTTTTTTTTTTTTTTGAAATTACGGTGCCTCTTTAAAAAACGGTCATAGATTACGAATTTTTGCAGATGTAAATTAATAAATTACAACCGCCGCACCTTTCTTTTTTGAAAAAAAAAGCACGACACTCTTTTTTTTTCATGAATTGTGGGATACCATCTTCCCAAGTACAGTGCGAAATTTCTATTACTTGGCAAGAATTTCTATTGGACTTGAGAAATTGGCCTGGCTTAGAAAAAATGCTATTAGCCAAAAAAAAAAATGAATTCTATTTTTATTTTTCAAAAATTCTATTTTCAAACGCAAAGTACTGTAAAAAACGAAATCGACAAATTTGGAAAACGCATAATTTACACTATTATTAATTTTTTTTTTTTTTTTTTTTTTTTGAAGTATAGAGCAACTGGAGTAAAAAAAAAAAAAAAAAAAAAAAAAAAAAAAAAAAAAAAAAAAAAAAAAATTCGCTTTTTTATTTATTATTATTGTTTTTTTTCTTCTTCTTCTTCTTCTTATACATTTACTAATAATATATAATTTTTAACAATTAATATCAGTCATTATTACATAATATTAAAGTTGTACATAAAACAGAATGGATTTTACTTGGGTATCTGATATCCCAAATACCCGTAAACATAACCTGCGTTTGTTAAATACTGATAGCATAAATAGTAAAGATAATAATGAGAACCAAAGGTAAATAAAATAAATTAAAAATAAACATTAGCTACAACAACAACGACAACCAAAATTAATATTATATCAGTAGCCATTTACAACAATTTAAGTCTCTTTCACGTAGTAACTCACGTCTATCTTACACCCCACCTTCTACTACTAATACAGAGACTATACGACGTTCTCGTGCTGGCACAATGCCTTCTTCTACTATATCCCCCTTTATGGCTTTAAACTCTTCAAATCTATACTTAAGTCAACAAAGACCTAATCATAATCCAATAGATCCTGACGGATTACATTCTGGAATGTCAAGTCCATTAGATGAAAACACTACTAATTCAATTGCAAGTACTTTAGCTTCTTTAGGCCTAGGTGATGATCTTAATGACAAGATCAATAATGATAATAACAATAACAGTAATAGTAACAATAATAATAATAATAATAATAATAATACGAATACTAGTTTGACACAACAACAACAGCAGCAACAGCAGCAGCAGCAGCACCAGAAACAGCAACAGCAACATTATCTTCAACCAGTAACGCGTCACCGTGCTTTTACATTTTCTTCGAGAAACACGATGACAGATAACCAAGGGGCCCCAGATATGATGTCATTCACTCCTTTTCCTCAAAAAACCTCTTTCAGTCGTCCACGCGCCGTTAGTTTAGGTATGGCTGACTTATCCCATGATGGATTTTCTCCCTTTAATCATTATTCATCTTCGGAATATCATCCGACCAAGTCAAATAGTAGAATAGATGAAAAATCATCCTTGTTATATCAACCTCTATTTTCTTATGAAGGAGATAATAGTATGATAGAGCCTATCTCTCGTCAATCTTCACCTAATAATATTGAGACGCAAATACCTTCTCGTGCTCTTTGGTTAGGTAATATTAGCCCATCCCTGAGTGTTCCTGATTTACATAAAATGTTTGCTCGATATGGTCATGTGGAGAGCGCTCGAATCTTATCTGATAAGGAATGTGCTTTTGTCAATTTTGATACAGTAGAGTCAGCTATTGCGGCTAAAGAAGATCTTGTGAATCGATTAGGTAGTAAAGTGGGTGGTACCACTGTAAAAGTTGGATTTGGAAAAGCAGATGTGAGTCTAGCTATGGCTCTAACTCAAGATGCAGGACCAAATGCTCAAGGACCAACACGATCTCTTTGTATGTTTTAAGTATAATTAGATTATACCCTCCCCTTTTTTTTTTTTTTTTTTTGTTTCTATTTTATTTTACTTACCTATTTTATAGGGGTTGGTAATATACCATCCAATGTAAATCCTGCTATTTTGAGATCTATTTTTCAAATATTCGGTACAATTGAATCCATTCGTATTCTTTCTCATAAAAATTGCGGATTTATTAATTTCGAACGTCAGGAAGATGCCGTCCGTGCACGAAAACATATGCAAAATAAGGAAATTTTAGGACCTGGTACAAGCACTGTACGTATCGGTTTTGCAAAGGCACCCTCAAGTAACGAAATTATTCAAGATGTCGTTATTTCGGGTAATACAGTGACTTCTTATCCATCTACGAATAAAGTAATATCTCAGCAACAAGAAGATAATACATCACAATGGGCCACAGTTATTTTTATGGCTAGTATGATGATGAATGCTGCTAAAGATGGCTCTTCAATATCTACTAATTCATCTAGTACTACGACTGCTGCTTCTCGTTTAGCTACTGAACGTAAATTGATTATGCAACAGTTAGGTTACGAATCCCAATCTTATGAAGGTATAGGAAGAACAAAAAAAAAAAAAAAAAAAAAAAAATTACTGCTATTATTATTATTACTTATACTGACTTTTTTTTTTATTATATATACATAGCTGAACGCAATCCTATTCATTATTTTTCAGCCATTCCAGCTGTTCCTGAATTTAGCGTAGATCGTAAACTTAGTCCTCTAAGACTTCGTGAGATTAAAAAGAGTTTAGATAATGGGCAATCTATACCTATCATAGAATCTATTGCTCAAGAATGTATGGAAGAAATTGTAGAACTTTGTAGTGGTATATATCTATCAGCTAGTTTATTCGTTTCTATTTTATATATGCATATATGTTACTAATTTAATTTCTTAACAATAGATTATATTGGAAATACAGTTGTTCAAAAGTTTTTTGAATATTGTAGTGATAAAACCAAACTGGAGATGTTGGAGAGAATTGCACCTCATTTAGCTTCTATTGGTATTCATAAGAATGGTACTTGGGCTGCACAAAAAATGATTGACTCTGTTCTTATCGATAAGCAGGTAAGTCATTTTTTTTTTCTATACGTGTAATTTTAATATTCATCCATCATTATAGATAGAGTTGATTAGTTTGCACATTGCTCCATACGTCCCATTATTATTATTAGATCAATTTGGTAATTATGTAGTTCAATGCTGTCTACGTAAGGGACCTAAATACAATCAATATATATTTGATGCTATTGTGGACAAATGCTGGGAAATAGGCCAAGGTCGATTCGGATCACGCGCTGTTCGTTCTATATTAGAAAACCCAATTGTTACTAAAGACCAACAAGTAAAGTATAAATCATGCAGAACAATTTCAACATGTAATTAATGCATTTTTTTTTTATATAGATTTACGTTGCGGCTGCTATTATGCAAAATGCATTGTTTTTAAGTACAAACGCCAATGGTACAATTTTACTAAATTGGTTGCTTGATACCTCTGGATTACTTGGGCATTTTCGTGCCTTGAGTAATAATAGTAATAATTAAGTTACCCTTTACTTATTTCCCTCTAAATATAAATATATACATATATCTATATAAGGATAAAAAAAAAAGAACAACAATATAAGAAGAAGAACAAAAAAGGCTTATATAGCATTGTAAAGTATAATCACAAAAACACATAGAAAATTACAAAGTATTGTCATCAAATTCAATATGTATATAAATATGTAACTTAATTAAAAAAAAATAAATAAAAAAGTAGCATACATTTACATTACATTCTTTAATGTTTCAGTTAACTTCTTTTCTACAAATACAAATAGTAAATCGTCTGGACTAGATAGGTCTAAACTGACATAGAATTGCTGTTTGAATTTTAAAGCTAAATAAATAAATAAAAAAAGAATATAAGCTATTCTGTTTATTGATCAAGCATTGACAATACCTAATCTACGAGCTAAATTTTTACTATGTTCAGATGTACTTTTACTAAAGATAGTTGTGGCAGAAGGTTGAATCTATATAAAATGATGCATCAATTATATATAACATTGTACATGATACGGATTTGAAAATTTACGTTTGAACCAAAAGGTGGTATCGCTACTGACATGTCTCCCAGCCCACCATCTGCTTTTCCAATCCAAATGAAAACTGCTTTGTTCATCTGGATAATTTGAAAATGAATAGGTTCCTGTAAAAACAAATGTGTTGCTTGATGAATTAAAAAATTAGGTTCTTCCACTACTTCTGACATTAATGTATAATTTGAAATGAATAAAATGATAAAAAAAAAAAAAAAAAAAAAAAAAAAAAAAAAGATAAAAAATAAATAAATAAAATAAAACTTAAATAAGATTAATGGTCATTATTTTTATAGGATGTTAAGCAACATTATAAGATTATTGTAACAAAAAAAAAAGAGGTTTAATCAATGTCTGTTATTATTTTCTACAATTTGGTTTTATTAATAAATTAATTAAATTGTAAAAGAGGAAACAATTTAACGAGTCTTGAAGTAGTCCAAAAGGACGTTCATAGCTTCAGATTCCTCTCCGAAATCAGTAACAGCAACGCAAGAGCAGCCAACAACCTTACGAGCGTTACCTTCACGGTCAATCTTACAGAGACCGGCCCATTCACCAAGCTTCTTAGCATCAGAGACCTTGATCAAATTGATGTTGTGTTCAGCACAAAGAGCTTCAACAAGCTTAATGTATTCGGATTCAGTACAAGATTCGCAAAGAACAGCTAAATGAGCTTGACGTCTAAACACATGTCATATTTAAGAAAAAAAATGTCATCAATATTTTTTTTTTGATGGAAAAAAAAAACTCTCCTTTTTTTTTCTTAAATATACATGACACGAAGAAAAAAAGGGACGAGAATTCAAGTTGATTATACTAAACTTTACCTGTCCAAAGCCTTAACAGCTTCCTTTAAACCACGAGCAAGACCATCGTGAATAAGAGCACGACGGAGGACTTCTTGAAGAGCATCCTCAACAGACATTTGTCCAGAGGTGGCTTCAACAGGAACTTCAACTTCTTGAGTGTCAATAACTTCTTCGTGGTCAGACATCTATTAAAGAAAAGATCGTCAATACATGGATGGATGGATGGATATTGTATATTAGGATACATTACGTTCAAATACTTTAAAGAGGAGGATCAAAGTAAATGGGCAATCTACGAATCTCTTTTATGGAAAATCTCCTCCCACTCCCAAGGCATCGGACCAAGCATGACAAAAAGCCACACGCATACTCTTTTTTTTTTCATTCTCAGAATAGATGTCAATTTATCTTGACGCTCTTCTTAACCACAGTCTTTTTTTTTTGTTGTTGTTTGTTTGATTTCAACTTTTCCCTATGAGAGATAACGATAACGGCAACGATAACACTAACACTAATACTCCTAATAGAGTAAGAGGCCCTACTTCTGCTTTGAGTAGTTTTCTAAGAGTAAGTCAAATAGTAGATCATTTAATGTTCTTTTTTTTCTTGAAATTTCTAATTAATTTCTTTTTTTTTTTTTAAAAAAAAAACCAGGAACATGGCATTCGAGTTGTTAATCAAAGTAGAAGATCTAGAAGAGAAAATAGTGGAAATAATGAATCAAACAGAACAGAATCTGAGGCTTCAACAAATATAACTATTAATTCTGCTGCGGCAGAAGAAACCGTTTCAGAAACAGGTACTACTACTATTCGTAGTGCTGCGCAAACAACGTCTGTCTCTTATAGGGCTACTGCTAGCAGTTCATCCAAGTCTAAAAAGAACAAAAAGAGAAAAAGAAAGAATGGCACTGATGACGACGACGATGATGATGATTACATCGGTTCTGATGATGATTTTTCGCCTTCTACTTCAAGGAAAATACCCACTGGTCGTGCCCGAATCCTCTTCTGTACTAAGTGTAATGGTCGATTTGTCCTCAAAACAAATGAAAATGAAACGCTATGTTCTAACTGTAGAGCAGGTCCTTCAAAAAAGCCTGCGACTAGAAAGAAGAAGACGCCTCCTGCTATAAAAAAGACTACATATCCTAAAGAGCATTTGCCTTCTCTTCAAGATATTTGTATCTCAATTGTTGCTAATTACATTGATCAAGTAGAAAGTTTTGGTTTTATTAGTGATGATAATTTTGAAAAATTGGCTAAAATTATATCCCGTAATCGCAAACTAAATAATCAAACTGCAAAGCTTTTTATGGAGCCTTATAGAAAATTCTTGAGTTTATATGATTGTACAAACATGACAGAAGACGGTCTTTATATGATTTCTCAGTTTTGTCCCCGCTTGACTAAATTACAATTGATTTATTGTGGTCATATGACGGACAGAGTACTGAATGGCTACAAGGAACGACTTCATCATTTAAGCTCTTTGGAAGTATCAGGGGCATTTCTTGTTACAAAAAAGGCATGGATATCATTTTTTGAGTGTGTTGGACCTCGCTTAGAGAGTTTTAGCATTCGTCATTCAGCACGTTTTACAAAGGAATGTCTAGAAGCACTCGTTACTTATTGTCCAAACTTAAAAGAACTTAAATTAGGACATCTTTCTCATCTTGATTCAGATTGGTTAACGTTGATTTCCCAACTAAAAAATCTCAAAACGTTAGAGTTGGCTTGGACAACGCATGGTCATACTTTCAAAACACAGGATGTTGTAGATATGCTATCGGAAATTGGTTCTCAATTAGAGGAACTAACTATCAGAGGTGGTCATGATTTAACTGATGATATACTTTATGAAGGATTACTGAAGAACTGTCACCGTCTGAAAAAACTAGGCTTGGAACAATGTGAAAAATTGTCAGCCAAAGCTATGGTGGAGTTTTTAGATAATTGGGAAACAAAAGGCTTAAGTCATCTTAATATTTCTCGGTGTATTTTGTTTGATGATGAGGTTATAAAAGCAGTTATTCGTCATTCAGGGGAAACATTAAAGCAGTTAAATCTTCACAGTTTAGAATTAGTGACGGCAACAGGCCTTGAATCTTTGGCTGGTAGTGAAAGCGAATCGACAGCTTGCAAAGGGTTGACGCATCTTAATTGTGGATTTGTGCGTTCTATGGATGATTTTGTTTTGCAAAAGTTAATTAATTGTTGCAAATCACTTGAACATGTTCAAGTTTGGGGATGTCACTTGGTAAAATAATTAACGATAATCTATTCTCATCAAATAAACTAATTTTTATTTTTTTTTTTTATATAATAGTTGACTGAAAATGTAGAAGTTCAGAATAGAATACGTATTTTAGGCAGAGAAATGTCTGTTATAGTCTAGGTCAAAAATTAAAATACAATATATTATTATAGTCAATAAATAAACATGTTTATTTGTCAAACCTAATGTTGTGACCTTGTTTTTTTTTTTTTTCCTTATTTTATCACCTATAAATCATAATGATAAATACTCTCTTTTTATATATAGACATATATTAATAAAAAATAAAAATAAAAAATTAAACAAATGCACGTCTGAATAAATGAGAAAAAACAACAAAAATCCAAAACCTACTAGACGTTTCTATTTCTGGCGAAAGACGCTATCTTTATCTGATCTTAATGTCCCTCGTAAATCAAAAATTGCTATTGATGCACTTCGAACGTTAAGCCTCATTCCATCCTTTTTGGGTTTTGTTTATAACAGTAAGCAAGCATTGCATGTACCTCTACGTGATGCAGGTGGTGCTATTATCATACAAAGCTCCCAAATTGATTATGTTGTAGCTAGTTTTTGGGTATGTCTACTTTTTTTTATTTTATTTTATTTTATTTTATTTACATGTACATTCAAAAAAATTAATAATTATAAAGTGTGCTTTAGCAGGCTATTGGAATTGGATCTTGACAACAAGCATGATGAGACGATGGATTTTCCACTACGAAATGAGTAGCGCTATTGTGCGATTAATTACATTTATTGTCATTACTTGGTGTATTTCTGCTTGGGTCAATTCCAAGAACGGGCCTGATCAACCTATTCGTACTTGGATGATGAACTGTTTTATCTTGTTGATTACCGATATTATCCGTCTCTCGATCGTATCTGATCCTAAATATCATGGCAAAGCTTCCAATATCAAGGACTCTAACCTGTTTCTTCAGTTAACTATTATGAAAGTATTAATTTTGCCAATGTCAGTTGCTACCTGTTTATCTGTAGTTGCCGTTTTATACCAAATGGATCAACTTCAATATACAACAAGTCAGTTGATGATTGGACCTGCTTTGTTAAATAATCAATCAAGCTATTCAGAAATAGGTCACACTACATCTATATTGATCCTAATCATCTCATCTTGGTCAACAGCTTCATTTGACAGACGACATACTTTGCGAAAGACGTCTTTACGATTATTGTCTCATAGTCCACTTTCCGTCCAATATCGATTTGTGATTGGACAACCACCTTCAGCCAAGGATAAACTATTAAAGTCAGAGAGGCTTTTAAAAGAATCTGAAATATATCAAGATCTACTGATGGTCCAGTCCTCCGATGTTGAATCTGATAAGAGTAGAAAGGTCTTTGAAGCTATGCGATGGGCCAACACTATAAATCATGAATACATTCTTAAAGCAAATGATGATGTATTTGTACGATGGGATATTGTTCTAAACGAAATGAGTCAATTACAACAGCCATCTTATTATTGGAGAGGGCTTGTTTATAGAGATATACCAGTTCAAATCATGAATTCTAAAAGTTTATTTATTGATTATTCACTCCCTACTTTGCCTCATTATACCCACAGTCTCTTTTACATCCTCTCAAGGGATGTGCTCAACTTAATCGTCACACCCAGCTCTCCGCGTCGTTTTATTCAAGAAGATGGACAAAATATTGCAGTTTGGTTATTTGGATTTCACATAAAGCCTATTCATGATAGACGCATTCAAGATACGGATACCTGTGAAAATGACCTAATTGCTAAACGAATGGATAAAGCTTCTGATATGTTAAAAATGTATTATAATATTATCCATGATAGACTTCCATGTACAGGGTTTGTCTCAAGTCTATGTGCCATATGCTATAGTTGTAAAGATAAGAAGATGAACTGGCAAAGCATCAATCTTGCTTGTGATTCTAAAAAGGGAATCATGTTAAAAGAAATGTCTGGCTTTGCTCAAGTAGTAGGCAAGACGCCCTATTAATTTATTTAGCTTTTTTTTTTTTTTAGCCACCACTAACAGGAGGAATGATAGCAATTTCTGAATTTTGATGTATATGTGTAGTGACTTCCTTATCCTTTTCAATATATTCCATATTCACTGCATACATAGAAATCGATAAAAGTTCTTCAAATTTCGTTCCATACTTGCTTATTAATATATCAGATAATTCCTTTAAACTTATAGTCTTCAAAACTTCAATTTCTTCCGTTTCTTTACCAGTAATATCTTTTAAAGCAGCAAAATATAACACGGTTACCTGTTTATTTATATCAATAATACATACAAGAATATATACATGTGTGTATTATTATTACCTTATTTTTCATTTTATTGATTTTTTTTTTTTTTTTTTTGAAAGGAAAAATAAAATAAAATAAATGAAGAGTTTGTCTTTTTTTTTTTTTTTTTTTTTTTGTCCAATTTAAAACTCCATTATTTATTTTTGTTTTTGAATAGTATTGGCTCAAATTGCTCATTAAAATATCTCATTCTACTAAAAAGTATAAATAAAAGTCCTTTATATCCTTTTTTTTTTATTTATTTATTCCTTTTTTTTTAAAATATATATATATATATATATATACACATATAAATATGGCTGTAAGTATATGGAAGGACTTGTATATTTATACTTTTGTAAACTGATATCATTTTTAAGCAATATACCTTCACCGTTGAAATGGCTTGCACTGGCTGTTCAAATGCAGTAAACAAGGCGTTATCTAGACTCGAAGGTAAATTTTTATGACTATATAAAATAAGAACATACTTTATTAAATTAAAAAAAAAACAATAGGTGTGGATAAAGTTGAAATTAGTTTAGAGAAACAACAAGTGGTTGTCGATACCAGTCTTCCCCGTGAAACCGTTCTTGCTGCCATTAAAAAGACAGGAAAAACTGTTAAAGATGAATAAAAAATAAACTAAAATAAAATCAAGATATATATATGTATATTTTTCTTTTAGCTCCCATTCCAGAATATAGTAATTTCTCCATCTCCAGGTGCAGATAAGACACTATTTCTTGTTTTATTTCTATCATCAAAGGGATTGTCTTCATCATTCACAGTTAATAAAGTGGGTTGGATTGTCTTCTTAACTGAGCCCTGACGACCCAACCCATCTTTTATTGTATTTACACGCATAATTTGAGGTTTTGCTCTTGTGATTTGAGTTGCTACATGATGACATGATTCTACTGAATCTCGTCTTTGATAGCTTGTTGTTGTTGTCGTAGTTAGTATTGAGATGTGTCGATCACTAAAAGGATTAATGACATTATCATCATTCTCTGCTGAATGTTCTTCAATGTTTCTAGTAGGCGGTATAAATGTCACCGGTATCACACCAGAGATATTTCGTTCCTCGTTTTTAACATGACCCAGTGCAAGTGGCAGTCTATTCTTTTTTTGACGACGATAGATTAAAAAGTACCCCATCGTACCTAATATGAATCCACCACCTAGCAATCCACCTACAAGTCCCCCAATTAAGCCATTCTTCTTATTGTTACTAGACGGTGAAGATGAATCTGTTGTTGTTGTTGTATCACTATTGATAGGTGGGAGCCCCAATACTGTTCTAGATATACATTTTGAATCAGGACATACCCCACAAACAACCATCGTACCCAACGTACACACTTCATTACTGGAGCAACCAGGTGTACAACTAGCTGAACAGTTCAAGGGCTTACAATCTACAAAAGGGATTATTATTTATCTATCAACAATTGATATGTCTTTATTTTATTTTTAATTTTATTTTATTTTTGTTTACTTTGTGCACATGTTAATGAAATTAAGTATAAAATGATTAAAAAAGATGAACATGTATAATTCATTTGAAAAGGAATGGAAAGGGATGATGAATCATTAAAAAAAATAAGAATAAAAAAAAAAAATAGATACAATACACAATACACACAAAAAAAAAAAAAAAAAAAAAAAAAAAAAAAAAAGAAAATAAAAGTCTACGCAATTTTAAATCACGAGATATGAATAGTGAAACATTTAAATAGTAGTATTTGTCGAAGGTATTATGTTGTCTCTCAAGAAAATCTCCCATTCGCTCCACATAACTCCATTAGGAATATCCCATAAAGGCACTTGTGAACTCAAACTAGCTAAATCGTATGTTGTTGTAGGTATAATGGCTCCGTTAGGTATTGTTACATTTAAATCAAAATTAGTTGCTTGTGAACAAGATGTTTGTTGATTTAAAGTCGTAAATTCTAAAGGATTCGATGGTAGAAATATATTTTTAGAGCTTGAATCAAAGGATGGATGAATTATATACGGATTCATGGCAGGACCAGTTAATGATAAATTAGGATCATTATTTATTATAGTGTAATATTGATCATTACTGCTGCTAAATGGTTGGGATTGTTGCTTGTTTCCGGATTGCATTATTTCATCATCATTTTTTTGACTTGGTGATGTATCTTCCATAGAGACATCAAAATTCTTTACAATTGACATTAACACTTCAATCATTCGTGTATTTTGAAAATGACTGTCATTCTTACACATTTTGGAACATTTTATCAAATAATGTCTTCCTTGTTTCCTTAGAAATTCATTCTCTCCTTTTGCATTATGTAATAGTATAATTGCTGCTTGAAAGATAGAATAAACTGACATACTCCATGGAAGTGCAACAAGATAATTACGATCCATTATCTCTACAATATTTATTAATTGAATTGCTGTATCTGTACAGATGCTGAGTGCCTTAAAAGCTATGTTAGAGCTTTCTATTTGTTTCCTAATAAAGGGTCTATATAAAAGTATGGAAACACATCCATATACAATATTAATTACAAGTGCTGGTGTTGTAATGTAATGAGCTGTTGAATCATTATTATTCAAGTCTATTATTTGTAATTCGGGTGGTAAGGTTGATTTCCAATTAGCTAATTTATGTTCTAAAGTATTCACTAATTCCAATTTTTTATCTTGATCTTGTTTTTTAACCCTTGTTGAATGTAAACCAACTAACGTTTCTCCCAAGATATGAGTTATTGTAAGCAGATGAACAAAGGCAGAATAAACGGGTATGTTTTGTCGTAAAGCTTCTTCTGCTTCCAGAACTAAAATGGGTATAAAGTCAGTATCTTTATTAAGATTTGAAGTGTAGTTTAATTCATAAGGTGATGGAAGCTCTACATCGAATTCGTCATCTATTATTGAAATAGGTCGACCTAACTCTGCTGCTACTAAACGATCCATTAAGTAGCATCCATACCATATTCGTCTACGTAATTCAATTTCATATTGAGGTATTTTCCATTTGGAACAATCACGATGAAGACCTAAATCTTGTGCTAATCGAATGGCCGTGCCTGAAATGAACCAATGACTTGTTTCTTCATCTACATTTTTGTCATAACCAATAAACATGCTCATAATCATCAAAGCTTGAACTGTACTTATCGTAGTACGTTTGCATACAATTCCCAACAATCTTTGTGACTTTATTTTAATGGTTTCCTTCATTTCATCTACTTGCTCAGACGTAAAATGGAATACTTTAGCTTCATTTGAATCGGTTTTAAAGATAGAGATACCGATAGATGCGATAGTATATAACAAATATTTATCTGGTGGCGAAGGACTATGATAATAATATTGTTCTAAAAATTGAATTTTGTTGATGATGGGACAATAATTATGCACTCGAGTAAAATACCTAATTATAAATTATAAATTATAAATTATAAATTACAAGTCATAATAATAAAATACTTACAAATGGACTAAATAATCTACAAAATCTTGCGTTATATGTGGAATGTCTCTAAATGCCTCAATTCGATTGAAAGTCTTGTTATTTTGTATATCTTCTATTGATACTTCTTTCGATTTTATAATAACATGCTCTTCTTCTTCTTCATTTAATTTTTGGATAAACCAAGAAGGTTCTTCTAATAATCGTTTCTTTTTATTTGTTGTAAAAATATCTTCATTTAAAAAATGAAGACCTGAACTAGCACCAAGATATCGAGTACGTTGATAGTCAGATACTGTTAATCCCTCCAATTGTTCTTGCATTAATTCTTGTTCTTGATCGGTTGATTTTAATTTTGCTAATGTACATGAATTAGAAGGTGACATCGTTTCATCTTCATTTTCAGAAGTTGTAGAATGATCTTGTTTATTTTCTTTAGTAATATTTTGAAGTAATTTTTCCATTCGTATTAAACGATTTTCCAACTGTTCAACATATCGTCTAAAATAAAGTTTATTTAGTTACTTTTTTTTTAAAAAAAAAAAAAAAAAAAAAAAATAGCAATCCCTAAACTTTATTTCTATTACCCTGAAGCAGGTCCTCTCTTTTTTTGTTCAATTAGAAATTGACAATTAGTATTTGTTAATTTACATTTTGTACAAGGTTGTTTATCATCAGCGTCACAACGAATCTTTTTTATTCGACAAGCATCACAGCTACGTTTTGCTCTTGTACGTTTCTTTCGTTCAATCTCTATATGTTTCTCAGCAGTAAAAGCTGATGTCGCAGGAGCTATAGGTATCATGTTATTTATATTGTTAATATGAATAACAATTGAAAAAGAAAAAAAAAAAAAAAAAAAAAAAAAAAAGTGGACAAATTTTTTTTTCGGTGCTGTAATTATTATTTTTTTTTTTTTTTTTTTTTTTTAATCGTTAGAAGCATAGACCTCATCAAATAAGTGCATAATCTTTATTGTATTTCAAATAGACTATCAAAAAAGATGATGATGATTATATACATGTATAAACTAAAGAAAGCATGATGATAAAGCATTGTCTTATCTTTAATAATGCATGTGTATATGTATGTACTAATATAAACTAAATACTTTGTATCTGTGTTACAGTCGAAAAGGATTTGAGTTCGCTCATTAACCGTTGGAGACGCCATAGGAAAAAAAAAAAAAAAAAAAAAAAAAAAACAATTTACAGATTCAGGTTCTTCTTTATTGTAATACATATTTAACTTACGAGTCTATGCTTTAATTATAATATATGGTGTGCAAATAGTATATATATATATATATATATATATATATATATATGTGTGTGTGTATATGTATATGTATATGTTTATAAATATATGCATATATACATTTGTATATATACATAATAGAAATAATAAGGGGAGAGGTGACTAAGAACTTAATCATCTAAGGCTAGTCTTAATGAAGGTAAAATGAATTTACCGCGTTTGCTTAAAAGTTGGTCATGGATAGCATTCATAGCAGTAACAGCACTACGTTGGTCAATAACACAAGAAATATTGATTTCAGAGGAACCCTGAGAGATCATCTCAATATTCACACCAGCTGAAGCCAAGGTACTAAACATCATACCAGCAATACCGACCATGTTTTTCATTTGCTTTCCGACAAGAGAAAGAATAGCAAGATCCTTAATAACGTCGACCTGTTTTATTTATTTATTTATTTTTTAATAAAAAAAAAGAAAAAAAAAAAGACTTTGATTAGCATTTGGTTATAAATAAAAAAAATAAAATAAAATAAAAGGAAACACTTACTCTTCCTACAGCTCGTAAATCAGTAATAACATGGTTTAAATCTTTATCTGTATTATCTTCACCAAGAGCCATGGAAACATGAACTTCAGAAGTAGAAATCAAGTCTACCACTACACCATAACGGTCTAAAGTAGAAAAGATTTTTGCGAAAAAGCCATGACTAACACTCTTACGATTAGAGTGAACGTTAAGGACGATAACATGATCTTTGATTGTGACAGCAGTAGGGTATTTACGAGATAAATCTAATGAGTAACCATTTTCAGCCAAGACCTGGGGAGAATGAGGAGGAGTAGCGGTACCGTCCTTTGAAACAATATCAGTAGGGAAAATGATCGTACCTTGGCCACGAGGGTTTTCAACGTTCTTAATACGAATAGGAATATGAGAGCGAATCACTTGTTCCATTGTAAAAGGGTGAATAACTTCAGAACCATAATAGGTTAATTCAGCTGCTTCTTCAGGTGTAATAATAGGTAAGAGACGAGCTGATTTGACCTTACGAGGATCGGCAGTAAAGATACCATCCACTTCTTTCCATATTTGAAGTTCTTCGGCAGTTAAACCTACTGCTATCAAAGCAGCACATAAATCAGTGTAACCACGTCCCACTGTATTTAACAAACTACCAGGCACAATGCCAAAAAATCCTTTTTAAGAAATAATTAATCTCATTATTATTATAGAGTGATATTTGCATTTCTATTTACCAGTAACTACAGGTACTCTATTACCACAATTTTCAATAGCTTTTGCCATTCTTTCAGCAAGATAATCATAAAATTCTTGGTCTAATTTCTCAAATTCACGATCAATAATATTTTCAAAAGAGACAAATTGAGCATCAACTTCCTAATTGTATAAATAAATTATTATTATTATTATTATTATTATTATTATAAAAAAAATTGATTAAAACTTACTCTATCCTGTAACACAGCAGCTACAATTCTACAAGAAAGTTTTTCACCAACACCAATAATGATATCTCTTGATCGAGGAGAAATTTCATTAATAATCTGAGCAGCCTCCAAGAAAGATTTAAGTTTTTCACAATCAGCTCTAATGTCATCTTCTAATTCTTTTCTAATTTCATCATTGTGTATCATTTCAACAGCAACAGCTAAATGATCTTCTAAAAGTGCTGATACGATATCTAAATATTCTTTTGATCCAGGCTTTAAGGCATCATTTGCTGCACGGATAAGTCGATTGGTAGTACCAGTCAATTTATCTTTTCCGCTTCTAGCAGAACAAACAACGACAAGTCTATTTTGTTTCACATATTCTCTATAAAAAGAAAAAATAAAAATGTAAAATGTAAAATCGGATTTTAATAGTAATAAAAGAGTATAGTGTTATAATATTTACTTGATAACTTCATTTGCAATATTATCCAAGAATTTACCAACACTAGTACCACCAAACTTTTGAACTACCCAAGGAAGTTCAGAAGAGTTATTGAATTTATACTGACGCATCATTTGTTAAAAAAAAAAAAATAATATGAAGTGAAATAAAAAATGAAATAAAATAAAATAAAAATTAGAAATTAATAGGTACGATATTTTTTAAAAAAAAAAAAAAAAAATGAGTCAAATTGACATTAAATTAACCAATGTTAAGGAAAGATCATATAAATTAAAGGTCCGCTTATCGTTCATCTCGGAAGTTGCACGTACGAGTTGGGTTATAAGGACGTACTCATAAATCATATGTCAACACCAAGTAAATCATAGTGATACAAGAATAAGAATATTCCAAAATTCAACCCAGTAAACGTCATATAAGAAGAGGTATAAATAACCTTACTTTAGCCCCATGAAATTATTGTCATCTATATAAGAATAATCCTATCTTGGATACTTTATGTGTTTCATATTTTTAGAAACAAGCCGTTTACTACAATACAACTCATCTTTCAAACGTCTTTATTGATTGGCTCTGCAACAATGCATTATTCACTTGAGAACTATTTCATTTTTTATATTCGCTTTCATGAACACGATTTTTTATTTTGTTTGTCAAAAAGAAACTTTCTTGATTCAAAATATAAATTATTTGGTTGAAGTAATTTACTATTATAAAAAAGTAAAAACGACGAGCAGCTATCTTCTTTTATCTATAACAAACTTTTCTTTATATATATATATATATATATATTTATTTGTATGATCACAATCTTATCCATAAACTTTTTATACTCAAAGTATCTTCTACTCTTGGTTCAACGATAATGGATTTTTTATACTGCTCCTATATTGATTTACATTATTTTAGACTTGGCAATAATAAATTACAAGTAAAAATAAAAAAAAAAAAATACATACATCTTCTGTTAGAATTTGACTATCAGCAATAAACCGTAATACTTTAATATCAGGTTCAATTGTATATCGAGGATATTTAAATTTCATAATTGTCATGATAGTTTCACCCATCAGTCGAAACTTTTCCCAATGAATGGTACCATTTGCTCGAAAATCCTTATTAGCTTCTGTAAGTAATACCAAATCTTGGCTATGTATACCACTAATACTAAAAATATAAGCATATTTTTATATACATATACACATACATATACATATACACACACACACATATATATATATAACTTACAGATAAGGTATTCCTGGTGTTCCTAACGCTTTATTTAAAACGAGTCGATACGAACTATATGATTGCTCTGTATTCATTAATCTTTCAAGACTTCGAAACTGTTTATAGACCTTTTTTGTAATAATAGCTTGTCTCGTTTGCTTTAGACGTAAAATAGATGCACTATTAATACCAGCTAAGAAAGCCATTAAAGAATTGTAATTATTCAGCTTTTGTAGTTCAACTGCTATGGACATGAACTTTTCTAACAGTAAAATTCTTTTCGTTAAACTTGATTGTTCTATGATCGTGGTTGTTATCCAGGCAGAAATAAAATTAAAATGAGCTATCGATGCTATGACTGCGTTATTAGATGAGTTTTGATTACAGTCGTTCTTCTTTGATGTCCATAAATGTTGAATAAACTCACGTGGCTATCATGAGTAGATATATCAGTATATTACGATATTGTAATAGTAGTAGTAGTTTTTTTTTTTTTTTTTTTTTTTTTTTTAAGATTACTTGCTTTGATCCTCGAGAATAACTCGGCTTCAATCCAAGTAAGTTGATCAGCTATAGTTTTATTTTGTAATTTTATAAAGGTCTTGTAATTCGATTTTACTTGATTAAAAGATGGATGCTGTTTAATGGTTGAAAATGGATATCCTAGAATCGAAGACGCCCATCCAATAGTCGTAGCAATGGAAGGTGTCGAATTATTATGTTTATCATACTTTGCAATATGATCAATGTTAATTAAACCACCTGCAAACTCGGCACAACATCTATTAGGATCTGCTAAGGAGTTTCGCTTCTTTTGTGATTTTCTCAAATTAGGATGCAAAAATAGTGGGTTGCTTTTAGCATGATGCAACAAGTAATTGGATGACAAAGTGGGTGTATTCACATCTAAGTTTGGTTCAACATTATTATTGCTTGTCAATAAATGAGACGATTCATCCAATGAAAGTCGATTAGTCACGTCTTGAATGAAATTGGTTATACATAAAACACCACCAGAAGAATAGCCGCTGTCTTTTTTTTTATTCCGTTCTATGCAAGTATTTAAGGATGATAGAGGATCATCATCATCATCATCCACTAGTCCCCAAGTATTATCAGGATCGTTCACTGGTGGTTCGCGTATAACTAAGGGCGCTAATGAATCACAAATGGGTGTTAAATTCTCGTATTTAGAAATACGATCCAAAAACGATATAATAGTTTTTCTAGTTTGATCTCCATAAAAATCGTTCCAATAGTGTGATAACCATAACGAAAAAATACTATGAATTCTATATTATATTAAAGCGAGATTTGTATTTATTTATAACGTTAAATTACATCATATAAATATATATATATACATATATGTATATGTGTGTATATACATAATACCTTTTTTGTAAAGCAGTAGGTAATAATGAAGCAGAATATCTTCTATCATTTTCAAATCTAAAGGGTACAAAATGAATGAATCAATTACATGTTAATATTATTCATAATAATAAAGTGTATCTACCGGTCGATAAGTATCTTTACAAGTTCATTTGGTTTCATAAATTTCCTGTAAAATATTAAAAAGACAGGAATAATGTTATCATCTACATTATAATAAATCAATAATAGCTTCTAAAACTTATACACGCACCCCCCTTTTTTGTACCTGTTTTATTGTATGTAACTGACACTAAACGGTCTATAATAGTTTCGAATGTTAGGCTAATATGAGATATAATAAATTAGGGAGAAGGTTAAAGATAAAGAGCAAAAGAAGAGTAAAAGGGAAATGAGTGGTACCTATTATATTCTTCATCAAAACGCATCATTTGGGAATAGAAGTCAAGCTTTCTTTCTTTATTTTATTTACTGTTGAATGCAAAATAAGAAGAAGAAGAAGAAGTAGAAAGAGACAAGAATGGATTCACTGCTATGCTATGTCGGAATTGGCTTCTTCAATTTCCGAAGTAGTACTTGTTTTGTCGCTTAAAAGATGCATAAATCATTGTTGTGCCAAATCCTTGCAGATCCTTTGTTTTCACCCCACTCCCTAGAATGATTGTATAGTTGGTTTTATTATTATTATTTTTTTCTGCCTTGTGTAGGCATCTATTTGAAAATGGGTACAATTATTATTAAAAAAAAAAAAAAAAAAAAATCTTATGATTTTGTTTATAATATTCGTAAACTTTATGAGTTGTATTTCCCATTATTAAATTGTAAGGAGTAAGTAGCCAATTTTCTCGATTTATATGTGTATTTATAATTTTAAGGGGTAATTAAACTTGCTACTTTTACTAATCTAAAAAGCTTATACGAGTTTTACATTACATCATTTTATTTTATATAGAAAATATTAAGCAATGTTTGCTAAATAATCTTTAACTTCATTCAATTTCAACTTTCTAAATAATGGCATCTTTTTTCTTTCACCACCATAGACATCAACAGTACTTGTACCAATAATACCAATCTCTAAACTATTTTCTGTCATTTGACCTTCAAATCCTTCTTTAAGCTAATACAAAATACATGTCAGAAAAATATAAAATAAGTATATTATATAAATGTAAGGGGGGGGCTTACAGTCAAAATTGCTGTGTGTACTGCATCTTCTAATTCCATTTCTTCATTATATCTGTTCATAAAAAAAAATTATATATTCATATATATTATTTATATATCTCCTTTCTTCTCACTTTCCTTTTTCTATCTACCTCTTTTCTAAGAATGTCTTTGCATTAATCATGTTTTTACCAATAGCACTTGCTTTCCAAGCCCAATAAGAACCAGATGGATCAACTTGATAGAGTGAAGGTCCATTCACTTCATCATATCCTGCAATTAAAAGTGAAACTCCAAAAGGACGAACACCACTACATGATGAAAAAAAAAATAATTAGCTATTTTTTTACTTCATATAAAAAAAGGAGAAAACTTCTTATTTCTTCATACCCGCTTTGAGTATATTCTTGCATAACACTTGCAACTTCTTGAACAAGAATTCGTACTGGAGGCTCCTCCATATAGACTCTCTTATATGCTTGTGCTGCCTTACGTGCCTTACTAACTAAAACACGAAAATCTGGACCCATACCTGAATAAACCATACCAATATTAGAACAGATAGTAGCTACCTTTTCAAGTGTAGAATCATCGACAAGATTGGAAGCTGATTTCTTTTCTGTTGCAATAACAATACCATTGGTGGCTATTTATTTTTAAGAGATTAGGAGATTCGTTTTTTTTTTTCTTTTTTCTCTTTTTTTTTTTTTCCTTTTAATGGAACTTGCTTTATGAATTAATATTTACATATTTGTACCTTTAATGCCAACACTTGTAACACCTTGAGAAACAGCATTTAATGCATATTCAATTTGGACAAGCTTTCCGGAAGGAGAGAAAGTGGTAAGTGAGAAACTATAACGATCAGCCATTTCAAATGTTTATCTTTGAAGGAAATAAAAAAAACAATAACAAATAAGCTTAAAAGATATTAAGGGAAAAAAAAAAGAAAGAAAAGAAAGAGGAAGAAATGCGTGAATATTTTCTATAGACGCGCGTATCATGACGCAAGCTTTGATTTTGTCCGGCTCGGCTAAATATTTAATTGCTTTTTTTTTTTTTTTTTTTTTTTTTCTTCTTCCATGTTCTGATTGAGCAGTTGCTAGAAAAATTATGACAATAAAACATGCATTCATATTCTGTTTCTAGCTGGAAAACATGCACTTATATGATATCTTCATGATTCTTGCATTTATACAAAATTGAAGGAATTTCACAAAAAAAATAACAATAGAAGAATACATTTATTCTTAGCTATGACAAATGATTTTTATTGAGTTAATGAATAAAGTAAATCAGAAAATAGCCCTTCTCTTCCTCTCCCTTTTCTTTTTTTTTTTTTTCTTTCAGGCAAAGACTTTATTTAAGCGATATTCCACATAATAGACGCTGTTTAATAATATAATATCCATGATACAAAACACATACAACAATTTGAATTTTGAACACTGAGGAAAACTGATAGTAAAGGATCAAAGGTTGCATTTAAATAAATAAAAAAGTATAAAACCTAGAAACTAAGCAAAATTTACTTTGGTATACTTTGAGATTGGTCTCGTCTATGATAAAATTATATAAATAAACAAACCAATAATGTACAAAATTGCTATTATAATCGACTACTACTCACAAAAGAACACCATCTATTATTAAATCTGTCCTAAGAGCATTATATAGTACACATTAGTAGAAATCAATATATTAACTGTGTGTATCTGAATAGATATAACAGGGATCTATAAAGCTCAATACTAGACAGATATATACGTATACGTATATGTATATATTTATATACAAAAGAAGCATTGTCTTTTCTTTTATTTAGTCACTACTATATATATATATATATTATATGTTATATATATACATATATATATATATATGTTATTTACATAAAAACAGGTATATATGAGTATATATTATGTATATACATTACAATAAATTATCGCTTTTTAGATAAAGCTTCAATAAAATGTTCAACATCAGCATCAAGCACTTGTATAATAGATGGATCGAAGCTATCAAATGATATTCTTGCTTTGGTATTCTCTGCTGCCTCTTCAAATGCCATATTAAATTTACTGCATATATATAAAAAAAAAGAGTTAGCATCTTCTTTCTTAAAATAAAATAAAAATGACTTACTTTTTACGAATTTCACCAAATGAAGCTGCACCTGTTAATGCAACTAATAAACAGGTACCATGCTTTTCATCTAGTGAAGATAATACAATAGGTAAATTTTTCTTTCCATGTTCCTACATGTATATAAAAAAAAAAAAAAAGAATTAACCAATTACAAAAGCAATAAAAATTACATAATAAAAAACTTACTCTATACGCATCAATTAGATATAATCCAAGTTTTGTTAATGCAGATGGATGTTGAAAGATAGGAAGGTCAGGTCCATTACGAACGTTTACAAATCGAAAGTTTTTAAAGATTTTCACCATCTTCTTTTCAATAATACTTGTTCCTTGACGAACAATTGTCTTTTGAGTTTTCATACATAGTTTAAGTCCACGTAGAAGACTCGAGGGTGAATTGCCATTTAATGCATCATAGGCTGCATAGAAATTCTTCATCCACCATTTGCTTCTTTCACTGCCTAATAGACCATGATTATTATATCCGTTGCTACTGTTAAGTCGACCCATTTCAGCTGTCTTGCCACTGTCGTCTTTAGGGTCTTCATCTTCATTATCTGTAAACGACTCTTCTTCAGTTTCTTTTATATTGACTGCTGTCCCTAATTGTATTGCTGCTGCAGGACTTGTTTCTAATAGAGTTGAAAGTGAATAGACTACATCACTGGCTGATAAACAACATTCCCAGCCATAAGTTCTCGTAAAGCTAGGAAAACAAATATCCGTAAGTCCATAAAGTGGCGCGACAACTTCGATCTTATCTCTGAGTATTTGTTTTAAATCCATATCCATATGTGTATATATCTGTTGACATTGCTGAAGTGAAAAGCTACAAAGGTTTCAAAAAGGTTAGTCATAGAATACTTCTTATTGAGAAGTATATTTTTTACCCCATTTTTGCAAACATATTATTTAATCTTTTCCTTCCTGCATCTTTCCATACACCTAATTTACTTGATACATATCCTGAATGATACATACTATCATAAAGACTCCAATGTCGAAACATAATAAAACGATATTCATCTTCTGATTTAATAACAATACTATTTGCATTCTGTAATGAACCATCTTCTGTTCTATCAATATTGAGTCTTGCTCGATCATCTTTAAACATTTCCAAATATTTTGCATAAGTAAAGGTATCCATTTTTTCAAATATATATTGAGAGGTGACTCCAACAATGGCTAGCCATAATAATTCATTATTTGTCTTGCCCAACTGTTGTGCTAATTCATAAACAACCCCTGATACTGAATTGGCATAAAATGATCCATTTCCATAATAATTAGCAACAATACTATTCAAGTGGCGTCTTTCATTTCTCTTTGAAAGACGTGTACTCTAAAGATATGTATATATATATATAAAGAAGCTGTTAAATAATAATAGGAATTAATAATATGCTTAGTATAACCTCATTAAGTCTTCTTCTCTGTCTTGGGCGATCATCAATAGGTCTATCATCCTCATCTAGTTCTTCATTTTCTGAATCTTGATCATTATTATCTTCATCGCTCTCTTCATCTTCATAAGCCTGCAAATATATATATATTAATATTCATTGTTATGCGTATTGTTTTTGTTTTTCCTAGCTTATAACTTTACAATTAATTTTTCATAAGCTTCAATGGCTGCTTCAACACGTGTTGTCTGACTTTCATCATCAAATACACAAATATGGTTGTTTTCGGAAAGTAAATTATCAAGTAATAAAGGACGATGACTATCAATTACATAAACTTTGGTTTCAGGAGGTGCTGTAAAGAGATTAGCAATCAATTCACTACCTCCACAATTAATCATTACTATAGATCGTAACTAAATAAAGGAAAAAAAAAAGGGTCGAAAAAGAGTTATTAACAGTACTTTAAAAAAATAAATGTATATACATGTATATGAAATTTACATTTTCATCTTTTGAAATAAGTTTTTCATTGGCATCTTCGAGATCTTTATGACCTGAAACAGGTACAATCTTATGTGGAATGATATCAGTTTTTAATAAAGACTTTTTTTTAAAAAAAAAATATGTATACAAGTAAATAGATTGAGCTAAATAAAATTGATCTTTATAGTTTTATATAGGTAATACCTGAAATATACGAACTGCACAAATAGAATCAATATCAGCGGCAACAAATACAATACAATTGCCTTCTGAAGAATCGCGTTTAATGTATTCATATGCATCCTGGTAAAGATTATTTGTAATTCTAACCATGGTGTTTTGATAATGAACACGTCTTTTTTTTTCGCGTCTAATATGTATATTTTTATATATAAAAAAAAAGTGAAAAAAAAAATTAAATGTACGCGTTTTTATAGTTCCTAGTTTTTTTTTTTTTTTTTTTTTTTTTTCACCAAAATCTGTTGAAAATTCCCCCCTTTTTTTTTTTCGTTCTAATTCATTTGTTTCAGAAATAATAAAAGAGCAAAAAGTACTTGAAAGCTTTACATGTATAAGAGATTATAATAGTTTTATCAAAATAATAGAGGGTGAAGGGGAGTAAGAGAGAGAGAGAAAGAGAAAGTTATTATTATTATTTTTATTATACAAGTTTTTCCCCATTAAGCGCTTTATTCATTGTATCTAGACCCTTTCTAAACTCTTGCATCACCATCTTATTTGTATCAAGTCCATATGCTATAAACACTTGCTTCCACCATCTATACCAGTCACTAATCTGGTCATAATTAATACTATAAATGTCTAATGATAACCATTGCACTAGAACAAAATGCCATTTGTTGAAGAATTCATTTTTAAGTAAAGTGCCCATCACGGTATCAGATAAAAGATTCTTCCAGGCCAAACACCAAATCAGCCCGTCCAAGTTTTGATCTCGTGGATTTACTTGGAACTCTTCACGAAGGAGAAGTGTAAGTTTGGGTAAAATAGATTTGAGCATAAATTGCTCACATTGTTCAGCTGTCCAGATATCCTTCCAAGGGGTAATGATATGCAATGCTGATTCATCAGAGGGATGCCATTGTCGAAGTACGACAGATAACTTTTGTCGAATGGTTGTGCAAAGCTCAGCTAATCTCCATGCGCCAAGTGTAGGAAACCAAGGATGAATCCAGGTATGAATCATAACAGGATCTGTACGTGGGTTCCAGTCTGAGACTGCACGACTAAGTTTGGGTATGATGAGTTGATTAATCATGTTTTCAAATATAAATCTGGGTAGTAAAGGTTGCCATTCTTCTAATAATTGTACAATTGGATCAGGATCATAGATATTCCAATGGTTACTATTTATGATTTGTCAGATACAACTTCTTGTACACTTTACTTGACATGTATGCAAATACTTACTTTATTGCACTTCTAACTTTAGATAGCCATATTGTATTCATCATCATTTCAAATGGTGTACAAACCAAATTCTTTTGTAATGCTCTAAACCTTGTTGTGTTTGTATCGTTATCGTTGACTAGTAATAACTTTTTCCACTTCTTTACATCATATAGACCCCAAGTAGGTTCTTCCAACACATTCCAATGCATTGATTTGTATTTTAATACCGGTGCCCAAACAGACACCACGAGTGAATCAATATTCATCGCTTTAATATCATCCATAAAATTTTTTTCCAAGATATCAAATTGTTCACCAAATAATGCTGTTATATCCCCTTTCTCAAAGGCACCAGTAGCCATTGCATCTTTACTTGTCGCTTCTAATCTTTTTGTAATCTCCTTTAATTGTTCTAATTTTCGTAGTCGTCTCTCTTCCTTCTCCATCTGTTCTCTCATCTTATTCACTTCAGCCTCAAGTGATTTTAGATCGATTGTCGTCTTTTGTTTCTCCCTTGACAAGTTTTCTAAATCTCCACGTGCTAAATCAACTATAAGACGTAAATTGTGCCTTAATTCAGGTAATCGTGTAGTGACCTCCATCAATGTAGGTGAATCTGTACGTTTGATATCCGATAGTGATATTTCGCGAATACCAGGCCCCGTCATATCTATCACCTTCTGTTGAGTCGATGGTAGTACATCATTTTCAATCTCTGCCAAGATATCAGCCGCTGTCTTGTAAACCATCTTTGGTTTTCGTGATTTCTTCTTTGTTCCTTCATCTCTAGATGATGCTCTCCATGCATCACGTCTTTTCCCCTTAGGGGCTCTTTTTCCTTCTTCATCGCCATCGTCATCTTCTATTTCACCTTTACGTAATTTGCTTTCCAGTTTGGCTTGCTCTGTACGTTCATCAAACCCTTTAAAGCTCAAGCCCATACCTTTAGGTCGAAGTTTGGTCTCGATCGGATTCACAATACCTTCTCCACCAGCACCAAGACCTTGTCCCATCGACCAACCCATCTTTTCCATCATCTTTAATGCAGCACCCTTTGAGTATTTGTTAAATGATGCAAAGCCTGGATCAGGTGAAGGTGTTGACGATCTACCACGAACTCGCTCTTTCACAGGATCCTTTTTTTTTTCCTTTATTATCGGTGTTGCCTCTGGCGTTGATCTTTCAGAGGTCTGTTTAGCAGGCAAAAATGTTGGCCCTAGATTCAAACCACTATAACCAGTTGGTCTGACATCGTCTTCTTCATCACTGCTATCATCATTAAATCGCCCTCGTCGTCTCGTTTGTCCTGAGAACCCCATCATTTCATCTTCTAAATCTTGTTCTGTAATGTCAAAATTAATTCTTCCGGATTCTTCGTCTGAAGAGTCATCCCCATCATCCATGTAATTTTTTCGTCTACTCATTATTAATTTCAATTAATTAAAAATAAAAAAAAAAAAGAAAGAAAGATCAATGAAGTAAGAGAGAATATTGTAAAATTAAACGGCGTGACTGTGTTAAGCATGCCTTTTTTTTTCCCGCAATGCAGCAGCATCTATCTAGTTCTACTTTTTTTTTTTTTTTACAAGTGGGCTCGTTTCTTTTTATTACAACTTTATCATGACAACTGAAATTTTGCCGTTTGTTTCTGTCCAAGCGGATTGGGATCAGGTAGTTAGAGAAGTTGCTTCAAACACAATTCCTAGTGGTTCATTTTGGATAGCTTGTTACCTAAAAGGTAAGACGACAATAGCAACAACAAAACACATGCATACATACATACATACATACATCCCTATCTAGACCAATGTATATATTGACATTGTGTTTTAGGTAAAGAAAGTGTACAAGGATCCGTAGAGGTCAATCGTACCAAGGATTACGAAATTACTCTTGAAGGAAAGGATGATGTTGTCGTTACTAATTTGAATTCGGTATAATCTATTTAATGCATAAAAAAAAAAAGAGGAATACAAACTAATGCCCTTTTATAGCGTGCCTTTAAAGTGGAGTGCCCTAAATTAGGAATAAAAGATATTACTGTCTATAGCTCTAAACAAGAATTTAGTTTAATTAAAGATAAGCCAGTTAATTGTCTCGACATTTCACCTAATGGCCAATTATTTGCAGCAAGTCATGAATCAAAAGCATCAATAGGATCAATTATGGATGGCAATATTTCGGTAAAGTAACATGTATCAACGACAAATTCAAGTAAATTTTTATTTATATTTTGTACTTTAGACCGTACTTGAAGGTCATGTTAGTGATGTCACAACAGTTGAATTCTTTCCAAGCAACTTGGTAGTTTTGACAGGTGGCGCAGATTTCCAGCTTAAAATCTGGTCTGTATTAGATGGTAGTAATCCAGTCACTCTTAAAGGGCATACTTCAGGTAAAAATAAAACAAAATAAAAAGTATTTGGCAGCTACTTACTAGATAATAGCTATTACAAATACCGCAATCATTTCAAAGGGACGTAATGTGTTATGTAAGTCTACAGTAAAATCTTTGAATTATAAATTATCTAATAAATGATATCGATTAGCTTCGTCTCGTGATGGTACAATCAAGTTATGGAACTGCGGCACATCCTCTACAATAACTACAATGGGTAATTATAAGGTACCCGTAAACAAAATTATCCTCACTCAACTTCCATCCCAATATGAGGCAGCACCTATAGAAACATTAGGTAAAATAAGACTTGATAAATAAAAAATAGCTGTTTTTTTTTTTTACGAGCATTTTATTAGATCCTATGGAGGTAGAAACAAGTGATAAACTTGTATTAGCTGCATTAGACGATGGAAGTGTACGAGGCATTCATTTAGGCACTAAAGAAGAGGTAAACTATCATTGTTGGTATTGACTAGATTTTTAGACTAATTGTATGCAAGATTTTTGCAATACCTACAAATGGTATTCCCTTAACAGCTATTGCATTTGATCAAGAAACGGAGATCATTTTTATAGGCAATAAAGATGGCTTTATGTTAGCTTATTCTCTCAAAGAACAAAAGATAGTATCGCAGTGGAAGCGAAATGGATACATGATCACATCTATTGTTATTATGTTGAATAAAAATGGAGAAAAGATTTTGTGCATCAGTAGTGGTATGTTAATAATTTAAAGCTAATCACTTTATATTTAATTCATCTTTTTTTTTTCCTCCCATATAAGCGGACGGAAGTGTTTACCAAACAGCCTCTTTAACAAACACAAAAATTCAAGTAGAAGCTGAGTTGACGGGGAATGAATTGGAAGCTGTTTATGATATGAAGTTAGTTCCTACTAAACACGAATCAGGATATCAACGAGTTGCGTGTGCAGTTCGAGATGGGAAAATAAGGATTTATTAGAAGAGTCATATTTTACTATTGCATAAAGGTCATTAATATAATAAATTTCAAGTCTAAAATTGCGATGATACTGCTTGTTTATTGTCCAAACAATTCAAAAGGCTTCATGGATATATTTTGCACTTTTTTTCTTATTCTTTTTAGACTCCTAAAAATTTAGAGACTTTCTAGCAAGTTTAAGCTATGTAATTACAGACATGAACATAAGTTTTTTTTTAAAAAAAAAATAGATAGCGCTCGTCTTCTTCTTCTACTGCTGCTGCTATATGTCGTTAATTAATATTAGAACACTTTACAGAAGCATCCGAAGATAACAGGGCGAATAAGCATTATAAAAAAAAATGACGTTTATCATATGTTGTAAGATTTAATTATTATAACAGGTTCAAATCATATTTAAAAAATAAAAGTAAATAATGAAATGCATTGTATATACGATAAAAAGTTACATTTAGTTTTCTTAGTCATCCTGGCTTGTCTTGTCTAATGATAAACAATACTCTTATAGATCATATTCACGGCTTTTAAAATATTAGAGTGTTTACATCTGAATATATAATCTTGGAAAAGAAGAGACTAAAATTAGTAGCAAAAAAAAAAAAAAAAAATGATTTTCATATCAAATATTCAGCGATAACTACACAATCTCACTTTCAAGAGTTGAACACCCTTTTTCATTTTTTTTTTCTTTTTTTTCCTCTTTTCTTCCCAGTAAAACATAAAATAGCTTTTTAACAAATAATGATGATTTTACTTTTATTGTTATTTGTACAGCAAGAAAGAAAACAAAAAAATGAGGGGAAAAGAGATCACCTCCCCAATCATTAAACGGAGTTTGAAAAGATAATTTTTTTAAATTTCGACTAATTTCCCTTCACCTAATTGAGAATACAGTACGTCTAGAATAACCAACCCTTTCTCCCTTTCTCTCCTTTTTTTTCTCTTTTTTTTTTTATTTATTTATTTATAATAGTTGTTGAAAATTACATGCTTTTCTTTATTTTATAAGCTTTCTTTATTCTTTCATTTATGACATTTACATCCTTTTTTATAGGCCGTTCAAAAAAGATTATTCTTTTCTTTCAATGTTTAATTGCATGTTTAATAGGCTTTATATTGTTATCAATACATAAAACTTATTATCTTCAACAAAGGAATATTGTAATTCAAGGTATTATTCTGTACTACCCTCGTTTTTTTTTTATTTTATTTTAATAATAATTTACACTTGTAAAAAAAAAAAAAAAAAAAAAAAAAAAAAAAAAAATAGATACAAATAAGGTGCAAGAAGAAAGTATTAAATTGACTCATAAAGTCCCCCATACTTTCCCTTATACAATCATTACTGGATCAAGCGCAAATCATGTGTGTTCCTTGGAAAATTTTTTATACTCTTTACATCAATTTCGACCTGAGATAGAACCAGACCAATTTCCTAAAGTGGTGGTTTATAATATTGGATTGAATAGAACTCAGTTACCTATTTTAGAACAACTTCAACATAATGGCTTAATTGATGAAGTGATTATGTTTGATCATGAACGATATCCTCGGTTTTGGGACGTAGCGATTGATGCTGGTCAATATGGTTGGAAGACAGGCATTATAAATGATGCTAGAGTAAGATATGGTGGTGTCTTGGTTTGGCTAGATGCTGGTAATCAAGTCACAAAAGACTTTATCCTCAATATTAAACAAATCATTCTCGAGGATCCCTTTTATGGCTTTTGGTCCCCTAAGAGTGCCTATGGGATGGGTAAATGGACTCATCGAGGCATGTTCAAGTTCTTTGGTGCTGATGAAAAGATATATAAATACAAATCGAATTGTAATGGTGCTGCTATTGGTTTTGATACAACTAATTCAACTATTGTCAATACCATCATTATTCCTTGGTTTGAATGTGCTTTACAAAAGAACTGCATTGCTCCTCCTGGTTCAAATAGAGCAAACCATAGACAAGATCAAGCTGTCTTGACTTATTTGGCTTATCTTAATGGTCATAAATGTATTATTCATCCAAGAGAGTTTTATAAATTACAAACACATCGTGATGTAGCATGTAGATCTAATTTAATAGAGTTAAATTTACAAAATAAATTACATCATCCATCGTCTATAGGTAAGCACATTACTATATATGTATAAAGGGAATTATTCAACTTGTTTATTAACATGTATATATATTATATGTGCATATACATTTATTGTATTATTTTGGGGGATTTTTTTTTTTTTAGATTCACCAAAATGGGAAAAGGTAGATACAATTGTATTATATAATCATCCAGAATGGAAATATCCACAAGATAAAATACCTATAAATATAAGGAAGCCATTATAATAAATCTGGTTTTGCACATTTACGTAATTCAATTGCTTTTGTCTTTGGACATTGCATTTCTTGCCATGAAATGGGTATCATTGTTGCACCTGCAACACTGGTCGCATAAATAACACCTAATTCATTTTTGGCTGTTGATAAAAAGTAAGAACGTGCATCACCTAACGAAATAACCTCTGCCTTAATCACATCGCCTGGTCTAAATGAATTATATATTTTTACTTTATCCTTTTCTGTTGCACGTACATCCTGTGTACTAATAAAATAAAATTTAGTCTTTGAGATTCGAATTTATTGTAAAAGAAAAAAAAAAATCTCTTTAAATTATTACCGAATAACGCCCATAAAATCTTCTTTACAGGGAATACTACCAACAACCATAATGGCAATGACTGCTTGATGAGGTGCAACACGAATAACTTTACCAGTAATCTATGGATCTGTAAGTATCAATTGAAACTTTTATTCATTTATTTATCTATCCATCTATATTACCACACTACCAACTTCGGGTACTGCCGATTGTTCTTTCTCTCTTGTTACTCTCATAACAGGCAACTAAAAAAAAAATGTACTAAAAGATTAAACTGACATGCAATAATAAATCAAATTCATTATTTAAATTTTACTTGATCATCTTTAGCGGGATCAATGTATCTTTGACCAACCACACTAGCATATAATAAACCATCGCGTTCATATGTACCAGGTCCTTGTTGATAATCTGCTGCATAACCAAGACGTTGTCCAGGTGTAACTGCTTCTGATGTAATATTTGACATTGATTCAAAAGAAAAATAAGTTTATAATAGTTTTTTTTTTTTTTTTTTTTTTGAATAATTCTCTCTGTGACTCGATTTACTATGCCCTTTTTTTTTTATACATGTATTTTTATACAAGTGAAATACCTTCTTTATAATCTTTCTATAACTTTTTTTTTCTTTGTTTTTTGACTATGTAAATCACACTAGATACGAATAAAAATTAAATTATTAAACCAAAATCCCTATATTGAGCTGTTCTTTTATTATAGCAGAAATAAAGACTATTATATGATTTAAGACAAAAAAAAAATTAGGAGCAAAAGGAAAAAAGATAAAAGGGAGTATAAATTGTAGAGTATCATGTAGGAGGAAAGAAAATATAATTTATATGTTTAAATAATAGTTTTCTTTATTAAAAAAAAAACCTCCCCAACTGAGCATAACAAGATATCGAATACATCAATATTGCTTTGATCTATTCATCAATGAAAAAAAAAAAAAAAAAAAAAAAAAAAAAAAAAAAGATACATGTAAGGTCAAGAGTAGAAAAAGGAACGGAAAGGTTTCAGTAAGACCGTTACTCATCAGGAATCTATTTACTCTGGTTACAGTTCACAGTAATAATCAGGTACTTTTTAATATGTATCTATGAATAAATGAACGAACGAAAGAACGCTCCTGGTCTATCTTTAATTAATACTTGTCTATTCATTCTAGACATTATCCATGGAACTATCTCCGAGAATGAACTTGAAATTAACAGCATTGAAAATATAATGATACTCCTTCTCACTGATACAATTCTACCTTTACCTTTTTTTTTTTATCTTTTTTTAAACTTTGATGACAATCGTTTTATGTATTGCTCTTATTCGGAAAGTAGGTAATTTCTGTTCGTAAAAGAGGACTACCAACTGGCCAAAAAAAAAAAAAAAAAAAAAAAAAAAAAAAGGGAATGATAGAACTTCATAAAGGAAGCATCATAATAAAATTAAACATTCATAAAAAAAAAAGTATTTATGTTCCTTTCTAATCTTTTTTTTTTTTATATAGATATAGGAATGTTATTGTCCCAGGAAAATATATACATATTTTTATATAGAATTATAAAAGGCTTGGTATGTAGTATTATTATTACTTCTTTTTTTTTTTGGCTTCTGAAATCCAAGAAGAGAAGGGTAACCAGGGTTATAGCATTTCCTCCCACGTGTGCGTTTACAGTAAAGTCGCCAATATCTGAAGCCATAGGTCATCCATACGTTTACAGCAGTTCGGCGCCAAGCTTCACTGAGTCCCGTAGGAAACAGATCATTTACCTGGCAGTGTGGTCTCTCTCTCCTCCCCCTTACAGATTTCGACGCAGGCGGGGGCTTCAGCTTCGTGCTGTATTATTACTATTACTTCTATTCTCCCCCTCCCCTCCCCTTTGACTGTTGGTAGTGGCGAGACTCCATAAGTTACCCATCTGAAGCCGCACCACTATAGTATAGAAGTTTGCCAACGACTCCCCTCCCCTTCCCCCTCCAGGTAGAAAGTACATCTACGCTAGACTGAGTTGCTCTGGCTTTGCTGCTCCCTCAACAGCTGGAATTGAGAACTCTGAACCTCTCCTACCTGGGAGGTAGAAAGAATGAAGATGAGGAAGAGGAAGGTTTATATAAATCTTGTGACTGTTTCATCTCCAAAATTTCATTCCCTTTTTTTTTTTTCTTTTCTTTTCTTTATACATATACATATACATATATATATATGCCTTTTGCTTTCTATCAAGTAAAATAATGGATGCTTCAACTAAAAAAATAACGGCTCAAGAAGATTCTTCATGGCATGAAGCACCTACACAAGGCCAACCAGTCGAGCCACAAAGTCGTAAAGTGATCGTTGTCTTGGAAAATGCTTCTTTAGAAGCAGCACGTTTGACTTCATTTCGATATGATTGTAAAATGCAATTACTCAATTGTGATGAACATCAATCCATTTTGAAAAAGCTTGGTAGAGACATTGCAGATGCTCGACCCGACATTGTTCATCAAGTAAGTCTAGGGGGTGGGGAAATAGAGAGAAAGAGAGAATCTTATTTTTTTTTTTTATTCAGAAAAGATTCATTTGCTTATTAATTTATTATTAGTGTCTATTAACTTTATTAGATAGTCCATTAAATAAATCAGGCCATTTAGAAGTAAGTTGGCTTTTTTATATTTAAAGTAAAAAAGAGAAGAAGAAAAAAAAAGAGAGAGAGTGAGAGAGAGAATGAATTGTGATTATAACTCTATATATTAGGTATATATTCATACAGCTAAAGGTGTTGTGATTCGAATCAATCCAGCATGTCGTATACCGAGAACAATTAAACGATTTTCCGGGTTAATGGGTAATTTGAAAAAAAAAAAAAAAAAAAAAAAAAAAAAAAAAGATAATAGTATACATTCACAGAAATTTGGAACATACATATTAATTATTAATAAAAGTTCAATTATTGGAAAGAGGAAGTATTTCAGGTGATATTGAAGGACAAATGAAACTTTTAGAAATTATACCACCCCCTATAACTCAATATTTACCAGAAAATGCAAGAAAAATTGGTAAGAATCTTTTGTTCCTTGCCGTACTTAAAAAAAAAAAAAGAAAAAAAGAAAGAGAGAGAGAAAGAAAGAATTAAATGAATATTTTTATCATACAACTTGTAGCACTTTCATGGAATGCACCTAAAGTACGGCTATATAAATTCTTTAAGGAAATACCGGATGGACAACCTATTGTAGTTGCTGTTGGAGCAATGGCAAAGGGACCTGATACTTTTGCAGATGCCTATGTTGATGAAAAAATTGGTAAGTCAAAAAAAAAAAAAAAAAAAAAAAAAAAAAAAAAAAAAAAACTCCTCCAATAGATCATACTATTAACAATTATTTTTCAAGGTATTTCGAATTATGCTTTATCAGCTGCTGTAGCCTGCGGTAAAGTATGCTGTACATTTGAAGATTTATGGGATATAATGTAGTTTATCATGTTATATATCTTAATTATTTTCAGTTAAAAATAAAGTTATATATATAGTATCTAATATAAACTTGAGCTTTTAAGGATATTATGCATAACTCTATGATTCTTGGCACATGTGAAGAATAGTCCAGATTAATAAGCGAGAGAAAAAAAAAGGTTTTTTCTTATTTATTGAACCAATTTGGGAAAATTTAAGGTACCAATAAATCAAGGGGGTGGGGGAGGGAGAAGAATGGAAAGATAACACTGTCAACATTATGACAGCATCTTTCAAGTATATATATGACATAAAATACAAGAGATGTATGCAAGACAAGAATGACGTTTTTTTTTTTTTTTGGATTTACAACTCTAATTAATAAGGACCAGACTTGAAAAAAAAAGGGATATTATCTAAACTGACGTTGATAATATTTTCATTTGTGCAATAAAAAGAAGTGCATTATCGTTAAATAAGTTTCATATGTTCGTAATAATAAATGCTCGATTCTCTTTCTCTCTTTCCCTTTTTCTCTTTCTCTTCCTCTCTCTCTCTCTCTACCCCCCTGGCACATGTTTAAATAAATTAGCTCTTTATTAGGGATATGGAAAATATATTTAGACACTTGCTTATAATAATTATACACACACATATAAATATCTAAACCTAACCCTGAATAACATAGATATGCATGGCTTTTATGTATGCTTATATTAAAGAACAAGAAACTAATCCATCATTCAGCTTTTTAACTTGGCTTGCGATTAGTTCGTCGCATGATGTCTTTTCCTCCTTCGGTGGTTGAATGAATTGAATTTTCATTGTAGTACAAATGCTTCTATTATTAAACAGAGTAATAAAATAATACTTTCTTTCCTTTTCTCTTTCTCTCTCTCTCTCTCTTTTTTTTCATATATATATTTATAAAATGCTAATGGTTAAGGATATTATCGAACCCATACCTACTACAGAAACAATTGACGAAGATGAAATTAAACAAGTAAGCTGCAATGTGTATGTCTGTATCTATCTATCCTAATGACATATGATAGATTATCTATATTTTACCTATCGATCCCCGGACAAATAGAATTATGCTTACATCGCTAATAAATAAAGAAGAAGAAAAATGGGCTTTGGTAAATATAAAAATATGTATAAAAAAAAATTAAAAAATTAAAAAAAAATTAAAAAAAAAAATGATTTGTTGCTATATTTATAATTTATTAATTTTTTTTTTATATAGCCAAAATGTGAAGTAGATAGTTATACACATCAAGAGGCAGATGTTCATAGAGAAACATATGAAGAAGGTAAAATAGTGTATTTTTGTATATATCTATTTTTAATTCCAAATGCATTTATTCATCTTTAATTTTAAAAGCGGGTGTAAAAGGACAAATTATTGGAGTAGTTGGATCATTTTATGAATCTGATAAAAGTGGACAAAAAATAAAAGCACATATTAGAGTTTATGAACTTCAAGTAGATGAAATATTCAAAAAATGGCCAGAAAAAAAGAAAAGAGACCGAAGATGGGTAAATATGATTTCTTTTTTTTTTCTCTCTTTTTTTTCTCTTTTTTTTTTCTTTTTGTTTGACATATCGTTGACAGTTTTCCTTTTTTTTTTTTTTTTCTTCCTTTAGTTTTCTTTAGAAGAAATTCTAAGTATTTTTGCAAAGAAACCCTTTTTGATCCAATCTATTCGCATGTCTTCTTTAAATAGCGGACTTGTTTCAAATTGAAAATAAAAATAAAAAAAAATAAAATAAAATAAAAAATTTAATTGATGATGTTTTTATTAAAAAATAAAAAATAAAATATGTCATCATACTATAATAGACACAAAGCTGTATAAATTAAAAGGGAATAACTATCGAAAAAGAATTATACAAATAATTTTTTTTTTTGAATTAAATACGATACTATAGAAATTAAAAAGAAAAAAAAATGGATCAAAAAAACTCAAGATAAAGAACAATTATTAAGAGCTAAACGAGCAATATGACGATCAGCAGAATGAGCAATTGCTTCTTCAATTGTAAACTAAAATTTACCCATTAATACGATTTTATAATACACACTTAAAAAAAAAAATTATATAAAACCTACCCAAACACGTTTACGATCCAAAGCAGGCCAACAATCCATAAGCGTTGGGTTCCTTACCTCAAACATCCAATGATGACCCACAATCTTACCCTTTTTATTAGCTTCAGTATATGTTCCTACTTTTTGATCAACTTTCTCGACTTGAACACCAGCTTCATCATGAAGAATACGAACGACAGCTTGCTCAGGGGTTTCGTCTTTATCACAATTTCCTCGAGGAAGACGATAGACACCTTCTGTCTTGCGACTTGAAAGCATCAACACTTTATTATTTGTGGTATCAACCACAATACCACCAACAGCCTACTCTATGTTATTAAGCAAGCCATTCTTTTTTTTTTTTCCTTTTTCTTTGACTATTTTTAACCGTTTACCTGACGTATAGGTTTCTTTTGCTTCTTTTCTAATTCAGCAGGTGGAGAATTAGTGGTAGAGTCAATATTGACAGCTTCTGTAGCATTTAAAGGAGTTTTATCTAATGTGGCAGACATAATATCGACGGTCATATTTATATAAAACGAAATAAAATGAAATGAAAAAGAAAAAGAAAAGAAAATAAAAAGAAAATAAAAAAGAAAGAATAAAACCCGAAAAAAATAAGTACTCCTATTTATATAAAAAAAAAAAAAAAAAAGGTGGACCCAGGATTGGAAATTAGAATTTTTTTTTTTTTTTTTCTAGAATCTCAATGTATGTTAGTGAAAATGGACAAAAATAGAAAGTTATATTTAACAATTTTTTTTTTTTAACCGGGAATTTTAAAAATAAATTTTAGGTACGAGAATTACATTAAAGTTGAACGTTGTTTAAAAAATCAATGATAGACACTTGATATTTTAATTTGACTTATTGTGTTATTCATTTTTGGTGTTTCAGATGCATATTTAAATTTTAATAAAAATGTTCTTCCTTAAATAATATAAAAAGCATGCTTATTTATTCCTTTTTTTTTGGTTTTGTTCCCTTTCTTTCTTTCTTAATTTATGATAACTTGTGGTTGACTACTAAACATAAAAATGTCTTCTCCTTCTTTTTCTTCTTCTTCTCTTTTCTTTACTAGCAATTGTGTTACTTCTAATTCTGCTTTTGTAATACTAAGAGAAATTTCAAGTTGCGAAATAAAAGCAGTTTGTTGTCTTAATTGTTCTTCTAATGCTAATATACGTTGATCCTTTTCTTTTGATTCCTTTGTGGTTTTATAAAGTTGTTGACGTAAATTATGAATAATGATGCTCGTATTATCTCCATTGGTGGGTGACCTACTTGTATTATTGGCTTTCAAGACACTAGGGTCGTCAGCTACTAAAAGCTCTGCTGTTGCATCATTCATAACAACAGATGAAGATGTCAAGATGAGACGTGTTAAATGATCTATACGTTCCTTCATCGCATTACGAACACTTTGCATTTGTCTTATTTGTTGATCATGATCTCTACGTTCTGCTAAAATAGCCGATTCCGTGACCTCCTTTTCCTTTTGTAATACTTGTGTTGTTTGCTGTAATTTGGATTTTAGATCTGCAATCTCATTACGGTATTTCTGTAAGAGTGCTTTATCATCCATGACTTCATTATTCTTAGCATGTATCGTAATACGTTTTACTCGCGAAGCAAATTTAAGGGTATTTAAGGATTCCTCCAAGGAAGCTGGACTGATGGTACAGATGACAGCTACCTTGGCAAATCCGGTAAGTGCAGTTTGAAGGATACGTGTTAATTTTGAATCTCGAAAGGGTATATGATTGGATTGCTTTGATGTCTCGGTTAATTTTGAAATAACAGTCCCTAATGTTAAAAGACTTTTATTGATATAAGACCCTTCTTTACGACGATCTTCATCTGTCGCTGCTTTTTCAGAACCAGCCAAATCAATCAAGTTCTATATATATAAATTAGTACTACCTTATGTTTATAATATTATTTAATTACAAGCTGAGAAATTCTAACAGTTTCCTTTGAAGAAGAAGATTGCTTTGTATTATAAATAGAGGAAGTTAAAGTTCTTCTATTGACAAGTGAAGTACTTGTATTAGACCTTTCTCTACTTTCAATAATCATTTGAAATAATGTATGACTTCGACTACTATGTAAATTATAATCTGTGGAACTAATATGTCTATTGGCTATCATAGGATACTATAAGTCATGGTCATCTAACCCTCTCTTTGTTTGTTTATTTATTTACGGACCTTCTCCTCTTTCTATAATTCTCATTACATCTTCTGCACAAGTCACTACTTCTTCTGTTAATGGTGTCACATAAACGCCTCTAATTTTATCTTGTTGAATCTTTAAATTATCATTTGAAGGATTTAATAAATCTTTAATTGTTTCATTATAAATTTCTAAATAAGAGACACGTAACAAGAATTCTCTTGTTGCAGCCTATAATAATAAATAAGCATATGCATATATTACACCTAAATAAATTACCTTTTTAATAAAATCAAATATTTGACTGACTGAACGAGGTATTACACCTGGTTCTGTTTCTGTACCCATCATCGTAAATGTCTTTCCACTTGCTGTCTGACCATATGCAAATACAGTTGCTTATGTAATTAAAAAAAAGAAAGAAAGAAAGAAAGAAAGAGCACATACACATACACATACACACACACATATATATATTTATACATGTATATTAAAAGGCTATTATATGTATATATGTATGTATGTATATATACCATTAAATCCTTCCATTGCTTGACTTTAATATATATTTATAAAGTTAGCTTTATTTTTATTATTCATATCTAACTTACTTTATTAAATTATTAACACTTTTTAAATATAATGCTTTATTATCACTTCCATGAAATGCATGATCTATTAAATTATGTAAGACTTTAATGGACAAAAATTAAAAAATAAAATAAAACCAAAAAAAAATCCCCGCCTATTCCCACTAAAAAAAAAAGCATGAATATACCAAACATAAATTCATGTTGTCTCTTTAATCTATTATCTTTTGAGCAAACCCTTGAATCTTCTATTATTTCCCAGAAAGTATTAAATTCATTTCTTCCTGGTGGTCTACAACGTACTGTCACTTGTACATTTTCTTTATTATTTGTACTCATTATTCTTTTCTTAGTCTGGGAATTGTTCATTTCTATTTTAAAAAAAAAAGAATGCTAATCTCTAATACTAATGATGAACAACAACAACAATAAAAAAAAAATAAAATAAAATAAAATAAAGGGAAGAATAAAAACTTTATTTTTTTTTTCTGAACTGAATTTAAATAATGTGATAAATTAAAATCATACAGGGAGTATTTTTACTTCAAATTCAGACAATGTTAGTAAATTAATTTTCAGATACTTTGTTTACCTTTTTTGGATGAGTGAAAAAGGAAATTTTGGATACAAATGTAAAAATGGGACAAAGGAGAAATTAAATTGAGACAGAACGTTAGATGAGATTCAGAAAAAAAAAAAAAACTGCTATTTTTTTTTCGTAAAGACTTCTTACCTGTAAAATCTTTAAGCCAGCACTTCACCGGAGTGAGATGTAACAACCACATTGGAGGTGGCGCTTTGTCGTCAAAAGATATTCGGTCGACCATCACCGTTCCAAATGGATCCCGCAATGGTAAACATGTTTTTAGATGCCATAACATTGCGATTCCAAAAGATATTGCATTTTTTTTTTACAGATCAATACCTGATGGATCTTGCAGTTGGTATATTATAGATTCTCCAGCAATGCATCGAAACAGTTGCTGCAAGTCTATAAAAGAAATAGTATATTATCAATTTCTGTGTAATTCGTACATGTGTGTATCTCACTTTCGACATATTATATTCATCTATGTCCAGAAGCAACAACTCTCCGAGTTTTTCACGCCTCTTTAGCTGTGCGTACAACTTGTCTGTCATACCGTACCTTAGTCCTTTAAACTTTACGTGGGATTTGTTCCCCAAAAACAACTAGCGGCATTTTTTTTTATGATCACCCTCATCAAATTCCTCTTTATGATTCCTTTTTTTTTTAAAAAAAAAAAAAAAAAAAAAAAAGAAACCAATTAATGCTTCTTCTGAGAAAGTAGATAAAAAAAAATAAGAGTTGTACCTGGTTCTATTCTTCCCTTTGTTTGGATGACGGATACCATAATGACATTTAGCTGCCGTTTTTTCTTCTCTTCCGCTTATTTTTTCCTTTTCCTTTGATTTTTATTGTATTTTCTTGACCCATTGATTAAAACATGAACGGCATTTTCGATAGCTTGCTGGGATCCAAAGTAGTTACACCATCGCACTCTAGCAGTCTGAAAATTGTAGAAATCTGACAAGATCTCAAAATGCCGAAGAAATGTACATCACGTAATTTTTATAATTTCCAATGGTTGCAGTTTTTTTTTTTTTTGAGGGGGAAGGGATCATTGTTTCAATCTGCTCTACATTCTCCCTTTTTCTTGCGTTCTATTTTTAATTTTTGTCGATTCATATTACCATTCATGCTGTAGTGTTCTGCTGATGCTAAACGTCTAATATCAATTCACACCATGATATGACGTGAACATGCCTTTTCTATTGGAGGTCAACGGTACAAAGGTCAAAAATAACGATCAAAATATCTTCATTATTTAAAATGATTTCAATTCCAGAGAAACCTTGTCTAGTTTAAGGGTGAAGCAGGATATCTCTTCCTACAGAACGATACTCTACACCTGTAACCATCTGTGTACATACTATTTAGAAAAATCTTGCCTTTTTGTTGCAGTAAGTTTTGCAACTCTTCGAGACTATTATTCAAGTTAAAAAAAAAATAGTATACATATTGATTGTAAACCGTTTTAAGCTTGCCTTTTAATTTTCAACTTTTTTTTTTTTATAAAACGCCATTTCATACCAGGGTTTGGAAACAAACTAAACTAAAAAAGTCTCGGTGGCTGGAATTGCGTCTTATTGCTTCTGTCTTCTTTTGGATCCTTGTTCTTTACTGAGTTTTTTTTTTTCTTCCTTTTGGGCCTTACACGCGTTTGGTTTGAGCTCTCTGGTTGTTCTTGTGAGGAAAGCTGTTGTTGTGGAGTAACCGGTGAGTGTGGTGCAGGCGTTAGTTACTGGTTCTCTGCAAGTATTAATTGATACTTTTTCTAAACATGTGTCTAAGCGTTGGCATAGTAATTGAATGGGGTGTTATTTAGCATTTCTTTGGTCACAGGAGGTGACGGCAGTCGATTCCTGATCTCGACCATTTAGCGGGTTTAGAAAAGCATGGATGCGCGGTCTTGGGTTTGATCGTTCAAAGAACTGGAGATGTTGGCAGTCATGATAGTTGCTGACTCGTTAGAAAACATTACACCCAACATATGATTGTATATGATGTATTTTATTACGGGCATTCGTCAGTCCTAGGTATTAAGAGTTAATATCAATTTTTTTTTTAAGAATCCACCCCTAAATCGAAGAAAAAATAAAAAAAAATCCTTAAATTTGTTCAGCTCAGTCGTAAATTGGGTTCCCATTGTACAATTAAATCAACACCAAAAAATGGATTTTATATATATATAATACGCTAGGTAAACCTTCTTAAGGTTGTTCGCAAGTAACATTCATGTAGGCAGGAGGTAAAAAAAAAAAACAAATGACTTGTTAGACGAATTAAAATGCAACTGTAGACTAACATTTTGTTTCTCCTTTTGTTTGATTTCCGTTTTTACTTTTTCCGAAAAAGGTAGGTTAAGTGTCTGAGAATTAATTTTGATTCGTCTAGAAAAATAGTAACATTGTCTGAACTTGAAATGCAACAACTGTAATTTGAATATTCATATGATACTGATCTATATTTAGCAACTAATTTTACACTAGTCAGATTTTCCTTTTATAGAAGCCTTTTTTTTTCAGGGAAGTATTATAGAGTAGATGAAGAGACTTATTGATCCCAAGATTCATTATCTTGGGGGAGTGGGGTTCATTGTATATTCAGTATTCTAATTTTTATGCAACAACAAGGTATAAATAATAAGCGAATAGAGTGAATCTAGAGTAGAACTATTATTATTATTATTATCAAAGAGGATAATTGATTTAGAAGCAAATCACAAAGGACCCTCCCCCCCTTTTAACTGATTGAGACGAATACATATACAAGCGGAATAATACAGCAACACTCTCTAATAATAATAATAATAATAATAAAAGAGTTCATGAAAAAAGGAAATAGATCAAAGAGTAACCCAGTTGAATCTCTTCCATATAAACAATGATTATCTTCATTTTCCTATAATCAAAGAAAAAAAAACAATAGACAGGTTAGCATGATAAGCTTCATTGTCAAGCTAGTTTCCTTTTTTTTTTGATTATTTTTCAAGTATTTAAACAATTCTACTATTCATAGTAAGTTTGTATTCAAGCTACTATGTTCAAATTATTCAAGTATGGAAAATGGATAACAGCTGGTAAAAAGTGTATTGGAAATCGGGCTTGCTATGGCTAATGATTGTCATTTGCTTCATAGTTAGTAAAAGAGACTTGTCAATGTTGGTAATTTCATATACATAATATATATTTATATACATACATATATATCAAGGAAACCTTTTTTTTTCTTAAATAGAATTTGGATACCCAGGTAAGAAAAGGAATTACCCTGAACACTGTACAATATTACTCGAGTACAACACACTTTTTAGCTATGTTCGTTGCCCGTTAAATTAGTATCATTAGCGTATAAAAGACAGGTGTGTTTACACAAGGTTCTTACAAGTCAACACTAAAGTTTAGTTTGTAAGATAATAGACAAGCTGTCTATGTTTATATTAATATATATAGAGTGAGTATATATATAAGAGGTCCTTGTAGTCACTCGATGGCAGATTGAAGAAAATAATAATAATAATACTGAAGAGAACCTTAGTTGGCATGTTATTATCATACAGGTTTCCAACAGCTCCCAAAAAGTAAAGGAGATACAAGTAATAAGCTTAAGGAATAACACAGATAAGAATGATCTACGATATCATTTGCTGACTTTATACCAATCAGGACTAAAGCTGGATTGAACTTTCATTTATGTGGAAGGAAAGAGACTTATTTCTAGTAAACATACAAGTCTAGTCAAGAGAGCTTCAAAATGTATAGAGTCAGGTTTCGAGCAGCACCGAGACATGGACTAGTAGCAGAGACTACAAGATATAGATGAATGCATATTTCAAATACTATTTTGGATCGATGATATTAAGTTGAGCATAATATCTTTATCTAAATTTCAGAATCATATTATAACAATGTTTCTTTTTTAATAAGAATTCTTAAAGTTTATTATTATAGCAAGTATTGATATAAAAAGATAGGGATATATCTAAAATAATGCTGGATATGACTAAATAATATCTTAGTATTGCTAATGAAGTGTACAGCATTATGTAATTCATATGTCATGAAAAAAATATATAAATAAGTTGAAGTCCTTTCTTTGATATAATTTATGTGTAGACTATATAGATGGGATTAAATAAAGAACAATTAAGTCTTGTTATGATTGTCATTTTTTTTTATTTTTTTTTTTTTAGAACTAAATCAATAGGAATAAACCGTCGTTTATTACATAATGAAGAGGTTATTCAAATGAAACTACTAAAATTGCCATATAGAAAAATAATATGCATTCAGTTCAGTTTTATACGTTTTATAAATAGATTTTGCTAAATTACATTCGACCATATAATACTGATGCTTTTCAGTTGTAAATTTACTCATAATCATACATCATATAGATATACCAACGACAATAAATCTTGTAATATCATAGTGGTAAGATAGCTTACAAATATCTAATATCGTTATACCTGACATATATTCACCATAAATCCGTATTGATGCATTGTTTATTTTACCAAATATTTATATTAATTTTGTTGATAATAACAGCGAAGGGGAAGAATAGTAAAAGCATCTTGTTGTATGAATACAGAATAATACAGTTCTTTATTATGTTGCTCTTTGTTGTCAAAATTATAAATGTCTCTTACCACACTGAAAAAGAATATATAAATGGTTCTCTTCGTATTCATTATTTTCAATTTACCCGAAAATAGTGTAATTTGCATGCTAGTTAATTCAAATATATCATCATGCTTTCTCTTTTCGATGAAGCTATGTTTATATAATTTATTTCTATAAGTTATTTAGTTTATAATACAAGGTCCTAGAGACATATTTTTAATTCTCAATTATTAATGCTTCATATTTTTATATTTCTCTGAATCACTTTATATATGCATATAATGTTTAACCTCGTTGGAAATTATTATTGTTCCTGAATTTTTTTTTTCTTTTTATCAGCATACAGTAAGTGACTGCTTGTCATTCCTAAGCCTCTTTATGTGTATATTTTTTTTCTCTATTATTGTTTTTTTTTTTTTTTTTTTTTTTTTTTTGTATTTCTATTTAAGCATCCATCATTCATTCAAAATATATAAAATGATTTCTGCGATTCAATGGATCCGTAAAGGAGCAGCTGCTCGTCATCCTAATAAATATGATTTAAACGATGAAGAATACAATAGAATTAGTAAATTAGCTGCTGAAGAATTAGAAGATGCTAAAGAGGAATTAAAAGCTGCTGAAGCGATGGCCGTCGAGTAAGATTCTGTGTACATTCAAGAAAAGAAAACAGAAAAAAAAAAAAATAGAAAAAAAATATTAATAATTATGTTTTAGTTCTACCAAGTCAGATGGGGATAAAAAGGAAGACGATGAATTAGCTATTTACAATTTGGATAATTATGAAGCTGAAGTTGAAGCCTCTAAGAAAAGTAAGATATAAAAATATAAAAGCGATATTTTTCTGTATTTGGATAATTTATTCATATATGTATATACATCTATAGAGGTCGGTATCTTCTCGAATATTAAAGATTTATCTTATTATGAAAACGATAGCGAAGATCCTTATATTACATTAAAAGAAAATGTGGACGAAGAAGAAGAAAAACAGGAATTAGAAATTTTACCCACTGATAATATGCTATTAGCAGCCAAGACAGAGGATGATATTTCACAATTAGAAGTTTATGTGTATGAAGAAAATGAAGATAATCTTTATGTACATCATGATATTATGTTACCTGCATTCCCTCTTTGCCTTGAATGGTTAGATTTCCATACAAATCCCAACAAATTAAACAATCAAAATAATAATACAGCTGGTAACTATGTCGCTATTGGTACCTTTGATCCAAATATTGAAATTTGGGATCTCGATACAATTGATGTCATGTTCCCTGAAACCATTCTTGGTTACACAGATAAAACCAAAAAGCGTTCAAAGAAAGTCAATAGTGAATATCATGTTGATGCTATTATGGATCTTGCTTGGAATAAGCATCATAGAAACTTCTTGTTATCTTCATCAGCTGATGGCACAGTCAAGTTATGGGATTTAACTACGTCAAAGTGTGTTCAATCCTACACACATCATACAGATAAAGTACAATCCGTTGTCTGGTACCCTACAGAGCCTACAGTATTTATTTCAGGCTCATACGATAAAACAGTGTGTGTGCTTGATGCACGATCACCTAATGAAGTAACACGATGGACGCTCACAAGTGACGTTGAATCAATTCGTTGGGACCCTCATCAACCTTCTTGTTTTTATGTTGCTATGGAAAACGGTATGGTTCAATATTATGATGTACGTCAACCAGGTAAAGCTCTTTTCACGCTACAAGCCCATGATGATGCAGTTAGTGCACTGGATGTGAATCCACTTGTGCCTAATTGTATTGCAACTGGTAGTACAGATAAATCAATCAAGATTTGGAATACAACTGATAACAAGCCTAGCATGGTCACCAGTCGTAATTTTGAACTTGGACGTATCTTCGATGCTCAATTCTGCCCTGATTCACCATTCCAATTAGCCATTGCAGGTTCTAATGGTAAAATGCATGTCTGGGATATGTCATCTAATGCTGGTGTTCGTCAAGCTTTCCGTCATCAATCCTTGGCGATTGCTGATTCTGTTGAAGAAAAGAAACCTGTAACGACTCTTGATGATGAAGAAGAGGATGATGATATGGAAGATGATGAGCCATTACGGGAAGAAGATATGGAAGAAGATAGTGATTAAAAAAAAATATATATGAATATATAAATAAATAAATATATAAATATAGATATATAGAATAAATGTATTATAATAAATATTATTCCTTTGTTTGCTTGTTTGTTTTGTAAGAAAAAAAACATATATAATTCTGCTTATGCCTTCTAAACAAAACAAAAGACAGAAAACCATTTAGAATGATTTTCGATGTGTTACTGTTTTAATTATAAAAGCCTGCACAAGTGAATAAATAGTATTCTATTTTCTATATTACTTGATCATCTTTATAGAATTTTTTACCTTCTTTAAATGTGAGTAATAATGACTTTGAGTATCGAAAATAATTACCATTTTTCTATCAAATAAGTTCTCCTACACATATCTAATATCTTTTATGCCAAAAAAAAAAAAAAAAAAAAAAAAAAAAAAAATAACTTTTTACTGCCATAATTAATCTCCTTAATTGTCCCCCTTTTTCTCTATTCACTGTGCTTTTTTTTTTTTTTTTTTTCTTATTTATCTTTGATTATAAAGAAATATTTTCTGCATCCCCTTTAATGAGGCAATCGAATCAATTTTAATGCATTCAGTCTACTCTACTACTTTTCCTAATCATGTTTTTCGTTTAAAGTTAAAATAATACAAAAAAAAAAAAAGAATAGATCCTATATTTTCATTATTTAACTTTATGCAAGGGAGGCGAGTATGCTGCACACATGCATTTCTAATTCCTTTCTATAATTTTACAACAATTCCAAACACCGCACTACCTTGTAAGTTTTGTGTTTTAACGTCAATTAAAAAATATTTTTGTTTTTACTTTTCATGCTTTCTCTTTTTTTTTTTTTTTTTTTTTTTTGTTAGGAAAAAGAAAAAGATATGCGTTTTTATACACATTTGTTTATTATAGCATGTATATTAATAATGCTGATAATTTCATGTAATGCAATAGAGGTAAATATAAAGAAAAGATTTACAATTTTTTTTTTTTGTCTTTTTTTTTTTCAATTTTTAAACAGTGTATCTGTTTATATACAGGAACAAAAGCTGTGTTGCCACAATCATACAAATAACGTGTTATTATCGAAAAATCAACAAATGAAATCAACGCTACTTTATAAGAGACAACAACAAAGTCTATCTGCAAACACAACCTCGTCTTCAAGAACTGTATCCACAGACCCTATCTTTGCTCTTGTCATTTTTGTAGCATTAAGTTCTTTGTTGTTTTAAGAAATGGCATACATACACAAAGTATTTTATTTCTATCCTGTTTGTCTTAAAGATAAAAAAAAAAAAAGGCACGGGTTTAAAAGGAAACTAATGCGGAATACTATGATATCATCCATGGTACCAATATCTTGTAAATTAAATCAATTTTTTTGTATATATAAACATATACGCCTTTTTTAGTAATAATAACTACTATAAATTAATTTTAATAATAATAAATGGGCTGTTCCATGTTGCACTTGATTTTTTTTTTCTTTTCATTCATTTTATTTTATGTCAAGGTGCGTCGTTATTCAAAGGAATTGAGTTAAAGCAAAAATAGAAGCTTTTGACCCACCCCCTTTTTTTCTCTTTTTTTATAATAAGTGAAGAACAATCATCATTTAGGAATAAACGACTAGATCACAAAAGCTAGATATGTTACACAATTACAGCTATAATGTTGGTAAGCTAAATTCATAGTCAGCAATAATGGCATCAAGTTAGTCCAGCTTTTTTTTTTTTTTTTTTTTTTTTTTTTTTTTTTTTTTTGTAAAACCTTATTCAAGTGCATTTGTTAAATAGTACATCACATCTATCCAGAAATCTGGTAAATAGTTTATTTGATTAAAATACATTGCTGCTAATGCCCCCCCTTTTTTTTGCAGCACATGTATACTCACTCGCTCTAAGAGTTGTGCTACTCAAACTGTGTTCTATGAAAATATCAGTGCCTATTACTTTTTAATAAGAATTGATAAAGTCGTACCTATTTTTTTTTCTTTTTCCTCATTGTTTCTAAAAGCGAGTAAAAAAGGAAAAAAAAATCCACTAGTTAAATTGTATTAGAGGATCATTATTATTATTATTTCATCAGCTATCCACATGAAAAAGCAATTAGTAGATACAAAGCAATTTTTAAGTATGTATATAAATATACACATATACATTTATTGAATAAATTTTAAAATATGGAATGAAAGCTGATAGTCTACTGAATATTGGAAAGGAAGACAGCAATGCCAAATACCAAATCAATTATCAAGACTTCAGACTGGTAAATGATCTATTTTGGTAGTCAGTAGTATCTAATACGCTTACTACGACAACCACCTTTTCCTCCTGAGTCTATTGCTATTCAAGAAGATATGGAGCAATTTAATTTTTTATTATTTATTTATTTGTTTTATTCTGGTAATACAATTTTTTTTTTTTTTTTTTTTTTTTTTTTTTTGGATTTTAGTGTCGTACTAATGCCATGATATGAAAGGACAGTCCAAATATAATATTTTTTTTTAGACGCGACTAATATAAAATATAAAACTAGTTTCTTCTCCTATTTATCATCTTTTCCATTTATTAAAAAAAAAACATTATATAATCAAACTAAATATAAATATTTATTCCAATTACAGTGTCTTGATATAAAAAATAGGACACCTTCACAACGTGATCAGGATATAATATCGACTTTTGACAAAAAGGAACCAGGGAAAAAAATTAAATGATTTCTGCCAGACTCGAACTGGCGACCGCCTGCGTGTTAAGCAGGCGTGATAACCAACTACACCAAGAAACCATTTGTTGATTTTTGATGTGCTTAGAACATCATAAAGTTATTTTTTATAAAACGCAGTCACGCAGTCCGTGACTTCTCCTGTAGTGTCCTTTTTTTTTCTAAAAGGTGAGCCTTTCTTTTAATAATAAAATTAATCGCGTTCATTGAGCACTTGAAAATTGCGGCTATGGCAATTTGGAAAAAGAATTAATCACTATCATCAATTGAGGAACTAGTATTAGAGAATATGATCAAGATTATTGTTCAGTTTTTGTGTTTGTAGTAGTTTTATATTTATTTTAGCAAGCTTCTTTATTATTATTATTATTATTGTTATTATTTTCTTATTTCGTTTTTTCAGATGTATCACAAAAGAGTATAACAATAATAAAAGCATTAGTAATAATATAATTAGATTAAAACAAAATATTAATATACTTCTTTATTAAATATAAAGAAGTCTAAATACCAGAATACAAAATAAATTATAAGAAAGTAAGACAATGTCTTTGTTTGATATGTTAATGATGCATATTTATATGTTTTTAGATATAAAAATATAGGATGATAGTAATATAAAATAATAATCGAATGCTAATAAATATTCTATGTGTTATATAACAAGCTCTGGATATGAGTGTTATAGAACAAGCTCTGGATATAATCATAAGTAATATTATAATAGATGAATTACATAATACAGGATAAAATATAAGCCTGAATATGAAATAAAACTCTGTATATAACATCTTGTAAATAATATAAAACTTATTGACATCCAATTGTCTAGATGTATCAATTATAAGACATCGTATCATTTCTAAATATTTATTTTTATAACCTTGTTAAAGGATTCAGGTCGTCTTTGATCCAATAAAATAAAACATAAAAGATATCAGGAACATATACTCAGATTAAACAATAAATTTTTTATTTAAAACTTGATCAGATCATTATAACACCCAATAGATAATCCATAGATCAGTCTCTTGAATCAACAAGATGTATATATCTGAATACTAACACTGTTTCATGACTCATGTTCTTTGACGGTTATTTCTATTTCTTTGATTCAGGATTCATTAATATAAATACAAGCAGTTGTTTAGACACAAAATAATCTTTAACTTCTTCTTTAACTTTCTTTTAACCTTCTTTATTTTTATTGAATAAAAACAGTCTCAAACTATACTTCCTTTTGTTCCCTTTCTCTCTTTTTATTTTATCTTTTATCTTTATTTACATTCCATCACAATGAGCATAAGTAATATTATAATAAACAAATTACATAATACAGGATAAACTATAAACCTGAACATAGAGTAGAACATCACATATCATACTAACTATATACAACATCTTGTAAATAATATAAAACTTATTGATATTCAACCATCTTGATATGTCAACTATATCAGATACTATGTCAGTTCTAAATATTTATTTTTATGACCTTGATAAAGGATTTAGCTTGCCTTTGATCCAATAAAATAAAAATAAAAAAGACATCAGAAACCTATACTCAGATCAAGCAACAGTTTTTTTTTTTTTTTTTTTTTTTTTTTTTTTTTTTTTTGTATTAATTTATTTAAAACTTAAATCAGATAATTATATTATCTAGTAGATAATCCACATAGATTAGTATCTCCAATCAACAAGGCGTATGTATTTTAATATTAACATCGTTTCATGACTCATGTTGTTCTTTCATAGTTATTTTTTAATTTTTTGATTCATTAGTACAAATACAAGCAGTCGCGAAGATACAATACAGCTTTATCTTTAGTTCTCTTTTTGTTATGCCCCCCCTTTTTTTTAATATAATATTATACTATCACAGTTCATTTTATTTAAAACAATAGTTAATTTTGCAATTCTTTTACAGATATCTCGTTATTTATCTGTGTCAATGGCTATTTAACGTGTTTTCACTTTTACCTACTGATGGAAAACAGTGTTTTTATTGATATAATAAATATGAATATATAAAATATTTACGTAGCATCAAAATGTTTTACGTATATATCTTTGTTGAATACTGGGTTAATATTCCTACTGAGTAGTAGCGTAATAAAACTAAAATTCAGACATATTAAGTTATAACTGATGAGACCCTTGTCAATAATATTCATGCATGTACAGTATATATATTACTTTTATAACATTAAAATCAGATTCAAACGAAAGAAAACCTTCTAATTGACATAAGAAGCGTTAGAGGTATTCAATTAATGAAAATAGGGAGAGATTTAAAGTTTGCTTGATATTATTTACTGATACATATTAACGAACATTTGATAGCCTATGTAATTTTGTCTTTTAAAAAAGAAATTTATTGCCGACTTTCTTTATGTTATATTTATACTATAATGAGTACCATGAATTTTAGCTTTTTTTTTATTGATAAAGCAGATTATATGCTGTTTTTTTCAAATTTTTTGTTGGAATGAACCCGAAGAATACAAGTAGAATTGCAATCTGACAAGATTAAAAGATTTATATAAGGCGCATGTTAAAATTATAAAGTTTCATCCATAAGAATGTCTGGAGCTTCATCCATATATGCAGTTAATTCAGCATCAAGTTTTGCTTGTGCAGTTTTGGGATCTTTCATCATGTATGAATCAAGAGCCTTATCAAGCTCTTCCGCTGTAAGTTTCTTAGTATCCTTCTTGTTAGTCTGTTGTCTCTTAGATACATTTTGCTTCTTGCCTGAAGAGCGTTTTATATTACGTTGTCTTTCAACACCTTGCATAGAGTTAGTGTTGCCTCTTTTGTTAACTTTCTTTTTTTGAATGTTACCACCGACTTTTTTTCCAAGTCGATTTTGAATATTTGATGCTTCAGGACGCTTATTGACTACCTTTTTAGCACCTCGAAGACGACTAAAGACACTACCGCTTGTTTGGTTATTAGTAGTGTCAGAGGCGGTAGTAACTATACGAGATGAAAGGGCTGTTTGTATAATTTTACTAAATCTATAAAATGATGTCAGTTTTTCTTATTTTACGGGTTTTTTTTTCGGTTTTATTGTTTACCTTTCATTCAATCCACCAGAGCCATATGAGACTGTTCGTACATTATTTACTCTACGATTTGCCATTTCTTATTAAGTACTGATCAATAATAAGGAAATGAATTTTAAATTTTAGAAAAAAAAAAAAATGAATTAAATATTTTTTTTTAAAAACAACGATGATAATTCATATAATGAACTTCATTACAAGACATTCTTTTTCCTTTTTTTTTAAAAAAAAATTATACAGAAAAGTTATACTTACATGTTTAATTAGTTTTCTTGAATGAATGATAAAAAAAACAAAAAAAAAACAAAAAAAAAAACAGAAAAGAAATAAATATAAAATTGATAAACCAATCATATTATTCCTTTACCAAAGACAAACATAGCATTTCACATTTGTTTTGAACAGACAAAAGTACATAGATAAACAATAATTTTCATTAATGAATTTTGTTACATTTGCTTCTACTAATTGCATTATTTATCTTTTTTTTATCAGTTCTAATAATTGAAACTACATATAGTTTCAATTTTACTTTCTTTGTAGGAAGATTAGACTTTGAAATGTGCATCATGCACTTAATTGTATTTATATCTGTTCAAAAAGGCACATCATATTTGAGTAATGTATTTTGCATACAATGTTATGTTAGAAACAAGCTTAAAATGGTCAACTTCGATTGCAGGTCACTTATATTGAGTTATTATACGTTTATATTCATTAGCAAAATATAGTTAATGATCAGAAGTTTAAATGTTAAAGAGTAAACACTTCTGAGGACTCGTAACACAAAAGGATTGCTCAAGCAACTGGTATAAATATAAAAAAAAAGTGAATGCAAAGTGCAAAACATTTAAATGGTACATTTACAGGATTTCATTACTATTAATTGTAGAGATAGAAGATGAACTAGATTTGCGTTTTAAATTAACACACGCATTGCTTTTTTTTTTTTTTTTTTTTTTTTTTTTTTTTTTTAAAATCTATTAGATCAGTAAAGCTTCAGCAGCGTATTAATGTATATAGTTCTTGCGTTAAGTCTTTAATTCACTAAGAACAATCTGTAGTTTACTTTCTAGCTTATAACAAAATCCTCAATATAAACTTTCTTCTGTAAATATACCCTTATCTCTAGTAATGGTCATAGATGAATGATATCCATAACAAAAAAAAAAAAAAAAGATTATATTTTATGCATTTGCCTATTAATACTTTACAGTAATTCCTTTCCAAGTAGCCTTTCTTGTTTGTTGAAATCTATCTCGATCATCAATACGTGAGCATTAATCCATTATTTATGAAATTGAAAACTTGATATATCATGCATTCAAGACTAGCAATGCTTCATCTTTGGTTGAAGAGAATTATATCCTCCATCTCTCGATCTATTACCACTCTATCTTCCTGCAACTATTCCCTATCTTTTTTGTTGTAATCCTATTCTTTACACTTCTTTATTATAAACCAGCATCAATAATACCAAAAAAGGGTGTAGAATTAATAATGATTGAAATTACATTGCTTTACTGTTCTCTTACTTGGACACTATATTGTTACTTATCTGATAAATAACCTCTTTTCTTCTACAAAGGCGTCTAAAGATTATATTAAAAAACTTACAAGTATTGCGCTTAGTATGACTCGTAACAGAAAGTGTAACCCTAAAAGAAAAATCATAAATGGAATCTACTACTTTAATATATTCGCATCAAACAATTGAAGCTGCTAAAAGCTGGAAAGGTTTAAATATTGAAAGGAAAGAAAAAAAAAGTTTTGATGATAGCAGTTGGAGAAGGGATAAAAGATAAAGATAGAGCCAAAATAAAAACAGACTATATTGATACTACCAGTATTTTCTATAGATAAAGGGTATTATTGCTGTTTATGAAGTTGGATCCTACGTCTTCTAAATAAAGACGGAATGAGTCTGTGCCTATCTATTTTTGTTAATTTCTTACCTTACCTTATAATAATAATAAAAAACTTTATAATCCTAACAGGTATTTTACTCCAGCTTTGAATGGTTCAAAGCCTTTATAAAAATTCCTAGCTTTTTATTTATTATTATTTGCAATATCAGATTACACCTTTGCTTAAATAGTTTTGCTCTTTTATAAGTAAAGTATTTATAAGTTAACTTGTTATACAAGCCTTCAGCTTATCCTTCCTTAGACAAACATTATTTAATCTATCTTATTATTCTTGGTAATAGGTAAAAATTATTTTTTATAGCACTACCCATGACGCATATATATTCGGTCATTAAAACCCAGGAAAGGCAGGGACATTTCTCCCACTACATATTTTCTTGTTTTTTTTTTTTTTTTTTGTTGTTTTGTTATAATCAAAACTAATTATAATAATGTTTCTTCGTCCTAATGTTATCCTATCTGCAGCTTCCAGAGCTGCAACTACCCAACGCCCTAGCGTAGTACGTTTAGCCACCCCTGCTATTTTCTCTCGTATGTATGCTTCTCTTCCTAAAGAAGATGTTCAAACTCGTGTTATGGAGGTTGTCAAAAGTTTTGACAAGGTCGATCCTTCCAAGGTAATATATATATATATGTATATATATAAGCACCCATATTTGTTTATACAAATTTGGAACTTAATAGAGAATGCGGTAAAAAAATCATGTAATTTATTATTCTAATTATGAATCTGTAGGTGACGCTCGAATCTAATTTCATTAAGGATCTTGGCTTGGATAGTTTGGATACAGTTGAAGTTGTAATGGCCATTGAAGAAGAGTTCTCAGTTGAAATTCCTGATAAGGATGCTGATGCTATTCACAGTGTTCAACAAGCTATTGATTATATTATTAAGCGTGAAGATGCTCATTAAAGCAATGAAATGTACAAATAAGAGCCAAGTTTCTTCAATTGTTAAATATCACTCTATATAATAAAATGTTCAAATATTTTAATTATTCAGACAAAGTATAAGTAAAGCATTTTATTTTTGAGTAATTTTTCATAAAAAAAAAACAATACAAATACTAAACATCGAAAGAATAGAAAAGAAGACTACAGTAATTAGTTAAAAAAAAGCTTTAATAAAGTTTTACTACAACTTTAAATTATATGATGAAGCTTCTATCATGAAATGATAAACTATGATTTCATAAATATTTGATTATTAAGAATTTGTTCGGGACATTTTGGTAAGCATAGGTCGGATATAAAGTAAATATTAAATTCAAATCATGAATAAACTGACATTTTATTTGGTGAAAAAGAAGAAAAACAAAGAGTATGTAAAATAATAGAACATGAGGCTTACTAAACAATAAGAAAGTTATGCTTGTAAAGTATACAAAGAAGTTAATAAAAGAAATTAGGCATTTTGCTTAGACAGATTTGATTTATAACTGCCAACTACCCTCAGTCAACTATAATTTTACTTGTAGTTTTACTCTTCTTCAAGTGGAATTTTGGTTACTTTGAATTTGCTTTTCAGCAGCATTTACAATAAGTTTTTCTATTTCATCTTTTTTAAGAATTACAGTTATCAGTAGTAATAATAGTTTCCTTTTGGATATGGCTGCTTCAATTATAGTAAATAAATCATAAAGTTTTTGAAACTGTATACTGAAGTAGCCTTTTTTTTTTAATAGCAGATTCTTCTTGACAAACTGGCTTATATAGCATAAAGCCGTTTGAAAGGCAAAATAAATAAATAAATAAAATAAAATAAAAAATAGGTAATCTAGTTTTGCTCACTAGGTTTTCTTATATGATTATAAACACATTACACTGTATTCAATATAACAATCCTTTCTTCTTTTTATCATAGATTCTTACTCTTTTATATATAAAATAGGGCCATCAAAACAATAATAGTATAACTTATGATTAAATACACTAAGGAATGGTAAAACTACATTATTATTATCTGCATTTATTTTATAAACATTTTTTTCTATTGTTTATCGTTTTTGTCGACTACAAATTCTTTAAAATTTTTGACAATTTGCTCATTCCATAACCTATGTACTTTACTTTGGATATCTATATTAACTAACGATTGCGCTGCATTCATAATTTGTTCATTCCATGTGTTTTTCACTATATTATTCTATTTGTTATAACGATGTTTTATGTGTGTGTGTGTGTGTGATTTTTTTTTCCCTTTTGTAGCTACTTACCCGATGGAACTAGTCTATTTGATACATATTTTTGTGAATTCGATAAATATGAAGGCGTTCTATTATATGTTTCTGATTCAGTTACTGCTTTATGAAGTTTGGACTTTACATCTTCTACTTGACTTTTAATATCCCCTTGATCTTTTAAAATATCATTTCTAAATTTATATGTGATGGCTACTGCTAAAGTCAATCCAGACAACAGTGGTACTAATCGAGGCATCTATTTCGTAAAAATAAATAAATAATTGATAAACAGGGCAATGCTTATAGAAAAAGACATACATATAAAAAAAAAAAAAAGTGGGGTCGATGACGCAATAATTGGGATTAAAATTGTTTACATAATGTGCTTGTTTCTCCATCAAGTTTAAAGGTATATGCAAATACATATATGTGTGTGCTTTTGTAATTGGCGATGGCTAATGTTTAGTTTTTCATTCTTTTAGAATGTTGATCAACATTGTTACGATGATACTTTCGTTTGTTACTATTAGTAAGTCTTATATTAGTAAAGACAGGTCTAGCTTCATTTGAAGGCTTTTATTCAATACAGAATGTCCAATATTTTTTCTAATAGGAGAGTAGTCATAGAAGTTACTAACAGGCTCACAAGTAAACATCGCTTTCGCCATAACCTTTCCCACCTGACTTGGTATAAGTAATTACCAGGAGTGCCCTTATGGTTGATTACTGCCTCAATTTCATAAGTATCATTTTCAGTATTAGACAATTTAACTTCACGCAATATCACTTTAATATGGGAAGGAGGTATGTCTCTTGATAAAAATGCATAAAGAAGGAGAAATAGGTACTCTAGAAGCAAAAGTTACAGGAATACTAAAAGTAGAGTCAGTTTGTAGATTGAATTGGTCTTTGGAGCTCAATACTTGTTTATGTTTTTTTTTTTTTTTTTTTTTTTTTTTTTTTTGATATTTCTGAGTGGGATGATTACCACGATCATGAATAATACAATTATATTTTGTTTTGGTAGCAATTTGCATAGAAGACTTTGGCGAAATACCAAGAGTGGCGCTGTTGTTTCTATGGACTTGATTATTAGGTTTGCTTGCTTGTGGGCTACAAACGAATGATATACCAGGAGAACCATGGGTAGCAGTCGGGAAAGACTTTCGAGCACTTGAAGAATATATCATACCAGAATCCTCAGCACAAATTTTAGAAGAAAGTATCATTCTAGCTTTAGCTACAACTTTACCAACAGAGTCCTGGGTGTTACGAGGGAGATTTAACAAGGAACAAGCAACTTCTCATCACAGGTAAGCAGGTAAATCACGTTTGAATATAATAGCAGTTCTAATAACATCTTCCCATTTAGCTGCACGACGGATTCGTTGAAAACGGTCCGTAAAGGCTTCGATGGATTCATTTGGTTGCACTTTAAGTGACAAGAGTTTATCCATGTTGTTGATTTCTTGAGCTAAGTTTTGAGAGGCATAAGTATTAATTACAATTGATCGTACTTCTTTCCAAATTAAATAATGTCCCTTCAAAGTTTCATTGAACCATGGTAGTTGATCACGATTCATCCTAATTGACATTAGGCGACCCCAACTATGATCAAGGTTTAATCCTTTAGAATCAACTACCAAAGCAAATGTGTCAAGCAAGTCTTCAACTGATCCTTGAACATTAGAATCTTTTTCCATACGTTGCCTTGCCATTGCCAGGAAGGGTGATCAGTTGGTATGAGATGAGAATCTCTCGGGCTTGAGGTAGTGTGGTTTAAGGAAGGAGAAGAAGTGGATGGCTGAGGGGAACAATAAGTTTGGACCTCATCTAGGAACTTGATACATCCAGTTATACGGTTTGCTTCGTCTTGTAAAGCAGTCGATTTTTCAGAAGCAATGTTGTTGACTACACCACGAGTAAGTTCTTGAGATAAGTTTCTAAGAGTTTCCCATAAGTGTTCTATAGCATCCTCATTGGAACCAGAGTCTTCTTGAATATTATAATTAGACAAATCCTTCATCAAGATGCCATCTTCTTTCTTGTCATCAAAGGCAGTACCAGTAGAGTCTTGACTTGTTAAAGGGGCCTGATATAAAAGATGCGATTCAGAAAAGTGTTATAGAGAATGAAGTGTTAGAAGTTTTAATATTATTTGATAAAGTGGATCAAGAGAGTTTCAAGAGAATTTAGATAGCATTCCTTGAATAAATTTATGATCCACATGTTTAATCAAGAAACATGACATTATAAATCAGCTCATGACAAGCACTTGTCAAAAGATTAAGTACCCGCCCCAAATTTAATTTAATATAGAAGGAAGAAGAAGAAGAAGGAAGGAAGGAAGAGAAAAAAAATAAAGGAAAAAGAAAGGGAGGTAGATAGATGGATAGATAGATAGAGAGAGAGAATAAAATCAGACAAGATAGAATAAGTTCGCAAAGGACAGGTAAAAATAGAGGAATAGAACTTACTATATTGTATTATATTGTATTATAATTTATTATGTTATATTATTGGAATATACTAATAAATTAATATCAATCAAAGCATAATAATACTTGTTAAAATTAGCTACAATTAGCTAAAACTGGCTTATATACTTATTATTAATTCTATTATATGCATTTTATGCCTTTTCAGTAAAAATATGAATTATATATAGTTACTTTTATGCGGTATATATCTATTAATTTATTATTATATAGCTACTATCACCTAGACAACTTTGACTTTTTTTTTTTTTTTTTTTTTTTTTTTTTTTTTTTTTTTTTTTTTTTCTTTCTGACTGACATTAATTTTAATGCCTAAAATGGTATATAATTAGCTGAAGGCCACCGGTAGTCATAGACAACACATATATATTATACTATGCTATTACATCATCCTCATTTTATGATTTAATAAGGGAAAAATCATATAAATCATATAAGTTATATAAGTTATATAAGTTATATAAGCCATATAAATCATATAAATCATATAAATCATATATAATAGAACTTGAACATTTGCTAAGATTTAGATTGAATCAGATCAGATTAGATCATTTATTGACAACTCATTTCAAGTAATAGAGTGTAATTATGACTCAAACATCTAGATTTTTTATTTTTATTGTCATTTTCTCTTTTATTATATAATATTATATTGGTTCCTTATTGTTCCTGAATTATTTATTTTGTATTTCAGCTTATTCTCTCTCTCTATATACAGTATATACATGGGTTTGATAATGATGTACATTAAAAAAATATAAGAAAAATTACAGGTCAATTAGAAGTCTTCTATCACATTCAAGAAGAGAAGCAATCTAGTATGAAAGAAAATCGAATACTTCAAATGAAAACGGGCATTTTTGCTGATTCACAGCAGCAACAAACAAAACGTTATCATCTCATAAAGGTTGCTCAAAATAATAATGCACAATCAGTAGTAAAAGTAGTTTATTATAAATCTTGCTCTACAATTAAATAACTCCTTTTGTATGCTATAGACATATGAAAATAAAGGCATTCAAACAGCTAAGATTGAATTAAATAAGCCTATTATAAACGAAACTATTTATGTAAAGAAAAACTTGACGAGTTCAAGTAATATGAGAAACTACGCATTAAAAAAAAAAAAAAAAAAAAAGAGGAAAGGGGTTATTATATCTAATAAATGAATGAATTAGGAAGTGACTCAAACATTCTTATAAAAGAAAGTCAAAACTTAAATAAGGCATGTCGTTTAATAATAGGAATAAGCTTTGCTTATTAACTGTTTACAAAACATAGAGTAATGAATTAAAAAAAAATTACAATGCATTATTGAACAGCATCAAAAAGAAATCAATATGTTACAAAGTCAATTTCAACAGTTATTAAATGCAAAGAATCAAGAACTTAAAGATCTTTATTCAAAATAAAATTACTTCAAGTTGATCATCGATTATCAGATCAAATTTATTATTTGCCAGAGTTTAATAACAAAGAAAAAGAGGTACTAATATACATATACATATACATATTATGTAATCACTTTTCACATAATACATGTATTATATCTAATCTAGTAATTACGTCAGACTAGTATTAAACTAGGAATTAAAAATAGAAAAGGTACTTACATATAATTATCTTAGAAATATATACACAGCTAATTTTAAATAAAATTTTATAGTCTCTATTCAATAATAAATTGAACAATAAATAAAAAAACACCTCTCGAGATATATAAAAAGAAAAGAAAAGAAAAGGATAAATAAAAAAAACAAAACAAGATGAAAATCAAACTATGAAATAAACTAGTTTATTTATAGACTAGTTACAGAATAGTAAAGAATTCATCAATTGATAACGAAGATTAATTGGCAAAGAAGGAGTTTTGTTAAGATGTAGATAATCTGTTGTATATTAGAAAGCCTAAATGATAGACTTACACAATAATAATAATAATAGTAGTAATGTAATAAAATGTTTAGGTAAAGTATTCAGAAAGAACAGCAATAACTATTAAAAGTTATAATCTTTAAAACAATAGCTTTAGCTTATCCTACAAGTAGTATATGGTCCCTTGGTTATGATGTTTAATTATTAGTAATGCTATACAGAAAAAATTACATGCATGTATAAATTTGGATGTGATAAGAAGGATAGAAACCGGCTATAAATATCTCACTCTATCATACTAATGAAGAAGGTAGAAGACACCTATCCGATAACTAAGTAGAATAATTATTAATAGAATTGCCAAGTTAAGTTCATTAACTGAAATGTCAAAAGCCATCTATGAGTGCTACATAACTATAAAAAAAAAAAAAGATTGATATACAAAATTGATACGCTGGTATGCATAGAAGAGCACTCTTGTTTAATTCAAGAATTAGTACGCCGTCTTAAAATAAAGCTGTAATTTATACTCTGATTTAGTTTCTCTACCATCAATGATGTATCACCTATATTTAGATTACAAAAAAAAAAAAAAAAATACATATAATTTTTATTATATTTTTTATTTTTTTTATAATTTTGTTATTCTGTTTCGTAATTTTAATCATAATATTCACATGAATCATAGATAAATGAATTCAATACAATTTACTGAGCAGCAACAAGTAGAAAATGTAAATTCAATAGCTCCTTTAAAAAGAACTCGGGCTAAAAGAAGCTGTGATTTTTGTCGAAAAAGAAAGTCTCGATGTGATGCTGATAATTCAATACCTTGTTCAAACTGTAGAGCTGTAACATTTACTATATTAAATAAATAGACAATATACACAGCCATTCACCTTTTATTTATTTATTTATTAGTGGGGTTATGAATGCAAATTTCAGATCGTTAGAAAGAAACGTGGACCACCTAGTGTCTATGTTGATAACTTGGAAAAGAAATGTAAAAAGATGGAATCACTCTTAGTTGCCCTGACGAAATGTTCAATAAAAGATCTCGAAAAAAATGATTTTCAATATGCTGATTATATTCACTCCATGTCTAATAATCTTTCTGATTCTTCCTCAGAAAATAATGATGACGAAAATGACTTTGATCAAATACTAATGAAAAAAGATTATGACTCGATGAAATATTCAGGTCAGTCATCAGTAGATTTAAGTTTATTTAATAATGATCTATTCAAAATTCAATCAACCATACCATGGCCTGGAAGAGAAGATATCACTTTAAAACTCATGTCACAAGACGAATTATTGATTGTTCGTACCGAAAAGTCACCTACAACAGGTAAATCTGATATGTTATTAGACATTGGATTATCTATGGGCACTTTTCTTTTTAATAAATCAAATAGCCTAATTGCGAGTCCAAAAAGGCCATCTCAATATCAAAATGATAAAATAATTGACATGTAACACTATAGAGTAATATTTACTTCATTAGGATTAAACATTCTAATCTATATTACTACATAGATATTTTAGCCATATACATCCTCTTTTTCCTATTGTCCATAAAGAGAAGTTTTTAAAACAATACCGTGATACAGTAACAAATGGGAAAACACCTTCTATTTTAATACAGTCTGTACTTGCTTTAACTTTTCGATTTGTTGCTCAACGACTACCAGATACAATCAAGGATGCTGATAAATTTGCTGATTTTTATTTTAGAAAAGTAATGAAGCGCTTACGTAATATTGGTCGTTCAAGACTATGTTATGTTCAAGCAGCTCTCTTAGTGGCTCTCTATTTAGATACAGATGATGGGGATGTTGAGTCAATCCAATGGCTTACAGTAGGTATAGCTATTCGAATGGCTCAAGATTTGGGCTTACATCGTTCTTGTTCAAAATGGAAATTACCTCGTAATGAAATTGAGACACGACATCGTGTATTTTATGCTTGTTATGTCATCGATCGCTGGTTTGGTGCAAAAAATGGGAAACCTTTAACGATATTAGATAGAGACTTCGATACAGATATGCCTTCTCCTTATGAAATGACTATAGATGATACAGCACAAAAGGGTCCTCCTATACATCAAAGTTTTATTTTGTTAATTAAATTATCAGAAATATTGGGAAGAATTTTAAAATCATTTTACTCTCCTAATGCTAAGACAGCTAATTCAAATATTGGGCATGATGATTCAACTATACTAGCTGCATTTGAACGTCGCTTGGAGAATTGGAAAATTTCATTGGATGAACCCCTTAACGGTGTTTATTTATCTGAATTAGATAAAGGTAAGTATTTTATTTAAAATAGGCAATCATGTTTCAGATATTTACACCCTCACTCACTCTCTGTCTTTTTTTTTTTTTTTTTTTTTTTTTTTTCTCTAGTAAATTTAAACCTATTTTATAATACGGTCGTTTTACTTTTATATCGACCATTTAGTCAATTATGTGTCATAAAATATCCAAATCTAAAGCCGAATGTTGCAGCTTCGAATGAATTTTGTACAAATGCAGCAAATCAGATATTAAATATAATTCATCAACGTCAATTCTATAAATCGGATCCTGCTTATTATCAAATTTTTTTTATACCTTCGCTTTACATCTATGCTTTGTTTCAGTCTTCTCTAGTATGTTTATATAATGTTTTACAGAATCAGTCTATACAAACGGTACAAATTCTTTATCAGTCCATTGACTTACTCAAAATAGACGCTGATATGCAACCAGCTTCTCGTGCTGTAGAAATCCTTCATATGTTGATTTCTATCAATGGTTTAAATATAGCAATGGAAAATAATAGTAATGCAAGCCCAATCAAAGAGGAAACAACAAACACAATTTTGTCTCCTACTTCTACTACTACTACTAATATTACACCAAGTACAAGTACCAGCACAGCTAGCCCTGCTTCTAGTACATTTACTACCACTAATCCCACTACGTACAATAATAGTTATATCGATCAAACGCTCACAGAACATCCCAAATCAAAGTATATTCAGCGTCGAATGACGAATACAGGTGTTATTGGTGGTATTACACCTAATATTCAATCTGATCTAGGTATCTTTATGACTTATCCTTATGAACATAAACAACCTATTGACACGTATAGTATACCAAACTGCCCAATTTATAACAACAATAATGGTATAAGTAGTAATAATTTACGACAAACCTATTCTCATCAACGCTCAATCTCTCTTGATCAACTAAACCATCATCATCATCATTCACGCCCTACTTCACAAGATTGTAGACATATTTCAAATATATCTTCTCGAAATACATTGCAACCACTTGTAACTAATAGGAACATGAATGTCAACTGTATTCCAACAAATGAATGCTATACACCTCAATTAAGTAATAATAACATTAATTCATTACAGCAAACATCAAAAGCCATGATGAATTCGTCATTTACTTCATTACCATTGGCACCTCAATCATATACAGCAGTAAGTTACGATTCAAATGTAAATGCATCTAATACAACATTACCACCGTCTAGCTTAAATTGGACTGATTGGGACATTTACATTGGTCATCAAAATAACCTTCCTACTAATAATGTTAATTAATAATTATCTTAATGCTATTCATCTTGTATTTATAACTTTTTTATTTGTATATATCTCAAAATAAATAAACTATTTTTCTTGTTTGTATTATGCAAATATCCCTTTTATATACATAGATAGATAAAATATGATTGTTAATTGGCTGCCATGATCAGGACGTCTTTGCTGATCTGTGGCTTAGAGTTCATTATTGAAACCCATTAAAAAAAAAAAAAAGAAAATAAAAAAATAAAATAAAAAAATAAAAGTATAAAATGTATAGTTAACATAATAAAACGCAATTATTATACAACAATCATGTTGCAAGCTCGCATTGTTCCCTGGATAGATTATGAAGAGTTTGAGACAGTCTATAAATGGCTATTTTCAGATAGAAAAACACAGTTAGAGGACGTTAAACGTGGCATCGACAGAGTAATATCAATTAAGAATTCATCTTTTTATCATTAGTTAAAGAAAAAGTTAATCATATTCAATAATAGATACAAACATGGATAAATAGGGGAGAGATTCCATCGTCAGTAGAAATGACAGCTGCATTCATTGAGATCATCATTCGTGACGAACAAATGGGACATCACATGTCTCATAAAGAATTACGTTTAATGTATGGCATGGCCATTGTACGATTTGTGAACGGTTTAGTCGATCGAGAACAGAAGGGTAAGTTTGCACGTTCTATTGGTACACTAGCAAGAATGATGGGGCTCCCGCCTTGGTTTGTGGATCTACGTCATGCTAGCACACACGAACGACTTCCAAGTCTAAATACTTTAAGAGATGGAGCTTATCAAGCTGTGGGTTGGCTTCATGACAACTATTGGATTCGTAATCTTAAAAACACTGAACAAAAACAACAGTTACAAGAAACTTCCGAAATCAAATTAAAGTTAAATGAATATAAGGAATGTAGAAAGAATTATATTAAAGATAAATACAGTGGACAAAAATGTAGCCCAGATAGATATGTTGAATGTATACAAGCTTTATTAGAAATGATTGATGATGAGATTATTAAAGAAGATATTATTCCTCTTTTGTTGGGAGTAGGTGGATTAGTTCCAGCTGGTAAAAAGAAGAGAGCTTCAGCAGATAATATGATCATTTCTAAAGGTTTAGTTGAGTTATGGACACCTTTACTTCAAGGATTAGACGATGGTTTCCCAAGCTTTGGAGAAGAATTAATAACGAACATGATATCCAAACTAACCATAAATTATGGTATAATTATATATTTATATTTAAGCATGCAATATTCACTTATTTTATTTTGTTATAGAATACGAAATGAATGAAACTTTACTCAATCCATACGCTGGATTTGTAAGTGTTTTAAGTATTATTTATATACAGGATATTTATTTCTTCAAATAGGCGGCTCAAAAAGTAGAAGATCCAACAAAATCGTCTAGTTATTTATTAACAATTGGTAATGGGTTCTTTTTTTTTTTGTTTATTTAAAGAGAAATGTAATGTGAATTTAAAAATATTAACATATCTATAGCTTGCTGGTTAAGGCATTTTGTTCAAGAATTTAAAGACAGTATCAAGACACGAACATTAAGTCATATATCGATAGATACCATTCTTGAAGGATGTCTTAAAAATCCAAATTACTAGTAAAATATTATATAGATAAAAGGTGGGAGAATGAGAAAGAAAAAAGAGGACTTATATTATTGTTTATTTAGTACACGAACCGTTCTTCAAACTATTTCTACAATTGATCCTGAACTCGGTGAATCTATCAAGCCATTTACAAGATATATTGATCAAATAATTTTAAAATTCATTTCAGAAAAGGTACAGAAATAGGCTCTATTTTTTTTTTAATGTTAACATCACTAACTTTTATTAAAAGACAAAAAATAAGAATATTCCCCTCATAACTGCTGAAGATGAAGACTTGCTAGAAAATGAATTAAAAGAGCTTGAAGCTCAACTTGTAGATATTAAAACTAAAACCGTAGAGAAAAAGAAGAAATTTAGTTTGGATGAAAAGATGGATATTGATGATGAAAGTTATACAGGTTGGAAATTATATGAAAACTGGAAGCCTTGTCCTATTGGTACACTTCCTAACGGGAAAGTGCCTTGTCTTGACATGTCGTTTTATGCTCCAAAAATATAACTTTGAACTTTTATTTATATTGTATAAAAAGGAATGCATATTTGTGACTTTTAGCTTTATAAGTTTACATTGGATTGTGTATCGATAAAATAAAATAAAATAAAATAAAAAATTTGATATGCAACTAGACTAGACTGAAAGATAGCCAATATGTTAGCTAAGCGAAAGACTTCAAAATTTAGTTATTTGTTAGCTAACTCAACAATGAGAGACTAGGATGTTGTCCCTGTTTTGTCCGCGCTTTAGATTTGTAATGGTAAAAAGACATTTTTTTTTGTTGTTACTTTTTTTTTTTATATTAGCTGTCTTTTCTGCTGATATTGCAGTCTACACTCATAAGTTTTTAATAATCAATATTTAACTATTTTATTCTATTTTATTTTAGCTCTGTGTTATCCTTTACTTTGTATGCTTCAATCCTCCTTCAACATATTTAGATACGTTAGCTACTTTTAATGAACATAACCTTTCTTACACATAATAGTGAATAAATCTTTTGCATGCTTTACATAATTCTGTAAAATCTTTACACATAAAATTAGTTTTTAAAGCTTTATAGTAACTATTAAAAATTCCTTTAATTTTTCAGTAAAGAAACTAAATCAAGCTATTTATATTAATTATTAATAATAATTTTTTTTTCTTTGAAATTAATAACCACTTCAAAAAAACTTAGTTCTTCTAATATATATATATATATATATATATATAAAATAAATGAATACCATACTTACTTACTCGTATTAGCTTTTGAATTTCATTTTTAACTAAAATGGCTACCTTTTTTTTTTCTTTTTGTTGAGTTGTCTAGCTGTGTAGTCTGAAGGTAGTCATCATGTTCTTGCTTGACTTGAATCACTATCTTGCAAGTCTGTCTAAAGCAGTGTTACGAAATGAATTAGCTGCTAGAGAAAAAAAATTAAATACAAAAAAAAAAGTACTTACAATTGTTAGAAAGCGCCCTCGGTAGCGAAGAATCAGGTTTTCATGACTTTTCTCATCATCAAAATGATACCCCAAACAAGTCTTTTATGTGGTCATGGCCAAACCTTGGTATAACTTCAAAACAATTTTGGTCAAATGTTTCCAAAAGGCAGATATCTAGACTATTCAACATAATAACACCATCAGTATTGTATGCTTCAATAGACGCCTTCAACTCTATTTCTCCAAGATAGAATTTAGCGACGGGTATCAAAATGTTTTAACAGCCAACTGCATTTAAAGCCAAACGAGTTGGCGGTTAAACATAATCTCATTTGCTAAAATACTGGCGCTAGTTATTAAAATAGTAATATTTACGTATAATTCGAAAATATGTGTTATAAAAATATTGAATTTAACGTACATTTAATACAAGAAGTTGTAAATAAACTTGGGCCATTCAGTTACCTTGATTACTATACTCCTCGTACACTGTATTAAGCGCCTGCTAATAAAATCATCTATTACTCACCCGATATAGAGTGTTGCTTCTTCAGATTAGTAAGGATATATATATATTTCATATCTTGCAATTACATTAACTTCAAAGATGGTTTCAATGTTCAAATTTTTTAACTTTTATCAATTTAAACTCAAGCAGCCAAAAATGGAATACAATAATAGCACATGTATGTCTATTTATGGTAAAATTTTCTTAATATGTCACGTGCTATATAACCATTTACTTTTTTTAGAGTTTGCAACATTTTTTTTGGGGTATATGTAGGGTAAGTCAAAAAAAAAAAGATAATATTACAATTTGTTGAGTATTATATCCAAGGTCATTGTATATATCTTCTGGTTAATTGGATTTACATTTCATATAGCACCCACATTCTATTGGACGATACTTTTCAGGACTATGTTATTTAAAATTTAGTTAAAGGTAGAAAGACTGAATAAATTCTTTTTAATAGTTTACCAAAATTTATGACAACAACAACTGTCCAGACGTTCTTTCCAAAGGTTTCAGATATTATCATTATTAGTAGTGTTCCAGTTTCCGTGTTCATCAACATGATGGGTCTCGATTTTATGGTAATTTTAAAGAGGGTAGAGAGGGTATGATACATGAAATTAAACTTAAATCAAGTATAGCTTTCCACTAATAATAATAAAAAAGTCAATATCAACGTTGATGAGAAATTGAATCTATTTGAAATCAAAATTTTATTATCCAATGTTTCCAACAGCAAATGAAATATGCAACAAATATAGCCTATATCACAGTCTGGGAAACTAGGTTGGGCCAATAAAAAATAATTGAGTCATATAAAAATTAAATTGGGACAGAAATACGAAAATGAGACAGAGATGTGATTAAAGAGTAATTTAATTAAAGTAAAGACCATTGCGCATGTAGTGGGCTATGAATATATTGTTTTGCCCTGGCCAGTTCTGAGTGTTATTTTGTATGAAAAAAAAAAAACCTCTTGCAAGAAAAGAGGAAAATGTATAAAAGTAAAGAGAAACAGAATCAGTAAAAGAAATATTTGAACTACTATTACTATTATGATTGATTTAACCAATTCACCAGTTTAACGCTAGAAATGATGAGTTCAGGAGGCGATTTGTTGTGGAAGATATAGTCCAATTCATGGAATATTCAGGTATACTACTGGCTAATGAACGGACCAAATACAAGAAACTTTGGGACGGCGGGGGGTTTGGAAGGAAGCCTGTTCAGGACGAAGGAAAGAGGGACAGGGATGGTGTGTGGCATTTGAAAGTGGCTATGCATGTCGAAGTAGATAGTAGCATGGTCCCAATTAAGCCTTGAGTTTGAGTGGAAGACACAATGTTGCAGCTTGCTACCGGGAAGCCAACCAAGTCACCATCGAACATATTATTATTTTGGATCAGAAATAATTGTAAGTCATGCTATTCTAATATTCAAAATAAAGACTGAGTCTGACTTTAACCGAGAAAAATTCCCTAAAAGTATAATTCAGACAGATCGACAGCTTTGTCACTTTGGAGCGTTTTCCATAAATGGTAGAATTTGTTGAAATTTGATACTTTATTAGTATGTGTAGATTCAAATTAAACATATGATCTGTCAGAAATATTTGCAACAACATGCTCCAGCGCATTTTACCAGTCGACGGTAAAGAAGCTGATGTGGTTCTATTGCAAAAAAAAATTACAAACAGTACAGATGAATACAGATGCATATCTAGCGAAGACGTAGAGAATTTTCCAATTGGGAGATGCTATGAAGAATGAAAACTTGACTGATGTTTCTCTTCGCGGGCTGGATCCCAACCGACATCAGGTTTTTGCTGCTGCTTATGGGGAGGGTGATGAATCCCATCAAATCAGGCGATGCTCTACTAAAGAGTATTATACCTTAACAGGGTCTATAAGACACGCAAAGAAAGAAACAAAAAGAATGTCTCGAGAAATTATGGAGGATATACTTCTCAACATCCCTACAACCAGGAACACAAAGAAGAATAGGAAGAATAGGAAGAAAAGAAAGAAGAGGAGAGACAAAGAAGCGAAAAAAAAAAGACAAAGAAGTTCCCCAGCAGACAAAGTGAGTATACTAGCATCAAAGCAGAGAGACAAACACTATATTCATTAATTATTATTTCAGGAACGCCAAGAAGCTTTGGAAGCCTCAACCTTTCAAATACGACAAGAGTAAATTACCTGTTATAGCTTTCGGAAATGGCATGTTCGGAAAAGACGGTGTACATTTGAAGGGTCTCAGGGTGGGAGTGACAGGAGTTCTTTACAAACAACTCAAAATAAGACAGAAATCAGGAAAACTTTTACTTGCTTCTGTAGATGAGTTCAAGACTTCAAAGGTACAACAAGATTTACCAAAACTGGTCAAAGAATAATTTATTAATACTGTAAATATAGACCTGTCATGCATGTCTTCAAACATGCTTGACTGATGCTTACATTGGGTTACACAGTATTCAAGCTTGCCAAAGTTGCGAAATAATGTGGCAACGCGACGTTAACGCGTCGAAAAATATATTCAAGATCTCAAGACAAGTGATTGGTGGTCATGGGCGTCCACGGGAGTTCACGAGAGAACAATAGGTCTTGGTTTTTTTTTTATATCGCCGTCTCGTACACGGTTTCTCTTGTTAAAGAAGTTTAGATATTTACAGATATGCTGTATCTATTTCTTTTTTTTTTTCCTCCAGAAAAAATCTAACATTTTGTCTCAATTTAACTTATTCTCCTCTGTCCCATTTTCGCATCTATATCTCCTTTTCATTTGGGTGTCCCATTTTCGTATTTCTATCCCAATTTTCCTGCTATTGTCCCAATTCTACATCCGTGTTCCAATTTAGTTTTTGAATGATCCAGTTATTCTTTTATTGGCCCAACCTAGCTTCCCAGACTGTAGATCAATATTTGTGAACTTTGTATATTAAAAATTGTTTTTTAACGAATATGCTATTGTAACACTAAATCAAAATCTGTTCTCTTTCATACTAACAATTATAATATAGTTTTAAAATATTATGGGGTGGGGGGGGCAATTAACATGTGGATACTATAATAAACGATTTGTGACAAATGGCAAGTAAATTGAATGATAAAATCTAAAAATTTTAGTGGACGAAATTTTTACCAGCTGTACGCCAAGGTTACAAGCAAAAAAAAAAAAAAGTGTTGAAAGAATGCTTGGCATATCTCTATGCTTGTTATTAACATTATACTTCCATGCATCAAGACATTATAAATTATATTATAATATATTGTAAAAAGAACGCACTAAATACCTTTTTTTTCTTCTTCATCTAATTTCTTCTTTAAAATTATTTTAAATTATTGTCTCAAAAATAAATAAATATATTAGTAAAAAGACTTTAGAAGACAGCAGTATATTACAAGGTAAAACAGAATATGTACAATGTTATACAAAATGATAGATGTATTACAGTATGTAAAATAATATGTATGCATGTATGTATGTCTGTATGAATGAATGTGTTTGTGTGTGTGTGTGTAAATATATAAGTACCTCTATAAAATAGGGTGTTTACATACAGTTGTTAATTATAAAAGTCAAGCATTATATTGTAGGTACCATGAATGATCTATTAGTACGGGAACTATTTCCTGTAACCAAGGAGGAATATTGTACCGACCATAATGATCCTGTGGCACCACATCATTATAGTAATATGGAGTAATTGTGTTGTCATCAAAATAGCTATAATCTGTTAATGATATGTGACTATAATTGCTACTATTATTATTATTACTACAATTGGTCATTAGTAATGCTAATTGACTATAGCTCCCATATGAATAAGAAAAATCATCTGATAAGAGAACAGGTAATAATGTACAATAGCCAAGCCTTGATTGTGTCATATGTAAATCAAAGATAGAAATAAGTTGATGATCTATATTTTGTGAAGAATTGATCATGATCTCGTATATTGTATTGCATTGTTTAGCCCATTGATTAAATGTCTCTAGTGAAATATTGAGTGAGTGGTTTAACCTCTTTAATATTTGCGCTTCTAATAATACAAGTTCCTTCATTGATATCATTGACACGTATGACCATTGCTTCTATTAAATTTAAGCATACCTTATTAATAATGTGCATTCATATTATATATATATATATGTATATATAATATACATATATACTTAATACCATATGTGGAGGATTATCTTCCAGGAATTTGTACGCTATCAAAAGTGTCACAGTAAATAATGAATATTCATGTGCAATATCAGATAAATCTATGATATTATATTTATTTATACTATTTGCTAAAGTTTGTTGAAAATACTTTAAACTATAAAAAATAAATAATGAATAGTATGTGATTTATATACTATTTCAAAATATACCTTGTATAGACTACAGATATTGGTATATTTAATTCAGTTAAAAGCTGATTACAAAATAAAGTAAAATTCATAAATTTAGCTATATCCCACATTAAATTACCACCACAAAGTGCTTGTATTATAAATGAACATAATCCTGGTAATTCTACATCAGATTTATAACCTGATTTTTGTTCTCTTAATAATGATTTCGATAAATATTTATCTTGGAATTCAATATTCGACTGTTTTTGATAAAGTGTTGGTGTAAAGATAGTATTTTCAAGTTTATTAAAAAATGACATAGTGTTTAATTAAGAAAGAAAGGAGATAAATATCTTTCTTTAGTAGTATTTTATATGTATACAATCATAAAAAAAAAAACGCGGGCTTTAAATCACCAGTTAATATTCCCCCCTTTTTTTGCATGTGTATATGTCTATATTTATGTAAGCAGAGAATAACAGTGCTACATAAGCCTCATTCAAATACTTTGCCAAGATTCCTTTGTGTGTAAAAAAAATATGCTTGTATTTACACAAATTTATCTTGAAACAAAGAATTAAGGATATCTATGAAAGAACATAAATCATGAAAGAATATTGGTATTTATTTATATACGTCTTGTTGATTCAAGATACTGATCTATTATTAGGTGCTGTAATAACATAATAATCTGTGCTAACTTTTAAATATTATTGTTTGATTTGTATCCAAGTTTCTGAAAACTTTTGTATTTTTATTTTACTGAATCAAAAACGATTTGATTGTGTCTTTTATCAAGGTTATGAAAATAAATATTTGGAGTTGTCATCATGTCTTATAATTGGGATATCAAGATGATTTAATGTTAATAACTTTATATTATTTATCAGATTTTCTATAAAGCATTATATGATACGATTCGATACTTTACTTCATATTCAGGTTTATAGTATGTCCTTCTATATTATATAATTTATCTATTATAATATTACTTATGCTTATATCTAAAACTTGTTATAAAACAGACTGGCTAGAGCTGTTCAATCATGTTCAATTCAGGGGAATACAAAGGAAGATATACACACCTTTAATAAATAGTAAGATAGGTACTAACTAAATGATAGAGTAAGGATGCAAAATATGTGAGAATCACCACTTTGAGTTACAATAATTTATTTAAGACAAAAACTGAGTAATTCAAAAAAATAACTTACCCTTATAGATGTGTTGTTGATTGCTATCTTGGTTTTACTTCAGTAGAGTTTCTTATCCTCTTTTTTTATGGGTATAATTTTAGCATGTATGCTCCTTTGTGATTCTATTAGGTAACATAATATCTTGCTCTCTGATATGAATGCTTGGCAAGAGTTATGAGTTAGAGTTACTACTGAGAGAAGTGTGGTCTGAATTTGCTATTTTCATTTTGAGCCAACAAGATATTTATTCTTGATTTTTTTTCTTTTTTTTTAAACAGCATATCATGCTGCTTTATTGTGTAAAGTCTAGTACGAATCAAAAGATACAGTTAAATCTTGCAGGGTAAAGGCGAATGGCACAATAATGTACTAAGTACAATAGTCAAGTACATTAATCTGTTGCTCTGTGTATAGTTTTATTTATTATACATATATATGTTGTTTACAATAGTCTCAATATTTTTATCTCTTTTATTGACACATCTAAAAATAAAATCAGTCTTTTCCAGAAAGTAAAAGTTTCTAAAAAAAAAAAATCTGAAATTACTTCAACCGAAAATATTGTGTTAATCATGTTCTTTCCCTTTTTTTCCCTTGAGTTCATTAAGATTTTTTTTTCTTTCATTTCTTTTTAAGGAACTTTCCTGGATAATTTTAATATGTAGTTTATCAGTATAATCATTGGCTTTTAATTTTATTAGTAATTAAGCTGTATATTTTAAATGTATTAGCCAGATTATTCCATAACAACGATCGATAATATTCTTATTACTTGATTCTATCATACGGTTATCTATAACTTATGCTGAACGTAGTCGATTATTTAGATAACGCCTAAGATGGTTGTCTGGTGGTCAATCTAAAGACTGCGTTTATTACTCATATATTAGCCACTCCAATTACCTATTGTTATATGTTTACATCTGTATTAACGATTAAAAATGTGTACTACATTCGAGAATCGGTTACTCTACAACATCTTCCAACTTATTTGCTTTCTCGTAGAATACACGGTAGCCACTTATTTGCCATATACTGTTTGAACTTGATTACCTATTGCATAATAAAGTGCTTCCCTATATTAAATCTAACCTTGGTTCAAAGTTTCTCTCTTGGCTTTGTGTTGACGACTGATGGTAGTATTGTTGATCTGTTCTCTTTCTTTCTATTTAATAATATTCTTTCTTCAACATTTTTAATATTATTATTCCTTTTTTACTTCTCTCCTTCCTTTTCTTTTCTTTTTTTTCCTTTTCATTCTTAAAAAGTTTTTAGTTTGTTCATCTATTATATTATTGAACTGGTTCGTCCATAAGAATATACATTCTATACTGTGTGCTCACGTTGAGTCAAACTTTTCAAAAAAAAAAAAAAAAAAAAATGCCAATAGAAATTTAATTGTATTGAGTGTGTTCTGTCGTGGCTTATAGTCTGAAATTAAATTAATATGCAGCAGTGACAGTGGCAGGGTTTTTTTTCTTGAGTTTGAAATAATTTAATTGCAACCTTCAACAATTATAAATTGTACACCTTTTTTTCTTTTTTTTTTTCTTGTCATACCATTTTTTTTTTTTTTTTTGTTATACAGATTTTGCATTAAAAAGACAAGATATTCAAGCAATTCGCTTTAATTTTATCATTATTTAATTGATAATAACAACAATATGACCATTCATGTTATTCCCGGAGAAATTAATAAGTTTACAATAGCTATTGCCGTTTTAAGCGGCTTTATTTTATTATTTGGTTATATTTCGATGTTCCTGAAAGAAAAATTATTTTTATCTGAAGCATGTAAACGGAAATGTATATCATCATAGTAATTAATAATATGAATTAAAATTATATATATATACGAATATATATTTGTATATATAAATATATAAATATATATTTATAGTGGTAGCAGTAATTGTCGGAATTATAGCGGGACCTTTAGTTTCTAATGGTTTTAATCCTACAAGCTGGGATAATTATGACGAGATCACAAAACAACTAACAAGATGCATAATAGCAATTCAGGTAATAAATTATATCTTTTTTTTTTCTCTTATGAATTTTTTCTTATTTATTAGATATAGGTTATGGCTGTTGGAATTGAATTACCAAGGTAGTATATAATATATGCATGCATATGTATAAAATATTTATATACATATTTATATATTTTCTTTTTCTATTTTAGGCGATATTTAAAAAAGGAATGGTTAACGATGTTAATGCTTTTATTTCCTGTAATGCTATTTATGTGGCTCGTGAGTGGTTTATTTATTTGGGCTTTGATTCCTACGGTTAATTATGTAAGAAAATATATAAAATATGTAAATAGTTCTGATATTAAATCCCGTCATTTAATATAGCTTGAAGCACTTGTGATTTCTGCTTGTATTTGTCCAACTGATCCAGTAAATATATCATATGCATATATTTGTAGAAAATAAGCTAAAGTTAACACTCTTCGTTACTCCTTATTCTTACAGATTTTAGCTAATTCAGTTGTTAAAGGAAGATTTGCAGAAAAGCATGTCCCAACGCATATACGAAATGCATTATCTGCAGAAAGGTATACTTTTTTCTTTAGAATTCTTAAAAATCGTAAATGTTTATAAATATTTTTTCTTCTTCTTCTTCTTCAATGTAGTGGTGCTAATGATGGCATGGGTTTCCCCTTTTTATTTTTGGCTATATTTTTAATTTCTGAAGACAGTGTAGGAACGGCTGTTGGTAAATGGATTTATATTACTTGGTTATTTCAAATTATATTATCTTGTGTAATTGGTGTTATTGTTGGATATGTGGCAAGAAGACTGTTATATTATTCAGAAAAACAGTAAAAAATTATAATGATGTGCTTCCATTCATTTACTAACATTCAATTTTAGTCATCTTATAGATAAGCAATCTTTTCTTGCATTTGCAGTTGCGTTAGCGGTAAATTTTATTATATACTTTGTTATTGTCTTTTTTTTTCTTATTTTTTTTTTTTTTTAATATTCATGTTTTAGCTTTTTTTAATGAGTATGACGGGGTTTTCTGGTAGTGATGATCTGTTAGCATGCTTTGCTGCTGGAAATGCGATATCATGGGATGAATGGTTTAAAAAAGAAACAGAAGAAGCACATTTTCAAGAAGTGATCGATATGATGTTGAATTTAGCCATTTTTGTTTATATTGGCGCTATTATCCCGTGGTCAGATTTCGGTAAGGCAGAACTAGGGCTTGCTCCATGGCGTCTTATCGTGATTGCTATCTTAGTTTTACTATTTCGACGTTTACCGGTTGTAGTTTTATTAAAACCTGTAATGCCCGCTATGAAAACATATCGTGAAGCAGTATTTAGTGGATGGTTTGGTCCTATGGGAGTTGGGGCTGTCTTTTTATCAGTAATTGCTAAAGAAGAATTAACAAATTCCTATGACGGAAAAGAGCTACCAATATCTGTTCAGGTCATTAGCCCTATCGTACTTTTTATTGTATTTTGTTCCGTCATTGTTCATGGTACAACGATTCCCTTGTTTAAATTAGGTAAACAAATTCGTACAAGAACATTATCACTTGCTAGTTTGAGTAGCATTTCATTACGTTTCCCCGATCAAGAACAACAACATGCCGTGAAAAAACCTAGTGGAGATCATCATAAGCGTTATCATCATAAGGAAGAAGATCATCCTATGACTGAGTTGGAGAGAAATACATTGTACAATACACTGCAACATGATCCTGTAAATAAAAACATCACCAATTTGGATGGTATGAAAAATAATAACATCAGAGGAAATGCAAGTAGTATTACAATTGATAATAATCTACAAGTATCAAACTGGGATGAAGAGCTTTTCTTACCAGATGACATTGCTGAAATAACAAACAATGCAGATAACGATACAGACATTAACATCAATAATCAACAGCCAACATCTACTACTGCACATAATAACGCTGCTAGACCTGGTAGTGCTATTTCATATGACACGCAGCAAGCTATTCGATTCCTGGAACCTGTCAATCCTCGTTTAACCGCTCAAAATGCACAACAGTTATCCAATTATGAACGTAATGAAGCTAGTGTATCTAGTATTCGAAGTTGGTTATTAAGACAACCTAAAGAAAGTTTCTCACAAGAGGATATAGAAGAAGAGAATAGCACACATAGCCATAGACGTAGCATCATTAGTTTATTTAAAAAATTAAAAGATCATAATAATACAGCTTCAGCTAATACAAGTAATTTAATACATGATGAGCCTCCTGTTACTGCCGCAGAAGATATTGAGGAATATCATACAGCTGAACATCTTCAAAGCTTATTCCGAGAGCAAGATAGAGAGGATAAAGAAAAAAATCATCAAGAAAATTATATTCCTCGTATTCAAATTTGGGAAGAAGGAAATCAAGTGGTTTTAGGAGAGGCTGAACAAAATACACCAGAAATTGTTATAGATAAAGAAGATGATCCAAACTGGAAACAAAAAGTTATTGAGACAAAATCTGATATGTTAAAAAAAGAAAACGATAAATGATGTATAAATCTATAGACAAAATAATAATAATAAACGCTTAATTAATCTATAAAAGTTTATTAAGTAGCACATCACATAGTTCATAGTGTAACATTTTACACATTTATATAGATTTACTCACTCTATTCTTCTTCTTCTTCTTCTTCATACTAAAAATGGGTCCTTCTGGTATAAATCTATAAAAATAATGCTAAATTTGGATATTTATCATCATTATTTAATAGAATTATCGCTTCCAAATACGAACAGTGAAGAATCGGTCCTTTTTCCAAAACCTAAACAAAACAATTCATGTACATTTTTGAATGAAAATAACAGTATATTACATGACAAAGAAGGTAGTAAAATATATATATATATATATATATATATGTATATTACTTTTCCTAACGACAATTATGAATTACTGCCCAAATTGGTTAAAACAAATGATAATAATAAATAGTAGCATATACACCTGTTTTATTATCTTCACCATTTACTACGAGAGAAAATCATGGCGGTATTCAAATTAATTCAAATTATATTCCTACAAATTATATTAAAAGGAAGGCATCGTTGCATAAAAGAAAACAGAATTCACTAATACATTGCACTACAAGCAGTTCAATAACCAGATCAAAGATTAATAAGAAGGGGCCTCATGAACTCCTATCTGAAGACCAGAAGAGAGCAAATCATATTGCATCTGAACAAAAACGACGAGCTAACATACGTATAGGATTTGAAAAATTAGTTGAAATTGTTCCTACATTAAGTTCAGGGCATAGAAGCGAAGCATTGATATTACAGAAATGTAAAAAAAAAAAAGAAAAAAAAATTCTATATTATCAAATAACATATTTTATAGCTATTGATCACTTAAAACAATTGGCAGATTTAAAAACAACATTGAAAGCGAAGGCTCGTGAGCTACAGCTTATATTAGGTGAAATGTAAGTCTAATTTATACATTGTATTATTTATGTATTTATATTCCTCATAATTTATATAATTACAAAAGACCCGATGAAGATGTAAGTTTTCTTTTTATTTTTACACACACACAAAAAAAAGCATAATTAAACTGAATCAATTACACATAGAGTTCTGAAGGAGAACTAGATAATAATTTTTAATGTACATATGAATTGGATGTCTTGTTACAATATAATTAAATTTTTATCAATAGCTTTTGTAATCTATCTTTAATCAGTGCTATATTCTCTTTTTGTAAGCATTGATTTATATTCTGAACAATTTGTTTTTTCGCTTCTTCTATATAAACAAACAAAAAAAAAAAAATTAAAAATAATCCTTTCGATACATGTATATTTTCAATTAATTACCTGGAATATTATTCGAAATAAGCTGTTCCAAAACATCTACAGCAGCAGATCGAATGGCAGAATATTTCATATCAGTTAATGCATCAAAACTGGCTTTTAACAAATTTTGAATTATATCAGGTTGTTGTAAAGTTGTAGGCGTTGTCTGTTCTACAAACTTTTTCAAGCTTTGTAAAATAGCCAATTGAACATTCCAAACATTACCTTCAAGACAATTGGTAAGCATATTACATAAGCTTCCTGATTGTCCCTCTTGTTCTGCAGGAAATATTTGAGGATGATAAGCAGAGACTAGGGCTTTAAATGCGTTAGCTTTAATCATCAATAATAAAGGCTTAACATTTTCATTTCCATCATCATCTTCTTCCATCACTTTAGTCTCATCCATTTCACATAACTCTGTCAAAAGGCCTTGTTCCAAGCTTAAAAGATCTAATTTATCACCAAAATTATCGGAGAACTTGATCAGAGACGTTAGTGCATAGCGTTGATAGGCACGATTTTTACGCTTTGCTTCTCGAACCATAATCTGTGTTACTTCTGTTAAGGAAACCACAGTAGATCCTTCAATAAATCGTTCCTTCAACGGAATACAGAGTTCTACAAAGGCGTCCAGTACATTTTCTTTACCTGCCCATGATCGTGTTGTTAAAGCTGATACAAGTATGGGCAGAAGTTTGTCAGCATAAACTTGAACATTTTTTTGTCCTGAGATTTTGCACATGTCTGCAAGCGTTAATGCAGCTGTTTGTCTAACCTTCCAGGAAGAGGAAGATAATAATGGTTGAAGGAATTCCAAAATTTCATCTCCATAGAGTGAGATTTGACTTCGAGTACCAGATGTAAGGTTTTCCCAAGCAGCTTTCCATAACTTGTTTAGATTTTCTTCTGGGTCATGCTCTCCAAAGAATATTAATGGTACAATTGAAGTTGCAATTGAATTAGCTCGATCAGTGGCAAATCGTGTAATTTCAACTGTTGTAACTGCACTCCCTGCCTTTGTGTCTTCATCTAATAATAATAATAATAATAAATACAAGTTTAAATTATAATAAATTATAACTGCTTTTATTTACCTTCTTCATCAATGTATAATTTTCGCAAATGTTTGACAAGAGAAATTAAACGGTCATAAGAAGCTAATTGGCAAACATATCCAATAGCAGTAGCATAGGATTTACGAATAACTGGATTCTTGGATTTAATGGTGCCACTTAAAGCTTTCAAATAGGCATCAGCATATGGCTTGAAAACAGATCTACGATTCATAACTAAACTAACAATAAAGCGTGCACAGCCAGCCTATATACATGAACGAAATGTTAAATTATTACAAACCAACTTTGTTCATTGTTATATGAATACCTTTGTTGGAAGGCCTGTTCCTTTTCTAATAATATGAAGAATTCGTGGAGTTAATTTTTCCATAACTTCATCATCAATTTGCTGAATACAGTGTTCTATGCCTTCCATCATAGGTGAATTTTTAGCACCTGCTAAACGTGCATTATCTAATTGTTCTTGTGAAATATTGTATTTATCAACATGGAAGCTAAGATAATTCATAGCTTGAGGCTCAAGAGCTATAAAAAGAGAGAAAAATTACAAAAATAAGTCACCTTCTTTTGATATATATATATATATATATATATTAAAACTTACATGAAAGAGATTGTAATAAAGTATCAACAAGTTCAGGTACAAACTTTTTTAAGAGTGCAGCACCCGTTTTACAAACCTTCAAAACTGCATCCAAACTAAATTTTCGGACATCTTCAGCATCAGAAACAATACCCTTTTCAAGTAAGAATGGCATAACAATATTCATTGCTTTCATGCCGTCTGCAAAGGCTACTGTACTAGGATCACAATAATGCACTGTCATTTTTGTTAACGAACGACATGTTTGCGTTGCTGCTTGACGTACAGACTCTTTAATATCATCCAGAGCTCTAAAACACATTTGCCATAATCGTTCCAAATAAGGTTCAATTTGGCTTAGTGATCGACCTCCTGTTATTAAATCGACTAAAGCAACACAGGAGGCCTCTCGTATACGCCATTGACGATTCCCTAAACCTGTTAAAACATCCTCCATAATTTCCTTGAAATATAAGTCTACTGTCTTTTGTGAATCTTTAACAAGTGATCGCCAAATAGTTTTCATTGTTTGATTGACACGTGCATTAGGGTCAAACTGATAACGATAGAGCTTCGGGATTAAACGTGGGAGATATGGCTCCATTTCCTTTTCTGCAATCACCATCAAGTTTTGAAAACCAAAGGCTGCACCGCGACGTGAAGTCCACATAGCGTTATGGTTTGCCAAATTCATAAATTTATAAATCAAATCAGGCTGATTAAGTTCAGATGCAAGTGAGCAAAGCTCTTTATAAGTAGTAATTGAATTACCGTCTGGTGTTTCACCTAGAGTTCCCTCATCAAACAAAATAGTATTATCTGTGACAGACTGTGCCTGAAGCTGGCGCCCTTCTGTAAAGGTACCAACCAAAGAATACAACATATCTTCTTTAATCTTTTTATCTCCGTATTCATACACGAGTCCAAGCCCCTTTGAGGCACATTCTTGAGTGAAATCATCGCGGTCAGATAAAAGACGCGAAAAGGAGGCGTGTATGTTGTTCAGGTTTTTTTTAACAATTATATCGTCCTTTCCGAACTTCAAGATTGAAAGCAACCAAATACATGCAGCCTTACGATACCATGTTCGATTACTTGCCACATACGAACGCATTATCTTATCTAATATGCCTTCAAATATGGAGGTATTAGCTCGCTGTACTTTTTTTAAGAGTGGTATTTCATCCATATCCTTATATTTTTGCATTGCTCCTGATTCCCAGCCAAAACCAATTATAGACCATGCTTCACCACAGGTAAATGCTAATTCGACTTGTTTGGTATCTGCTGTACTGTAAAGTCCATCTATCACTTTTTGAACAAGCATGCTGTTATCAGACAAGAGGGGAATAGATAGATGCCCTAGAGCTAGTATAGCCTTTTCTTGTACCTTGGCCTCTTTGCATGTTGTAGCAAGTTTAATAAGAGTTTCGATCACATCTTGTACAGTTATGCCCAAATCCATGGATCCATCTTGACTCTTTTCCATGGTTAATGGGAGTCGTTTAGTACGACCGATTTCTGAAAGTGATTGGCAAGCAGCATTAGCCATCATATAAAATGAGGCACTAGGTGAACCATTTAAGAGACGTATAAGATGAATTACAGATCGATGGTAAAGTTCATCAGAAAGTGCCAAATTACGATAAAAACTACGACTAATAAGATAACCAATAGAAAGAACAGCACCATGTTGTTGATCCAATTCACGTTGTGGTTGCACTTGTCTTTCCGCTGGTGTTTCCAAAAGATTACAAAATTCAGTCAAAATCGTCTCAAGTTGTGAGACGTTATCACTGCTGCTAGCAATAATACCAAATATATGTGACATTGATTGACGTGCATCTAGCTTTTCAGAAAGAGCTAATGATTTAAAAAAGTCAAGTCTGTCCTGAAAGGAGGTAGCAATAGAGGAAGGGCCTAGTGAAATAATTTCTAATAAACATTTTGCTGACGTTATGAGACAGATAGAATCTTTTAAGTCAAGATTTAATCCATTTTCAATCAAATCTAACCAATACTGAACTGCTTGTTTTTCGTCATTACTAGTCCATTTGTCTATAACACTTTTCTTAAAATTTGTCATCGTTACTGGATCCTCAGACATACTATTGTCAACCTTTTCTGCTACGTACTGATCAATTAAGAGATGAGTATGATTTGATTCCAAGATCCAAATCATGCGTAGAAAGTTAAGCATCTCGGCATAGACCTCAACAGGATATCCATTTATAACGGGTGTTTTAGATAAACGTGTAAACTCTTGGTCAGGTCGGTGAGAATGAATATAATAAACCAAATCAGTAAATCGAGGTAATTCAGTAACTGGGATAACATCCACATGCTCTACCAAACCATATTTATTTCTTACAAAAGGTGTAAGTCCACGATGTGCTTCCTCTTTTACGTCCAGTTTAGTAACAGATAATGAGCAACCTAGAAGACATACATAACGTGCAAAGACAGACGAAAAGGGATAAATGGCATTTGCATATTTTAAAGCCATATAACGTGAATAAGGATCATTCTATAAATATACATAAATAAATGTTTATATAAATAAATAAATACATATACATATAAGTGAAATTCTATGTATTCTATAACATTGTAATTATTGCTATTATCATTATTATTATTTACCTTTTGTACAGCCTTTAGAATGATATTTTGAACATTCTCATAGATAGGAGAATCACAGGGTAAATCAACATAAACTTCAATCATTGACGATAAGGCATCCTGAATATAACTTCTGACATTCTTTTGTTCTTTTTCAAGATTATCGAAGAACAAAGAAAGTATTTGTGTATCTGATAAACCCACCTTAGGTACTAAATTTTTTTATACATTAGAGATTTTCTTTCGTTTTTTTTTCCTTCTAATTGCATTACCTTTTTTAACTACTAGACCACAAGCTACATACGCATAGCCTTTTATACTTTCAGCATCAAGCCCTGTCATTTCTTCGTTTCCTTTAATAAATTTTAATAAGCCTGAAATGATAATAGGTGCTACAGGACCAATATGTTGATTTGTACTCTATACATACACAAAAATATAAAGTGAATAGATAATTTTAGTAAATTGCACATTTTTAATCTTACCATACGAGCACACCATTGTAAAAATGACATAGCATTACGTTGAAGTTTAGCGGTTGTCATATCACCATAGATACCGTCAAAAATGACTTGAATCATGGATGTAACCAATTGAGTAGCAATAATTGATTTTGATAAATACTGAAGGATACGTAATTTGACAGAATTGGATGCTTGGGATCTAATATCTTTATTACTTTCAGTAGTGTTGCCTGACTTAGTAGTGGCGGTTCCTAAATACAGTCTATACAATGATTGAATAGTTGCTTTATCTTCATAATCCACGTTTCCTGTCCATCGGCGTATACCATCTTCACAAACAGATACTACTTGATGGTTTGCATCACAGATACCGACTATCAATAAAGGCAATCGTTCACTGTCCGTAAAGATAGGTGTCAAAATTAATTTCATAATGCCTAACTAAAAAAAATAGAATGGCATTATTTTTCTTTTTCTTTTTTTTTTTTTTTTTTTTTTTTTTTTCAAACATATACATATACATATACATATACATATACATATACATATACATATACATATACATATACATATACATATACATATACATATACATAGTCATATATATTCATACCTTGGCATCTTTTAATTTCGAAGTTGTCCAATTGATTTTCCCCTTATTTGTTACATCCTCTACAGCTGCTTCACTTAGGCCTGGATATCTATTATTTGTAAGTCCCTGTTGTTTATTATTTTCATCTTGTTGTTGCTCTGCCATCCTATCTCTTGCTGTCAAAGGTTGATATAACATGACATCTAAAAAGAAATTTAAAATGATAGAGACATCCTTAGGATGTTGATCAAAATGAAAAATAGTCTGCCGAGCGGTTAACTGTACTTCATGGTCCATTTCCCATTGGTTGAGAACCTAGAATTTTATATCATTTAATTATTATTATTATTATTATTATTATTATTTTTTCCCCCCTATAAACAACACTAGTAGATAAGAATACATTACATATAATACAATATGAAGTAATGGGATACGCTGCTGAACGGGGCGTAAGCTGATACCTGTCAAAAACGCAGGCAGGTGTTGTGCAGTTTCCTCTCGCGACATTCGACTTGTTGCCATTTCAAGATAAATAAGGGTAAAATTCTTGACAAAGGTTGAAACAAGAGGATCAGTAAACTGATTCAATAGTGCCTCGAAGGGTAACCGAATATTATTGTTTGTTTTGACTCGTTTATTGATATGTGATAATATTTCCATTACTTTTCTTTTCGCATCTGGATTATTACTAGCAAGCTTTAATAAAACAGGTGGAAGAAAAGTTTGGATTGTTTTTTCAAGCTGTGCATCTGTGTTGCACATGGCAAGCTTCAGCTCAACATTTTCTGAATTCTATTAGAGCAATGTTCAAATTATATTTTTAATATTAGATCTATTACCTAGCAATTGTACTTCATTACTCATGCTTGTTTTATTTAAAAAAAAATAAGGAATACTGAAGGAAAAGCTTAATTCTTTTTATTTTATTCTATTTTTTTTCGGGAAAAATATACATGATTGCTGCTGCTATATTAATTCGGTATTTTGATTTTAAGGAACACGTAAGCTAAATACGTGTCTATTAATGCAGAATATTAAAGATTATGTAATTTTTATATATACATGTATATGTAAGACTTATTATTTATTTCTTATAATAACCGTTTGAAATAATTTTATCTAATTCAAGTATTCTTATTATTGTCTATTGGACTATTTGCAGCTGATGATGAGGAAGCAACACCTGGGGCAAGATTCATAACTTCTTCTAAGCTTATGTGACGAGATAGCTCATTATAAACCTTTATATATATATGTGTGTGTATATATAATTGTCAGTATCAGTAATAAATAAAGTTGCAGTACTTACAGTTTCATCAACGGGTATAATTGATTTTCGTCTAAATTGTTGGAATTGCTGAATATTTGAATCAAATTCTTGCTAAAATTTAAAATTTATTAGAAAGTGTTATATATAAAGTATAGTGATTACTTTACCATGTGTGGATGAATATTGTCGTATTTTTCTTCATGATGTTCTAATTCTGTATCTGTTTCCTCATCTGTCAATATATCAAAGTCTTTTTCTCTTTGACTTTCTTTATTAGACTCTACTTCTTGTTTAGCAATTTTTGGTGGAAAAGTGTAGTCATAAAAATCATTATCATCCGCTGAAGTAGTAATTGTTATAGAACTTGTGCCTGATACTTTACGTTGTAGTATTTTCCAATTCTCTTCTCTCTCGCGTTGCCTTTTCCTTTCACTGTAAAAGAAAAAGTTTAGGAAAAGAAAAAAAAAACGAAAATAATGCAGGTACTTTTTTCTTTCTTACATTTGCCTTTGATGTTTATATTGATTTGCACATTCATCGTATAATTGAGGGTTTATATCCATAAAAAGTTTTAATGCATTATATACTAAACTAAGAATAGATCTAGATGTAGGAAAGAGTTAGTTTATACATATAGTAACATATTATATTTATGTTTTACTTATTCCAATGTGTCTTTGATGTTTTATAAAGGGTAGGGAATATAATGGGCATAATGGCATTCATATTTTCAGCCATTAAGCTTACAATATATTCATTATTCCATAAATATAAAGCTCTCTCTGCTACTTGGAAATGAGTATTTGAAACGCATTGTCCTAGCTTTACAAATACAGGAACCATAACTTGTTGAAATTCAGCATGATCAATCACATCTAATACTTCTTCAAGTTCATTTAAAAACATAACTTCTTTCGGACTGTTTACTTTAGGCCAGTATCTTAATAAACCGTTAATAACTTCGCGAGCTAACACAGGACTTTTTTCCAAAAATTGTACAACACAATAGGCCAACTGTGGATGATAAACGACTAATGTTTTAGCTTTATGAAGTGGAATCAATACCTTTCTTAAGAATAATTTGTGTTCTTCCTTAAGTGGTAATGCAAATCCATTAATGATGCTTCCTAAAATTTCCAATAATTCTCCAATTCCATTATGTCTTTCAGTTTCATAAATGAATTGAAAAAATATATTATTGATCGATCGACGAATAAATGCACGAAGGTTAATAAATTTGCCATAAATACGATGCAATGTTGTCTTTAAATAATCTCTTTCTCTAGGATCTTCACTGTCGAATAATTCCAATAACTTTTTAAAGATTAGTATTTTTTTTTTCTTTATTAATTGTTGCATGAATATATAGTCCTTTTACATATGTACTATACCTGAAGAATAAATTTTTGATCAATGTATTTTTTGGCGAAATTGATGTTAAAATCGGGCGATTCTAAAAATCTCAAAAACAATTCATACACAATTTGTAAATGAGGCCAAGCTAATTCCAAGACAGGTTCGTCTTCTTCAGGATCATAGGCATCACCTGATGGATTAACTTGTGGAGGAATAGTACGAAATAAATTAATAGCAAACTATGAAAGATATAAACAAAAAATCCATAATAATGTATACATAATAGAGTGCATACCATTTTTACTATTTCAGCATAAGGAGCTTCTGTTGTCAAAATACCCAAATTATTGCCAACATATTCTAGTATTTCCTGTAGAGTTTGCCTTTTAATTTCCTTTTCCGTTAATTCAGATGAGGGATCTGAAAAATCGCAAATGATCATGCATTGCTGTATCTTTTGAAGAAACAAGTTTTGTCTTAAATGTGGAACAGTTTCTAATGATTATAATAACAATATTAGTGTACAATAAATAAATAAAAAAAATCAACTATCTTCTTTTACCATAAAAACCGGGGGTCCTTTCTACTTGCATTTTATCTTTTGTATAAAATCGTGATGATTTTTGACGTCTAGGAGATTTGCTAACAGGTATTTGATCTTTCGGAGCATTTTTTAAACGGTTAATAGGACCTGTTTTTGGTATTTCAATAGTAGGTTTATGTACATGAGTTGGAGAAGAAGGCTAAATGTATTTTTAAGAAAAAAAAAAAAAAGAAATCCCTAAGAGTGTTAGTATAATGGTTATGTCTATTATTATTATTATTTACTTGTGATGAATCTGATTGAGATTGCTGTAAAGGATTGATTTGTTGAGAAGGTACAAATATTATAGGATTTCGTTGTAATAATAAGGAATTGGTATTATTTTGATCATTCAAAGGAGATGAAAGAGGGGAGACAGACGAAGAGATTAGATTATTTGTTGTTATAGGTGGTGGACTTCCTATACGTGATTTCTTTTATTTTATTTCGTTAAAAAAAAAAGAACGAATCTATTAATCTTTTTTTCTTTCATTTGTTTTTTTTAAAAAAAGAAAAGAAAAGAAAAGAAATTATATATTAATTACATTGCCATTTGAAGATTCCATTATTAAAGATCATAAAGAGATAGTACAAATTAAAAAAATAATAATAATAATAAATGCGTCTTTTAACTAACGGAGAATTCAAATATTTGAAATTTAGACAATTTTATCAAATCTCTCTTTTTTTTTTTTTTTTTTTTTTTTTTTTTTTTTTTTTTTTGATACACCATTTTCTATTGGAACACAATAAAAAGGTTTCATAAAAACGAAGAAAATGGTACATTGAAAGAGGGCACGAAATATATTAAATGTATATTTTCTTGTCTTTCAAGGACGAATATTATTAACGAGTAGAATGTAATCCTTGATTGAATTTTAAAGCCTCTAATTTTTACTTGTAATATGACTTTTCTCAAATATTAGAGAAGCAATATAGTGATAAATCAATGAAAAGAAAATAATAGTGTAAAGAGAGATATAAAAGGATATTTTGTGGAGATATACATTGATGATGATATTCAAATAATGATACCTAATATTGAATAGGATGACGATATTCGAATAATGGTATCTAATATTGAATAGGATGACGATATTCGAATAATGGTATCTAATATTGAATAGAATAGATAGTTTGTATTGTAAAACACACACTGGTTAGGTTAGTGGTTAATAATAGAATATCAACTTTAGATTAACATTAACTGAAGGCTTAGTGTCAAGCTAATAATGATTATCATTTGTTAAGGAGGAAGCTATTAAATTGTAGTTTAATAATAAAAAAAACAGAAAGAAAAAGGGAATTTTTATACATATATATTATTAGAATCATTGAAATTTGAATCCTTGCTGACTCTTATGAATGTTAATAACTTCTCCTTTATAGTTAAAATATATAGCTATATACATACTCTAAAGCCATTAATGAATACTATTCATAATCAACTCTAGCAAAAGTTTAGAGAAGCTTTTGTGTATCAACTAACTAATAATGAGAACTAGTAAATGTATTATAATATATTCTCTCTCAAGAAAACATGATAATAATATCTAAAGGATAAATTATTTTGGACTCTTGTAGTATTGATCTTTCGCTTTATTGTTATAAAATAAACTATGACTTGTATTAATGTAGTGTTTATGCATAATAAACAAGTCAAGAATTAGTTACTATGAACAACGTATTTCAAAAGATATACTTATAGCTGACTATGTATTCATATTTGATATTTCTGATTTATCAGCCTTTCTATAGTACTCTGAAACAAGAATGAAATGAATACTAGTAAAATTAACTATTCTATCTGGAGCATGATGACATAGAAAGGAATTAGTTGATATATTATTAGGAGTAGGTACAATTAGATATTTTCAATGTTTAGCTATTCACTATTTTTTTTTTAAATAAATGAATGAATACAAGATTAAAGATATGAATTTTAGACAGTTGAACGAGGAGAAAAGCAACTTTATCTGCATTAAAGATTAGGATAGGGGGGGAATTTATTTTAAGGTAATATAGATTAATAAAGAAAATTCAATGATATTTGATACTATACGACTGCATAAATTTGAATGCATTTCATCAAGAAAAAGAATAAGCCTTTTTTTTTTCTTCTTTTATTCTATACTCTTTGTATTAAAGTATTATTATTATTATTTTGTTATGAAAGTATTACATTGTACTTATAGTAAAAATAAATTTGCAGATAAATATACTCTTGATTTAGAAGGATTTGTAAAGTATATTTTTTTATATGTTCTAAGAAACTAAAAATAAACACTTATAAACATACTTATAGATGAGTCCTCGTGAATTCACTACAACTATAAACACTTTTAATACAGCAGCATGGCGTTATCCTCCTCCAGTATCTATAGGAAGTAGCATCTCTCATACTGTATTTGTTTGTTTGATAATCGTGATCTTTATTTCATTGATGACTATTATTCGTCAAACTAACCAAATGGAACTCATTTGGATACCTCCATTCTCCCTTTTAGCAATTATAATAATTATCATTTATTATAGACATAGACAAAGATTTAAAGTAAAACAAAAGAAAATAAGAATACATGCATATTTAAATATATTAATCTTCATTAGTTTGAAAGCGCTATCACTCATTTATGTTCTTGTATGAATGCTATAGAAAATGTTCGTGGAATCAATTTTAGATTAACTTTATTAACAACTGAGCAAAAATGTTTAACTCCACAATCCATCTCTTATGTAAGAATTTTTTTTCTTTTTTACTACTAACATGGCATATCTATGTACTAAACAATAGAATAGGCAATTACAATTGAATTCGATGAACGCTATAATTTATTGCATCATTTCTTTAATACAATAACTTCATCTTCTATTTTACCTTCGTATAGTACAAGCATTTCTATTTCTTCACCAGAAACGATAACAGATGATATATTAACTAAGCCTTCAAGCGCTTATAATCCTAATGAAAAATATTCCTGGATAAACTAGCATGTATTCCTATTACATTAAAAGAGAGAGAGAGAGAGACGGAACGATACACGACTTCAACTATCATGTCCAGGCACATATAAAAGACTTTTTTTTTTTCATAAATGCATGACAGCAATTGTTATTTCCTTCCCCCTTATGTTAATTAATTATCTCATTACATACATAATAAAAAGAAATAACAAGTAAACGGCCTAATTTTGTTTTAATATGCATATACGTTTAACATATTAAAATTTATGAAGAAAAAAAAAAAAAAAAGAAAAAAGAAAGCCCTTCCACAAACTTTATTTTGAATACATTGAGTGAAAACAATGCCAATGGACTGTACTTTATCTTTTATTTTAGTTACTCATCTTTGTAATACAAAACATAATACACTAAATAAGAAACTAATGTATCTGGCTGTTCTTACCTTTTTGAGACTATCTAAATCGAGTAATAACAATAAGTTAATGTATGGCTATAGAGGGCATAATGATGGGCATAGTGCTCACAGCGCTAAATGGTGTATCTGGCTTTTAGTATTTGTTATATCATGTTTATATTTTTTAAACCTTGACATATATTAGGTTAAACTCTGTTATGTGGCAGTATTCCTTCGGAGCACAGCATTTTATGTCATACTAGTCAGATCCGGTACTTGCAGTAAGCATGAGTGTACGCCCTGAATTGATAATTGCGATTTCATATTAGTTGTTTACTTCTTCAGTACTAAAATTGTTAAGCGTTAAGTCAGATTTATAAATGATAGTCTTTTGACTCTCTATTATTCTTTTGCATAATATAAAACTGACAGTGAACTTGTCTGGTCATATTATGTTATTAAATGAGATATCATTGCTTCCATTTTATACAAGTTCTTCAAAACTAAAAATAATAATTGAGATTAGTACTGAGGGTATCTAACTTTTTTTATATCTTATTTGTCCTCCCCCCAATAAAAAAAATAGAATATGACTATATGAAAATGTTTCAGCTAGTTTATATATGATTCCTTGAGCAAGAAAGCATTTAATACATTTACCAAAAAAAAAAAAAAAAAAAAAATGTGATAAAATGCTAATGTAATAAGGGAAATAAGAAAAGATTTGATAATTTTGGTAATATGATAATATTTGCATATCATATGATGCGCCGTTGATGTAATCCTCTTCAAATTCGATTCATATAGTAAGCAGAAACGGCACAATCTTTTCGAGCGATTGTGAAAGAAATTTGAGGAACGCATGAAAATTTTAATTTCTCTTGTGGAGGTTAACTAAAATCTGGTTATTTAGTCATTTAAATCTTTATTATTTACTTTGCTAGTATTTGCACTTGGTCAAACTGTCTCTCTATGGCATGTTAATTTATAATACTATTTTTCGGCAATTACACGCACTGCTTGGCGATTCAGATTCTATATAATTACGTAGTACGGATTAACATTTTTTTTTATCTAATTTTACACGAGATTAACTTACTACATTGTAAACGGTACTTTGAGTAAAACATTAGACTATTTTGAAATTATTCTAATATAGAATTAGAGTAAATAATGGACGACTCGGTGCAAGCTTCTGCTATATATTGACTAGCGCTACTAACTAAAACGGTTCAATATACTTCATTAATCTGCCTGTCCTTAAACTAATCCAAAGTAACTATAAAAAAAAATATCAACCAAGTATTGTTTAGTTGTTGGCCTTTTGTTATTGATTATTTAATAGAGAGTATATGAAAATGGTTGATGGAAAATATGATTTTGGACAAGCTTATCATTTCTATGCGTCAAAATGAGATAATTTATAAAAATGATTTGTTCAACATCTCTGAAGACTATAACAATTTTAAACTTGAAATTATCTATGTATCGGTCATTGATGAATTTATATGGCAGTTGTAGGTTTTGTATTATTGTTTACTATTTTGTTGAGCACAACGAAGAATGCCCTAGTCTTTTGTATTTTTTTTTTTTTTTCACATTAAACATTTCTGTCTGTTTTCACTTTTCTTTTCTTTTTTTTTTCTACTATTTTCTTCTCTTTATTAATATTAGCACATTGTTACTTTTGCTTTCTGCTTGTACCAACTATTGTCATTATAAATATAAATATATAAATAAGAAAAAAAAATATAAGGATATGACGTTTTAAAAAATTCCTGTACATATCTTGATAGACTATCTCGAGTTCATAACGAGCACTTGAAAAGATTTTTTTTTATAATGGTCCGCTTGATGTACTAACGTCAATACATATTACATCTAAGGGAAAAAAAAAGCTATAAGTTAGTATCTATTTAAAGATATAATCTGCATTACCTATTGGTATTGGCAGTGTCAGTTGGTAATGTTTGTTTCCTTTCATAAATTGATTATTTTCTCTTCATACATATATATATATCCTATTAATATAACAGAAAAGGTACCTCCCTAAATACATTGGCCTTGCATAAAAAATGAAGCAAAAGACGGCAATTAACAATGCTGAAAATTACCGTTAGTAGAGTATTTATTAAGAGACGTTAGTTTAGCTAAAATTAAAATTTGAAAAGGCTAAGTATCATTAAAATTGCTAGAGAACTAGAGAGACTAAAAAACTCAAATTAAGCTCAAGGATATAGAAAATACAAATGGTTATAATAAAACATTAAGCTTAAACTAATAATATGCTTGCACTACTGATATGTATGCATATTCGCTCGCATATATTATTCAACTTTTATTATTAGTTGTCTATTGTGTATAAAAATTACTCCTATTCATACCAAAGAAGGCAAATGATAACGGGTTTATTGTGAATAGGCTACTACACGAAAACTCTTGGATTGAATAAGCTTATGAATTTACTGATTTGTAGCAACTTTTTTTTCTTTTCTTTTCTTTTTTTTTTTTTATTATAAAGGACTCTGAATCCAGTTCAAGGTAGTGTCGATCATGTAGTCTATGCCTGGAAGACATGTAGAATATTACAGATGTCAATATTTTGAGTGAATCTTTTCCTTGAATAAAAAGCAATTAAAACCAAATATTTCCTTGGCCAGTATTAAAAGTTGTTTTATATATATGGGTTTATAAAGAACAGGTGTTTACTGAAAGATGTTTTAGGAAATAATGTTGTCTCCAGGGGGTGGGTGGGGATGCAGTTAATAACGTACTTATTGTAGAGTATAGCTCTATCGATTTTATTTTTTCACTTTGTAACATATAGCACAATAGCCATTAACATGTCAGAAAAGATGTTCAAATAAATGAGGAGTAAGCCCTTCAGGAAAATAAGCCTCTATCTATTTTGTCAAGCTTACCTTTATTCGCTTCTAGGTATGTTATTCAACAGAAGCCTCTCTCCTATCTTTCATACTAGGAGTTAATAAAATGTAATATATTGGGTTTTCTTTAAAAGAGCTACCTTACTCTTGTATTCTAGCAATTATAGTCACTTTAATTACAATAACAGGTATTATTAATACATTTATATATTGTCCAGACATAGGTATCAATAGATGTATGTAGCTTTCTTTAAATAATATTAATTAAACTTATAATCACGATTTGTTTATAAGCATAATACTGAATCAAGATATATAAGAACAATAACTATCATAACAGACTATTTAACTGAGATCAAGCTGTATATTTAAACATCTATTCTACTAGATAAACGTTATTTATGTCAGAAACTAAGCTTTTATTTATATTCTTTATTACTTGACAAAGCATACATTAAAAGGTGATGTTTTAAAAATTATATATATATAAATACCCTTTAATGGTAAAATGAAAGGAGAATTAGAATTAGAAGTATTTTTTTTTACTATCTTCTGGATAGTCAATATTCGATTAATCATTTATAGTCTTTTTTTTAACAAGTTCTTTTATCGTATCTTTATTGTTAAGAATACATTACTAATAAAGAAAAGGAATAAACTATCTACTATCTATTTGAGCAATACAAGTAAACAATATATGACCGCAATATCATGCGAAAACTGTCTAACACCAAATAGCACCGAGTTTTTAATATGCTTAAATAATAGTGTTATAATCAAAAAAACAAAGTACAGCATATGGAAGTCTTTTAGCCAGATGTTTCACCTCTTCCCAAATAACATATAACTTTTTTGTTACCTGGAGCGATGTATTTCCCTTCGAGTAAAGCCTTGAAAATTTACTTATCTTTATGCATTGGATTAGATATTATAATTGACTGCGCATACAGGTATAATGAACTTGTATTAAAAAAACTAATAAGAAAAGAAAATTAGGGTATAAAAATGTAAGCAACTTTACAAATATTTACTTTTGGATTATGAAATATTAGAAACCATCCTATTCTTCTCTCAAACGAATAAAGCTAATGCTTAGAAATGCTAATATCCGTAAAAAGCCCCCCCCCCTTGTAGGAAAAAGAATGACAACGATAATAAATACTTTTTATCCAGAAGAATAAACTCCATTGTACTAGTAAATAGATACCAATCATGAGACGAAAAGATAGAAGTGCTAGATGGATATGAATAAACAGATAATAAAAGTCAAGCCATTCAGGAGCATAGGTACTGCGATAATAGAGGATACAGTATACATATCCCTTTTTTTTTGTGATGAAAAGATAAAAAAGGAGGGAGTCATAGATTAATATCTTTTTTATATACAAAGACTATTGTCAATAAATATCAACTACTGTTCAGTTAAAATTGATTCTTTTTTCATGAACATGGCTTATTCATCCAATAATGAATCCAAAACCTCCAAAAAAAATAAATAAATAAATAAATTATAATCTAGGAACATCCAATAAAAAATGATGTAACGTCCAAAAGCGAAAATGTCTAAAAATAAAATCTGATTCGTCTATTTTTTTTTTATTTTTATTTTTATTTTCATTTTCATTTTCATTTTCATTTTCATTTTCATTTTCATTTTTTTTTTTTTTTTTTTTTTTTTTTGGAAATAGTCCTAATCTCAAGCGGAAATCCAGTATTAATAATTTTTTTTTCTACTGTTAATTTCCCTTTTTCTTTCTTCTCCCTTTTTTTTTTCTCTTTAATTTTATATTTATATGAGAGAACCTAATTTATATTTTCCTTCACAAAATAAAGCAGCAATTTGTATTACTTCTGCACTTTATGATCGCAGAGCTTTGGATTGTACAGCTACTTTACCACTTGTCAATTCTTTAACTCATCTTGCTTATTTAACATCAACATCTCCACGCATTAGAGAAATTTTATGTTTAGATGGAGGATTAGAAAGACTTGTTCGTATCTTATACCAAACATCAAGTAGAGCTGATCGACTTACTTTATGGAAATGGACACTTGCTTTTCAAAGTATAGTTAATATTGGTGTTAGGGGTACTGAACAAATTCGAAGCAAAATAGTAGATGCTGGTGTTATACCTTTTGTTTTAACTATCCTTGGTAATTTTACAAAATCTCATGAGATTACAAATGGGAAAAAAGAATTAAAAAAAGGTAATAATATATTAATAATAATAATTATTTATTATTATTTTAAGCAATATCATAACTCTTATTACTAGATTTAATTGCAAATATACATAAAGACCTAAAAGGTGAGTATAATAATATCAACTAATATATGTAGATGGTAATAATGAATTCATTACTAGATAATATATCAAATAATAACAATAATTCATCAATATCTACAGCATCTAATAATAATAATAATAATAATGAATCAATAGCAAAATCTAAATTATTACGTCGTTCTACCTTTCCTTATATCAAGATTGACCCCGCTCAGAGACGATATAGACGTATTCATAAAGAAAAACAAGATACCAAATTTTCTGATATTGAACATGTATTTCATCGAGAAGAAGATGTGCTTTTATGCTTGCAATTATTAGCTTATCTTTCGAAATATCCTCATATTCGTGATTTATTTCAATCTGCTTATTCTAAAAATGTATTTAGCGTAGTAGAGAAATTTTGTCATCGTCTTCATCAAGGTCCAGTCCAATATTGGGCAGGCGTTATAATGCGAAATGCATGTCGTAAGGATGAAACACGTGGTGGTATTCGACGTTGCGCTAACATGTCCTGTGGTAAATGGGAATCACAGCCTCGTGAGTTTGCAAAATGTAGACGTTGTCGAAAAGCTAAATATTGTTCGAAGGCTTGCCAAAGTAAAGCTTGGGCTGATGGTCATCGTTGGTGGTGTGTTGAAAGACATTCTTCTGTGGCTCATGATAATACCAGCACAGGTTCTGCTATTACAGCAACCGTTGCTATTGCTAATGTTACTACTGTTAATGGAAACGTTACAGGTGCTGATCAAGATGCTACTATAGTAGCAAACAATAATTCAGTTAATACTATAGCGACTACCAATGACCAACAACAAACAACTAATAATAACAATTTACCAACTCCTAATAGTCATGGTTCTTCTAGTAGTGGAGAATTACCTCTTATTGAACAAAATACAAATCATACGAGTGAAAGCTCTGATAACCGAACTATGCTTATGGGTGTACACATGGAATTATAAGTTTTATATATTATCTCTCCTTATTATTTTATGCATGTATTACATGCAATATATGGCAAAGTATATACCTTCCTGAAAAAAAAAAGTCCTTTACACACATTTTTGCTCTCCTTCTCTTCATTCTTTTTTTTTTTTTTTTTTTTTTTTTTTTTTTTTTTATATTTGTATGTATATCTGTATGTAACAAAGCAAAATGTATTTATTACAAGAAATAAAAAATATAATGTCTAATTATAAGTTGCTTGCTGTATATGTTATACACTCGAAAAAGGCGTCGCTTGAATTTTACTTTTTTATTTTTTTATCTAAGAATATGTATACTGTTTTATTATTATTATTATTTTACTTTTTCTTTTCGTTTTTTTTTTTCTTTTTTCATTTTTTTTTTTTTTTAAAAGAATTAAACAGCAATGGAAACTTCTTCCCAAAAGTCTACACGAAATATAATCCCACGGTCAATTGCACCTTTAATAGCAGTAACAGCAAGTGAAGATGCAGAAGAATTATGTAGAATTAATCACATCCCATCTTTTGCTGACTTCATTAAACCTTTTGGTGACATGATTGAAGGCCAAGGTAATCATAAAATGTATTTATCATTTTTATCTTATTTATTTATTTTCTTAATCTTTTTTTTTTTTTTTTTTTTTTTTTTTTTTTTTTTTTTTTTTCTAGTTACAACACGGGATTGGCAAGGAACTCCTATCATTATCGATGACTTTAATGTTCGATTTAAGTCTACTCAAAAATTAGAAGAACCCAATTATCAAGCAGTAATGAAACTTCTTCACGAAACAGTCAAAGCTAAAGGCGAACAATATAAAAACTTGATGGAGGAAATTAGAAATAAGCATGATGTAACAGAAAAATATCTTAACAGTAAGTTAAACAAAAGTCAAAATTGGCTTTAATGTTTATGAAATTCTGGCTATTAGCTTCTTTGGATGACTTAACTCCTTGGTATGCCGATTTTAAAAACACTTTTTTATCACTTCGGGGTATTACTGAATATGAAACCTTTGATCATCCAGTAGCTACGATGATCGTCATTTCTTCGACTAATCCTGATCCTGTCAGCACAATTATGCAACTCTATAATCCAAATGTACCTTCTTTTACGATTGATAAGCCTTATGTAGATACAAATATTCTGAGATATTATGTTGTACTTCATGATTCAAATCTTACAACACTTGAGCAGTAAGAAAACTAACTAACAACAATGAGAGTATATGTATTAGATATTGACTTCTTTTTCTGTTTTATGTTTTATTAGCTCTATGGCTGTATTTGAAAAGTTAAAACGTACAGTAGGCTTACATTGCTTCTTACTTAAAATAAATTCCAAGCCTAGAGATCCAACAGATAACGATAATATAGAGGATAAATCAGAGGATGATATTCGAGCTATTTGGGAAGAAGGATTAAGTGAAATGTATCATATTGAATCTATGTTACATTCATATACAGCTAATTTATCTTCAACTATGTCAATGGTTGGTGTAGATCCTACTGACAGTTCATCTACGTCTATTTCTTCTACTGTATCAACACCAATATCAGTTACCCCAGGTCATTCTCGTTCTGTGTCAGTCTCCTCCAACCGTAGCAGTAATAATAGCTCACCACTTCCTCCCGCTACAGTGATTCAAGGAACATCCATTCAGTCTATACCCGTTGATTTACTTGATGAAAAATCTGAAGACACATTATCTTCAACCCTTTCTCCTTTATTATCCGAAACGACTACAGTTCAATATGGGCGATGCTTAAGAAATGAAGATATCAATAATGTAAAAACAATGATTAGAGAATTTGTAATACAAAGTTTAATTCCCTTCATGGAACGTAATATCCAACACTGGAACGAGCAAGTTGCATCAGTACGTCGAGGCCTAACAGGACGTCTCTTTGGTGCTAGCCGACGATTCTTTGGCTCCTCCACGCGATCACCAGCACTACAGTCGGTACAAACAATATCAGCTCAAGGACCCAACGTGCCCTTTGGTGTCAACACAATTATGATATACCCTGCTTCTTCTCCAGAGGCCCAAATGCGTAAATTAGCCGACTACGCTTTTATGCTTCGAGACTATAAATTTGCATACACTATCTATGATACAGTTCGTCGAGATTATGCAACCGAAAAGACATATGCATATCATGCAGGTTCACAAGAAATGATGGGTATTTGTTTGTTAATGATGTCGCCATTGCAAACAAACAAAATGGATGTTGATCGACATTTCGAATTAGCTATACAGCAATACTTGGGACGATGTAGATCGCCCTTTCATGCAACACGAGCAACAATCATGTATTATGAGTTGCTAAAAGGACGTCAGATGTGGAAAGAGATCCCAACAGCACTTGTTCGCATGACGGGTGAGGACTCAGATCTTCGTTCAGGCCTTTTCCTTGAACAAGCTGCACATTGTTTTTTGAGAGCACATCGACCGATGGTACGTAAATACGGCTTTCATCTCGTTATGGCTGGCCATCGTTATGGTAAAGCAGGACAACGTTTACATGCTTATCGCGCCTATCAGATGGCTGCAGATGTTCTTGAGGGACACAATTGGTCATTAGCGCAATCGCATGTTCAATTTGCTTTAGGACGTCAGGCATTCCATTTAGGACGATTGAAAGATGCTGTTGCGTGCTTTTCAAACGTTTTATCTGATAATGTCAAACAAACAGCACAACAACAAGCAGCACACATGCGTGAATTTTTATTTATTTATCAACAATATACAGAAGCCGTAGGACTAAATCCTTTGAAAGCATCGTTGCCTCATTTATTTCTGCCAATTATTGATGACCGCGATATTCAGGTAACGTTATCTAATGCGCAACCAAAGACCTCTCAGAGGGAAGAATGGGCACATATGGAATTAGCATTATTAGAGGATAGTATTAAACATGGTTATATTTCAAGTTCTAAACGTGCTATGGCTGTTCAACAACAAGACGATCATCGTATAGTATGTGCTGTTGGAGGTAAACATATACATTTAAAGTGATAAAATTAAGCTAATCTAAAAAATATTATTGTCTTTCCTCATTAGAACCTGCTATTGTTCATATTGATCTATTCAATCCTCTTCAGATATCTATTTCTTTAAGTCATGTTATGTTGGGTTGTCAATATCAAACATCTATCGATGCTCAAGAATCAAAAATGGATACATCTGAAGAAATGCCGGAATGTAAACAGAAGCAAGATTCAAATTCTGATATATTTAATTTTGATTATTTTTCATTACAAAAGTTAGATGAAATAACATTAGAGCCCTTAGAAAAGAAAACAGTAAGTTTACAATTCATATACATTTATAAAAAAAAATGTGAAAAAAATATTCCAATCAAAACTATAATGTATAGATCAATTTAAAAATTGTGCCTCATCATGAAGGAAGTATTCAAGTGACTGGTTTACATTACACCTTAAATGAGCTTGTACATACATTTAAACCCTTCTCTAAAAAGGGAAAACGACTAAATAGAACAAAAGAAGAAATGATGTCTGCTACATACGCAGCTGACCGATCTTTAGATATACTTGTTACATCACCTATGCCCCTCTTAGACCTCGTATTCCATCATGTTCCAGACTCTATTTTATCAGGTGAAGTTATACAAACCGTTTTAGAGATTAATAATAAGGGAAATAAAGGGTTAACATTACTTCGACTGAAAACAAGTCATCCCAGTTTTGTTTGTGTCGGTGATCCTGAGGATATGGATAAAGATATTTACGGTAAGTAAAATGATAATATTTATTTATATTAAACATTAATATTGATAATCCATAATATCATTTAGCTGTAGATAATTCAACGCCTAATGAAATAGAAATTAACAATCAATTGTTTGATTCAAGTGTTGTTACAATCCCATTACCAGCTAAAGAACATAGTCATGAACATGGTATTGTTTTGCCAGGTGAAACAACTCTTGTGCCATTCTGGATTCGTGGTGATCGTATTGGAACGCATACATTTAAGTTTTTATTCTCTTATCAATCAAATGAAGATAATGTGATGATAGCACATCGTACATTACGATATACAATGCACATTCAAGTCCTGCCTTCATTAAAAATCAATGCCTTTACAAGGCCAAGTACTACAACTGTGAATGAATACATATTGGGTATTGAAATTGAAAACCTTCAAACTGTCGCGAGTTTCGACTTGACACAATTATTGATAGCAAGTCCCTCATGGTCTATATATCCACTAAGTATTGACATGACTTCAACTGAGGATATATTAGCCAAGACAATGATTCCACCAAGGCAGACCACTTTTACCTTTTATAAATTACGTCGAAAAATCGATATACAAGGAAATTATTCAAGTCCTGAAGCATGGACTTCTGAAGCACTTGGTGCATTGTTGAAAACGTCAGATACCAAATCTCAAAGATCTCCTCCCCCTATTCAACTTGAAATATCTAAGCTGTCTTTTGTAAGAAAAAATGCAATTATGCTTGTATAAATACATGTGTATAATTTATCCTTTTTTTATATAGAGAGAACATGATATTAAATTTGATTCAAATCCACTCAAAACATTTGCAATGAATTCGCGTATGCATTGGCGCCAAAATTATTTAGAAGAGCAATTTCCTAATATATCACAAGAAAACTATCATAAATTGTTTACGTTCTATTCTACAAATGACATTGATATTAGCTTATACTGGGATATACCAGAGCTGAAGCGACACGGTCATCATTATATTATTGGTATAAATTTAGGTATTCAGCAAAACCCTTTCCAAGGAACGATATCTGATCTTGTTAGCAAAACAAATAATCGTACCATGTTTGAAGCTACAGCAAAGGAGAGAGCTATGTTAATTAATAGCTTGACTCGGAATCATATGTTGCAAGAAGAAAGTCCTATTAAAATCATGGTCTCTGTGCCTGATAAACAAGTTCACGATTTTGATAAAGAAGGGTAAATAAATGTAAAAACGTATATAAAAATATAAATGATGGTACTAAACTTTCTTTTTTTTTTTTTAAAAAAAAACAGTCTTTTAAAAATACCTGTTTGTATTTCACTTATCAATTGCTCATGGAATAGAGCAAGTAACTATTTATTAGAACTATTGCCCTGGTCGTCAGATCAGCAGTCGAAGGCCCCAAAACAAAAATTGTCATCATGGAATCTTTATCCTTTCCATTGGACAGGTATGACTGTATTTTCTGGTACATTAAAACCTAATGAAAAAAAGGAATTACAAGCATTTGCGACATTTTATTTAGCGGGTGTTTATGATATCAATCGATGGAAACTGACTGTACGTACTACGGATGATAAAGAAGATTCTGAGGTCTTTATTCATTATCCTAGCTTACCTCAATTAATTACTACTATTAGTTCTTAATTCATTTAAATGAATGCATATATTTATATATATGTACACATACTTGTAATAATAAAATTTATAGTCCTGAAAAACCCTAAGCGAGCTTACGATATTTAGTACGCCATTATTAACAAGGTCGAATTAACAATAAAAGGAAGAGTTGTTTAAAAAAAAAGGGAGGGGGGTCATTTTGCACAATCTTGTGTGTACTTGCTTGGCTTCTGTGTTGATATCTCTGGATCGTGGCTTAATTCTTGCAAAGTCATTAACGTTTTATCTTGGCCACATCCTACTTTTAGTAAAGAAATTCAAAGATTGATTTTTTTTTTGGGCTTGGTGAATTATTTCAGAAAGTATTTGCTTAATACTTTGGAAATAGCTGTTCTATTGGATAAAGTGAAGATTTGAAGGTAAACTTAACAATACTCTATGGACAAATGTACAAGAAGTTGCATTCATGAAGATTCAGAAGCTTTTGTCTTCAGCTCCAATCCTAATCTTCAACAGCCATTTTTTACATAACATTGGGCTACTGACGCTAGTAACTACCCTATTGGCGCTAATCTATACCAAATCATTAACAGTCAAGCAAAATAGGAATTGATTTTATGGTTCGTTTACTTTCTGCTTTTGAAAGAAACTATTCGATTATCAAACACGAATCACTTAGTATCACACTTGCTTTTTTTTTTAAAAAAAATAAAATAAATCATCCATTTATTTATGAAAAAATCTCTTCATCTTATATACTGATAATAAAGCTCTCACTTTCCTCTATACTCAAACCAATTGCTAAATACTATGATGATCAATTGGTTTGATACAATTTTGTGGTTATGACTTTAACATTATTCGCAGACTTGGTATTCATTAATGCACCTCTAGATTCTTCATCGCGTCTTTTTTTTTCGAACCTGAAAGAACACTAGTGAGGGATAAAACTCCCAAAAAACAATCATTAACATTCAAAAATTATTAACAACGATGAGTCTATTTCTCACGTTTTGTATGATGATGTTTGTTGATTTAATGATACCAGCACTAGAAGAAAGATTAAATCTACTGATAAAAACTCATTTAGAAGGACATCGTGATGCTCAAGCTATGGTAACAGCTTTACATAATGAATGAATTCATTGGACAAAGCTTAAAGAAGATACTCTTGACACAGTAAAAAACTGTCCCGATTATCAAAACATGAATATCATCTATCAAAATCAATTTATGCTAATGCACCATAGGATCACATTTGTATTGATGCCGCTGGACCCTATAACAATATTTTTACAAGGAAATAACTACATCCTTCTAGTTGTTGGTATATTTACTAGATTTTGTATACTTGGAGCAATCCTTGATAAATTATCCTTAACAATAACACTTATGATAAGAAATATACTATCTATCTCTAATGGGAAGATCTAAAATTATCCAAAGCAATAATGGTACAGAATACGTAAATGAAATAGTACGACTTTATATTGAACACTCTGGTATCGACCATCGGCTTGTAACAAGCTATCATCCTCATGCAAATAGTATAGTCGAACACTGAGTGTTTAAAAACAAAGTCCATCATCTATAAACGTTTACACTGTCAAAAGAAAAACTCAAGGTGGAAGCTATGTATTGGTTGATGGTACAGGTCCACTCTTACCAAGAGACGTACCTCCTTCCCATATTAAAGTGATATCGCGTAAAGTTAAATCGGTCAATACTGAAACTGATACTTATGAAGTTGAGGTAGTAATCAACTATAAGGGTTACTCCTGGTAATTACTTATACTAAGTCAGATAGAAAAGGTTATGGCGAAAGCGATGATTACTTAGGAGTCTGCTAGTAATTTCCATGACTACTCTCTCTCTCTCTCTCTCTCTCTCTCTCTCTCTCTCTCTCTCTCTCTCTCTCTTATTAGAAAATATTGGGCACGTTGTAATGAATAAGCGCCTTCAAATGAAGCTAATCTTGTATCTACTAATGATAGACCTAATAATAATGATAACAATAAACGAAAGTGTCGTCGTAACAATGCTAGTTACAATTCTAAAAGAATCAAAATTTAAACATTAGCATTCGTCAATTAAATAAAATAAAATAAATATGTATATACTACTCCATCCTACCCAAGTATAATATTATTGTAGCCATCAACAACTTAAATGTTATTTAGAAACTAGACAAGAGTATTTATCATGAAAATATACAAACAAGCAATTTTATGCATATTAAAAAAAAAAAAAAAAAAATGCGTATATATTTCTTCAATTTTCCCAAATAGCTTGATAACTTTATTTTTTAGTGAGCGCAGTCACGTTCTTATTATCAATAAATATTCTATGAGCCTGTGTTACCTTCCATCAGCCATGGGAGGCACTATACAGACGGGGCGATTTTCAGTGCTATTCATAGCCCGGCCTAAAACAGGCTCCCCACATTTCTGAAAAAAAAAGGGGGAAAAAAAAGAAAAAAAAGAAGGAAATTAAACATTCGTGCATTTTATATCGTTTTATAATGAAATGTTACACGAGTGACTACTATTTGCATCTTTAATATTATAAATACACGTAAACATATTCTGATAGGATTAAAAATTAAAAAAATGACCAATGAGCACATAGCATTTATATGCTGTTTTGCCCTGGTCAGATCGCTATGGAAAGAAAAACCCTTTTGGGATAAAAGGAAAAATGTTGAAGTGTATGTATAAGTGATGATAATTAACTATAAGAAATTCGTTGTTGTATTGAAAGAAGATGATGGTCAGAATGTGTTGTGTATATAATGATGTATTACATAATATCTTATAATATACAAATCAGCGTCATGAAGGACCGAATGATATTATAGTTATAGTTGTACACTTTATGCATACAATATTATTTGATTTCAGTTTATAAGACATTCTTGTGATGAGAAAAATAATATTATAATAAATACTAACTCTACGAAATAATGATAAGCAAAACAAAGTGTAAGGAGTTATTAATGATAAAGATATATGAATTATAGACTATACTTATTAGTTATATATACACATTATTATTATAATATTGTCTTATATACTAATTTATAAATATGATCATATACTATCTATACACTATACAATATAATGATATTCATTCAAGTAGTATATTAAGGAATGAATATAATACAAAGCATCTTCCCTGTATCTTTCATAAGTATGAACATACGAGATTTTATTATTTGGTTTCAAGAAAAATAACCGGCTAGATCAAGCATTAATAATTTAATATTTATTAGAGTTAACTGAGATTAATTCTCAGTCAGGGCAAAGACAAGAGCTCAAACACAATAACTTAAATTATTCTATGGGAAAATATTCTTCTTTCAAGATATCTTCATTCTGTTCCTGTCGCGAAGTAACCCGTTCTCCACAAGATATAAATAAGGATCCATTTTGCACTCAACTTTTAAAAATCAGGTTTTTTATTTTAAATTTTGAATTGATAATAAAAGTTTTATACAAAGTTTTCACAGATTTATTCTGTCTTGTTCTTTTTGTTATCTTTATCTTATCAACACTGTTATTAAAAATATGCCCAAGTATTATTTCTGGAGGTAAGCAACGCGTTACTATTAATTTACAGCAATAACACTAATACCAATTATTTATGTGCTACTATTATTATTATCATCCTTTAAGATGTTATTACATAACAATGTTGAATATTATAGATGCATATCCTATTGAATTCTTATTGTTACATAATACAATGTATATACTTATTTTGAAAGCTCGAATACTCTAACAACGACTATTATTAAAACTGAGTGTAGAATGAATATTATGCTGTGAAGTACAATATACTAGTTTTATTTGAATAACCTCTTTATTATGTAATAAATGATGGTTTATTTCTATTAACTTAGTTATAAAGGCTACTACAATCATAACAGATACGTCCAAAATTTTATCATGTCTTTCTAAAGTGGTTCTAAGATTGTCTAAAAGCACATCAGTTGGACCAAATGGGAGATCAGTCAACTTGACATGAATAGTTTTACCGTCACCTTCCAGCGCAGCACATGGAAGAAGTCGAACGTTACACTTTTCATACAGCACACCGTTAGAGATAAAATCGTTCTTAATCTCAGTTTTAGGGTACGCTTCAATATACTGTGTATTCTGACGACCAGTAAATTTAATACTATAGAAATTTTTTGTTCCTCCGTAGAGATCAGCGATCTGATCGAGATGATCTTCAACAGAGATGTTCGGTACTTTTGAGATGTCTAAAAGACATGCACCATCAGCTCGAGTGTGACACCAGAGTTTAGTGTGAACAACCTTCACTTCCAGACTGAAATTCGAAGGATCCGAAAGTGATGTATAGGGAGAATCGTATTGACTGTTGGATCCATGAGTGAATGTTGTTTAGTTGGTAGTCGTTTAACGGTATCAGAGTATGATTTTCCATTTAGAAACCCCGCTCTAGGGGTGTTTGTTTTCATCATGAGGAAAGGAATATAGTTGGATGAATTAAAATGAACACAAAGCAGATAACAAGAGAAAAAAAACGTCACCAATTTATTTATTTAATGACCGCTTAGATGTAGTGTATTTAAGTAAATCGGTAGTTTTTTATCAACAAAAGTTTAAATAATGAAATATCAACACTTTCTTTATCTTTTGTTTGAGTGCTAATCCAACTCAATATGAATGTCTCAAACTGCAAAAATAAAAATTACTCAAATTTCAAAATAAAAAAAAGCGATTGCTTGAAATACCATATTTTTTCCCGCTTCACGGACATTCCACTTGAAGAATGGACGAACGTACAAAGTCTTGTTAAAGCTGATAAAAGTTCAACAACTGCAATAGCATCAATACAGAGGTATATCAACGGTCTTGAGAAAATCTCAACACAAATGGTCAAGCATCCTTACGTACAAGACTTTGCAAGTAAAGCCAAAAAATACCTGAAAATGAAAAGCACACAAGACATATACCAAGAAGAATTTAACAAGAAAAAAGAAACAAAAGAACGCCAAGTCTTAAAAAGAAAACTTAACCATCAAACACAACTTGTATTTGAAGCAGAAACATTGTTAAAGGGTGTTAAGAGACTGAAGAACTTGAATAAACAAATTACTGTTGAGAAACAAGAATCTTCCTCTTCTAAAAATATACAGTGCTCAATTGACAACAATACTTCACCATCTTCTAAACTGGATAAAAACACGAAAAGCTTAAAAGAAACTCTCTATGCCTGCGGTGAAGAAATCCATGAGAAATACAAACAAGGAAAATCATTAACCGGCGATGAACTCAAGGCTATGAAATGTGGTCTATCATGCGTACTTGATCTTTCAGAAACCAAAGAAAATATTACTAGGTGTTTATTCGAACCTGAAGTTTGGTCAAGAATTGTCAATAATAACAAGAAGTTTATTATGAAGGTCCCTAAACTAGAAAAATCGTTAAAAGAAAAATGGGAAGCCATTACCGCTTTAGTTATGTCGGAAAATCAGATCAGTAATGCTGAGAAATACATTAGTTTGTTACGTTCCAAATCAGATGTCAGCGCCGAAAATCAACATGTACTTGATTTCTTTAGCAATATTTTATATCTTGTCGATGCTAATCAATTTATTTCGGAACCTTTGAATCACACCAAGGTTTCTGAAAGAGACTTCGCATATCAAATTTGTCTCCCACTGTTGAAGAAGTTATTTCACATCAATAATGATTCTGTTAGAATAAAGGTCGGAGAAACTGTTCTGTCTGGCTCTACCTACTCGAAAGCTGATCTATACCCAAACCCAAATTATGATACAGTGACTCACAAAATCGGCCCAATGTTTTGCACTTTTCCCTTTGGTGATGTATTACTCATTATTGGGACAAGCTACATACACAATTCATTTATCATTATAATCGCTGAAAAGCACTCTATGTACATATAGTCTAAAATGGAAATATTATTTAACACTCAGAAAGAAATTAAAGTTTAAAATCATGATGTACATTGGGCCTGTTTTGTGAGTCACTGTACCTCAATTCACAGCAACATTTCTACGTTCTTTCTCTCAACTAGACGGTTTCTTCACTGTCATTGAAATGCTCTTTATGTTTAGAAACTCGGTTGAAAAAGTAGCACACAAATTGAACAATTCTATCCGAACAAGACTTGACAAACAACAAGAACACAGTTTGCAAAATGTATTGGGTTCTCCAGAATGTCTTCCTCCTGCAACTTTCTCAACCCCCCCCCTTTATATTTCATCCCTCCGAGAAAAGATAAAAATGTATCACTCGCTCCTGAGGATACTCCCAGTGGTAATGAGGATTCTGAGAGTGAATCTGGTGGTAGTTTAGTTGATGATGAAGTTAATGGTGAACCGGATCAATTTGATTTCATTTTATATCGTTCGGGTTTATACAAGAATATCGCATCAAACCAAGTATGGAAGTTTCATCCTTACCAAATGTAACTTTGCTTTTATTTGTTTTAACTTGCTCAATATTGGCATGATCCTGCTTATTGTATATATATAAATATATATAAAAGAAACATGAAAATTAATATTTACTTTGACTGCTTTCACTTAAAGAACTGAATATGATTGTGCTTGGTTATTATTCTTTAAAAAAATAAATAAATTGATGATTAGTTGTATAAAACCTGGATTTATTTTTTAAACAAATTAATTATAATAGCTTGTAATATATACAGTCGAACTCAAGAATAATGGATACGATTTTCAAAAATTAAGGTTCCTTAAATCAACAACAAAGGTTCAAAAGCCTTCCATCACTTTACTTCTCGATATTTGAGCTTCATTTTCGAAAAGATGATAGTTTAATATGTTTATTATAATCAAATAAAATTTTTAAAAAAAACTAATCTTTAGTTGGCCCTCCCTTTGCAGTAATAACAGCCTTGCATCTATCGTGCATACTGCCAACTAAAATCTCAGCCAGGTCATGGCTGATCATTTTCCATTCTTCCTTCAAAACCTTCTTCAAATCTTCAGAATGATGTATATCTGATCTTTTTTTTATCTATCAGCTTTTCGAGAGGGTACCAGATATGCTCGATAGGGTTCAAATCCGGACTTTGTGGAGGCCAGTAGTGAAACCCCCTAACTTGATGTGTCTCCTTCCACCAAGTCGCATATCCACTTGTATGGCACCAAGCGCTATCCTCTTGGAATATGAATTCTCTGTCATAATCATTATTTAATTTGATGAACCAGGGATGAAAGTGTCGAGCCAGGATATCGATATAAATGTCCTGGTTTACAGTCTCATCAACAACCACCAGAGGGCCAAATCCTCCAGCCTAAAAGCATCTCCAAATCATGACACCTCCACAACCAAACTTGTATATAGGCACACAATTTTCAGCCTCACACCTTTCTCCAACTTTTCTAATAACTCGAATAACTCGAGCCCCACCATCATTTTCTCTTACTGAGTATCTCCACTCATCAGATCAAACAACGCCTCTCCACTGGTTCTCGGTCCTGTGATATTTCTTTTAAAATATCAAATTAAAAATATTATAAAATAAAAAAAATAATATTAAGACAAAAAGAGTCAACGAGGCCGAACAATAGTTCTAAAGTCAATTGTTTTTATTTATGAATCTAAATTGATGGGATATTTATAAAAATTGTTAAAGAGGTCTGAGGATAAGATGTGAATCAGAAAAGTGTTAGTTACGACCGAATAAGGTATGTTGTTGACAATGAAGTGTTGGTGATTTTAATATTATTAGAAGGAGTGGATCAAGAGAGATTCAGGAGATTTTAGATAAGCATTTCCTAAATAAATTTATGATCCGTATGCTTAATCATGAAACATGACATTATAAGTCAGCTCATGACATAAGGATATAACTAAGTGGCGACTAGAGGCTGAACAAGATCCATACAATAATAAACCTTCCCCACCTGTCCTTTAACTTCATACTCTAAAGCTACAACGTAACTAAGAGAAGATGATGTTGACTGAAGCAGTCCAAGTGGTTACTCGTTTAAGATAGTTTTGCTTTTAGAAAAAAAAATAATTAAAAAAATTTATAGCACACCTCCTCACATACGCAGCCTTACGTAGTTTAAAGTTTAAAGCGTGACATAGCACTTACTTGGACGATTTACTTATATCCCCTCCAATTTGCTGGCATTTAGAATAAACCGTAATAAGCTGATTTTGGTGCAATTTATTCATTTCCCTTTGAATATTCCTTTTCATTAGATAATACGTTTTTCTCATGTTTCATTGTCTCTCGATTTGTTGTTTCATTATCTTCCATTGTCTTATGTTTATTACTGTTTTGCCTTTCACTTGGTTTTGGCCTACAAGTAGCATCCCTTCCCCCTTTTTTTTTATATACTATGAGACTGTTCTCTATTTCTGCATCTTCTTGATTCGAACTACTCTTTTTTTTTTTTAATCATCATCTTGAGTTTTACTTTACCATTTTCAATTTCCCTGTCGATTTAGTGTTGGTGGTAATGATTAAATTTAATTTATCAACAATGCGACGGGTATGATAGCTTCTTGTTGTTTATTCCCCCCTTTTCTTATTCTAATTGTGCTGCTGCTTTCATGATATGTTGAATGATGAGTTACCCATTGTTTTTTTTTATTTCTACTCGTAATAATATGGTTGTAAACCACTATTTTTCTTTTTTCGAAGAATGTCTTTACATTGACTAATTCTAGTAAAAAAGTCTTTTTACTTGGCATATATCAAATTATAACAACAAACAAACAAGAAGAAGAAAAAAAAAGTATAGTATAAAATATTCGATTGCTAATTTTTTTTAAAAAAAAATGCTCTATTCATCTATTTTCTCCTTCCTAGAAGGGGACATAGAAGATTAGAAAAACAAAACAAAACAAAAACTTTATTGTTATTTAGCAAGGGGGAATACAGAAGAGAGATGCCTTCCATTTTTCAAGATCTTCAATTTCTTTTACATCAAAATCTTTCTTTTTAGCAAAGCTGATTAATGTATTTATAGTCTTTTCATCTATGACAGCTAACCCATGTTTAGGTTGTAAAGGACTTTGCATTTCATTCTCTACTATTTGACGTGCCATATCCCATCCCGTTCGACCTCTTGCTCTACATAGACATTCTATATATGAGTTGTAATTATTGGTATTTAACTTGAAATCAGTTCGTTTTAACCATTTCCAGATCGAGGGTGCATAATCCCAAAGGCCATTATGTCCACAACTATCTAGAACGATTGAGACTGTAATGGAATCAGGAGATAAAGTGGGAGTCACCAACAACGTTTGCCATATATCTAAAACCATATAGCCATTACCTGTTCGATTGTAGGCATCTATTAGAGAGTTATATAACCCAATATCAGGATCTAAATAAAGATCTACTTTAATTAAATTATGAATCTGTTCTAGCACATATTGATCTCGGTATCGTCCACAGGCATGTAACAGGGCTGTATAATTATAGGTCGTAGGTTTTATTCCAAGTTGACGCATATCATTCATCATAGTCATAGCGATACGTAATCGAGGTGAGGAGTCCTCTGGATCATAGGTAGTTACAAACCTTCGTTCTTGTTCTCTTGGTTCATTATTAGTCAAGGCGGAGATAAGTGTAAGATAAAATGTAGTATCTAATTCGATGTCGATCTTTCTGCCGTTTCTCTTTGAATCATCTCTCGTCTTTTTGTAATAATCTCGAAATGTTTGATAGATACCTATAGCGTCTTCAATTAAATCATCATTAATATAAGCCAAGATAAGATTCGTAAAGGTGATGATGTCAGGATAATAAGTCATGTTACGAAATCGGCTATCATAGATATATTGTACTTGTTCAGATCGTCCATTCAATGCCAGACCATACATGAGAGAATTATATGCCTGTGTATCTAATTGGAGTCGTTCTTGATACTGTTCTATTAAGGAGATTAATTCATTTAAATCAGATGAAGAAGCAGATTTAGAAGATGCGATATTCACTAAGCTATTTAAGATACGTTCATTAGGCTCAATAGAGGCATTACACATGTCCTTGAAAATCAGTATGGCTTCCTTCAAGTTTCCTTCCTTTGCTTTTGCATCGATCAATATACTATAGGTGATTAAATCTGGATTCAAATTCATCTTTTTCATATCTTGGAACATCATGTAGGCCCTTGCCGGGTTCCCGTTCTTAAGGAACAAACCAAGTAGAATATTAAATGTCACTCTATCTGGTTTAATATGTGGATATCGTTTATCTAATGAAAGATAAAAGTTGAATGCTTTATTTAGATCTGTCTCTGCCATAAAACGTATCATGTTATTCACAGTATTCACATCAACCATCTGTTTCTGTATCAAATGCTCACAGATACGCTCTCCTACTTTCCTTTGTAATGGGTCCTTTGATTTAATGACTGCATCTAACATAGTTGAATATGTGTAAACATCCATCGAGACCTTTTCGTCCATCATTCTTTGAAACATGTTGAACAATTTATTGAATTCTTCAGTTTTAAGTAATAAATGCAACATCGTATTATACGTCACTGTATCTGCTTTAATATTGCGTGCTTTCATTTCAGCGAGTAACTCTTCGGCTCTTTGAACGTTATGTGTACGTTTATAGCAACCCAATAAGGTATTGTAAGAATAAATGGTGGGTTCTAATTTTGCCTCTTGACTCATTCTCTGAAGGATACTATATGCCTTCTCCGGTAATTTTTGGACACCATAGGCATACATGAGTGTATGATATTCAAAATGGGTAGGTGAAATCCTCGAGCTATTGTTCATTTCCTTTAGCACTCTATCCATAAAATAAAGATCGTCTTTACGCTTACTATGTGAGACCAATTTTAATAGCTTCTGAATCAGTGGACGGTCTAGATTCTCTGATAACGACTCATAAGCTAATCGTGCCTGTCGTATATTTCCTTTCTGTATTGCCTTATATAATGCATCTTGTGAAGTTGTATGAATAAAATGGAAATGTGTAGATTGCAATGCAAATCGAGTAATACAATACCCATTTCTTAGGATCATGTTTATAAATGTGATTTTAATGTGAATGAACTAAAAAGAAAAAAAAAAAGTGTACATTTATTACTTCATTGTATTTTTATAAAATACTGCTGTTATCAAGTTACCAGGGGGCAGGGAGGGGAAAGAATAAAGGATAATACAGAAGTAATAAAAAAATGAAAGATGGGATACACTCTAAACATTTTAATAACCGCAAAATAGACTATGTAATTCTGTTGTTATTCACAAGTTCACACAGACACATGCAAATGTATGTAACTCATAGTCTTGCTTAAAATTTTACTGCATAAATAAAATAATTTTGTGGGTCAAAAAACAGCTGACAAGGAAAAAAAAAAAATCAATTTTAATCTACTCTTCATTTTATTGTTCACCCACTCACTCACTCTTTTTTTTTTTATTATCATTATTATTGTTTTTGTTTTTATAATGAGCAAGACAAATCAATCTAAAGGCATTAAACCTTCAGAATTTAAATCCAAACCAATCGAAAAACCACTTATTGATCAAATCTCTTCTCAAAAGTCCAAAGATGATATACCAGATGATGAAAAACTTCGATTGATTGATCAAACAGGACTTTTAAAGAAAGTAAAGAAAAGGGAGGCTGAGCTTGCAGAGCCTACAACTGCAGAATATATTTGGCAAGCTATCTTCTTGAGCATTCCATTTGGGTTTTTAATGGCTACTTTTGATGTTACTGTCAAAGTTCAATATAGCGAACCTTGGAATTATGCTAGCATGATTGTTAAATGTGTTAAATCTGCACCAGGTAGAAAACAAAACAAAAAAAAAAAAAAAAAAAAAAAAAAAAAAAAAAAAAAGAAAAAGAAAAAGAAAAAGAAAAAGAAAAAGAAAAAGAAAAAGACAAAGAAAAGAAATGTTTCAAGCATTAAACTAATATATATACATTCATCATTACTTAGCATTAGCACCATTTATATATTTAACAAATCGATACAAGTCAAATCGATTAGCCCAAATATTAATGTCAATAGGTTCAGCTGTTTGTGGATCACTTTTAATGTATACTCTTCGTCATTCACCTTCGCTTGGGCAAATGATGCGTGCACCTGGCTTAGCAACTATCTGGATTTATTTTATTATTCAGTTAGATCTTGCACCAGCAACGTTAACTTTATTATTAGTTTTATTATATTGGTATTTTGGTCTTCGAGTTTAAAATACAAACAGATAAATAAATAAAATAAAATAAAATATTACTTTTTGTAATAGCGTTGGTAAATAGCAGTACCAATAGCGATAGTGGCAACAGTTACAGTGATTAGACTAAACCATTTAGTTATAGTAACAGAAGTCTCCTTATTCATTTCTTGATGTTCCTGATCATTAACATCAAGTTTCTCTTCCTTTTGTTGAATCATGGTAGCTGTCAGCTTATTTGTCTCAGAGAGCTCTTGAATTTCATTAAACAATGCAATATTTAACTCAAATGATCGAACAGCTTCAGAAACGATGAGATCCCTTGTTTCTTCGTTCACTTTAGCAGCATTCAAACGATCGCGATAAAAATTCTTGAAATCGGCTTGATTACCCAAGTTACTAAAATTATAAAAATGGAGTCCTTCTGTTGTATCCCAAACAGTATCGTCTAGATGAAGTACATGTTTTTTGAGACGTTTAGCAAGAATTTGACCACCACTCAAGTCACCCAAGTAACGTGAATAACTATGAGCGATTAAAAGAGCAGGACTCTTGAGACAAGCATCTTTCATTGCTTGAACATAGTTCTTAACGGCGGGTGTCATCGTTTCTGAATTTATTAATTGAGCTGCTTGTTCTTGACCATAAAAATATTCAAGATCTTTTACAAGACTTTCTTTTCTGTTTAATTCATGTGGAAAATAAATAAGCTTAACAACTGGATGCTCCTTGTATTCTTCAAGTAACTCTTCCATATATCTATTTTTTTTTTTAAAAAAAAGGGACAGTTAGTATGAGTCATAATACATATATAAATTATGTATATATATATTTTTTTTAGAAGAAAAGTAATTCCTTCTCCCAAAGTGACAAAGAAGAGGGAGGAGGAGACATATATACTTACTTGTAAACAAAATAAAGGGAATTGATATAACGACCATATTCATCAGCGTTGATGTCGCCCTTCAGAAAACGTCTATAAATAATTATAATAATTAGCAAATCATATTTCAGCAGCTGTAAAATATATAGATAACCTTGTAAATACACTTGTTTCAGCAGCTCTATGAACAGCTTTTGTGCCTTCACGCATAGCCGATGCCAATTGAGGATCTTTTAAATAATCTGTTGATTCTTCAACCTTTACTTCGTTTTCAGATTTGATATTAAAAATATTCTCAAGTTGAGACCTGTCAAGAAATTGGTTCAACATCTTAACAAGGGCAACACCTTCTTCGCAAGAAGGAAGTTCTAAAAATAAAAGAAAGAAAAAAAAGATAGTTAGTTAGTAACAATCAATTATTCAAGTAGAGAGGAAATATCTCACCAGACATATTTAAAGTAGGATGATCGCTAGGTATTTGATTCATTAAAGTTAATAGCTCTTCTTTACTTTTATTTGAAAATGGACATCCTAATTATACCAAGTTTAGACTTTAAAGTAAATATTTTTTTTTAAAAAAATTGAATACCTTCTTTAAAAGCAGGACTATTAATAATAAATAAGTTTATAAGAGTTAAACAAAAGCTATAAGACACACAGAATGATTTTTATTTTACCATCGAGAAAGTTCACCTCGATTCACTACAACAGTATCTACTTCTTCTAGTTTTGCATAAGGACAACCTTTTGAAAAAGCAGGGCAAAGGTGCTTAAGTTCTTCAATATTAGTTAATGTATCAAGACCAGGGTGAGGTGGAATATCAGAAGACATTATTATTATTTTTGGTTCGAAAAAAAAGAAAAGAAAAAGAAAAGAAAAGAAAAAAAAAGAAAAAAAAGAAAGAGGCATATTATTTATATTAAAATTCAGGTTACACATATAATAAATGATATAGCAGTAAGGGTATGTTATTATGTAAGCATTTTTTTTTCTTATTATTATTACTCGGGAACTTATAATTTACCCTATATGAAAGTAAATAGGTTCTTATGCTTTTGTTTATGATTAGAATAAACCATGATTGTAAAGTAAAGTCTTCAAATTGAATGCTTTATCATATAATTGGGGCCCTTTATTTTATTTTTATTTTATTTTATTTTTTTTTTTTTTTTTTTTTTTTTTTTTGCAACACTTGTATTAATATGTAATTCAATTTTATTACAAAGCTATCAGTATCCCTTTCTTTCTTTCTTTCTTTCTTTCTTTCTTTCTGGCTTAACAGAAAAATCTGTACGCATTATAGGGGAAGAAAAGAACAATGTCATACTTGCATTTGCTTCTATTTTATTAGTATGTAGTTTTATCTGAATTAAAATGAATAAATACTATTTCCCTATAAATACTGTGTATTCTCCTCTCTATTTCACCGCTTCACCTAAACACTGGTCTATTATAGTTTACTAATACAACTTCCTTTGAAACTTGTATTTTTATCTTTTTCTTTTAATATAAATCCTATATATTAAGGTCAGGACACCAAGTGACTTACCCTAAATATAAGTAACATCATGATGACCTTTACGGCTTTTAGTCATCTTGAAGATATTTAAAGATTTTTTTTTTTATTCCAGATAGCTAATACTGTCAGCTGTGTTAAATACTTTTATCTTTTGTAAGAGACACACATATATAAAAGTATATTTATTTATTTATGCTTTTTTAATAATTAATCCTTTCAACATATCAAAGCTGTTTCCATCAGGTTGAAGTGTAAATCTCTTTCTAGGATTTTCAACACTAACTGCTTCAAGCATACCATAATCACTTGTAATACCTACAATGCGTACTTTTTCATCATTATGAGTTGTTAACGTTACTAATTTACCGCTAATAATTAAACATTTAGTATTTGTAAAATGTATTTTTTTTTTTTTTTTTTTTTTTTTTTTTTTTTTTTTTTGGTAGATTAATCATTTACCTATGAAGCCAGCGCTCGTAATATTTATCTAAAAACCATTTTCCCATTCCCTTTTGACAGAATTCCATATAATATTTTTCAAAGGTGATCAAAACATGAGCCAACACATCTTCCTTTTCTAATCTTTTAAGCTTTGGATTATGGTCTTGAATAATATCATTGATGGAAACTGTGGGATAACGATTATTCAAATTGATACCACATCCTATCACTAACGAAAATTCATCTTGAACAAAACTAGAATTCACCAAGAGCCCTCCTACTTTCTTAAGTCCTGATGGCAAATCTGCATAAATATCATTAGGCCATTTGAGGCGTAACGGTATGTTTTCATAACCTGGCCGATTACGAATACTGTCGACAATGGCAAGAGCAATAATATATTGTATAAATACAACAGGTGCGTTTTTTAGATTTAAACTATGTCGAATCATAAAACTAAACTGTAAAGCATCTGCTTGCGATACCCAAGAATTACGGCCTCTACCTATTTTATTTAGAATTTATATATTATATTATATAATATTATGGTATGTTATTTTATCTATAGGCTTACCTCTTCCTGCTATTTGATTTGTAGCTAAACATACGAGACCATCAGGTAAACACTGCGTAAATTTATAATTTCTATTGAATCAAGTAAAATTTAGTCATTTCCATCTACACACACATCCCCCTATTTTATATGTCAATTATCTACACACACATCCCCCTATTTTATATATCTATTATCTACACACTTTACTTGTCTAAAATGGTTTGTGTACTCGTAATCACTTCTGAACAGAGAACTGCATTTCCAAAACGATACCAAGCTCCACCACCCCATTCTTCTTTTCTACGTTTTATCAAAGATTCAAAGAAAGATTTTAAATCGAATGAAGGTGTTAAAGACTTTTCTGGCATCTGAAATGATTCTGCTTCGGTTAAAGAAGGATAGAATAGTTTAAAAACAGATGATCTATCATCCTCCTCCTCCTCTGATTCAGACTGAATTGAAAGTTTATTCAATGATCTTTCAAGTCTTCCTATCTGAGAGATAGGAGCAATATGAAAACTATCATTCGTGTCAGCTAATATAGAATGACTATCGACTTCTTTAGATAATGAGTTGATTAAGGTTTGCATTAAATTTCTTGAAATAGTCGATAGATATAAAGGTGTTAATTCAAGTGTAAGTACGTCTTGTTTCATTGTATTAAGACCCATAAGAGCTAATGATTGAGTCAACAAGGCTTGACAAAGTGGTAAAGAATCTGTTAGTTCCTTTACAATCTCTTCTTTCTTGTCATTATCATTCAGATCTATGGATTGAATATTAAATTCAGGATGAAAACCAAATAGTAAAGCACATCCCTTGCCAACTTGACAATAAACGCCAGCTGCAGTTTCCTTTTCTTCTTTAGATAAACCAGGATCCTGATAGGTACAAATCACTTTTACTTTATCACTCCATCTATCTGCATGAGCAAAATAACCACCTCCATTATAATAAGCCTTCAATGTCTTTCCATTTATTTTGTCCAGGATAGAAATCGATCGAGCACCTCTTTCACTGTTATAAACAAATCCAGGGAACATGGTTCCTAGACATTTCCCAGGAAAGAACCCTAACTCTCGAGGTCCTGTCACCTCTATCGCTGTCCCCTTTTGAAATTCAATCTCCTTGGAGGCATAATAAGCACCTGCACAGAACCCAACGTAACGACCGCCACCGTTCACATAGTTTCTAATCTTGTTATTCGCTATCCCGTTTAAGTCTTCACAGTATGGTATATCTCGACCTCCAGGTATAACAAGAAGTGAACATGATTCCTCCCAGGGCTCTGTCTTGAGCACATTAGCATCCACTTTCATAATGTCATACGCATGTCCCAGTAGGGATTTTAATGTCAAGTAAGTTTGTTTTACTGAAGTTGCAGAAGTGCCATTACCGTTATAAATCAAGACATTCATTGAAACTGGATTTGTATAGAGTGATGATCGTTGTATTAATATTTTAAAATGTGACAGCACTTTATAATATAAAACAAACAAAGAGGGAAAAAAAAAATAATAAAAATATGAATAAAAAATATTTATATTTCTATACGATTCCAGCTTAAAAGTCCAACTTTGTGTATTATACAGCATTTTTTTTTTAATAAATAAATAAATAAATAAATAAATAAAATGGAATACACTATAGAATACTTAAAAGGGATATATATTAAACAAAAGTATAATTGTTTGTTTCTCTTTCAAGATGAATGTGATGTAATGATTCGATGCAATTCCTAATAATAAAAGAAGCTAAATAAATAGGGTTCTCTAACTCAATTTATTTACCTTTTCTAAATCTTCTAGACTTGATATGCTTTTGTCATCTTCCTTTCCAATATGACTTTCAAGTCTATTAGACGTATTTGATGCTTCATATGTATCCAAATAGTGAGTTCCATATTTTATTAATATTGACATTTCTTCTGTGGAGATGAAATTATTTTTATCTTCATTACTGGGTAAAATCTTTTGAAGGACAAGTATATTTGGAGATTTCATAAGCGAATATTGAATATGTTTGTCAGAAATAATTGTACTTCTTAATAATCCATGAGGAAGATGAATATCAATGCCCTTTTCATTTCTAGAAACAAACATGGATAAAGTAGAATTACGTTTTGTTTGTTGTGGTTGATTAGGTGATATTTGATATGCTTCTAGGGTTGCATCAATTCGTTTTAAAATAGCTTCAGTTCGACTATCCAGATGTGTCATCACTGGAATACTACAATGTAAGAAATTATGTTGTTGATGTTCAGGAAAAATCTTACTTGATTGCTTTATTGTTAATGAAGATGGATCTTCGAGGAATTGTTGCTTGTTTTGTAGTAAAAAGTATTTTTCTTGTAAAGACGAATTATCTTCAATACTATTCATTAGTACATTGGATACTGTTTGTCCTGTATTCAATAACTTGTCTTTTTAAATAATGATAAAAAAAAAAAAATTAAAATTTACCTATTTTTTTTTTTTTTTTTTTTGTTTACTAAATCATTTAATATACCTACTTTTCCCATTTACATTCAAAATAAGTATATAGGAATGAGGTTGTCTTTTATCAGATATAATATGAAATTTAACTAATGCAATTGAGGTAAGTTCAGCAATAGTGATATTAGCAGGAATGGCAATCAGTTTATCAATCCTTTCTAATTCATTTTTCTCCTTCTTCTTCTTCTTTTTATTACTGCCAAATCTCCCAAGGGATGCGATTTTTTTAAGAGGATTTATCTTTTCTACATAATTCGTAGCAGCAGTCATGAGTGTTACTTTAATATGTACTTGACCATTTTTATCATTCACATGTTTAATGCGTTTATGCATAAAGAACTGCACATCATCATCGTCTAGGATCGATTTAGTCTTCCTTTTTGTATAATATTCAGATGACACCAACTGTCTAAATTGTGCAAGTGAAGGCATAGGCGTTGTCAAATAGGCTGTTAAGGATTCATGGATTTCATAGGGCTTATCTTGTAGATCCAATGTGATCTCATCACTATCACGTGCTTTTACTGTCAGATAATATTCTATACCACTACTATAACGTTGCTCTATTTGATGAATATGAAATTTTTCCATTGTATTTGCCAACATGTCTTGTACGCTTGTTGTTTCAGTGACTCGAATTGAATGGTATGCTGCTCCAACATCTATATTTCCTGCATAGATGCGTAGCACTTTTGATTTCATATTTAGCAAGAGATCTCGATTAGCACATGCACAAGTAGTAGTAGTAGTAGTACTAGTTGTCGGAATATCTTCCTTTTCATGATTCTCTTTACTGTTTTCGGGTTCATCTTTTATAGTCGTATCATTCTCTTCTTCTTCTTCGTCATCATCATCTAACATTTCTTCATCCCATACTTCATATTCTTCATCTTCAATTTCGTCCTCATCTTCTCCAGTTAATAATATTTGAAGTTGAACATTCAACAAAGTCGATAATATGACCTTTTTCTCTTTAATTGTACCTTTTATTTCATTATTATTATAAAAAGTAGCTTGTTCTAAAGATGTAATCTAGAAATAGATGTATACATATATATATATTTATATGTATATGAAGCTTTGTTTTATATATGTCTCTTTCTTTTTCTTTTCTTTTTTTTTTGCAATCTATTTTAATCTATTTTACCTCTATATTTCGATGTTTGTTTAATCTTGCTAATCTTTCGAAGGGTGTCTCGATATTCTCAGCAGGAATATAGCCAACTTCTAAAGACTTCAAGTCTCGAATGAGCCACCAATAAGAGTTAGAATCATCTAATAACGTCAAGGCATCCCCCTTTTTCACTGTCGCTTGTCCATCCATGGTAGCTTCAAAGGAATGAAGTGTATAGACAACTTCAAAGTTGATATCTTCGTCTGGAATACTAGGTGAAGAACTACAGTCTGACTCATTCGTTATCGCTTGTGATTCTTCTTCTTCTTCTTCATCACTTGTTTCTTCTTCAATAGTAGGCGAGGGTGTCCATTTTTTATGATCTATATTTCTTGTTGTTGACATTTTCGAGCGAGAAAAAAAAAAGAATATTTAAAAGTTTAAAAATACATAAATAAATAATAAAAAGGGAAAAAGAGAGATCCACAAAGCGTAAAATAATAAAAAAAAAAAGGGGTAAAAATAAGCGGTGAAATAATAATCTTATTAAAAAAAAAGGAGGCTGACAACTTATTGATGACGAAAATTTTCAAGGTGCACAATTGCTTCTTTTTTTTTTTATTTATTTATAAAAAAAACAAGGTATTCTTTACATCAATGAAGAAGAAATGATAGTATTTATGTTTGCTTGCTTGCTTGCTTGCTTACTTGAAAGTAACGAACCTATCTTTTTTCTCTTGTAAAATTCTTGCACTAGTGCGTGTGTCTGCATATTTTATGCTATACCATGAAGGTTATTTCAACTAGATATCAATGGAAGCTTTAATAAAAAGATATTACCTGTTTTTTTTAACTATTGATACAGAATGTTTCTTACGTCATGTTTAGGCCCCTTAAAATATACACTTTCCTACCCCCCAAAAAAAGGCACACACACACAGAGAGAGAGAATCTTATTCTGCTTACTTTGTTTTCTTTTCTTTCTTTGTACTTTTTATTATTCTCCAATAGACATTATAGAAATGACAGCTTATTATCTTAAATCATCATAGATCCTCCCCTTCCCTAAAAAAAAAAAAATAAATAAAATAAAATAACTCTGCTATTCTTTTAGTAGAGCTTATCTGATTGAATACGATAAACTTTTTATCATACATAAAGTTGTTTACATATATAAAAAGCTACTGTATTATTATTTTTACTTGTCTTTTAATTTCAAGAAACAGTAAATAGCATTAAAGATTTTTTTTTTATAATAAGAATACTTGTTGTGTTGTATAAACTGTGCATATACCCATACATACATACATACATACACACACACACACACACACACACACACACACACACACACACATACACACACATACACATACATACATAGCTCATCTAGATATAAAGCTCTATCTGTAAGCTCAAAAAATAATACCTTATTTGACTATATTAGTCGAAAAAAAAATATCAATATGAATGTAAATATGTACACGGAATCTATTATATTCTTTTATTTATTTTAAAAAGAAACAGGTGATGAATGGGTGGTAGTGGATGAAGCAGTACAAAAGTTTGAAAATATGGTTTCAATAAAGGGTTTTAGTTTTGGCCTTCGTTGAATCATCATGGCTAGCTCTTGCTCATAAGGTACAAAGGCAATATGGCTATTTACACTTTGTGAAAGTATCTTTAAGAGTTGTACTGCAACTAAGGCTACACCTTGAATATCTGAAGTATCTATATAATTAGGTAAATGTGAATCACGAATATGAGAAGATAATTGACACGAATCTTCAAAAGTAATTTGATTGCAATCTGTCCACATACATCCATTATCTACAGAAGCTGAAGGTAGATGATCATGAAGTACATGGCTTTGTAGTAATTGTGGGTTGTTAAAGCTTTGTGAACAATTCGTCCATTGACACATTAATTCAGATCCTATTCAAAATATGTATGGTGAATAAACATCTAGATCAAATGATAATCCGCCTCTATACTTACCATCTTGTAATATACACATTTTGATTTGTAGTCCTCGAATGGTCGTACCTTCTAGAATAGCTCCTTGCTTGGCTGATCCTTCCATAGTTCCGGATACTATGGGAAATGCAATCTTCAAGACCGTATAAAATTCTTTTATACGTAACGCCTTTTCATGTCCAAATCTTGTTTCATACAATAGATACATATCATCAAGTGATAATTCGCTACTCGTATTTGACAGTTCAAATTTATCTTTAAGCCATCCTAGACAACGATAAGGTTCATCTAAATGCTGATATGAAGTCAAATTAGGAAGACTGCAAGGCGCACTACCGTGTTGATCAGAAAAGAGAATGGATTCATCTGAAGTAGAAGGCTGAGGTGAATTATACGGAGATACTAATGATGAACGAAAGTATTTATAGGGTATCATCAAGAGTGAAACCATAATACCAATATCAGCCCCATCATGAAGGCTTAATAAATGTTGAGCAAAAGAAGGGGAGAGTCGACTGTATTGAAACAAATACTCAAGACTAGTACCAATCAACTCTTCATCATTAGCAATTAAAAACTGTGTAATGCGATCCACTATTTGGTAGGATGTCGGTAAGAGATAAAGTAAATTAGTGGCTGATGAGGATGCTAGCATGGTTAAAATACGAATAGAGCCTAATATGACAGATCGTTCTGTAGTTGTCATGAGAAGATTATTGAGACACCCAATAATAGCATCAAATGGACCTAATTCAACAAACGGTGTCATGTTTTCTAAAATGTCGATACAGTGACTATAATGAGAGGAATTGGTCATAATAAGGCACTTGATGAGCATTTGTTTAAATTCAGCACTTGTTGCAAACACTTTTGTATTGGATTCAATAAAAGAAAAGTTTCGAATGATGTGTAGTATTTTGAGTATAATGTTATGTGCATTTGAATTATCTGAATTAGAGAATAAAGTTTCTTGTAAACACATGTTGGTTTTATCTATTAGAAATTTAAATAATTCGAGATTTTCAACAAGTAAAAGTTTCTGAGGATATTCATATGAAATCGTCACCATCTGATTGAGAGCCCAATCAAGATCAGCTGTATAATTAGACTGTAAAGCAGGTAATAATTTATTCTTTGTATTTTCATCGAATTCACTGCCTAATCTAAAGTTTAGAAATACATTTTAAATATTTTAGTATGCTTTTATACCTGTTATACAGTCTCGATCAGGATTAGATTCCACAGAATGAACATGCTCAAATGGCTGTATACGGTGATGTCTTTCGGAGATTTCACATTGATGTAATTCATTCGTTGTAATCAAATTGGAAGGTAAAATAGTTTTTTTCGGCATAATGTAGAATGGATTAGATGCAAATGATTGATGATGAACTAGATGTATATATTTATGTATATATTTATAGCGAGAGAGAGAGAGAATATTATTAAATTATCAAGTTGGAACATACAAATAGTTTTTACATATCATAATAGATACCATGGTTTTTATGTCTACATTTTCTATATGTCTTTCCAGCAAGTGTGGATGCTTTATGAGCTTCAGGACCTTTTAATTCTTCTGGAGGAATCCATTCTTTATGCCAAACCTGCTCTTCTTCCCAACCCAACTAAAAAAAAAACAAGAAACAAGAAAATGTTAGATAATTTCTCTTTTTTTTTTTTTTTTTTTTTTAAAAAAAAAAGGAATTTATTGATTGTAATCAGACATACCAAGTTTCTAATATAAAGGCCCTTTAAGATATAAGCAGAATTAGTACAGGTAGTTGGAAACTCAAAGATAGCACCTATTTGTTTCCAACTTCGTTTCTTTGTAACCTAAAAAAAAAAAGAAGCATCATTAAATAATTTGAGTTTTATATGCATTTTTTTTTTTTTTTTTTTTTTACTTGATCAAAGCCGCCAGCAGCAATAACTTCTTGATATAATTTATAAAGATCAATTTTTTTCCCTCCTAAAACAGGTTCTACAAGCAAGGTTGTTCTATATATATAAACATAAATATGGTACTTTTCAACTAATGATATGACATTTTACCCTTTACTATTATGAAATGCTTTAAGATCATTAATAAAACGAATGTAATCGTCTGTTCTCACAATGTCATCGACAACTACCTTAGACATATAAAAGAATAATTATTTAAGCATTAAAAGAATAAAAAAAAATGTGAAAAAAGGATAGGATTCTTGTCCTCTTTTTTTTTAATATCAAATGTATAATAACCCTTTATTTTTATTTTTTTTATAAATCATACTATTTCATATACTTTAGTAGTCACAAAGAGAAACATTTATCATGTAATAATACTATTATGACTGTCTGTTGTTCTAGTTTCGTTGATACCCATAATAACGTATATTCCATTTCCCTGTGCTATAATAAATCAATAAAATTATATCATATTCATTACGATTCATTTAATAAATAAAATTATATATATCTCTCTTGTTGTATCTTGCTCATCTACAGCTGAGATTTAAAATATGGACAATTTTTTACTGATTTAGGTAAATAAGCTTATAAGTATTATACGGGATCAATATTTTCCTTCTAATTCATTGCCTCATCAAGAATACTGCACTGACTATCTTCTTGAAGAAAGAGTATTATTCATTTTAATTGTTAATCTTGAAAGGCAGTTGGATTACTCCCAAAAAAAAAAATTGCAATTTGAACTATTCAAAACCGCCAATTAGTTGATACTCAATTTGGCCAATTGAAATTCTTGAATTTCACCAATTAGAGTTGAAAAAAATTGCTAATTGTGCTTAATAAAATTGCCATTTAATATTAAAAATTTGCCATTTGGCACCGTGAACACTGTATGTTTAGGCAAACAATAGAAAACAAAAGAGTGTTTTTTTTTTTTTTTTTTTTGAAAAGAAAAAAATAAAAATAGTAGTATAATCTATTCTTTCACTAGACTAACCTTTATATTATTACTTATAACTATATAAAAAGGTTCATTTGTAAGCTTCAGAGTACAGAATATTTATAATATTGGTCTTATCAATTTTGCGTAATATAAGATTTTTTTTTGTACTCTTCTACTACAAATTGATCAGGGTAAGTATAATAAACAACTATTGTTTTCATATATTTATTAATTTGTGTGTGTGTGTGGGGGGGCGAATGGATAAACTTTGGCTTGAAAAAGTATTTAACCTTAAAAAAAAATAGAACAGCGGAAAATCTATGTTCCTGTATTACAATTATTAATTTTATACAAAATGAAGAAGAATTTATTTTAAATATATGAATGCAAAATGAATAAATACAAAAAAGAAAAAAAATTATACATAGAAATCAATAAACGTGTTCTGTATCAATTATAATAACAAATCTATGTTGAATAATAGATAGACGAGAAAAGAGCTATATTGGTCAGTTCTATATAATTAAATACTATAAGCTTGATTTGATTGTGTGTTAAAATTTGTCATGAGTATATCCAGAGGACTACAGGTATTTTCCTGAGTTGTTTGCCTTTCTTTAAGAGTCTTATTTGTTAGTTCCTTTTCAAAGGCATGTTGATAGGGATGATGTCGTTGTGGTTTTAGGTGAGTAGTTGATGGTCTTTTATTAGGATATGTAAATGAATATCCATTCGTTAGACGAACAGGTTCAAAAGAAGAAACCGAATGATTGTCTTCTTCAACGTCAGATGGTGAAGAAGGCTGTTGTATTGTTGTAGAACTCTTAAAAGAAGAAGATGATGATGATGACGATGATGGAGAAGTAGCAGAGACATCCTTAGCTTGCTTTTGTTGAATTTTACAAAAATCAATACCTAAAAGAGCTGAAATATCAATATTAGATGAATAATGACCTGTTTGATGCTCTAAAAACGGTTGCTGTTGCTGTTGCTGTTGTTGTTGCTGTTGTTGTTGCTGTTGAGTTTTCCTTATCTCCTCTTGTTGATGTTCTTTTTGTTGATTAAAATCCAGTTCACTTAGGCCTTGAAGTCGACGCCAATGATTTGTAGTACGACGAAGATCGTAGTCAATTGTTAAAAACCAATATTTTTCAAAAAATTCTTGAGGTAATTGCCAATTCGCTGCAATGGCTGGATCTCCACCATGGAAAACAGAATAACTCAATAAACAACGGAAACAATCATCCAAGTCAAATTGATCTCTGAATAGAATCATTCTATCGCGCATATGAGGTGTAGGAATTAAATCTATACGAGGATCATGAGGAATTGTAAGCTACAAATAAAGAAAGAAAACAAATAAATGAATAAATGAATAAAATAGGATACTTGTTTTGTTCCTATTTTTTTTTATTACCTGTAATAATGTTGGTTGAATAGCAAATGGTATAGAATCCATGCTAATACATGCTGACTGAAGTCGAAGTCTTAAACGAAGAATTTGAATAGCAGCAAGGTTTGAAGTAAGTGGTTCTTCTGTTAATATAGCTGGATAAGGTATGTGCTGCTGCTGCTGTTGTTGTTGTTGTTGTTGTTGTTGATAGTGTGATTCACAATCTGATCCAGTAGAACTTGGTGAAAGAGGGGGTATATTAGTATCCTCATCTTGTTGCTGTAACGGGTGTACAGAGTTTTCAATGGGAATATCCAAATCGTCATACATACTATCTGGGGTTCTAGTACATTGATGAGGAGAAAGTTCTGATTTTGAAATAATTGGTATCTGTTGTGAAGTGTGTTGGTCTGGTACAGAATGAACACCTTCTTTAGTAATAACAATAGATCCAGTAGACAAATATCGATCACGTTGTTTAATAGTATGCTTATATCCAAAAAGTTTTGAAGGAATAGGTAATTTATTACTTGCATTCACATTAATATATGCAGATATCGATTCAGGAATGGATTGTGCTAAAACTGATAGAGCCTGTTCATTAATATAAGGACCATGTTGAGGAATAACTAAATTATGCTGAAAACAAACAAGTTGTAAAGTCAATACAATTCCTTTAAGATACCAATTTTCAGAACGCATAATTTCCTGGTCTGCCTTTAGTTGCTCATTTTCTACATGTAGTTTATCCCTTTGTTCCCGAATTTGTTTGATGGCTGTTTCTAATTCTCGCATATGTCGTTCCTTACGTTCTCGAAAAGCTCTTTGAGCTGCTCTGTTTTGTGCTTTACGAAGAGCTGGAGAAGCAGGATTTGGTTTACGTCCGGGCTTCTTTCGCATTTTAACTTGTTGTATAGTGGGTAAATTATCCAGTTTTTCTTGATCCATGATTTTTATTTTTTTTTATTTTTTTTTAAAAAAGAAAGAGATAAGAAAAAGGAAAGCATGGCCGCAATATTTATATTATTAAAAAAGCGGGGTAATCGGGTATTGTATATCTGTATTTAACCAGCAAATAAGATACGTTTAAAATTGAATTTTTATTTTTATTATTATTATTTTTTTTTTTTTTTTTTTTTTTTTTTTGACCAAATGAGCACATAGCATTTTTCATTTGCTGTATTGCCCTAGTCAGTTCTAATAGTATAAAAGTAAGAAAAACCCTCTTAAGAGAGCAAATAAGATACGTTTATTTTATTTTAAAATTAGACGATTTCAAAAATTTTATTGGACAATTTTATTTTTTTTTTCTAGACAAGTGCAAGAATTAAAATTAGACGCTTTTGCTTTTGTGAATTAGAACTTCACATAAATTTTGAACAGCCAAATAGTCTCGAATTTTTCCACATAAAGAGAGTTTGTAATTGACTCGATAGCTTCGATCATTTAGTATGTATTTGCTTGTTGCAATACTTGGAAGAAAAAAAATGAAAATTTGCATTGAAACAAAATTAATATTGCACTTATAGAGAATTTCCAGATGTAGACCTTTGGATCCTCAAATTCCCAACCACAATGATTTTGTAGCTTGGAAAAAACTACTATAATCTGATTGGATAGAAATTTTTCTGCTGTGCATCTAAACTTATACTTTAAAATATACAATTATTATAAATGAACGAGGCTGCTCACCTCCCTTCTTGTTCCGGTAAAAAAACTTGACCTGCACTACGAGGATGGCTTTTTCGCCCTGTGGATTTGGGAAGAACTCAACATTCAATAATTAAAAAAGAAAAAGAAAAATAAATGCATAAATAGTACATTTATATTGTGTGGTTACATAAAAATATTGTTGATGTTTATTGTTTGGGATATGGAATATGAATATTGTATCCATGGTTAATGATTTTAAAGAAATCTTAGTTATCGTTGAATAAAACTTCATTGTATACTATATTTCTAGTATAAGATTTTTCATTGTTATTTCCGCTATTAGAATCAGCATCAATCATAATCTTAATAGCAGAAGGCGATTTTACCCTTAACAAAGCAACATAGAGCTGTCCATGACCGAATATGTGATTTGGAAGATACAAACCAATACGATCCATAGTCTGGCCTTGAGCTTTGTTAATTGTCATTGCAAATGCAAGTCTAACAGGAAGTTGAGTCCTTGAAAATAAGAATAGTAGGGTAGTAGGCTCATTGACACTAAATAATTTAATTTTTGGAATGTACACAACATTACCAATATGAGAGCCTGTTGCAACTAATGCCTCTATTACGTGAGGTAGAATTGTTCTGACGATCAGGCGAGTACCGTTACAAAGACCTTGCTTTGGGCTGATGTTTCGCAACAGCATAACGGGGTACCAATCTTTAACTTCAAAACATGTGGAGGTAGTCCACCTGCTTCTAACGAATTAAAAACTCAGTTGGAACTGAGAGATCTTCATTTTCAATTATAGGTGCATCAGCACTGAAAGAGATTGTAGCTTCACCAGGAAAAACGTCGAATACCAAATCATTAATAACAGCTACATCTTTGTTTGTGGTGGATAATACCGCAGAATTGATAGGAAATGCTGTAGAAAATTGTTGGGGAACTTGATACAGTCCAGGGTACACTGCTTGCAAAAGATGGATCAAGTTGTTACCTCTGATAATCATTTTGTTTGGGATCCCAATGAGACCCGTATCAAATATCTCAGGAGGTTCGCCACCCAAATTAATCTTGTGAGTGTCTACTCTACCATCTCCTATAGCCAGAAGGTTCGTAGCAAATTCGTTTAATCCAGAAGCCAAAGCTGTATTATTTGAAGATAATGCTTGCTGAGCACGCATGTTGGTACGAAGTCGTAAAACTTGAACATGGCTCCAAAGGTATGAACGATTAATGCATTGATTAACAATTTGTGATCGTGAACCTTTAGGAACAACAGGCAAAATTTGACGAAAGTCGCCACCAAAAACCAAAAGCCGACCACCAAAAGGGATATTCTCCAATCATGGATCTACAAACTTTGCTATGTCTTTAAGGGACCTGTCGAGAGCTTCAAAAATGTCTTTACTGGTCATTGAAGACTCGTCCCATAAAATTAATTTTGTTTGCATCAAAAGATCAGCAGTTGGTGAGTTTGGTTTGATATTACACATACTGTCAGAATCAACATTAAGGGGAATTTTAAACACGGAATGTGATGTCCTACCACCCTCAAGTAACAGAGATGCAGTACCACTTGGGGCTACTGCTACAGCAATTTTACCTTCTCGTCTTACCCTATTCAATAAAGCATTAAACAGAAAGGTTTTTCCAGTTCCACCGGGACCATCAACAAAAAACACTCTCCCACTTGACGAAGGCAGCGAATCATCTGAATCAACCATAGCAGCAATAGTATCATAAACCAGCTGTTGATCAGGGCTAAAATTTAACTGGGCATTTACTGGCCTTGATTGTGCTTCTATAATTAGTCGCTGATACTCCCTTAAAATCCTTGGGATGTTAGGATCAATAGCATTAGCTCTTGTATCAACTGGAACTATGACAAACCCAACGTAATCAGAGAGATCCAGATTGTAATGCTCAAGTAGCTGATCATAGATCTCCAGCAAGCAATGGTCAAACGCAAGCGTCTGAATGTCTGTTGCCGGACTCTGAAGCTCAGGATTACTACGGAGACTATGTAGCAGATCCTCTGAAAATTGTTGCTTAAATTACTCAAACAGTTGAAAAGGATTGGCTGGGAAGCAAAAAGCAATTATTACGCAAAAGAGATCACGCAATGAAGATGCACTTTGGAAAGTTGCCTATAGTATCTGAAAATCCTCTTTGTCTAGATACCCATCTTCTTGGTTTATCTGACGATTTCCATCTGAAATGCTCAGGAAAATTAGGATATAAAATAGTGTGAGCAAATTCATTAACACAATTAATTTTGAACCAAGCTGTCAAAGTAGTCTCCTGCATTGTAGCATTCTCAAGAACCTCATTAAGATCATTAGTTTCATCAAAATAAACTTGCTGCTCATTTTCAAGATGCACTTGCAACCTTTGACTGGCAGGATACTCCTTGTGAATTTTAAATGAAAATAAACGCCAACATGCTTCAGGTGCAGAAACGTATCTAGCATCCAAATAGAGCTTGATCTCATTTTGCTCTTCCAAAGTAATAGCAGCTCGATCATGGCCCTTGTAAACATATTTAAATACGTACTTGATAGCATTGATAGAAGCACATGCTTTGACATTGATATGCATATCGTATTTGGTACAGAGAAAAAGATTGTGAGGAACAACCCATCGATTATCCATGTCCACCATCTGCCCATTCTTCAGCCTTCTCTGCGCTGATCGTCCATCATTTCTTCTTTTATACCTAGGATAATCACCAGTTGCATCAACAGTTGTTTCTGAATGGAAATCTTTTGGAAATTGTTTTGTACACTCGAAGTGTTCCATGCACACAGCAGACTGGTTTAATAATCCACATGGACCGTGCAACATATGCTTTACAACAGTTTCATAAGCTAACGGATATAAATTTTGATCCGGAAGTTCCGCGCTGATTACCCTGTCATAATCCTCAGGTGTTGACAATTTATGCTGGTTACTCAAGATAAAAAGCATATGGGCATGAGGAGACCACGTTTTTGAAATTCAATGGTATATACATAAGCTACAACTCTGCCAAAAATATGCTTTTTTGTGATATCATCTAGCGGTTCCTTTAACTTTAGGTTAAAAACTCGGGCACGAAGGTCTGGTCTATCTGACGCCAATTGATTATAGAGAAGTTCACGTGTGAGTTCTGGCCATTTTGGATTATATGTAAATGTTATAAATAAATCAGGCCTGCCAAACCTTCTTACAATATTTATAGCATCATGATAATTTTGAGCCATATGCTTTGGTCCTCCAGAAAATGTTGATGGTAAAATCACTTTTTTGCCTACACCTAACGAAGATGAGTTTTCGTAATCATTACTGTTAACAGCATCATGTAAGCCCTTATACATTTCTGCACGTAACTGCTTTTGATTATGTTATATGAATGAAAGCCTTGATTGCTCCATTTTGGCATACATGTCAACAATATACTGATGAAATAACTTTTCAAAAAGGTGTAATAGATTCCCATTATCTGGTCGAACCATAAGATGAACGCTATAATAATCCATGACACTGACTCTGACCCCTTCATTTTCAGGCGAATTAATACTTTTTGAGGTAATGTTCCAGCTTGCAGAACCCTCAGAATATAAGAGCACATAATGAAGTGGGTCATAGAACTGATTAAACTCGTTAATTCTACTCAAGGAGCCATCGTGTCTCAAATGAACAACAATATCTCTAGATGTAGTCGTTTGACTTCCAGAAGATTCATCACCACCAATAATAATAGCACCAATCTCGGAAGAAGTAGTTGGTCTATTATATCTTCTTTTATCAGGTGTACCTTCTGCTCCAAATACCATCTTTACTTCACTCATTCTTTCAATACCAATTAAATTCGAATTTCCCAAAGTATTCTGCTCTTCTGCTAGTTGTACCATTGTCTTATAATGGCTGACAAATGGATTTACATCATGCATCAATTGCTGCAGATTTCGAAGAGTATCTCGATTTAAGTCAGGGAGTATGGAATTGCGAGTTTGTAACTCTCTTTCAGAGTCATAAATATTAATTTGAGAAAATTTTGGTGGTTCTCCCAATGCTGGAAGAGCTGGTCCTCTTTGATGATAAGGGCTACCTTGAATTCTAAATGTATAACTACCAGATGTTTGGTTGGTTAATTCCTTGTCAAGCTTTACACTTATAGAACCTAAAGCTTAAGGAACTGTTGTAAGCTCTAATATTAGTTCTAAATTCCTTAGAAGTATTGCTATTGCTGGTCAAAAGTTCTGTCAAAAGAGGAGGGGTAGGTTTCAAATTTTCAAGAACTGAAGATCCTTTGCAGCAACAAAGTTGAAATAGTGGGTTTGTGATGGACGATTTAATTACTCTCTCCCCAATCCACATTCTGGTACTACAATAAGAACAGATGACATCCATTCTGCCTCTAACATCCCTTATAATAGGCACCCGTGTTGGGTCTCGTGCAATATACTCAACAGATACTGGTTCTGCTCTTGTATAGAATAGGCACAATTTGTTTGTTCTACGTCGATGTGTAGGGCTATTGCAAGCAGTGCATCGACTAATATTGGGCAGCTGCTGATCGTTGTGCTCAGGTTGCATTATTGTTTCTTCTACTTCTACATTATCTTCAATAATATCTGTGCCCCTCATATTAATATCAATCATGTCAACATCAATCACATTAACATCGTCCATATCAACATCCTCAATGGCGTTTGTTTGCTGAGCAGGGTTCATGGGACAGGAGTGATGATTTGATCGTCTATGATCTGACTGTCCACAACTACTGCATGTAGGCTGATTAATAACAGCCGAACGCTCAATATAAGCAGTACAATCTTTATGAGATCGACGAACATGCCCTGATTTTCCACAATGAGGACAAATTCTTTCTACCATTTTAATTATACAATAAATATAAGATTCTAAATGATGTAATAATTTTATTAAAATCTATTTATAAAAGTAATTCTTTGATGCTTTACAATATATATAATTTGATGATCCTTTAGTAACGTTATATTTGTTTTATATAATATGGTTTACAAATATTTATAATTGATTTTATAGAATACAATATACCGTAGATTCTATACACATTTGAAGACTTCTTTTGTGACCGTAAAATAAATAACTTCTGGCAGCGATTTTACGAATTTTACGAAACGGAAGTATTTTAATTAATAGATATGACGTATGTATGTCATTCTTAGATGGTGTTATCAAACTAGTAGTATGAAGCATTTTGTACATGTATTTTATGACATATGTTAGATATTAAACAACAGCTCTGTAATAAGGGCAGCGCCTTCTTGAAAGAAAATAAATTAAACCTTGTGTAATTTTAAATGAAAATTATACTGACTGTCTGTTGTGTTCTGTATTATAGGAACTGTTATATGTGGTCCTTAATTTTTTATTGGCTTTTTTTTTTTTTTTTTTTTTTTTTTTTTTTTTTTTTTTTTTTTTTTTTTTTTACTTTTGGGGACACATTCTTTAAATATAAAACTATAGAATAATATATTTATTCACAAGGAATTTAGGCGTTATCATATCTAGTTATATACATGTATTTATACTAAATTTAATAATGTATAATTTCTTAGATGAATTATCAATTAAAGTAGTTTCACCACTTCTTAACCATGTGTGTTTAAGAACAATTTAGGAGCTTGTATTCATTCTATCTTTATGAATGGGATATCATCTTTTATAGTGAAAGTTGCTTTTTTTTTTTCTTATAGTAAAAGATGGTAACTTCGTTATATACAAAGACAAATTAATACATGGAGCAAATTGAAATAAATTTTATTTTAATTCTTGAAAAAATTATACAGTACCTTTAAAGCGTAAATCAACAATATTTTAAACGTCAAAAAAAGAAATAATTCTTTTATATTACAAAATGTATATCTTACGTAATAAATACCATTCCTTCATCTTTAAAGAATATCATAGTTTTTATTTGAATTTTTTTTTTATATAATAATTCGGCTTTGTACTTTTTTTTCGTATCTTTCTATCTTTTATTATTATTTTTTATTAAAAATAACACTCTTCCTAAATGCATCATCTACCATTTGCGTATTTGATTTTTATTATCTTTTTACAATTTGTCTTTGGACAAAACTATTACATTAATCCACCTAATACCCCAGCTAATAATATTCGCAATTATGAGTTCAATATTTCTCAAGGATTGATTGACCCCGATTGTTCTGGCTTCATTGTTCCTATATTTTTGATAAATAATCAAATGCCAGGACCTACTATAGAGGCTAACCAAGGTGATACCGTTAGAATATTAATTCGAAATCAACTGAAAAAGATGAGTTTACCTAACGATCATCGTCATGATATCGCTATTCATTTTCATGGTATCCGTCAATATGGCTCTCCTCAAGCAGATGGTGTACCCTTCTTGACTCAATTACCTATTAAGCCAGGTGAAACATATTTACATGAATTTCGTGTTATCAATCAAGCAGGAACTTTCTTTTATCATGCTCATGTCGGATTTCAGGATGAAACTCTCTTTGGTCCCTTTATTATTTATGAATCTCAAGAGGCTCGTCCTACTGTTGCTGTTCAAGTTAATTCATTAACACCACCACCACCTACCGCAGTAGCTGGGCCTTATCAATATCATCATGAGCATACTATTTTATTAAGTGAATGGTGGCATCGACCTCCTCTTGAATTTGAAAAATATCTGATGGGTCCTGATTTTACAATTATTCCAGAGGCAGAGAGTATCTTGATGAATGGTCAAGCTATTTATAATCCAAATCAACCCGTCATGTCACAATGTAAAGGATATCATACATTTTCAGTTCAGCCTCAAAGAACGTATCGTCTTCGTTTTATTGGCGCTACCCCTTTCCGTACTCTTAATTTAGCTATCGCTAAACATAATCTGACGATTATTGAGATCGACGGAGAATTAACAAAACCATATACGGTGAATCAGCTTGAAATTGCACCTGGACAACGCTTCTCGGTATTGCTACATACTGATCAAGCCATTGATGATTATAGTATCCAAGTCATTCGTGCTTGGTCTGATACAGTGCCTCGACCTACAAATGGATTATCCATCTTGAGATATACCCGACCTGATAAATCGAATAATCAAACCTTAACTAATTCATCCATAACCTTACAGGCTCCTGTTCAAAGACCCCTCTTTGAGGATGAAGACATCCCTTTCTGGAAGTGGTCAAAGATTAAACCCCTTTATGGTGTTGACCCAGTCGTCTATAAGCCCTCAACAAGAACAATCCTATTACGTTCATATGACCAACGCCAACCAGACGGTTCATTACGATGGCTAGTGAATGGGATTTCTTATTCCGAGTCGAATAATGAGTTATCTCCTATCCTTAATGAAATCAAGAATAATCGTCGTCTTTCACCTGGTTATCTAAATCAAACGATTACAGCTCAGGGTTATGATCGCAACTTGGGTACCTATCCTATCAATTTTTATGATGTCGTAGATATCGTCATTCAAAATACTCATATCCCTGGTGAACCTTGCCGTAGTCATCCTTGGCACACACATGGTCATTCTCATTGGGAGATAGCGCACGGTAAAGGTGAATATATTGAAGAGCGTGATGCTGACATTCGAAATATACCACAACCTATTGCAAAGGACATCACAATGGTATATCCCATTATTGATCCTCATTTGACTTCCAAAAAGAAAACTGCAGTTGATAAAACGCCTGTAGGCTGTGGATGGTCAAAAATTCGTATCCTTGCTGTAAGTTATAATGATATATTTGAAAACTTTTACATATTTTTCTAACGTGTTTATTTAAGGATAATCCCGGTGTTTGGGCTGTACACTGCCATAATACAGCACATATGATGATGGGGATGATGGTTGTCTTAGAAGAAGCTCCAGAGCTTATTCCAAGATATTAAATAATTTATATACTCTATTATTATTATCATTATTATTAAAATAAATCTATACTTCTCTATCTTCTTTTTTTCTTTATAAATGTGTATAATGCATATATTTGTGTATATAAATACAAATATATTTATTTTTTTATTGAAGTAATTAAAGTTCTATACAAGGAAACCTATAATAATAATTAAAGACCACCACGAAGGGCCAAGACCAAGTGAAGGACGGAACCACCTTCAATACCATAAGAACTTGCAGTCATTTCGTCAGCCCTATTTTTTTTTTTTTTTTTTTTAATATACGAAATTAACTGTTCATTCATTTATTCTAAAAATTCGCTTTTATAATTACATTTGTTTGCCACTGTAAATTAAACGTTGTTGAGGAGGTGGAATACCTTCTTTCTCTTCGACACGTTCTTTGATACGAGAAATCTTATCGTTAGGTTCAATATCAATTTCAATCTAACATGAAAAATAAGATTAACATATCTTGTAAGGATACATTAAACAAATGAATCTCGATCTTACCTCTTTACCAGTTAATGTCTAGTGCATCATGAAGAAGAGAATAAAAAAAATAAATCCTCTTTATTTTATTTTTCTTATTCAGTATAGAGAGAGTTTACTTACTTTTACTTTTACAAGCATTTTGTAGTTATTATTTTATTTTATTTTTTCGTGGAAGAATGAGAAAAAAAAAAAAAAAAAAATAGGTTATGGAAATTGATATTTATTTTGTGTTAGCATTTTATTGCCGCCGACATTATTTTTCATCAAGAGGAAATCAAAAGTACTCATAGTTTAATGGAATGTATGTACATTATATAATTTATTATAATATTACTCTAACACAAAAAAAAATATATATATATCTGTATACACATGTATATATTTATAAAAGACGATTGAATTATAAAATTTGATCGATTATCTTAAAATTGTGGCTAAAGAAGATTTGCTTCTTTTATCATATAAAGCTTGTTGATATATACGCAAATAATCATAAATTGGGCCTTGATTTTCTCCTCTAGCCCAACCTAAACTATATGCACTTAACATCATTCTTAATACGTATTCTTCATGCAAGGCAGGGTCATTCTTAATCAATTCAAGGCTTCTAGCAGCATCTTCAACAGCCCTTGCAAGACTGCCAGGCTTAAGCGTATTAAATAAATATGCATTATGACGATAGCGACTTTCTACATAGACCCTAGACAATACAGAAGGAGGTGATATATCTTTATCTAAAGTTCGATCCACAAGAAATTCGCTTAATCCTCCTGTACCTGTTGAAATCACTGAAGAACCAAACATGAGTCCCTCCGCTGCTACTAAACCAAAGCTTTCAGTCACACTTGGTACATAAACAATATCAGCTGCTGCTCGGAAGTAAGTTAACCATTCCTCTTGTTCAGATATATATTTTAGTAAGACAATATTGTCAAGATACTGAGAGGCGAGTCGTTCTAGCCAAGCTAAAGGGTAATTATTCGGCTGTCCAATGATGACAAACTTCATATGATGTGATTGAAACAAATGAGCTGCTTCCTCAAACGTCTCTAAGCCTTTATTGTATTGAAATCGGCCAACAAAGAGAACGAGAGGGCGATTGAAGTCGTTGTTATTTAATAACCCCCTTTCTATCAAATATGCTTTTGCCTTTTGTTTTTTAGTGATCACATAATCATCTTCTTCTAATGAAAGTGCCCAATAATTAAATGTGGTTGCAGTCATAGCATCCAGAGATGCATTATTCATCCTCTCTTCTATCTTGAGTTTATTATTAATCAGTATACGCGCATGATCTGGATAATTCAAGTCGGATGTCACTAATTGGCTTTCAGTAAAAGGATTTAGAGCACCACTAAAATCGACACCATTGCTTATACCATAAAACTGCTGTTGCTTTGCCTTACGCAATATAGGAGACATGACTACTTCCTTTAAATAAAAATCCAATCTTCCTTCAACCATATCCTTTGCCATTGTTTGGCTTACAAAAGTAACAATATCTGCTAAATCGATACCTAAAGGCGACATAAACACTTTCCCACTTCCAAACATATAAGGAGTTAAAGTTTGATCTATTTCCTGTTCTAATGTTTCTCCTGAACGCGGTGCATTTAAGAATTTCTTGACGTTTAATAATGTATTCGTATATTGCAATTCATCCAGATAATCATGCATTGTATATACAATACTAGGAGGTATATCACCTAATTGAACTTCATGCTCGATTAAATACTTTGCAACATAGGCATTTGTAGCTCCATGTAAATGTACGATATCGACTCTAGGCTGTGATGTATTTAATGGAGTAAATAAGGATTGCTCATATTTTCTTGTTGCTCTCCAAATAAGAAATGAGGCAGCTGCCTTAGCAAAATATTGATCTTTCCATTCTTGTGGTAAACCCTTTGGTGAAGAATAAATATCTGTAATTGATTCAGCCTGAAATGCTTTATTTAATGGGTCTATTTTGCCGCAACCAATTAAATAAACAGTGACTGTAGGTTTGATATTACGATTATTTATGATCTCTGTCTTTTCCTCATGTGAAAGAGCTTCAAAATTTTGTATAGGTTCAAAGTCATATTGTAATTCAGATACACGAAAAGGGACTGAATAAAGTTGATCATTTTTCCGAAACGTTGTTACTAAATTGATCGTCTTTTTGATAGGATATTGTTCCTGTTCCTTTAAGAATGAATAAAATGGGAGAACGATATAGGGTTTAATTTTGCCTGTACGTAGTTGTGCTCGTGTAATAGCTGTTAATACAGTACCCATACCCCCCATGGTTGCAGGTCCAAACTCTTTTGTAATATGATATACTGAAGTATCCATTGGTAATTCAATGGGCATTGCTGTATCTAAAGGTTGGTAAGTTATCTTTGGATAATTTTGAATACCTAATAGTTTTTTTTTTGGCATTTAGTTTTTTTTTTATTGATAATGTATTCGTCCAAAAATAAGAGAGCATTTACTAAATGAAACAGGTTCTGATGTGAAAGCTAATAGAGTAGCACTAACAACGAATACGATCATTTCTATAAAAGAAATAAGTACAATAATTGCTGTTACATAATTCCACCATTGCCATTGTTTTGTTATTAATGGTATCCGAAATGATAAAGGAGATGTATAAGTTGTTGCATTGCTATTCATTTCTATTAAACTTCGTTGTCTAATACCATTGATAGGTACATGCAATGCATTTGCTGATGTCAAATGATATTCTTCATCTTCATTTAAATTGACCATGAAAGAAAGAAAACCAAAAAACCACAACAACAAAAAAAAAGTGTATAAATGTTATATCTAATTTAATTTTATTTATTTTTTTAAGGGGAGAATGAATTCTGGGTCTGGTTGAAAGCAATACGATTAAAATATGAATTTTATTTAATTTTTTTTTAAAGCCAGGTGGGCACAGTGCATTTTTCATCTGCGATTTTGCCTGAGCCAGTTCGAGTAGTATATAAGAAAGAAAAAACCTCTTAAGAGACAAGAGGGAAAATGAAAAAAGTCTAGAAGTTGATAGTAAAAAAAAGGAAAAATTCAGCGATTGTGCAGGAGTATGAACACTGTTAGTTGAGCAACCAACTCACGAGAGAAGCACCAGTATCAGTGGGAGGGTCAGGAGGGAGTTTTCCATGGAAGATATGATTCATTTCATGTAGCATTATACAAATTGTTGGCCATCGAGTCGTCTAAGGGGCGGCAAGGTGTGCTGTTGATGGTTTTTTAGTAGGCAAAAGATTCAGCAAGAAAGAGAGAGGATCTTCGATCGACGTCGGTAATAACAGCCGATGATGCATGTGGAGACCAATGATGGCATGTTGACGAGTAAAATATTCGAAAGGGTGATATATACAGGGACGAGGTATACCACCAGTTAACCATCCGAGACACCAACGTATAACCTGACTGCGTCGGGTTTTGGATATCGACAACCAAAGGAAAGGATCTAGTGTCAGCGTTGGACGACAGGCGGCAAGTAGCTTAGTATTTGGGCCAGTGCTAAGCGTTTTATGGTATTGTTGTAGAAAGTCGTGTTGTAGCCTCTTAAACTTGCTTTTGGTAAGGTTATCCAAATAGCAGGTGCATTCTCTCTGTTATGATTGTAGTCGTATTTACAACTAAGTTAATAGAAATAAACTATCATTTATTTAAATAATAAAGAGTTTATTCGAATAAACTAGTGTATTGTACTTCACAGCATAATATTCATTCTACACTCAGTTTTAATAATAGTCATTGTTAGAGTATTCGAGCATTAAAAAATAATTATACACATTATATTATGTAATAATAAGAATTCAATAGATTTATGACTGTTATATTCAATTACATAATTATTGATACAAGTCATACATATTATATATACATCCATAATGGTGTATATTGTTATAAAGGGAATATTCACTGTAAATTAATATTAACGCGTTGCTTATCCCAAAGACAATAATCGTGTATATTTTTAATGTCAGCAACAGCTCAGGCAGAAATCAGCATACTGCATGCAGAGTTATTCGGAGACAAAATTTGTGCATACTTGTGCATATTTGTGCATAAAGGCTTTATTATAGCAGTATTCACTTGTCTAAATCACACTCCTATTAATATGACTTACCTTACAAAAACATATTAATAGCGCTCGTCATTTTTCCATATTATTTTCTTCTTGTACAATTTTTGTATTATTTTTCTTCTAATAAACTATACAAAGTTTTCACAGACTTGTCTTTTCTTTTTTCTCTTTCCTTATCTTTGTACTCAAAACAGAAACTATAAATGATGATACAATAACACAAAAAGTTGTTCAATTTTGCCAGCCTCTGAGGGATATTCTAAATATCAAAGTAACAGCGAAAACTTTATTGGAACCTCCTGGTAGATTTACTCCTTTATTGAATCACTTGCTCCCTATCATTGAATCTGAACACGACAACTATTGTGAATACGATGTAAGAAGACTGCCTCTTCCACGGCGATTTAGTCTGTTCCCAACACCTTCCTTATATTGGCGTTCTATAACTTTGTCAGTAAACGCATTATCTGCGTTTCTTCCTCGTAAAAAGTTGCCAAGAGGTTATAATGACCATCTTCGGCTCTTCTTTAAAGTATTAAAGTTCCAGTCATTGAGAATTAAAACGTAAGTTAAAAGAAAAGGCAATATTATAATAATTAAACCGAACATACTTCCAGAATTGAAAGTATAATGCCAAATGGCAGAAATAGACAGTTGTTTGGAAACTTGATCAGATCAGACGGTTTCAGTGTTGATTTTTTGTTCTACAAAAGACGAAATGATCAAAATGATATGACTGTCAAGATTAACCAAATACACCTCAAAGTTGATGACTTTAAGAGTCAAGAAGTAGAAGAGTCATATCTTCCAATAGCAATTGACCCTGGAAGAAAAATCATTTTTACTGCAGTTACTGATTTAGACCGCGATGTTCGACGATGCACAACCAAGGAATACTATCATTTAACAAGTTTAACAAGATTCAGTTCTGAATTGAACAGACTAAAAAATGAGCATGGCATTAACATCATAAAAAGCTCTATACCAACCAACAAGACTTCTGACTCAGAAAAGTACTTGCAGCATGCCATCTATATTTTTAATAATTTAGATACTCTGTTCAAGTTTTATAACGCTGCTACAGCGAAGGACCGTTTCTTCTTGTACCAAGGAAAGCAAAGGGCGCCAGAACTAATGGTAAACATGTTGCTAAACGGAACTAAAAAGTACAACAGAAGTTTAAGAAGCAAAAAGAAAAAGAAACCAAAAAACAAAAGGGAGAAGAAGAAAAGAAAAGGAAAAGAAGTTAAAAAAAAACCAGTAGATTAGTATCATTATTATTTTTACTGAAAAAGTGCGTGTATACAAATGTATCTGATAGAGAGACCAAGTATAAAAACTGCAAATCAAAGGTACCCTTGTTTATATTTGGGGCCGGAATGTTTGGCAAAGACTTAGTGCACTGCAAGGGATTGAGAAGTGGAGTCACTGAACTCTTTTACAAGATTTTAAAGAGAAGAGAAAGTAATGGTGACTTGATGGTTGTTACCATCGATGAGTATCTTACCTCCCAAGTATGCTCTAAATGTTTGACAAGAACTTTGGATGTTTTTACTGGTGTACGTGGCTGTGGTGTTCTTGTTTGCAAGACATGTCAAACACTGTGGCAGAGGGATATTAATGCATCTTTAAACATAATGAAGATTGCTCAGTCGATTTGGAGAGATGGAGAGCGTCCTCTTCCGTTTAAAAGAGGTTAAGTCTTACATAAATCGCCTTTTTAAACACGGTTCTCCGAAAGGAGTTCAGATTATTACAGGTAACGAAAAAGTCTGAACATTTACCATCAAAGTGTTTCGAAATCATTTTTTCCTTTCGTCCAAAAAGAGTAAGCAGAGTGTCTAAAATTAGTTTGGATTCATCCAGAAAAAAAATAACATCGTCTAATTTTAGGGTAAAATCCTGTAGTTCGTTTAAGCCCCCCTTTTCTTCCCGTTATTCATCACTCATTAGTTTGTGTAACGCGAGATCATTAACTTCTTGAATATAATCTTCGAAATTCATTTGGAATTAGCATTTCAAAACAAAAAACCAACGATTTTTTACACCTTTATTCATGCCTGCCAGTCGAGGTATCAACAACCAGATACTCCGACCAGTGCTGAGCCCTCAGCAAGTCGAGGAACTTGGTACTGTTGTGGTTCAGGTAGGTTTAAGGAATTAAATAAAAGGAATAAAATAAAAAGAAAACAAGACAGAAGAAGTACGTTGAGACTTGTCAATAAGTTTTATTAAAAGTTAATTCAATACAAGTATTGTTCTTAGTTATAAGTTATACAAAATAAGGGTGAATAATGTAAGAGTATTTATATATTTTGTGAATAAGGATGATGAGTAATAAGAAGATAAAAATATAACAAATTGTATTTGATAATATAATTATAGAAGGATTACTAAGAGTTATAATTATAGATTCATGTCTTTAGTATATATTTATTTTTTATAACTAATACGTGTATTCTGAGTAGAATCAATTATTACGCGTATTTGTATTATTCTTAGTTTACCCCAGTTTAACTTGTATAAAGTTATTTTTATAAATTAATATTCAGCAGAACAATAATAGAAGAAAGTATATTTTTAGATGTAGGACTTTTTATTAATTAATTATTTTTCTATACAAGGGTAAATATACTAAATATGTTTATAGAGAGAATTATTATACAAATGCACTATGTATTCTATTATGACTATTTATCTTATTGAATTAAGTTATAAATCTTACAACCATGACAGGTACAATCTTGAAAAAGGAAAACCGCCAAGCTAACTGTTGTAAGAAATGCAACAAAATTATCACTTTTCATAAAAAGGGATATGACACCCACAACCCAAGCCAACCTGTATACAAATGAGTCTCCTGTAGTCATACTATTAGTGCTTATACTCTTTATCAAGAAGTTAGCAAAAACTCAGCACCCCCTACCAATACTGATACTATCACCGATGTACCAGCAGTTACTGCTCCACCAATTCTTAATGAAACACAAACTACCGAAAGCGACAGTACCTACCTCCTATTTCAATCACAACACACTGTCGAAGCTCTCACCTACGAATTAAACAAAGCTCGTGAGGAAATCAATTTCCTCAAAGATCAACTCCAATTTCAAACTACCCCTCCTCAATTTCCTCAAATTCACCAGCCCCAAACTGATGAAAGACTATTGGACGAAGCAGATGGAATACCGATCACAGTCGATCCCCCCGTATACCAACAAACCTCGAAAAACGACTCCCCCTGGCATCATAATCAGCGACTTACTCGACTCACTCGATCATTGTACACTGACCAACAAACAAAGACCTGTGTTGATAAGACAAAGATGACAAAAGAATAAGACAGAATAAATCTGTGAAAACTTTATAAAACTTTTATTATCAATAAAAATAAAATTAAAAAATTAAAAATGAAAAACTGAATTTTCAAAAGATGAGTGTAAAATGGATCCTTATTTATATCTTGTGGAGAACGGGTTACTTCGAGACAGGAACAGAGCGAAGATATCTTGAAAGAAGAATATTTCCCATAGAATAATTAAAATTATTGTGTTAGAGCTCTAGTCTTTGCCCTGACTGAGAATTAATCTCAGTTAACTCTAATAAACATTAAATTATTGGTGCTTGATCTAGCCGGTTATTTTTCTTGAAACAAAATAATAAAATCTCGTTTGTTCATACTTGTGAATGATATAGGAAAGACACTTTTGATATATAGATTTATATTCTAACCAGCTTCTTTATGTTATATTCATTCCTCAATGTACTACTTAAATGAATTTCATTATATTATATAGTGTATTCAATTAGAATAGAGTTCTCATAGATAGTATATGATTATATTTATAAGTTAGTATTTTAGACAACATTAAATAATAATGCATATATATAATTAATAGGTATAATCTATAATTCATATATCTTTATCATTAATAACTCCTTACACTATGTTTTTCTTATCATTATTTTGTAGAGTTAGTATTTATTATAACATTATTTTTTCTCATCACAAGAATGTCTTATAAACTGAAATCAAATAATATTGTATGCATAAAGTGTATAACTAATAACTATAATATCATCCGGTTCTTCATGACTCTGATTTGTACATTATAAGATATTATGTAATACATCATTATATACACAACAACCTGTATTCACAAGAAACAAGCTGCTGCCGCCCGTTTCTTTCAAAAACCTTCTAGTACCCAAGGGTTTAACTATATCTATATTCCCACAAAAGCACGAATCCCTGTTGGAAAACTTCGTACTACCCTCAGACGCTTAGGCATTCCCAACGTACGACTTTTGGATATCCATTATCCCGCCAGAAATCTCGTTGCTATCTTAGTACATATGGATTATGTTTCTGAATTCAAATCAACTCTTCAACAACGTGGCGTAACTGTCGACGAAGACTTTGACCCTTTCAATGGCAAAACTATCATGGACCCGAAATACAAGGATCACACTGATTTCCAGTGTGATCAGATAGCCTCCTTCATACATAAACGCAGACTTGAAACCGCCTTGCAACATATTCGTGAACCAGTAAAATTCGCCGTTGCCCGATATTTCTTTCAACAGCACTGGATCTCGAAAGCAGTCTTTGACCAAACAATGGCTTCCCGATCGTCCCGGCCTACTGATATATTTATTTCGGGAATCTCTCAACCTACCCAACAACGCGCTTCATACACCTTTGACTTTGGTTACGAAGACAACCTTATCGCACCATCTGGTCTTCCCCAAGACAAGAACACATGGATGACAGAAATCTAATGAGTAGAAACACAATGACAATTTCACTCTTTAACGCAACTGGACTCCCTAAACAAGCAATTACACCTATCCTAGTTCTTGCCACCAACGGTTAATTCCGCATACACTTCCGTCGGACTTTGAAAAATAGAATTTCCTTTTATGGTAATACCACTAGTAGTGATAACCTACAGCTAAAATATGTTGGATTGTCCAGTCTATTAGGAACGAAGTAGAGAACCAGCCAATAGAAGTAGAGTACGATCTATCGTATAGAATTAATAGGCAAAATAAAAGAAGATTTAAGCCGATAGTAAAGGATTCAGACGTGAGAAGAAAGAAGTCAAAATTATGCATAATTTGTGAAAATAGAAGACGTCGGCATAATTAGTTGACAACATGAAAAAATCAAGAAGACAACACTTATGCATCTTTACTATAATCACGATTTTCCCTGTTGTTACATAAACTTTATTGTTGTAGCAAATTTAATATAAATATTGAGAAATTATTAATTTTGAATAAAGATAACCATTAAATATTATAAAAACTTAATTATATTCTTTGTTATTTTTTGCTTAATACTATCTGAAGTTTTACTCTTTCGTACCTCAAGAAGTCAAGAAACGACGAAGTTAGTATTTTTTTCACTAGTAATATATTAGAGAGCCATTTCCATAAAAGAAAATTGCATTTTTCAAAGTCCGACAGCGGTATATAGGGAAAGATCCCTGTGATGGAATGTAAATAAAGATAAAAGATAAAATAAAAAGAGAGAAAGGGAACCAAAAGGAAGTATAGTTTGAGACTGTTTTTATTCAATAAAAATAAAGAAGGTTAAAAGAAAGTTAAAGAAGAAGTTAAAGATTATTTTGTGTCTAAACAACTGCTTGTATTTATATTAATGAATCCTGAATCAAAGAAATAAAAATAACCGTCAAAGAACATGAGTCATGAAACAGTGTTAGTATTCGGATATACGTCTTGTTGATTCAAGAGACTGATATATGGATTATCTATTGGGTGTTATAATGATCTGATCAAGTTTTAAATAAAAAATTTATTGTTTAATCTGAGTATATGTTCCTGATATCTTTTATATTTTATTTTATTGGATCAAAGACGACCTGAATCCTTTATCAAGGTTATAAAAATAAATATTTAGAAATGATACGATGTCTTATAATTGATACATCTAGACAATTGGATGTCAATAAGTTTTATATTATTCACAAGATGTTATATACAGAGTTTTATTTCATATTCAGGCTTATATTTTATCCTGTATTATGTAATTCATCTATTATAATATTACTTATGATTATATCCAGAGCTTGTTCTATAACAATCCCAACCAAGACAAGAATCCCAGTAGGAAAGCTGCGAACAATTCTCAGACATTTGGGAATTTCAAATGGACAACTCTTAGATATACACTATCCTGCAAGGAACCTCGCTGCCATCTTAGTCCACAATGACTATTCCTCCGAACTTAAATCTACGCTTAAACAACGTGGTGTAACCGTAGATGAAGAATTTGACCCCTCCAATGGTAAAACTCTCATGGACCCTAAATACAACGATCACTCGGAATACCAACGTGACCAAATTGGTTCCTTTATTCACAAACGCAGATTAGCAACCGCATTGCAACACATCCGCGAACCTGTCAAGTTTGCGGTTGCCCGCTACTTCATCCAGTAGCAATGGATTTCCAAAGCAGTTTTTGACCAAACGATGGCCTCAAGATCCTCACTGCCTGATGATGTTTTTCTTATGGAAAATTCACAGACGCCTACTACCACAAGAAACACTTTTACTTTTACATTCGACGACAATGACTGTTGTGATTGTAGTAGCCTTTATAATTAAGTTAATAGAAATAAACCATCATTTATTACATAATAAAGAGGTTATTCAAATAAAACTAATATATCGCGCTTCACAGCATAATATTCATTCTACTCTCAGTTTTGATAATAGTCATTGTTTGAGTATTCGAGCATTAAAAATAATTATATACATTATATTATGTAATAATAATAATTCAATAGGATTATGACTGTTATATTCAATTACATAATTATTTATAAGTCATACATATTATATATAGATAGCTATAAAGATAAATATTGTTATGTAATAATATCTTATAGGATAATAATAATAGTAGCATATAAATAATTGGTATTGCTATAGCTGACATATTCACTGTGAATTAATATTGACGCGTCGCTTACCCCAGAAATAATAATTTAATATTTTTAGTAACAGCGACAGCTCAGGCAGAAAAGAATAAAAATAGATCTTATTGTAGGCAGAATTATTCGGAGAAAATATTTATGACTAATGCTTTATTATAGCAATATTTGCTTATCCAAATCATAGTTCTATTAATATCACTTACCTTGCAAAAACATATAAATAACCCTTTACATTTTCACATAATTTTTCCTTGTACAATTTTTGTATTATTTTCTTAATAAAAAACTACACGAAGTTTTCACAGACTTGTCTTTTGTCTTTTCTCTTTCTTTGACTTTTTGCTATCAAAACAGAATCAATTATTACGCGTATTTGTATTATTCTTAGTTTACCCCAGTTTAACTTGTATAAAGTTATTTTTATAAATTTATATTCAGCAGAACAATAATAGAAAAAAAGTATATTTTTAGATGTAGGACTTTTTATTAATTAATTATTCTTTCTATACAAGGGTAAATATACTAAATATGTTTATAGACAGAATTATTGTACAAGTGCACTATATATTCTATTATGACTATTTATCTTATTGAATTAAGTTATAAATCTTACAACCATGATACTATGATATGCCCCTACCGAGTGAAGCATCATTCAGCTATCTTGGAATTCCAATCAAACCTGGTGGACTTATTGACACTGCTGTCCTCATTAATCTCAACACTAAAAAAGCTGGATCCTCTATGAATCAAATTTCTTCTCTTGGAGTCAATCACAAAGGGTTTAACCGCTTACTCTTAGTACGCTTCTACAGCCAAATGATACGATCACAAATGGAATATGGTCTTGCTATCTGCACCTTGAACAGTAGTCACTTTACAAAACTTGAAGCTTGTCAAAATGAATGCATTCGACGTATTTTTGGTGGTTCTGCTAGATCATCAACCAAAGTAATGCTGCACCTAGTACAACAACCTTCAATGACAACCCGAGCTACTATTCTGCAAGCCAAACACCTTATTCGATCAATGCAACTACCCGACGATACATTACTGAACAAACTTCTACCTCATCTTCAAATGTCCAGCAGTCATTCCCACTGGTATAAACTAACAGTCAACCCACTCTGGAGAGAATGTGCCCCTATCTTGGACGAACTTGATAGGAAGGTTTTCAAACGGCTCCGTCTGCGTTTTCAAAAAACTCAATATGAAAACCTCTGTCAGGGTTTAAAGTCCAAGCTTATTCGTACATGTCGTCCTCATATGATCGTCGATCCAATTCTTTGGCTGCCCATGACGAATACGAAAAGAAGCCAAGTCCTCTGCTGGTGCCTCGGTTGGCTACCTGGCGGTATACCTCGTTCATGTCCCTAACATCCTTCTCAAATGTTCAGTTGTACTCATTCGATTGAATGTCTACATATGCACCATCGACTCCAAATGCCAAGAACGGTCACCAACCCACTCTCCTTCCTGCTAAACCAACTACCTATTAAAAAGCTAAAACACTCACAGGATGTGGCTCCTTGGACAATCCGTTGGCCAGCTATTTGTATCACTCTACATGAAATAGATTACCTCTTTCATGAAAAGCTACCTCCAGATCCTCCCTCAGAACCTAATTCACTACTGATGAAATAGTTACTCAACTAACAGTGCTAATATCCTTATATTGTTTATGAATTTTATCTTACTAATCTTTTTTTTTTCCAATCACCTTATTTCTGTCTAAATCATTATATTTATTTTACCCTTTTACACATATACTTTTATCCTTTTCCTTTTTGTCTCATAAGAGGGTTTTTCTTACTTATATACTATTAGGGTTAACTAGGGCAATACAGCAGATGAAAAATGCTATGTGCTCATTTGGCCAAAAAATAATAATAGTAATAAAAATTCAATTCTAAACGTATGATATCAGAATTGCTTGGGCTTATTCATCATTGAAATAATAGCTAGCCAATAGATAAACTAAGGAATATTATTGAATTATGTACAAGATTGATATAACAGATTACATAATGCATATTTTATTTTAAAATAGAAATAATTATCCTTTTTTTAATTTTTTTTCTTTTCTGGATGAAAATAAATCTATTTCTAAAAGATTTTTTTGAAACAAAGATTAACGCGGCTAACTGAAATAAAAGTGATCATTTTTTGACATGCTTAGTTAACTTTTAGACAATTGAGAAATTAATCAATACTATCTTTTTTTTTCATTTAGAATAGCTAAAAAACCAATACTTTTCAACGTCTTCATCTATTCTTTCTCCTTCCTGTTGTTTTACCATGATTAGGGTTTTTACCCTATCTTATGCGGATATCTTATACTGAACATAGCCGACTGATTAGATAATAACGTCTGGGCTTGGCTTGGCTAGCTAGTAGTCTACGGAAAACCAACAACAGCTATTATTCAAATATTAGGTGGTCTCGAGCACATGCAATTATATACGCCAACGACTATTATAAATATCTACAAGTTAATTCCACTTAAAAAAAAAAAAAAAAAAAAAAAAAAAACCACCACCTCAAAGAAATTGCTAGTCGATCACTTTTCCTTTGGAATATTCGACGGCCAACTATTATTTGAACTCGGTTATATATTTCTCCCCCCCCCACACACACACTCCTTTGATACTTTATTTGACCTTGACTCAAGAGTACTTTCTTGGCTTAGTGTTGACATTCAATAATGCTCTTTATTATTATTTGATATTTTCTTTTCTTTTCTTTGAAAGGGGTTCTTAATCTATTCTATTCAACTGGCCTGTGCAATACAATCCCATACTATGTGCTCAGATGAAAGCAAAAAGTATATACATGTTTAATATTCATATTAATTTGTAACGGATAAAATAAGTTTATGATCCAATCCCAAAATAAAAAAAAAAAGTTTAGTATTTTGATAAATAAGATTTATCTTGCATTAGCTTTTTATTATTACTACTACTACTACTACTATTATTATTATTATTATTATTATTATTATTATTATTATTATTTTTGAGAAGTGTGCCATTAAAGTCTAATATAAATTGAAAACTTGTTATTGATTGATGTATACTTTCTATAATGAAAATTAATATATGATGTATATTTATATACACATACATACATGTATATACATATATATATAATGCTTTGAATAAAGGAATTATGTAACAATTGATATATAAGAAAGGAATATTCTTTTTTCTTTTCTTTTTTTTTTAAAAAAAACGGAATTTCGTAATTATACATTGTGAGAAAAGGATGAATGCGTTGTCTATGTATAATATGTCGTTTTCTCTTTCTTTCTTTCTTTCTTTCTTTCTTTCTAGTTCAATAAATTATGAATTTGCATTATAGGACATGGTTTGTTATTTATATTTTCTGTTGTAGAATGACTACTTTCATCTTTAGTTGTAGGAGTGTATGTTTGTGCTATTGTGGAAATGGGGGTATCTGGCAAAGTAGGTGAGGGAGATAAGGTGGTGTTATTATCTCGTTTCATTAATGAAGCTGTTCCTTTCGTTGAAAATGAGCCGTTTTTAAACTTTTCCAAATAAACCGGATCTATTGTCCAATAACCTCCTTTTCCTCTATGCTGTTGATTACCCGTTAATTCAGATTTTGGTATTTTCTTGAAACATCGATTTAAAGATAAATTATGTCTAATTGTATTCTATATGGTATATAAATATATTAAATACATGTGTATATATTGTAAAAAAAAGGTATATTCTATAAAATCTCACCTGCCATCCTGTATCTTCTGCATTATATAAGGCTGGATATTTTTTAGTAATCCAGGTATATATATCTCTTAATGTCATACGTTCATTTTCACTTTCTAATATAGCTTGAACTATTAAAGAAGAATACGAGAAAGGTGGCCGTCGCCTTTTTCTAGGAGGTTTCATTACATTAGGTGACATTGGAATGAAAGATTCAGATACAATATGTGTTTGTAATTGTTCATTCTGCGCTTCTAAACGATATTGTTTTACAGATGCAATAATATGAGGATGACGCATCATAACTGGAATGGGCGGTAACTCTGTCGTCTCCTTTTTTTTATGTATTACTTCTTCTTCTTCTTCTGCTACTACTGCTACTTCCTCATCCTTTATCAAAGGAGTTAATAATGTTGAAGTTGGATTCATATTATATATGTGTATAAATATAAGCTTATATAAATATGTACAAACAAACAAACAAACAAATAAACAAAAACAAACAAACAAATAAACAAAAAGAAAACAATAAAAGAAAAAAGAAAAAAGAAAAAAAAAAGAAGAAAAAAAAAAAATAAAATAGTAATTTTTATTGTTTCAAAATATACAGTAAAAAAAAATAATAATAATAATCAACATCCGACATCCAATTAAAATTCTCCTTTTTAGCCTGTTGTGTGTAAACAATAATATAAGGTATAGCTGTTTTCTTCTTTCATTTGTATGTGCCAAACTTTTTTTTTTTTTTTTTTTTTTTTTTTTTTTTTTTTTTTTTTTTTTTTTTTTTAAAAAAAAAAAGCAAGATTGGCACTACTTGAGTATCGTATGAATCATTTCTTAGTGAATGGTTATGCAAATTAAAGCTTTAGTTTACTAATAGAATTTATCCACATAAACAACTATGGAAAGATTAAGCATCATGACAGAACTAATAGAGACAGTGAACCTATTTTTAGCCCTTATATGATGAAGTAAAAAAAAAATAAAATAAAATAAAATAAAATAGTATATATTTATATATTGAATCTACTAAAACGAAAGTAGAGAGTTGGTCTTTGCTTGTACAAAACAAACATGATTTCCAAAAAGATTACTTTAAGGTAGGTATAAGCTATTTGCAATGAAAATTTAAAGTAGATTATTCGTTATTTACACAAAATAAAAATAAAGCCCTGAAAAGAAAAAAAAAAAAAGACTAAACTGGCCTGTACTAATTAAACTATGTACATTACATAATCAAGGCACATATTATAATGAACAACAAGCATAATAACGCATAAATACTTGACTGTATACATGATTTATATGAGATAGCAGCGTAATGATAATGAATACTAATCCCAATTGTAAATGAACTTTTATTTATATTTGTGTATTCTATGCTTGTTTAATTTACAAGTTTACATGCAGGTGGATTTATAAACAAACATGCAGGGAAAAGAAAAAAAGATCACATGCACTTCTTTCCAAATTCTCGGAGTACTAATCTAGAAAGGGATTTCCTTCAATGAGCATATAAAAGTCAATATGAAAGAACAAGTAAAAAATAATTCCAGAAGGGATAATCAATAAATTTAGTATATAAACTTTATTTTCTTGTTGTTGTTGTTGACCATTTCTTTTCAACAACATGGCTTGCAAGAATAACGATATATGATAAGATTCTTCTTTTTATCACAGTTTATCATCATTAAAGCATAGGGTGTATAGACTAATTAATATACATCGTATGTAGGAGATTTGCATGTAAATCAAGAGAAGGAGTAGTAAAATAATTCACTTTTTTTTTTTTTTTTTTTTTTTTTTTTTTTTTTTTTACAAGCCTTGGAAACATATTGTTTGTTTGTTTGTTTGTTAGGCATAAGTAAAAGTAGATAAACGGGGCTTTGATCTCACCAGGAAAAAGAAAGACAAACTAAATAGAGACATTGTCATACTTGAGCATTTACTGCAAAGATGTCCCATTATTATATTTCTTTATTCGGTGATCATAGTTATCATCACCTAGCCACAAATATTTCCATTTTATAATTATACAACGAATATGCATGTGGCGTTAATATATACCAATCATATTATTATTATAAAGGAGTGAATTCTTTTCTCTTAGAAACGCGGGCAAGCATAGTGTTACTCGAATGTTATTATTTTTTCTATTCTAACAAAGATGGAAATTCATTTAATTCTTACTGTTCTTTACTTTTACTTTTAACTTTTCTTTTTCCTTTATTTTCTTTTTCTTTTCTTTTCTTTTTCTTTTCTTTTTTTTTTTCATTAATAATACAAGCACACAAAAGATTTTACGCGTAAATTACCCGGGCTTTTTTATTATTATTATTCTCATGAGTGACCAGTATGATTTATCAGAGAATTATTATATATGTCAAAATCAATCAACTACAACAGAATCATCTTCTTCAACAACAATAACTTCTCCTCACTCGTCCCTCTTTCATGTACAAAACTCATTCAATCATTGGTTATCAAATACTAAACACTCTTTTGATTCAAACCTGAATATATCACTACAAGAATACAAGACAAGATCAACCACTCCCTCAAATTCATTATTCAAACAAGAGGAAAAGGATGATCTTTATTCAATATCAACTATACCTTATATTTCACCTTCTTTTGTATCATCGAATATCATTATGCTACCAACTTTCATTATGAATGAGCCAAGAGAGTTTATCAATACAATCCCGTCTTATCCAGCACAGTGTAATGAACAATGTACATTAGAAACTCTATCCTGTCAACAAAAGGCAGAGATGAAACAGCCATTATTGTATCCATTTCCAGAATTGAGTCATAGTTATCGTTTGAATACTTCATTACCTTCCTCTACTACTAATATCACTCAATGCAATTTAATAGGCAATAAAAGAAAACGAAATCAATACTCTAAGGAACGACAAGATGATAAAGAAAAGTATAAACGAGGGGGGGTCTTGAACGATGACGTTAAAGGGGGAGAAGATGAAATAAAGAATATACTAGCCAATCAAACCGTCGATCAGTTACAGAATGAACTCGACTTTCTAACGAATGAATGTTCAACCATCTTAATCATACTTGATTCATTAAGGAATGCCTTTACGGCCAATATATCGACTAAACCATCAAGGACTGTCAATTTTTCATCCATGACTACCATCATTAATTTCACAGCAGAAAATACAGCAAACGAAAGGACATCAGCCTACCCCTTTAAGTATCAAGAAGCAGCAACAACAACAGAAATGATGCAAGATAATAATAAGAAATGGTGTCATCAATCAAATACGAATGTTGAAATGAATCGTGAGATGAGGATTGCTTTTGATGATTTGACCCTTCAAGTGAGACAACTAGAGAAAAAATTAGAAAGATTAGAAGATAAGAGTCAAAATTTATATTTAGAAATCAACACTGCTAATCAAAGGAAAAGCAAAGATTAAGGGGTACAATAACTAATAGTAATAATCATATTTATACATAAAACGCGAATAATAATAACAACAACAATAGTATATTACCTTCAGATATTTAGTACAACCTATAAAACAAAATATTATAATTATTATTATCATTATCATTATACAAAGCGGTCAGTCAGTGTTGATCTATGATCATTAAGGTTTGCCCTCAATAAGTTCCCATTACACTCATTCTCATATATGCTTATATTTATCTATACATATGGGCACGATACTGTTATGAAATATATGTTACTCCTTTTATGTATACCTTTTTTTTTTTCCTCGGTTATACTCGTGCAATGAACATTAATATATACATATAAATAAATAATATCAAGTAAATGTACTTTATGTTAATGAATAAAATTAACTCGTCACAGCAAATTCTTATCAGTACTAGTAAGTGATAGTGGAAAAAACCAGTTACTCGGTTAAATGTTATCATTCAAAAATATCATTTTTAATCTCAAAATTTGCGGGGTAATGTCACACGTGAAGGAAATACGTGTATACTAGGAGAAACAAGGGAGGGGGGGGGTTTAGGGAGGGAGGGAGGGGTACCATGCGAAACTACAAATTAAAATTTATATAATACAAAATATAGGAACTCACCGGAAAAGAGTCGCTTAAACCAAATTTAGTTTTTACAACTCAAGGACAGCAATTTTATTTATTTTATTTTATATTTTATTTATTTATTTTATTTTATTTTATTTTTTTAATTGTTAAATTTCCCTTTAATAAAATTTACACCACCACCCCCCCTCTCTCTTACTTACAATCATGTTGAAATTCCTGCAACAATCTTCACCAAAAACAGTAAGTTTCATTTTATAGAAGGAATTAATTTATTCATCCTTTTTTTTTTCCTGTTCATGTACATTCTAGTTAAATGCCCTCCGTAAGTTATTGAAACCAGTTTCATCTTTACAAATTAAAAACAAGTTCTAAATCCCAAATTTTATTTTTTATTTTTTCACACATGCATATATAGATTCTAATGTAAGCCGATTAACTTCTCGAGCTCTTCATACTTCTAAACCTGCTATGCAAGTTATGTCCAATAACCCTCTTCGAGCTAAAGAAGCAACTGTAAGAAGAAGAAAAAAAAAACAACAAAAACAAATATCATAAAATAATAAATTAACTTTTTAGTATATGTATCTATAGGGCCCAATTGCTAGCAAATATCCTGTTATTGATCATGAATATGATGCTGTTGTTGTTGGTGCTGGTGGTGCTGGTCTTCGTGCAGCTTTCGGTCTTGCTGAAGCTGGTTTAAATACTGCTTGTATTACCAAATTATTTCCTACTCGTTCTCACACTGTTGCTGCTCAGGTAAAAAAAAAAAAAAAAAAAAAAAAAAAAAATAGAAAAAAAATTTTGTATATTAATTCTTCAAGTTTAGGGTGGTATTAATGCTGCTCTCGGTAATATGACAGAAGATGATTGGAGATGGCATATGTATGATACTGTAAAAGGTTCTGACTGGCTTGGTGATCAGGATGCTATTCATTATATGTGTCGTGAAGCTCCTCATACAGTTATTGAACTTGAAAATTATGGTGTTCCCTTCTCAAGAACTCCTGAAGGAAAAATCTATCAACGTGCTTTTGGTGGTCAAAGTTTAAAGTTTGGTAAAGGTGGTCAAGCTTATCGTTGTGCTGCTGTAGCTGATCGTACAGGTCATGCTATCCTTCACACTCTTTATGGTCAATCTTTACGTCACAACACAAATTATTTTATCGAATATTTTGCTCTTGATTTGATCATGGAAGATGGTGAATGTAAGGGTGTTGTTGCATTGAATATGGAAGATGGTACTATTCATCGTTTCAGATCTCATAAGACTGTCCTTGCCACAGGTGGTTATGGTCGTGCTTACTTCTCTTGTACTTCAGCTCATACCTGTACTGGTGATGGTAACGCTATGGTCGCTCGTGCTGGTCTCCCTCTTCAAGATCTTGAATTTGTTCAATTCCATCCTACTGGTATTTATGGTTCAGGTTGTCTTATTACTGAAGGTTCTCGTGGTGAAGGGGGTTATCTCGTCAATTCTGCTGGTGAACGTTTCATGGAGCGTTATGCCCCAACTGCTAAAGACTTGGCTTCTCGTGATGTCGTTTCTCGTGCTATGACTTTGGAAATCAAAGCAGGTCGTGGTGTAGGTCCCGAAAAGGATCACATTCATCTTCAACTCCATCACTTGCCTCCTTCTGTCTTGCATGAACGTTTGCCTGGTATCTCAGAGACTGCTGCTATTTTCGCTGGTGTAGATGTGACTAAGGAGCCTATTCCTGTCTTGCCTACTGTCCATTATAATATGGGCGGTATTCCTACTCGTTATACAGGTGAGGTGCTCAAGGTCAATGAGAAGGGTGAAGATGAAGTTGTGCCTGGCCTCTATGCTGCTGGTGAAGCTGCTTGTGTCTCCGTTCATGGTGCTAATCGTCTTGGTGCTAACTCTCTCTTGGATATTGTTGTCTTTGGTCGTGCCGTTGCTCATCATATTGCTGATAATCTCGAACCAAATACGCCTTTGAAACCCTTCGCTGCCGATGCTGGTGCTAATACAATTGCTAATTTGGATAAACTTAGAAATGCTACTGGTCCTAAACGTACTGCTGATATTCGTCTTAATATGCAAAAGGTAATGCAATCTGATGCTGCTGTCTTTAGAACACAAGAAACTCTTGATGAAGGTAAAAAAAAAAAAAAAAGTCCAAAGTAAATTGATAAATAATTCTCTTATATACATATATAAATATATAGGTGTTACTAAGATTGATAAAGTTTGGGAATCCTTCAGAGACGTTGGTGTTACTGATCGTGGTATGATTTGGAATACTGATTTATGTGAAACTCTTGAACTTCAAAATTTATTGACTTGTGCTTCTCAAACAATGCATGCCGCTGCTGTTCGTACTGAATCTCGTGGTGCTCATGCTCGTGATGATTATCCTGATCGTGATGATGCAAATTGGATGAAGCATACACTTTCATGGCAAAATCAAGAGACAGGTGAAGTTTCTCTTAAATATCGTTCTGTTACTGCAACAACGCTTGATGAAAATGAATGTAAGGCTGTTCCTCCTTTCGCTCGTGTCTATTAAATAGATATAACACAACTACTTTGTTTTCATTCTATATTATTATATATTTCTATTCAAGAAAGAGAGAGAGAGAGAGAGAGAGAGCTCTTCTTTTCTCCCTCCCTCCCTCTTTCCCTTCCTCTCTTCATCTCTTCTTTTCCCCTCCCTCCCTCTCTCTATCTCTTTTTTCTTCTTTTAATTAAGGCCAACATATCTTCATATATGTATATTTTAAATATTATATGATAAAAAAAATTTTGCCAATTTGATATAATTGAAAAAAAATATATATAAGCATATTTTCTTCGTGTTATTTTAATCATCTAATAGGATATAGATGTATATATATACATGTAACTTTTAATAAACTAAACAAACAATATTATGATCTATTATTGTTGAGGACGACGTGACGAATTATATTTGATAACTGCTTCCTCAATCTTTTTGAAAAATTCCTCTCTATTATATTTATCTGAAATGACCAAAAAGGGTTCCCAACTTCTACTTCTCAAGTAGATGGCAATACCCGTGGGTTCACGCTTAATCGTCTGAATTTCTGTAAACGGTTCTTGCCATTCACAAACCAGTTTTCGAGTTAGTATAAGCATTAAACGATGATTCGTCAACATGGCTACACGTTCATCATTTTGTACATGACAATGTGAAAGATACGTATCATCCATGTATTTACCACCTTCAACGTCCTTAAGCCAATATTGTCCAATCGCCTCACGTGATGAATAAGGCGTTAACGTCCCCTCGGGACTAATATATCTAGGATAACGTACTCTTTCAATCATATTTGTATCTGTTGGCGTTGTTGTTGCCCGAATGCCTTCTGTTACATTATTTGTAAAATCCAAGAATCCAATAGCAGGCTTTGTAACGGCACTAAAAAAATAAAATAAAATGTCAAATTAGGCTCTCTCTCTCTCTTTTTTTTTTTTTTTTTTTTTTTTTTTTTTTTTTTTTTTTTTTTTTTTTGGTTAATTTCCAACCATATAATCGATCTATTTACCCAACAAGTCCTTTTCCAAAACCTCTAAAGAATCCACCTACTCCTTCTTTTGTTGCTCCTTCCATGGGCCGTGTCTATAGAGACATGTTAATCTTTTGTTTTTCTACTTTTTATCTTTAATTATTTTTTTGTCACTTACTACAAGGCCAGAAAATCCACTTGCAACACTATTTGCAAAAGACGTTGCTCCCTGAGTGACACCAACCAGGGCATGCTTAGGTCGATTCTTGGCCATATTCATTCGTCTACGATCTTGGTATTCTCTATCCATTGTAGCTGCTGATAATCCTTTTCCAATACTTCCTGTAAATTTCGTAAAACTATCTGTGACTCCATATACGCTCTTTTGGATAAATCCACCAAAACCCTAAATGATGATAAACAAATTAAAAAAAAAAAATGAAACGTATTTTTATTATATATAAAGAAATAAAATAAAATAATTTACATACCTTTGCAATACCGTAACCTAAATCCTGTGGTCTATCACTCATAATCAAACCTTGCCATGGCTCATAAAATAATTCAGCAACACCCGAACTAAGATTGTTAAATAAACCTACAGGATTACCCAAGAAATCTGCTGAACCAAGGATACGATAGACTTGATAAATAAATTGATCACTGTAGTGTAATAGGATACGATTAGCAAAATCACCACCACTCGCCATCACATTCTCAATAGCCAAGGCATTAAATCTTAGGGGGGCTTGATTGATATTACCGATTGTCATGGTGAGTGCATTCAGGATATAGGCCCAAGCTGAGTCAGACTGCTGAGCGTTATTGAATGTGCTATCTTGGCCTGACCTCAAGAAGGATAGATTAAATCGAATCGGTTGAATACTAAATACTTCAAAGTACATTTGAGCAATGTTATTCTCTGGTTTGATATCAGGGATATCAGTTGTAAATTCCCATAATTTGCTATGTTCTTCTTCTTCCTTTTGTCCGGTTTTAGGACCTTCAATATGTATAAAATTCATAATTGCATACACAAATGATTCTTCTATTTCAATACTCATTTCTTGTAATAGTATAGAAAAATATTTAAAGTAAATAACACCATGTGAGTCATCCTTGACACGATCTAAAGCCATCTGGACAGTAGGTAATATCTGATTCTCTTTACGATTGCCACCGTTATTAGTCAAATTGGTAGGATAAAGCAGAATGGGGAAAACGGATCCATACATTTGATTGTCAATCTGTACCCAATCAATATTCCAACGTAATGAATGATATAAATTAGAATCCGTCAGTTTTAGATTAATACCTCTAAGGGTAGCATAAGCTATTTCCTGTAACTGTTGATTGATTAACGAGATGCCTACTTCTTTTAATTGAATTTGGAAGATAGCGTTTATAGTCATGTCTATATCTACTGCCTCGAATCCTTCCTTAGTCACTGAATCAACAGAGGTCACTGAACTCGCTGAGCTTACGCGAGATAGATGACCTGAGGAGGAGGAGGAGGAGGAGGAGACAGGTTTGAAATGGCTTTCACTTTGGCTGAAGGGTGTCAATTCAAGTACACGTGTTGTACCAACCATCTTTGTATCAATGGACGTGATGACTTGTTTCCCATCACGCGTTGTATGACGGAAAGGTAACATACTACCAATCTCTTGTAAATTGATGCTTCGTTCTCTTCCATTAATATTCACTATAATTTTCTTATCTTTATAATCAGGTAAATCCCAAGAATAAGGAACCGTTTGTTGAGCAGGTAAACGATATCGTTTTATACGTGGATTACGAACAGGTATTGAACTATAATCATCTCTGAGACCAACGGGGTCCTCTTGATAAAATATGATATCTTCATCGGTTTTATTCACTAGTAAATAGGGCCAATGATCTTCCTTGTTCAAGACAATGAAAATAATCGCATCTTGAATCACTGTAGTCACCCTGACCAGCGTATCTTGTTCATTAAAATTATTTGAAAGTCGAATGTGCACATCACCAATATCTTGAATATTGAATGGTGCAGACCAGGCGTTACTATAACCTTCCAGTTTGATTGTCAATTGCTTTTCATTCTGAACGCGCATATTATAAAGCGGAATTCGTTGTTTAGCTTCCAAGATATAATCTGATTTAGTTTCAGGTACACGATAACGGATATTTTCATCCATTTGATTGCTTAATACAAACCGAGGTGTAATCGTAATCGTCTTTGTCAGCTTAAATTTACCCTGTCCTTCTTGTACATGAATACCAACATGGATTTCTTCTGAATGACCTTGATTTGGTAGAGCAACATCATAAACAGTACCAATAGCTTCAAAACTCAATGGTTGACTCCATTCCGTTGTATCCACTCGAATCAATGTTCGATTACGATTATCAATATTGGGATAAGAATATAAAAATGGCTCAGGTGTAGGTCCTGGTCGACTGATGACGATATTTTCATTAGTTGAATAAAATGCTTCAGACCAAGCAAGTTTCTCCTTGAAGCTGATTGGTAGGCCTGTCTTATTCAAGATAACATAAGGACTGAAGATACTATACTTTCTAGCTCCTCCTGAATCAGGTATATCAACTGTGTTGATGCAAATATTTAATTTACTCTTATTATCCTTGTTGACTAACTCAATTGAGTGATCAATATCCAAGTCATCTGTTCTTTTCGTACTAATGATGGCATATTCACTACGCTGATAATCCGTATCCGGCATCTCTATCCTTAAAAGTACTAAATGATTGTTTTCGATAACATGAATTGGTGTCACGCCACCTTTACGCAGATAGGAGCTGAAGTCTTGACCAGACGTTTTATCAACAATGCGAAAATTGAAATTAAATGGCAGCAAATTTTCAATCTCAATAGGTGCACTAAGACGAATAGCCATAGCAGGATATTGTCCAAATAATATGCTTTTTTTATCTAGACGTGCAGCAATTTGAAAGATAAAGGAAGGTATACCATTATCTTCAGGAGCACAGTTGAATGTATTGGGTGGCTTGACTGGATTAGCAAAATCTCTCCAATGGAAAGCTTTCTCTGGCCAACGGTAACCGAAGCCAGCTATTATTATCATTTTTTTTTTTTTTTTTTTTTTTTTGAAAAAAAAAGTGTTAATATATTCACCATACTTTATTATTGTTCCTTTTTTTTTTCCTTACCATCGGGTCGAATAAGAAACTTATTTGTATATGCTTCTTCAATAGGAATAGGATAATCTTCACCAGGAGGAATCTTTTTGATCGCCTTACTTATTTTACCATTAGGATTAACAGATGCAATATCAACAGATACCAAAGTTCTGTTTTCAATAACAAGCGATGATCGAATCGTAACAATCTTGATATTATCTACCAACTTGACCTCAAAAACAATACGATGTTGAACTTGATTAATCATAGGACGAAGATCATGCATATGCTCTCCTTCTCTATTAAGATTAATCTTTCGAAGACTCTCCCAGATAGCTCCTTCAATTTGAATATTTAATTCATTGCTAGTAAAAGTGGTCGTTTCACGTCGCTTTTTCCAGTCTTCAAACCACCATGGTAAGTTACCTCCATTTTTTATCTCCTTAATAGTAGGTTCATCAGTTGTGTTCCAAACCATGATGTTGTACCCTGTTCGATTTCTCAATTCATAGGGTGCAACACGCCCTCTTTCGCCACTGTAAACAGCATTCTGTTGTTCATCCAACAAACGTAACGTGCTAATGGAACTTTCCAAAAATGTATGAGTAATATTCAAATTCAAGTTGGAATTAGAAATAATTTTGACTTTCAAGGGATCATTTTTGATAACTGGATTACGATTGAACTCTAGTCCAAAGTTCCATGGCTCTAGAAGGGGTTCCCAATGAGAATTTTTAATATTAAAATAATTGATATACGATTGGAAATCGACAGTGGCTGATAAATCCTTCGACCAATTAGCAATCTCCAAATTAAAGGGGCTCAAGTTCATATCAATCATGGGTGTTTCATGAAGCTCCTCAATCAAAATAATCTGTGCCCCTTGAAAGGAAATACGGAGTGATTCCTCTGCCAGTGCTATTTCGTTTAAGCGGTTGATTTCTGTAGCAGATAAAAGACCTTTTTGTGTATTGTTCATATTAGATGTCAATTGATTTGGAGCATTATTAATACTGGCATTATATAGTTCATAGGCCTTATTGAAGATATCTGTCACTAGCATCACATCGCGGTAAGAGAGACGCAAGACGAGAGGATCAATATTGATCACAAAATCTGTTAAAAGACCACCTTTGTCGTTTCTGGAGTTCCCATTCATAGATAGATTAACATCAAATGGCTGAATAAAACGCAATGTGGATTTATTTCTTATGTCCATACGACATAAAAACATACCCATTTGTTTAATGACAAGCGCTATCTTTGTCTGTTGAGTAATCATAACCTCTTTGGCTGATAGAACTACAGCTTCAGAGTCTGCACGATCAGGATCAGCTAATAAAATAAATTCAGCATTTATTATATTTAAGAGATAAGAGAGGTCTATTCCTTGCGGTTGCTCTTCAATATTTTGTTGATTGACATCCTCTTGGCCGTTATGTTGGCTAGCTTCAGTATTGAATGGTAAAGTGAAGAAATTGTAAAGTAAGAAGCTATGATCTAATGACAAAATAACTCTTGGGTCCTTGATTGTAATGATCATGATTCCCGAACGAATAGGATCTGGCTCATTCAGATCTAACTGAAGTTCAAATTGGTGTCCTTCTTTAATGACAGGCACAATATTTTTGAATTTGCTACGAATACCTGATCTCGTGTCATCTACAGTTAAAGAACGAACAACCAAATTGAGATTCATACAGTCATCCTTAAACATATTAAAGGTAGCTTCCATATTATTTAATGCGAAATAAGCCAAACTAGGTGGTTCTTGAATGTTGCCTTTAGCATCTTTATTATCCATGTAAATCTCCAAGCCTATGGTTTGAGCATTTAGGCTGAAACGAATGCGGGGTAATTCCTTTGATCTGTCCTTTTCAGTAAACGTCTCTGTTGGTCTTTTGTATACAGTTGATTCCTTTATATTTCCAAGAGACGTATTGACCAACATATTGTTTGTGGACTTATTCTCATCTATTTCTTCATTAGAGTCATACGAAAAAACACGAGAGAACATATTGATAGCTTCCATTAAAAATAAATACTGCCTCTCTGTTAAACGCATGGAGATATCTTTAATTTGACCACAAATATTAATGTCAGGACGATGGGCCGATGTCTCTAAAGGAATTTTGATATCTAAATTCAAGTCAGTATCAGCCACAATAGGTAACGTTTGCAATTGTGTTGAAAAATGAAACTTGGATGTGAGATTAATAGCTCGTAAGCCTGCCTTGATGGTATTGATGCAACCGTCTTCTTCATCTGCAAATGTGTTGAATGCCCAAATCTCACCCAAATGAGCAACCACAACATCTGAAGGATGTTGGTGGTATTCAGGAAATAAGACAACTGGTGTCTTAATGATAACATCAAAATGCATTTTCGTCGCTACCTCTCCAAGTTGTTGAGCAGACTCTAAAGCTGCTTGTCGAGCCATATCGTACATAGCTTTCATTTCCGCAAATTTACTCAGATAATCCATAAATTGATGAAGTGGTTGTTCCAAGAAATTAAATTGAGCAGAACCCATACGAACATAAAGTGCATGATCATAGCCCGGATAACCTCCTCGTCCATCATTGATATATGAGTTGTATCGAAGATCAATTAATTCTTCACCTTGAATGGTTAAAAGCTGATTATTGCTCATATTTTTAGTTCCATGATTCGAATTTGGCAAGTTATTTGTCAGGGTAAAGTTAGCGAATTTAGCAGCCACATTAACTTGTCCATCAACGACGATAGTAGATAAGTCACCTAACGATAACTCACCAGTTGCTAACCTAACGCCATCATTATTAAGAACAAAATTAACACTATCCAATAAGAGACGAAGATAGATACTACTGCCTTCATTGTTTAAATTCTCTGCCGATGGAAGAGGCGCTTGACTTAATGGCAGCTCAACATCTGTTGAATTTGAAGATTCAATTGATGTGATACTGTTTGATGTACTAGTAGTCTCTTCATCAACAAATGTATGCAATATGAAATTGTATAAAGTCAATACAGAACTTTGCGTTACAATGAAATTCAATGTTGAGAGTGTTACATGAACGGTTTGATCAATTCCTTTGTATTTGCTCATATATTCAGGACTGGCTTTATCACATCGAGTATATTCTACATTGACCAAATTTTTTATATTTGCTTCAGGTTGTGTTTCATCAGATTGAAAGGCATACTGATCTGATGTAATGAGGTATTTGAATTCATTCCCATGTTTCATACGATCAGTCACATCTAAGGACTCTAAGGAAACATTGACTGACATATCCATAGGTCTCATCTTTAAGTTTAAAATTAAGTTTTGCAAGTCCACCTCGCACAATAAAGTCTCTGAAATAAGACTACTAGTGGTATCTTGTTTCTGTGACTCTAAAACATTGGCGAGTACACGATCCACTTTAAAATCGAGTTCGAATACCCGTTCTTCAATGTTAATTGTTTCTTTCTTTTCTGTGCCATGACTAGAGTTTCTAGCCATTTCTGTTCCTTCTATATTTATTGTCTTATCAACAGAGGAATTCTCTTTGAGTTCACTATCTAATTCGCTATCTGTATCAAAGAAAATATCTTCATGTCCTTCTGTCCATAAATGTGTATTCAATAATTCAAACCATTGATAATCCTTCCCATTTTTTCCTAACACATTGGTATAAGGGTATTGTATGTTCAAATTTTGTTCATCATTGCTACCCAATATACCAGAGGCTTCAATCAAACGTGGTAACTGCATAATAGCGCGATATTTGGTATCTGAAAAATTAACTTTCAATAGTGGCAAATGGCCTGATATCTTAAATCGTGGCATTTCAATTGATTTTCGGATAATACATAACTCCATTAAGAATGTCATATCGATAGGGTCTACAAAGTGAAGATAGCTGAGTTCATCTCGAGGTCTACGTACTTGTACTAAACAGGTCTCAATCGAATCACCCACAAGTATTTTAGTTTGAGTTAACTGTACAGTAAATCTGTCATACATGAGGTCTCGCAGTTTAGCGGTATCATCTATTGTTGATTTTGATTTCATTAATGCCAAAGCCTCAGGAGGAGCCAAGTTACTCTCAACATTAATATGACCTGCATCAATGACAATACCACGTGATTCAATGGAAGTACAATCTTCAGGAATGATGATGACAGGTGCATCCATATCAATTTGTAAATCAATGGTTGTATGCTGATCTAATGCAAATTCTAAACTTGCGCGTGTTTGGTTTTTAATATCCTCCAATGTGTCACCTGCCACTTCAATCAAAGCATTAATACTATCAGCGCTTGTCTCAGGAGGTGTAAAGAAGTCAATAATTTCATAAATAACCAATGGATTATAAACAATATCAATGTTACGCATAAATAATGCAATTGCATTGTCCGCACGATTATCCAATGGCTTATATTCAAATTTAATAGTGAAAAATGGATCATTTACAGAATCCTTAATAAGTGCATTTGCCAAAGATGATTTTCTTCTTTTTCGTATTCCTTCATTATCTTTATCTTTTGCACTCATTAGTTTGTAATAAGGTGAATCGATACGCTGACCATCGTATAAGCAAAGGTCACCAAGTGTAGCAGTCGCTGTCAGGGATTGAATATATTTAATCATACCTAGCGAGACATTATCGAAGACAAGCGAAATCAAATCGACATGATTTTTATGAGGATTTTTACGTACAGTAAATGTGCCTTTGTTAAGTGAAGTGCTTAAAGATAATAACATTGTCTATTTTTTTTAGAAAATAAATAAGTTCAATATAAAGTTATATAAATATCTATATTATTATTATTCGTTTCTTTAAACTTACATCTTTTGGTAAATCAACAGAGGCTGCTATAGCAGCTTTATCAGCATCATAATCAATAACATCATAGAATTCACGTTTTTGTTCCTCAGTAAAGATCAACTCGTCATCCTCAGAGATATTATTCTGTTAAAAAAAAAAGGAGGGGAAATAAGCATTGCATAAATACGTATATATACTTATATATATGTATGTATGTGTGTATGTATATATGTCTATTTTTGTTACAATCCTTACGTTTAATGAATTTGATGTAGAGTTTGATCCAGACCACCAATTAGTGATACTCCAACCCTGCTTACTTTTATTTTTTTCAGCTTCTTCTTTACGTCGCTTCTCAATAGCAGCTACATCAAACAAAAAATAAATATTTAATCATGAAAAGGAAAAGAGAATGAAGTTAACTTTTTTTTTCTTTTTTCTTTTTTTACCTAATCGTGCTTTCTCACTACGGAGCTTAGGCTTTGCCAAACTACGATAAAATCGAAGGTCTTCATAACTTAATTCCCATTCTAATTGCTTTAGTCTTTCCAACTGTTCCAGAGAAGCTCTATCTAATTTATGCTGTACATAGCATTCAACATATTCCTTTCGATCATCTCTTCTCTTCTTTAAACGATTCCAAGTCCAACGCTGATTACGTTCATGTATTTCCGATAATACAGCATTGCCTGCAAACCTGAAATATTCAAGTGGATTTGATTTAGGTTTCACTTCAGGTGGTGGATGAAGATGCTTATATTTCTGCTTTTTAAGATAGGAATGAAAAAGGTCAATCATCAAGATGGTATCTCTATATTGTTCATTATCAACAGTAAATGAAAGTTCGTCAAATAAGAGAGCTGCATCGATTTTAGGCGTGCTACCTCCAAAATTCTTAAATAACTTGACTCGGCCTGTTCCTGATACTGGTTTCAAAACATATTGATGTTCTATTGGTATATGATTCTTTGTGGCAATCTATTGTATTTATATGTATGTATATGTTTGAAGGCAAATAAATGATTTTTAGGTGAATACTACTTGTATAAAAATATATACATATATGCTAATATCGAAAAAAAAAAGTACCAAATTTTTAAACAACGAATGGTTTTCATTTTGAGATAAAGTTGATGTATTTGTATCCCAATAAATAGTCAATGATTCTAAAGTAACCAACTATTTTTTTGATTATTTAAAATAAGGAGATATTAGATTTCCTAATGACTCTTTATGTGTGTATCTTTTACCTTATGGATAATATTCACGGCTTCACTTATTGTATTTGCAATCCAATTTTCATCTGTCGTAATAGCAGACAATTCACTCAACGTAATACCTGCAGCAAATTGATGATCAGTAGAAATATTATCTTCGTATCGGACATGTATATTTGTAATAGAAAACTGCAGATTATTTAAAATCTTTATTAAAAGTTGATTAGCAAATGTATCATTTTTAGCATCTTGTGATATATCATGCTGATTTGTATCTATTGTAATTTCTGCATTTTCTAGTTTTCTCATTTTAGCTTCCTGGTCTCTTTGTGCAAGCTCCTCTGCAGTCATCTAGATAATAATTTATGTGTATACACATATTTTTTTTTTTAAAAAAAAATGCGCGGGCAAAAAAATAAAAATAAATAAATGAATAAAAGTTTGAACCTTAAATAAATAAATAAATATTTACAGTGGACTCATTCCTTGGAACTGCTAAAACAAAGACATCATTGACATTAATTACAACAGGCTTTCCTCTTAAATTATTCCAGGGAATAGTTAAAGTAAGTTCACCAAGATAACCTTATATTATTATCATTATTATTTAAAAAAAGGCATTAATAGGTTGAATAGAAACAATATATGCAGCATTAGGTAATTAAAATGGAGTTAACAATTACCTTCCAAGACATCGACAGGTAAATTAAGTTTATCTAATGCATCTCGTCGAAGTTTAAGATCACGTAGAGTTACCTGGCCTTATATTACATATATATTTATGTTTATATTATTTAATCACTTTTTATTTGACTTTATTATTGTTCCTTTTTTATTATGTTATTATACCTGACCAGATTCCAACTTTAAGCTGACTGTAATTCAAATTAGAGACATAGGCACCTAAAACTCTATTCAATAGAGTAGAGACAATGGACTCTAACATTTCTTAGTGTTCAATTTAGACAACTTGTATAATAATAATAATAAGAATAATAATAAAAATAAAAACAATAAAGACTGATAGAATGCGGTATTAAGATTATGCAATTTTATATTCCATGTGTGTTTCTTTTTTTTTTAAAAAAAAAAATAAAAATGACATAATAATTATTGTTCTTGAATTATAGGCTCAAAAAAAAAAAAAAAAAAAAAAAAAAAAAAAAATAGTCGAGTTGTACAACAAGGTTTAATTATTTAAAATTTTATTTGCATCATCATTATTTGTTGGAAAGTTGATAGCTTCGTGATCATGTCGACATTCCCATAAACTAAGTTGATACAAAGTAATGACTACTAAAAGATGAAGTAGTAATGAATAAACAATGAAAAAATAACGAGACCATTTATGTGAAAATAATATACGCGTCAGATTAAGCGTTAGTTTCTCTGCTGGATTCAACGCATTATATCTACGGCTCTCCTCCTATTTATTTGAATAATTTGTAACTATTTTTAATTTCTAGGTACAAGTATTTTTTTTACCTTTTTATGGAACTGAGTAAAGGGGTTCATACTTTCTTCATATAATTTACTATATTTATCAGATGGATCATCGATTCCCTTATTAAATGAAGTTTTCTTAAAGCTTCGTACAGGCATTCTATTCTTATTACTTGATTCTATTGAATCTATATTTACAGCAACAGAGCGATTCTTTATTTGATTTAAAGTTAGAACTTAATACATAGACATACAATATATAATACTTACTGTTAAAGGCTTATCATATTGCTGATCTTCTTTCCAGACATGTACAAATTTAAGTCTTTCATATAATTTTATATTATCAGTCTTCAAGCTTTGTATTTCTGTACGTGCATCTTGTAATGAAGACTCTAAGGTTCGCGTTTGTTCTTCTAACTCTGCATTTCTCTGCCTAAATCTATCTCTTTGGCTCATTACGATAGGTAAAATACCTTTATCATCTTTTCCTTTTAATTCACTAGAATACCGCGATACTGCTCCATCTGAAGTACTGTTAGGTGTCCCTAATGGGTTCTTACTATTTATTGCTTCAATAATGGATGAATCCGATGATTGTTGGCCTACACGAACGAGATCTTCTTCTAAACGTTGGACTAAAATCGTTTTTTCGCTCAAGGTCTGACCAAGTTGCTCCAATTGTTTTGTCTTTTCTTCATATTCTTCTTGAAGATCAGCAAATGATACTTTAACTTGAGTATATTCATTTTCTAACTTTTTATTCTTTTCCATCAATTGAAATTCTAGACTATCTTCAACATTATTTCCTTTCTTAAGTACATCGTTTGCTTGAAAATCGTCTTCTCCTGTTGAAAATTCGACATACTTGAACAGGAAATTTAATATCCTGGACTTTATTTCCTTTTCTTTTTTTTATTCAAATACCTTCATTATTTGTAATTCACGCTTGATTTCATCATAGTCTTCAAAAGACTTTAACTTTTTCTTTAGATTCTCTTTTTCTTCACTCTAACATACATATTTATACTTAATTTTTTGTTGTTAAAATTCAATAGCAAATTTTACCAACAAATTTATTTCATTTGTTAATTCCTTGATTTTTTTTGTTAATCGTGTTTCGGTTTTGTGAAGTATATCCTTATATGTTTCAACATCTTTAATCAATTTTGTTATTTCAACGTCATATTGTAATGCTTCATTTCTAATATCTTGATCAATATATATTCATGTCCATCTACAAACTATAATTACCTCTCATTAACGTTTCTTGATTCAGAAAGCTTTATATTTTCTTGTTTCAAATCTTCCTATACACATAATTGTTATATATACATATATATTTTTTCTTTCATTTATCTTTTCGAGAATAGATTGTCATTTTACAATTTGTTTTTCGAATTGAATAATTTTTCCGTTAGCACGTTCAAGATCCATAATAACAATATCCAATTCAGCTAATTTGCCTATAACTTCTTCATCTATACATAAAAAAAATATATATGTGAATAGATGTTGATAAACATATTCAACATAATGTTATATATATAGTACCATATTTTTGATCATGACCAATAAGTTGTGCTTGTGTATCATCATGAGATTGTCTTAATTCAGTCAATTGGTCCAAAGCTTGGTTTAATTGTTTTTGAAGATCATACTCTCTATCATGAAATGCAAAGGAATTAATATGCTTTTCTTTTAATTCATTTACATTAATATTACCGTTCTTTGTATTGTCGAATTTTATCATTATATTGATCTCTCATTTCTTGCTCTATTGAGCTGGTATCTTTTGACTTCTTTTCGATTAACTATAATATTTATGTCTGTTAAAATGTATACTGGAAAATGTATACGACATTTTTACCGAGGCTTCTAAATTTGATACTTTTTGTACCAATTCTAAATTTGTTTTTTCAACTGATTCCAGGCGTTTAATAGTTGCATTTGCTTTTTCTAACTGTTCTTTCAAATAACTATTTTCGTTTTGTAATTCAGTATTATGAATTATAGAAGCGCTCTGGTCCTTTTTTTTTTTAAAAAAAAAAAAAAGAAAAAAAAAAAGAAAAGAAAAACGTTAAGTAAACATAAAAAGTGCATAAAAATAGAAAAAGTACCACTGCAGCTTCAAATAATGGAACAGGATCGGGTGCATCTGCTAACAGTTTATAAACTGTTAGAAATGCGTTTTCTGCAAATTTTGTGCGTTTAGTAATGTTGTCGATTTCACTTTGATAACCTAATAATATATACATTTTGAATACGTAATAGTAAGAAAGAAACCATTCATAAATATTCACCTTTCAAAAGCGGTTTAAACTTTAAAAGTTTATCTTCATCAGGTATTTTTTTAAATTCTAACTTAATAAATAAGTTAAATGGCGTTTTAACTATAGAAAAAGATTTTATGCACATACCTCTTGTTTGTTCAGCAAGTTTTTTTCTAGAAACTAAACCATCCTTTTGATTTTCAACAATGACAAGACCTTGTTGGTCGAGTTCCTTTTGTAAATTAGAAAGTTGAATTTCTTTCCAATATTGAATTGCGGAAGAGAATTTATCTTCACTCATAAAAAGAAATAATAAATAAATAAAAAAAAAAAAAAAAAATTGATTTTTTTTTTTTTTTATTTTTATTCATGATCATTTTTCAGCGCGTAGCATAATTTACATACCCGCTTGAATCTTACATAATAAGGAATTTAAGCAGTTGAAAAAGAAAAAATAAATAAATTGATAAACTCAAGACTAATATAATAAACACACACACACAGAATTAAGTATAGACTATTTTTTAATTGAATAAAGACTTTCACATCTTATAATTTCCTCTTATGTTTATATTGAGAGGAGAAAGCAAGTTTTTATATTACTTGTTTTAGCTTCGAGGTTTCAATAATAACCCTTTTAAATCTGCATTTAAAAGAAAAAGGTACGAAATCAAATCAATAGGTTAAATTTTGAGGGTAGAACTTCTTCTTTCTGGTAGTTTTTTATTATGACTAAAAGTAAAGATAGTTGGTCAATCAATTATTATCAGCAAGTTGTTAACTCCAATAAAAAGGTTTTGACTTCTTCTTCGCTATAAAGTCGCGTTTCGTTTTGTTTAGGACTTTTACCACTGCATATTAAATTTTTCTGTTTTAAATCACATACTTTTTTTTTTCTTTTTTTTTCCCATAAAATAATTTTCTTTTTTTTCTTACTCAACTATTACTTGTTCTTCTCCTTTAACCTTTATTTATTCATATAATAATGGCATCAGCAAAACTAATTCAAATCATTACAGACATCGACATGGCTCGATGTAATAGTAACTGGGCTGTCATACCTGACTTGGCTAGAAAATACAAAAAATATAATCCAGGTGGAGTAGGTAAGCTATATAAGATTTTTTTTTTAATAATAAATTGATAAACTCTTACTAATACACATATAAAGTATTAGAACAAATCCTTTTAGTAGAGGCAACTTTTATTCAAACGATAAATGATATACGCTCAACAAATAGGGTTAATTTTGAAAATGATTGTCCATATCACGTTAGCATAGAGTATCGATTAGAACCACACTATGTTAAATCATATCAAGATCAATTGATGGCTGCTATTCAACTACCAGATTCAACAAATACAAATAAAACTGAAAAAGAAGTATATGCATACATACATACATACATACATACATACACATATACATATATATATATATATATATATATATATAAATGTATACACATATAATATTAATTTATATTTATTATTGTATACTAAATTATATATGCATAAAAATATAAGTTTGCTAAAATCATTTTAGCACGTACTTATTTTGAATGTGGAGAATATCAAAAAGCACTTGATATAATTAGTAAACTATCATTTGAAAAGGATCATGTAAGTCAAGGTTATGGCCTAGTTTTATTTTTACAAGCAAGAGTAATAAAAGGTGAATATATATAGAGAGATAGAGAGAGAGAAAGAGAGCTGTCATAAAATAGATCAAATTAATATTTTATTTTTAAGCTATATGTCTTGAATTAACTGGGAATGAAGCGGATGCAATTCAAAGTTATCAAGGTGTTGAAGAGTTATTAACTGAATATACAGATGCTAGATATAAGTCTTTGATTGAATGGTCTGAAGAATCGCTTTATCGTGCTATACTTTTAGGTTTAAGAGAAGGGTAAAAATAAAATAAAATAAAGCTACAAAGATAGGAGTCCTTTCCTTTTATTCACTATTCTTAATAATAATAATTAGATCTATTATAACTATACCTGCTTTGTTAGAATGTATGCGACAATATCAACAAATTACTGCCACTCAGTCTCCTTTGTGGCGTATTCAAAAACGTATGATCATCACAAAGCTTTCTTTACGATATATATCAAGTATATACCGTGAAAATAAATATTGCTTACCATCAGGGTCTCAACCAGACGATCCTTATCTTGAACGACACATGTTTATACGTGAACAATCGCAACTTCATACAATTTATGAAAGAATGCTTTATACAGTCACACCATTACCAAAAGCAGGTCAAGTCAACACACTTGTATTAGATTTTATCGACCAATTTGCAAAAGATTTTGAATTGATATCTACTACAGCATATGATTTACGTGGATTCGTAGAGGTCCTCGATCGTGCTTCACAGCGCACATTTAATTCCCCATTAATTACAAGGCATTTATTTTTGGCATTAGTACGATTAGGTGAGATTGAGGAAGCAGAGCATGCGTTGCATTCCTATTTGTACATTGTGGGTCTAGTAGCGTATGGTTGGAAGGAAAATCAACGAGAGGGGCAGGCATTAGCAACTGACAAAAAGGGGTTCTGCATGCCTGTCCCTGTCTCTCGACCCGATATAGAAACAACTGAAGCAACGGAACAAATCTTGCCTGTAAGACGTGAATCGATTGTAGGTGATATCTCTAAAATTAAAAGCTTAGAAAAAGAAGAAGTGGAGGATACATTGCAAGTACTCTTAACAGCTATCAAAATGTATTGTAATGATGTGTCTCGTAGTACGGATGCAGTAGAAATAGCAGAAATTGCAAAAGAGTTTTATCAAAAGCAAAATATGCGTGTACGTAAATCCACTCTTTCAAATATAGGTGCTTCTGTTTATCGTGCTTTAGGAGCTGCTTATGGATTTTTAGGACGTCAAAGTAAATATAATTCTTCATTCTCTCTCTCTCTTTTTTTATTTTTTTCTACTCATTGACAGTTACTGAATAAAACATTTTGTTTTTGTTTTTGTTTTTTTTTGTCAAAATAGCTTTTGATCCCGATCTACGGCCGATTTATTATGAAAAGGCACTTTCTTATTTAAAATATTCATTGGAACTAAATTCAGACGTTTGGGAAACATATTACCAGCTTGCTTTACAACAAGCAGAGATGCATGATATAAACCAAGCTGTACAATCAATTACAAACGCAATTCAAACGAATCCTTCACAAATTTTACTTTGGCATTTATTGACACTTCTTGTTTCCTGTCCTTGCCAGGGAGATTATCAAAAGGCTTTAAAAACTTGTAATGTAGGTTTAGAACAATTTAATTTGGCTGGTTTGGACGGAGAAAGTGCATTCTATGGCGAGAATTATGATACAGCAGAACAGTATGTAATGTATCAATTAACTAAAACATTGTTGTTGGCTGCATTATACGGTCCAGATTCAGCACTACTTTCTTCTGAAAATTTATTAGTTTATTTTCGTATGATAGCTGCACCAGATCCATCTACAAGTTCGCCCTCTGTTTACGGAGGTGCTCACAATGACATGGTTATTTCTGGTTCTCTTGGTAATTTAAGTGAGTTGCAAATCGTAGTTAATCAAAAGAATCGACGTCAAAGTATAAGCAGTAGTCTAATTGCTACTCAACAACAACAACAACATTATCATCATCATCATCATATATCTAAAATTAATAATATGATGAGCTCTGTATCAACAAGCCGAGTTGGCTCATCATCACATGATAATATATTAACAACATATACCAATAAAACATTAGTAGCTGGCAGAGCTAGATCTGCGTCGAATTTAGGATCAAATAATAATAGTATAATATCAAACAACAACAATAATAATAACAGCCAGTTATTAACTGTACCTGGTAGTAATAACGAAGTAAAAAAGCATCACCATCATCATTTACATAGTCTAAATCCTTTTGGATCTAAAAGCACTCGTAATAAAAGCATACTACCTCAGCAAACCAATTATATTTATTCACAAAATGCAGGAATTGGAGATAATTTCAGTATTCAATCATTACCTATATCATCATATGGTAAGTAAAAGAATATGCATACATGTATATGTATATGTATATGTATATATATATATATATACATATATATACGACATATTATTAACAATTTTCGCATATAGATACTAAAAGTATTGGGACTAATTCAGTAGCATCACTTCATAGTATTACACCTTCTTACATAAGCAACCAATCCATTTTACAACCTAAAAATATACCTTCAAAACCGAGCACACGAACCATTCTGAGAAAAGAAAAATCAAGTCGTATCTTATCTGATCTTTGGCTTCTAATTGCACAATTGTATATAAAACTTGGAAAATTAGACGAAGCACACAAGGCAGTGAAAGAGGCTGAAGATGCGAACTCTACTACAAACCCTCGAGTATGGTGTATTTTAGGACAATTATTGCAAACAGAGGGTAATATTGAGCAAGCACAAATGGCCTTTCATAAAGCACTTGCAATTGATCCACATGATGTTCTTTGTCGACTTTGGCTTGCCAAGTCTTATGCAGAACAGGATAGTCAAGACCTTGCTGAAGGCTTATTAGATGTAATTACAAAATCGAATGGTTGGGATTGTGCTGAAGCATGGTAAGTAAGACAAAATAATAATAATAATAATGATATACAACATCGATTAAAGACTCATGTACATGACAGGTTCCAATTAGGTGAAGTATATAAACTGACAGGAAGATTAGATCGTACAAAGGATTGTCTTTTTTATGCACTTGAATTAGAATCTACTACTGCCATTCAGTCATTTTCTATCTTACCAAGTTATATATAATAAATAATCTAATCTGATTTTATTTGTCATTTTATATCAGATCATATACTTTTTTTTTCATGCTGAATAAATGATATTTTATTTACTTCTTTTTATATATATGAATATATATACATATATACCATTACATTGTCTATAATACAATTATATATTTAAAAGCTTCTCTTTTTTTTTTTTCTGCTCTATCTTTTATACTTTTCTTTCTTTTTTTTCTTGAAAAAAAAAATGTAGACGAAAAAGTTTAAGGGTATTGAGTAAGAGCTTTTTCTGTTGTTTTCTATACATGCAAAATAAATTTACAAACTAATTAGTGAAAAGTATGATTTTGTAAATCTTCTTCACTTTGATTTTTGTCTGCAAGATTTAATTTTCTCATTTCATTAAAAGCAAGAGAAAAGAATGGTCGAATTTTGTTGATTTCCATAAAAGACAAGTTGTTCATCTAGAATATATAAATAAATAAACATGTATTATAATCTATACATGTTTCAATTAGATTATAGTGAATTACCCCAAGCCATTTATCATCAAGTGCCTTGAAACCTTCTCTTGCCTTGGCTTCCCTTGTTTCTTGCAGATCTTGTAATATTTTATGAATTTGTTCAGCATTAGGAATGTCATCAGGCGCCCTTAAAATAGATTTATAAAATAAATAAGTAAAGCTAATGCGTCAATATTTTTTTTTTATTTTCCTCTTTTCTTACGCATCAAGTAACATTTGTGATAACTCCATATAATGAAATGGTAAATTACTGAATTCTTGCTCTTTTTCTTCTTCTTCTTGTCTCTTTTTTAAAAAGTCTTTGTATTTTTTCCTGTTAATGATAAACAAATACATTAATTTATTAAGTATTACCAATGTTGAGCCAATCAGGGCAAATAATAGAGCATTTATTATTTTTTTTCATTAGTAAAGCCAACCAAATAGGTACTTCTGTGGCTAATGGAGGTAGAAAGGGACCATATGTGCCCTAATCAGTAGTGAAATTTTAGTTAATATCAAATAAAAAGAATGGAAAAAAAAAAAAAAAAAAAAAAAAAAAAAAAAAAAAAAAAAAAAAAAAAAAAAAACTGCATCTAATTTACTTGAATGAACTGCAATCGTGGTAGCTTTGTTTTTGGAATGATTTTAATCTTTTCATCACTGGCTATAAATTCAACTTCGCTTGGTGTAAACGAAGCTTGATATGCGCGAGGTAAAGCCATTATATACGAAAGTAGAGAAAAAAAAATAAAGAAATAAAAGAAATTTAACTTTTTATTTTATTTTATTTTTTTTGAGACGTGATCTGAAAAAAAAAAAATAAAATAAAATAAAATAAAATAAAAAAAATCGCGTTTTTTTTTTTTTTTTTTTTTTTTTTGGAGTATGCAAATATAAAATCAGTATAGTAAAAGCTATGAACATATGATAAGCATGGTAATAGAAAATACAATAGAAAACTTAATATTTACTAGGATAACTAGTAATAGATTTAAAGTAGAGAAACAATAAAAAAAAGATTTGGAATTTTTATCTGTAATTATAAAGATTCCAATTTTTTTGATTCACGTTCAAGTTACGCATATAGAAGCTTGCTTTAATATCTATAGGAATAAGTGACTGTATTTAAGATTGTACAATAGACAAACAATCAATTCTATCTATGTATCCTTGAGATGAGAGTAAAACTTGTTTTATCTATGCTATGCTACAAGTCTTTGATTCAAATTCTGTTATGTGTTCGAATATAAACTCTTTATCTTCTTTCATCTCTTGCTTTATTTTATTTGTATATAATAGCTTAAACGAACTACGTTTAAAATTGAATTATTATTATTATTATTATTATTATTATTATTATTATTATTATTATTATTATTATTTGACCAAATGAGCATATAGCATTTTTCATCTGCTGTATTGCCCTAGTCAGTTCTAATAGTGTATAAGTAAGAAAAACCCTCTTTTGAGACAAAAGGGAAAAGGATAAAAGTATATGTGTAAAAGGGTAAAATAAATATAATGATTTAGACAGAAATAAGGTGATTGGAAAAAAAAAAGATTAGTAAGATAAAATTCATAAACAATATAAGGATATTAGCACTGTTAGTTGAGTAACTATTTCATCAGTAGTGAATTAGGTTCTGAGGGAGGATCTGGAGGTAGCTTTTCATGAAAGAGGTAATCTATTTCATGTAGAGTGATACAAATAGCTGGCCAACGGATTGTCCAAGGAGCCACATCCTGTGAGTGTTTTAGCTTTTTAATAGGTAGTTGGTTTAGCAGGAAGGAGAGTGGGTTGGTGACCGTTCTTGGCATTTGGAGTCGATGGTGCATATGTAGACATTCAATCGAATGAGTACAACTGAACATTTGAGAAGGATGTTAGGGACATGAACGAGGTATACCGCCAGGTAGCCAACCGAGGCACCAGCAGAGGACTTGGCTTCTTTTCGTATTCGTCATGGGCAGCCAAAGAATTGGATCGACGATCATATGAGGACGACATGTACGAATAAGCTTGGACTTTAAACCCTGACAGAGGTTTTCATATTGAGTTTTTTGAAAACGCAGACGGAGCCGTTTGAAAACCTTCCTATCAAGTTCGTCCAAGATAGGGGCACATTCTCTCCAGAGTGGGTTGACTGTTAGTTTATACCAGTGGGAATGACTGCTGGACATTTGAAGATGAGGTAGAAGTTTGTTCAGTAATGTATCGTCGGGTAGTTGCATTGATCGAATAAGGTGTTTGGCTTGCAGAATAGTAGCTCGGGTTGTCATTGAAGGTTGTTGTACTAGGTGCAGCATTACTTTGGTTGATGATCTAGCAGAACCACCAAAAATACGTCGAATGCATTCATTTTGACAAGCTTCAAGTTTTGTAAAGTGACTACTGTTCAAGGTGCAGATAGCAAGACCATATTCCATTTGTGATCGTATCATTTGGCTGTAGAAGCGTACTAAGAGTAAGCGGTTAAACCCTTTGTGATTGACTCCAAGAGAAGAAATTTGATTCATAGAGGATCCAGCTTTTTTAGTGTTGAGATTAATGAGGACAGCAGTGTCAATAAGTCCACCAGGTTTGATTGGAATTCCAAGATAGCTGAATGATGCTTCACTCGGTAGGGGCATATCATAGTATCATGGTTGTAAGATTTATAACTTAATTCAATAAGATAAATAGTCATAATAGAATATATAGTGCACTTGTACAATAATTCTGTCTATAAACATATTTAGTATATTTACCCTTGTATAGAAAGAATAATTAATTAATAAAAAGTCCTACATCTAAAAATATACTTTTTTTCTATTATTGTTCTGCTGAATATAAATTTATAAAAATAACTTTATACAAGTTAAACTGGGGTAAACTAAGAATAATACAAATACGCGTAATAATTGATTCTACTCAGAATACACGTATTAGTTATAAAAAATAAATATATACAAAAGACATGAATCTATATCTATATCTATAATTATAACTCTTAGTAATCATTCTATAATTATAATACCAAATACAATTTGTTATATTTTTTGTCTTCTTATTACTCATCATCCTTATTCACAAAATATATAAATACTCTTACATTATAACTCATAACTCATAATATAACTTGTATTGAATTAATTCTTAATAAACTTATTGACAAGTCTCAATGTACTTCTTCTTCTGTCTTCTTTTTATTTTATTTCTCTTTTATTTCTTTTATTTAATTATTTAAACTTACCTAAACCACAACATGTAATCGTATTTACAACTAAGTTAATAGAAATAAACCATCATTTATTTAAATTATAAAGAGTTTATTCGAATAAAACTAGTGTATTGTACTTCATAGCATAATATTCATTCTACATTCAGTTTTGATAATAGTCATTGTTTGAGTATTCGAGCATTAAAAATAATTATATACACCGTATTATATAATAATAAGAATTCAATAGATTTATGACTGTTATATTCAATTACATAATTATTTATACAAGTCATACATATTATATACATCTATAATATTAAATATTATTATATAATACCATCTTAGAGGATGATAATAATAGTAGCTTATCAATAAATGGTATTGTTATAGCGGGAATATTCACTGTGAATTAATGTTGACGCGTTGCTTACCCCAGATATAATGATTGGGTATATTTTTAGTAACTGTGACAGCTTAGGGAGAATAAAGATAAAAATATATTTTATTGTATGCAGAATTATTCAAAGAGAGAAATTTGTGCTTGAAGGCTTTGTCATGGTAGCATTCACTTATCTAAATCACACTTCTATTAATATCACTTGCAAAACGTATAAACAGCCCTTGTCATTTTTTCCATATTGGTTTCTTCTTGTACAATTTTTGTATTATTTTTCTTCAATAAACTATACCGAGTTTTCACAGACTTGTCTTTTCTTTTTTATCTTTTCTTATCATTTGAACTCTAAACAGCCTCATTTAGTTAACAGTTCTTGAAGTTCGGGAGCATAGTCATTATGGACGAGTACTGCAACAATGTTACAGTCAGCGTAGTGTAGATCTAGGAAACGGCCATTATTGACTTCCAATTTCTTGAAAGTAGTTCTTAACTTACCGAGGGGAACATGTACCTTGGTAGGTATATATAAGTATTGGAAACCTCGAGTAGCTGAAGGGGCTTGAAATAAACGAGCAGCAGCAGCTTCGCGTATCGCTTGGTGTTGGACTAGATTTTTTATGAGAGCTAATACTCTATCTGGTTGGTGCCAGGGAGCCAAGGAGTATTGTGTTTCTGGAAGAGTAGAAAAATCTTCCTCGTCAGTGCTAGGTTGAGTGTGTTGTGGTTTAGGTAAGTTTAGATGATTAAATAGAAGTCAAAGAAATAAAAATAAAAAGAAGATAAGACAGAAGAAGTACGTTGAGACTTGTCAATAAGTTTATTAAAAGTAAAATCAATACAAGTATTGTTCTTAGTTATATGTTATACAAAATAATGTAAGAGTATTTATATATTTTGTGGATAAGGATGATGAGTAATAAGAAGATAAAAATATAACAAATTGTATTTGATAATATAATTATAGAAGGATTACTAAGAGTTATAATTATAGATTCATGTCTTTAGTATATATTTATTTTTTATAACTAATACGTGTATTCTGAGTAGAATCAATTATTACGCGTATTTGTATTATTCTTAGTTTACCCCAGTTTAACTTGTATAAAGTTATTTTTATAAATTAATATTCAGCAGAACAATAATAGAAGAAAGTATATTTTTAGATGTAGGACTTTTTATTAATTAATTATTTTTCTATACAAGGGTAAATATACTAAATATGTTTATAGAGAGAATTATTATACAAATGCACTATGTATTCTATTATGACTATTTATCTTATTGAATTAAGTTATAAATCTTACAACCATGACAGAGTGGCGGCAGGAGGTAGTTGTGGTGGACCTGATCTAGTGAGACGGAGTTCTTCAGTAAGTTGTGCAATTACTTTTTGTTGTTCTGCAAGTTGAGTGGTTAGTTGTGTGATTATTTTAAAAAGCGTTTGTACGTCTAGTATAGCACTATTGTTGAATTGGGTTACGAGGGACGACAATGGTTGGGGTTGGAGTTGCTGTTGGGGGTACATTGTTAGATATATCTTCTATCATCTTTGAAGGAGCTGTGATGGAATGTAAATAAAAATAAAAGATAAAATAAAAAGAGAAAAGAGAACAAAAGGAAGTATAGTTTGAGACTGTTTTTATTCAATAAAAATAAAGAATGTTAAAAGAAAGTTAAAGAAGAAGTTCAAGATTATTTTGTGTCTAAACAACTGCTTGTATTTATACTAATGAATCCTGAATCAAAGAAATAAAAATAACCGTCAAAGAACATGAGTCATGAAACAGTGTTAGTATTCGTATATACGTCTTGTTGATTCAAGAGACTGATCTATGGATTATCTATTGGGTGTTATAATGATCTGATCAAGTTTTAAATAAAAAATTTATTGTTTAATCTGAGTATATGTTCCTGATATCTTTTATGTTTTATTTTATTGGATCAAAGACGACCTGAATCCTTTATCAAGGTTATAAAAATAAATATTTAGAAATGATACGATGTCTTATAATTGATACATCTAGACAATTGGATGTCAATAAGTTTTATATTATTTACAAGATGTTATATACAGAGTTTTATTTCATATTCAGGCTTATATTTTATCCTGTATTATGTAATTCATCTATTATAATATTACTCATGATTATATCCAGAGCTTGTTCTATAACAGGAGCAGTAATGATATTAAGCATTTCGGGTGCATGCATAGTATGGGAGCATAAGGTACATTTGTAACAGGGTTGATAGTGGTGCGTTTTAGATGGAGAATCACCCTTACTGTGGTAGGCGGTGACTTTTTTTTGCATTCAGGACATGGTATCGCTTAGTGATGTTCAAGGAAGCCTTTTGCAAGAGCTGCCAGTTCTTCTTCAGATAAAACTCGAGTAGGAGTCTTATTATATTTATGTTGATTAGGCGGCATTTACCTAGTTATTGCGATGTTTTTCAAGGTGTTGAGAGTTTTGAATGTGTATATAGTGTTGTAAATGTCACTCCAAGTTTAATAATAGTGTTAGAAAGCGGAAGAAAGCCCACTTGTTTGTCTACAGTTGCATTTTAATTCGTCTAACATTTTGTCTCAGTTTAATTTCTCCATTTTTTCTGATTCCGCTTTTATTTTTCCAAAAAAGGTAGGCTGAACGTCTGAAAATTAATTTTGATTCGTCCAAAGAAATACTAACATTGTCTGAGTTTGAAATACAAAACTGTAATTCATCCACCTTTTCCGGAAATTATTCGTACACTTTAAAAAAACATTTCGTCCACTAAAAAAATAAAATTTCAAGCACAGACAAAATAAAATATTGTACGTTAAAAAAATAAAAATTAACACATTAGACTAATTTATATTTCGAGCACTTTGAATTAAAATGGATCAATTTATACATGAAGATGAAAAAGGCAACTCATTCAACGACGAAGGAAATGAAGTTGAAGTACTTTGGATGAAAGTCAACGATCCTGATTATTCTATTGCAAATGTTACAAGTTATGGGGAATATTTAGATTTAAAGCCTCCTGTGATATTTCTTTTAAAATATCAAATAAAAAATATTAGAAAATAAAAATAATATTAAGACAAAAAGAGTCAACGAGACCGAACAATAGTTCTAAAGTCAATTATTTTTATTTATGAATCTAAATTGATGGGATATTTATAAAAATTGTTAAAGAGGTCTGAGGATAAGATGTGAATCAGAAAAGTGTTAGTTACGACCGAATTAGGTATATTGTTGACAACGAAGTGTTAGTGATTTTAATATTATTAGATGGAGCGGATCAAGAGAGAGTTAGGATAGAATTTCTTAAATGAATTTATGATCCACATGTTTAATCATGAAACATGACATTATAAGTCAGTTCATGACAAAAGCCTTTATGCACAAATATGCACAAATTTTGTCTCCGAATAACTCTGCATGCAGTATGCAGATTTCTGTCTGAGCTGTTGCTGATATTAAAAATATACACGATTATTGTCTTTGGGATAAGCAACGCGTTAATATTAATTTACAGTTAATATTCCCTTTGTATAAATAATCATGTGATTCAATATAACAGTCATAAGCCTATACCTATTGAATTCTTATTATTACATAATCCAATGTATATAATTATTTTTAATGCTCAAACACTCTAATAATGACTATTATTAAAACTGAATGTAGAATGAATATTATGTTATGAAGTACAATACACTAGTTTTATTCGAATAAACTCTTTATTGTTTAAATAAATGATGGTTTGTTTCTATTAACTTAGTTGTAAATACGACTACAATCGTAACAAATACTATTGATATCTTGGATCAGTACGAGGAATTTAAAGGGAAGTATTTTGTTATGGATAATGTCCCAGGCCACAAGCACCAGGATATAAGGAACTATATCGAAGGTCAAGGTTACTTTTGTTTGTACCTGCTCACATACTCTCCTGAACTGAACCAGATTGAAGATTGAACAGTTTTGGTCTGTCTGTAAAAGCAAGCTCAAGAGAGAGCCGCTCTTGGAAAGCGAAACCCTCACCAGTCGCATAAGGGATGCATGCAATAGCGTATTTCTAAGTGATCTGAAAGGGTTCTGCAGGTATTCGATCCAGAATTTTGATGATTACTTGAAACGTAAGTCACTTCAAAAACTCAATACATTTCGTACATCTGGTACAATGAAAAAATGCACCAATAAAAAAAAATATTATGCTTGAAATTTTATTTTGTCTGTGCTTGAAATTTTTTTTTTCTGCTTAATTTTTTATTTTTTTAGTGGACGAAATGTTTTTTTTAAAAGTGTACGAATAATTTCCTGAAAAGGTGTATCTTGCGCCTAATTTGGTGTCGGGACTTGAAGTTAAGATTAAAAATAATGATTATTGTTTAAATGTATTACGTAATAATTTACTCTCCGTTTCAATAAAAGGAGAGAAAACGTTAATATACACAACTCTTCTGTTTATGAATTGAATGAGACTAACTTACTTTCATAACAAATAGATTATATCAGAATAAAAAATTCTATAGTACAAGTGATTATAAAGTTGTATACATACAATTCAGAGCTAATAAGTGGTAGATGTCAATGATGGAGCTTCAAACAGCCTATGCAGTAGTTTTATATAGTTTTTTTTTTTTTTTCAAATGCCTTAATTATAAGTGATAAATAATTTCATCTATCTTTTAGTGAGGATAGTGATTCTTTTAAATACTAACTTATCATGCGATGATTTTATATACCCTGAGAAGAGTGACTCCGTAATATGTATATGATAACATAATACATTTTTTGATAAAGATTAAAGAAATAATAATATTCTAGATCTATTGCATCTAATTACATTGTTAAACAATGTCAAATTCTTAATAAAAATCCACCTCTTGGAAAGAAAAAGTTGACTAACAAAAAAAATAACCCTTTAAAGAAATAATTCTCAAGAATTCTTTTTTTTCTTTTATATATATTAAATTAATAAAAGTATACTATCTACTACTACTACTACTACTACTATAAATGAGTTAATCAGCTAATTGCGCTTGTGCTAATCTAGCTTCCAAATTACGTAAAGCTTCCTCTTTACTTAAAAGTTCCGCCCTCTTTTCTTGAATTTCACGTTGAACCTTCAATTCAATTTCACGAAGCTAAAAAAAAAAAAAAAAAAAAAAAAAAAAAAAAAAAAAAAAAAAAAATTAAACCATGATAAATCATTATCCTCTTTTAATAGGTGTACCTTCTCTTCTTCCTTTCTTAACTGTTCTTCCTTCAATCTGACACTTTGTGTTGCCATATCTTCTGCATTCAAAGATGCATCTTCCTGGTCACCACCATTAACAGTACGACTTAGTTTCTCAGTACGATAATTTTCATAAAGGAAATCATGTGTAATTTCTTTAAGATCTTGTAAATGAGAACTGCAACTTGGACATTAGCATTTAACTATAATCTAGATCTACTTATACATGTATGGTTTACCTTAATAAAGCTGATCTTAAACGTCCAAAATCAGAATGCTTAGGGTTATCAACTTCAACTGCACCCCAAGGATATTGACGACCACGAACAGTACGTCCATTGACAACAATTTCTTCTTCACTACCAACAATAGCAAAAGGTAAAAGAGACTATACGTAATAGTGAATAAATGATGATATATACTTATATATAAAATCAAAGTTTACCCTTAATTCACTGTTTTCTTCAATAGTATCTTCTTCATCTTCCTCAATGTCATAAGGGAAATTATAAATAGGAATGTTATAATGTTCAATATCTTCCATAATCTTAAAAAAATAAATAAATTAGAATACAAGTTTAATATCGACAACAAATCAATCATATTATTTACTCTTCTCTTAAAGTCTATAAGCTCTTGAGGAGTAAGTGAATCAGCACGACCAATAACAGGAATCACATTTACACGAGGACTTAGGCGACGCATTAATTCAATATCAATTTCACGTAATCTAATATGGTGTCCGAGAAAAAAAAATGAATATATTAAACTCACACTAAATATATTTATATACTTTACGCATGGCCAGTAGGTGCGATGAAATACAATAGAGCATGAACACGATTATCACGGAATCGAGGATTACGTTTAATTCTAGATTCTTCTGCTAAAATATCATCATATTGCTTTTCTAAATAAGCAACAATTTCATGAAAACTATTTCCAAAAAAAAAAGCATATACAAATATACGTTAATTGTTGTCAATTCTTTTTCTTTTTTTTTCATATAAATATTACCATGCTTCATTATCAATGTTATCACCAAAGCCTGGGGTATCAACAATAGTTAAAGAAATTCTATATATAAAAGAATGCATATAAAGTTAAACTATCACTCCTTTTCATAGCCCCTTATTTTTTTTTTTACCTAACACCATCTTCATCCAATTCTAAAATATAAAAATTAGAAACATGTATATCTGTATAAAGAGTATAGAAAATTAAAATCAAGTCTTACCAACAGAAACAGGTTTAATATTAATTCCCTCTTCATTATGTGCATCTTCAGGATTGTCAAGTTCCTTTTTAACTAATACACAATCATCACAAAGAGTATTCACAAATGTCGTACGACCAGTACCCGATGCACCTAATTAAGTGGTTAATTCTCATTTTCATTGTTTTCATCAGGTTGAAACTTACCAACTACCATTAAAGTAAATTGGAATCCTTTTTTTACATTCTTTCTACGTCCACCAAGTCTCTATTATAAAATAAAAATAAAATAATTAATTAATTTCTTTTTTTTTTTTTTGCTTTGATATAGCATTTTTTTTTTCATACGTGTGCCATTATAAATAGTTTATTTGTTTATAAAAATAAGAAGAAGAAGTACAAAAAAATGATAATAATAAAATTGAAATAGGAGAAAGAAAAAGATTGAAAAAAAAAAGGGGAAAAGCTAGAAGTGGGGAGAGAAAAAAAAATAAAAAATAAAAAAGGATTATCAAGTTATATAGCTAAATCCTTTTATCCAATAAGCAACTTGTGTTTATTAAGATTGCCACGCGCTGAGTTCCTAAAAAATAATTAAAAATTTATCTGAGTTTAAAGTTTTAATGATGGACGAGACTACAAATAAACCATAATTTAATGATTTGACAAATTCCATTACATACTTTTTTTTAAAAAAAAAACAATATTATATAAGAATAATAAAAGAAAGCGGATTAAATAAATAAATGAAATGAAGCGAAATAAAATAAAAGTTGATACAAATTGCAGATAAGCAAAGGAGATAAAATTGATTCAACAGGAGTCAAAATATGAGAAGTAAATTCCTTGATACAAGAAAAAAAAAAAAAAAAAAAAAAAAAGACATGTATATTTATACGCATATAGCTTACATTGAATGTGATAAAGATAGAAAAATAAACAAATAGTAAACAGATAATATGAGTGCCTGATTTAACTATCTGCTCAATATGAGATTGTCTTGTATTCGTTAATAAGATGTATAGTAGATTTATTTATTTTTAACATACAAATTAGGCCCCTTGTTTCTTGTTGGTTAGTAAAATTCTGCGTTCGGAACGGACCAATCCCCTAAAAATGAGGATAGTATCAGAACCCAATTTCTTTTTTTTTATACTTCATATATATACCAATGACCAATATTTTATTATTCTAATCATAGTAAAGTTTATTTGTGAATTTCAATTTTTGAAAAGGTAGGATTTTTCCAATAATCTACTGATACATTTTCCTCCTCTCCCCCCTCAAGTCATCCTGTCGACCCCTAAATACCTTTTCCCGCAACCTTGAGTATTTCGACCTTGACTACATCATTCAGCTGCTCCAAAATATGCTTGTGTTGTAACATTAATGGTATATATATATATAACTAAGACTGTGTTGAGATATCAGGAGAAATATATGTTTGACGAAAAAGGCCGCCCAAAATTATAAATTACACTTTTTATTCGACTCGAAAGTCAAAATAAATATATATTGCTCTGAGTACCTTCGGGTCTCATTTCTATAATAATCGACTCAATACATCTCCCTCAGGATCTCTTGTCTTAGTATACTGCATATGCTTTGTCTACATCTACAGCTGATGATTGAGTCTTTTGGAAGCAATTGCTTCAGCCGATTTGATCTTTGAAGCTTTTAATTTGCCTTTCATAAAATTCTGAAATGCCTTGAAAGTTATGATCGGTTATTTGTGGTAAATGCTAGTATCTTTTCTACCATGTTTATCTTTTTTTTTTCAAGTTGTAGCAAACTTTTTGTTTAATGGTAGATAGACCAACCTCATCGGTTTCAATCGTATCTTTAAAACAAGTAGGCTTATTTAAGCCATGATCTTTAAAGAATTTTATATTCAAATCAATTATTTGACCCCAAAGTTTCGAATTTGTCTACGTGAGTTTATTTTAATTATTTTTTTATTTATTTATTTACTTTTATTTTTTGATTATTTGGAGATGTTATCGAATGAATCAAGATGAAAAAACCTAAAGTAGTTTATAATGCTAGCAATTCAATGTTTATTAGTGAATAATGTACACATACATAGGCATGTAGAGATAAGAACACTTGACAAACGTAGAGAATATCATTAAACATACATATATGCATTAGAACTCACTCAATCAGAAGAACTTTGGTCCAGGGTTCATTATAAAGAAAAAAAAACTCTTAGGAAAGTATAAACTAACTTTTAAAAAACATGGAGATTATGAAAATACTTTTTATCATCTAACTGTAGAGGCAAAATTAAATATATTTTATCATTCTTTAGAGAAGAAAAAATCTGCTGCAATTACTATTTTATTTTATTTTTATTTTGCTTCTTGGTGATAAGTCATCATCTTTTTTGTCTCCATCATACAAAATATTCCCCTTGACAAATCACATGCGAATATCTAGCTTCAACTGCAACGAACACTAAAGATGTTAAAGATAAGAAAAAAAAAGTCTCTATAATAAACATAAATTCACATATCATGATACTAAATAAATATCTATTCAAGTCATGTTTACAATGATATAAACAACTATCGATTGTTATTAATAAATATTTACTATAATGATGATATTTGTGCTTTGAATAGATGTCGTTCTTCTTGTTGTTGTTGTTTAATTCCACATAGTCTAAGAGGAAGGCTAAATACGGCAACAAGTAGGATTGGAACTCATTTTACTAGAATCTTTCACGACTATAGCTATTCAAGGACTCCGTGAATAACATCTTTAATCTAATTTCATATAAAAAAGCTGTAAGTGTTATATTTGTAACGACAATCGTTTTGTCTTTCCCTCTTTTAATTAAACTGACATTGTGTATAGTTCGAGCCTCATCGGATATTATTTGTTCATTTACGTGTTTCGTGTAGATCTTAAACACAAAAAAGAAAAGAAAAAAATAAATTACCTTCTTCTCTGCAATTCGAAGAGTAATGGACTCGTGTTACATTATGTCACTTTTTATTCTTATTTACACCTATATCAAGTACAATTTCATGTCCTTCTGCTTTCATATGTTTCTCATTAGAAATAAGTGATTTTGCGCAGCTGATCAATACTTTGCTTTATATTATCATAAGATTCCAAATATTGGTCTTAAAAGTAACCATATTTACGGCTATTGTTATTTATTTATTTATTTTTTTGTAATAATGTTAACAAGGTAAAAAGTTATGGTTATCTATATCAATGTACATCCTGTTGTTGTTGTTTTTTTTTCTTTTCTTTCTCAATTGAAGCATATAATTCAAATGGTAGATAGTCTTCGTGCTGTGAAAATCCCTTATACCAAATAGCCCCATGCTTCTTAGGACCAAGTTTAAATGTCAGATAATTTTTGTTTAAAGTATATAATCCTGGATTCATTCATTTTTCTGTGTGTGTGTGTGTTTGTTTGTTTGTTTGTTTGTTAACTTCTTTTTACTCTAATTACTTCGGTACCTTTTTTTTTCCTTTTTGCATTTTATAAAAAAAAATGCTAGGAAAAAGAAGAAAATATCTTTACAATCTGTATCACTGAAGCATATAAATAGATTGCTGTTGCTGAATGTCAAGGTTGAATAAGATATGTTGTGTCATATTAAGATAGATGTATTCGAATATGTATACAGTAATTTAAATATACCTTTATCGTTGATAGACACATAACTAAGTATTTGATCTGACCGTTACACATAACTGCCTTTCTGTGCAAGCTTCTATCGCCAAAAGCAGTAGTTTATTTAAATAACCCTCTTCTAGTCAAATTTAATACTATTAATCAGAGTAACCGAACTCCCATCAATTCCGTATCACAACATCATCAACTGAGATATTAATAAAGGCCTTTTGAGGCCCTTTGGGAATTTTAAAAAACCTGTTGTTTTGGAGTTGGAGACATAATACATTTATCCGTTATAATGTCTATTTTAATTAATTAAAACTGTTTACAGTCATTTGTTCTTTTCTCAGGTGAATATTACACATACAAATACATATATCTGTATGTATAACGCGGAGTGTGAATAGACTGTTAAACAATTGCAATCATGTAGTAGATGTACTTTTTTTTTTTGTTATAAATACTCTCACAGTTTTATTTATATACAAATACATAGATTAACTCCTTCTTTCATTTATTTATTTATTTAGCTTTAAATACATCATCTATATAAAAATGACTATGGTGAACGAACAGTCAATTCCATCTCAATCGATTTTATCTACTTCTGATCCATGTGGAGGGGAGACGTTTAAATATCAAGATAAATTACCAAAGTTACCTATTCCTAGCTTGGAATCTACAGCTCAAAAGTATCTTCAAGCTTTAAAGCCTTTACAAGTAAGTAAGAATTTTTTTTTTTTTGTATGATTGAATAAAACACTTACTATTTTCATGATTTATAGACACAAGAAGAACATGAGGCAACAAAGCATGCTATTCAAGATTTCTTAAATAATGAAGGTCCAGAGCTTCAAACTAAACTTCAAACTTATGCTACGGATAAATCCTCTTACATTGAAGAATTTTGGTATTACCTATTTAACCCCACAAAAAAAAAATGTTGTACTAATTATTCATTTTTTTTTTTTTTTTTTTAGGTATGACTCTTATCTTCAGTATACGGATTCAGTCGTCTTGAACCTAAATCCCTTCTTTTTATTAGAAGATGATCCGACACCATTACGTAATAACCAAATTATTCGAGCCTCTTCTTTAATTTATTCTACTTTAAACTTTATCGAAACCCTTCGTACAAAGCAACTTGAGCCAGATGTCTTTCGAGGAACCCCCTTATGTATGTCACAATTCAGTCGTCTCTTCGCAACCGCTCGAGTTCCAACCTCCAATGGTTGCTATATTTCACCCTCTCATCGTTCAGGCCATATTGTTGTATTGGCACAATCCCAATTTTATCATTTTCAAGTCTTTGATCATCATGGAGAACTGGCTTTAACTGAAAAGGAAATCTCGGCCAACCTACGTGCTATCATCAAGGACGCTGCCACGACGCCTGCTGTATCGATTGCTAAGAATGCGATGGGGGTCCTGACAACTGAAAATCGTTTAAATTGGGCTAAACTAAGAGAAGAATTACATACAAATGAAATCAATAAGGAAGCATTAGATGTGATTGATACAGCTTTGTTTATCGTTTGTTTAGATCATGTTGAGCCTGCTGACATTAATGAATTAAGTGCAAATATGTTGTGTGGCACTTACAGGTTGGTAGATGGTATGCAAGTAGGAACATGTACAAATAGATGGTATGATAAGCTTCAGGTAAAAATAGATATATCATATATGCTGGATCTTTTTTTTTTTTTCTTTTTTGAAAAGAGAAGGGAGGGGACCTAATCTGAATTCTATAGATTATTGTATGTAAAAATGGTAGTGCTGGAATTAATTTTGAGCATACAGGTAAATATTTATACATGTATATAGATATATAATATTTAGATAAATATATAAATATATATATATATACTCATAGCTCACTCATTTTTTTTTTTGTTTTTGTTTTGTTATATGTATTATCCTAGGTGTGGATGGTCACACTGTTCTCCGTTATGTATCTGATATTTATACTGAAACAATTTTACGTTTCGCAAAGACGATTAACAGTCAAACAAAATCCATTTTTCATTCCTATAAATCAAATCATGATCATCATGATCATCCTGTTGAAAAATTAAACAAGGTGGATATTAATCCTCGTAAGATTGAATGGTATTTATCAGATCATCTTTATTCAGGTATTCGATTTGCTGAAACACGTCTAAGTGATTTAATTCTTCAAAATGAAGTAAAAGTACTTGAATTTAACAAATATGGTAAATACTTTATTACGGATATGAAGATGAGCCCCGACGCATTCGTTCAGGTATATATATATATATATAGATAGAAAGATAGATAGATAAAGAGAGACAGAGAGAGAGAGAAAGAGTATCCATAACATAATATAACATATATACTTGTTTATAAGATGGCTATTCAAGCAGCTTATTATGGCCTTTATGGTAAAAGTGAATGCACTTATGAACCTGCCATGACGAAAACTTTCTTACATGGTCGTACAGAGGCGATCCGTACCGTCTCTGATGCCTCTGTTCATTTCGTTGAAACTTATTATAGTACAAGGACAACTGATCATGAAAAGTTGGAAGCACTTCGTGCTAGTCTAAAATATCATAGCCAATTAACAAAGGAGTGTTCTATGGGGTTAGGTCAAGATCGTCATCTGTATGCCCTTGAATGCGTATGGGATCGACTTTATTCTCAAGATATCAATAAAAGGAAGCCCACGATTTTTACAGATCATGGATGGAAGACCCTGAATCATACTGTCATAAGCACTTCCAATTGCGGTAATCCTGCTTTAAGATTATTTGGTTTTGGTCCTGTTGTTTCTGATGGTTTTGGTATTGGTTATATTATTAAAGAAGATGCTATTACTGTAAGCCTCTTTATATATATATATATACTAACACACATACGATGAGGAAATTCTTATATACTAATATATATATTTTTATATATAGTTTGTTGCTTCTTCTAAACATAGACAAACTCAACGATTTTTAGATACACTCGAAGCCTATTTGGTCAATGTTCAAAATTTATTATTAAAAGAACGATATCCTACAGGCGTCTCTCAACGTCAAAGGGTTTTAGCTATGGAAGAAAACGATTTCGATATTAATGGATATAGTTATTTCGATAATGGACAAGGCCAAGAATCTGATTATTCAAGTAGTGTCGAGAGTTTATCTCCAACTACTAGTCGTAAAAAAGTAGGAAAACGTCTTGTATTACATGCAACTGATAATTAAAAAATAAAATAAAAATAAAAAGGAAAGAGAGAGAGATAAAAGAAAGAAAGAAAAAAAAATGTATTATTTATTATGATTGTTGCTGTTGTTGTTGTTGTTGTTGTTGTAGTGGTGGTGGCGATGGTGGTGGTGGTAAAAGTGGTGAATTGACACAAGCAGGTTTACTTCTAAGATTACTTTTATGTCTTTTTAAAGCATCCAATCTAAATAGTAATGACTCATTAAATAAATAAATAAATAAACACAATAAATAAAATATGTATATACCTTGAAAAACTCTTGTTACATCCACCACATTTATAAGGCCTGTCACCACCATGAATTTTACCATGTCGCTTAAGATCATGATTTCGACTAAAGGCAATTTGACACACATTACACACATACGGTCTATCATCTGTATGCGTTCTTGAATGACTTTTAAGATTATAGAGTCTTGCAAATGTCTTTCCACAATTTGGGAATAAACAAGGATAAAATGTCTGTGTTTGGTTATCAATTGTAGTTGTTATTGGTGTCGAGGATGCATAGATAGACATAGCATCACTTTGGGTATTCGCTAATGCTGGATCAGACCTTTTCCTTTTCTTAGTAATGGTAGTCAAGTTACTATTAGATGAATTATTAGAGGACGATGGTATAAATAGGGAATGAGCTGCATTATTTGTGATGATTTTTTGAGGCAGTGGTTGAGGCTGCAATCGTTGTGGCTGTGATTGTGGCTGTGGCTGTGGCTGTGGTTGTGGTTGTGGTTGTGGCTGTAAGGGTTGTGGCTGTATGGTTTGTGATTGCTGTTGTTGAGGAGTTGTCTGTGCTGGTAATTTGTGCTGTTGTAATTGCTGTAATTGTTGCTGTAGAAGATGAGGAAGTAATAATAAAAGTGGATCTGTATAAGGTAATAAAGGTTGAGTCGTATTTGATGTAGAAGCAATACTAGTAGAAGCCACATTATTAGTATTAGCTGTGCTATTATTAGCTGCCACTGATTGAAGTGAGGTAAGTAAAATCTGAGATATTAAAGCTTCAATGGCCGTTGTTTGATCACCACCTTCTTTTAATTTCTCTGATATTTTTTGAGCTACTAAAATCCAATCAATGGATTCATTTTGAACAGGCGCATTCGTATTGTTATTGATCACTTTAGTAGTAGTAGCAGCAGGAGTAGGAGAAAGTGTTTTACTGGACTCATTCTTTATTTTATTTTGAAGCCATTCTTGATCAACATATTTTGCTGCTAATGAATTATCCCATCTTTGTTTAAGTTGCTTTCCTTTTCTACCAGGAATAATCGTAGCAATTTCTTTCCATCGTCCATAACCAAATTTCTTTATACCCGCTAATAATAGCTCATCTTCTTCCGGTGTCCACGCTCCTCGCTTTTTAGCTGCTGCTGCTGCTTCTTCTCCACTAGATTCACCATTGATTATTTTTGTTTGTTGTTGTTGTTGTTGTGAAGTTAAGGGTAATGAATTTGAGCTTACAACAGGTGAATCAAGTGGTTGCTGTGGAGATAAAATTGCGGGACTGGCTACAATCGTGTTGACTGCATTATTCGTTTGTTGAGCCAATCCTAATAATTGTAATGCAGTAGCTGCTGCTGCTTGATCCATGAACTCAGCTGAAGAATCCTTTTTTTCTTCTACTACTAATGATAATGCCTTTTCTTTTGTTGTTTCTGGTTGTAAAGAAGAAAATAACTGCTGTTGGGTTTCTTTATTTAATATATTTAAAGATTCTGTTATTCAAATGAGTAGTAGAACACAAAAAATATATATATATATATGAGTCAAGGAGAAAGTAATAATAATAAACTCTGATTTTATTACCTGGTTTTCCATATAATGCGGCTGTAGCTGCATCTACAACATTCAAATTGTTTAAAGTCTTTTGTAATAAAGATTCACTGTTTAATTGAGACGATGTTGCTGTTGATGGTTTATCACTTTTTGATGATTGACTTTCAGCAGCTGTAACATCAAGTGATGCATTTTCTTCAACTGTAGTAATCGCTTCTTTTTTTAAGGTTGGAGATGGAGGTAAGTCTTCTGAATCCAATAAAATTGACTTGTTTTGTTTGTCAGAAGACTTGAACATGTGTACACGAGCCATTACGATTATTATTTTTCTTTTCTTTTTTTTTTTTTTTTTCAAAGAGAGAAAATATAGGTTTGTTTTATTTTAAAGATTTTTTTATTTTTGCGTATGCGTATGTTTCTAAGAAAGAAAAAAAAAGGGGGGGAAATGGAAAACTTTAAAGCTAATTACTCTCTTTTATAACAATAATAATAATAATAGAAAGGAAGAGGTATTTTTTTTTTTTTTGCTAATGGGTGAATACATGTAACAAAGTATTATAAAACATATCCTTAGAAAAAAAAAAAAAAAAATTCAGAGCAAACACATTTAAAGTCCGACGATATATATATAATAATAAAAAAAAAAAAAAAAGAAAATTAATACTACATTTTATTCTGTATAAGGCCCAACGTAATTAGAAGGGAATATACCAGATTGACCATTCAAGGAACCTTCCCACCATCCACCATCATCTTTCTTTGTAACGATGATAATATCACCTTGATTAAGATTGAGTTCTTCTGCATTAACTGCCTTAAAATCATATAAAGCTACCACTCTCTCATATGAATCCTCTTTGTTTGTTTGAATATATGATGAAGATTCCTCTGGATGATTTATGTATTCAATATAGTTGGCAGGGATTAAGCCTACTTGTTGATCCCTTAATTGCGCTTTAATCCATCCTGATCCATCATTAGACTCTATTATCTTTAATAAATCTCCAGCTGTTATATTTAGTTCATCTGTATTTTGAGCTTCATAACTATAAATAGCACGTATATCAAATGTGTTGATTTCGGTGGTAAAAGTAGGAGCATCAGGATTAGTATGAATAGGAGAAGAAGCTGATGAGACTACGCTATTTGAGACTGAATTGATACTTGCTTGTCTATTTAATTTTGTTGTTCCTATTGATAGTGCTGGTTGAGGGTTTACTTGTCCCTTCTTTTGACTACAATTAGGAGCTATTTTCATCTCACATCGTGTATGGCAATTCAGTCCACAAGCTAATACATACATATTAATCATGTTATTTTTTGTATGTATCTTTTTTTTTTTGTTTGTTTGTTTTATTACCTTTGCATGTAAGACCTTTATTTAATCCCCAAATAGTACTATTACAATAATCACATGTAGTAGGGATAGTAAAAGAAGAAGGCTTAAAATCATGACCTTGTACTTTTAGCCCATTATCTACAAAAAAGATATAATTAATATTTATCTGCATAATACATCTTTTGTATTATAATTACCTCCAATATTTTGGATAATCAAGTCTATTTCACTGGATATTCTTGTTTTCTGTGTAGACAATAATGTAATATCTCTAATCATATCCATCAATTTCTAAATATGCGCATAAAACTGTTTGAGTTTTTTTCTAAATAATTAAAATTCAATTTACATGTATTTACCTCATTCAGCTTGTCATAGTCTGCCGAAAATTTATTCTCCATTGAGTTTATAGATGTTTCTAAACTAACCATTTCATCTGTTGCCTTTGATAAGGCATCATCTAGAGAGTCTAACATTTTACGATCTTTGACTAGTTTGTTATTCAAGTAAATAACAGCAGCTTCACTTGAGACTAAATTAGCGTCCTAAAAAAAAAACAAAAACAATGAAGATTAGCCTATTTGAGGAAGAGAGCCTTTTTTTTTTTATGATGATGATTTGTCTTTACTCTATCAATAATTGTTTCTGCTGCATTAGCACCTCCATTCCAAGGTATAAATGCAAAAGGAATATTAGTTGCATTTTCAGTAGTTGTATCTGTTGAATTTAAAGCGTTTTGAGTAAATACAGCAGCATCAACAGCAGGATCCAATTGTTCGATGGAGTATAAACTCTCATCATGACACTTTTGTATAGTTGAGAGTAGTTTTGATTCCATATTGATATAATTCTTTAAAATATCTTTTAAAGCCATAATACGTGATGAATCTAATTCCTCTAAATACTATTATAATATCCTATTAGAAAATCAACTAACACTAATAATAAAAGAAGTTACATCAGATAAAGCTGGAGTATCGACGTCAAAGTATTTGGTTCTTTCTGCATTAGCAACTGCAATTGATAAAAGATAAAGATTCTGTTTTTGTTTTGTTAATATACAAGTACTCTTTTTTTTTTATTTATTTATTTATTATTTTTTTTTTACCTTCTATTTCTTATTATTTACCTTTTTATTGTCACAGTTTAAAAAAGCAGCATCTAATTGTCTTTGAAGCTATTATAAAGAATCCCCCATTTCTTGCTTATTAATTGACTAGATCCCCTCCCCTTTTTTTTCTTTAACATAAATGTACGCATTTACCTTTTCTTTTTCATTTGATTTATTTAGTTTTGTTTTTATATTTTCAATTTCCATACAAGCTTCATCATAAGTTTGTTTTGCTTTATCCTTTTCGGAATAGGATTTATTTCTTTCACTTTTTAGCTTTTGATAAAAGGCAGCATGCTAAACTCCCCTCTCGAATTAATTTTTCACTGCTGTATCTAATCTAATTTATTAAAAAAATAAATTGTATCTACCTTCTTTTTAGCGTCTTCTTTTCTTGTGGCTACGTTTTTTAGTGAATCGACAATGACATTATTCAGGTCATCCACAAACTGATGTCTACTCTTTGCTACAAGCATAGTTTGATCAAGTAATTGAGACCAAGTGGATGAAGTTGTACTATTTATTTATTCTAATAAATGAAACCGTAAAGAGGACTAAAAGAAGGAAAAAAAAAGTCATCATCATACCAACCTTGATAAGTTTTCCCAATCCTTCTCTTCTTGATGATGTAATTCACCCCCATTACCAGGCATAAATCTTCGACTTGTTTGTCCTGTCTTGTATTTTTTTGTTAAAGACTCTAGTTTTTGTGCATATTCGCGTTCGATAGTTGCACGATCTCTAATGAAGTTTCGAAATTGATAAAGTGATTGGATGCCATCACCTACATATTTTACTATGGAAGGTATTTGGTCCTATATATATATATATATATATATATATATATATATAAAGGGAGGGGGGAAGGGAGAAGGATTAAAGGGGAAGGAAAGACAAAAGTGAAAGACATTATTACCTTTAAGTCTGTACCAAAAGTCATTGTAAATATTGTTTGTAAAAACAATAACAATAACAATAAAAAAGAATTTCCGTCGACCAGTTCTTTTTTTATTTTTATTATGAAAATTAGACGTAATGAAAAAAATTAATTCCTATTTCAATAGGTTTCAAATTGTTTAATTATTTATTTATCTTTGGCAGCGTACAGTATACGTTTTTATTCAATCTATTTCAACTTCTTCCCACTTGTCTCGAAAGAAAAGGTAATATAAATACGAGTTTAAGCCATGTAATACAGCACTGGAATAATTGTCCTCCTAAAACAATGAATTGCCACCAGATATGTATATATCAAGTTATTTTATTCATTTGCAGTACTATTTAACACATAATTTAAAGGAAAAAAAAAAAAAGATCATATTCTCACCTTCTTTCTATCTGTTGTTTTACTTGAATGGTATCCATGTTCTGAAAGAAATACTACAGCATGTATCTTTCTGTGACTATTTAAAAACAAAGAGATGCATCACTACGATTATTTACGAGCGTTTCTCAAAAGGGCCCTACATAAAAACAACAACAATGTGACATATTAAGATTTATTATATAGAAAGAGTCAAGTACAGGGAAGGGGATGTAACTAAACTGTATATGAATTATTATTATCTTTCTTTTAGGGAAATAGATGTGTATGTACATGTAGTCAATATGTATGATATATGCAGAAGAAGATCCTTTTTTTTTTAGTCATCCATTATTAAATCATATCGAAGTCTTGTGTAGAAATCTATAAACTGACTATTTGATTCTATCAATAGACGTGTACGAATCTCATTCAAGTAATGTTTCAAGAATTCTAGTTCTACTATATCAGAAACAGTAACCGTTGATGTTGAAATCCAGTTCTTTTGTAGTAATCGATATTTTATCCACTCGTAAACAGTCATTGATACTTTTTCATTGTGATTCGTTGATAGGATCATTAATTCATTTCTTACTTTATCCAAAAGATGAAACTGGTTCATGTCGTTTAATAACGTCTTGATGACGATATCATTTAAAGTGAATAAGAATGTCTGTATATCCTCTTTATCAGAAAGATTCCAATGCAATTTAATAGTTGGTTCAATACTATAAAAGATATGATCATTCATCATTTGTATATATCTACCAACAATGGCTGGCATCTTGTCTAATTGTTTTTCTAAATAAAAGAAAACAAATAAGAGAAAAGAATTAAAAAAAAAAAAAAAGTGGAATTGTTACTCGAAATTGATTTGGATTCTAATAGTTCTTTTGCTTGTAAAGTCAAGATATTATTTAATGCGTCTTTCGGTAAATGAATCAAGTTTAATAATAACACTTCACTTTCTGTGTTGAGTATTGAGTCTACCAAGTTTTCATAATAATCAACAATAGTAGAATACATGTCATATTCCTGAGACGAATACCATTGTTCTTCAATACTTTGTTGATTCAATACAATGTGTTGATTAAAAACTGGTAATGCATTTACAATAGATACAAGGAAGCAGATTAAATAGAAAAGATGCATTTTTATATGAAAAAGAAAGAAAGAGAGAGAGAGAGAAAGAGAGAGAGAGAGAAAGAGAAAGAGAGAAGAATAAAAATAATTTATTTAAATAGGTGTCAAAGGATAATGAGCTGCTGTTTTTTGCCTTTTTTGTGCATTCAGTTGTTTGATTCATGAAAAAAAAATCTCTTTGTTTTACTCCTTGCATGGCCATTTATGCTTGTTTCGGGAATAAATGGGGTAAGGAGGTAAAAGCAGTAGTTTTTTTTTTTTTTTTTTTTTTTTTTTTTTTTTTTTTTTTTTTTTTTTTTTCCATTCAATATGTTGATTCTATGCTAAATTATGTAAGCCGAGGTTAAACAACTCGTGAAATAAACTCTTAAAAATAGAAGAATTCAATCTCCTTTCTCCATTTATTAACCTAACTTATTTATTTTTTTTTTACAGATGATATCATTTAAACAGTGAAGATCATTGTTATTATTATTATTACAAATCAAGTTATTTATTATTTTCCAATTGTGTACCTAATAAAAATATTAAGTATACATTTTGTTTATATGTAAATAAATACTTATTTTCTTTACCATCTTTCTCTACAATCAACTGCATTTTTTCTAACAATTCGTTTTTTATCATCTAAAACAAGAGATAATTCTTTAACAACAGAAGGTTTAAAAGGAGATAAAATCTCTGGCTTTCCTTTTGCAGCTAAACAACTTAGACAGTCTAAAGCATGTATTCTAGTTTGAACAGATGATTGAGATCGACTTAGTCTTAAAAGTGCATGAATAAATGAACCAAGATGTTGTACAACAAGTTCTTGTGAATTTGGTATTAACGTATGTACTACATTCAATGTGATTTCTATAAGCTGACTATCATGTGATGAAAGGGCAACAATGATCGGCAGCATAAGCTTTTTTTTTTTTAAATATTAGATAATTCCATGTAAAAGAAAAACTCCCCTATTTTTTTTTTCTTACTTACTTTTGAAATCTCATTGATAGCTATTTGACTTGGAATATTTTGTAAAACATGGAAAAGAGCTAAAAGGTAATTGACTTGTAATTCTATATTATTAAAAGAGAGTTAAATTTATATAAATTCAATATATACATTTTTTTTTATTACCTGGTCTACAAATATCTATGATCTCAGAACCTTGTCTTAGCTGTTTAAAACAACGATGAAAGACTCTTTGTTTATATAAAATCTATTGTTATAACGAATTTAGTAATAACTAAAGGAGAAACAACGGATAATTCACTTACAGAAATGTTGGAATGAGATGGTTTATTTAATATTAATTCTTCTTCTTGTAATAAAGTCTTGAAACTAATTGCAGCTTCTTTTCCTAAATCAACTGTACCGCATTGTTCTATAACTGAATCTAATAATTCAAATCCATATTTATGTCCTCGGATAATTAAAGCTTTAATAACCTAATTATTTATCTGAATTAGTCAACATGTGTATATTATATGAATATTTATATACTTACCCATACAAGTACTGTAAAACTTATTTTTTTCTCTTTCTCCTCTTTAGAATTATGAAGAGTATATAACAAAGTCTTTGAACATATCTTTTTGACACATTCTTCAATGTCATCTAAAAATATATACATGTATATGTATTTATATAGTTTTTCTTTTTAAGAAGATTTTTTTTTCTTTTTCTTTTTTTTAAACTTACTATTCATCCATTTATTAATAATAGAAGCTGCTAGTTTTGATAAAGCTAATCTTTTGGATTCATGTGTAGAAGTCTGAATCGCTGTTGATATTATTTTTTCTAAAAATTCGAATAAACTCATTGTTGATAACGGTAACTGTATCTAATTTATACCTTTTTTTGCTTAATATATATTTGTATATATTTAGTCTTAAAACCTTTAACTTACAGCTTTACTATTACAGTTTCCAATAATAGCAGTGAATAACAATGTAATATCAACGTTGTATGGATTCTATTATAAAAAAAAGAATAATTGAATTATTGAATATTTATATATATATATATATATATGTCATCTATTTATTCTATTTTATTACCTGGTCTGAGCTGCCGTTATTAAAAATAGTGATTGAATGATTCCTTTGATCTATCATAGAAAAGTCACCTTGAATAAATAATTGAATTGCATCATGAACAGACGCTTGTTGTTCACTATGAATATAGAATTAAAGTTATATATGTATATTTATTTATATGTTGTGTTTTAAACTAAGATTATATATATATATTTTACCTTATTGAAGTTAAACGCGTCGTAATGGCAGCAATCATGGCAAATGAATCAACTAATACATTATCTAAATACCAATATCCAGGTCTCAAAGTGGATTGTACAGATTTCTTTATAATTTCTGGTAGTAATGATTTTTGTCCAATAGATACAATTTCACAATCTTTAGAAGCTACTTTATAAATGGAAAGTAAAACAGTAACAAGATCATGTACATAGTTTACATTTTCTTTCCCTATCTTCATACATGCATAATCTATTTTTTCTAAAAGGGGATACATGATAATTTTGAATAAAGCAGGATAAACACCCAAGTATTGAATCACTTCTAACGTATCATGATATGTTTCCTTTATGACTGGATTATCAGAACTGGCCAATTCTTTCAAGACGATAGGAATCGTATGTTGACCAACCACTGTAGGGCATAACTTGGATATAACACCAAATGTAGATAATACATAGTGTCTACATGTAATAGTTTACTATTTAATTTCTATCTGTATATGTATATGTATTTATATATATTTTTACTTTTTATTACCTAACTTGTTTATCTTTACACATGAGTTGTTGAGTAAGATAATCAACTATCAATTTAATCTAAATAGGATAATTAAATATATCTCTCATTCTCTCTCTCTCTCTCTCTTTTTTTTTCCTTGTTACTATATGTATTTACTTACTTCTTCTTCTTTTAAGAATTGCTTCATTAAAACCATTTCATGAATACCTCGAAGACTTGCTTGATGTAATACAATATCAGTTGAACTTGTAAAAGGTAATGTAAAGACGTGTAATATAGGTTGTTTAAACATGAATAAAGGTGTTTGGAAATCACGATCTATAGTATTCATCATCATTAATACATATATATATATATATATATATATATATATTTAGAATGAATGAAGATTGAAAATCAATTGACTAATTAAACCATCTTACCATAACCAATATCTTCTACTGAACCATAAAGTTGTTTACTAGCCATTAATAATTCTGTTAAAATATCAAGAATAGCTACACGTCGACGAATAGGGTCTGTTGTCTTGTATTGTTCACATAGAATAGGTATCGTTGTATAAGTAACAGATGTACATGCTGGATCTGAAGCAGAAGCAGTGGCTCTCAAGATAGAGGCCGCTGATCTCGCCCTCTTCAATTCAGGTTCCTTTAATTCTTCTACACATTTGTGTAATAAAGATTCTATCGCCTTCTCGACGGGATTACGAATGTTAGCAATACTGATACCCGTACCTAACGTAGCCACAACACTATGAATCGTTTCAAGTGCAACATGAACCATCGATGCATCTGCCTCTCGATAGACTTCCCCTACTAGAGCATCAAACAAGTCTTGTACATGAGGTAAGATAGCATGTGCGCCATATGCAGGTGCACATAATCGAATTGTCTCCATCGCATCCTCTTTAGCACTCCCTGTCGTCGTCAATAGTTTCTCAATTAACAATGGTGTAGCATAATAGGCAAAATAAGGTGTGGCTGCTAGACATCGTCTTAAACTCTCCTTGAGGTCCCTTGTCGTAATCCCAAACGGATCATTAGGGGGTGGTGAAAAACTGATCGGGAAATAACAGAATACAATATCAAATAAATCTTCAACATGTCGAGAAATATCGAACCGGTCAATGATAACTCGAACGAGTTCAAATGCAATCATCAAGTTCCTTGGATCCTTTTCCCCATCCATGCAATTTATAAATCCACCAATAAAATTAATTTTAGATCTTTGAGTCTCTAATAACAAAAGCCCGCCTTTATTATTAAGCTTGCTTTTTTTTTTTTTTATGTATATAATCTGGATTGGAATCTATTCTTCTTCTTACCTGATGCATATTTCTCTAATGTCTTTTCAAGTATAGCCAATACTTTATATCTACTTTGTTGTTGTAATTTTTTCGTATTGATGTGTGTAAATATCCTACCCAATAATAGAAAAAGATGTTTAAATATAAATATTCCCTTTTTTTTTTTTTTTTATTTACGCATCACAAATTTGAACAACGTCTGTACTAGATATATTATTAGAGTTCATTAGTACAGATAATATATCTATACAACGAGAAGTGAGTGTAGATTCATTTAAACGTTCACATATAAATCGAACTAAAGCATTAACTAAATAAAAAATATATATATATATATGAATTATTTATTCATGACTTTGTGTGTGTGTGTGTTTTAATAAGCTTACTTGTAGGGGAATCAAGTGAGGATTGACTTGGTATAACAACTTGTGCTAAAATCTCTACGCCTATTTTATGTTGTAATTAATTTTCTCTTTCATATATGTTGTATATTTGGGGAGAGTTTTTTTTTTATAAGAGAAAGAAACTCATCCATATAGACATTACATTTCTTTTTATACGTTGCATCTCCTTTTTCCCAAAATGAAACTAAATAATCTATAAAGTCAGCAAAATTCAACTCATTTTTCGTTAAATCTAAACAAATTCAAAACAATTAGTCTTTAGAAATAATCCCATGTCTTTGCATTAAACTAACAAAGTAATATATAAGCTAGTAAAGAAGGATCAACTTCTGTCTTGTCTGAACTAAACCATTCCAAAAGTAATTTGGGAATGTCCATATTATTATTAATTTTTTTTTTCTTAAATAAAAAAAAGGGAAAAAAAATCTGATAAACTTGGGACCTGTAATAAATAAATTTTTTTATCTGATTTTTTTTTATTTTTATTTTTATTTTTATTTTATTTTTTTTATTTTTTTTTGTTTGTGACTAATAAGTTTATCCAATCATATACAAATATGTAAATGTTTGAGGAAATGTCAAAAAAAAGGGGGGAGGAGGTGATAGTCTATTATATCAATCGATATAATAAACTACATGGATTTAGTATCTTTAAATGCTAAAAAAATAACGACACTATATAGTGTAATAAGAAATATGTAAATGTTTACTTTACCGTTTTAACTCCTTTATAGCTTTGATATAATAGAACATTGAATATTACACTCTTTATATTACATATTCTATGCTAATAACATTTATTTAATGCTGTTAGTCCTTCTATACAAGACACTAGGAAGAGAAACAAAGAATATGATTAAAATAATAGATCCCCGGTAAAAATCGAATCAGATAACAGACTATAGTTGGTTTAGTTTATTCATTTTACTAGCTTTATTTAGATAGGTAATGATATTTAATATCCCTTCAGTATGATTGTATTTGTATGAAGATACAGAATATAATGGGGGTTATATATATATATATATCTACATACATACATACATATATGTATTCCAAAAAAAAAAGAAGAAGAGGCTAAACAAGAGTTCTGAGCTATTCTATTTAGAGCTTTAAATGACGAGTTATTTATAATATGTATATCTATTTATATATGATGGATATGAGAACAATTAAATAGTCTTTATTATCTTTCACAAAAAAAAAAGTTTATACACTTGTAAGAATAATGTACATATACATACATATATGAATATGTCAAATCATTAAACTTGTAAACACGCATCTTATTAATAATAAACTAAAAGATGTATCTATTTAAACTATCCGTGACTGATTTTTTTTAAATCAACGTTAGATTACATAAAGTTCTAAATGGAGACACTATCCTTAGAGTGGGAAAGACTCCACTGTCCCACCAATGCAAACTTTACTGTAGAATTAATAACAATGCAAAAAAAAAAAAAAAAAAAAAAAATACAGATTGGGCGATTCATGTGTCACCGCCCGTCTTAAAACAAGCTCCCCGTAATGCCTTCGCGTTCGTCTTTTTTTTTTTTACATGGCGTACAGGGCAAGCCCCACGACTGCGGCTGATTGGCTGATTTACCAAAAAAAAAGGGAAAAGAGAAAAAAAAAAGGGGGGGAAATTGAAAAATAGGAGCCCTTTTTATATCTATTTTCTCATCATGCATGATATTGCACAAAGTGACTGTTATCGTTATTGAAAGTTGAATGATATAAAATGAAGCGTTGCACGAGTGACCACTGATTGTATCTTTATTCATATGAATACAAAAAAAAAAAAAAATCCCACATGTCTTTAGACTATTCATCAATATGAATCATGAGGATAGATTTATAATTTTTTTAGTTACTTGTTTATACTATGCATTCTTTACGATAAAACCAAAAATAGGGCTTTATCATTTCCTTTTATATCTTCAAAATAGAAAGGTCGTCTATCCTGAATTATCACTACACATGATCTACTTTCTTGCTACTTGAAACCACAATGATAGTAGTAGAAGCTTCTTCATCGACTATTTGCTTAAAATAACAAATGCTATAACTTTTCATAAATAAACCAGGTGGATATTTTTTTTAATAATAATTACTATATATGCTCAAAAGTAAGTCTCAAATAGAAAGAATGGTGTTAAATACGGTACCGTTCTATTTCATTTATTTTCAGGAATAAAGTGAGTTCCTTTATTATTGGGAATATCAGTAGTTATCAATACATAATGAGCCTTTTCCTTACATAATCTGATGTCAGTAAAGATATTTTCATTATAAACTTTCACAACAAGCTACAATAATGTAAAAAACAACAACAACAACATCATTATTATTATATATGAGTGGTTTATATAAAACCTTTAAAGGGGCTAGTTTTTGAGTTCCAAGGTCCTTGAGTTAAAAGGGGGGGTTGAAGTATACAAAAGTAGTGTTTGAAAGATTAACATGTATACAACATGTTGATGCATTGTTCTTATTTCAAGATTCCTTTTAGGGAATGAAAAAAAAAAGTGAGACTATAAAGAATAATATTTATGAATTATTACTGGCTCTGTTCCCGGGTAATATATAAACTACATTGATGTTGCATATAAGAAATACACAACGAAAAGGTAAACTCGGAACATTAAATTATTAGCTTCTTCTTGAGTGGTGCCACTTCTTCTTTTATTGTTAATAAGATAGATTAAAGCACTCTTCTTTTCTACAATACAGAGAAGTTAATTTAACACGTGTATTGTTGATAGAGACATTCTTAATGTACGCTTTCTTTTACTAGTACAATATATTGATAGATTTTTTTTTTTTTCATTCATATAATAACTTATTTTATTTTTAATCTCAATTACACAATAATCAAGATTGTTAATCCGTCTTTCCTGAAACCACTGTTTGTTTATCGGGTGTTTTTTTTTTTTTTTTATTAGTGATTTACATTTTTAAGCGGATGAATAGACAGCGTATATCGATTAAAATGAATCAAGCAGCAGCCTTGAATGGTAATGGGGATTGCTTATATTTTTCAGGAATATGCTCTAGAATTTCAATTTTATCTCCTACACGAATTTTTCCTGCAGTTAGAGGAATGACATCACAACAGAATTGTCCCATATTAGGCTCATCAGCAAATTGACGTCTTATCTTCAAATAATCTGTGGGACCTTTACCATCCCAAGCATCTTTTATTCCAGTATCTTGATTAATGCTAGGAACTATTTTCTAAATGAATTAATAACAGTCTTAGAGACATCCCCATCCTACACACATATATTTACCCGTACAACGTGCAATAGGTTGAACAATGTATGCTGTCACTTCTCCAACTCTAACAATCCATCAATATACGGTTATTTTATCATTATATCACAAGAGAATACTTACTTTGCAACTAGCCATTGGTCTTCTTCCCAAGGAATAGTACCAGCAATTGTAATATTATTTCTGAATCTATTCATAGGAATTTGATTTCCTTTACTAATCCCTGTCTCCAACAATCCCTTATTCACTTCCTCTAAACTACTAACAAATCCAAATGAAATAGGTGACCAATCTGAAAAAGCTGTATGAACACCTTTCAAATAAGGGTGAGCAGGTCGATCATAAACTCCTTTAGCTGGATCATCTAACGTCACCAATCGAACTTTACTAACAGGATCATTTTCGTGAATAGGATCATCAACACTATGATTATTCTCACGATCATGTTGGCGATGATTAATAAGGAATTGGGTAATCCATTCTCCAACTTCATCACCAAGGTCATATACCGTTAAAGTGTCTTTCCATAATGTCACCGTTCGCTTAGTCAGCAATTCTAAATCTTGTTTTAATGGTAAAATAAATGGTTCTTGTCCATCAGCTAAAAGTGTTAATTTATTTTCTTTTTCGTTCAATATAGTTCTTAAAAGTGATAATGAGGCGAATTTTCTAAGTGGTTTGATATGAGGATTAATCTATTTTCTTTTTTAAACATTATAAAAAAAAATTACCTTTGAGTGACAAATCGGTTTGTATCTTCATATACAATCATAAATCTTCTATCATTTTTAATTCCCAAGTTATCAACTTCACATTCTTCTATTTGAATGTAATGACAAGATTTAATGGGGTAAATTTGAATACTTTGAACAGTAGGTACATTAATAGAAGGCATTTTCGTAAAAAATAAAAAAAATGACTAGTTGTATATAAAAAAGGGGATCTACATTTTTGTGGGTGGCGAACATAACGATATTATTCAAATTCCGCGATCGTTTAAAATGGTGACATAGGCCGTCATAAAAAAAATAAAAAAAAATTTATTTGACAGATATACACATATAAAGAAAACCTTTTTTTTTTTTTGAAGATAGTCTATATTTTTTATTGAAGAAATTTGAACGATAAAAATAGTAGTAAGCTAATTAAGAAAATACGAGTTAGAAAAGAAGAAAAATTTTAACTTTTTTTGATGAAAAAAAAAAAAATGAAATTGAAAGAAAACTGCATACAAATCTGGTATTTAAAAATTTCTTTTCTTGTCGAGTATATTTAATAAGCAAAACAATAAGCCTATTGTATTTATTGTTATCCATATTATGTGTCCAATAGCAAAAGCGAACAATAGCTATTATTAATAGACCAACTATATATATAAATATAACAAAGTAGAATAGAAAGAAAGTGAAGTCATGCTGTTTATCTTTTTTTTTTTCCCTGTAAATACAAATTTCCCAAAAAAAAAATTGTCTTTAATTAAAATCAACATTATTACACAAACGAGGTACAATATTTAGTTTTATGGCATTAAATAACAAAAAAAAGAAGATCTGATAAGGATTTCTTTCTCTTTATTGTTTCTTTCCTTTTTTTTTTTTTTTTTTTTGCTACTAAATATGATTTTAACTAATAAATTCATTTAGAAAAAAAAAACTTTTTATCTATTATAGTGTTCTATTCATCTTCTTTTTCTACTCTATAAAAAAAAAAAAAAAAAAAAAAAACGGAAAATAAATTAATATTTTAAACAATAAAAAAAACAATGATCAAAGGTGGTGTGATGTATAACATTCACATATATATTTTAATACAATAAAAGAAAGCAGCGGACTAATAAAAATAACAGCGGATAGGCACACAGAAATTCCCGAGTTGAGGAACTCATTTTTTGCTGAATTTAAAAATGAGAGTACAAATATAATGAATGAAATTTTGTTTTTAATTGTTATCTTTTTTTTTTTTTTTTTTTTTTTTTCTTTTTCTTCTTATTATTATTGTTATTAAAAATGGATACAGTTTTGTATTATTTTGATGAATATGTGTTTGATAAAATGTATGCCAAATTATGGCCATCTTATACAAAGCATGTAGCTGGAGCTGTGATTTCTGCTTGGCCTCGAGATGACTTTTGGCGTATCAACCTTTCTTTATTTATGATTACTTGCTTTTTTGGTTGGACATTGTATTTATTGACTGCTACTTTGTCATATTACTTTGTATTCGATCACGATTATATGAAACACCCTAAATTCTTAAAGAATCAAGTACGAATGGAAATTGAATGTGCTTTAGGCTCAATTCCATGGATGACACGTATGTATACTCAACATTCTTTTTGTTCTATTATTTATGTACTCATTCCCTTTAATCATCCTAGTCCTTACTCTTCCTTTCTTTACTGGTGAAGTCTTGGGTAAATCTATGTTATATGGTGGCATGCCTCAAACAGTTCAAGAGTGGCTTTATATCCTTATCTCTATTCCCTCTTTCTTATTCTTTACTGATTGTGGTATTTACTGGTTCCATCGTTGGATGCATCACCCTAGAATTTACAAATATCTTCACAAGGTAAAATAAGATTTTATATCAATAGAATTTAATACTGATTTATGATATTAATAATAATAGCTTCATCATAAATGGGTTATTCCTACTCCTTTTGCTTCTCATGCTTTTAATCCTTTTGATGGTTTCTTACAATCACTTCCTTATCATCTTTATGTTTTCATGCTTCCTATGCACAAATACTTGTATCTCTTCATGTTTGTCTTTGTTAACTTTTGGACTGTTATGATTCACGATGGTAGGATACATCTATATCACTATCTATGTAGACTGATTGGACTAACTAACTTTCATTTTATTCATAGGTGAATTTATTTCACATTCTTCTGTTATCAATACCAGTGCTCATCACTTTGTACACCATGTTTATTTCAATTACAATTATGGACAATATTTCACTTTCTGGGATAAACTTGGTAATTCTCATCGTCAACCTACAGATGAACAATATGTTAAAGCACTTCGTGATGATCAAAAAGTAATGGCCCGTCAAGCTCATGATGCAGAAGAAATCGAAAATGAAACCCTTGGTATTAAGCCCAAGTCTCATTAAACAAAAACAAAACAAAACAAAATCATTTAGAAAACACTTCTTCCCTTTCTCCCCTCCCCCAAGAGTAACCTGGCGCTACTTTTACAATTCATACTTACTTTTATAGAGATTATTGATATATTTCAGTTAGCTTATTGTAATTTATTTATTACTTGTTATTGTTTGCTGTATTGTTTTTATTATTATTTTTTGATTTATAAATAAGCAGTTATAACTTGTATCAATAATCTTTTCATATACACATTTTCTTAAACAATCCATAATAATCATAGTAGTAGTTTTTTTTATAGAAAAATAAAGAAATAATAATAATCAAAAAAAAAAAAAAAAAAAAAAAAAAAAAACTAATATCATCTACATTTAAAGTATGAATAGTGTACCGTAGTCCAGGATTATTAGTTCACTACTATTTATATTTTATCCAATCACATATTAGTATTATATAAAAAAGTATTTATTAAATTCTTCATCAATTTGAACGATATGACAGCTGCAACCCCCCCTTTTTTTTTCTTTTGTTCAAATCATATTATACCTGTAATAATCTAAATGTCTTGAGAGACAAGCTGTTTATAATACTGCGATAGGATTCTCGTAGTTATTGTTGTGATTTCTTCGGTCTTTGAAATACGGTTGGGCGACCAGTTTGTCTCCAAATTGATAATGGTATTTCCATCATGTTTTTGCTGGAGTTAATATCTCGCTGCTATAATATTCCACAGAATTTGCATTCCAGGATACTATTACCACGAGCATGCTCAACTGGCTTCAGAGTCTTGTTGTGACAACTACTACAAGCTCTTGAAGTATTAAATTCGTCAATTGTAACAGCAATTAATCTTCCCTCTCTTTCTCTCTTTTTCTGAGTCTGCTATAGAATCTTTGTAACTCCACATTGGTTTTCTCTTAGCTTAATTGAGTCCTTTCCAAACATACCGTCGCCGAAAACAATGAAGGGAATCCTTTTCTTATCTTCACGGTACTTCTGGGGCTTCCACTTATTTGACCTTTTAAAATGTTTTTCGATAAGAACTATTTAACACATTGAAAAAGAAATTGCTTGCTTATTTACAACCTTCTTCTCCTCTCTTTCTTTTACTTTCTTATTCCTGCTTTCCCTCTTATTTTTTGTTCTTTTCCTTCTTTTTTTTCCTGTCTTCTTTTCTCTTTTCTCTTACTTTTCTTCTTCTTCTTCCTGTTTCTTCTTCTTCTTTCACGGTTGTATTTCAGCCCGCCATCAAGCAAGACGTTGGTCATGATTTCTGGAGCCCGTTGGCGACCTTGATACGATACGAAACGATTTTTGCCACTGGTATCTTTGTAGAAATCAAATAGTATGTCAATATACTCAAGCATAGATTGTAAGTATTCATAATATTTTTCTGCTTTTGCTGTCTTGTGTGTTGGAATTTTCGATTCTACTTCCTCAATTCTATTTTGTTTTTTAAGTTTTTGTTGATTTACTAAAAATTCTGTTGAACCGGTGTAATGATAATACTCTTTGGTTGAACAACGTATAATAGGGTGGACATCTTTGACAAGGCCACACACTGTCGTATATACCGCTTTTCTTCCGGAGCCCAAATAAATTGGATTATATGTTGACGCCACCTCTTCGTAGTCAAAATCTGTTAACTTGAGATCTAGATCATTAACGGTCTGATAAGATTCTTTTTTTTTTTTTTTTTTTTTTTTTTTTTTTTTTTTTTTTTTTTTTTTTTTTTTTTTTTTTTTACTCTTAACTTCGCGAACTGGTTCGGGCAATGCAGTTATTTAAACTATTGTGCTCATTATGACCACTGTTTTTTTTTCCTTTAATCGTATTTTATAAATAGTCTCCTTTTTTTTGAACAAGTAGTTATATATCATCCTCTCCTTTTATCATTGTTCAAGAAAAGGTGATTATTTCTTTGCTATATTATCTTGTGATATGTAAAAAAAAAGAAAGATAAAATAAAATAACTATAGATAGTTAAACAGACAGACAGACTATTATTTATACTAAAAATACTTAAATATAATAATGACAGTCATGAGTTTATTGATTTTATAGAATTATTATTTATCATTACAATGCATGCTTCTTACTATGTTTCCAAAATCTATGGTAAAAATAGAGGAAGAAGGGGGGAGTTCCAAAAAAGTCTCTATTTCTCCATCTTTTTTTTTTTTTTTTTTTGACTTGCCATAATAAGACGGTCCCTTCCATACATGTATTTTTTTTTTTTTTTTTTTTTTTTTTTGAACTGAGAAAGGAGGGGTCCCTTTTCCTGCAAAAATTCGTATTGACGATATACAATAATAATAATAAAAATGTCACGTTTAATGTTGAAACAGAGTCGCTTATTTATGCGTTCAATGCCTTCAGTCGCACGTCGTACATTCTTTTCTGCAGGCATTCAACGTCTTGAACAACCTCAATCCAGTAGTAAAACAACTCACTTTGGGTTCCGCGATGTAGCAGAAGAAGAAAAGGAAAGCCTTGGTAGAGAAAAAAAAAAAGAAAAGAAAAAAAGAAAATGATTATATGTTAATTAATTTTTTTTTGTTTATTTTTTTTTTTTTTTTTTATATCTAGTACATAATGTTTTTGCTAATGTTGCAAGTAAATATGATGTTATGAATGATGCAATGAGTTTAGGAATTCATCGCATTTGGAAAGATGAATTCATTCGCTCTATGGCTCCTGGCCCAGGAACAACATTATTAGATGTTGCTGGTGGCACTGGTAAACAGAACCACTCTTTCCTTTCTATCCTTTCCTTATTATTTTTTTTTCTAGGTGATATTGCATTAAAATTTTTAGATTATTGTAAAAATATTCATCATGATAGTACAGCCACAGTGAAATTAGTTGATATTAATCCTCACATGTTGGAAGAAGGCAAAAAGAGATTTCAAAGAACATCTTATGCAAATAGTAAGTCATATATGACAGCTGTCATTTTCACTCTGTAACTCACATTAATTTTAGCCAATCAAGCAAGCTTTTTAGTACAAAATGCTGAACATTTAGATGATATCCCTAATGAATCCGTGGATGTTTACACAATTGCTTTTGGTATTCGTAACTGTACACATATTGATAGAGTAGTGAAGGAAGCTTATCGTGTTTTGAAAAAGGGAGGACGTTTTATGTGTCTTGAATTTAGTAAAGTAGATAATCCAATTGTCGGAAAGTAAGTCAACAGAGAGATATTTTGTAAATTACAAATGTATTTAATCCCTTTTCTTTTTTTCCTTTTAAAATAAGACTCTATGATATTTATTCATTTGATGTTATCCCTGCCCTGGGTCAAGTCATTGCTGGTGATCGCGACTCATATCAATATCTAGTTGAAAGTATTCGTAAATTCCCACCTCAAGAGGAATTTGCTCAAATCATTCGAGATGCTGGTTTCAAGACAATAGGCAAAGGCTATGAAGATCTTACCTTTGGTGTTGCTGCTATTCATAGTGGATTTAAGATTTAAATGAATATCACTTTTTATTAAAATAAACTGTGGATATTTATAATAAAGAATTAGTTTTTTTTTTTTTTTTTTTTTTTTTTTTTTTTTTTTTTTTTTTTTTTTTTTTTTCCCTCTCTTCAAGAAATAACAATTTTAGCTACAGAGACATGCTGATTCCATATCACTTTCTCTATACGTGAAACAGATTGTCCATCTACATAAACAGTAGGAAGCTCACTATCGTCTGATTTTAGTTTGAGATAGATTCGATTCTTTTTTCTCATATAAGGTCTCTTTAACGTAATATGAATGCTATCTTTTTCGTCTATCCTTAAACTCTCAATTTCAGCACCTGGTACGATATGGCCAGTAGATCCCATAAAGATATCCTTACTATCTGAAGCAATTCTCATAAAGATTCTTGTTTCATGTGGTTTCAAGAATAGTTGTGTCTGTGACCTATACCAATCTACATGGGATCCTCCATTCATCAACACATTACTATGTTCAAAGAAGTAGTCATATTCTCCATTAGACGCAAGGGGTAATTGAGCCATAAAAGGTAAAGGGGATATATTAGAGATAAAGATATAATCACGGCCATTGCATTGATAGCTTGCTTGATAAATATCTAATCCAATAGAGACAAGCTCTTGAACGTGGGCCACTGGCTTTGGGAAAATGGAGCTATAAAGTGTATGTTCTTGTTTATCATAAAACTGGACGTTATCAGACATTAATGTAAGCTGACCGAAAACGAGGTTGACGATCAAGAGTGTATGTTTTTCTTCTTTAGTCAACTTATTGTTGTTAGACCTTATAAAGAAGACATCAGGGTCACTACCAAACATGGTAGAACCCATAGGCCATCGATTGAGTGTAGATGTAATAGCGTTGTAGCTTGATACACGCTCACGGACTTGAGCGATACGAAGCACCGAATCATCCCACCAGGGGGATGCATCACTACTTACACGGGAATACTCTAATCGACCCCATGTAAAAGGTAATGGAACTCCTGACCCCAATAGCATTGCACGTTTACGAACAAGTTCCATCACGAACTCCATCGCATCCCACATAATCTCTCCACGGGATTTACCTAAACGAGGAATCATAGCAGCTGCAAACAAGAAATCCAATTTAATAAGTTTATATCCCCAAACATCGATAACTTGATCAAATACATGTTGAAGGTAACGACGAGCTTCATCATGATAGATATCAATCGCATAGAAGCCTCCCCAGTTGGGTCCAGCAACAACCAGGCTTCCATTTTCTGGATACTTTAATAACCATTCAGGGTGTTCCTTTACTATTTTACTTTTGAAACCTACTGCAAAGGGAGCTAACCAGATACCAGGAATGTAGTTTTGCTCCTTTATATCGTCTGCAAGAGCTTTCATACCTCTAGGAAATTTAACCTTATCTACCTCTAACCAGTCACCTACTTGTGATTCGAACCCATCATCGATCTGAAATACATCAATCGGATACTGGTGTTCTTTAAATGCATTCAAGCTCGACATAACATCCCCTTCCGTCACCCTTTCATAATGATTGTACCAAGAAGACCAGCCTGTTAGATGACGAGGATTTTTAAATTCATGAAGAGGATCATAATAGTCAGCATACTTTTCCCAAATAGATCCAAGATCCCTTATATGATCTCCTTGACTTACATACAATTGAATGCATAATTCATGATGTTTCTCTAACCTTTTGCCATCAATATCTTTATAAAGAAAAAATTTATTATTATCAAGATGTCCTTTATAATAAGTATAACCTGATTCTTCAGAGATAGAACCCAAAAAAACGATATGATTTGACTTAGTATCACGTAAATAGGTATAACCTGTAGAGTGAATATGTCCAACTTGGCCTGAATAATTAAAGAAATCATAATCCCTAAATAATTAGGTTATTTTACATACACATCTATATCTATATATATATCTATATATATGTATCGTCTTCTTTGTTTGTTTTACCCTTGAAGATTAAATTTGGTAAACCAAGAGACGACAGAAGGAATGGCTGCTAGTCGATTATATTTACCCATTTCTTTTGTAGTACTCCAACATTGAAACCCTTCTGCCATCATCACTTTGGCTTCTAAATTCATATCATATTCAAATTCCAGATAGTTTAACTCAACACTACTATCTTGTGGAATCAGTCTGTAATTTATTTCAAAGCTATCCGGATTTAATAATTTCACAGTTCTTTCTACTTTTATTTGGCCCATCATTGTTTCATCTTTGAATGGAAGTGAAAACTTTGACTTGACATTATCAACAGTGTATTCAATGTGAACAGTAGAAGGTGTTTCTAACAATAATGTTTCAAATGGTGATGTTGTCATAGTATATGTTAATAAAGGAAATAGAAATATAAAATTAAAATAAAAAGCTAATATTCGCATAATGAAAATAAAAAAAAATATGTATACGAAGCAGAAGGAAAAAAAAAATATATCATAAATCATAAAAATAGAAGGCCAGACTTCGGTGAGACAGCAAGTGCATAATAATAATAACAAATAGACTCAATTACTTTATTTAAGAAGCAAATGATGGTGTTAACAGTCAAAGAAGAAGGAAGAAGAAGTCAACTTTTTTATATATATATATCATTATATTCTACACAAGAGAAGAAATAAAGTTCTTTATTAATTCTAACTTGTCTTTTACAAAGCCTATTTATCAAGATAGCAGTCATTTCCAAACTACTCGTCTGTGCTCAAATATCTATTGAATAAAATCTTTTAATGCAATTTTTTTTTTTTTTTTTTTTTTCTAAAAAAAAAAAATCACTCTTAATCAATAATGCCAAATAATAACATTGATGAACCAGTTCACACAGTTCTTCAAGATTATGATCTTTTAGATGCAAGTTGTCAAATCAACTCACTTTATGTGGTATATTAAACCAGTTTATAATAGATTGCTGTCATTCAAGATCAATACTCAATTAACATGTCATCTAACTTACTTTGGGTAACTTGACTTGTAAAATGTATATACATGTATACATGGAGATGTATTATTTTATTAATGTAAATTTTCCAACAGCGTATGAATTTATGTGCTGCAAGTGATGAGATTCCTTGTACTTTTTTCATTGGTAAAGAGAGAGAAACAAAAGACAATCTAATTGCATAAATACTGATCACATGGAATAGCCATGAATTATAAAGTCCATGTTTATACATTAGATACAATGAGTTCACCTTTTAAAGAACCAACTAAAGTACTTGCTAGTCCAAATGCTCTTAATACAAATGGTGGATCAGAATCGGTAATGATCATCTGAATGATAAAAAAAAAAAAAGGAAACTCATTTTCGTAAATAGCCTTTTATAATCAACGCTATTAAAGTTGGTAGAATGCTTGAAAAGGAAATTCTTGTGACAGTTTCAGAAATTGGTGAAGTATGTATATGGAAAACAGAACATTTGGATGAACCACCTATGATTTTAAAGTAATGAAGTAAACAATGATAGTAGTTATAAATATGTATTAAAGTATGATTTTTTCCCCCTTCCTCTAGTAATGGTATTGCAACTTGGGGCATTGCTATTCATGGTGATCAAGGATTGTTAGCTGTCTCTGCAAACAACTGGAAAATAACGATATTCAATCTCTTAGAAATGACTAAAAATAATCCAATTTTCGGTAAAAAAACAAGACAAGTGCCAAGTTATCTAGATTCAATTGAACGAGTCGAATTAGAAGGTCATGAACATAATATTCCAAATATAGATTTTAATGAATCAGGAAGATATATTGCAAGCGCCTCTATCGATATGACTTGTAGAGTATGGGATATCACAACGCAAAAGGTAGTTACCTTAAAAAAGTCACCACCAAGGGATTTAGAGCAAAATGCTTGGTGTTGGTCAGCCAAGTTTATTAAGCCAGGTAACTTTAAATATGCCGTCTGTCATGATAAACGAATCAATAAGGAGTTTTTGAAGAGATACAATCGGGGATGCTCAACCTCTTTGTCTAATTTGGGATTATGTCATTCAGCCAATATACCAGCTTTTCCTATGAATATCTCTCGTATCTTTGACGATGAAAATATTGATTTTGAAATTTATGAAGGAGAAGGAGAAAATGAAGAAGAAGAAGAAGGAGAGTTGGATGATAGTTTATGGGATAATGCTTTACTAGAACAAGAGGAGGAATGGATGCAAGAAATTTTTGACAGACAGCAACAAGAGAATGAATACATCTTGAGTAGACCTTCCTCATTAGAACAAACATCAAATAATGAAAGTAATAGAACTGCATCTAATAGAAGAATTGTGAGAACACAAGAAGAATGGGAAGCTACTTTAGTAGATACTGAAGAAGGATGGGGATCCTCTGATGTGACAGAGGATGAAGATGCATCATCTAATAGTCGACATATGATGGAGATGGAGCTTTTAAGAAATATTTTACAAGAAAGGATGAGTACAAGATCAAATAGTAGTTCAAGTATTCCTTCTAGTCATGATATTATTTCTGAAGAAACGACAATACCATCCAATTGTATACCAAATATCATTAAAAGTACAACAAAGAGTAGTCTAATAAATAAGCCATTAAAACAGAGTGAAGAGACAGAAACAAGAAGAAGGAATCATACAGACTTGGGTGAATATTTGATAATGACGACGAGTAAAGATATTATCTTAACAAGCACATCTGTACCAAGAATGAATGAAATAAGAGCAGAACATAATATGATTAATAAAGTAGATATACGAACTGATCAATTATTAAGAGTATTAGACCGTATAAATATGATTGAATGGTTACCAGAATTAGAATTATTAGTTGTAGCAAGTCAAAAAGGCACAGTAGCACTAACGCGTATAATACAAGTTGAATTTGAAAATGGTCATCAAGCTTGTTACTTTAATAATGAATTTTATTTACCAACAAGCATACTTCAATCTACACCACTTTATGGTAAATTCAAACAAGTGTCTATTTATATTATCACGTATTAGAGTAATGAATCATATCTTTTTTTCTTTCTATAGGCATGACAGTTAAAAAAGTTAAAAATGAACGATTTTCACCAATTTCATATCAAATCTTTTTATTCTATTTTAATGGAAATGTACTTGGATATACAATTACTCGTAAAGACTCGTCAAGCATTTCGATTGATAATCTATTTTTATAATATTTGTATTTGAACAATGTAGGCTATATTATTATTATTTGTTTGCTTGTTTGCATGTTTGCTTGCCTGCTTGCTTGCCATTTTCTTAATAAAGTCTTTACAAGAACGAGATAACTTCTCAACTACTTTTCTCTTGTTTAAAAAAAATACTTAGTACTGTACTCTTTTATCTAAAGTATGTTAATACAAAGTAATAACATAATAAATAGATGGAATAAAGACAAAAATACAATGAATGTTATGATATCATATAAAATGCGAGGTAATATCTATTTATTTATTTTTTTTTTGTTTGTTTTTAATTTTCTATTCCAGGTCAGCAGCAAATATTGTTATTATGCAAAAAAAAAAAAAAAAAAAAAAAAAAAAAAAAAAAAAAAAAAAAAAAAAAAGGACTTGTTTTAGAATTCTATTATATTCTTTTTTATTCTTCTTCTTTTTTTTTTTCATAATAATGACAAAAGCAGTGCAGCAACAAGAAGTTGTTACCGTAAAAGATTCGGCGGAAGCTAAACGATGGTTGATAATCGGAGCTTATGAAGCTGGAGCAACAGAGAAACATATTGCTCGAATATCAGGTCTTTCTAAAACTGCTGTTCGCAATATTATATTAAATTACAAACGAACAGGAATACCTTGCTTACCAAAAAGAATACCAAATAAGAGTAAGGGAAAGAATTTATTTTTCTTTTTCTAATTGTAAATCCTTACCCTTCCTCCCTCTTCCCTTCTTTCTCCTCCCCTCCCTTCCCACTCCTTTTATATATATGTATATATAACAGTAAAACAAAAACTCATCGTTGAATATGATGAAAATGGGGAATTAATCATTACAGATGATGAAGAAGATTCAATTAAAACAACAACATCAACAACTACTACTGCTACTACTAACAACGGTATTCAATATGCATTGAACCAAATGCGAATATCAACTATTGAACAGGCCAATAGTAATAATAAAAGGCCAAAATTACCTCCTCCTTCTAAATATGATCAAAATATACGTGGATATGAAATATGGACTCATGAGGATGATATCATCTTATTAAACCATGTTCTTCATCATCTTCATGTAGGAGGCTGGACTGAACTTGAAGTTAAGTTTAATAGAAGACATTCGGCTCGTCTTTGTTATGATAGGTGGAAATATTTAAAATCATTATTATTAAAAGGTATAACAACTGATAAAGCAAATAAGAATTCGTCTTTTATCAAGTAAATCATCATAAATTATTTATTGAATAATAATAATGATAATAAAAAAGTGCTATTTATTGCTTCATAATTTCTTTAATGTGCTTAACAAAAGTAGGTATTATTCTTGGAATAATTTGAAGTGTAGGTGGAGGAAGGGTCATTTCATGGGCTATTAATACATTCTTATTCTTTAGCTCATCGTCATCACTTTCATAGTCAAGTTCAGCCATATCATCAAAGATTCCTATCATTTCTTTATTGTCAGGCAAGAATTGAAGCATTTCTTGTTCGTCACTTGTGTTTATTAACTTTTGTCTCTTTCGGTCCAAATGTCTTTGTTTTCTTTTATAATGATAGCGACATAAACTATCTATCTCTTGCTTTAATGCAGTGTATTCATCATCTTCATGAATACCTGCTTCATTCACAATTTGTTCTAAATCAATACGTTTAGAAAGCCCTTTAGCTACAAAGGCAAATAAGGAATCAACATATCTCAAGAGATTATCAAATAGCTTTGATTTATCTTGAGCATGTACATTATGAACAAATTGATAAAAGTCATTTTCGTGTCGTTCAACAAGATCAATGAAAGGTTGAGTCGTATTCGTGATATCTTCCATACTTGACTTATCAATGACCTCTATCAAGTCATTAACAAAATCAGCTACATGTCCCATCGTCTCTCCAATATTGGCTGCCTTATAGACTTGGGCTAAAGGCTCATAAAAGATAGCGAAAAGATCTTTTATGAGTTCTCCTGTAATGCCTTGGAAGACAAGAGACATGAGCAATTCTTGTTCTTGCTTTCGTGCATACAAGACCCAAAGGTGGTATAAGTTTTCTACTAACTCACGTGACTCAACTTTATCAGGTTGATTAGCAAATGCAACCTTGATAATTTGTTGAGGAGTTAAAACGGGGGCAATATTAGGATTCTTTAAGAGTTCTAATGTTTCGAGAATGGGTGTTGTTCGTTCCATAGAGACTCCATCAGGTAATTCGGTTTGAACTGCATTCGCTATCTTTTGACAAAGTTGAGGATCATTGATTTTTGTTTGAAGTTCTTCAATATCCTTATCAAGCTCCTTTGTTTGTTCATTCATATTCGTCAACATAATCCTTTGTAAAAGGCTTTTACCACCAAAAGGCTGTGCTAAAAATAAATCCAATATACCTTTCACCATAGAGAATGGATTCGAATATTTTAATATTTGTCCAATAGCACGATAAGATATTAAAGAATGTGTACGCTTTAAGTTGGCTACGTTTTCAACAGATTTATCTGAAGTAATAAATTGTGTATGAAGAACAAATGCAAAGCTAAAAAAAAAGTATACAATTATAAGTAATTACAATAACATTTCATCTATTCTACTTCTTATTTATATGAAACTCACTTGATTCTACCCCATTCAATTGCTTTACGTAATTCAATAGGTAACTTGTCAATCGTTTCAGTGTTTTTAATAATGTCAAATATTTCAACAAGCCCATTGGGTTTCATAATTTGCTTTTTAAGCATATTTAATAGTCCATCCAATTCAGCAACCTTCTTATCAACCTGTTGTCGGAATCGTTTTTCTTCAGCCATTTTGGCTTCATCCATTTTTTGACGCTTAGTAATATCTGCTTGTTCCTCTAAGGTTAATTGAATAGGATTATTTATTAAGAAATCACGAAAGATATCACTATTGGCGACATCAGGCTCAGCAGAGAGGTTACGAAGGAATGATCTTAACATGATACGATCTTTTTCCCGATGGAGGTGTTGTGATTGGTTATTTGTATCATGTGCCTTGGATGGAACACTAGGTAATTCAAGAGTAGGAAAGGCTGCCTTGAGGTCATCTCGAAGTTGGCGGAAGTGACCATGTCGTCGAGCGACATAAACAGGAGTCGTTTCTCGATTGTTTTCAACAAGAAGCCTTGTTTCAATAATAAACTCAGAATGAAGATGTTCCCTGATCGTACGTCTTTCACTAAAGTCACGTACAGTAACCACGTTCAACTTGAGCCCATTTAAACCTATCCATTCAGCGTAATCCTCCTCACTTTCTAAACGTGTCATATCAAGTTTAGAGGCCAAGCTATCATCCTCTTCACTGACCTGGGTTAAAATCTGAATACTGTCTTCATTGCCTTGTACTGTCTTTATGCTAGCACAAAGGGATATAGTCAAAAGTTTTTCAATTTTATACATCAATACCCGCCTCTGGGAGTCTCTCGAGACCTTGGGAGCATATGTATTCGTCTTTAACTTGCGATATTCATCTAAAAATGTTTGCAGTTTTTCAAAGAAATTCTGCTGGTCTCCATTTTTTAATAAAGGAAATTCAAGTACAAAGTACTTTGTCAAGTACTGTAGAAATGGAAATTCGTCGTTTGTTTGTGTTAAACTTGTAAGTTGTGTACTCTCTTTGAATTTATCCAGTTCCTCGTGTAAATGTCGCGATATAAGTTCTCGCTTAAAGTAGTGTAATTCTTGTGGGCTTAAATTCATGACGTATATGAGAATAAAAAGATAAAATAAAAAAATAAAAAAAAAAAAAAAAAAAAATAGTATATTTATAGTTCACTGATGAGTTTGAATTAGTATCATTAAAAAAAAAAATTATAAACCAGATTAGCAGGTTTAATATGAAGTTCTATAATTTCAAATAACGAGCGTATAGATAGGAATTAGAAAGAGGAGTAGTTACGATCATTTAGCACTTAGCATTACCAATGACGTGCATAATGTCCTTAAGTTCATAGATTAGGGAAAAATATATAAATAGGTTGAAGTCCTTTTTTTATGCTATTTGCACAGACATTATTAATTTGGAGCTAAACAAAGGGCAAATAACTCTGATTGTTTTATCTATAATGCAACTCATATAATTTACAATAACGAAAATATATAAAATTATATTGTTAATTTGCACTTGTGTAAGTAAGCTTTTCTAGACACTCTAAGCCTTCTATCTCGTTTGTTGTATACTTTTTTTTTTATTTTATCTAAAAGTATTACTGCTGAAATCAACCTTAATGCGGTTAGATTACGCTATATTAAGGTATATGAAATATGTTATTAGAGTAATAATAATATATAAAATTTCAAATGAGTAGCATGACATAGTCTCAAGATATTTGCATAATATTGCAGATATTAAATTGTTCTTCATCAATGTATAATTCTTCTTCTCACTACCAAATCTGATAATATTGTTTATTACCTCAGGATTAATACAAAGAGAAAAAAAAACTATAGAAGTTTATGCTATACTTTAAGAATTATCTAAATGAGTATGTGAAAAAGTAGGACAAGATCTTAGTATCAAAGTAAAAGTGATCCAAATAATGTCTACAGCATATAAATAACTATTATTATTGCTAACACATGTCTGTTATTATAGCAATCATATTCGCGCCTCAATAATAAATGTCATCAAAGTCAATATAATAACATAGATGACTGGTTAGTGGGTTCCTGAAAATCTTAACCAATCAACTCAAATGCCTGAATTCTACTAAAAATAGGACAAATTCTAAGTTCCTAAAAAAAAAAGTCAATTGTTCAAACAGCTTACTGCTTGTTCTTTAATACTATCTTCCTTATCATTCCTATCTGACTCCTCTGTATCTACTTCCTTTCATATTTTTTGATATTTTTTAAAAGTCGCATTTGGTGCTTTTTTTTTCATAGAAATACATTTTTTTCTTTAACTCGAATATGAATGCCGTATAAACATTTAATGGCTTTAATAATACCCCATTATGAATTATTCTCCCGTCAATTGCGCCGTTTATTATTATTATTTAGCCTGATTGTTTTTGTATTATTCTCTAACTTATTAACGTTGGTGCGTGTTTGTTCGAGATAATTATTAAAATCCTAATTGCTGGCCATATTCGTAAAGAAAACTTAACGATGAGGGGTGGAGAGAATTGACTATTGATGATGGTAAGTTTGTAGTTTTGATATACTTTATGTAATTTCATACTAATTGATATGATATTAAATGACATTCATTTTACTATATGGCATCAACAAATTCCTTTTTCCTTTTTTCGCTTTCCCCAATTATCAGTCAATAAGTTTCTAAATTTGCCAAATTTTATTCACATATGTTAGAAACCGAACAGGAAGATTAGAAAAACTTAAATACTATATCATATTGGTAGCAAATAAAATGTCTCTAACTTGTAAGTGCTGACTCTATAATTAACAAGTAATTTTAAAACATGGGCTTCTTAAATAAATAAGATAAATCCTGTTTTTTTTTCTATTAGAAATACCAAGTACACAAATTTTGTGTTAAATATATTGTTTTATTTCTACATATATACTAATAATTTTCATCTATGAAACAAATAAGTATCATACAGCTTCTGATAACCATGGACTCTTAAGCATTTGACTAGCAGATGCTCGTTTTGCCATATCTAATTCAAGCATAGGTAGTAAAAATGCACTAACAGCATCCGCTTCTTCAGGTGGCATAAGAAAAGTATCATGAAGAACATCACGTAATCTTCGGTAACGCAGTCTCTTGATATGCCTTAATTTACCTGAACGATCAAAGAATTCTCGAGAAAGTTCTCCACCAGAGGTAATAATCTTTGGTACAGTACGCATTAATTCTAACATTTGCGCCAAATGATCTAAATACAAAATAAAGTTAGCTCTTTATTTTTTAGCTATAGAACTCCACAACTTACCGTCATCCTTATTGTATTTTGAACCTGCTCTAGGATCAAATAAAAACTCACCAGTTAATAATTCAAAGACCTATAAATGTAAAAGTTAGCTAATCCTCTCTTTTATTTTTTTTTTATGTGTTTGTGTTAACCTTACCATGCATGCCATACTCCACATATCAGCTTCATGGGTCCACTTACAACCAACAATCACTTCTGGACTGCGATACTGACGTGTTTGAATAACATGTGTATACTCACCATCTATCCAACAGGCATTACCAAGATCTGCAATTTTAACGATAATATTATCAAATGCATTCTCCTTTTCTGTTAAAATGGACGTAATATCTAAGGTGGAAGATGGTATCACTTTGGGTCCAATAGGTTGCTTTGTTAAAATCTTTAGGTTTCCTAATTTATTCTCTATTTCTTCCATACTAAAAAAAAAAAGAGACATTAAGTTCCCAAAATTAAATCCATACTTTTTATGACTTTCCTAACCTTACCTATTTTTTTTTTCTTCTAACATAATTTTTTGTGTATTAGCTAGCGTCTTTGCCTTCTTTTTTTTTAGTCTCTTTTTCTGAGACTTTGTTAACCCATTTGCTTCAGCATTTGTTAACCATGGTTGATTTTGTGCACTTGGTGATACTGGTGATGTTGAAGATAACATTACCTTTTCTTCATTTTCCTTAATACTTTTCAGCGTTTCAGCAGTTTCACTTTTTAAATATTCCTCAATATTTGGAATCCAAACCAGTACATTCTCTGGCTTCAAATCTGTATGAACAATACCACACTCTCGATGCAAATAATCCAATCCTTCAAGCACTTGTTTTGAGATTCGTTTAACAATATGTGAAGGTATCCCCTTATAATTATAACGCTTCATCAATGATAACAGACTTTCACCAAGCACTTCAAACGTCATACAGGCATGTTTTCCATAAGGTCCATAATGCCAAAAATGAGTCAGTAATTGAGCCACATGTCGATACCCCTTTGATTCTGAATTTGTCTTTTTAACGCATTCTAATAATTTAATTTCCTCCAAAGCACTCTCTGTATAACGATTGGCTGATTTCACGATCTTAAGAGCAACATGATTATTGGTTCTATACAGAGAATAAGAAATTGCATCACGCCAAGTTTATTTAACAAAACTTACAAAGTATCAAGAGCAAGCCATACAGTAGAAAAATGTCCCCAGCCAAGTTTTCTAACAACAATGTATCGGCCATCATCAAATCGATCCCCTATTGAAACAGGATGATATCCTCCTTTTCTATAATCCTCGACATCTTCTTCATCATCCGAATGAATCGATTCAATGTCAGAGTAATCACTTTCTGAATCTTCGTTTGACATGGCCTTATATATAAATATATATAAATATATGTATGTATATGTATAAATATATGAAAAAGAAAGTTTTTGTTTTTTGTTTTTTTGTCTTGTTTTGTATTTTTTTTTTTTTTGGTGAATATTGCATTCAATGAAAGTCACGGTATCGGCCTTTGTTGACATAGGTAAACCAACTGAAAGCAAGTAACTCTCTCTCTAAAATACAGTGTGTAGTGGCCTAATAAATGATGAGTCTTCAGAACCAAGTCTTTGTAATAATAATAATAAAAATAATGAGTGTGTCAAAAAAAAATCTCATCAGAGGCTTCATAAATCCCAAACAGCAGCAGGATTCAACTGAAAAGTGTTTCTATTACTGACTTGTTCTTTCAATTTTACGATCTTTATCACCTAATCAATAGCCCCTGAGATATAATTTTCGTCTTTTTTTTTTTTTATCTTCATGTTTACAGTCATTGATAAATAGTTTGCAATGTTTGATAAGCAACTAATTAAGGTAACGATAGACGTAAATTAAAATGAATCATTTTCCTTTTTTAAGTGAATGAATAAAGTATAAAGTAACTCGACTCAACTTACGCACAGGTAAACTAATACTATTGAAATAAAGAAGTGCACGAAAAAGAAGGGTGCAAAATTTTGACTATAGGGTTCTTTTTATGCAACAGTAAAAAAAAAAAAAAAAAAAAAAAAAAAAAAAAAAAAAAAAGACTAGTACATATAAACTATGAGGTGCAATATTTGTCGCTATATGCTTATAGAATTAAAATCTACGAGAAGTTTATATTTATACATATAATGTAAAGCTATAATGATTTCCTCTTTTTTTTTTTAAAGAAAAAAAGAAAAGAAAAGAAAAGAAAGGAAAGGAAATTTATATTATTAGTATTTAACTAAAATATAATAGGCACTATTTAAGGTATTAATATCCAAATATATCGAGACATAATATAATGGGATTCTATTATTTGTATGTCTCTTTATACTAAATATATAATTATAGATTAATCCATTGTTAGAATTCCCATATAAACATACGTACTTTTATAGAAGAAGCAGGGCATTTTATCAATTTTTTTTCCTTCCTTCTTTCTTTCTTTTTCTTTTTTTTTCTCCTATATACATAAATATATTTATTTACATACAATTTTGATATATCACTTTTGGAAATGTCTTCATCTTTAAAACCACGGAGATATAACACTAGAAGTAGTTGTAATAACGTTATAAACTCCAATCATGTTAATCAGCATAACTTTGACTTGACAGGTAAAATTAAAAGAATAAATTCACCACATACTGAGAGTTTTTTTTTTTTTTTTTTTTTTTTTTTTTTTTTTTTTTTGTTTATTACAAAGATGAAGAATATACAAATAATCATCCTTTAACGCAAAAGACAAAGGAAACAAGTACATCTAAACAAAAAATTACCAAAGCATCTCATAAGGCCAGTACGTCTTCCTTAAATAAGTCTGTTCAATGCAACAACATAAATGGTAATACTCCTAAAGGATTATTAGATCCTGTTTCAAGTAATGATGACAGTAGTCTAGATATCAATGAAATAAGTCAAGACATGTTGCTACAGATTGTATATAGGCCTTTAAAGTCAATTGCTACAACTGTCTTTATGGTATTTTGGATAATAAAATGGCCCATTATTCATATTCTCCAATTCATCACGACCATCGTATCTAGTACATCATCAACGAATCCAGCTTTGAAGACCAATTATAAACGATGTATGTCTGTCATTGATAGGATTAAAGTGCATGCCATACAGAATAAGGGGAAAATAATAAAATACGGCCTAGCGACACTTATTATCTGCTGCTTCCTCTTTACGTTCAATTTTCGCCATGTTACCAGCGAGTCCAAAGAGTCGGCAACACGTGTTCATTTATTAAATATAAAGGAAAGCATAAGAGGAATAGATTACTTGCATCAACTGATCCACTTTCCCGCATACACGCAAAAGGGTTCAAAGGAGCAATTTGAATTGTCTGAATCATTGGATGAGACCGCAACAGTCAAACCTTATGTAGCAGCGTCTAAGCTAAAAGAGTTGATCTTTGATAAATTGATTGAAAAGTGTTTTGATATAGATAGCCCCTCTAGTCAGATTACAGCATTCCATAAATTTAAAAAACAAATACCTGATAAAGTGACAGTAAAGACAGATGTAAATGGGAAGTTACTACTATTGATGGATCATTTTTATCATGTCTTAAAGGAGGATCCCTCTATCTGGAGCTCCTTCTGGGATACTTATGATACCTTGATAAAAATAGAAAATCAAAAGGAAGCTAATGATAGCAAGTTTATAATAATCAACAAACGAGTGTTTGAAAGTAAGATGGAACTAGATCTGATAACGATGAAATTACAAAACGATCAAAGACCAATGAATATGGCTGATTTTGCATTAGAATCTCGTGGAGGACGGATCCTGTATAGTAAAACAAGCCCTACAAGTAATACGATGGCGCCATGGAAGTTTCATATTCGAAGACTCATGGGACTGCCTGTCCACTATTATCCACCAAAATACGCCATTCAACCTGGACTCTACGTAGGTGAATGCTGGTCTATGAATGGTTGCGAGGGCACACTTGGTATTCTTTTAAGTGAGCCTATATTGATACATAGTGTAGCTATTGAATACCCTTCTTTACATACATTGATGGATAAAGTGAATCAGGCTCCAAAGGATATAGAAATCTTAGGTTTACCCAACTATCCAAATTCAGGTGAGCCTCTTTCATTAGGTGATATTACATTTAATATTCATGGATCCAAAAATAAATATAAGAGCAATTTACAACTGTATAATTTGGATTTCTATCCAGAGGTACCTATCAGAGCGGTTATTATTAAAATTAAGTCAAACTGGGGAAGCATTCAACAAACAGACATTTACGGTATTCGTATTTACGGAATACCTGAAACTTACATTGATTGATTTACTATATAAACATATTCTTTTCGGTTTTTTTCTTCTACAATAAAATCCTCCTCTGCCAAAAAAAGAAAAAAAAAAAAAAAACTTCAAGTATAAACTAATCAACATGAATTGTAAATTGATAGTGTTTTCTATATTAAAGTTTTCTTTTATTAGGTCCAAAATCCCATTTCCATTTATATTATTTAATTCATTTCCTTATTTCTGTTTATCTTGGGTATTTTTATATCTTTGCTATAAAACAATATAAATAACACACACTTTATTTTAATAAAAGAAAAACAACAACAATAACAATAACAATTTACAGCATCATCAAATTCCATAGCTGGATTACAGATGTCGATATCAAGTTTGTATAAATTCTAATTGTCTTGACCATCTCCTCAAAGAGGGTTTTTTTTTATAAGCGTATCCAAGTCAGTAATTATTTTTTTTTTATAGAGATTACAAAACAATTAAAAATAAAACAAAGAGTAATTACATACTCTATTATAATCATTGACGAGAAGGTCTACAGATCATGATTGGAAATGCCATAAAGTGTCTTTAACCTAAAGCATGCAAGTCATGATCTGTAACGTTACAGTAGTTACTTGAAATAGGTTAAAAACAAAACAAAATAAAAATAATCTACTATTCAAGTTTTAACGATAACAGTCACCTCATCATGCGCCATTATTATTATTATGCATGTTTAAAAAAAAAAAAAAAATATGTATAAATATAAAAAAGTATCCATAATTTTCAATTTCCCCTCCTTTTTTTATTCTTTTTTTTTCCCTATCAGCCAATAGGCTTAAGCCGTGGGGCTCGCCCTGTTTGCCTACGTTAAAAAGTCGAACGCAAATGTATTAGGACCAGCCTGTTTTGTTTTTTGTTTTTTTTTAGGATGCAAATATCGATTAGTAGTTATTGCATCTGAAGATAAATTGAAGTGCTTACAATGACCAGTACTTAAGACTGGCTTTCCCGTTTATATATACACATCTATATTTTCTTAAAAAAAAAAATACCCTCATCCTAAGCTCTATCTTCTTATGAGAATCCCTGTTAGCATGTTATCACCTACAGAATGATTTATAGTAAACTTTAAAAATATAAAAAAGGGAAATTGAAACTGTTATAGAATACAAATACATAACGTAGCTTAGAGTAAAAAAAATATATATATATTTATAATCGAGGCTGTGGTTTTGTATTGATTATGTAAACAATCAATGCTCGCTAACAAACCGGGGTAATAAACGAATATTGTATTTTTTTTTTCCATAATTTTTCTTTTCTATTCTTTATTTTTTACTTTATAAACATTTTTTTTTTTTTTTTAAAAAAAAACAAGCTCAATCTACTATCCATGTTTTTTCGAACATTTCTTAAAAATAATCAAGTAAGAGAATGAATGTTCATGTTAAACATAATGCTCAATTATTATGCGCAGACTTTAGCTGTCAAACATTTAACTAAACGTCAAGTGCAATCAAGACTTTTAACTCAATGTCAGTGGACAAGAAGAAAGCCAACAATTCAGCCAAGTACTACTTTGAAAATAAATAACAGTCGGTCCTATACTTCTTCTATAAATAGAGAAGAAATTCGAGCAAAAGCAGCTGTTGGTGTAAAATATTTTTTCCTTTTTTTTTTGTTGGGGGGGGGTGATACTATATACACATAGATTAAATATAATTCTATAAATATATGCATATACATATTTATATGTATATGTATAGCCTTTTACGTTCAAGGCAGCGGCTGTCTTTTTAGGTGTTGGTACAGGTTTATTATTGTATTTTAAAAGTGAAAAGAAAAGAGTTGAAAAATTACGTAAGATGAAAACGTATTGATATATAGAATAAATTAACAGCTTTTTATGTATGTATAGGTGAAGAAAAAGAAGCAGAGAAAAAAAAGACACAATCATATGGTAAACCAAAGCTAGGAGGTGATTATGTATTAACAAATGCGGAAACGGGAAAACCATTTGGTTCAGAGGATTTGAAAGGACGCTTTAGTTTGATTTATTTTGGTTTCACTCATTGCCCTGATATTTGTCCTGAGGAATTAGATAAAATGGCAGAAGTAGTAAACATAATAAGTAAGTAAACTAACTTTTAGGCTTCTCTCATAACAAGCAAATAATTTATAGGCTGACCTTTTTTTTTTTTAAATAGAAAAGGATATTGGAAACAATGTTTTGGTTCCTGTCTTTATTACATGTGATCCTAGACGTGATACAGAAGAAATTGTAAAAAAATATGTGAAAGATTTCCATGAAGATTTGATTGGATTAACAGACACAGAAGATAATATTAGAGCAGTGGCTAAATTATTCCGTGTTTATGTTTCTTCTCCACCTGACATAAGTGAAGGAGATGATTACCTTGTGGATCATTCCATCTTTTTCTACCTTATGGATCCTCAAGGCAAGTTCTTGGATTGTTACTCACAGAACTCAGAAGCGGAAGGAGTTGCTGAAAGTTTTAAATCATATTACAAAGCCTATATTGAAAGTGGTGGTAAATTAAACACAGAACCTCTACTTAAAATACATGGTGAAGAAGGAAAATGATAACAGAAAAAAAACAAAAATAAAATAAAACAAAATAAACAAATAGAAGTGTCTAGTTTAGTATATTTATTTATTTATTTTATTTTATTTTATTTTTTTTTTTTTTGTTTATTTTAGTTTTTAAGTAATAATAATAATAATAATAGAATAATCTGTCGGTCCAGCCTATAGAAGTATTATAAAGAAATAGATCTCAAAGCAAAGAACTATGGTATTTTATCCCAAAAAACAAAAAAAAAAAGTTGTTATGTTTGGGTAACATAGTCCTCAATAAGAAGTGAAGAATTTATAGAATTTGGAGTAGTGGGAGCTGATATTAAGGAAGGAACAACGTGTTGATGATAAGGAGGTGTTTCTGGGGTTATGGATAAATGTCGAGGCGGAGGAAAAAGAACAGTTTTTCTATTATATGAATATGAATCCTTGTTCTTTTCCTTTTTATGAGCTATAATTGCAGCATCATATTTGATTTTATCATTGATCGTGTACTCCTCCTGACTTGTAGATTCAATGATTCGTGATTGTCCTTTTTTGCCTTCTAAGGTTAGCATGGCCTCTTGACGTGATTGAGTTAATAATTTATTGTTATCTTGCTGATGTTGTTTGTCGTTATCATGATGTAGAGTAGATGTTTGATCTTTTAATAATACTAAAGTGAGTTGCTCAGTACTTGGAAATGATAGAGGACTCCGTCTACGTCTTCTTTCTTTTAGTGATAAGCGCTTATTTTGTTCTTCATCTTCATCACTATTAGTGTTACTCGTATCTGTATTCGTGCTCGTTGCTGTTGAATAAGGTCTGTTACTGTCAAGCTGTGATAAATAGTGAGAAGAGGAATTGATGAATCGAAAATGATCAGTGCCTAAGGTTCCACTACGAAATGGATGAGGTTGTATAGTAGAAGAAAAGACACTTGAAGATTGTTCAATTTTAGATGTATTGATACTATTATTTTCACCATCAGGTGATTGTATAGGATCTACTAAAGATAAACGTAAAAGAGAAGGTTGCTTTCTGGATGTCTTTAGTGATTTAGGTTTTACCCTTGGAGTTAAAGTAGGGTCTATTAAAGGGCATTTTATGGGTACTGAATGACTATCTCTCTTTGATTTATTTTGTCTTGGTGGAGGAGAAAGAGAAGGAGATGGTATAAAGTTATTTTGTGACGATAATGATGATTTCCAAAGAAAAGGATGTTTAATTATATTTGATACTATGAATAAATTGTATATAAATATATATTAATATATATAAATATCTATAAAGAAACTCCTATCATTTTGTATATACATATATATATATATATATATATATTTCGAACTTGTATACCTTCAATAGTTCCTTTTAAAGTGCGTTGCTCAGAAGGAGACTGTTTTCTTTCAATATTATCGTAAGATTGAGATAGTCTTATTTGTTGCTCTTTTGATGATTTTTTAAATTTAGTGATAAAAGAAGAAAAGCAAGACGACCAGCGAAATTTTTTCTTGTTATTGGTATCAGTTGTGGTATCATTTACGCTCTTTGTCTTTTTTTGTTGTTGTGAATATCTATTAGTAGATCCATTTAACATACGTAGAAGAAGGGTATATGAAATGATTAAAATATATAAGAAGAAGAAAAATAAAAAATAACGAAAATAACGAAAATAACGAAAATAACGAAAATAAAATTTGCCCTCTTGTTATCTATTTTATGCTACACAATTTATCCAAAACAAGTAAATTCACCTTGGATAAATTTGAATAATTAACCCGAAGGTATTTTGGTATTCTGGTATTTTTTTTTTTTTTTTTTTTTTTTTTTTTTTTTTTTTGAAAAAAAATGTAAACCCATCTTTATCTTCTCCTCCTCCACCAAGAAAAAAAATTACTAACAAATAAATTAACCTGAAAATTAGTACTTTTCTTTTTCTATTTTATTAAATGTGAACAGAAAGGAAATAGATCGTTAAACAACAGTCAAATTTCAAAGTTATCGGTACAGAAATTGTAAAGGAATAATTATCCTCTCGACAGCATAATAGACTCTGATCAATATACAGTCTTCAAGTCTACTGAATATACACTATAAAAAGAAAAAAAAGAAACAAAGAGAGAGAGAGTGAATGAGAGTGAATGAGAGTGAGTGAGTGAGTGAGTGAGTGAGAGGAAACAAAGAAAAATTACTTATATGTCTCATGTTATTGTTTTCCATTTTTCTGTTCTTATTCTAGAGAGGAATAGTAACTGTTTTATATTGAATATTATAAATATATAGGTTGGACCTAGAGCTAAAACGACGATAAGATCCTTTCATTGTTATACTTTCAAATAGCACAATAAATAATAAGAATTTCACTGCTGCTGCAGAAAATTATTATTTATAAATAAAGAGTCAGTCTTCTGGGATTTACTGTCTAACTCTAAAATTTATTATAGTGCATTTGTCATTATTGCAGAATAACTTTATAAATTAGAAGTTAACATTATACCTGGTTTAGTTACAAAGCCTTCTTAATAAGGAATTCAGCTACAAGAGAATGAATGTAAACATATTGTATAAAAAGTTGTTTCAAGACTATATAAAGTATTCATAACATGCTATTTGTGATCATAGTAGTAAAGATTTCTTTTTTTTAAAAAAAAAAAAATAGAAATTGTCTCAAAACTCTTTGCTTGAAACAGTTTCAACGAAAGCCGGAAAAAAAAAAAGAAAAGAAAATAATGCTTTCGATAATTCCACTAAAGACATTCATTACACAATAGAATAGTAATAAATGATTCAATATTATAAAGGCAAGTTTATTTATTAAATATTATATTTACAATTGTCGAAAAGAAAAAAAAATAGGACAGAATAATAATCTATACAAGTGTAGATGTTGTAGTCGTTGTTGATGAATAATGCTTCTTAATATTTGGACCTATTAAATGAGTATTTTCTGATAATGTATCATCTGATAAATCATCTGTCATTATTGCATATACGGTATTTACAATATCTTCTTCTTCTTCTTCAATTAATATGTTTACAGTAGGCGTTTTGAATGATATCATAAACACACCACTAATAGTAATTGCTACACCAATAAAAACCAAAATTAAATGCCACCAAACGATTCTATTCCATTGATCATAATAAAAGAGTCCATTAAATAAACAAGATAGATTAAAGGTACATGATGAAAGTGGAACAAGGATCACAGTATCGCATAGTTGCAATCCTTTGTTCAAATAAAATAACTATGATAATAAAAAAAAAAAGAAAAATGTTACACTTAAATTGTATGTGCTTTTGTACACCCATAAATATTTGTTACCTGTAAAATAGCTGTCATGATCATCATTGCTAGTAAAATCCATGTAAGAGCGTATTTTAATTGATTTTCATCTGATGCAATAGAAAGTATAATTAACTCGATTCCACTCTTTGCAAAAAGCATACTTTGACTACTAATATTTCCCGATAAAATACCGTAACTCATACCGCAATACTTTTTTATATTTTCCATTGATTTTGTTGGCTTTTTCTTCATTATCGTATATTCAAAATAATGTGTCGTTATTAAACCAGATAGAATGAAAAATTCCAAAATACTAAAGTAAACAATAAAAGTAGGCTTTTTATATAACGTTATCAAATCATTAATATCATGATCAGGTTCAGAAATAACACCGAATAAACCAACTAATAATGCTCCTATCACAATTAATAATGTGCCTATCATATAATAAATGGATACATACATATTTAGTATTATTATTATTATTATTATTATTCTATTCTATTACCTAGCATTGTATATTTCTTAAGTGGGTCGCCTAATACAATTTTTGCTGCAATTGCATTAAATGCAAGTCCCATAGCTCCGATAGGTGCTAAAATAACAATAGGGAGATAACCAATGGTAAATATAGACCCAACAATATTAGCTGTAAGGAATGTCGTAAAACTTATAATCCACATGGGTCGTTGAAGTACATGTTTTCGGTCCTCTATTGGATAAATTGAGTCATTCAAAATGTGAGACTTCCTTTGAAATGCCATTGCAAAAGATTGAATGAAGTTTGTAACAATAGATACTCCAAGTCCCATCCAGAATTCTTTTGGATATGCATTACCAGCTTGGTTAATTACATATTGTTTTATATCATACATAATTTAGAGAAGAAAGAAAGTGAAAGCTATAATAACTCCTAGTCAAATTATTTATTTTTTTTTTATTCATTCCAAAATGCACGTGACATATTATTATTATTATTATTATTTTTTTTTTAATGCAGTTCATTATCCTCTTCTGATGGATTCAATTTTGTTAATAAAGGTGAAGGTGGTAACTCAGTTCTTCTTGCTTCTTCTAATTCTTCTTCAGAAATAGGTAAATCAGGTGCATTGAATATCGTATCACTATAATTGGCAGATTCTTCTCCTTTTCTTTCATTTTCTTGTTCTTTCCTTTTTCTTCTAGGGATTCTATGTAATAATCCATACCCTACATCACATCCTAACGAGCCATTTCCTCCCCATTCATGATTTGGTACAATAATGCACTAATATAACACAAATAAGCATGATGCCATCCCTTTGAGTTAAAGAAAAGAAAAGGAAAGTAAAGAAGGAAAGGAAAAAAAAACTAACCTCTCTACAACTATCCCATTCAGAATTATACAAATAAAGTCTTAATGGTTTACCAAGGTATTCTTCGACAAGACTATAAAAGTCATCTTCATTTCTTAATGTCATATGTGGACTGCCAATAATATAATCAGAATAAGGGATAATACCAGCCATTTCTGCTGGTGAATTGGGTGATATATCCAAAACATGCCATACATTCTCACCAGCACGCTCAAATGAACAGAAACGAATTGAACAGCCTATAGTCTATATATGAGCATATAAAACTATCTATTTTATATATATTTATATGTATATATCTATTTCTATTATACTCTACACTACCTATTAAGCTTTTCTCATTTGGATCGTTAGGATGCCAGTCTTTACTTGGTGTTAAAATGACCTCTATTCCAATTTTTACCACCCCACCCAGGAACATGAAAAACTATTAATAAAAATAAAATAAAATAAATAGAGTCGTAACTTACCACGAAATGATTGCTCTTTACTTGAATATATCTCAATAGGTAAAGGCTTTCCCTCGAATTCTTGTAATGTATGTAACAATGCTTTACTATCACCATTATTCTTTTGAATGTTGGTTCATTATTTATATATATATATATATATATAGAATTCAATTTATCTATTTTTTTTTCTGCTTACAAGTGGAATACCGTTGATCTTCACAATATAATCGAAGAATTGCTCAATTCCTGCATGATAAGCAGGTGAATTTTCTTTTACCTAAATTTTGTTAATTAATTATTCGAAATCGTTATTATTATTATTATTATTTTAAAGGAAAAGAATATTTTTTTTCTTTTTTTTTTCTTTTTTACTTTTAGAACGTGAAATCCATACTGTCCTTGTTCTGAACTTTGTGCTCCTCCCATTATGTTGTAATTTAAACTAATGAAATACAAATAGTATAATCATATTCCTTTTTTTTTTTTCTCTAATTTATGACGGAATTTTAATATTTGCTTTGTTGGACTTTGATTAAAAAAAAAAAGCTTATTCCTAACAATGCTTAATATAAAGAGACTACGATAATAATAAAGAAAGCATTGTGTTTGTTATACAGTCTTTATTTACCAGTAGTAGTAATAAAGAAACTATCTAATGTATTTAAGGAGCTAATAGGTTAACCAAAGGGAAAAGAATTGATATATCATGACATAGTAATAGATTGTAGAAGCACGTTAATAAAAAAAAAAAAAACTATTTATTTCCTATATGAAACCTTTATTCTTTGCTTTGAGGGTAAGCTATAATTACTTTAATATGCTTGTTGATAGAAACAATTGGATAAACATGATGACAAAACTCTTCAGTAATAGAAGGTTAAATAGGAATGCCATTATTTTTAGGTAACTCAACACTCACAAGCCAAAGTGATTGCTATCATGCCTTTTAGTAGAAATAATAAGAGTAAGTCAGATGATAAACTCATTATTAGTATTAAACAACTGAATGTTTATGACAGGCTTTTTGTGCCATTATGAAAGGCATATTCTAACATATTTGACAAAAGTTGGACAGGTAGTTACTACTAAAATGACTGGTTTTGAGTTTACTTGTAATATTATTCGTTTTTATTAACAGTTTTAATAATCAAATTTTTAAGATAAGGTATAAATACGAAATAACCAATACAAAGGACAATTGAAATAGCAATTACAATTTTATATACTTGATAAAATAAAAACCCAAAATATAACTTTTCAAGGACTAACAAAAAAAAAGAAAAAAAAAGAAAAGGAAAAGGTTATTATGATTATGATGACTATACTTTTACACATATTTACCAAGATTATATGTTACTGGTTGAGATTCTATTCCCTTTATATTTGATACACCTGTATATTTGGCTGATACTTGCAACGTGTATGTTAATAACTCATTGACTTTGCATTGACTAACAATCTTTAGTCGAAAATCAGCTGGTGTCTAATCAAAACAATTAATTATTTACTTTAATATTTAGATTATTGGATTTACAATAGCAGGATATGAAATTCGAACTTCGTAATTAACTCCTTCTCTGAGTTTGTCTAATTGGTAGTAATATGTAGTTGTATTGGGTATGAGGCTGTTTTGTATTTCAGAATAAGGTGGCACTAATACATTTTCGGATCGAATGGATTGTAAACTACAAGCAAGACCGTCATTATCTTTTGCTTTCAGTATTATCTTTTCTGTATTTGCATAAATAGTTTGAAATAAAAAAGTTATGATTAAGAAGAAATAAAATAGTTTCATTTAAAATGGGCACATCAAGCTAAAATAAAATAAAATAAAAGGGCATTTCGCGTTACATTATCTTACCTTGAGTTGATTGAAATCCAGAAAAATTGGTATTTAAAAAAAAAAAAAAAAAAAAAAAAAAAAAAAAAAAAAAAAAAAAAAAAAGCTTTATTTGAACTTTTTTTCTTTTTTTTTTTAAAAAATTGTCAATTTATAAAACATGTCTTCAAGAGCATTAAGAAGACTGCAGAAAGAACAAATACCAGATATTGTTTCACTTGAAAATAGTGATAACGAATCTGAGGAAGAAGAAGAAGTTCCAATCAAGCAAATAAATCCTTTTGATCTCGTAAGTTTTGAATTTAAAAATTCAATTACTTTTTTTTTTTTCTTTCTTACAATTTGAAAGTTAAATGAGGATGATGATAACATAGACGATGAGGAAGAAGAAGAGCAAGAAAATGTAGTTGAGAAAGAAGAATATGTTCCAATTATAAAGCCTACTGTTGAAACAAAGGTAGTATGATGCATATAACAAGCGATTGATATTTAATTTTTACTTTCGTTTTCATTAGTCTTCTAATAAAAAAAGCAAACAAAAGAAAAAGAAAAAGAACTCAAAAAAGAATGATGATGCAACTTCTAAAAAGAAAAATACTGACGATATAAGTATGAAAGAATTAGATAAAGTGCTTGAAGAACTAGGACAAACGTAAAGTCGAATATTACCAGAGTTTATGGATGTAACTCATCATGTATTTTTTTTTTCTTTTGCATGTTAGGCCTTCAGAAAATGCAATGGATGAAAATGAGAATCTAAATAGTAATGAGCGTCGACAATTATTGTCTATCAATTATCGTTATTTAGATGCAGAAGCAGAAATGAAACGCTTGTTTGGTTCTCATATAGTCAATAGTGAAAATAGAGCTAGTCAAGGCAGAGTATTAAAGAAATCAAAATTCACTACACCAAAGAATGATTGGGCACCTTATAAGCGAAATGGTTTATCAATGGAAGTAGTTGAAACTGTGAATGGTGTTAGTTATTATGCGTTTAGACATTCTGAGCAATATCAGGATATTCAATTAGAATTTTTAAACGCTGTTGCAACCTATAATCCAGAAGCTTTATTATTTTTAGTTAGAAGACATCCATATCATGTAGACAGTTTATTACAACTTTCTGAAGTTGCAAAACATAGTGGAGATTGGACAACGGCTGGTGACTTTATTGGTAATAAAAGAATATTTTTTATACACTCTATGTAGTTTTCTTTTCTTTTTTTTAATGCTTATAAATAGAAAGAGCTTTATATGCCTGTGAGAGAGCACTTCATCCCCAATTCTCTTTGAGTACAGGTACTGTAAGATTATCCTATAAGCGTTCAGAAAATCGATCCTTCTTTTTAGCTATATTTCGACATATTCAGTTCTTGACGCGTCGTGGATGCTGGAGAACAGCATTTGAATTCAGCAAATTACTCTTCAGTCTTGATCCAGAATCAGACCCATTAGCGACCATGTTAACCTTGGATTATCATGCGCTTTCCTGCCGTGAATATGAATATATTCTCAAAATGCAATCTGAATGGAAGACAAAGGGCGATATCTATCCTATTCATCTTACCGACATGCCTAACTTTGCTTATTCAGCTGCTCTTGCAAAATTTAAGATGAGCAAAAATGATTTTTCAGAAAGTAAAGAAATGTTAAAAGAAGCCATTAAAAAATATCCTTTACTTTATTGCCGTTTACTTGAAAAGCTGGGTGAAGAAGTTAAAGAAATGAATGTGTTGATTCAAAAGCAGTAAGTCTAAATATATATGTTTATATATCTTTCTTTAAGATTTATATTTATATGTATGAAATAATATCCAATTGTAGCATGCCAAACAAATACATGGATATTGTGCAATTATCATATGTCGAACGAGTTTTTGAAATTTGGAAGGAACCTTCTGTTATTGATTGGTTAAAGGAAACAGGATCTACTGTTATTGATTATCCTCTTGAACAGCCTAATGTAATTCAAAAAGAACTTGTATGTCAAGTGAAGGATATACCATTGAATGTCTGTCGATATATTGTCATGATTGACATACAATCTTTAATGTCCTATTTACCTACAACAGTGACTGAACAAAGTTACGAAATGTATGATCCTCTTCCACCTGAGGATTCAATAACAATGTATGATTTAGATGAACGCATGCGTCATAGTAATCGATTAAGAGGATTCCCTAGAGATGCGGGTGGATTAATAGATATGTTAAGAAATTTCTTGGGTCCTGGTGGTCGACAAGTGCCTGGAGTAGATCAACAACAGATTAGACAACTCATGACAGAATTAGAGCGACTACGCCAACAAAATGCTGATCAGGCACCAGGTGCATTTCCCGGTGCTAATGAAGAGGAAGAAGACTATCCTGAACTTGCTGATGAAGAACAAGAGAATAATACAGAAAATCAAACGTAAGTATATAATTTAATAAATAAATATCCTCGTTAACAAATAAAATATGAATAGGTCGAATGATCAAGGGATTTCAGCAGAAGAAATGATGGAAATCATGAATGCTATTGATGAAGAAGACTTAGAAGTACAAAGAGCATTAGAAGACACTTTTGGAAGAAATACTGGTCAATAAGAATAAGAATAATAATAATAATAAAAGGAGGAAATATTTTATTTTTCGTTTGATTCAACCCCATTTCTTGAGGAACTTGAAGAGGGATTATAATTCATATCGTAAGGCGCAGTTGATGTTGAATTACCTGCTGTACCACTAGCTTGATTTATAAATTCTTGATCTGAATTAAATGCTTCTGGTGGAATAACAAGATTATTAGTTGTAGAAGAGGAAGAAGAAGATGATGATGAAGAAGCTTCCTTTTGCTTATTAGCTTCTTCTGTATTTTCAGTTCGTAAAACAGTCGTATTAAAACTACTACAGTGTTTACATTTATGATAAAAGAAATGATACTTGGCAGCTGATTTCTTCTCACAGTCATTACAAAAGATATGAGATATATATTTTTCATATTCAGCTGGCATAGGCTGACGCTCCAAATCTTTATCGAGTCGATTGAAATATTCAGACATATCACCTAATGACTTGAGACATGTTGGACATTGATATGAAGTTTGAATATAAGCGGTATAACAATGTTTATGTATACAATGTCCACAAGGCTATTTAAATATGAGTTAAAAATCTCTTTCTCTCTCTCTCTCTCTTTCTCTTTATCTGTTTATACCATAAATATAACAGTTGAAGTGCTTGTAAACATGTATTCACCACAAATTGGACAATCCGACTCTAGATTTCTTTCAATGCATTTGTGTTTTTTCATAGACATACTTAAACAAATATTGCATTTTTTACAATGGAAAAAGTCTTGACCAAGACCTTTACCTTGTCTACAAATACCGCATTCATCACAGTGATAAATTGATTTTTTTGGATCATTATCCCAAAGCTTACATTTATCACAGTAATAATGTGCCGCTTCCTCTCCACAGTGACTACATGACTTGGCAGCAGGCTGAAGTTGCATACAATTCATACACAACATATTTTTCGTTTCATTTCTAAATATTATCAGTAAAAAGAAAAAAAAACCATCGTTATTATATAATATTTAATAATAATTTTTTTTATACCTAATAATCGTATGATCTTCAATGTCATCATGGCAAAATCGACAAGAATAAATCTTTTGACAACAGTTAGCTTGTAGTTTACATTTTCTTTGATAATGTTTACAACCCAGTATTTGTTTTTCTTCATCCTATATATAATGTATGATTATATAAGAGCGTATTCTATAAATCCATATACTGGTGCTACCTACGTAATATGATTTACAATAGCCAGCAGTTTTAGTATCCAGGTTCGAATGATTTAGATGATTAGGATGAGTAGTGCCATGAGACATTAAGTACTAATAAAAAAAAAAGAGAGAGAGAGAGGGAGAGGGAGGGAAGGTCAGTATTATTTAAATTATAATCAATTCAAAAACTTACTTGAATTTGTTTTGCTTTTTCTTTTGCAGTCAGATTCTTATTTGAATGGATTTCTTTAATCTTTTTTCGAAGTTCAGTTTCATCAATAGTAGGTATTTGTGTGGAATCTTTACGTAATTCATTAGTAGGCTGTTCTTCTGCATCTTGCCAGTTTTCATTATCTTCTTCATTATTCCATTCATAATCTATATTATCATTGGAAACTTGTGCATTATCTTGGTTCATTCTTAATTGAATATAAGGAAAAGAAACGCAAAAAAAAAAAAAAAAAAAAAAAAAAAAAAAAAAAAAAAAAAATTAATTGAATTAAAATAGAGTCGACCAATGATAATACTCTTTTAAAATTAAAATGCAAGTGAAAATAAACTGCAGACACAAATAATCTGGTTGTTTATTTAACTAGAAAGTTGTTTCATCAAACAAAAATGTGTAACTTTAAAGGACATGTCATATTAGTAACAAGTGTGTGCTAAATTTGAATCTTTGAAGGAAGCAAACAAACAAACAAAAAAGGGTTATTTAGAGTTTGACTTTTATATATGTTAAAAGGATCTAAATGAACATCTCATGTTTAATGAAAACGTAGCATTTGTATCTTGCCTTTTCTTTTTATTTATTTATCCAGTTATGAACCGCTCTTAAAACTGTATTATTATTTTTCATTTTTTTTTTTTTTTTTTGTTAAAATAAAAGGCTAGCAATCAAAACCTCTTAGCCAGCCAATAATTAAAGGCTTAAACGAAGCTACTTTATGCCCTTCCAAAGCCTCTAAATTCCTTCTTTTCAATTTAATACGATTATAGCCACTTTCAAAAGAAAGCCTTCATGGAAAGATAAACAAAGATAGCAAAAAAAAAGTAGGCATATCTCGGTTTATTTTCCGACTTTACCTTTTCAGTGTTTGGGATACCATAACTTTCTTAAACTGAAAATTAAGAATAGAGAAAAAAAAACAGAAGGCAGCATTTAGTGTACTTCACCTATAACATCGGCCAAGGTCAATTGGTTAAGGCCATGCCTATTTTTTCCAAAAATTATGATAAAAAAAATTTTTTTTTTTTGCAAAAGGTTTTCCCAGTTGCCTATATTATCCTTACTCATTACATTGAGGCAAAGAGTTTTATAATTCCGAATTGTAAATTATCTATAATTTTAAATCGATAATAAACCGAGTTGTGGTATTTAAGAAGCAGTTTATTTTTCCAGTATAATTTTTATTTTTTCTTTCTTTCTTATCGGGCTAACCCTTTTATTTTGGCTCTTCTTCTATACAATAGGATTCAGTCATATTTTTTATAATATTAAAATACACTTGTATCTATGTCCATATATTTGATTCGTTTCGTTTTGTTTATTACATAATAATTAATTCTGAGACAATTCATTACTGTTGATTTTATAAAATATTTTTTTTTTCTTTTTTTGTTAATAATAATCTTCTTGTCTTTTTATTAGTATTATTATTTCGATAGTATGGTTCAAGAAAAAGATACGGCAATATCAGGACAGTCATCATCTTCTTTGGAAGAGACAATACCATTTGTTTCTATAGATCATATTCAGCCAAGTACACGACAAAGATCTTTTTCTTTATCGAATCTAGTTAAGAGAACTCGTAGAGCCTATTCTGTATCTTCTGCTTATCATCCTACCCCAAGACCTTCCTTTGACTTCTTTTCTAATATGATCATTACAGAAACAAAGTTAACACCAGCCCAAAGAAGAAATTCAATAGCTGCAGCACAACGTAAATATGAGGATTTCGAACAAAAAATCGAAGCAGCACCTTTGTTTGTATTGGTATCCACCTATTTAAACTATTTAGTTTTGATCCTCTTTGGACATTTGCGTGATATTATCGGAAAGGTATTCAAGAGGAAGGAATATGCACATCTTCGTACAAGTAAGGTAATAAGAGAAACATAAAAAAAAGCTAGATATACATATATGTGTATATTAATGGTATTCTACAGGGATATGCGCCTTTGGTTTCTGATTTTGATTCATTTTATACAAGGCGCATGTATTTACGTATAAGGTAAATATATGTATATGTATATATATGTGTGTGTATGCCATGAAGATGATGATCGAACATATTCATTTTTTAAATGTAGAGATTGCTGGAATAGACCAACTACTGGTGTGCCTGGTAGAAAGATTACTATTTTAGAAAGAGAATCAAATGATTTTAACAAAACATTCAAGTAGGTCTTTTTATATTCACATTTTGATATCTTTCCAGGTTAACTAACTTTATTCCTTTTTTTTTCCTATGTGTGTGTGTGTGTGTGTCAGAATGAGTGGAAAAAAGTTAGATGCAATCAACTTTTCATCATATAATTACTTGGGATTTGCGCAAAATAAAGGAATTTGTGCCGATCAAGTAGAAGAATGTGTAAAAGAATATGGAATGAGCAGTGTTAGTCCAAGATTAGAAGCTGGCACTTTGGACTTGCACAGAAAATTAGAAAAAATAGTTGCTAATTTTGTTGGAAAAGAGGATTCAATTGTTGTTTCAATGGGTTTTGCAACGAATTCAACAACTATCCCAGCTCTTGTTTCCAAAGTAAAGATATATATGAATGAATGAATGAATGACTCTATTATAACTAATCTATGGTTGGTATAGGGCTGCTTGGTTATTAGTGACGAACTTAATCATAGCTCAATTGTATTTGGCGTACGTATTTCTGGTGCATCTGTTCGTGTATTTAAACATAATAATATGATTGATTTAAGAAATTTATTACGTGAAGTAATATCTCAAGGTCAACCTAGAACACATCGACCCTGGAAGAAGATTATAGTGATAGTAGAAGGTTTATATTCAATGGAAGGCTCCATTGTCAATTTACCAGAATTAATAAAATTAAAAAAAGAATTCAAGGTAGACGCAATACACACACACACACGAATCAATATAGATAACGTGTAATTATTTCAATTTAGTTTTATCTATATGTTGATGAAGCGCATTCTATTGGTGCTCTAGGTGAAAATGGCGGTGGTGTATGTGACTTTTATGGTATTAACCCAAAGCATATTGATCTTATGATGGGTACATTTACAAAATCATTTGGCTCTGCAGGTGGATATATAGCGGGTGATAAGGTAAGATAAGATATACTGTTATAAGCCAGCATCTTCTAATTTAAACCAAACCAATTAATAGACTTTAATCGATTATTTAAGAGTCAAAAATTATGCTTTCTCTTACGCAGAGAGTATGTCACCCCCTGTTATTCAACAAATTATTTCCAGTATGCAAGTGATTAGAGGAGAAGATGGTACAGATGATGGCAGGAAACGTATTCAAACTTTAGCAGAAAATGCGCGTTATTTTTCAAATGCGTTAAGAAAAATGGGATTTATTGTATATGGCGATGAAGGAAGTCCAGTTATACCTTTATTATTATTTAATCCTGCAAAGATTTCGTAAATATGTGGAATAATAAGGGGATTATAAATTGACATGTATTTTGCTAACTCGTTTATTTATAGTGCATTTTCTAGAGAAATGTTGAAACGTGGTATAGCCATTGTAGTGGTGGGCTATCCTGCAACGCCTATTATTAGTTCGAGGGCTCGTTTTTGTATATCCTCTGCTCATACGAAAGAAGACTTGGATAAAGCAATTCAAGATATTAGTGAAGTTGGCGACATTCTTATGCTAAAGTTTAAATCATCAAAATAAATAAATGCATACATGTGTATATAAAAACATGTATACGGCACACGTGGGATGAAAAAATGATTGGATTAAACAGTATTCATATAAATAGATGTGTATATATGTGTATATATTTTCCTTTGTTATGAAAAGCAATTATAATAATAATAATAATAATTTTGTATATGTATACAATCTAAAATTTACTACCCATTCGTACTAGGAAAAAAAAAAAAAAAAAAAAAAGGAGAGTTAATGATTTGAAACATTATCAAAAAAAAAAAAAAATCTTACAGTAAAAATTCACACAAACAGCAGCTAATAAAAAGATACACAGGACAGTAGGACCCACTCGGTCATCATAAGCAGCTACTTCTCTATTTCTAATCTTTGTTGCTCTCCAATGGAATGTATATAAAGCATAAATCATAACACCCATAGCAATCATAGTAAATAAAACAGCAGAAAAGCGTCCAATACGATCACCGAAATTTAAGAGGCCTAAAGCCAGACCTCCTAAAACAACAGTAAAATTCAGCCAAGATAAAAAAGTTCGTTCATTCGCAAAGAATACTTTAGGTTCGATACGAACTGGGAGAGCTATTCGTTTGCCCGATATTGGCTCTAATGTTGTAGTATTATTATTTGTAGTTGACATGATAAATATAGAATATAGAAAAGAAAAAAGAAAAAGAAAAAGAAAAAACAGTTAAAAATAATGATAGTTAAATTTTAGCCTCAGCCTTCTTTTGATGATAAATTGGTAATCGATGCTCTCTTTCTCATCATTCTGGGTTTTATTTTATTTTATTTATTTTTTATATATGTAATAGAATTTATATGAATATCTTCCATGCTAGATTCCTTAGTAAAGTCACATTTAATTCTATACAGAATTTATTTCTTTATCACGTATAAAAGTCTTTAAAACAATATAATTCATCTATTTTTGATTTATTTACTTTGTAAGCAATCAATGAAATAAGAGTATTCTATGTTCAATCAATCTAAGGTTCAATACACAATAAGTTTCACTCTGTATTTATCCAATCTCTCTCTCTCTCTTTCAGGCTATAAGATTTCTTCAATGTTATAATCATTTGAAACAAAAAACAACAACATAAAATTGCTTCTAATGATGTTTATATATTTCGAGATGTAAAGCATTTAGTTTAACTTTAAGACTGTCTTATTTTCTCGAAGAACTTTTAATATTTTTTTTTCTTTTTTTTGTTAACATTATACTGTCATAAGGGAGTGGTGGAGAGAGAGAGAGGGGAGAGGAAGGGTTAATATGTGTCCTAGAAAGTAATCATTCTTCTTATATATTTTTTCCCGTAGAAAGATTATTTCTATAAAGTAAACCAGATAGATAAAGGAGAGAGTATATAGCTTTAGCCAAGCATTTCCTTTTTGTTAAATGCCAGACATGATCAAAATACAATCCACAACAAGTAGGCCCTATTTGCTTTCATGCTTGAATTTTTTTTTCTTCTTTCTTTCTAACGTAAGCGAAATAAGGACAAGGTCCATGGATTCAATCTATTGAACAATAAAAAGATTGGAGAGCTGAAAAATTCGTACCTTTATATATCATGCATGATGTGACTGCTATTATTGTAGCAGGAGTAAGTTACAATAATAACAAACAACAAAAGGTCTGTTCGAATACAAATATTCTTTTAATGGAAAATATAACTATAAAATTATCAAAAGTATGAGTCTAAAGAATAATGCCTGAAAGATGATAATAGTTTTCAGAAAAGAAGCAGATAAATAAGAACGACATTGTGATATGGGGTGGTTGTGGTAGTGGTGAAAACAAATAATAGATAAGCAAAGGAGATAGGATAACTTAGACAAGATACGAAAGAAGAATAAAAGCATCAATAATACGTATGAAGAGAATATTTAAACAGAATTATAATGAAGGTGATATAGCATCAAGTAAATTGCTAGTACATTGAATAGTAAGATTCATGAATATGATTGGCTATAAAATTCATATAGTATACAAGTTGAAGTAAATCATATATTTCTTTCCTTTTACAAATAAAATACATATAATTTGAAATATAATAAATAAATGACGTATAAAATAGTAGTATTATGGTGATAGTGTTTCTATTGGGAACTTTTGATCAATCATTTGAATCCAACTAATCATTTCTTGACGAGTTCCTGATTGTAAGGTATAAGCATTGTTATTGGTATAAAGAGAAAACACATTAGTTCGCTATTCAATAAAATAAATGAGTTATATATATTTTTAGCTTTAGCTTTAGTTTTTTTTTTTTTTTTTTTTTTTTTTTTTTTTTTTTTTTTTTTTTTTTTTTTTTTTTTTTTTTACCTGAATCATTTTTTCAAGCGCTTCATTATAATCAATACGTACAGAGGCAACATTAATTATACCTTGTTCATCTAACTCAGTATCATTGCTATAAATATAAATGTAGGGTCGACGAATAACAAACCATCGTTTTATCCATAAATCTTTGGCTGCATCTTCTTGGTATAATAAATAACCCTTTTTAGATATATTAGCTCTATAAGAAATAAACATGTATACGAGTGAATAAAAGCTGCTATTATTTTATAATAAATATATCTATCTATTTACGGTTGTATTACAAACTCCACTTCTGCTATCAACTTTGAAAAACTCGTTGGCTCTTGTATAGTTGATATACTAGAGTCTGTGATAAGTGGAGGATCTTGACTAATGATGAGATCTTTGTTTGAACCAAGTTTTAATAGCCATAAATCAATCACCTTCTTTAAAAGGTCTTGTTTCTCTTCTTCATTCATAGCAGTTACAGCAGTGGATGAAGAAAAAAAGGATATGGGTGACAAGGAATTAGTGTTCTCCATTTGTCTTAAAGCTAATACTTGTCTTGTAAATGTAGCTTCGTTCTTACGACGTATGGTTTCCTGTATTTGGTTAAAATCATTGACCAGAGATACGCCACGAGGCTTCCAAGTTCCCAAAAATTCTTCACCATGAACATGCTTGGATGCCGTATTTAACCGCCATAGCTGGCTTAATCTTTTCGTCATAGGTGGCTTTAAATGAACTACAAATATACCTGTATATTTGAAGAGTTGTTTGCCACTATTAGGATAAAGTAGTTTTTTGAAACTACGAAATTTACCCTCACTAGCTGATCGATCTCTTCCTCGTATTTGAATAGAGATATCCATATTGAATTGTATTGGCTTTGAACATCTTTCCATTTCAATTTCCCATCTTAGATTAATAATAACTCGACTGTTTGAGTCTGTTAACCTGTTTAAGAAGATACATTCGTGTTGTGAACTATCCCATGCTCCTTGAGCAGTTAATTGACTGGTTCCATCTGAATTATAGCAAACCTGTTGTTTATTTAATAGTTTGATAGGAATATTTTCCTGTGCTGGTGACTCTAGAATACGACCTTTGCCATCTAATAACCGAACGTGTCCCACAGAGGCCCTCTTGATCCTTTTCCATTCAAATTGATGGCCTGAAGTATGAGATAATGTAAAGCATATACGTCGTTGTAATCCTTGTCTTAACGTAAAATACCCTTTATCCATAGGATTTTTTGATATCAAATGGGCTAGTCTATATTCTCCTGACGAAGATAGTTCTCGTATTTCAATCCAAGCAATAACATCATGTCGCTCGGCAGCCAAGAGTTCTTCCTCTGGTCTTCGCTCTAATGATGTGACAGTAACATCGCTATTGCTACTATTTTCTGAGGATGATTTCACTGATGTATAATCAGGTGATGCGAAGCTCTGTGGCCGTTGTTGGCTTAAAAGGTGACTATCCAAAATACATGGTCTTTCTCGTTGATCATCCCATCGTTGTTGTTGTAGCAAAACTCGAGGTTGTGCTTGACCAAAGACTTGAAACAAAATAAAATCATGACGGAGTACATGAAGTACCTTTGATGTCACTGTTAATGAAAGTGTTTGGCTAAAATTGAGTTGAACAGGATTATTTTCAAAATAACTAGCAGGTTCTGTAGCATAAATTTTTTCTGCTGTTGAATGTGAGGGGAATCCACCAAATGAGGAGAGTCGAAACTGAACATGAACATCTGTAAATTCCGATTCACGTATGCCACTAAATTCAATTAGTTTTATTTCAAACAAGAGGGTTTGACCTGATTGTAATATATTAGGATCATGATGTTGCTGCTGGTTATTATTATTATTATTATTATTCTCGAGTTCGTCTTCTGATGAAGAATCGTTTTCAAAAAACTTGGGCTGCTTTGTGGTGTCGCTTCTGACAGTCACTGATCGTGCAATAGGTGAAACGAGGATACGCAGCTTGCCTCTTACTTGTCCTGTACTATGACAAATGATTTCCACAACACTCTCATACGCCTGTTGATGAATTAAATTAAAAAAGGAGACATGGGCTACACCAATCAATGTATATTTGGGACAGGGGTTTTCAAAGAAGGGATCCTCCCAATTAAAGTGCTTACGATAAAGTGGTTTGTCCATAAAGTTATAAAGATTTCGCATCTTGTGTAACCGTTGTTTCAGTTTCTCCAGTGACCATATGTAAACAACTTGATTCTTCTTATCAATGACACGAACACCTATACAGGGCTTTGGAGTAGTAGAGATTAAAGTTGTATCTTCATCTGTTTCAAACTGGTGTAATGCAGATGTAGGTTCCCAATATGAAAGAGGAGTTGAGAGTGGCTCTTGCTCGATGACTGTAAACTGATAAAGTATTTCCTTGTTAAGCTCTCGGGATATAATATTGGCTTCCTTTAACATAACTGCATTCGTTAGAACAACTTCCGCCATATCTACCGTTCTTAATGTTCTCCATTTTTGAAAGACCTTTTGAATCAGTTCAATTTGTTCATTTGTATAATTAGCGGAATTGAATCCTATCTGTTGTTGAGAGAATTGCCTAGACATACGATGAATCTTGGCTTCAAATAGTCGCTTCTGATTCTCTAGTTCCTTCTGCATCCGTTCCTTTTCCTGTTTTAGTTTTTCTTCCAACATATCAGATTGAGTCACAGATAAATCAGTACAAACACTGTCAACGCCATCTTCAAACATGGTAGCAGACGATGAGTTCCTAAAAGAATCTCGTGTAGTTGACATGTCATCATCATCGCCATCATTATCAGCTCGACTTTCAGATCTCGTACGTCTTGAATTTCTAATTTTTGTAATGTCATCATATAGTTTTTCGAGTTCTTCATCTTTTAACCCACCAAAGTTTTCTTCAGTTGCATAATAATTTAAAACTGCTTCACGACGAGCATAATTCCAGTCAATCAATTCAGATCCAATCATACTGTCATTTGAGGGAGAATCAGGTCTGGGCTCATCATCTAATAATACTGAGCTTCCATTCATGTTATTTTCAATCGCCACCTTCTGAAGGTCACGCTCCTTTCTTACTTCTTCAGGATTGTTAAATCTAAAGATATGATAATAGCCAAGAATGATACGGTAACCGCTTTTAAGTTGTTGAGGTTGTGTAATCCTCATGCCATTCACCATCGTAAGGGAATCCTTACCTGGATTTAAAGTAACGACACCATTTTTATTTTCAAATGTACAATGATCATCTTGAATATTTTGACCACTCAACCTAATATCTGCCAATACATCGCTATCTTGTCTTCCTAGTCTTGTTAATCCTGGTTTAATTTGATACATAAGACACTCGGACATAAGTGGGTCCTCATTCAAGTTGACGATAAAGGGTATTGTTTTTGGGGTATAAACACCCATCTCGTTCTTTTCAATCGTAATACCCAACTCCTTTAATGCTCTCTCTCTTTCCAAATGAATTTCTTCCGTCTTTTTTAACTTTTCTTCCCAACTTTCATTTAAATTGGCCAACAATTTTTCAGAGCTTTGTAACTGTTCTACAATTTCTTCTTTGGTCATCTTTTTGGTGTTTCCAGAACTATCTGTGATTTCAATCTCAGGGAATACTTTATTTTTCCTACTAGAGGATGTCATGGCGGCTCCACTTTCAGATCGAGTTCCATTTGTATTATTCGTTGTTGATTTATATACGCTTGATGCTGTCAGTTGTTCTACTTCTTCAGGGGCATAAGTTCGAAGGCGATCACGAAGTAATTCAAGTTCTTCTTTAAGATCACGAATCAATTTTGCATTAGGATCCTCATTTACGACTGCCTTATTTTTAATACGTTTTGCTTGATCAGCATATCTTAGAGTGCTTAAGGTTTCATCATAATCTGCTTGTGAAATAGCAGCAATCATAGCTGTTTTAGAATTACCACCTAATGAATCCTTTAATAGCCATGTCAAGACCTAAATATGTATATATGTAAGTATATATACATTTCTTATTTAGTCAGTATCAATTTGTTTATATTCGATCATTTATTACTTACAGAATCACGATATGGAATAAATACATCTTTTTTTTTCCCTCTTTTACCTTCTTGAGTTGACTGTTCAGCTAATCCTGCAATTACTTTACCTAATGTAGTTAAAGAGCGATTGATATTGGCTCCCTCTTTTAATCTTGCACCAGTAGCACCAGTACTATTTGCACGTTCACTACCGGCCAAATCGACTAAACTAAACATGTATAAAGAAGAAGATTAAAGAAAAAAAAAATTAATCCAAAAAGAAGAAGAAGAAAAAAAAAAAACTTCTCCTCCACCGAACAATTGCATACCTAATTCTAGCTACTTTTTCTGTTTCTAGTTTTGTTAAATCATCTAATCGTTTTTGAGTTAAAAAAAGTGTAAACACTGCATGAGATCTAGAGGATGTTTCATTCATATTTGTGGCAGCCACTGTTCTAGCCTTTGATCATCATAATTAATAAATACATGTATGTATATTTTTGTGTGTGTATGTATATATATATATGTGTGTGTGTTTTATCTCTTAAATACCTTATTGCCTTCATCCATTAAATGTTCTATATCATCAAATGAAGTTACAACTAACCGAGAAAGATCCTCGACATACGGACCAAGTGAAGGATGTTCACGTACTTTTAAATTTCCTTTATTTTTTGGATTTAATAAATCGCGTACTTTTTCGTTATAAATTTCGATATAAGATACTTCAACTCGATAAGTAAGATTTGATTCAGTATTTGATTTTATTCGATTAAAGAGTTCTGAACATGTACGAGGGATAATGCCTTTATCTTCACCATAGCCCATCTAAAAGAATATATATATATATATATATATATATATATATATATTTTTGCATAAATTTCAGGAACGTAAAAATAAATAAATAACAGGAGAAATAATATCGTTTTACCATTGAATATGATTTACCAGACCCAGTTTGACCATCTAAATGTAAAAAAAGAAAAAAAAAAGTATTAATCATCATTTTATATAATTATCTCTGAAACTTACATGCAAATATACAACAATTATAACCATCAAATGCATGGTCTAATAATTCTTCACCTAAATCATTATAGATCGTTTGTTGGTCAGCATAGCGTGGATCATTTTTATCAGCAGACCAATAAGATTTATCAAATGTAAATGCCTTTACGTCTTCCAATTCTTTTCCAGTTCTTTGATCAGGGGGCTTTGTGATAATTGTTTGGTTACCATCCATACGAACCAGACCCACTGCTCCACGAGCAATTTCTATATATATATATATAAAAAAGGATTAACATATATACATATATATCATGCATAGTTATAATAATAAAAAAAAACCTCTTGCATTCATAGGTCGACATCGTACAACAACTTTAATATTTCCTCCACTCATTGTTATTTAGTAGTTATATGACGAGTCCTTTTACATTTGAAGAAAGAAAGAGGAAAACGATTAATACAGTTTCCTATTTTTTTTCATCATTTTTACAACATTCATTTTATTAAACTTTATTGTTCTCACCTATACTAGTCAATGATGTTTAATTAGTAAGATTGCAATTTCAAATATATAAACGTTTCAGATGTCCTTTAATGAATTCACAAGAAAAAAAAAGATGAAGCAATAAATCTTTGTTTTACTTTTTTTTTGGTGAAATATATTTGTTTAAAAAAAAAAAAAAAAAAAAGAGTTAAATGGTTTCAAAAAAGGAAAGGAGGGATATTTATCTAATATTAAAAAAAAAGGGGGAAAGGAAAAAAAAAAAAAAAGAAAAAAGAAAAAAGAACAAAAAAAAAAAAAAAAGAAAACAGTAATGTATTAAGCAACAGTATATTCGGTGTTTAAATTAATTTTAATCTTCATCATGTCAAAACCAACAAGAAAGAGTAGCGATGAACTCGTAGTAAACAGCTTTTTATAACTGAGAACTAACTTATTAAATACATTTCGTGAAATAAGTTGGCAAAACTTTGTAATCATTTTAAAAAAATACATGATAAAAAAGGTATTATTCCTTTTTTTTTATTTTAACATGCGTTTTTTTTTATTAAGACGTCATAGAAGTAGTAGTAAAGCCAAAGAAGCATTTTTAACAAAACAAAATAAAACGAAAAAAAAAAAGCGGATATTCATAATTTATGTTGTTTTTTTTTGGTACTTCTGTTTTTGGATAGAATCATGTAAATTTACCTTTTTTTTTTTTTTTCCTCTCTTATTTCAACACTATTACATAATATACATGCATATACACATATAATTTTTCTTTTTTTTTTAAAAAAAAAAGAAAAAGAAAAAGAAAAGAAACTTGCAATGCTACGTATACTTTCGTATTCATTAAAGAATACACATCGATATAATTCTCTACGATTACTAACCAAGACTGACCATGAACGATTATTATTACAAAGTCGATTAATACGACGACATGGTCAATATGTTTATTCAATTTCTAATAAGCAAGCAAAGAAGCCATCCGTACTTGTGACAAGGCGGTTTATTCAGATACTTAAGCATCCTAACAAATATGAATTACTAAATCAGGCACGTGGTTTTGTACAAAGACTGAAAGTAAGAATAAAATACCCTCTTATGAAACAAATGAGACCGTTTACACTCAATGATATCTCAGCTCTCTTTTCTTGGATCTTTCTTGGTCACACTGTTTGGCTTGTAGTAGGAACAACAAGTTTTCTTAGTTTTGGTTTATGGGCTGCGAATTCACTTCAATTTCAAGGTATGAACATGTATATGATTTATACATACTATACAGAGAACAATCATATAATAATAATAACCATCCCTATTTAGAATGGGTGGTGAATAAAATGGGCCATTTTTTGACGTTAACATCTGAAGCAACGATTGTATTTGAATCAGCTACACCTAATTGGAAAGATGGTAAAGTACGTCTTAATCATCTTCACGTCGTTTGTATGCCACGTTCAATACAAAAAGAATTTCGCTTGGGTACACAAGAAAAGGAGCCAGCGATTGTTCAAGGTGATGTCCTTGCTCATATTGAACTCGATGAAGATGAAAAATCATTGAAAGCTCAAAAGAGATTAAAACGGATGCCATGGTATGATTTAACGATTGATAGTATAGAAGTTGAATTGAGTTTGATGCATCTAATGGAAGGGAAAGGGATCGTCAAGAATGCAATTGTAAAGGGTGTGAGGGGCATTATTGATAATAGACGTTCTGGATGGAATAAATCTACTAATTGGGATCCTGAAGCTGTACGGAAGAGTCATATTCCAGGTGATTTTGAAATTGATCAATTGATCTTGGAAGACCTTTCTGTAATTGTATATATGCCAAAAGGATTTAGACCTTTTCCTGCTTCGATTATTCAAGCACAACTAAGTCGATTAAGACGTCAATGGTAAATAGATACAATATAATTATAAAATTGAGAATCATACCACTTAATAATAACGATTGGGGTTTTTTTTTCTTTTTTTTTTGGATTAGGTTATTTTATGATTTCCTATGTGCTGATTCAATCATTGGATCTATTGATTCAAGTTTATTCAGTGTGCATACACCACAATTAGAAAAGAGTGTATTGGAACATTCAGACCTTGAAAGTAAAGGAAACTATCCTAGTTTAGCTACTTATTATCCATTTAGAAAACTGAACCCATTAGGTGTCTTTGTGGGAGGAGAAAATGAACAGTTTGGGATGATGACAGACGATGGCATGAAAAGGCAAGGATATAAACGAAAATCACGACTCAGGATTGAAAATATCAGTATGGATCATGCTCATCGATTTGGGGATGGACCTCCTCAATGGATTACTTCCGGAACAGTAGATTTCTGTGCAGATATTTATATACCAGATGAAGCCCAAAAGGAAAAACCTCCAAGTGTCCCGCAAGCTATTTTAGAAGTCATCAAACAAAGTTTGCCCTTGTCCATTACTATCGGCATAGGTTCAGAGAAACGGATTACGTTAGGAGAAAAAATAAATCAGAAACAGATGATAGAAGAGCCGAAAAAAGTGATTATGGATGTTGATATTCGATATAAAAATGTGAAAGCTACCGTCCCATTAAAGATACCTACTCTAAGTTATCTAAATAGTGCCATGGTTCGACCCTTGATAGCTTATCTTAATAAGAACCAAACTATTGTACCTATTAAAGGACGTATTATTATGGATCTTTCGACATTCAATGGGGCATGGACAATTCATGATTCTACTTTAGCAATCCGTTTAAATGAATGTATTACAAAAGGTTTAGTTGATCTTGTTACTGATCAACAGGAAAGAAATCGAAGATTAAAACAAATTGGATATTGGAGTTTTCGTGAAATAGTTCGAAATGTTGTGACATTACATGAAACGTTATATGGAACTGCTCGAGGCTTTTGGACATACTTGGGACAATAATGAAATTGTATATAAATGGTATTATTATAATAATTGAAAATAAAATACAAATACAAATATGGATACATTTTTGAAACCTTTTTTTTTTTCTTTTCTTTTTTTTTTTTTTTCTTTTTTTACTCATTAAAACTTACATTAAAATAATGAATGAAGATATAAATCGCTTGAATAACTCATTCAAAGTATTCGAAAAGTAAGTTCTTTTTGAGTCAAATAAAAAAAAAAAAGATAGATACACATACTTTTTTCTTTTTTTTTTTTTGTTGTTATTGTTGTTGTGCAAATACTGATTGATTGCATATTGTATACAAATATTACAATAGACCTTCAAAAGAGCCACCAAACGGCATTTTATTTTCCTCAGGTTCATTCAATGTTGGAGCTAAGGATTTCATTCCTTCTCAAAAAGCAACTCAATCCTTCAATCCTTTTGATGCCTCCACCGATCTATTGGATGAAGAAGATAACATTGATGATCTTAGTCAACGATTTATTACTAGTAATTTATTAGATGAAGTAGAAGAATCAAATCCTTTATCAACCTCGAATGAAGTACCAATGAATACCACCTTCGTAGCCCAATGGAATACATTGAATGATTGGAATCAATATGGACCGGAAAATATTTGGAGTCATGATGATAGCCGAAAGGAAAATAAAAAAACTGATTATTATTCTGAAAATGAACAGGAATTTGATCCAACATTGCATTTCTATCATGGTACACTCTATGATGCAGCAACTATTCAAGATATGAATCGACTTTCTTTAAATGTCACCAATCCTTCTCCTGAAGAAGTACAAAAAGATAATGTTGAGGAAGACATGTCAACACTTCAAATGTTACAAACCATCTTTTCAGATTTGAATGATGAAGAATTAATAGATACATTAGAAAAATATGATTATGATGTAGATAGAGCTATTGAAGCTCTATTATCACAAAAGCTACCTAGCGTAACGACGAATACGATTGTAACAAGTAATCATAGTGATGATATTATCCCTAAAAAACGACAAGTGTGCCGTCATTTTCTAGCAGGTGAATGTTATCGAAAAGATTGTTGGTTTTCTCATGATTTACAAGACAAAGTGTGTAAATTCTGGTAAATTCTTTTTTTTTTTTTCTTAATTATTCATTTTTTTTTCCCTCTAAAACACACACACACACACACACAAATGTATAGGCTTCAAGGAAGTTGTTTGAAAGGAGATTCTTGTGAATTTTTACACAAGATTGATATACAAGAAGTTGCTAATAAGATGGCATTACCCGAAATAAAAACTAAAAAAGAACAAGTTAAATTAAATCAAAACGATTATCCTGAATTAAAATCTTCGTATTCAAATACAAAGAAGAAGAATAGCAGTAGCAGCAGCTGTAGTAGTAGTAGTAGTAATGGTGGTGGTGGTTCATTTACTGTGTCGCAACAACAATCGATGAATAGAGTAGCAGCAGCAGTAGTAGTAGAAGAATTTCCAACTTTAGCATCTGCAGTTAAAATGAAAAATACAGTTCAACCAATAAATTACTCTCATCAAGGTAAAGAACCCATTAATTTTGCAGAAGCTGCCAAGAAAAATAAGGGGCAATCGATCCATAAAGCAGTAAAATCTGTCTATACTACCGGGGATCATCTTCAGAAACGAGGGTATAGATACAGTATGCAAGAGTTAAAACAACCTGTACAAATACCATGGTTAGAGACAGGAAGTTCATTGAATTCTATATATATGAAAGAGGTATGATCGATTCTATATGATTTTCCTTTTTATTAACACGAGTTTTTAAATAGAGAGAAAAAGCAATTGAGTATGGTATGCTAAGAAATAGATTCTTTAGTAAAGCTACCGAGTATTATTTGAAAGGAGATGGAGCAAGAGCGAAATTATTTTCAATGGAAGCTAAACACTATAACCGATTAATGCAAGAAATGCATAAAGAAGCTAGTCAACGTATATTTGAACAAAGATCGAAACATGAAGCCTTTATTGATTTACATGGATTACATGAAGATGAAGCCATGGACATTATTCATGAGAGACTTCAACAACTTAAATTAACTTATCATGGTATTATCTATATTGTAACAGGGACTGGACATCATTCAGGAGCCAGTGGATTAAGTAAAAAACAGAGTAAATTAAAACCCGTTGTTTATAATTACTTGAAGCAAGAAAACTATCGATTTGCAGAAACGAGTATTGTAGGTGATAATCAAGGTGGTATATTTGCTGTTGAAATATAAAAAAAAAAAAAAAAAAAAAAAAAAAAAAAAATAAAATAAAATAAAATAAAATAAAATAAAATAAAGATAAAAATAAAACGACATGTAACTGGCCTTTTTTTTTTTTTTTCTAATACAATTTATCCGTCAAACTAATATGATAATGCCAAGAATAATAGTTTTTTTTTTCTTTCTTTCTTTCGGATAAAAGAAGCCCTAATATAATAAATACAAATCGCAGTAATAATAATATTAAAAAGTAGAAGGCAGTAAAAGAAGTGTAGTATTATTAAAATAATAAAGTTTCATTTTTCTGTAAAAAATTTGTTTCACAAGTGATCGTCGCTCATAAAGTAGAAAAAAGCTTCCACTTTATTTTTATTTTTATTTTTGCGTATTACAGTTTTCACTCAAAAAGCTTACTATGTAAGGTAATGGCACTTACACTATGTTTACTGTGATTCGTTATGAAAAATGAATATATTTTTAATTGTAATCTTCGGTAGGGAATTTTATTTACCTCACCAGGGATCATTGCTGTTAGACTGAAATGTGCAAAAAATAAAAACAGTTCTACTTGCAAAAAAAAAATATAAACATTTATATACTTGTGAATAACAAACAAATAAACAGGGAACGTATTTCTTGTTATTTTTTATTGGATAAACGCTCATAATTAAAATCGTCATTTTATTTGTGATTTTCTAAAAAAAAAAAAAAAAAAAAAAAAAAAAAAAAAAAAAATTAACTTGGGTGCGAGTGACCCGCATTTATCTGGTATTACGTTGACGTCATAGATAAAGCTCCGATTATTACCTTTACCTTTTCCTGGTTTGTCCCTTAAAAAAAAAAGTTTCATAATATTTTAACCTTAATTCAGATCTCTCTCTCTTTCTTTCTTTTCTTCTTCTTCTTCTCTCTTTATTTATTAAATTATGTTCACTAACAGTTATTCTGAATCAACATCTAGTAGTCTTTTGGAAAGAAGACAACAAAGTGCACCTTTTTTTCACCAATTAGGACTTCCTTCTTTACCTTCACTTTCTAAAATGTTAACTATAAAAGAAGAAAAAAATAAAGAAAAGGAACAAGGAAGAGAAGAAGAAGAAGAAGAAGAAGCACCACCTTCACCTAATATACAAGCTGCTACTAAAGCTGCTTTAGATGCAGCCACTGCAGCGACTACTTCCATGATTACATCCACTGCACAACCATTAATTCAACATCATGATACCTTTTTATCAAATCCAATGACTACACATACTTTATCAAAATCAATGATGAATACCGCCCATCTTTCAAATACAAACAATGACACTATGTCAACCCTAACCAATATTCCTTCTTCTGTACATTCAACTACATCCAATTTGTTATATCGTAATTATACTGATACAAATAATAACTCCAATCCTACTTCAATGCATTTAACTACTGATAATAATACAATACTATCCAATATATCTGATGCTGCAGTGATAGCAGCAGCAGCAGCAGCAGCAGCAGCAGCAGCAGCAGCAACTACCACTGCACCTAATCTTTTCTCTACACATCACATAATACCAAGTACTTCTACTTTAACGCATGCAACACAACCTTTAATTACAACATCCAATCCATTAGATCAAACATTACTAAATTCGAATGGATTTATCAATCCTTTACAGCAACAACAACAACAACAACCTATGTTTCATCCTTTAGCAAATCCTCAGTTAATTCATTCTTCTACACATGCAATAGGTATGATGCCCTCTTTCATAGATAGACAAAGACAATTATCCGTTTCTTCAACTACATCTACAGATAATAAAGCTTATTCATTTGTGGCCATTCCTGGTACAAATCAGAGAAAACGCCCACGTAGAAGATATGATGAAATTGAACGACTTTATCACTGTAATTGGCCTGGATGTACAAAGGCTTATGGTACTTTAAATCATTTAAATGCTCATGTGAGCATGCAACAACATGTAAGTTTATCAATCTAATATTTTACAGAAAACAGAAAAAATTAACTTTATACACTATATATATATAAGGGATCTAAACGACATCCTTCTGAATTTAAAGAAATGAGAAAAGAATGGAGACGTCAAAAGAAAGAAAGAGAAGCAGCTAAAAAGGCGGCAGAGGCTGTTTATTGTAATCAACAACAACAACAACAACATCCTTATACTGCCTTTCCAACACAGATACCAAGTAACCCTTTTATTATTCCACCAAATAATATGTCGCTTTGGTAATCATTTTGATGTAAGAAACAAACAAATCAAATCAAATCAAAAAAAAAAAAAAAAAAAAGCTGGTTTTCTTTTTAAATAGTCTACAACACATGCTCTATTTATTTTCTGTACATTTCTTTTCTCTCTCTCTCTCTCTCTCTCTCTTCTTATTTATTCCCCTCACCTTCCATTCTTATCACTTGAATATATATGCATATGTTCTTTTTTTTTTTGGAGTTTTGAGATAACATGATGAAACTTAGTCACTAATAATAATCCCAAAAAGAAATAAAATAAAATAAAATAAACACAACTAATTGTAAATACATAATAATATAGACTGTTTCTTTTCTTTTAACATATAATAATCTGTTATGGATGGATATACTTTTTTGTTACGTACTGACCTTATGACGTAATACTTTATCTCCTTATCATATAAATAGATGTATATGATATAATCTTAATATTGTGCGACAACTACATTATTTTTTGAATAATCATTATTTTGTAGAGGGGGATTACTACTTGGAGAAAATGTATGTAAGTGATCACATATTTAGTTTTGTTTGATCCCCCCCCTTATGCTGCTTCTTGTATGACTGCTCACCCTCCCATTATTGGTGGTAAAAGTTAATCATGACTATTTAAATTTGTATCATCAATTAAACGAAATTATACTTCTTCTTCCCTTGAAACATGATATCATTCTTTAAATGCTTGGTAGACACCTAAATGAAAAGAAAGTTGCCAATAGACATTTCAACTCGGTTTACTATCATTATTAAAAAGATCGACAAAGAAAAAGAGCCTCATCATCAACTACTTTATTATATCTTTTTTTTTTTTTACGAAATAATGATTTCATTTCATTTTTATTTTTATTTTTTTTACAAGATGTAACTGCCTTCTTTTATTCAATAGCAGATAAAATAAAAGATTGGAGTTCTTTTGTCGGACATAAATCGATGGGTGATTTACCATCATGATTTAAAAGATCTACATTCCCATTGTGTTCAATTAAGAGAACAGCACAATCACCATGACCTCCTTCACATGCATAATGTAAGGGAGTATTATTTTCTGCATCTTTTGGATTCACTCTTGCTTTTGCTTTTAATAATAATTCAATCATTTTAATATATCCTCCACTAGCTGCACGATGTCTATAGTAGATCATTTCTTTCCTTTTTTAGTAACAAATAGATGCATATCATATCATATCATTTATGCTTACAAGGGTGTCTGCTTGTATTTATTTAATTGATTGACAGGTGCATTATGTTCCAACAATACTTTACAAATCTATAATCAATAAACAGATAAATACACACACACACACACACACATAAATAGGGGGCCATGTTACCACCACACTTTACATCAATTCTATTTTTGGATGCAGCATAATGTCTTGTATAACACGTTAACATCAAGTAGAAGAATACAAAATTTATACGACTACTTACAATACAGATTGTTTTGTTTCGTTTTCTATGGATGGATCTGCTCCTTTATCTAATAATAATTTTACAACATTTGTATGTCCAGCAGAAACTATAGAATACATATGAGTATATATAATTTCATTAAATAGGTCGCGTTACCTGCAATCAAAAGTGGGGTCCATCCTGCCTACTCATATCTATATTAATTACATATAAATAAATAGATTTGTATATGAATATATACTTCTTTATCTTGACTGTTTATCATTGCTCCTTTATTTAACAAATAGTCTACTATATCTACATGTCCTCCTGACGCTGCCCAATGAATAGCATTACGTCCATCCTAAGTAAGTAATTCAAGTTAATCATTATCATCATTTCACTTTTATTCAAGTGATAAATTGTACATTATCAAAGGAATTCACTAAAGTGTCATCTTTTTCAATCATCTGTTGAACAATGAAAAGTTTTCCTTCATAAGCAGCTTGATAAATAGAAAGCATTTTAATAATAATAATAATAATAATAGACAAAAGAAAAAAAATAAATAAATAAATAAACAATAGAATTTGAATTTCTTATTTTTTTTTTTTTTTATTAGAAAGAAGAATTTTATAATTTGAGAAAATAAATAAATAAATAAAAATAAATAAAAATGATTACTATTCCATATAGCAGCTTATCTCTTGTTCGATAAAGAACACTTATTACAAGTGTATTATTTACATGCATAGATTTTCTTTACAAGGAGTCTTATTTTGTAATATTCTTCTTATTATTGTTTATTATGTAGGACAAGAACGATACATGATATTAATAAAGAAATGTTACTATTTATGTCATGACTTTTTTTTTTATGAGACCTAAGGTACAGGTACTGTCAAGCGATAAGGTAGGACATCCTAATGAAACAAAATTGGGACAGATGTCTTTGGTTAGTTAAAATTCGGCATAAAATAATCCGAAGAAAAACCTTTTTTTTTTTTTTTTCGTTGCTGTTTCCCTCCCTCCGAGGTTAAGGAGGAGGGACACATTTAATAATAATCATCTATTTGATGAGAAATTATGATAAACGAATTAGGGAAAAAAAAAAGTAGCAAATCCATTCAAGAAAGTACCCTTTTTGGTGATTTATTGCAAAGTAGGACTAAAAAAAAAAAAAAAAAAAAAAAAAAAAAATTTAATTAATGGTTGCTGGTCTAAAAATATGACAGTATTACATAATCACTCTAATTATAAGGTAAAATGGCCACTGTTTTCATTTTGATGGAGGAAATAATCCTCCTATGTTTAAATTAATTTTCTATCTTTTTTTTTTTTTTTTTTTTTTTTTTTTTTTTACTTGAAAAAAAAATTACTTTAATGATAAAACTACTACTACTACAGAATAATAAATTAAATTATTTTGAAACAACAAAAAAAAAAAACATATGTACAATCTTTATTACAATGTATACAGAAAGAGAGTTAATATAATGAAGTGGAGTGGAATGAGTTATATTTTACAAGGAATCATCTTTTTGTTGTAATAAAAAGCCATTTAGATGATTAATGATTTCGTTATCTTCAACAAATGTCTTTTGTTTCTTTGTGTCTGATGATGGATATAATGTGACTTCTTCGAAATCAAATTGAGCAAATAGATCATCATGATCATCTCTTTTTCTTTTATGACTTGATGAGTTGCTTGTAATCGTATTATTATCATCTTCTTCGCCTTCTGATAATTCTGGTATATCATCCCAATCCAATAGAGGAATTGGTATATCGTTGTTATTGTTGATTGTATTATCATCAGTGGTATTGTTATTGGGTGATGATAAACCTAAAATGGCTAATAATTCGATATCATCAATCACGTCTATCGGTGTGACTGCTTTTCCTTGACAATGTTGTTGTTGTTGTTGTTGTTGTTGTTGTTGTTGCTGTTGTTCATCATCCAATATTTTAATATTTATATCATTAATATTTAATGGTTGAACTAATAACATAGACTTGGTATTATTATGGCACATGTGAATGGAATATATAAATTGTGTGCTATTATTTACATAAAATAAAAAGTTTGATAATTATTATTATTTTTTTGATTTAAAACTTTTTATGAAAAAAAAAAAAAAATCCAAGTATTTATATATTAATTCAAATTTAGCTTAAAATAAAAAATAAAAAAAGGAAAGCTTCTATTGGATTTTTCTTTTAAGTTTATTTAGAAAAATTTAAAAAAAAAAAAAAAAATTAAGATATTAACGGGAGAATAAATTCCCTCCCCCCCCTTCTCTTTCTTTCTTTCTTTCTCCTACTTTCTCTTCTTTTCCCCCCCCCCTTTTTTTTTTTTTTTTTATAATATACAAAAGAAAATATAGCCAATCATATTTCGCAAAGTAATTTAATTTGTGGAAGAGGGTGGTGTAGTATTTTCATTGGTGGGAATAGGTACTTCTCGGCAAAGCGGACATTGATTTTGACCTTCAGTTAACCATTTATCAATACAATCTTTGTGAAACCCATGATGACACGCAAGCACACGAACATCATCTTCTGATTGGTAACTATTCAGACATACCTGACACCCATCTGAATTACCCACAATCGTTTGTTTCACTTGCTGGGTATATTTGACAATAGGTACATAATTGTCAATCGCTTCTTGACTGACTGTAGGCCTTCTGGCTGGCCCAATCATAGCTGCTAATTCTAATAACTCTTCATAAGATGGACTGTCATTTATCATGTTTTCTACACTATTTCCACTTAGAATATAAACTGTCCATTGTCCTGTTCTACTACTACTACTACTGCTGCTGCTACTATGATTATTACTACTACTATCATTATGATTATTCGCTGTTGTTCTTTGTGATTGATTTTGCTCTTGTTGAGTTTCTGATTGTGTGGGTGTTGCTCTTTCTCTTTCTAATCTTTCTCTGATTCTTACACTAGACCTTGTGCCTTGTCTAGAACCATTGTTATTACTGTTTGTTTGTTGTTGTTGTTGTTGTTGGTTATTAGTATTATTAGTATTAGTATTAGTATTATTATTAACAGTAGTAGTTGCTGTACGTAAACCATATAAAAAGACAGGTAACATTAAAATACGCGTAATTTCACCTTCCTCTTCTGATATTGTAGGCGATTCTCCATCTGCATTTATCGCTGTTGACCTAGGTTGATTATTTGTTGACAAGGTATTATTATTATTATTAGTAGCAGAAGACGTAGGTACACTGGTAACAATAACGGGTAATCTAAAAAATTGCATAAAAGAATCTTCTGTACTTTCAGGCTCAATCTGTTGAAATACCTCAGGTGATAAATGCATAGTAAGTTGTTGGCGTACAGGTCTATGACTGTTACTAACAGTAGTGCGTTCATAAGCTACATCGGAATCTAATGATCCATTACGAAAAGATGAAACAACCGCTTCACTAATAACTTGAACAATCATCCTTGAAAAGGGACTCATGGAAGATATAGATGTTGTTGTTGTTGTTGCAATATCAGATGTTGCTATTCTATTAATACTTGCTGCTGCCTCAATAGCTTCTGATACTGTGGTAATATTATTTGTACGATTAGTATCAGCCCCATTTAAAGCTCGTTCTCTTAATTGTGCCCTTCTCCATCTTCTTTCATCTCTACGTTGATTTTCGTTCACTGGTATAAATGCAGTATTAGGTGTCGTTGCTGCTGCTCTTCGTGGAGGAGTTGTTCTGCTAATTGGATTTTCTCTAATAATTGGAACTCTAGCACTAGGCCTAATTATTCTACCTCTTGTTGTTAATGTATTGGTGCCATCGTCATTATTCGTATTACTATTGTTATTATCATTTCGATTCTGATTTTGACTATCTTCAGTAGATTGTCTTTGACCCATCTTAATCTGACTCACTTTAGGATGTATGATAAAATATATTATAAAAGAAGAAATATGTATGTAATCCAAATAAGTTAAGAAATAAAAAAAAAAGAAAAAGAAAAGACTTTACTAATTTTTTTTAATTTTTTTTTTTTTTTTTGCTGCGTGCAAACACTATAAAATTTAGTAAAATAATGACTTTCTTTATATTAGTTTAATAAATAATTCATATTGAAAAGAGAAATACTAATTGCAAGCAAAGCTTTTTTGGTTATAACACATTATTTCAACTTGTATTCTCTTGTTTTTCTATTTTTGGTAATATTCACATTTACATCTTTAAGCAAGTTTTTTTTTTTAAAAAAAAAAAAAAAAGATGACTTATGCTGCGCAAGTAATAGTGAACACTTTTTTTTTGTATACCACAGTTTTTGAAAATAAAATGAATGGAAAATTCAATATGATTAAAATTGATTGGATTTGTGTATACAATGTTAATAAATCTAGATTATTCTTTCTCTTTTCCCTTCTTCTCCTTCCTCCCCCCATAAATGCTAAACTGCATAAAAGTATAAAAAAAAAAAAAAAAAAAAAAAAATTCGCGCATTTGATTGTAATAGAACAAAAAAAAAAAAAAAAAAAAAAAAAAGACAAATGTAAAATGCGAAATTTTTTTTTTATTTATTTATTACATAATAAAAAAAACAAGGTTAAAATAGACTATACCCTTTCTTTCCTTGGAAAAGGGATGTATAAAGTTATTACGAGTAAGCCCCATAATAATAATAAATTACCCTTGCCTGAAAATGAAAAATTAAACATAAATTCATTATGTATGAAACATATATAACTTGGTGTATTTAACCTTAAACAAGAAGAGTTAATTAATAACAGCTGGTTGAATTTGTATACTACTTTCCATCTTCAATGTTGGTTTGAAACACGAGTTTCACCTAATACAATTCATTCTTTGAAGAAGTCTTACTTTTTCCTTGAAGAAAAAAAAAAAAGATCTATAAAGAATAAGAATAATAAAATATGACAGTTTATTTATTACCCTCATACAACAACTTTTAAAGTTCTTTTTTTTTTCTCTTTTTAACCATTAAATCATTTACAATGTAAGAAAAAAAAAAAAAGATAAATGAACAATCTACAAATGTTTGTTTGTATCATGTCTATCATTATTATGCAACTCTAGAGAATGTGTATCACTATTCTCCAAAATCTTTCTTTTTATAAAACATTATTGGTACAACGACGAAATTTATACTATTTTTCCTTTCAGCTTTTACTTTAAATAAGAAAAGCTACTAGTAGAGGATGATGGCAGAAGAAGAAAGAGATTAAGCTTCTAGATTCTATTTCATTTATAGAACGAATATGTTACATTTTTAGCAGCAGCTTGCTGATCCCTTTAAAATTCTTCTAATCGGAAAAAAAAAGTGATAAAAGAAAATAATGTTCTTTCCTCTAATAACAAAGTGTATTTATGTAAAAAAAAAAAAAAAAAAAAAAAAAAAAAAAAAAAAAAAAAAAAAAAAAAAAAAAAAAAATTATTGGTAATAGAGACAATATTAGGGAGAAGGACTAAGATTTATCCCATCTTATGGATAATAGTCTATATTTATTACAAGTTACTATAATAGGCTATTCATGAGACCCAATAATTTAGATAGTAGCAAAAACAATAAGCCTATTATTATTATTATTATTATCGTAATAATTATTTATAAATGTACATGGACTTACGTTTTGCTTTATTTTTAACCTGAACTTATTTTATGATTATTAATCTCAAAGAGTAATAAAATTCACTTTCTAATGGAATGACATGAATGCCTTTGTCTTGATAAGGGCTCCTTTTCGTTATTATGTATCGTACAAGGTTTTACTGCATGCAAAAAAAAAAAAAAATCTATTAACGTAGGTTACTAACCCTACTAAACTATTCTTATTAATTCACCCGTAGTCTAATAAAAAAAAGGCCTCCTCCTCCCAACTTTCTTTAAACAAGTTAAAAAAATAATAATAATGATGATGATTATTACAATGAATTAAGTTTTATCTGTTTCTTTTATCTTTTCGATAAAGAGATCATCAGAATAATGTATAAAATTATGCAGTCTGACTTCACTACAACGTTATTAACACGAAAAAAAAGAGGCAGGATGTCGATAATACATTCTCTAATATTAAATGCAAGGACTTTAGTATGTAGACGTGTCATATTTCTCTGGGAAAAAAAATGACTTTTTCTTTTCCTTCTTTTTTTTTTTTCGTTTAAACAATTTAAGGAAAGGAAATGATGATTGTAATGATATCATATGGGAAAGAAAGAAAGAAAAAAAAAAGGATTACTTGGTGATAATGATGATAGTAACACTGTTGAGGCTTTCACAACAATAGAATAAATTTGAGAGTAATTTATGATATATCTTCATGTAAACGCATATGAATACAGCTTATCAAAATATAAATTAGCCGAGTGTCAAAGGTATTTGGTAAAGAATATTACCCTCACACACACACACACACACACTCTCTCTCTCTCTCTCTCTTTATTTTATTATTCCATTATCATTGGAACTATGCATGTAAGTTTAAATAACTCAAAGGTTATATTAATAATACTAAATGAATGATTCATTCATCCATCCATCCTTGTGTCAAATGTAATAGGTTGTTGATTCAACTTGATGAAATAACAAAATAAAATACTAATAAAACAAGGAACCATTATGTATAACGAAATTATTACTGAGAATAGTGTCATGTTTCAACTTTATTATATCACTTGAGAATAACTCTCTTTCTTTTCTTTTTTTTTTTTTATATATACATGAATGAATGATATATTAATCAACTTCTTGGTAATATTAATTTCTATTCTATTAAAAGTAACAATTAAGGTTTATCTTTTGCAGCCATTCGATGTCATTACTTTATCTCTTTTCCTTAATTTAGCTACGTCAATTAAAAGTACTTGAACTTATTATTGATATTGGCATGTGTCAAATACTATTTTAACTTGTTAGAATTAGAATAGGGTAGAATTTCTTTTTTTTTTTTAAAAAAAAAAAATTCCCTTGAATCCTATCCTTTCATAAATATGGTTTGGAACCTTTCTTATGTATTTAATACTAGAAATAAAAAAATAAAAATAAAAGGAACTCTGAGAAAGACAGCTTAATAAAAGTAGTGTGTGTGTGTGTGTGTGTGTGTGATGAAATGGTTATTATCAAATAATAAACACGCAAATATATCTTGTTTACTGCTGTTTGAGGACACTACAACAACTCACTGTTTTGACTTTGAATTGTAAAGATAAAAACTCCTTCTAAAAGCATTCTCAACGTTATAGGTAAATCGTGGATTGTAATTTAACTTAAAGCTATGCCAATAACTTTGTACGACTGTATAGTAAAATTTAACTTAAAAAAGGAAGAGGAGGAGGAGGAGGGGCCAGCATTAGTAATAAAGTAGGATAGAAAGAGAGCTGGTGTGTGTGTGTGTGTGTGTCAAAAGAGGATAAAAACAATTTTTTTTTCAAGTCTATAAATAACATGTTGTTATTTTATCATTATATCTTAATGCTGTATGACAGCAGCAGAGTAACTTGAGTTTCTATTTTATTTTATTTTTTATTAGTTCCCTCCGAATGTGATACATTTGAAATAATTCATGTATATCATTTTTGAAAAGGAAAAAAAAAAAAGAGTTATTTATATGGATTACTAAAAGTGAAGACCTATTTATTTATCTTATTCCATTCATGATGGCAAAATAGGTCAATAGTAATAATAAATAAATAAAAAAAAAGAGAGTATGAAATAAGACACGATTAACTGAATAATAGCAGCAATTAAATGAATGTGCACTATGATTATCATACTGTATTTATTTTAATATAATATGAATGCAAAATAATAAGCCAGTTATTTATTATAGATAAAGAATAGTACAACAATAATAATAATAATAATAAGCATATACCATATACATGTATAAAGTATGCGCTTGCTTTGTATTACATTATTCAGGTAATAAAAAGGAAATACGATCATTTAACCAAAGACGATCATTAGCCCATTTATCCTTTTCTTTAGCTAATACTTCTCTTTTCTCAAAGGACCTTTGTTGTTGTTGTATCACCTTTTCCAACTTGAGTCGACATTGTTTCTCTTCATCAAGCTGTGCCTTTAACTTCATGATCATGTCTAATAATATGTCATTATTATTCTCTGTTGTTATTGACTTGTTGGATACTGAAAGAAGACGGCCCGAGGGAAGAACGGGTGGAGATGAAAGTCGCTTTTGTGGTGGGAAAGGTTTGTTATTATAGATGACTTGTCGACAATGTGGACACGCCTTTTTATTATTATTATTATTCATGTCTTCTTCTTTAGAGGATAGTGATTCGTTTGTTTGAACTTGAACATGACGAAGACGAACAGAACGTCGATTAAGTGCTGCCTCAGGAACGGATTGAAATAAGGGTTGTTGACTTTTAGAGTAATGAGGTGAACAAACAACAGATGCTGCAATAACTGCTGAGGCAACTGCAGGCGGTAAAGGAGCGGGTCGTTGAGGTTGTTGTTGTTGTTTGTTTGTTGTTGTTGTTGTTGTTGCAATTGAAGAAGCTAAACCAGGCTCATAAGGCTTATGCCTTTTTAATAATGTATTAGTAGTAGTAGTAGTAGCAGCAGTAGCAGCAGTAGCAGCAGTAGCAGCAGTAGCAGTAGTAAAAGGAGGTGGTTGAGGAAATTGTTGGATCTCTTCGTTTAATAATCCAGAATGAAATGTTTCCTTTTCTGAATTTATTTCACTATAGATACCTGAATCACGTAATTGTTGTTTGTTCTTGGGTTGATAATGACAAGTCGTCATGTTAATATCATGTGTCATTGACTGGTCTCTGTTTGTCTTGGTACGATGATCCATATCATGACTCTTTTTCACAAAGGCAGTCGTGGTGTTGGTGTTGATGGTGATTGGCTTATCGTTTGTTGCAGATCCTATAGATAAAAGATATTCATTCGACTCTTCATAAACAGGTAAAGGTATATAATTCCTTTTCCCTGTATTAGACAATGGTTGTTGTTGTTGTTGTTGTTGTTCAACTAAGATGGGTTCAGATCGTAACAGAGGCCTTCTACGCAAACGGCTTAAAAGACGTGAAGCTCGTCTAAATTGTAATTGCTTCTTTGTACTTTCATCCATCTTTGTTAATACGTTACTGTACTCTTCAGGTCCTGTCGTTGATAAAAATTCTGCTAATAACAAGGTGTCATTTTTAGTATCCTGTGTTGTTACAGCTATTAAAGAATTATGACTGAAGGAACTACTATCGTCATCTAGCATTTCTTCATCCATTGTTGATTGTTGTTCATTTTCATATAATCCAAAAGGCTTCATTCGTTTTGCTTTTATCATTCAGGAAAAAGAAAAAAGAAAAAAGAAAAAGAAATAGAATAATAATTATAGTTATAAAAAAGAAAGGTAATACACACGTACACAAAAATAAATATACATTTATATTTATATGCATACACATACATATACACATGTGTATCTGTCTTCTCTCCTCAAATAGATTTCTTAATTCAGATCTACAATATAAAACAAGGAGAGTTATTATTGCTGTTTCTAATAAGCAATTTCTCTCTCTCTCTCTCTTTTATTGTAACCATTTACTAGAGTATGACATGATTTTATTAAATATTCATATTATATTATTAAAGGGGGAGGGAGGGCCAATAATACTCGCCTCCTTTCTCCCGTCTAGATTTTGCTTTTTTTTTTTTTTTTTTTTTTTTTTTTTTTTTTTGTTGTTGGTTCATCTCCTTTCATAGTATTTAAACTCATTATAAGGATCATTATTCACTCTCGTATTGTTGATTCATTAATCGTTCTTCTTCTAGAAGTCTCTTTTGCTCCCTTGCTTCTACTTGTTTTGGTATCGATAACTCATGATCAGAAGCTGTTTTATGTAATGTTTGGCCATAATTTACTGTCTTGGTCACAGAGCCATTTAATTGTGATTGCGATTGTGATGACTGTGGTAGTGATAGTGATAGTGATAGTGATAGTGGTAGTGGTGGTGGTGGTGGTGTGCCAGATCTGGATGTAGGTGATGATTGAGTATCAGGGAGAATAGCCGTAGACATTTTTCGTTTATTAATACCCAATAGAATAATTGCTCGAGATTCATCTTTCATCATTTCTCTTGTTCGAAGTTCAAGTTGTTCTTTTTCTCGTGCATATGCGGCTAACGCTTCTTTATTAAGCATAATGTTATCCTTTCGAAGTCGAAGAGCGTTTGTGACGACTGAAGGATGATGATGTTGTTGTAAACTAGTAGTAGTGTTATTACGTGCAGAAGAACGCTTCCATTTCCTCCATCCCTCAAAATCAATCAAGGCTTGCATACAACCCCATTCCATTATTTTCTTTTCCAACCATTCAAGACTAACTGGTTTTGTAAGAAAATCATTACAACCTGCGGCAAGAGCTGCTTGTCTATCTGATTCAAGTGAGGATGCTGTTAGGGCAACAATAATAACAGGTGACTGAAATGAAGAAACATGCTTCTCCTCTTCCTTCTCCTTTTCTTCCCTTTCAATAGAATTAGATGGTAATACACCTATCTTTCTCTCCTTTTCTATCGATCGAATCATCTTTGTTGCTGCAATACCATCCATGACAGGTAATTGAATATCCATCTATAATTAACAGAAATGTGAATAAGAGTTTTTTTTTCTATAATATACATATAAATATATATATATATATATATATATAGCCTTACCAAAATTAGATGAAATCCACCTTCACTCCATTTCTCTACTGCTTCCTTTCCATCGGAGGCAACAGAAAACTTGATACTATGTTTCTTCATCCAAGTTGACAGAATAGCTTGATTAATCATATTATCTATGTATGTATATATATATATATAAAAGGAAATTAATTATTTACACAAAATAATTCTTTATATTAACTCAATATACCTTCTACAATCAACACACTAATAGGAGGACTTTGCTTACTATCAGAAGAATTTGACTTTCCTTTACGTTTACGGTTACTAAGTTTGAAATTAAATTTCGTTGGTTTGGACTTTATAGTTGCATTTTGTGTTGATGGTTGTACGGATGTCGTAGTCACATTTGTTGATGGTGATATCTGTTGAGATAAATTAAGATCTGTATTATCAGATACTCCTTTATTAGGTGATATGTTATTCTCATTTATAATCACTGAAGGCGATACTGTTGTTGTTGTTGTTGTTGTAGCAACAGGTGATGATGACGACAATAATGATGATGATGGTAGTGGAGGAGAAGGTGGTGGTGGTGGTAGTGGTGGTGATGATGATGAAGCTGTTGTTGTTGTTGTTATTGGCACAGTTTCGATAATAGGTTCACGAATAACTTGTGCATTCTCTTCTATTTTGGTAGCTGTGGAACAACTATTGGTTGTCAATGAGGAAGATTTACCTTCTTCTTCAGGACAAGTTACACATTTCATTGGATCATTATAATTAATAGATAATAATGTAGATGGAGATACTGCTGCTGTTGCAGATGATGTAGAAAGATCAACTAGATTACGTCTTCCAGCAACATGCGAACCCATCGTCATATAACTATTACTTTGCGTTCTGATCCGTCGTTTAATCTCATTTGGTGTTGCGTTTGAAGTATTATTGCTATTCATACATGGACCACTACTATTAATACTAGGTGTCATTAACCCATTTGTAGTAGTAGTAGTAGTAGTAGTAGTAGTAATATTATTATTTGTATTCAAAGGCATCAAGACAGGGCTTGCTATTTTTTTAGCTGTGTTATTTACAGTTGCTGATAAAAGAGGTGAGGTATTATTCAACTTGGAAGATAGATTATTGGCAGCATTAGGATCAAAAAAGTAGCCTCCCTTCTCTGATTCTATATAGGGATTACTAGGTGAATGAATATTGGGTCGTAGTGCTGATGATGAAGGTGGAGCACCGGGGGGCCTTCTTCCTGGTGAAAATCGAGATGCATTCTCATGGGGCGTCATGACTCCTGGTGTAACAAAAGTTGAACAGCTGCTAATCGTATGCAATACATGATCTTGTGGAACGTTGGAAGAAGAAGAGGAAGTACAATGGGGACTCATAAAAGGGCTTAAAGGAGACGTGGCGATTGGAATAAATTGAGGTTCAACGATGGCATTATACCATGCAGTATGAAGGGCTGTTAAGAATCGTCGAGGACCTGCAGGCTTAGGAACAACAACTATACGTGGTAAATAGGGAGGTTGACTGATACTATTGAACCAGTGAATTGTATCTCGTACACGTTTATAATTAATAAGCGAAGTAAAGAAAATAATGGCAACAGTACCTTGAGGTACAGGATTTTCTAATCCATTTTGTCTTGACTTTGATCGATGATGACGACGTAGTGGTTGCTGAGGTTGCTGTGATTGCATTAAGGGGACAGGTGGTTTATCACGAAACTCACGAAGCTTCCTTTCCAAAGTTAAAATGTCATCATCGATTAAGATGAAAGCAGGTGGAATAGAATGTATATGATCTTCTGCAATTGCTGGAGAAGGAATTTTGCTACCGTTTGTATTGACACTATTAATAGAGCGAGATGATACAGGTGATAGTGTTGCATGCTTTTCTAATGGTGTTTTAAGCGATTGAGAATGGACAGAAGAAGTTTCTGAATCTGAACCAGCGACAGTACCCATATCGCTACTCCCCTCTTCGTCATCTGTATAACCAAGTACTGATAAATGACTGATATCTGTATTCCAAGTAGTCAAACAACTTGTAAGATGTTTTGCAAACAGACTTTTCTCTGGTGCATGTAAGATCAATTTGACCCCCTTTAACTGGGTAATGAATTTTGATAAATCTTCTAGAGTAGGTTCATTTGAAAAGCGAATATTAGAGAGTTGTTTCTCGAGAATTTGAGATGGTTTTTCAATCAAGAGTAGTCTTTGATCTGTATTACTACCAGGGTATAATTCTAACGAGATCTCCATACGAGTTTTATTTTTACCTAAATCCTCTAATTCCATTTTCCCTCCAATATAATTTAATAACTGTGTAGTAAAATTAGCATTTGGAATTAAAGCTGCTGATAAACCAATAGGGATAGCGGGTGAAGCTATTTGAGTAATTTCAAATGTCACTTTTACTTTAGGTGTATCGGGTATAGGTGCAATAAATAAACCCAATTCAATACAAGCGCCTGGTGTACAGCCTTCTAAAATATTTCTTAGCAACTAATAAAATAAAGTTAACATTTTTTTTTTTTTACACGAGTAGTGTATATAGATATATGTATATAGATAATTACATTAGTTAATGAGTGTTTAATAGCATCTTCATCACCAATGACGTTTGGATAGTAAAATCCATTATCCACATGATAGATTACGAAATGGACACCTAAATTAGCAGACATGCCAGCTAAAGCATCACCTACATTTTGTAAAAGTTCTCCAACATCAAATTCATTCTTTACATTTGTTCTAATTATTTTTTCTTCAGGTATAGTGCTGTGAGTATCAGAATCTCTAAGCATTTTCGATATTAAGTTTAGATGAGAACTTATATGACAAGCTTCTTGTATAGTTGTATTGATTGCCGAAATACTAGCTATTGGAACAGCAATAGAGCAAGTACTCAACAATTCATGTGTATTAGATAAAATAGAAGAAGGAGAAAACTGTTCTAAAGTAGCTCTGACCATTAAACCAGCATCACGAATTTCTTGAGAGATGATTGAGAGAAAAAGTGAACGTTGATTACTATAACGATCTAAAGCATCGCTAATAGCTTCCTCTACTCTTATTCGATCTAATTGTCTTTGTTGAAACATTTCATCTAGTAAATGCTCATAGATATTTGTTAAGCGTTCAGCGATAAAAAATAAGATACAAGCTAATATTTGAGATAGAACAATAGAATCTAGACTTCGACTATAAGACCAAACAGTTAAAACAGGCATGACTAAAGCATATAAACGCATATATTTTATAAAAGGTATTATATCGGACCTGCCGAAAATGAACCAAGCCAAGAAAAGAAGCCAACCTGCTAACATGCACGAATAAAGTAAATTATTGACTGTATGATATAAAGTTAAAAAGAATGTACAGGCCAAGGATAATATAGTGGCTACAGATACAATGACATAAATCTCTTTTAAAAGTAAAGTAGCATCAAGACTTTCTCTATTTATTGAAGGTAATTTAATATTGATGAATTTTTCTTCTGCAAATGCAGTTTCTTCTAAAGATTGTTGTGTTAACCATTTTGACATGAATTTTGATAATTGAGGTCTATTATTATATTGTTTAATTGAGGGCATTTTATTATTAAAGTTAGATGGTAAAGAAAAAGTCGATAAAGGAGGTGCCTTTATAAACGCGTCATGAGCTGTTGATTGTCTTTGTTCTGATTCAACTTCTTTAGACATTAATAAATAAAAAATAAAATAATAACAGTGATAATAAATAAATAAATAAAAAGGAAGTACATGGAAAATAAGCATTTTTTTTTTAATTATTATTATTTATTTTATTTTTATTTTTTTTTTTCTTTGTAAAATTCTAAAATTCTATTTATTATCAAATAATAACTTGTTCAGGTTCAAACCCTTTCAAAGTTATAGTTGCAGGTTTCAAATCATATTTTAAGATACTTTTTTGATCCTATAATTAATTATTAACAAACAATAATATGATTATGTAAGCTTATTTACCTCTGCAAAATGAAAATGGCCTGAAAATAATTGTTGTTTAAAAAGAAAAGGAAACCAATATTTGTCATCTGACCACATTTTATCGAATGGGATTTGATCAAAAGGAAACCATTCAGGCTTCATTTCCTCAGTTCTATTAAAATATATAAATAAATAAAGTTCATTACATGTATATATGGGTATACAGACTCTTTGGGTATTCCTTCATATGAATAAGTTGTATAAACATGAGTTTCTAAACCAATAGGATTATTCTCAAATGTGAACATAAGAATACCCACTTTCTTTAAATCAATAGCCTTAATTTCACATTCTTCCTTTTATACATGTATGTTATAGAGAGAATAAATGTAAATACACAACTATTATTACCCATAATTCACGTCTTGCTGCTTGTTCGATAGTTTCTCCCTTCTCAACTTTACCTCCAAATCCTATTATTGATTCTATCACTAACTTTGCTTTTTTGAAGTAAAAATATTAACATATACTACCATTAAATTTTCCTACACCAAAGCCACGTTTTTTCATGCCTAATAAAATCTACAATAACCCAGTAACATGAATAATAATTTTTCAATAAAGTATACTTTCTAATTCATACTTCTTTTCTCTCTTCATTTATGGTGAGCACAAGTGTTAAAAGCTTTTTACTTGAAATGTGTGTCATTTAGATAATGTCAAAAAATCAAATAATTAAAAGAGAAAAAAAAAAATAATAATTTGAAAAAAGGCGATAGAAATAGATTTAATTATATTTTCTTTTTCTTGACTGTTTTTTCTTTCGTAAATCATAATACATAACTATATACAATCTACTTTTTTTTTCTTCTTCTGTATATTTATTTTAATTATATTTCACCATGTAATTATACATGTTTCAATGTGTCAAGAATAGATAATGCCAATTCAGTCATATAATAATTTAATATATAAAAGAAAAATAAAAATAAAATAGACCGATTACACACAAAATAAAAAAATTAACATGTCTTTCTTTTTTATATATATTTTAACAACCACCAATTTGCTCAACCATCACATCGATAGTGTCTCCATCCTCCATATCCAACTAAAATATATATGCATGTATAATTAATTACATAAATCAAAAATAGTAAGATTGTTTTAATTACCTCTTGAGGTGTATTGTTAGGTAAAACACGAGTACCGTCATATAAGAAACGAACAGATCCAGGTTGTTTACCTTGACGTTCACAATAAGCATCCATTAATTTTCTGAGTTGCGTAGTACGTTTGATTTTGAAGAAAACTTCATTAGCATCCTATAGTAATTGAATTTATATCATTTATTAATACTATATCTATGTATATATACATATGTATATACATATATATATTACTTTATACTTACGCTTCCAACAACTTTAATATTAATGTGCTCAACACCTTCCTTCTTTTCGACTTTCTCAACAGAGTCAGACATTGTTATAATTATAAATTTATAAAAAAAAAAAAAAAAAAAAAAAAAAAACCTATATAAAAAAAACAGACGCGCTTAGCTGAAAATAAAAAAAAAAGCAGTAGTCACACAAGCCAACTTTCATTTCAGTCATGTATTTCAAAACTTACATATTTTAAGCAAATATACTGGCTGATTTACTTTATTTTAAAGACAGGTGTACCAGATTAGAAGATTGCACTTGTTTTATACTCAAAAATCATATTTTTGACAATAGGAAAGTTAACTTGAGTAGCAAAAATGACTTGGCCAAAAAAAAAAAAATAGATACTTTAGCATTGCTACTTACGAGGGAAGAATAAGAAACAGGATTTAACAAAATTTTATTATAGAAATAGATTTATTGACATAATACTATTGTGTACACTTGTATATTTAATTTAAACAATCATAGGCAACTTGGGCAAATATTATTGTTAATAAACAAACCATAAGCTTGTATTCTAAGAGGGAGGATTATTTATTTGCTTAATTTACTAGAATGAAGCCTTCTTTTTAAAGTCTAATAATATTATATATGTATACAATTAAACTTGACTAGTTGATTGTTAGTGAATTAATATTGTTCATTACATCTACTAGTCTACTTTACTATTATAGTTTTTATTAGAAAAGTAGTGTATGCTTAATTTGAAAAGACTCAAGCCAAATAAAAAAGACAATAGAAAAAAACACATATATTTAGTATATTTTATCTAATCCAGTTTTGTATTCCTAACAGTTTTTCGTAATAAGAAAGATCATTTTACAAAGCAATCTATAAATGTCTAACATTTTTATATATGAAGAACTAATATTGTTTGTAGTAATAAACATTAAATCATTATTTTATGATTCTATGCTGATGGAAGTTATTACAGAGTTCTTCCCCTCATGTAAAACTATTTCTTTGTTAGAACAAACATAATAGCGGAGACAAGACACAGATTGGGCGATTCATATGTCACCGCCCGTCTTAAAACAGGCTCCCCGTAATGCCTTCGCGTTCGTCTTTTTTTTTTTACGTGGCGTACAGGGCAAGCCCCACGACTGCGGCTGATTGGCTGATTTACCAAAAAAAAAGGGAAAAGAGAAAAAAAAAGGGGGGGGGGAAATTGAAAAATAGGAGCCCTTTTTATATCTATTTTCTCATCATGCATGATATTGCACAAAGTGACTGTTATCATTATTAAAAGTTGAATGATATAAAATGAAGCGTTGCACGAGTGACCACTGATTGTATCTTTATTCATATGAATACAAAACGTAATCAAAATTACATTAAGATCTTTTTCTGTTGAAAATTTAAAATTAAACATGCACAATAAGATTGTAACTCTATATACAAAAAGAAAATGCATTTGACTTTTTACTTTCAAATATATTTTAAGAATTGTTAATGTTATTAGTTAAAGAAAAAAAAAGCTTTTCCTATAAATTTTCCTAGTAATTAGTTTATTTGATATTAACTTTTGTTGCAATCTCATAACTGTAGCTTATTTTTGAAATTTATGTAATTGCGGTGTTCAAAGTAATTTTTTTTTTTTTTTTTTTTTTTTTTTGAAACTTTGTTATAACAACTGCTGCCAACGTTTATTATTATAATACACACAGTTACATACATAGAATATGAAGCTGTTATTAGGATCTTTATTTATATTAATGGTGATAGAGATATATCTGGCACCTTATACTAAAGTTGAAGAAAGTTTTAATTTACAAGCAACACATGACATTATACATCAAGTAGAACATTATGACCATTTAGATTTCCCTGGCGTCGTTCCACGTACATTCCTCGGTGCATGTATTTTAAGTGCATTAAGTTGGCCATTAATTTACTTGTTTCCATCTATATCACTTCTTAATCAGCAGATTTTGGTACGTATCGTTCTTGCTGCTCTTGTCATAATTTCACTTGGAAAATTTACTTCTGGTGTCAAAGCACTTTTTGGATCAAGGACTGCTATCTGGACTCTCTTGCTTTTACATTGTCAGTTCCATTTTGTCTTTTGGTCTTCTCGTACTTTACCAAACACGTTAGCATTACCATGGACTTTGTTTGGGCTTTCTCATTGGATATCAAGTTTATCTCAAATGAGTGGTCGTGAAGATCATTTAAGATGGATGATTCGATATCTTACCTTTACTGGTATTGTATTTAGATTCGAAGTTGGTATTTTACTAGTTATTTTGTTAGGAATAGAACGGTTTTTATACCGTACAATTGATTTATATACAATTTTGAAGGAGACAATGACGACTGCATTCATCAGTTTATTAGTAACTATCCCATTGGATTCCTTTTTCTGGAATACTTGGTGGTTATGGCCTGAGGGTATGGTATTTTATTTTAATGCTATTCTTAATAAGAGTTCAGAATGGGGTACTTTACCATTTTACGCTTATTTTACTTCCTTTCTACCACGTTTATTGCTTGTATCTTATCCTTTGGCATGGATTGCCTTTGCTACCGATCGTCGTTCACGTCGTCTACTTTTGCCTATGATTATTTATATTGTTCTGTTTTCATGCTTACCGCATAAAGAATGGCGTTTTATCATGTATACTATTCCTGTCTTCACTGCAGCTGCTGCCTCTTGTGTTTCAACTGTCATTACAACTACTCGTCGATCAACTACTCGAATAGTTGTGTCCTTCAGTATTATTATTGCTGCTGTAATTGCTTCGTTCATGATAGCCATCATGATGTTTCAAATATCTCGTCTCAATTATCCTGGTGGACAAGCTCTTGCATCCTTGCATTCCATTGAAAATCATACATCCTCCTATGTTCATGTTCATATCGATACTGATACAGCCATGACAGGTGCCTCCCTTTATGGACAGTCGAATCCAAATTGGATTTACTCAAAGAATGAAAGTCATGAAACAGAAGATGATTTCCTTGAAGCACGTTACACTCATCTTATTACAGCTCATCCTGACAACTTGAATACGTCCCTCTTTGAAGTGATCGACATCAGTTATGGACTTGATAACGTACGACTTAAACACATGAATGAATATATGAAATCAATTTTAAAAAACTATGACTTTATGCCTATTGAATTTAACATGTCACCAAAATTATATACACTTCGTTTGATTCAACCACAAAGAGCTTGGATTCAATATACATTACGCAAATACCCCTTTGTACTCTATAGCAAAACTTACTGGTATTATGAAAATAATAATAATAGTTATGTATAAGTGACTTATTTATGATATGATATGATTGTTTATAGTCCATATTCTATAGCAGCTAAGCAATTACTTTCCAAGTATTGTAAAGATATACATATTGTTGAGGCAAATCTTGATCAAGATAGTAAAGGAATTAAATATGCATTATTTGAATTGACAGGTCAACGAACATTTCCCAATTTCTTCAAGAACGGTCAAAGTCTGGGTGGTTATGATCAACTATCCGTATTAGACAGAGAAGGGAAGCTGTCGACTATCTGTAATGTGTAATAAAATAAATCACTTCTATATTTACTAGAAGAATAGGAAATACTTTACACCAAATGTACGATAGACTCTAGGGTCTGCATAATTAATTATATAATTCATATCATAACTAACCAAGGTTAATATACTTGAAGCATATAAATATTACGGTTGTTAACGTTTTGATTAGCTGTAGCACAAAGTAATCCATTTTAGTCATAGTAAAGGTTAGAAAGCTGTCACAAACTTCATATTCACTCATAATCATCATATTATTATTGTTGATGATTTTCACACACATGGATAGATGTATTTATTTATATATTTATACACTCCTATATTTTCTATTTTTCTTCTTTTTTCTTTTTTCTTTTTTCCCTTTTTTTTGTTGTTCTCCTCATTATAAACTAAAATGATTCTTACACATCAGCGTGTCGATGCTTTTAATCGTTATTTAAATACAACAGTCGGTCGTGAAAAGCTTTGTCGACTTATACAGTACTTTGCCCGCTTTTATGCGTTTTATTTATTTCGTAATGGAGCTCCTAAAGATGTGATTCAACGTTGGGTTGATCTCAAGACCCATCTTGGAAATGGTCGTAAGTTTTTCCGTCTTCTAAAGCCTGTTGAATTTGCACAAACAGGTATAAAGAGTTTAGCTCTTAACGATGAAATTTTACGATTTACTGCTGTTGCTAAACAGGCTGGTATGTTTCTTTATTATATTTCAGAAGCCTTTGTTTTGGTAAGTATGAGGTTATAAATCATATATGTATACGTATGCTTATAGTAATACATGCATGTTAGTCCAATGCTATCAATTTTTATAAACCAGCCAATATTAAACAAATCACTGAACTTGGACAAAAATGTTGGTTTGCTGCTCTTATTGCTTCTTTAATCTCGAGTGTATACAAGTTTAAACAATTAAGTGTACGTGAACATATGCTTGAAAAGTCACGTAAAGCTATTGTTAATACTGAAGAAAAGTCAGAAACTCAAATTGCTGAATTAAAAGCTCAAGAGAGTGCATTAGCAAAGTAATTTTTTTTTTTTTTTTTTATGTAATACTTATTTTTTTTTTATATAATGCTTTATTAGGGATAAATATAATACCAAGTATGCTTTCATTCAAGATGCTGTTGATATCATAATTCCTTCCACTAGTTTAGGATATTTAAAAGTAGATGAGGGCATTGTTGGTCTAGCTGGGTGAGTTTTTTTTTTTTTTTTTTTTTTTTTTTTTTTTTTTTTTTTTTTTTTAAGGAAAATATACTTATTGAATAATTAGTATGACTACATCTTTTATGGCAATGGTTACTCAATGGAATAAATTAAATGGTTAACAACAAAGTTCAATTTATCAATCTAAGGAATAAGCTATTACACTTGAATAAAGTATATTTATTACACCTTTTTTTCTCAAATTTAGCCGTACTTGAAAATTTTGAAGTATGTGTGTGTGTGTGTGTGTTTTAATACCGCTTAACCAAAGAGAATTAGGTTGCAAATATGTATATAAAGTAGCCATATTTTTATACTACAACTTGCATCAATAAGGGACTTTTATTTCTTACGGAATTATGACTTTCGCTGATGATCAATAATACATTTCCTCCAAAGTTAACGCTTACATTTTAGAAGGGTATGGGCGTATCGACCAAGTATTTACAAGACTATTGTAAATCATCAGTTTGTTACTTTAATAAATGGTGAACAAAGAATATTAGTTGAATTGAATTAATAATGATTATTCAAAAAAAAAAAAGACTACATGCATGTAGTAGTATTTATTATGCCTAAACATGAAATAAGTTGTTTAACTCATAATTGCATTCCCCTCCCAATACAAGCTCACTTCTGATATAAAAATAGACTGGCTATTCTAACATTTTCTTTTATAAGTTGATCTTTTATATTTGCCTTTTACTTTTTTTTTTTTTGAATTTTATTCCAAAAAAGGGGCTCTTAGTCTCCTTGCTAATTTGACGCTTATAAATAAAAAAAAAAAAAAAAATTACCGAACAGTTTGTCCGGAGATGATTAAAAAAATCAGTTTTATTTTCCGAAAGCCGCACAGCAATCATTTTTGGAGGCTTCTCAAAGTAGAGGTAAATTGAAACTAACAGACGGCTGCCGTAAGCGTACTTCCTCTTTCTTTAGACCATCCAGAATATAAAACATGGTAGTATGTATCATAAATAATAACGAGAGAAAGAGAAAGAATAGATCAGTTAGTTCGAAATTGAAGATGATGATTAAACAAATGAATGGACAAGATGGATTCAATACGGAATTGATAGACGAAAAAAAAACAAAAAAAAAAAGATATACCGAGATGTAAACAAAAAAAAAAAAAAAAAGACAAAAGTTCGACTCAAGATCAATTTAGCCGACTAAATCTATAATGCTGTAATATAGTTGTACATATGCATACTGTTAGAGAGAGAGAGAGAGAGCGAGAGAGAAAGAGAGAAAGAGAGAGGAGAAGAGGACAAGAAATGTTCAAAGTTCACTTTTACACTTTTCAAATTGACATTAGACGTTGTGTATCATCTTTTAAAGAACTAGCTGCTCTTTCTTTTTTTTATATATATACATATATAATTCTTTTTTTTTCTTAAAGAAAAAAATGGCAATTGTTAATTGATTTCATATTTATATAGCAAAGTACTTTCAAGCGTCAAGTCGAAGTTGGTCGTGTTGTCCTTCTTAACTACGGTGCTGATGCCGGTAAGTTGGCTGTCATTGTCGACATTGTTGATCACAACCGTGCTCTCATCGATGGTCCTACCACCGGTGTTGCTCGTCAAGCTTATCCTTTCCGTCGCATGGTCTTGACTCCTGTTGTCCTCAAGAAGCTTCCTCGTAACGTTGGTCAAACCGCTCTCAAGAAGGCCTTGGAAAAGAATGATACTATTGCCGCTTGGAACAAGACCGCTTGGGCCAAGAAGCTCGAACAACGTAAGGTTCGTGCTAACTTGACTGACTTTGATCGTTTCAAGTTGGCCAAGCTCAAGAATCAAGTAAGTTATTGTAATAATGGGTCATGTGTGCATATATTAATTATCTTTTTTTTTTATATTTATAGCGTCGTTTTGCTGTCGCTTCCTCTGTTGCCGCTGCCAAGAAGCAAACTGCTTAATTCGTTTTATTCCATGTATTCAATAAATAAGTCTTTCTCCCTTTTTTTTTATTACATAAGAAAGTTATTTTAAAGTTATGGCTTAATAATTTAGAACAAGTTTTTTTTTTTTTTTTTTTTTTTTTTTTCAGTTATATTTATTACATGATATTATTGTATGTTGGTGGAGAAATTTTAATTAAATGATAATGTATTTTATTTATACATTATTTTCATCATCATTACCATGATCGCTGCTACAAGTAGTGTCATTATTGTTCAGTGTAGTAGTTATTGCTGTTGATACAACGACGGGTGGTAAATGATTACCATTGGCAGCTTTGTTCCTAGTCTCAAATGACTCTTTTTCATCTGAAGATGAAATATATCCTTTATGGTCTTCTGTTGTTAACTCCTCTTTTGGCTCAGATACTATTGTACTATTTTCAGCAGCCCGCTGCTTTTCATGCGTTTCTTTTAAGATTTCTTCAACTGATCTATTTGATTCTTCGTTCACAGGCCTTCTACGCTTGTAAAACAAAAGGTAGGCTGCAGAAGTCTAAATAGTTTTTTTTTTTCCGGTAACAAGTTAAATTTTATATTTGATATAACCAGAATATATGTACATACCTTAATATCAGAAATATCTACTTTAGAAGCATGAGAATCATCAAAACTATACCAATTGCCGTTTTCAAAATTTTGAGCAAAAGAAGTATCTATAAAAATAAATAAATAAATAAACAAATATTACTTTAATTTTATATTCCCATTTTATAAACTTACAATGACCACCACCTAAACCACCATAATGATTATCTACACCATATAAATCATATATCAGTCTTTCTTCTTCTGCAACTGATGTATGGTCTTGAATACTCAAAACACGATCTGTCAAGTCAAGACCCTCAGTTGGAAAATCAATAAAAGCATCAATTTTATCTCTCCAGGTACGAGAATGACTAAATCGTTTAAGATGAACAACCATAATTTCAGGCATACGCCAGAGATCGAATTTCTTTGTAGCACGGACATGCTTTTTACATTTTGGACAATACCAAAGGTCTTCATCACTTAATTCTTCTTCTTTAGTAAATTCATCTAAACAATCAGCAAGTGTCACTTGCTTCTTTTGTTGAGTCTTTTGATTTATATCAACATCATTAGGGTCACCAATAACCTGGATATCATCCCAAGCATCTGTACAAACTCCACTTTCATGAGAATAGATATGAGGATTAGCTGCACCAAACAATTGTTGAGCTTTCTTGAGTGTCCATGCTAGCAGAACACCTTCCCCCTGACGAATAATCGTGCTAGGAGGACATGCAACTTTACGTTTAGGTAAAGTGGGTGCAGCTACCGTTACAGGTACAGCAGGACTAATAAGAGGAGATAAGGGTTTCATACTCTGAATACTATTGCTATCAGAAGGGAATGAAGCATTGTCTGTTGATTCAATATTATCAGTTTCAGTTTCACCTTGTTGCTTATCCTCATCCTCATCGTCTATCAATGATATTTGGGGAGTTGCAGTACTTGAGAAAAGAGCTGCTGCATCTTCTACCTGATCATCTTCTTCCTCATTTTCCATCTTGGAAGACAATATAAGGGAGTCTTCCATTTCCGTATCTTGCTCAGACTCGGATTCAGATTCAATATCTAATCCATTTTGTTGACGCATGTATGCTTCACGTTGTTTTTCTTCAATCTCTACTCTTTCACGAAGATCAACTAAACCAGACCAAGTTTGAACACTGGGTAAAAGATCATCAAATCCACCTCTACCATAAGAGTGAGGACCAGTAAAGACCTTCATGGTAAATAAATTATTCATAGGCTCCACCTTTTTACCTCCAGCAGGCATAACAGCAGCAGCAGTATGAATTAAATTTGAAGGTTCTTCGATGGTATCAACCTCCATATCTTCTTTCATATCCTCGATTATTTCTTCTTCCTGAGTGGATGCTACAAATTCAGCATTCATTGGATTATTCTCTTCAGTTACAACGATATCATATGGTGGAGGTTGATCATTCACTTCCTCTGCTTCTAAGCCCTTTTTACCTTCTGCATCATCAATAAATGGATTAGTCACATTCATATTTTCCTTCGAATTCTCATTCACTTCTTCAAATACTTTGAATTGCGTATAACGTTCAATGTGTTGTGATATCAAACGATAAAGCAAATCAAGATTATTGGCATCCTTATGAGGAATAGCAAGAATAATAGGATCACCAAATTGATTTATTTTTTCATCGTTATAAGAATTGTCATCACTTTTTGTTACAGTTGCGCAGTAAACAGGGAATACGATTAACTGATCTTCATTAATAGGTCGTTTTTCTTCTTCGTCTTCTTCTTTATGACTATTGTAGAAATACCTTGCCCTTTTTTTAGGAAGAGGAGGTATAGGACCAGGAAGCTGATATACATAAATAAGATCGGCACTACCAATTGTAGCAACAGGTTCATATTGAGGAAATACTTTATAAATTTTATGACTGAATAATTCTACAACTAAGAGCTAATGAAATAGTTAGCATAAAGTAATCTCTATGATCAGTTAAAAATTCAACTTACTGAATTAGGATCTTCAACTGACATCATTTTAGCCAATTCCTTTTGAAGATGAGCTATACTTGCTTCTTTATTTAAAGTTACCACCACTCGTTGTAAGCGTTGAGAGGGGTCATAAGGGACATAGACGACCGTAATTTTGCTCTTTTTCTTAATAGGAAGAGGCAAAGATAAATACATGAAGGGGTCAAAAGTTACAGATACCTAAAAAAAAAAAAAAAAAAAATTGTTAAAATTTTATATTCATTTGCAATCTATACATCTATTCTTACATTCGAACATTCCGAACAAACTAATCTACTCTTAAATTGACCCTGAAACAAATCGACAATGATAGAATCATTTCTTGCACGATGATAATCCCAACTTTGTTTTGCAATTTCTGCATCCTCCATTCCGTCAAAATCAGGCAATTCGATATAAGGCTTTTTAATAATTCGATTTAAATCCTCATGGAGACCATCTAATAAGAAAGCCAATAATTCTTGAGTATCATGCTGTTGATATCCACTAAAAGAGGAATTAAAACGGCCAATGGTGTATTTAAAATCTCTAGGTGCAATACTGCTTGCGGTTCCGCTCCATAATTTTTCAATTAATTTTCCATATGCTTCAGCAACATGACCTTTCATACCTAAAGGATTATCTCTGTTTAAATCCCTTTTGTAGTTATCGGCCAAAAACCATTTAGTCAATTGTGGTGTATTACTTAAGCATTGTAGTGCAGAGTTCATAAAGCAAGTATTGCCCAGATTTTGTAACCCACAGACACCATGCTCATAACGAGGAGTAAGAGGAGCAGGAGGAGAAGCTGTAGAAGAAGTTGTTAAATTATTGAAACCATTTGTAAATATACTTGAGGTAGATGAGACAGAAGAAGTATCAGAAGATTGTTTATTTTGATACAAATCAGATGGAAATTTAGATGAAAGCTTGTCTTTTACTTCAATGGCTATGTAAAATTCACCAGAATGACCTATAGTTGCGTCATTGTCTTCAATTTCAAGTAATGATGCATCTGTAACGATATCAACAGAGACATTAGGAGGACTTATCATTACAGGCTCTCCTTTTAATATCCAAACTTGGATTTCAGTATTAGGTGAAAGATCAAAAGCGTTTTTGACAGCAGCCAAAAAGTCATTAACTGTATTAGTTATTGATAAAGTAATAACTGGACAGCGCGTTAAATCACTCATATATTCTGATCCATTAGTTGCAATCGAATACAACTTGAATTGAGGAGGATACAATTCTATTGTTTTTTTCTCTGAATCATCTATAATTAAAGTTCTTCTAATAGGTTCAGCACTATCCTTCGTAACACCGTACCTTTATATAACATTAAAAGTAAATAATGGAGAGCATGTATGAAATAATTATAAAAAATTACCAACTAACTAATTTTTCCCAAGCACTTTCTGGTACAGCAAAAACAGTTTCCTCAATTGTTAGATCTTCTATAAGTTTACCATCTTTCAAAATAGAACTATTATTAATAGGTCCAGGTGGAGATCTTTCAGCGATGTTTCTTGCTTCTTGTTGAGGACTACTCAAACGAGCACAATATTGTTTCCAACGATGATACCAAGCTTTTGAAATCAAGCACCAATTTTCACCTTCCATGAAATTCTCTTCCCGCAATTGAGAGATCACTTTTAATTGATCTTTAGGATCCACTTTTATATGCTCTTCATCCCCTCCAATACTAGCTTCTCTTGCTCGTTTTGTTGCAACTGGATATTTATCAGGTTCACTATCTGACATGGTTTAACTACAGTTTGATAAACAAGCAAGATAAAATACAGAAATGAAAAAGAAAAGAGATAAAAGAAATTGAAATAATAAAAATAAAATAAAAAAATAAACAAAATAGTAGTGCAGCTCTTTTCTGTGACTTTCTCTTATATAACGAAAATTACATTTTTAATTTTATCGTACATGAATATTGTTTTAATGTATAATGATATGCCCATTATTATATAATTTATCTTAAAGAATAAAACAGATGAAAGAAAGTAACAGAAATTACATATATTTATTGACTTGACTTTGTAGATATTGTATTATTATATCTATAGTGTTCTACTTACAAAGTTGTATTTCTTGATAGGGAAGATTGGTACATCCTTCAAGCGTAGATGGAGATGATTTAATAATCAGAATTGTCTTGATAATAGTGTATTATTAAGAAATCTATTGTATGATAATTATATGATCTTTAAAGTTTTACATGATTGAGCTGGTATAGTTACGGGAAGTATAAAGATACTTAATATTAATCATGCTGTACATGATATATTCACTTATTTACAATAAATAGGATGACTAGTGCAAATATAATAAATATGCATACTATATTTATCTGTCTTTTCTGAACTAATCATGATTTACTAAACGCAGCTTTTAAAATACGATGCTATTCTTCCCGATAAAATTAAAGTCAACTTTGATGCAAAGCAAGAGAATGTACCTTACTTAGTCATCATTACTAGTTTGGGAATATTTAAATTTCCGCATACTGATTTGGTACAAAAAGCTTCACTAATTGGCACAGTATCAACTAGTAGTAAAAGTAAAAGCACTAGAACAACAGAATATATTAGGAAGTTTAAATTAAATTTTTGGAACCCATTTTTTATTTTATCTTGGTCTTTTCTTTCGGATAAATCTAATTTTTTTCTCTTTCTTTTTTTTTTTTTTTTTTTTTTTTTTATATACATTTATTTAACTACATTTTATTTTTCATTCATTAATTATAAAGGCAACAAAAAAAAGTAATCTATACATTTGATTAGTTATATATTTTTATTAGTGGAAAAAAAAAAGAGAGAAATAGTAATTAATATTTTTTTCTTCAACTATTCATCTTTTTTTTTCTTGTAATCATAAATACATTAATAGAAAGAGCATTCTTTCATATTTTTATATCCCCTTTTTTTTTTCTTCTGATATTAAGAAGCTTTCTTTCTTTATAATCTTTTAAAGAAAGAAGGACCAAGAAATAAAAAAAAAAGAAGATATTTAAAAACAAAACAATAAACGACTAAACAAAAAAAAATCTTATGGAGCAAAAGCCCAAAATATTGAAAAGATCGACGAAAAAGGACTCTTCTAAAACTCATTCTGATAATTCACAACGCTATAGTTTAAGAAATAAAAAAGAGTCTTCTGCAAAACCAGTTACTAGGTAAATACAATATTTCACTCCTTTCTTTTCCCCCCATTCCCAAATGGATTATTTTTACTAACAACATTTTAAGATCCCAAAAAAGAAAGATTGAACGAGAACAACATCAAACACAAGAAATATCAAAAAGTAAGAAAACTAAAATGGATAGTAAAGTTAATAATAATAGTAAAGGAAAGCAAAAGGTTCAAGAGAAAATTACATCAAAGTAAGCCCCAAAATTAAAAAGCTCGCTTTATAGGTATTATTAATTCATTTTTTTTTATCCAAAAGAAAATCCGATAATGATGACAAAATGCAGGATATTATTGATAATACTTTAAAAAGTTATCATAACAAACATGAAGATGATAAAGAGGAAAATGATAATTTAATGCATTATGACGATGAAGGCCATGATGATTGGGAGGATTCAAGATATGATGAGGAAAATGATCATAACGGTGAAGAAGATGATGAAGACGAAAACGATGATATTAATGACGACGACGACGACGACGAAGATGATGATGATGATGATGATGAGCCTGATAATGAAAGTGAAATAGCTCGTGTTAGAAGAACTCTTGGCTTTGGAATGCAAGGTCTTTTAGGCGGTATCATGTCATCGGATTTTACTAGATTCAAAACTATTTTAAACAATTTGAAAGATAATGATGATCCAACTATGCAGTTAATTGCTCTCCAAGAATTAGCTGAAATTTTATCTGTCAGTAGTGAAGATAATTTAGCTGGATACTTTTCTAGTGATAGTTTTTCTAGAGAACTTGTTCGAATCATGAAAGGACAAGATGATTTATTGTATGAGGATAAGTCGAATATGGATGAAGATATGATGCTTGCATTAGCGATGAGTGAAGGATTTTCAGGTGGTAATCCTGAGGTGATGCTGCTTGCTTGTCGTTGTATTTCGAATTTGTTAGAAGCTATGCCGACTGCAGTCACAAGTGTGGTTTCTCATGGCGCCATTCATGTTCTTTGTCAAAAATTAAAATCCATTCAATATATCGATTTAGCAGAACAAGCTCTTTATGTAAAGTACTTTTATATTCTATTTTCTTTTTTTTTTCACTTTCTGAAATACACAAATTAATCATTCATATTATTTAGGCTCTTGAAAAAATTTCAGCACAACTTCCTCGTGCTGTTGTACATGAAGGTGGTCTTAGTGCAGTACTTATGTATTTTGATTTCTTTAGTATACATGCTCAACGTACTGCATTACGTACTGCTGCAAATTGTATGCGTGGAATTGATGCAGATGCATTCTCACAAGTATTAGAAGTCACTCCAACATTAATGAACACTATTACTTACTCTGATCGATCTCTCGTTGAATTAACTTGTCTGTGTTGGGTACGAATTTCAGAAAGTTATCGCACTAATAGAGAATTTTTAGAACGTGCAATCACAGTTGAGTTATTAAAGACCCTTTTCGGTTTAATACCGGTTTCTGGCAATTCAAATGCAGTACATCCAGCTGCTTTCCAAGATTTATTACGTATCTTTCGTTCTATATCAAAAGCCTCACCTCAACTCAGCTTTGAGTTACTCAAGTTAGGTATTATTGAAACCTTTTATTGTATTTTGACAGGTGCTTCATCTGCTACTGATTTCTCAAACACAACCGTTCATCCTCATCACCATATTACTTTGGATTCAAAATGGCGTGACTCTGTACCAAATATTATTAAGATTATCGTTGATTTATTACCTCCTTTACCTAAAGATACTATGTTCAGTTCGAGACGTTTTAAAGCAGTCGCTACAAACCATACCACAGATCGTACTACTCATTCTAATAATAATACCAGTTTAAGTGAATCACAATCTACTAAAATTGATCCTCGTATACAATGGTTCAATGATAACCCAGATATCCTTCTTAACTATGATCATGTCTTGATTCCGATTATTTTGGATTTGTACTCATCCACTGTCAATTTACGTGTACGGCAGTTAGTCACACATATATTAGTGAAACTTCTTCATTATTCTACTGTTGACACTCTTTCCAAGGTTTTGAAAAATATTTCATTATCCAGTTTCTTATCTGGTCTTCTCACACGTCAGGAGCATCCAGTTTTGATGATCGATGCTCTTTATCAAGTAGAGTTATTAATCCAAAAACTTCCTCAGCTGTATTATTCACTATTTGAAAGAGAAGGTGTACTGCATGAAGTGGAATCATTATCTAAATTACCATTTTCAGATGAGGAAGATCATCAACAACAATCCCAACAATCTACACAACTGAGTGAAGATAATGATGATGACTCGACTAATAGTAAGAAAGATGACGATTATGAGGAGGATAATAAAACCAATAGGGATAATAAAACAGCCAGCAAAAGATCATCTAGTGCTGAGACAGGAACCTCATCTGGTTTATTGTCGCCTACTTCATCTTCATCACAGCATAAAATGTTTGATAGTAATGATCTTCAGGCTATGATGCGTAGTCATCACTTTTTATATCATCAACAACGCTTAAGTCGTCATCATCAGCATCAGCATCAGCATCATCATAATCTTGAAAATGAAAAAGGTATAGGCCGTGGATCTACTCGTAAATATATCATTCAACTTGCTCAATACTTTGTCAATAATTATTTCAATAAGGAGCTTATATCTAAGGACGGTACAGCTGTAAAATCTGCTGGTAACAGTCTAAAGGAAATTACGAATTTTGCAAACAAATTCATATTGCCTACAAATGAAGACCCTGTCTCTAAACAAACTCTTGTGAAGTTATCAAACTATTTGCGTGAATCAGCTATGGGTATCAGTAGTTTTGAATTACTTAGCTCTGGATTATTGAAGGCGTTATTGCTTTATTTGACTTCCTCTGATATGCATTCTTTTAAGGCATCACGTGAGGACCGTATTCAATCATTTAAATTTGTCTTTGTAGAACAACCTAGCATTGATCATGATGGTAATAGTTCGTTCAAGAAGCTTGTTATTCGGTTACAAGAGATATTAAGTCGTTTTGAGGCATTTGATGTTGTTACGCCTCTTGAATCTTCCTCTAATGATGGCTTACGTAATCCAACCAGTATGCTGGCAAAACAGTTAAGATTAAAATTAACTGGAATTGGAAATAATATCCCATCTACCTATAAGCAATTAATGGTATCTACACATGCAGTTGCAACTTTTCGTGTACTTGAAGAATATTTATTAGCTCGTATTGGCGCTTCCGAAGAGAATGATGATACAGATGAAGAAGACGAAGAAGACGAGATTGAGGAACATTTATTAATTGAAGAGGATGATTTAAATCTCAGAGATGGTATGGATCTAGATAGTGATTCAAATGATGTTGATACAGAAATGAGAGATATTACTTTAGGAAGAGAAGGATCAGGTGAAGATGAAGAAGGTGAGGAAGAACCAGATGACAAGAGAAGAAACCAGAAGAAGGGATCTAAAGATGATGAATCATCATCACATTCAAGATCTTCAGGTAGTGGTAGCAACGTTAGTAAAAAAGAAAAAAAGGATGGTGAATGGAGGATACAATTTTCATTAAATGGTACTATCATATCAAATGATTCTACTGTTTATGCAGCGGCTCATCAGTATGAAATGAATTCTGAAAACCGCAGCAATCCCTCCTCTTTACTCATCACTCCTCAATCTTCGACTAGTCGTAATATCTGGCTGTCATCTTATCCTATCACTTATGAGCGTATTTGGGTATCAAAGAAGGAAGTCAATGAAAAGGAAATTAAAAAATCTTCTACTACAGTAGTTCGACAATTAGCTGATATTCCACAGCCCAAAGAATTAACAGAGGACTCTATTTGCTCCCAAGTTCTTCAACTTCTTAAAGCCTTATCATCAGTTATCAATAATAATAATAATAATTCAAATATGATGATTGCTCAAGACTTTATCAATCGCAAGTTAACAGCAAAAGCAAATCGACAGTTAGAAGAACCACTTATTGTTGCAAGTTCATGTTTGCCTACATGGTTATACTGGCTTATGAGTGAAGCTCCATTTTTATTCCCCTTTGAAGTCCGTTATCTCTTTATTCAAAGTACATCCTTTGGTTATGCTCGTTTAATTGCTCGCTGGCAAAGTCTACAGATGCGTAATAACACACAAAATGGAACTCGTACTGAATCTTCAGATCATCAACCTGTATTGGGTCGTATGGAGCGGCAAAAGGTGCGTATTATGCGTTCACAAATGCTGGAATCGGCTGTGAAAATTCTAGATTTATTTGGCAGTTCTCCTACTGTACTTGAAATTGAATATATGGGTGAGGAAGGTACAGGTATGGGTCCTACTTTAGAATTCTATGCCTCTACATCTAAAGAATTCAGCAGACATTCCCTTAATATGTGGCGTGGCTCTATTAAATCTGAAAAGGGTTATGTTAATGCACCTCATGGTTTATTCCCTAAGACGTTAACAAAGTCTAGCACAAGATCAGCAAAAAAAATTATTCAATTGTTCAAGACATTAGGACAGTTCATTGCAAAAGGCTTGTTGGATTTTAGAATTATTGATATACCTTTTAGTCCTGCATTTTTCAAAGTAGCTTTAGATCATGTTAAGCCTAGTCCAGAACTTTTAATGGTAACTTGAATATAATATGTATATGTCAAATGTAATCTATTATTCATGAATCTATATTATTAGGAAATTGATCCTCAATTAGCAAAGTCTATCGATACATTACAATCGTATATTAAACAGAAGCGAGAAATTTATGCAGATAACACTAAGGTTTGTTCCATATATTTAATAATAATCATTTATTTATGTTGACCTTTTGATTTTTACAAATATTAGTCTGCTAAAGAGAAATCCGAAGCTGTAAAAAATATTAAAGTAGATGGTGCTAAAATTGAAGATTTATGTCTTGATTTTATTCTTCCAGGTGATGACAGTTATGAATTAAAGGTAATACTTACTATTCTTGGTAGAAAAAACAAAAAAAAAAAAAAAAAAAAAAAAAAAGAGCCAACTAACATGTTTCATCTTTTCTTTTCTCCCCATATAGACTGGCGGATTAGATATACCTGTTACAATTAATAATGTAGAAGAGTACATTCATTTGGTTTTAGATGCCATTGCTGGTTCTGGTATTTCCAAACAAATAGCTGCATTCAGAGAAGGCTTTAATGGTTTATTTGCTATTGACGATCTCAAATTATTAACACATACAGAGTTAGTCTCCTTATTTGGAAAAGCAGAGGAAGATTGGAGTTATGCAGTGTTAACAGATAGCATTAGAGCAGATCATGGATTTACTATGGAAAGTGAGCCTGTTCGATATCTTTTTGAAATTCTTAGTGAATTTAATCAAGAAGAAAAACGACAATTCCTTCAATTTACAACTGGTTCGCCACGATTACCCATTGGCGGTTGGAAAGCTCTTCGACCTGTCTTTACTGTTGTTCGTAAAATCCCTGAAGCACCTTTAACACCTGATGACTATCTACCTTCTGTTATGACATGTGCAAACTACCTTAAAATGCCAGCATATACTTCAAAAGAAATTATGCGTCAGCGTTTCTTAACATCTATAAAGGAAGGACAAAATAGCTTTTTACTTTCTTAATTCCCCCCCTTTTATATATATATATATATATATATATATACATGGTATTTCATCTGATTCTCAAGACATTCATTATCACATCTATTTTCTTTCTCGCTTCTTTCCCCCTCCCATTATGCATATAGATATATGTATATCATATATTTATTACACCTGAAATTTCATTTACATACATTATATGTAGTATATTTATAGCAAAATTAAAATTCTTTAAACAATAATCATTGCAATATTATTATGAATGTCTTTATTGCTACCATTACATGTATATTGTTTTCTTTTATCAAAACATGAATTATTCAATAAATATAATATCTTTTTTTTTTTTTTTTTTTTTGAAAGAGAGAGAGAGACAGCATCATGTATATGACTATAGATTATTTATTAAGAAAAAGATGACAATATGCGTATTAATAGAGAAGAGGGAGGGGGAATATGCTAATACCATGCTTATATTATATTTCATCATTATTATATAAAAAAAAAATCAAGAATCAAGAATCAAAAATCAAGAGGTGGATTTTTTCACTTTTCGTTCACGATCATGGACCCATTGTAATTCAATAATATCTCTCCATAAGGTTGTATCTCTTCCAAAGGTAGTATCGATTGCATTCTTTGCTATTTCAATCCAATTCCCGGTACCGACATCATAAATATTTTCCAATTTTTTATTTACACCGATTAATTCCATTTCCACCAAGGCATTCCAGCTTGATCTTGCTAAAATGAGAGTATGATAGGAGACCTTTGGGTGTAGAGGAGGATAGATTAAACGATAGACAACGATAAGATAGGAGGCACAACGAGATGCCTCGACCCAGCTCCCCCTTTTAATTCGGTCAATTAAAAGAGACTCTGCAGCATGAATGGTAGCTAAAGAGAATGCAGGTGTATGAGGGACAGTTAATAAGGTATTGATGACGATCTTGATACATTGTCTTAAATAAGCTCTATCTTCCTTTGAGAACACTCTATAGGTACTCTCCCTCGGTAACAACTTTTTATCCTCTACAAAGGCGTAAAAGATATCAGGAGCTGCGATTCGACTTACAAAATGAGCAAATTGGGGTGGTTCTAGTACTTGAATAGATGACCAACTGTCCTTTTCCCTCATTTGAGCATGCTTGATCATATCCAGCACAGACCATGTCTTGATAGATCGACTCATGAGTTCCACTGCTTCCACCTCGGTTAACCCACATTCTTCACCTTTCTCTAAGGCTGCATCCAGACAAGATAATTCGCCCTGACAACGCATACACTGACATTCAAAATGGGGGCCAAATCGTTCCTTTAACTTTTGCATTCTTCTGGCTCTCGTATTGATGAGATCAACATAAGCAATCGTAATAGGCTCACCCGGTAAGATGTCCTCTATAGTAACAATATATTGTGTACTTTGTTTATAGAGTAGAGCTGCATTTGGACAACATGAGTGGTTAGTAAGAAGAGATGTCGCGGGGTATACTCCTATCGCCACTTGATCCAAGTGGTGTTCTGTATCTAAAATAGGAAATGAACTTAATTTGATTCGATGCCATAATAGATCCAAATCCTCCTGAGAGATCTGATAGTCAAAAAGTTTTAAAAATTCGGCCACATCTTGAACAGTTTGATTATTATTATTATTATTATGTTGTTGTTGTTGAATAGTATGGACCGGGACGTGTAAATTGAGGGCATGAATTGCGATGGGTAGTGATAAGTGTAGAGGTGACGATGATGATGATGATGATGATGACAACGATGATGATGACAACGATGATGATGACAATGATGATGATGACAATGATGATGATGACAATGATGATGATGACAGTGATGATGATGACAGTGATGATGGTGGTGGTGGTGGCGGAGAACACGAATTCTGCTTATTCAGACGATCATGACTGTGTAACACCAAAGCTGTCCTTTCCAATAACCACCGATCCGCATCGATGTCTTTATAAATATCTGTCTCTTGAGGCTCGCAAAGAACTCGATGAAAATGAAGCCAGGCGTTACGAAAGCATTCATTACTACAAAAATAGGCAGATCGACATCGAGAACAGCACTGAAGCTGTGCTTTTCGAAGACAATAATTACATCTTTGATGACGTTTTGAAGGTAACGGAACTGATGCTAAAGGTGCTTGAACAACTATAACTGTACCAGATTTAATATATTCCGCCGCTACAAATTTATCATTTTCTATATTTAATTTTCGATTTTCGTTAAGATAAAAATTAAACATTTGTCTTTAATAAATAAATAAATAAAAAAAAAAAAAAAAAAAAAGAAAGAAAAAGATAAAAAGCAGAATAAAAAAAAAAAAAAAAAAAAAAAAAAAAAAAAAAAAAAAAAGTAACCAACCAACAAAAGGAGACAAAAAAATAAAATAAAATGAATAATTAGAATTCAATGGGAAAACTATTTTCCTTTTACTAAGCAATTAAAATTTTTTTTTTTGATTTTTAAAAAAAAATTAGTAACTTTAAACACTTCGTAAATTAAAGTTTTAATATAAAATTTATGATAAGGGATCAATATGTTGAAGACAATCAAGGACCAAATAGTTATGTATCTTCACAATATACGCTAGTCTTCTATAACATATAATTGAATTAACCCTGTTTATAACAAGAATATTACTTCAGAAAAAAAAAAGGTTATATTTAAATAGTAATTTAACACTATCAATTATGAAAGATATGATGTGTATATCTGTAGTAGTTTCACTTTAAATATTATAGGGTAAATATACATAAGACTATCTATAACAGATATATTACTTATTCTTCTGAAATAGCTGTATAATAGAGTTAATTTATATATCATTTGTAAATATATAATCAACAAAAATACAGTAATAGCTCATCTATATCAACAATTATTATAATTCATTAGTTATAACATACAATTCCTTACCACATCAAGTAAGTTGAATAATATTTGATATAGAAGGACGATTTATATGAGCTTATATCACCAAATAATAAAGACTATGGAAGAGATACATTTGTGTATGTATTAATAAAACTTAAATTTCAAATCATGTACATAATTTATAAGCTATCTCTTTTTTTTTTTTTTTTTTTTTTTTTTTTTTTTTTTTCTGTTATCTTTCTAAATACACAAATTTGTTGATTTCAGGTGTCTTACATGTTTATATTGCAAAGATTAAATGTTTAGATGCATACCTACAGTGCAACCTGCCCAAGAGGTCATCTTTGTAATATATCATATGGATACGAAATAGTATGCATATCTAAGGATCATTCATGTAGAATTATACATTCAAAAGTAGCAATATACTACGCCATTTTATTTAACTAGGCAAAAGTTAAAAGTTTACACATATGATTCACAAGTATATATAATATGTTAATTTTATATGTCCCTTTTAGTATACTCTCTTTTGTTCTTTTGTTCTTTTCTTTTTTTTTTCTTTTTTTTCCTCTCTCATTATATAATAAACATGAAAATAAAATATCTTATTTTAGTGTTTATTTTACTTGTATCTTCATGTTCAACAACCCAGTCCGAATACACATATAACACTAGTGATTCTATCTACAAGTCCTCTTCCAATACATGTATTTCGTCTGATTCAAGTTGTTGGCCAACACAGTATGAATGGGATAACTTGAATAAAACTGTACATGGTCATCTTGTGGCAGTTATTCGGCCTGGAGAAACTTGCTATAAAAGTGGCCCTCATCATGATCCAGACCAATGTGATGCCTTTAAGAAAGGATACTTTGATGATATTCAGCGTGAATCTTATATTGGCACTATGCAAAACACAAATTGGGAGGATTGTGAAATGGTAAATAGTTGTCCTGTTGATGTGCTATCTCTACAGGACCTCTTATCACATCATAACCTTTCATCATGTTCTCAAGGTGGTTTACCTCATTATGCTCTTAATTCCACTTCACCTGACGATATTGCAACCGTCATCAGGTTTGCAGCAAAGCGTCATATTGCATTTAATATTAAGAATTCTGGGCATGATTATTTAGGAAGGAGTACCTCCCCTGATTCGATTACAGTCTGGACTCATTCACTTCAAAGGATCGAATTTCATACCTCATTCCAACCTGAAGGTTGCAACAAGCAGTTATCACATCAAGATGGATTCTTTACGTTAGGCGGTGGTGTAAAATGGCTCGATGCCTATCAGGCAGCAGACAGATATAATGTAACCATTGTAGGAGGCGCACAACCTGGTGTAAGCACAACAGGGGGTTGGTTACAGGGTGGCGGCCATTCGATCTTGACTCCAACATTGGGTCTTGGTGTCGATCAAGTTGTTCAACTTCAGGTCGTTCTCACAAATGGCTCCTTTATTACTGTGAACGCATGTCAGTACCCTGACCTCTTTTGGGCTCTTAGAGGTGGAGGAGGAGGTACATTCGGTGTTGTAACAGAGGCCACAGTGAAGACACATCCTTATGTTGAACTTCAAACTTTACATGTCGCCATCACATCTGATCTACCACATGCTATAAGGGCCCTTTTCCTTGAATTTGCTCGTTATGCACCATATTGGGCAGAAGATGGATGGGGTGGCTACCTTACATATCATGATAAGGGGATTGAATTTATTTATAGTAACCCACGTCTCTCTGTAGAGGCTGCAGCCGCGTCAGTAAAGCCATTTTTTGATTTTGTTAACGCTAATCCGCATACAAAATTCTATAATCAGATTCAATGGGATGCATCCAGTCAACCTGGCTTTTATCCATTTTATATGAATATATTAAATACAAAAAAGTTACCCATCGGTATACCCGTTCATACCTCTTCTCGTCTAATTCCACGTGAACTCTTTGCAACTAACGAGACGATCTCAAGGATGGTGGATGCAATTATGGAGGGAGCAAGTATAACTCATTCTGATATCTTGCCACCCATGAGTTTTCAAATCTTGGCAGTAACACCCTTTCATGTACAAGACTCAAAAGGAGAGACGTCAGTACAGCCAGCTTTCCGTAAAGCAGTATGGCATTTAATTTTTGGAGAGACATATAAGCAAAGTACACCACTGTCTGTTAGGAAGAAGATTATCAAGCGTGTTAGCAAAGCTGCAGACCCTATCCGTCGATTAACACCTGGTAGTGGGGCTTATTTTAATGAAGCAGATCTGTTAGAGCCCGTATGGCATCAATCCTTTTGGGGAGATAATTATGAAAGATTAGCAAAGATCAAAAAGAAGTATGATCCTACTCAATTCTTTAATTGTTGGAAATGTATTGGATGGAATGAGCAGATGTTGGTTGATGACAAGAAATACAAGTGCTATCGTAGTACAATTTGAACACATAAAAATAAAATAAAATCAAATAAAACTTATACTGCAATCCTTTTCTTCCTTTTTCTTTCTCTTTTTTCTTCTTTAGTTTACATTCCTTTTCCTCTCTTTTTTTTTCGTTTCGTTTCGTTTTACTAGTTATTATAAATATATATAAGATGGGATTTGGTTTAGAAAAGTGCTGTTGCCTCATTCCTTTAAGATTAGGGACATTCTTTATTGCTATTTGGTTTTTTGTAAGTTAATTTTGAGAAGAAATTTGTAATATGAAAAACTGCTGATATAAATAAATATAAGGCTATTTATTTTCTTTATTCTGCAACTGGATTTTTGGGTGTAAATGGTATAATAATAATCATATAAAGTAGGTTATAATACTTATTTGCTGTATAACATGTATTTGTGTGTGTGTGTAGCTATTGTGTTCTATTCAGGACAAGCAGCAAGGCCGTGGTATTACATAAACTTATTATTTTCAGTCTTCATTTGTCTTTGTGGGTTTTGCGGTCTTATTGGATCATGTTTTGTAACTATTCTTTTCAATGATTCTTAAGGAGGTGTTACAAAGATTTATTTTTATTTTTTATTGTAGTCGTCAAGAAAATTTTCAAAGGTCTTTAGTGTGATTGTGTGGATAAATGTTGATTTATCATTCCTTATCTATCTTATTTCATTCATATTAATCATTTCCAACTATAATCGACTTGTTAATTCATGTCAAGTTGTTGGCTTTGTTGGTATTGGAAATCCTCAACAAGAAATTACACCTGTTCAGCTTAATAATGAATATAATTATTATTCGCCTGTAAAACAATATCCTGGTTTATTTACTGAACATGCAGCAGACGAAAAGGCCTGTAAAAGTATGATTAAAAACTTAATAATTCTATTTGGAAGTCTTGTATTCATTATACAATTAATACAGGTACATTATACACGCATACATACATACATACATACATACATACATACATACACACACACACATATATATATATATATATATATTAAGCTAACTTTGGTATGTAAGGTCTACTTTGCTTATGTGGTCAGTGCTTATGCTAAACGTCTAACAAATGGAGCCCGTCATCATAGATTACATGATCAGCAAATAAAAGAATTTGAGGAATCAAGATACAATATGTCAACTGTTTACTAAGTTAAAATGTATGTGAATGCAATTATATGCACAGATATGCAAGTGATTTTAATAAATAAAATAAGGACTTTTTTTTTTTTATAATTGTTGTTTATTTTCATACATAATATAGGGAACGCGAAAAAAAAAAATTATACTTTTTTTTTTTTTTTTTTTTTTTATTTATTTATTTATTTATTTATTATACACATTTATATTCAAATGACCGCAAACAAACGAAAGCAAATCGAATCATCTTCATCTGAAGAAGAGTATGAAGTTGAACACATTGAGTCTCATCGTATTGTTCATCAAGGATCAAAAGTAAGCTAAAATGAAAAAATGGTTTAATCTTAATTTGCATTTACTGAAAAAAAAAAAAAAGAGAAAGCCAACTCTTCAATATCTAATCAAATGGAAGAACTATTCTGCAAAGGACAACACTTGGGAACCTAGCGATGCAGTGTAACTTATTTTTATTTTAGTCTACTTAATATGTATAAAATGTCTTAAACTATTTTATTCTAATAGAGCTAATGCTCCTGATTTAATCGATGAATACTGGGCAACTAGAGGTGGGGAACAAAAACGTGAGGAAGTTTTTAAACAGTTAGAAGGAAAATCAAAAAAGACCACTAAAGTAAAAGCTGATCGTCATTCTCCCACTAAAAGAAGTAGAACAACTAGACAACGTGAAATTAAATCAGAAGAAGAGGAGGAAGAAGAAGAAGAAGGAGAAATAAAGGAATCACAAGAAGAAAAGGAATCCCAAGAAGAGAGTTTAGAAGAGGAAAAAGGTAGTTTTTTTCTTTCTTTCAAGGTTTCTTTTATTTTTTAATATTTGAAAATGCATTATAATTTACATTTGGTATACGTGTTTAGAAAAAAAAGTTGACGATTATTATGAAAGTGACGAAGAATTAGATTACTCTGAAACTGAAATTGAAAATGAAAGTTTCAGACTTAAAGGCAATTGGGATAATATTAAAAAGATTGAGCATGTTAGACCCTTTAGTGATGATGACAAGACATTATATGCTATTGCTCGATGGTAACTTTATTGCTTATGTATATACCATATTCATTTTTTATTTAAATTGACACAATCTTGTTTAGGTCTGATGGTAAAATAGCTAAATACAAGACATCTGTTATTGCAAAGAGATGCCCTATGAAGGTAACTAATTAGACATGTTTTATCATTTATGTTTACTTATAACATTATGTGTTTAGCTGATTGAATTCTATGAAAAGAGATTAATATTTGAAAATAACAAGAAAAAATAACTATACACCATTGCTTTATTATTAAAGTCTCTGTTACTTTATGATATTTATCAAATAATAATAAAACTGAATAAATCATACTATTTTATAGTGGGCTCTTAAAGAGTATATTTAATGTTAAAGATAGACTGAAGTAGAGTAGGATAAAAAGAAAATAAAAGCCTCTTCAGGAAATATGAAGTTATAAGCTCATTTAAAGCTTTTCTGGGGATAATGTTCTTTGTCTTGCTTTCGTATCTCATTTATCCCCCTTTATAATTTTGGGATAAGAATATAAAGCTGCTTGTTTCAGGATACGAACTAACTACTGCAAGCTTGAAATTGAAGGTGTTTGTTGAATTTATTAGAGAAAGAGAGAGTAATGTAGTCCAGCTACTTATTGCATTTAGGTTTCTATAAACTTGAAACTAATATACACGACTACTAGGCTTTGATAGTTCTGCTTTGTCTTTGACAGCATGCATGTATACCCCAGAGAAGATGCAACAAAATAAAGTAAAAAAAAAAGGGAATCTAATCTATCTTATTATTGCCTCCTCTCTAGTATACTAGTATTAAAAGGCAATAAATAAACTGTAGATTGTATTATTATTATTATATGTGTATATGTATATGTGTGTATGTGTGTGTATGTGTGTGTATGTGTATGTGTATGTATGTGTATGTGTGTGTATGGAGGGGAATATGATGAAATATATAAATATGATACAAATATTCTATTCTATTCTATTCTATTCTATTCTATTCTATTAAATGCTATGTTTAGGCTGAAGGCGCTACTACTATTTCTTTTCGATTTATGGTTGATGAAGGGACAGTAGCATGTTTTACAATTATTTCAACATGATTTGCAGGAAAGTAGCCCATTCTACCATTCTTTAATCTACCTCGCCACCAATGAGGATCCTCTTTAGAAAGAATAGCGATTAAATCATTAGGCTGTAAACTTAATTCATTTTGTGATTCTGCACGAAAAGGATATAAAGCCCGGGCAAAGTCTAATTTTTTAGGATCTATTTTGACAGATTTTCCACGAATTTTCTTTTTTCTCTCTTCTTTTTTTTCCATTTTTTGTTGATATGTTGAGATTAGATGAAGGGCGAAGGGTGCTAGGGTTAATACAATAAATAACACAAAGGATACTTTTGTTGTTGATGATGTATTATGTTGATATTTTTGAAATTCTTGTATTGAAAATAATGAAGTTCTATGTACTTTTCCCCCATTTTGTAATGATAATAATCTCTGTTTTATCCATCGTAAAAATGAAAATAATCCAAAAATATGAGCCAATGAATGACAACGATTTGTTAGTTGTAAGATAGCGTTTATCCCAGAGTGAGTAGCAACTAAAGTAGTTTCCAAGGTATATGCTAAATGATGGCATGTATGAATTAATTTTTCCATTGATTCAAATAATGCGGAAGGTGGTTTATTATTTCTACGAATCATGTTATTTCTACCGTAAATAGGATAGTAGCAGCCTATGAATACGATTATTAATCATTTTATTATAAAGCAAACTTAATCATTTGTCTCACTTACCACTTGAATAGTTCATCTTTAAACAAGAAAGTAAAGGAAAAGAAAGGAAAAGAAGAAAAGAAGATCAAGATGCTGTATAATTTAAAAGGGAGGGGGGCAGCTTAAATTTAAAGAGTTATGTTTCTTATAAATTATAATAATTTCGACAAGACATTTTCGGTCGATTTTATTTGCTTTGATGTTGGAGAAAACCGGAAAACAAAAATAAAATGAAATACAGCACCTTTACTTTATTTCCTCTCACTCCTGCTGTTCCCTTTTTCTTTCTTTCCTTTTTTAGACATATCTTTTATTCTACAAGTATCTAAATATATATATATCATCCTCATATAGAGTATATAAACAGATCTGTCAAAAAAAAAGCAACAAAACACAACAACAACAACACTAAACGGAGTTTAAAATAATAATAAATAAAAAACTCTTTTGATCCGTCTTGATTAAATGAAACTGTATTGTAGATGAGACTAAATTTTACCAATAAAAAAGGTGATCCATGTTACCCTTTTAAACATAGTAGATAATAATAGCATCAGTAACTTCGATTATCTTTTTTTTTTCATTTATTTCTATCTTTCTACTTTAAACTGACTAATTCTATTTAATAGTTCAAAAGTCAAAGGTGACAGTTATAAATATAAAAATGACTAAAAAAAAATGAATAGTCACAATTTTTTCTTTCATAAAAATAAATAAAAATCTAGACAATAACAGAAATTTTGATAAAATAAAGGCATAGTGATCAAAAAAAAAAAAAATAAAATAAGAGAAAGAGGTAGACGTAAGCTCTTTTATATATTTATAGATGTATAATTTTTTTTTTAATTCATTTAAAATATGAAATACATTATTAGAAAATAAATAAACTTTTAAAAAATAAAATAAAAATAAAAACCGTCCACTTTTGTTGTATCACTTAAAATATTAAGGAATTTTAGAAAATCAAGAATTCAACTACTGTAAACTTCTGCATAACGAGAGTAGAAGAATTCTACATCCCAAAAACAACAATGCTTAGGACTGCAATTTTTTTTTTCTTTGCAGCATACAAGTAACAAATAGGAGTTTGATTTGTCCGAGAATCTCAACATTTCAAACCACGACGCCTAGCTTTTTTTTTTTTTAGAGGAGAGAGAATCCAACAAAATGATTGAAAGAAGAAGCAATATAGCGAATCCTTCTCTTTTCTAACTGACAACATGGATACTCTTACTCTCCGCGGAACACTTGAAGGTGTGTGAGTTTACATTAATGAAGAGAACATGATAAAGGATTACAAAAAGTTATATGTGTTCAAAATCGATTAATTATTGAAATGGATGGATGGATGGAAAGGAGGGATATACTTCAAAAAAAAAAAAAACTCGAGAAGCATGTAGCAACTATTTTAGACAATAAAATTACTTATGTGGCAGCGACTATTCTAATATGCAGTATAAACACTATGGTTACATATTTTCAGTTCTAACTTTATTTCAACCATTTACATATAACTTGATGTATTCTTTATTTACTATATTTATATATGTGTATAATGTTCTCTTCATTAATTTGAATAACGATGTTGAAATCTGTATTACTAAATTATTCTTTTTTTTTCCTTAAAAAATTGAATTTATAACGTTATATAGGTCACGGTAACTGGGGTAAGTTACTTTAATAACTTCATTAGAATTGAATGACTCAATAATTTACTTACTTGTCTATAGTCACTGCCATTGCCACTACTTCTGAGGCCCCTGATATGGTTTTGTCTGCCTCTCGTGATAAGACCATCATTGTTTGGAACCTTACTAGGTACATTAAATCAACATAATAGTGTGTGTGTGTGTGTGTGGTGTTTTATACTAATTCATAAATTAAATAGAGATGAAATGAACTATGGTGTCCCTCGTAAGTCTCTCGTCGGTCACTCTCACTTCATTGAAGATCTTGCCATTTCTTCTGATGGTCAATTCGCTTTGTCCGCTTCTTGGGATAAGACTCTCCGTCTTTGGGACTTGAACAGCGGTACTACTACTCGTCGTTTCGTTGGTCACACTAATGATGTCTTATCTGTCTCCTTCTCTGCTGATAACCGTCAAATCGTTTCTGGTTCTCGTGATAAGACTATCAAGTTGTGGAACACCCTCGGTGAATGCAAGTACAACATCACTGAAGATGGTCACAGCGAATGGGTTTCTTGTGTTCGTTTCTCTCCTAATCCTGCTAACCCTCTCATCGTCTCTGGTGGTTGGGATAAGCTTGTTAAGGTTTGGGATTTGACCAAGATGAAGCTTCGTACTAACTTCATTGGTCACAATGGTTATGTTAACACCGTCACCATTTCTCCTGATGGTTCTCTCTGTGCCTCTGCTGGTAAGGATGGTGTTGTTATGCTTTGGGATTTGAACGATGCCAAGCACCTTTACTCTTTGGATGCTGGATCTGTTGTTCATGCCCTTACCTTCTCTCCTAACCGTTACTGGCTCTGTGCTGCTACCGCTAACGGTATTAAGATTTGGGATCTTGAATCCAAGACTATTGTTGACGATCTTCGTCCTGAGTTCGCTCAATTGGGTAAGAGAAAGAACCCTGATCCCGAATGTTTGTCTGTTTGTTGGAGTGCTGATGGTGCTACTCTCTTCTCTGGTTACTCTGATAACATCATCCGTGTCTGGCAAGTCACCCGTACTCTTTAAGTTATATAAACAACAACAATAATAATAAAAACTAAAAAGAGTATCCTCCTTTTTTTTTTCCCTGTTTTTTCTCTCTTCTTTTTTCCATATATATAACATATATAAAATGAAATAAAATATATATAAATAGTATACAAAAAAAAAAAAAAAAAAATACGAGAAAGAGAAAGAGAAAATGTCTAAAATTTTAATAATCTATGAATATACATGTATAAATCTCTATGTGTAAATTGAAATATGCTGTTCTTTTTATACACGACAGTTTGTGAAAGGAGTGACCATGATATCGGTTGCCCCACAGTCTGTCAATCTATCTAAAATATCACCTTTCTCCTTTTTGCTAATCATTGCTGAAACAGCGACCCAACCCTCGAGAGAATCTAAAGAAGAAACAGTAGGACCAAGACGACCAGGTGTAATTTGAATTGCATTTGCTAGATTAACACGTTCAATATTATATGTGCACAAGACATATTTGTTGGCTGTAATCACACCACGTACACGAGATGCAATCTTTTCAATCAATTCAGTGTGTTTCGATTTCTTATTAGCAATAAGTACAGATTGGGTTTCCATTAAATCATAAATGTCATGAAGGCCAGCAGCACGCATTGATTCACCCGTTTCAACAAGATCAACTTAATCATAAAGTAAGCAAAATAAATAAAATAAAATAAAATAAAATAAAATAAAATAAAATAACAATAAATGTTATTACCTATACCGTCAGCTAAACCAAGTGCACAAGCAGCTTCAACTGAACCTGAAACATGCTTAATGATTGTCTTTTTACCTGCCTTTTTATCCAAAGGTTCAAATAACTTGGTGGTACAATGAACGAAACTCGTAACGATACGCTTGCCAACTAAGGATTCTAAAGTTTGGCATTCACCTTTCATAGGTACCTCAATCGCCAAACGACATTGACCAAACCCGAGTTTTTCAACTTCACGTACCTTATCTTGAGCTTCACTTTCAACTACAATATCTTGACCAGTGATACCAAGATCAATGTTACCCTCACCTACATATTTGGCAATATCTGCGGCAGGTAAAAAAATAAGGGCAATAGGCAAGTTGGTGCAAAGAGCAATATCTTGTCGTGAACTTCTATTGAAATGAATATCGCATCCTTTTAAAAGATCAATACAGGCTTGATAGATACGTCCCTTTTTTGGAACAGCAAATAGTAAACGGTCTTCGAGGTCTTTAACAAACTCCATTATTTTTTTTTTTTTTTTTTTCGAAAAAAGGGAAAGAAAAACAAAAAAAAAAAAAAAAAAAAAAAAAAGAGTGGTCACATGAATAAATGAAACCTTGGCCCTTTTTTTTTTCTGTTGTCCAATTAAAACCTTATATTTAAAAAGAGCAAACAATAACTGATTTTTTAAAAGGAAAAAAAAAAAAAGGTGCTTGCACATATCAATGCTTTACATATTAAAAGATTTACTTTTCTTTTATAAACTACGATTGATTTATTCACTGCACACTCTATCTTATAATCTTGTTGAATAACAATTTTTAATTTATAAAAAAAAAAGAAGAAGACAGAGTGTAAGCATAGTTAATATGACTCATTATTTAGCGCTCATGTTTCAACAGCGAATAAAAGAATTGTATGAAGAAAGAGAAATGAGAATTAATTCCTTTAATGAGACTCATTCTGTATAAGAAGATAATATATCCTTTCATTTGAACTCATTAGTGTAAGATGTTATGTTTAGTCTGCATAATGAGTAGGCTATCAAAATTCCCTTTTTTTTTTTTTTTTCTTAGGCTTTCTTTACTGTGATACGATAAAATATAGTGTTACAGTACCCTAATTCCTCTCATTTTTCATTTAAAAAACAAAAAAAAAGCACTTAATGATTCACTCTATTATTATACTTTTCCTCTTTTCCTTTCTCTCGTTTCCTTTATATACATATACATATATATTTATTTTTATTTTTTTTTCTTCTTCTTCTTTTTCTTTGGTGATGACTATTAATATAGCTACCAATAAGGAAACAACCTTAGAAAATAAAAGGAAAAAGGCTTCTAGAGCTTGTTTTCATTGTCAACGAGTATATAATATATTTATTACATATTGCCTTTTTTTTTCTTCCTTACGATCTAATATATAGAAATATATTATATAGGCGCATTTGACATGTGATGATTGTAAATTATTATATCCATCTTCGTTTATTCTTTGTTTATAATATTCACATGCATATTCATTTCATATCATATAGCCAGACCTTGTCAGAGATGTATAAAAAGAGACTTGGCAAATACATGTGCAGATGCTGTTAGAAAGAGAGCAAAATATTTACAAGATATACTTGAAGATGAATGTAAAAATATATATGTATATACTTTTATATTACATGATAAATGTAGCCTTTTAATATTATACATGTGTATGTATTTAGTTTTTTCAAATACATCATCTACCAGTAGTACACCTATTCTGACTTTAGATAATGATCGTCAAACAGTACAAACAAGCTCTCTTAATAATAACAATGACTTATCATCAATAGGTATACATTTTTACTAGTATAAATAAAATGTAATGCTATATCATTTATATATACATATAGATTCTCAACAACACTATACTGTAATGGAACCGATTACAGCTTCTATAGTTAACACCAACGATAACAATCTATTATTTGATTTCTCACTTCCTAATCTTGGATTTGTTTCAGAGGCAATAGAGTTAGAATACGGATTCTTAAGTAACATGTTACAGAACCCATTACTTACAGTATCTCCAAATAACATAATACCCACCACCACTGCCACTTCTTCTTCTTCTTCTTCTGCTGCTGCTACTTCTACTGCTACTGCTACTTCTACTTCTACTTCTACTGCTACTACTGCTACTATGACTACTACACCTATCATTCATCATTATTCAACTACTAACACTACTACTATCAAATCCCCTACCAGTATTTATGCAGAACCTTACACTACCTCCTTTTTATTATATCAACAAAATAAATTATCACCTACTACGAATAGTAACGCAGTTAAGAAAGCAAGAATTACAGGAAGACGAAAAGGAATTGGATATACACCTAAAGAAGCTTATCAAAATGTGGAAAGTCCATTTAATTATGCCGAAGGGTTTCATTATCTTATTCAATATGTTAAAGAAAAGTAAGTTAAATATAAGTATGTACCTAATTTTTATTTATTTATTTATTTATTTATTTATTATGATTATTTATTATAGGATGAGTAATGATGATTTAATGAAGATCAGTAGAGCACTCGCCTACTTTCGCCCCTCCTTTCTAGCATTGATTATGAATCTAACTGAAGAGGACTTAATATTCATGGAAAAATGTATACAACGTACTTTATTAGAATATGAAAAGCTCATAAGCTTCTCGGGGACACCAACGGTAATTTGGAGAAGAACAGGAGAGATATGTTTAGTTGGAAAAGAGTTTTCTTTATTAACTCAATGGACAAAGGACATGTTGTTAGGAAAGAGAATTTATATTTATGAGGTACTTTATAGAATTAGAATTAGAATTAGAATATTTATTCATTCCTTTTTTTTTTTCAGTTAATGGATAGTCAATCAGCAGTTGAATATTGGGAAAAATTTGCTACACATGCTTTTGACAATGCAGATAAATCTTGTATATTCTCTTGTATTGTCAAAACACCTCAGCAAACTTCTGTTCCTTGTACATTTTGCTTTACCATTAAACGTGATATATTTGATTTACCAAGTGTCATTATTGGCAATGTAAGGGAAAAAAAAACAAACAAACAAACAAACAAACAAACAAACAAACAATGGATACATAGTATTCAATATCTTTTTTAACATGTATATAACTTGAATTTATATAGTTCTTACCCATACTGTGTTAATTGTGCATATTAGACAAGTGTAAAATATAAATATGAACAAATCTATCTGTATTTCTTTATATTTTAATATGAAAAGAAGCTTTACTTATATCTCCTATTTTACATTATATTAGGCCCTTTTTTTTTTAGCTATATATATATATAAGTTAATACAAATATAAACTTTAATATACAATACATATTACAATTTAAATGAAGTAGTTGAAAAGAAAAAAAAAAAATTACGTTTATTTGTATGTGTGTGTATACATTTATATTTTATACATGCTTTTATATATGATAATCTTTTACTGTTACATATAAATATAACTTTCTCTTTTTTTTTTAATAAATATATACTAATTGATGACATAAAAAGAAATAATATTAAAAGACAATACAGAAGTATTTTAGTAAAAATATAAGGAGCTTCTTCTTTTTTTTTAAAAAAAAAAAATGAAAAAAAAGGAGAGGGGAGTAATTGAGGAGAAAGGGAAAGGCGGGAGATATGAAAAAAAAAAAGACAATATGTGTAAACTCATTTTTTTTTTCTTTTATGTACTTTCATCATCTTCACCATCATAAATATCCCATTCAATTGGAATAATGCCCTTGTTGTAATCACTTTCGAGTTGTCCCCAAACTGCAGGTGTAAGATCCAGACAACCTATTGATATTATATGTTAGAATATATACACATAAATATGTAAAATGATATTTATGGGCTAGGAGAAACTATTTACCTTTTTTACAAGCAGGACAAGCATCTGTAACAGTAGCAATAGTACATTTACCTTTACTACAAATCTTGAGTTTCTTTCCACACCAATGACTTTTCTTGTTCAGATTGCCATATTGCACAGCATTCTATATTTTTTATATAATAATATTTAAAAAAAAAAAAGGAGGGAGAGAAGGGTAGGGGATATATAGAAACGAAACTTACCATGGCTACAATTTGTGAATTTTCATCAGCATAAGGTCCACAAGCGCCTTGAGCTCCACCTTCAGATTCAGGATCAAAAAAAGTACCAATACCATGGTGAAGTAACTTTTTAACTGTGTTTACAATATTACCAGCCAATCCTCTTTCTGTAAGAGGCCTTGCCGATGTGAAAGCGAAAAGGAACACCATGAAATAAGATATTAAAAATTGGATCTTCATGCTATACATATATATAAATGTCTATATCTATTTTGATTTTTTTTTTTTGAAGCTTTGGTGACAAATTTCACGCGAAAGAAAAGAAAAGAAAAAAGGATTGAAGAAAGAAGAGATAAGGAAAGAAAGAAAGGAAGAAAGAAAAAAAGATGAATGTTTTATATGAAAAAAAAATAAAGGAGATATTAAATCAAGAATATAAAGAAGTAAAAAAAAAAAAAAAAAAAAAAAAAAAAAAAAAAAAAAAAAAAAAAAAAAAAAAAAAAAAAAAAAAAAAAAAAAAAAAAAAGAGAGAGAGAGAGAGAGAGAGAAGCAAGGGGGTAAAGTCAAAATTAGTTAGTTATGCGCGTGAGTGCAAGAAGTAAAATAGGAGAGTGGAAGACAGAATTAGAATTAGTTGATAAGAGAAAGGTATATCATTGTCATAAAAGAGGTTTGTTTTACCCAAAACACCTGCAGTCAATTTACTTTTTGTTTTTAATTTGTTTCATTATTGTGCAGAATAAGATGAGAACTTTTTTTTTTTACCCTATTTCTTCATATACTCTATTCTTCTTTGATATCTGCCTCCTTCACTCAGTAATATTAATAATATAAAAAAAAATTGTTTTTTGTTGGTTTTGAGTGACCTACGATACCTCCTCTTCTATGTATTCTAACGAACGAACATAAAATGTGTGAAATATACAATCCAATTATATTTAGTAGCGTTAACTTTAAATTAAATAAGCCAGTTTACTTGATCTGCATTCATTGTTAATACGAAAAAATCCTACTCTTGATCCCCCTCCTTTATTTTCTGTGTAATATACAGACAAGCTTCAACATTATTTAAAATGACAATATGCGTAACTGACATAAAAAAATTCTTTGTTATTACATTATAAGAAACATATAAGCAAGTCTATCCCATACTTGAGTGATTAAAGCGAAATTAATATTGCATTAAACGAAGACTCTTATTTTTATGTTTGTCATTTTAAATGTATTTTTTTTCTTTTTGTTTAGTTTCATTTTTTATTTTAAAATGGAATGTTATATCATTGTTTACCAATTCTTGATATAATAACATGTACCTTACGATTAGCACTTTAAATATGTATATGTATATGTATATGTATATGTATATAAATGTGTATGTTTAAAATGGTTATAGACATGTAAATAATTGAAATATCAAATACAGGTCTTTTAATGCTTTTTAATATTTATTTAAAGATTGCTACTAAAATGTGAACAGACCTAAAAAAGGAAAGAGAAAGTGGGAGAGGTAAGGGAAGGGGCAGTATTAAACTGTTTAGAGTAATAATTGAGTGAGTGAGTGAGTGAGTGGGAGAAATAGAAAAAGATATGAAAACAGGTTTTATATACAAAATAAAGTATGCGTGCTTTGGTAAATAAATAGAAAGACAATAACAACTTTAAATGTTTGAACAGTTTTACATGGATGCTACATGATAAATGAAAGGGATACAGTATGGCAACTCAAAAGAAAGTTTGCTTCAAACATTATACATGGATCAAATAGAATGAATCGAGTGATACCATGTGCCTATTATTATATGTGACTAGTTGATCTTTTTTATGTATGTCTTTCTAACGTCCCTTTTCTTTTTCCTTTTTCAGTGAAAAAAAATATTTTCATTATTATAACTTGTAATATATAATTTTGATCTTTGTCTATATTTTGATTTTACTACAATTACGCCCTTTTTTGTTTAAACAAATGACAGGTTGACTCACTTGTATATATATACACTATCTCGATAGTTTATATATATGTATGTATGTATGTATGTGTATGTGTATGTGTATGTGTATTTTTATTTTTATTTTTATTTTTTTATTTATTTATTTGGTTATACTATCAAAGTAGTGAAAAAAAAAAGCAGTATGATGAACTATTTATATGACAAGTACATATATCAATCGTACATGTTCCTATATATCACACAAAAACTGATACATACATATATGTATATACAAGTAGTATCAGATGATATCCTTTATATACTGTTACTTTACCAAAGTAGATCATTACTGCTCTTTAGATATGTTTGTTCAAGATACAGTAATAAGTACTGAATTTTTACTAAAAAGCATGCACATGTTTATATATTTAAAAAATAATAACTTTTTATACATGTATTGAAAGCAACTCTAGTTTTATCTTGAGTATAATTAGATTTTTTTTTGTACATAAATGTGTAATACATACTTACCGAAGATGAAAATGATGTGTAATATTTTCATTAACATAAATCTAGGCTCCTGCATATACATTGCATATCTTTGAAGAGATATTCTTTACATACTTTTATTTATTTTTGTTTTGTCGTTGTATATACTGATAACGAGGAGACATATTAGCGTAAATAATTAGTTGTATTACTTATCAGTATATAAATCATATATATATATATTGAGTAAGGTATAGTATAAATAAAAGCATATACATATATAGGTACATGAAAAGTAATGTATTCTATTAATAATAGAGTATATACATATATATATATATATATATATATATATATATATATATATCAGCAAGTTTAAATTCAAATTTGAGGTTCAAAAGAATAAGCAACAGCTATAATTATACCTATTCTATAAAACAAAATTGTAATATTAAGATAGGCAGATGATTGTATATATATATATATATATATATTGAATAAAAGTAGGTACGGCTATTAAGGCAAGATGTAGAATATATATATATCTATAAAATCGGAATGAAGGATAGTTTCAACAATGAAATGTATGATAATAACTAAGCAAACATGTGCGCTTTCTATATTATTCAATAAAATATATGTAAAAGTAACGACAATACGACTAAACTTGAACTCCATCAAAGGTAAAGACGATTTTGTTTTTTTTTATAATAATACTTGCTGAATGAGTAGAAACGAAATGATTAAAAAAGTAACTATTCCTTTTTTTTTTTAATAGATACAACTATCTCAGTAATAGGAATCTTGGCAGGCATTTAAAAAGAAGACCAAGTCGCGAGCTGTCAGTGAATGATCAAAAATTTTATATACTAGATTCTAAATATTTCCATTAAATGCCATAAAATGATGCAAATTTTATTAGATAATTTAGTCACTATAATCAATTGATAAGCTTTTTGCTTATATATATATATATATATATATGTAACTATAAACGTTTGCCCATATAATAGCATTTAGAAGACATACAGGGAAAATTTAAATACAAATGAATTAGCAAGAGACTTAATTAATGTCATAACGTATTGACTTGTTTAAAGTCTTGGGCTGTCATTTTGGGGGAAATGAATGACCAGTTTGCCAAACTGATTTCCTTGACTAAAATACAGAAAAATAAGTAAGTGTATTATATTCATATAATAATAATAATAATAACCTCATTGTAGCTATAGCCTCATCAATAGATTGGCTATTTAATCCATTCCAAACTTTTGATACAATGGGCTTAATTTTTTTTTCTTCTACAAATTTAACCATCTCCTTGAATTCTCTTCGAGAACCCATAGTAGATCCACGAAGTTCGATATTCTTTACAACAAGTGACATCATATAATGGATACCACTTGTATCTGCAGTCTGACCATAATTAACAATTATACCACCTTCTTTCATTACTTTATGAAATTGTTTATAAAGAGGCCCACCTGCACCATCAATCACTGTAGACAAAAGGTTTTTACCTAATAATTTCTTTAACTCTGCGATACAATTTTCTAGAATACATATAAAAAAAAAATGTGAGTATTATATATAAAGATAATTCCTATCTTATACACACACACATACACACACTCACACTCTCTCTCTCTCTAAGAAAATGAAATGCAAATAATAATACCATCTTTATAATTAATGCCTCCTTTAGCTCCTAATTCAATTGCCCTTTTAATTTTCTCGGGACTAGATGAAGTAACGTAAACATGTGCACCAACAGCAACAGCAAATTGAAGTGCAAATAGAGCAACACCACCGCCAATGCCAGTAACGAGAACATAATCTCCCTTTTTAACTAAACCTTTTGTAAATAAAGCTCTATAGAATACGCAGTGAATATTAAAGAAAAAAAAAAAAAGAAAAAAAGAAAGGAAGAAAAAAAAAAGATTCTAACCTATAAGCTGTCAAACCTGCTAAAGGTAAAGCAGCAGCTTCAACAGTTGAAAGATGTTGAGGACAAGGTACAATATCCTTACTATCAAATAAGACGGGTTCCTCAGTTAATGTACCTGGTAAAGGTAATAAGCCCAAGATATAAAAATCATTTTCAGGACCTCTCTCATCTGATTCCCAACCATAACCAGGATTGATTAAAACACGTTCTTGTGTATTCACTATATAACCAACTGCATCGGATCCAAGAACAGATCCTGATTTAATACCACCATACATACCCTTTAAAATCCAAATATCACTAAATATATATATATATATATATATGTTTGAATAAGTCGACCTCTTTATTCATATATATATATACATATATATATCCATATATGCTATTTACCGGTGATTTAAAGCAGCAGCTTGAATTCTAACAAGTGTTTTTTGTTGGCTTGCTGAAGATGGGGTAGAAGCATTCATGTTTTTTTTTAATTCAAGTCCATATTTAAACTTGGTTTCCGTTGTTGCATTTTCAGAAAGGATAACAGATACCATTTCTCTTGTTTTATTAAAAAAAAAAGAAAAAGAAAAAGAAAAAAGGAAGATTTCAAATCTAAAATTCATTTTTTAGTCAGCTTTTTTTTTAGCATGCGAAAAAAAAAACTAATAGTATCAAAATGATAATGCATGGTCGGTTAAATATTCGCTTTGTTTTTTTTATTATTATTATGTTATGTTATATATTTTTTTTTTAAAAAAAAAGTAAATGTAATATATAAGTTAATGATTAATTATATATTATTTGTCTTATCTTTCTTTTTAACTTGAAACTTTTCTGTTTCTATATAATTAATTAGATGATGAAGGAGGGGGAGGTGGTGGTGGCGGAGTAGTAGCAGAAGATGGAGGTGGAGGTGGAGGTGGAATTGCAGCTGTAGCAGCCGTAGTAGAATTACTACTATCAGCAGTAGTAGAAGCTGCTGGTGGAGGAGGTGGAGTAGCTGTAGAATCTGTGGATGAATATCCATAATAATTATAGTAACTATTAGGATCATATTGCTGATATCCCTGTCCATAATAACTGCTATAATAGTTATTATAAGCTTCATAATCATATCCTCCTGGTGTAGAACCCGATGCATCTGAATTAGGTGTTGATGTTGCTGTTGTAGATGGCTGACTATACCCATTATAAGGACTACTATACTGTATAATTTAAATGCAAAAAAAAAAGGAAAAAGAAAAAGAAAAAAAAAAAGAATCAATATTAGTTAGCAAGAGAAAGTTTACGGAATGTTAGTACAATTAATATTGTTTTTATCTACATATACTCTCTTTATATATATATACATATATAGATAGATATATAGATATACATTTGTATATATTATAGTATTGAATTTTATTATTCTTAACAGTGAAACTTACCCCATTATAACCTCCACGAGCAGGTGCAGGATATGCTCCTCTTACATAACCATAATTTTGTGGAGGTCCTCTTTCTGCTTCTGCTTTAACAGTATCAAGTAAATCCTGTGTTAGTTTTATACCAGCTTCCAAGCCTTCTTCTCTTAAACATCTATAAATATATATTTTTTTTTAAAAGAAAAAAGAAATAAGTATAATATTACAATATAAAGTAATTGCATATATAATACTTACGAAATATGAACATGTAAAGGCTCATCTGATTCAACACCTGTACTGGCTTCATAGAAACCAGAACCTCTTCCCTTCAATTGAACTCGACACCCTGTTTCTTGTTGAATATGTTTAACAAATGCACCATTTGGTCCAACAATTTTAGCTCTCAAGTTAAAATGAGGTGTGCCTTGAATATCAACGGGTAATCTTTTTTCAAAAAACTTTCTTTTATGTGCATCAGGCTTTTCATCTTTGTTAAATATACCGGTTGCTAGTGTAGGTACTTGGGTTGTTTCAATTAATTCTTGAATCTTTTTAACTGCTTTATCTAACGATTCTTTAGTAGAGGCTGTAATATGTAAATAAAGTGGGGGTTCTTTATCTGTTGCTAATGATACATCAGGATAATACTTTCCACGAGTAATTACATCTATCCCATTATAAAAGTAAGTCAACTATTTTAAAGAAGATATAACACTCTGATCATATAATACCTGCTCCTGTTTCTTGTTGTATTTGTGTTTGTGTAGCTCCTCTCGTCAACATGTATCTATTTTTTAGATCATTAATTGTAATATCTTTTACGAATTCACCATCAGCTTTGCTAACAGATTTTTCATCTAAGGGGATTCCCTTTTGTGCTAACATGGCATTAATTCTAGCCGCTGCTTCACCTAAAAAAAAAAGGAAGAAGAAAGAACGACATAAATACATTCATATTCATCATTATTATATACACTAATATATACTTACTAACAGCTTTGCTAGGATCCTTTTCATCATTATGGTCCTCTTTTTTGTCAATCTTATCATCAACAATTTTGGTCACTTTTGTGGCTGGTGATGGCTGATGATCATCTTGATCCCATTTTCTTTTTCTATATAATAACAAAAAAAAATATTCAGTTTAATTAAAAATAGTTCATTAAAACAAGATATTTATTTAAAACCAACTTTACTTCAATGGTTCGGTCATTATTAAATAGAAACTTTTAGAAAGATTAATAAATAAAGAAAAAAAAAATGTATTTTTGTTTTTTAGTATAATACACACCAAAAAGAAACGGACCGGTTTGTGACCATTGTTTCATATTATTTCAAATAAGGACAAAAAAAAAAAAAAAAAAAAAAAAAAAAACTAGTATTATTTTATTTATTCACTTATTTTTTTTTTCTTCCTTTCAACACTTTAAAACGATAATGGAGGCACTTCAAGAAGAGAATGCTCGCCTTCGTCAACGTATTGCAGAATTAGAAGAAGAAAAACAAAATGTTCCATTAGCTTTAGGTCCGGAAGATAAAGCAGAGCCTTTTAAGAAGGTGGATAAATTAACAAACGAAGAAATTTTCCGCTTTGGACGTCAATTGGTGACACCTGGATTTGGTTATGAATGTAAGTGAGTAATGAAAATCATTCATAATGATACTAAAAACACACACACACATTTGTTTGTTCTTCTTTAGCTCAATTGAAACTTCGTAACACAACTTTTCTTGTTGTTGGTGCAGGAGGATTGGGTTCTGCTGTAACTTTGTATTTAGGTGCTGCAGGTGTTGGAAGACTCGGTATTGTCGATCATGATACAGTAGATACAAATAATTTACATAGACAAGTAATTCATACTCAAGCACGTAAAGGAGTTAATAAAGCTGTTTCCGCTACCATTTCCATTAAAGCGTAAGATAAAAAAAAATACATACATACATAGATACATATATTATCAAATTGCTTACATAATCAACATGATTATAGTGTTTATCCTGACGCAGATGTTATTCCATATGCATATACACTTGATAGAACAAATGCTCTTGAATTAATTAAACAGTAAGTGCATACATGCATAACTTGATGTACGTGTGTTTATATATGAATCACTTTACATAATATTAGATATGATATTATTGTTGATGCTACTGATAATATTGCTACGCGTTATTTACTGAGTGATGCAGCTGTATTAGCAGGGAAACCAGTTGTTTCTGGAAGTGCACTTAGAAATGATGGGCAATTAACTGTATATAATTATAAGGGGAGTCCTTGTTTCCGCTGTTTGCATCCAGTACCACCACCTCCTACTGCAGTTGGTAAATGTGTTGATCACGGTGTATTAGGAGTTGGTAAGTTATAGCATTTATTTGGAAAAGAACGAAAAATAAGAATAGTTGATTAAAAAAAAAAAAAAAAAAAAACTCTATCAAGTTCCTGGAATCATTGGTACATTAGAAGCAATTGAAGCCATTAAGGTAGCCTTAAATGAACCTTCACTTGAAAAACCAAGTTTCTTGATCTTTAGTGGTATGAGTAACCCAATGTTTAGAACTATGCGTCTTCGAGAGAAAAAAAAAGACTGTGCTATTTGTGGTGAGAATCCTACGATGACTGAACTTATTGATTACGTTCAATTCTGTCAGGGAGCTGCTAATGATAAAGTGACAGATGAACATATCTTAAGACAAGATGAACGTATTAGTGTTCAAGAATATTGTGATTGTCGTTTAAAAGATCATTTATTGATTGATGTTCGACCACCCGTACAATTTGGTATCTGTAGTTTGCCAAACAGTGTAAATATTCCAATTGATCAACTTGAAAATAAGATGGAACAAGTAAAGGACTTGATAAAAGAAAAGAACTTGACAGATAAAGATGGTAAATGAATTAAATTTCAATTATTTCGAATATTTGTACTAACATAAAACAAATAAGTCTATGTCATTTGTAGATTAGGTAATGATTCGCAATTAGCAGTACGTATGATGCAGAATGCTGGTATTAAAGAAGCTAAAGATATTACTGGAGGATTATTAAGTTGGTCTAAGGAAATCGATTCTTCTTTCCCAATTTATTAAACATAGAACTTGTGAATTTATGTCATCATAGTATAATAATAAAAAAAAATCTGCATTATAAATTTTGCATGTATAAAACGTTAACAAAAATACATTTTCTAAATATGCACAAACATTATTTAAAAGAAATCTTATTGGCTAATTAAAACAAAGAGAAACCTTGTAAAAAAAAAAAAAAAAAGAAAAGAAAAAAAAGAACTCCGCTTTTTTATCTATATTATTCCTTTTGTTTTTATTTTTAATTTTTTCTTTTTTTTTATTTTTATCAGTAAATAATATAACAAAAAAATAAAAATGGTTGTAAACGCTTTTATGCTTCAACGCAAATATCCTCAATTGCAAGTAAATGATATCAACTCTCTTATTGATAGATTTAGGTAAGACTTCTTTTTTTTTTATTCTCAAGACAACACATTTCTCTTTTAACAATTTAAAAAAAAAAAAGTGAAATCGACTTAGATCAGGATGGTTATCTTGACCAAAAAGAAATTCAAAAAGCATGTAAGGAATCTGGTTATAGTGATAATTATGATGAAATCCGTGCCACCCTTAAAGACGTTAGTACAAACGCTTCTGGAAAAATTGATGTCGAAGAATTTATAGAGGTAAAAATTAAATAACTACAAGAAAGGGGAGAAGAATGAGGGGATAAGTGGGTGAAAGAGGAGGTAAGAAAAAAAAAAGTTACAAGTTTGTCTGTGCGTTGTTTGTATGTAAACATAATCTTGCTTCTTATGGAAGCATGTAAAAAAGAAAAAAAAAACGTGGAAATAGATAAGCATAAGTGTCGGTAATTAAAAAGAAAGTACAATGCTTTTTTATTTCTTTTTTTTTTTCGCCAAGATTCCTCTATAAAGCACTTTTCCTCTCATTTCCTTCCCTTCCAAGACATTCATTATTAATCTATTTTCTTGGCGTTTAAAATAGCTTGCAGCAAAATTGAAGGATGGACGTAATAAGGGGGCCTTTGATGTACACCAAAATAAAATCAAAGTACATGGTACTAATACAAACGTAACACATACTATTAACGAAGATGAACGTACTGAATTTACAAGACACATTAATGGTGTGCTTGCTGGAGATGCTCATATAGGAAATCGTTTACCTATTCCAACGAATACGATGCAACTTTTTGATGAATGCAGAGATGGTCTTATTCTCTGTAAACTCATTAATGACGCTGTTCCAGATACAATTGATGAACGTGTCTTGAATACTGGAAAGAAAATCAATAACTTTCAAATGGTTGAAAATAATAATATTGTTATAAATTCTGCAAAGGCCATTGGTTGTTCAGTTGTTAATATTGGTTCAACAGATCTTATCGAGGGTCGTGAACATTTAATTTTAGGCTTAATTTGGCAAATTATTAAAAGGGGGCTTTTTAGTAATATTGATATTAAGAGACATCCTGAATTATATCGTTTATTGGAAGAAGATGAAACACTTGAAGAATTTTTGAAATTGCCTCCTGATCAAATCCTGTTGAGATGGTTTAACTATCACTTAAAGGCAGCTGGTTGGGAAAGAAGGTAAAAGACAAAATTTACCATGTGTATTTATCAATGATCTTAATTCCTGCTCTCCTTTCTTTTCTTTTAGAGTAAATAACTTTTCTAAAGATGTTGCTGATGGTGAAAACTATACTATCTTGTTAAACCAACTCAAGCCTGAATCTTGTTCTCGTGCTCCTCTTCAAGAACGTGATTTACTTCGTAGAGCTGAAATGATCTTGGATAATGCTGAAAAGATTAATTGTCGTAAATATTTAACCCCTACTGCTTTGGTTGCTGGAAATTCTAAATTAAACTTGGCTTTCGTTGCCCACCTATTTAATACTTATCCTGGTTTGGAACCTTTAACTGAGGAAGAGGCTCCTGAGATTGAAGATTTTGATGCTGAAGGAGAACGTGAAGCAAGAAGTAAGTTATATATATATATTTTTGTATAAATAGTGCTCAACCTGTTAACACATACATATATGTATAGTGTTTACACTTTGGTTAAATAGTTTAAATGTCGAACCTGGTGTATACAACTTGTTTGAAGATTTGCAAGATGGTTTAATATTATTACAAGCATTTGATAAAGTTGTTCCTGGTATAGTGAATTGGCGTTTAGTCAGTAGAAAGCAACCACTTTCACGTTTCAAGCAAATTGAAAACTGTAATTACGCTGTAGCTCTCGGACAGGAGCTTCGCTTCTCACTTGTAGGTATTCAAGGAGCAGATATCGTAGATGGTCAGCGTACTTTAACTTTAGGACTTACATGGCAATTGATGCGTGAAAATATTGTACATACTTTACAATCACTCAACAAAAATGGTCGACCTATCTCAGATCATGATTTAGTACGTTGGGCTAATGAGACTGTTGTAAGAGGTGGTAAGAACTCAAAGATGACATCCTTTAAGGATAGTAGTCTTAGTACTGGTATCTTCTTTTTGGATGTCTTGAACGGTATCAAGCCTGGTTATGTAGATTATAATCTTGTGACAGCCGGTAGAACCGAAGAAGATGCTTTTAATAATGCCAAGCTTGCTATTTCTATTGCTCGTAAATTAGGAGCAACTATCTTTTTGGTACCTGAGGATATTGTTGAAGTTAGAGCAAAGATGGTAAATACTCTACATTTATATATCTATTATAGATGCATTAACTCATGTATTTCTTTCTTTCTTTCTCTCTAGAATTTGACTTTTATTGGTAGTTTAATGCAAGTTGATAGAGAACTTCACAGTCATGCATAATGAATTATATATAATTTTTTATTATTTATACATGTAACTTTACATAAAAAATACTTATTAAAAAAAAAGAAAAGAAAAAAAAAATAAGATGTACTCTGTCAATTCTATTCTTTTATTATACGTATATGTGTACTCGTGTGTGATATAAACAAATGCATTTCTTTCTTTCTTTCCTTCTTCCTTTCTTTTAGATTTCATGTTCAGCTAATAACATGTTGGGAATACCATCTTTAATTTTATAAACATGGGAACAATTAGGACAAACCATTTGACCTTGTTGAACATGGGTCTATTATTAATAAAATATATATGTATATACATGTAAGAAAAAACAAGATGAATAAAAGTCGAATACATTAAATAATTTTACCTCTAATAAAACATTGTGAACTAGTTTCAAAAATTCTTCGTTTTCTGTTGCATTTTCAGGCATTTCAGCTGGAAGGGTATTAATGCCAAGCTAGAAAAAAAAAGATAAGTTATTTTGCCCATATATAAATATATAAGTTTTATTTTTTATTTCACCTGTATAGCTGTATTAACTAAAGCTTCCCATTCAATCTTATTCAACATGTTTGCTAAAAATTCAGGGTTAAAATCAGCTTCGATTAATTCAAGTTGAACGTTTTCAAAACGAAGAGGAAAGTTATTGGTATTGCAGTCCTTTACATGACATTGTAACATGTTGTGTGTAATGAGTCTCATTTTTGTAATGTAAAAATTAAATTAAATTATATAATTGATGATTTGAAAAAAAACAAAAAAAAAAAAAAAAAAAAAGAAAAATTTCATTAAGCAGACTAAAAAAAAAAAAAAACACATACACACACACACACACACATACAAGCCACATAATTGTCGGATCAGCAAGTATGTGGAGAGGGTGCACCATTACACAAATTTTTTTTTTAAATAAATATGGCATAAAATAACAAGAAATACTAATATTTGCATTGGTTTATAATTTAAAGCCTATTAAATGATGTTGTATTTAATGCTAGTCAGACCAGAAAAATGTTACGGTTATTTTATTTTATTTTTTAATATAATTTGTAGCCTCTTCTGGTGGGACTCTCTTTATTTCCTTCTTTCTTTTATTAGTAGACAGCTATTATAGTACGCTGAAATCATTCGAGAATTATAACATGTATCTCACAAAGAACGAATGATAATACAACTATCACAACGTCTTTGGTTCCAAAAACCGAAATATGCTGCTAGTTCTGTATTTATCACAAAAAAAAAATGCCTTTCTACATATTTAGTTTGTATAATAAAGCGAATCCTATTCAATACAAGTCTTTGGGAAATAACGAATTATTTTGAAAAAAAAAAAATAAGGTCTTGCATCTTGAAATCATTTCTTTTTTCTCTATGAGAAGTGAGAGGATCTTTAGCCATTCAAAATGCTTCCAGATCTCTAATTTAATATCCTAGTAGGTAACATTTTATTTGTATTGAATCTATCAAACAATCAATTATATGCTTATTTATTTATTTATTTATTTTTTTAACGCCTTGTATCTCATGTTTTTTAACCAATTATATTTATAAGAATCAACATGAAATAGTCGATATAATATAAATCTTTACAAGATAGAGAGATGGATCAATATACTTGACACCATGTAAACATGAAATGAGTTCTATAAAAAGCTAATCAAGCCTATCATGAAACTGCGTTATTAAACAGTATGTTGGTGGGGCCAATAACACACCATATCAATGGCATGGATACATAATATTCATTCCCTCTACATCATAGTTGTATTTAAGGAAGATGCGACATATTAGAAGCGTAATCTTAAATTACAATTAATGTTTAAAAAAAGACACAGAAGATTAAAATTCCGTATTTGGGAAAAAGAAAAAAAAAAAAAAAGACAAAAATTCATCAGAAATGTGATAATGATGGATGCAGAATAATAAACCAATAAGATGCATCCATTTGCATCCATTCTATTAAAGTATTCAACTGTCTCCCTCTGTCCCCCATATTTGGTTTATTTGATAAAAATACAAATATTTAAATCTTTACTTTAACTATGGCTTTGTCAAATAGTACTTTAAAACAACAACAACAACAACAACAACAGCAGCAAGTACAACCTACCATGTAAATATACACAAAAGAGCAATGTCAATTTCAACTTACGAAAAATATATGAATTTACATTTATGCTAATGAGTTTTTTTTTTTTTTTTTTTTTTTTTTCTTTTTTTTTTTTCTTTTTTTTTTCCTTTTTTTTTTTGCATAAATTATACTACAGAAAAAAACGTTCAAAAATATCAAAAAGAGAGTTAGAAACTTTGAACGATAATAATAGTAAACGAGGTATAAAATGTCATGACTATTTATTTTACATTTATTTAATGTCAATTTTAATCATTTAAATCCAGCAAGAAGAGATTTACCAAAATGTCCAATTTGTGAATATCGCATTGAGCCTGAATATTGGGCTGAACATTACCAATATGAATTAAACCGTTTGTCAGAACCAACATCAGAAGCTTATTTAGATCCATTAAACAAAAAGTAACTTTTGTTGAAATGTATACATTATAACATCAAACCATGTCATTAACCCCACCCCTCCGCTTTTTTTTTTTTTTCCTCGTAATAGTAAAGGGAAACGAGGTGCGGCAGTGATGGCAAGGAAACAATTAGAAGGCAAAGGTAAAAAAAAAGCAAGTCAAATGTCAGTTCATGAAGAAATAGTTGAAAAGATAAAAAAGAATCGCTCAAAGAGAGCAGAACGTTTAAAACAAATAAACAATTTGGATATAAGAGGTTTAGATGATGACAATACAGTAGACGATTCTCAAATGGCACTTCAAGTCATGTTACAAGAGGGTTCTGATATACAAACTTGCTTTATTTGTAACGAGCAGCTTTTTGGTGACCTTGAAGCTATTAATCTTCATATTGATAATTGTTTATCGAATTCAAACGCTGCTGCTGCTGTTGCTGCTACAGAAGAAACAACAGAGGAAGCCAATCTGACGAATGATCAACAATCACCAGGTTGGGAAGAATATGAATGGGCAGGTCAAAGAAGAGTAAGAGCAACTGCAATGATGGAAGGAGGTTATGGAGGTGCAGGCTTTGCTACTGCAAGTAAAACAGAGGTAGAAGAAGAAGACGACGAAGATTTAGATGTAGAAGATGATGACGTTGCTCAGTTTGGTCAAAGTCAGTATACCGAAAGAGACATTGTAGTTAATACAGACGATGAAGATGCTTCTGCTTTACGAGAAATGGTGTCAGGAGGTGTTGCAACATCACGCGAGTAAGTTAAGAAAAAAAAAAACTAGAGTTATTTATTTATATAATGTTGAATATAGAAGGCAAGGATTTGAAGAAACAGTGTCTGTTGCAGGTTGGAATCGACATTTACAAAAAGAAGAACAACACGATAAATATTACATCAAAAAGAGTAGTACAGATAGTCATCATTCATCGCTAGTCATTGAATCACTTAAAACACGTATTCATGAATTAGAAAGAGCATCTACTTCAAATAATTGTCTAATTTGTCTTGAACCTTACAAGACACCGCTAACATCTATTGTTTGTTGGCATGTTCACTGTGAACAATGCTGGTTACGAACACTTGGTACTAAGAAACTATGTCCTCAATGTCAAAAAATCACTACGCCTGCTGATTTAAGGCGTATTTACCTTTAATTAACTGTATATATTTTTCATCATTATTACATAATAATATCTTCCTGTACAGATGATACAAAACAAAATAAACCATGTATAATTTTTTTTTATTTATTTATTTATTTCAATATATTAACATTATTCCAAACGAGGTTGCTTAGTAACCTAGCATGAAATAGAATTAGCTTTTATTCCATTTATTGTATTTTTTTTTTTTTATGATTATTACCTCTTCATTTTCATCATTTAATTTACGTTTTAAACCATTGTCTTCTAAATTAACTAGAGATCCACTTTTAATTGCATCTGCATGACAAGTAGCATGATAAATCTTTTTTTTTGTATGATAATAATATGCATGAGTGAGTCAAGATGATTATATAAAATAATTATTCATTAGTTACCTTTCCGTCTACCATAATAGCATTCTTATACATCCATTCCTCTTCATCATCATTCCAAAAATCAACAAAACGCTCACCACAAACAGGACATGACTTTCTACTGTCACTATCGGGCATAATAACTGTATATTTATTAGGATCTATAAATTCTTCCTTTGATTGATTTGATTTATCCACTGATTTCTGACCAGCACTCGCATTATCATGTAAAAAGGTAGGTGCTATAATAAATAAATAAATAAATACATCATTTATATATATATGTATAATGATTGCAAGCAAGAGTTTCTTCTTACCTTGTTGGCTTGTCAATTCTCCACCTTCACCATGAACCCATTCATCCACTGTAACAAACCAAGAACGAGATAATCCACGTTTCACTTTCTCTTTCATCTTCCTATTCTGTCTGAAATGTGAATCGAGATGAGCATCCATTTTAGCTTGTCCCTTTTCAGTTTTAGGGTATCTGAAACCACATTGTTTACATTGAAGTGGTTCAGCTCCATACAAGAGCTCAATTGCTCCAGGTCGAGCTATCTGGACATCCTTGGAATCTAATAAAAAGGGTCCAAATTGTTCAAGTGATAATTGGTCTGTTGTAGTAGTAGTAGTAGTAGTAGTAGTAGGTTGAGGTTGAGAAGAGGTAGGGTTAGGGTTTAAGTAACCCATTGAAGTTAAACTTTTCAAAAGGCCTGCGGTATCAATAGGAGTTGAAATGAGAGTAGCCATTGTAGGTGTTGAAATAGGAATAGTAGGAGTGGAGGCAGTTGTAGGTAGAATAGGGCTTAATGTGGTATTTAATAATGGCGGTGTATTTGTATTAGTTGTTATAGAATAATTTAAGCGAGGATCTGTGGCCAAATTAGGAGAAAGACCTGAATTGACTAAAGTAGTATTATTTGGAACAGTTGGTGAAACGGCTGTAATTTGTGAAAGATATTGTTCAATAGAGCTTGCTTGAGCTGGAGGTAAAGTAGGTAATATTGCCTTTATCTATTTATTTATTTATTTTTTGAGAAGAAAATAAATAAACATTCATTCATTCATTTATTATTTCTATTTACCTGACTTATAATCTGTGATAAAGGATTTATAGTTGACATAGTTGGGCTTTGAATATGAGTATTGTTTACGATAGGAGAAGGAGTATTTTGAGTAGGAAGCATTGACTGTAATTGAGATAGTAAGTTGGATGATGATAGTGGAGTAGAAGGAGTTATTGATTTTGTAGTTATTTGAGGACTCTTATTACGAGGATCTCTTGGATGATGATTCGCATTGATAAGACGTTGATCCTATTATTATGAATTGTAAATATATCAACATGTCACGTATATAAATAAATAGTTTAGCTTAGCCTAACTTAGCCTAGCTTAGCCTAACTTACCTTGTTTATAAAATTAGGATTAATATGGATAACTGGATTGTTAACATGTTGTTGAGTTGTATTGGTTGTAGGAGGATGAGGATACCTTGATGTAGGTGTCTTTTCACGTATATACATAATAGATCTTTCAATAGGTTCAATAATATGACGAGGAAATACAGGATGACCACCTGGCATACCATTCTTCCAAGTCTGAAGTAATCTTTCAAAACTTTTTCTAATTGTTGGATCAACCAAAGTATACGCGTCCAAAAATACGTTTACTATATTTCTTGAAAAATAGGATATATAAATACCGCCGACATTTTTACAAATAGAATCAATCAAATAGAGTACAGGAAGCTTTTGTCCGGGAGCATTCTATATATATTCATTATTTTGATATGTTATTAAATACTTTTTTTTTAGAAGAAAAAAAAAAAAAAGGAAGGGGAAAAGGGATAATAAGAAAGAAAAAAAAGGGGGGAGGGAAGGGAAAAGGGAAGGGATTATTTTCAAAAAAGAAAAAATTTATCCAATTATATTTGATATTATTAGAGACATTAATATTAAGTACATAGTATCTCTTTCTACGTTACTATAGTTAGTTTATAAATTATTATAAGTATAAATAATAATAAATAAATAATCCCTTCCCTTGTAGACTATATCTAAGAAAGAAAAAGTTCCTTTGTTTGTTCGTTTTTTTTTTATAAAACAAAAATAATAATAATAATAATAATAATCATAATATAATCATAATATAATAATAATATAATAATAGAGTATATATGTATGTATGTATACATATTATATAAGGAAAAGGAATGGCACATGCCATATTTTGTGTGTATTTGATAATAATAATAAAATTACCAACTTACATTTCTTAATTGATTTTCAATTTCTCTAACAATGATATTTGCAGCAAATTGGTTTTCTTGAGCCATAATGGTTAAATTAGTAATAATAGGTTTACTATTAAAAGTAAGTTCAGATAGAGCTGAATGATAAGTACGGCGTACTTGATCAAAATCCATTTGATTGCCACCAGTATATTGCTGTTGCTGTTGTTGTTGTTGTTGTTGTTGCTGTCGGCCTGTATTCATTGTATTCATTATAAACATTGACTTGTGTGAGTGTATATTAATGTGTATATGTATTTATTATATAAGGAAGTAGTAAAGAAAAAAAAATTTTTTTTTTTGTTGATAAACTGGAGTAAGTTAATAAATAATAATAAAAATTAAAAGAATCCAATAACGGCTTTAAATGACAAAATACAATGTTTAATATCCTTTTTTTATTCAGTTAATACTCTTTTTCTTTTTCCTTTTTCTTCTTCTTTCTCTTGCTTTTTTTTTAATTTTTTTTTCTTCTTCTATTCTTTTAGAATGATAAATCTACAATTTTAAAAAAAAAATGTTCGACAATGTTTCAAAATTGAAAAAAGAAAAAAGTAACTTCGTCTTTTAACAACAATTTAATTAGCTGATCAACTACTTGCAAATTATTCTAATTTTTTTATTTTTTATTTTTTTTTTTTCTTAAACTTACCTTTTGAGAAATATACAAATAAATATTTATAAGAGAAAAAGGAAAAAAAAAAATTAAAAGTTTTTTTTTTGTTTTTAAGAAAACATGACTTTCTGATGGCGTCACACATTATGCCAATTGTAGTCTTTGATTGGCTAATATTTGTTTTTTTTTCTTTCCTTTCTTGTTTCTTTCTTCTTTTGACATATTTCTTTTCATACATATTATATATTTATTTATATATTCTTCTTCTTTTTTAAAATAGAAAAAGTAAAATGTAGAGTTATTGAAATAACAACTTTTTTCACCTTAATATTTTATTGACTGAATAAGGCCTTTTTTTTTTCTTTTTTTTTTTTTACTTAAATTTAAAATAGGGCCGAACCATATGACCCTTATATTCCTAATTCATCTTCTCAAGGAAATAGTAACCAAGCAGGACAAGGTGCTTCTAAGACTGCTCGTGTGCAGCAGCAAGTAGACGAGGTTGTCAATATAATGCAAGAAAATATCGATAAAGTCATGCAAAGAGGTGAACGATTAGATGATCTTAGAGGAAAAACAGGTAATTAATAAATAGATGAGATGAACATGGATATTAATGAATAAATTTAAAGAGGATTTACAAGCAACGGCGACACATTTTAGACGTGGAGCTAATCAAGTACGTAAAAGAATGTGGTGGAAAGATTTGAAATGGAAGATTATTATCGCAGTGACAATTATCGTTATCTTGGCTATTATTATTGGTAAATTAAATATCAATGTATGTATTGAACGATACATTATTAACCTTTTTTTCTTCTTCTTTTGTGCATGCATATATGTATATAATAGGCTCCATTGTTGGTACACAGGTAAGTTAGCAATAGAATGATTACATCCTTATATTAATTATACTTTTATATAGACGCGCCATAATTAATTTTAATTGGATAATATACATTAATAAAGATAAAAATAAAAAATAAATTAAAAAATAAATTAAATTCAGCCAATTAAATGAGAAAAGAAATGATAACCTTTGTTGCACCACCTTATGTTGCACTTGAAGCTTTCTAATGTCGTATGATCAATAGAATAGATTATGAAATAAAAATATACTATGATTTATAAAATAGCTAAAAGCAATACTATAGAAGTAAATAAGTAAGTTAAGAAAACAACAATAACATTCGTGCAGAGACGATCAATACAATAAAATATTATTACTTGTTAAATATATTCTAGTGAGCCCAGTAATTACTAAATACAGCTACTTATTGATTTCTGAAGTGAATGAATGTCATTACTAGTCTTTATTTACTTGATTTTGTTAGTCATTTTTTAGACTGCTCTATTCTTATTGAAAGGAAAATAGCAGAGCTTATTATAATCAAGTTTTTTTGATGTATATAAACAGAAATTAAATCCAAGAAGGTTATCATAAATGGATTCTTAACTGTTTCCATTATTACATTGATTATCACATGATAAACCAAAAAAAAAAATGTATATACATGTATATGTTTTCTGAGAATTGAATAAACTGCTGCCTTGAATCTAGTGGTTATTTATGTAAAATAGCTCAAATAGGCATATTAGTAGCTTTTGACTTACTTGTAAGAAGGAAATGCATAAATTCCTGCAAAATAAAACTATTTTGTTTTAGATATACATACTCTATTGTAACTTTTTAGTATCTTCAAGTATACTCCATTTTTTAAAAAAAAAAGTCTTATCTTGATGGCAATATGATATCTTTATATTTCTTTTGTAGTATTCTTAAGAATAAAACATATCAAATATCATCGCTTAGGACATTACCCTACTATGTCTTTTATATCGATGAAAAAAAAATCGATTTTGATCTAATTGTAAACGGAAGCTATTGACAGGCCTATTTTCCTTGTGTATCTACCTCGTTTCTTTAAAAATGAAATGATGATAGTATCAATTCGAATGCTTTACAATAAAGCTATAAATTATATCTACCTTTTTGATATATGAGAGATGCAAAGGTTAATTTCAAATGATGGCTAATTTCTGATAAACATTCTTATCTCCAGAGTCTTGTGTATTTTATAGGCACTTACTTGTCACTAATGATCTGATTCCCATACTCCATGAAGGCTATTTGATAATAGCATTAAAAGTAAAATTAAAAAAAAAAAAAGGAGAATGATATAAAAATGAGCGCCCTTATCCTTCCAAATAACTATGATATGATTTTGCTTCTAGTCAAGAGAATTATTACTTTTGGAGATGTTGTTTTCTATAACCCCATAAAAAGAAACCTGCCTGCTCAGACTAAACAAATTAAGTATATATGTCTTAGCTAGTAATGATACTATTTTTATTAAATAGATAAGCATTTTAAAATAAAAACTTGCTAGAAAAAAAGAAAAAAAAAAAAAGAAAAAAAAGAAAAAAGAAAAGAAACCAGTATGAATTTGATGATATTAGTCAGTTAAACAACTGCGAAATCAAAGCATAAAGCACATGCTTTAATTAAGTGTAACTTTTTTTTTTTTTTTTTTTTTTTTTTTTTTTTTTTTTTTTTGCAATACGGTATGAAAATGTTTACGAGGTTTTATCTTTATATGGCGTTAAGCTATAACAGATATTCTTAAGAGACCATTAAGTCGGGCATTGACTACCAGCAAAACAATAATAAAAAAAAATAAAGAAAATAAAATAAAGAAAAAAAGAAAGATCAACGGCATAATTTCAAGTTGATAAAAGACATACAAGTATTCTATAATGAGAGTCTATCCTTTACTCCGGATAAAAATATACAAGAACTTTTTTTTATTATACACATTTCTTCGTATACAACTTATACTACTGCTTTTATGGAGTATGGCATAATGTCTTGATCTATTTTTTGCTTGTTAGCGTTAAGAAAAAAAAAGGAGGGCAAAGTCTTTTTATCATGGATGTAAAAATATCAATGCACAAGTATTAGTTTTTATTTGGTCGAATTCAGCAATAGGACATGGTAGGCACAAATTATATTGTAACAGTTACACAAAATAATAGAAGGAGGAAGATCCCAGTTAATAAAGTAAACTTTTATACAACATGTAGATTTTTTTATAGCATTTCACTTTCTTCAAATAATTGTCTTTCTATTGTTTCATTCCGCAGATTGTATGCATCAGCAAGTATCTATTATATATATGATAGAATTAGATAACATAATAGTGATATTATATTTACTACTTTACTGGTCGCATATCCATAAATGGAAGACGAAGTAACATTGTCCTAATCTCAGACTGTTCAAGATCTTCCAAATTTTCTCTTGCATGTCTTAATATCGCTATTATTAAAGCATAGTGTATAGATAGAATAAGTAAGTATACACACATCAATAAATACGCATATCCATTTACTTACCAAGACAAACAAATGGATGAAATTCTAATGGATCAGGTATAGAAAAGTATGCATCTATCCCAACATATAATTATTAATATTGACTTGCTATTTCCTTGCTTCTTTTATTATTATTACCCCATAATCTAATTAAATTTTGAAATTTTAATTCTTTTGATAATAAATACTGTAACCAAGAAGTTGTAAATTCATTTAAATTAACTTCTTCTTCTTCAAAATAATTCCGTCTAATGTGTAACATAAAGTTAATACATAGGCACACACATATTTATATAATCAGGCGATTATATCGTATTATCATATACTTTACAAATCAGGTAAGGCATATCGAAATAAAGTCATGAAATTTGCTACATACTCTTTAACTGTATTATGGGTATCATATTCTTCACCTATACATATAAAGTTATCAATAAATGACTTTATATGGCCATTTATAGTATGTTACCAATCGTTTGTAAAAGTCGTTCAAAGCAAAAATAAGCGTCACATTCTTTATCAAGAGCATATATGAATGGTGCACATAAAGTAATAAGAGCAGGATAATATTCAACATCTCGATTTGCAATTAAATAAGCAGTTATAATATTCACAAATTTATCTACATAATGTTTTCCTGCTAATTCAGGTGTTCGTGCTTGAAATCGATATACTTCTCCTCTAATCTTTTTTGCTATTTCTGAATCTTCTTTATCCATTTGTTCATATTCTTCATGTCTTGCTTTTGAACTAGTGAGTTCTTTGGCTTATATATACATAAAGTTACTATCTAAACGTTTCTAATTCTCTTTTTTTTTTTTTTTTTTCTTCTTAAAAAAAAAAAAATAAAAATAAAAAAAAAATAAATATGCACTTATTTACATCGATCTGCTTGTTCTACTCCAAGAAGATATTTCCAAACTTGCTATAGGATATTATATGAGTTATATATATTCGTCTCTAGTCTGTTTTATTGTTATCTTTATTTTACCCCACGTAATTCGTTTGGAATGCCATGTCTAGCTAATAGTCGTAATCTTTCAAGATCAACATAAACTTCAGATTGTAAGATCTCTTTAAAATCATTGAATATGGATAAAGCTTCATCTTGTTCCATAACTTTCTTATATAACTGTTGTCTTTGTCTAACAACTTCAGGATGAATTTCAAGCATACTTTTAATATAAATAAAAAAAAAAAAGAAAAGGAAAAGGAAAAGAAAAAACTGTCATTTATATCATACAGGGACTTTTAAAAAAAAATATTTATTGTTTGACTCAATCAGTTATAAAAGAAAAACTGTTGGACCGGAAACAGTTGCCCAAGGGACACAGCAAAAAAAAAAAAAAAAAAAAAAAAAAAAAAAAAAAAAAAAAAAAAAAAAAAAAAAAAAAACTTTAAACGGCTTCCTTGTGTAACCTATAAACATTTGATAAAAGTATTATTAATACTTGCAAAGAAAGACATCTATTCAAATAAAATGTAAAATAGAACATAATTCTTCATATAAAAGGGGGAATTAATAAATCTCTTTTATTTAACGCTCTTTTTTCTAAACCGATCTATAAAAAAAAAGTTTAAAACACTTTTTTTTTAAAAAAAAAAAAAAAAAAAAAGAGAGGTTTCAAATAATATATTTATTATTTTTTGGAATAAGCAGTAATCTCTAAAAATGTATTATTATTTTTTAAACTTTACATGTACGTACATAAAAAAAAAAAACAATAACTCACTCCTTTTTTTATCGATTATTTTTTATATTTAAAAAATGCACGTATTATACATAGTGTTACCTTATTGACGACCCCATGTAATATATATAAAACAAAATTCTATCTTATCTACTACTTTAAACGCCTCTATCTAATAAAAGGAAATAATATAAAAACTAGGAATTTTTTTTTTTTTTTTTGAATGTGCGCTCTATCAAGGAAAATTATTAAATGAAGATTTTCCTTTTTTTTTATGTAGTTAATTGTGTTTCATAGTAACATATTGATTTATATATTGTCAAGTGCAACTATAATGTTATTTTCAATGTAGGATAAGCATTCATAATGTATCATAGCAACATATCATTTATGTTTGTTCACATGTTAATATCAGTTTAACTAAAAAAAAAAAAAAAAAAAAAAAAAAAAAAAAAAAAAAAACAATCATGTTATTATAATGTTGGAAAAGACTAAAATATTAAGTCATAATTGATTATGAATAAAGCGATTGTGTATTATTTGCCTAATATATTAATATTTTGTAATACTGCATCTACTACCAGAATCATCTCCACATACGTTTCAATAAATAGATTTATTGTAAATTATAGAAAATGCTATATCAAAATTTTATCTTTAGTATTCATCAGATTATTAGGAAGAGGATTTTTTTTTATTTTACCGTCGGGTTTATTCATGCCTTTATAACAATTTCTTCAGCGTAATATTCTTCATGATTTTTTTTGTAGTAAGTGGCAACAAATAGATCATAGATCTTTTCAAAAGGTAAATAGAAAATGGTTATAAATGTGTGTGTGTGGGCGTGTATATGTATTTCCCTTTCTCCCTTTAAATATAATTATTACAAACTTGTATTGCTAAAAAAAAAAAAAAAAAAAAAAAAAAAAAAAAAAAAAAAAAAAAAGCTGCTAAAAAGTTTTGCAGAAATGATTATAAATGAACCATATACGATAGAAACTCTTATGGTAATTGGTCTTGGTATAAAATAACCAAATGCATTAAATTGTATAGTTTCATAATATACTTGTCGAATAACATGATGTAACTGATATGCTGAAAATGGAATTAATATAGCACGCAAATAAATACATATTTGCATCCATTGATATAACTCCTAATTATTAGGAATAGTGTTCGATCAGGATGAATACCTTTACAAAAAAAAAAAAAAAGCTATTGTAATCATAAACATCTTTCTTTCAAGAACGATCTCATCTTTTTTAAATATTATATAAAAAATATTTTATTATATTACAATTTAAATTGTCATTTTATAAACAGACAAAACACACACACACACACACAAAAGGGAATGTTATAGAAATAATAGTAGGGAAACGAATATACAAAACATTTTTTTTTTTTTTTTTTTTTTTTTTTTTTACTTTGCAATACCAATAATTGGTTTTTCACGTTCAGGCACACGCTTAACAGCATCCAATTTCTTTGAATGTTTGCGTCTTAATTCTTCTTTTCTCTTCTCTGCACGGATCATTTCTTTCTTTCTAGAATCAGCAAGCTTAATATCCTTTGGAGTTCTTCTATGCTTATCAATTCTACGGATTTCCTTCATATGTCCATATCTTTCCTTCAATTTACTAGAATATTCCAACTTATTCTTTTCACGCCAGTCAACGATACCGATCTTTTCATTTGCATGTGCCTTCCAAAGACGAATATTACCATCATCTGAGCCTGATAAAACATATTTACTATCCATTGAAAACTCGACCGAGAAGACTCTTTGCATTCGTTTGGTATGATAACAATCTCTACTATGACCTGTACCGACATCAAATAAACGAATTGTACGATCGTATGAACCTGTTACAATTTCTTGACCTGTAGGTGAATAATCCACATCCATACTAAATAAAAAAAAAAAAGGAAAAGAGGGTGTTAAATAAGGGGGAGAGGGGAACTACTCTTTCTATTGCTCGTTAAATACTTTACATAGCAGAAACATGATCCTTCATGATATTTCTAGCAGCTTTCATATTTCTCATATCAAAGGTATATGCATTATGGTCTTCACTACCAGTTGTAAAAGTGTAAGCCTCTATAGGATTCCATGCAATAGCATTTGTCTTGAGTGACATGACTACTTTTGTAATAGCCGTACTTGTTCTTAAATCGTACAACACAATAGTACGATCAGTACCACAAGAAGCAAAAATATTCTCTTGCACTTGATTAAACTTGATCGTTTGATATGAATCAGCGCCCCAAGCAAAATCATGAATAGGTTCTGATCTATTTTCATCCCATACTTCAACCGTACCACCTGAGGTAGCAAAGAGAGGGTCAGAACGATGATGTGAAAGACCTGTAAAGGCATGACCGCCCATATATGTTTCAATAGGCTCTGTATCATTGCCCCAAATTTTAACCGTCTTATCTGTTGAACAGGATAAAAATCGCCCCTCATCTCGACCTGCACAGACACCTGTCACAAGCCCTTGATGTCCCTGAGCTCTCCAAACTGTCTGATGTTCTGATATCTCCCAAATTCTTATTTCTCCATCACCACTACCAGAAATAACAGAGTTTAATTTTGTAGGATGCTTTGTTAAACAATAAACACCATCAATATGCCCATTTAACGAAGCAACAAATGGTTTCGAAAACATGCGATCTAATTTAACTGAGTTAAGTGCTCTCACATATTCTCTTCCTCTCTCAAAAGGGTGTGCAACTGGGTCCAGATTACGTTGTAATTTATGAATGTCTTGAGCACGTTCTCTAACATAATCGTTTGATGAACGAGATAAAGCTTTCACTTTCTATGTATATATAAAATATTATTAATTCATCTGCAAAAGAAAAAAAGAAAAGTGTTATTGAATAAATGGTTATATTGACATTACCACCATCTTGAAAAGTGATCAATAAATAATATATGTATATGTATTTATAAAAAAAAAAAAAAAAAAAAAAAAAAAAAAAAAAAAAAAGGCTTTGGTTTTCCTTTGGTGGAATTCCTAAAAATGGTTCAAGGATTGAAACAAGTCACAAAAAAGTGGCTTATTATCGTTCGACACTTCAATGAAAAACAAGAATGATTGATTTATAATAATGTAACTATATTTATTTGCTTTATCTGTACAACAAAAAATAGATGTATACATACATGTATGCTATTTTACAATAATACTTTCAATATAACAAAAAAATAGAATAGAATAGAATAGAATGGAATAGAATAGAAAATAAGCAATGAATGATATGGATTTTTTTTTTATAATGAAAAATTAGGAGGAGGAAGAGGAGGAGGAGGAGGATGACCATTATGAGGGTGTGGAGAGTTTGGTAATGATTGCGTATGTAGTGAAATAGAAGTGTGATGCAGTTGACTGTTTAAATAGTCCATCTGAACCATTTGTTGTTGTATATTATTTAAAAGTGGCGCACTAAAGGTTGTTGCGATAGTTGTCGGTCCATTATTTGGATACTGAATGACGCTATTGGGCGTAGATATGATAGTAGAAGGAGTATTAGGATTCTCATGAGTCTTTTCATGCTTCTTCAATGATCTAGAATGGTAATACGCTTTACCACATCCCTTTGACATACAGACATAAGGACGAACATTCGAATGAGTCTTAATATGAGTTGTTAATGAATCTGGGCGTGAAAATCGTTTACCACATCCAGGTTTATCACATACAAAGGGTCTTTCACCTGTATGTGTACGAAGATGATTATACATTTTATGACGCTTTGTAAAGGGCTTCTGATTCCTTACACAGCCTTCCCATTCACAACAATAAGTAGGCTAACATACAATTCAATTTAACAAAAACGAAAAGCTCTTCTTTTTATATATGATATACATGTATATATTTATATAATTACCTTTCCACTACCAACATGTGAATCACTAATATGACTAATCAAGTTTTGTAAACCTTCAAATATTTTACCACAATTTTTCCATTTACATTGCATTTGTATTACATTAGCTGTAATATCATCCCCATACAGCGCAGCTGCTTTTGCGGCGGATGTTGCTTCTGTAATAGGTGTGGTTGTATTGTTGCTATCATCTGCCATTTCTTCATCTTCATCTTCTTCATCTACAGTTGATTTATCTTCATCAATTACGATTTGAAAAGAAGAAGAAGAAGATTGTGTTGTGTTTACTTGATTAGTCGGCTTTTGTTGATGATCAATAGGTGTATTTGGACTGATATGATCATCATCGTCATCTTCTTCTTCTGTAGACTTTGTGCTTAACTTTTCTGTTTGTGGATTCATTTCGATATTGTTATTTACTTTTTCAGTTTCAAGTACAATGAGTCGTGCAATGAGTTGTTCTCTTGACATGTGCTCATAATCTTTTGCATGGGTACCAAAGGCAGTAGGGGTTTCTGTTGATGTTGATGTTGATGTTGATGTTGCTGCTGTTGTTGTTGTTATTTTTAATCCTAGTTCTTGTGGGGTAGGTGGAGGTGGTATTGCGATTGTACCTAAAGCCTGCTTTTGAGATTCAATTCTCACCTTTCGATCTTGAACGACACCACCACTATTCATATTCAGATCATGATTAACAAAATAGTGCTGTTGTAATTGCTGCTGATATGGTTCTTGTTGACTAACGACTACAGCGGATCGTGGAGTAGTTGTGATGATGTTTGCTAAATTTTTTGTATCAATATTAAGTGGAGGCCGATGAGAGGTCGAAACGGTATGTCTTCGACTTTTCTTTCTTGTTAAAGTAACTGAATTTGTATTATCAGGAGCATCTCTTTTGGTACCATAGTTTTCATTTACAAAAGATGTTTCTTGATGATGCTTTTGTTGATGTTGCTGCTGTACAATCGCATTATGGAGTGGAATTGTTTCTATTTTTATTTGATGTATTGGGCTTGCAGATGAACCTATAGTAGATGTAGAGGTATTATTGTTAGTCATGTGCGATAAGACTACATGAGGTGCTGTTTCCTGTGAAGGAGGAGTTGATTGTTGCAGTAATTGTGGCTGAGAATGAGGCTGAGGTTGAGTTTGTGACTGTACTAGATGATTACTATTGTTTGAAATTATTTGTTGCTGTAGCAAATGATGATCCGATGGGACAGTAACAGTGGCAGTAGTAGTAGCAGCAGCAGTAGTAGTAGCAACAGTAGTAGTAGTAGTAGTAGTAGTAGCGGCGGCAGCGATAGATTCTTGTTGTAATAAAGCATAATGTTGAGACATTTGCTGTGCCATAACATCATATCCTGTCATAATATCATATTCTTTAGTTATATCTCGAGAAGCTGAATCTTCCACTAAATTAGCATTTAAAAGTTTAGTATTTTCATGTTTGATTTCTTCAGGTATAATATCTTGTTGTGGTTGTTGGTCCATTGATCGCTGAGAGGGAACAATAAGATGATGATCTATAGTAGGGTTAGTTTGCATCATTTCATTGAGAAATTGTTGTTGAGTTTGCAAATGTACTGAATTTTGAGTAGTTTGAACCGGATGCTGTTGTTGTTGTTGTTGTTGTACTTGAGCTTGCGCCTGCGCATGAGCTTGAGCCTGTTGATGTAATTGTTGTTGTACCTGTACTTGTTGATGAATTTGAGCCTGTACCTGTGCCTGCACTTGAGCTTGAGCTTGGGCTTGAGCTTGAGCCTGTACCTGTGCCTGCACTTGGGCTTGGGCTTGAGCTTGAGCTTGTTGCTGTTGTTGTAATAAATGATCATGATTTGAAAAAGATAAAGAATTATTATCATCAAATAAATTATTATGGTGTAACATTAAATTTGAGTTATTATTCATCATACTGTGGTTTACAGGACTTTCGTTTTGTTGATTGTTCTAGATAAAATAATTAGCTATTAATAAGATTTTGAAACTTTTACTTTAAAAAAAAATAAAATAAGAATAAAAATTAAATTTTACATTTATTTGCAATAGTTGTGTTGTAGATGTAGCATTAGTAGCAGTGCTAGTAGTAGATGTTGTTAAATCAGGTTGTTGCTGTTGAGTTACTACAGTAGGAGTTGTTGTCATCATATTGTTGCCAAATAGATGATCACTTTGGTTACTACTACTATCAACTGAAGAAGGATAACTTAAATTAATATGTTGCTGCGAATTAAACTGATTTTGTTGATTATTTGAAGTCAATTCATTAAATTGATTCGCATAAAAATCTGAGTCATTATTTGATGATGGTATATTATTTGATGAATTTAGTTGTGTTAAAGTACATGTCAAATCGATATGTTGCTGTGAATCCATAATAGTTTTTTTTTTTTACCCCGTGAAGGAGAAGAGATAAAGATAAAGATTCTTATTTAAAAACAAAAAGGATCAGATTTAATATTAACTATTTCTTCTTCGCTTAATAAAAAATAAAAAAATAAAAATAAAAAAATAAATAAATAATTTAAATAATCAATATCTGTTTAAGGAGAAAAGAAGCAAGTTAAGGGAGGGGGTAAAAAAAAAAAAATTAAAACTTAATTAACGGAGTTTGAATTATTTTTATATATGATTAAGAATTTTATTTATAAAACAATATGACCAATAAGCAGGTAGTTTATTGAAGAATTTCTTTGAAATGTGTAAAAGGGATATGTATTTGAAAACATGTAATAAGATCGTATATGACACGTTATATTACATAATCAAGCAACAATGGACGAATGGTGTCTAAATACGGTCCTATTTTTGATTAGCCTTTGTTAACAGTAAAATATAATTCTCTATCAATACAGAATGGGGTTTATCGACTTTATTTAGAATGTTTTGATCCAGTCATTTTATTCCGAACGAGATGGCTTACACTCTTGCACATCAAACCTCTGGAGGGTTTGTAAAGTCTTTAAGAACAGTTGAAATATGCATGTACCTTTAATTACAAATTCCTTTGCTAATATCCATTATTTAAATTACATATAATATAATTTTTCTAATGCTTCCTTCTAGGTATAAATATATTATCCTAAAAGAAGATGTACATAGATAGTGTAGCATATGTTCATTTCAACTACTCTGGCATCTTTTGTCAATAATCGTAATAAAGATGTTTAATAGAAATGTTCAATGTTGAAAACTTTAAAATTATTTTAATATAATTCATTCTATCGTATAACCCATTCTATAAACTTGTTTTCTATTTGGCCTAATTATGTTGATAATTATCTGCCTACTTTGTTTCTATTTATGTTATTGCTAATTTCAATGACACGCTTTCTTTTACATGCTTACAGTTTAATATAAACTTATGCTGAGTTTTAATAAAGATGACTTACGATTAAATTCCGAGCTTTATTATTTTGATTTTAAATTTTTTGGCAATGAGCATGAAGCGACGAAATAAATGCGCAATATTGCCAGAGCCAGTTATAGAGGGGAAATAAGAATAAAAACCTTCCTACAGGACAAGAAGGAAAAAGAAAAGAGCATTATTCTGGAATTAAGAGAAAATATAAGGAGGATAAAGCGAAAAAAAGTGAAAAGAAACAATTTAAATACAAACCAGACCAAAGTAACCAGGAAGACATACACATTATTACTTGGACAACCAATTCAACAGCTTGAGTTCAGGATCGTTAGGAGCAGGAGGAAATTCATCATGGAAGTAGTAATCAAGTTCATGTAGAATTGTACAAAGAATAGGCCATAAAGTATACCAGCCCGTACAATCAGAAGGACGACGAGGTTTATGTAGTGGGAGCAAGTTGAGGAGGAACAAGATGGGATCTTCGACTGAAGTAGGCATGTAGAGATGATGATGTACATCCTTTAGGTTTACCACCAGGTAACCCAGCCAAGTCTTCATCGGAGCACTCGGCTACGTTCTGAGGCAGTCATTGGTAAGCAAAGGATGGGATCCAATTCAAGAGTAGGGCGTGAAGAAGACAATAGGATGGAGTTAGTGTCTTTACGAAGGGTTTGAAATTGATCATCTAGAAACTTAGCACGAAGAGTGTAGAATTGCTTTTGGTCGAGCGTTAAGATAATCAGTGAGCATAGGTGTTTCCACGTTGTAGTTTGAGTCAATTTATACCAGTGGGAATGACTATTTGGAAGCTGAACATGAGGCAAAAGATGGGAACTCATGACTTACGATTAAGAAGAATTTTATTTAAAAAATTAAAAATGACCAATGAGCACATAGCATTTATATATGCTGTTTTGCCCTGGTCAGATCGCTATGGAAAAAAAGGAAAGAAAAACCCTTTTGGGATAAAAGGGAAAATGTTAAAGTATATGTATAAGTGATGATAATTAATTATCAGAAATTCGTTTTTGTATTGAAAGAAGATGATTGACAAAGGGTTCACCAAGATGGTCAGAGGGTTCAGGGATTTGGGAGTGAGCTAGATAGTCCATCTCAAATAGAATTGCACATATAGAAGGCCAGCGTATGAGCCAGGCATCAATTGATTTTTTCACTTTCTTCGTATGGAATGTTGATGGTAATAGATTCAAGAGATAAGAGAGTGGATCTTCAATAGATTTGGGCATCTGAAGGCGGTTGTGCATATGTAAACAAGAAAAACTATGTGAGCGTGTGAAGAGTTCATTTGGATGGAAGGGGCAGGCTTGGGGTTTACCAAGAGGTAACCAACCAAGTCGCCATCGCACGCAACGAAACCGTTGTCTTCTTGTCATTGGTATCGTAAGAATAGGGTCGACAATCAGATTATTACGGCAATGGGATAAAAGTTTCGAATGTTTTTCTTGTAGTTTTGAGTGGTAGCTGTCAAGTAGGAATTGTCTTCGGTTCCTACTAAAATCCTTATGAGACGTAGTGTTAAGATTTTCATTGCAAACTGATATCCATAGAGGAGATTTGGATAGTTGGGACCATTTTGATTTAGTTTGAGACTGTATGTATGGTAGCAATTTCGTCAATAATGCATCATTTGGTAAAAAGGAGGATCTAAAAAGAAATTGTGCTTGGAGTATTGAAATACGATCTTTCATGTTAGGTAAATTTGTTAGGTGTAATATTACTTTGGTTGAGGTGAAAGGTCGTCCACCGAAGATTTGACGCATACATTGATTTTGGCAGTTTTCTAGAGAGCGGATTTCTCGTAGGTTGAAGGTTGTGATTGCTAATCCATATTCTAATTGTGGTCGAACTATTTGGGCGTAAAAACGAGCTGAAAGAAGGTGGTCAAAGCCATTTTTATTTACACCAAGGGTGGTAAGCTGTCTCATCGTTCCAAGTGCTTTATTGATGTTTTGTTGTAAAAGTGCTGATTTATGTACGACACCACCAGATTTAATAGGAACACCGAGGTACGGGAAGAAATCTTCATTGGGTAATTCATTATTGTAGAGGTAGTATTTTTGAGGTGTAGGATTGGAATTCACAATAACGCACTTTTTAGAGTTCCATCTGTAACCTAAAGAAAGGCTGTGTTCTTCGCATTTGGAAAGGAGGAACTGCATGGAATCAGCATCAGAAATGAGAACCACATCATCTGCATATAATAGGCAATTTAACTTTGGCGCCACAAGGGAAGGATCATTAAAGTCTGTTTCAAGGAGAGGTGCTGGTCGTAAGAAATTTGGAAGACTATTAATATATACTGAATATAAGTAAGGTGATAAGACAGAGCCTTGTAGAACGCCTGTTTTTGGATGGAAACGGGAGGATGTATGGTTGCTAAGAATCACCTCGACAGAAACTTCTTCAAACATGTTGTATAAGAGGGCTAAAAGAGGTGTTGAGACACTTGAAGAAAGCTCGTCCCAAATGATACTTCGATCAACCGTATCATAAGCTGATTTTATATCGAGAAAGGCTAGTACTGGATTGTAATGTAAGTGTTTACGATGATATAATTGACATAATTCGGTTAGACAAAGTACTTGGTCAAGCGACCCTCTAGCTTCACGGAAGCCTCCCTGAGCTACATCCAGCGTGGGACCGGTGTTAATTAGTTCATATTGCATGCATTTTTCTAAAATTTTACGGAATACTGAGGTCAAACTAATTGGTCGATAATTGCCCGGGTCAGAAGTATCACCTTTTTTATGGATTGGGACTATCTGGCTAATGCGCCATAGTTGGGGAAACTCATGACTTACAGTTTCTACACTTCAAATTCAGACGATGTTTTTTTTTTTTTTTTTTTTTTTTTTTTTTTTTTTGGATGCATTAAAATTAATTTTTAGACAAAAAAGAAATTGGTTTTGAACGAAAAAAACAGTGCTTTTCAGATGCTTATCTGTAAAAATCTAAATCCCTAAAAGGGAAGCCGTGTTTACTACGGCGATTGATGAAAATAAAAAAAAATGATCAAGATGATCTAGTGGGGAGGAACATGGAAGGACGATCATAGCCATTCCAGATGTATGACGAAATGAGCGACATATTCTTAGCAGCATTATGATCCCTTTGCCACAGTGTTTGACAGTTTTTGCAAGCAAGAACACTGGAACCTTTCATATTTTCTACTTTTTTGAGCGAATCATCGTAGCATTTATAGCATATTTTTGATGTCTTAAACTCATCAATAGTTATCGCCAAAAGATCACCTTCTTTCTCCCTCCTCTTAATCGCCCTCCAAAGAACACCAGTAGTTCTGCATTTGTTTCCTTTAAGATTTACGCCATCTTTTTCCAAACATTCCTGCTCCAAAAACTATTAGCGGGACCTTGGCGGCATCTTGACTAAACTTTTCGGGCCTCCGTTTTACTCTATATTATGAAATACGTCAATTAACGTGAAAAAATAAATAAATAAATAAAGTCTGTTGGCTTACTTAGCCACATCTACCCGCTGCCGCATTGCTTGTCCCTTGATATTTTTGGTCTCTGAACTTTGTCGTTTCCGGCTTGTACCGACTATCAAAAAAGAGTTATCAGTTTGTCTTTGCTCAGCGTCATCTGCTTTGTCTTCTTTATAAAGTCTACATTTATAATAGTTTTTTTATTATAATGTTCGATTTGTTTACAATCCTTGCATGTTGGCTATGATTTCTCTCCTAAGTAGATATAGTGTTTATGAGAAACAAAGCAACTTTAAAATATCTCATACTCTATACCTAACGCTCTGTTCTCTTTTACTGCTTCAATCTTGTTAAGAATTATGGATTTATACATTTTCTTGAGGTATAAAAAGAAAGAGAGAGAGAGAGAGAGAGAAAGTAAAGAAAAATAAAACTGATGTATAGTAAGCTATTAAAATGGGTGCTTTGACCACATTGTTCTTTCAAAAAAAAAAAAAAAAAAAAAAAAAAAATACGCATGATAAAAAAAATTCCTTTTTTGGAAAAAGATAATATATCAGAACAGGTTTTTACTAATGTAATGGGAAAAATAAAAGGAAAGTTGTCCAAGTATATGACAGTTTCTCTCTACTTATATTTAAAAATAACAAAGTAAATTAGAAAAAGTAAAGTCTATTACTTATGATTATCTTGTTCAATGTAGAACTAACTATAAAGTCCTACTTGCAAGACAGGAAGGCTTGAAAAGTTTAAACAAAAACGAAATCCACGTCCTTTCCGCCGATCCAAAAATCCCGCAGTACCTTATCACGGACTCTTAAGGTAAGCTTCAAAAAAAAAAAAAAAAAAAAAAAAAAAAAGGACAAGACAAGACAAGACAAGATTTTATGATTTATGATTTATGATTTATTAAAATTATATAATGTACAGGAGAGTAGCCTTCCTCCTGTTGAGGCTAGTAGATTTACTTACCTATATTTTATTCTTTAGTATAAAATTAGTATTAGTTAATTTTAATGTTAGATATAATTTATATTATGTTTATTTACCTATTGCTGGTTTGTTTATTCACCACCACCATAACCAAGTAATATCAGAGAAAAATGAGTCCTATATGTATCTATATAAAAAAAAATAACCTCATGAGCTTGCTGAATATTTAAACTCTGCTGCTGAAGTATGGCCTAGGGGGCTGTGTCATGGTCTTCCAAACGCAAGGGAGTCTTGACATCTTTCTTCTTTTCTTCTGCCATTGGACGAGTCCTCACCCCAGATCTTTAATACAACTTGCATACTTCAGCAGCACAAATCTCTTAAGGGTTCCTTAACTTTTAAATATTTTTCACCAAAGATCACCAGAAATTTTGATAATAAAAAAGTAGAGTAGAGTAGATTATAAGAAGAGAGAAGGGTTTGTGTGTGAATAATGAAAGAGAAAAAGAAAATTTGATTGTAGAAAAAGGCCCCTATTTATATTAATTTGAATTTGCTTGGATATACTAATTAAAAGGAGATAGTGTAAATTTAGGCAAGTTATTCATATTGCATTGAATCACATGCATAATTTATTTATTTTTGTACAATGTACTGTACTACTTTCGGAGGAAGGAAGTCCGATTGTTTTTAAGGAGAAAATAACAATAATAATAATACAATTTTATTTACTTATTCCACACTTTGATAAGAATTATTATATTAAAAAATTGTATATTTTTATAATGGATTCTTTTTTTTTTTCTTTTTATTTTTTACAAAGGGGAATCTAGAATAAAAGGAGGCGAAATGAATGAGAAGAATGAGAAGAAAAAGAAGAAAAGCCTCATGCAGATATAAACAAAGGAGAAGCATACATACTTGAAACTTGTACATGTTTATTTAAGCATGTAAATAACGTTTTATCAAATGAGGGAATATGACTATTAGAGAATGTATAACATGCTATAATATTATTTTTAACTATGAAAAAGAGCACGACACTTTTTATACATGCAAAATATGATAAAATATACTTTACATGTAAGAAAATATAAGGATGCAAAAGGGAGAAATAAAATAAACTTTCATTTATTTATTTAATTACAAGTTATAATTTTTACCATTTTCAGAATAGCTTTTGAACTGATCATCCACTTTTTTTTTTTTTTTTTTTTTTTTTTTTTTTTTTTTTTTGTTGATCATTTTTGTGTTTCCCCAAAAAAAATAAACCTTTGTCCAGAACAATGTAATTTAATATAAAAGAGTACCATAATGTGAATTACAGTATTTTTATCTGGAAGAGGAGTATATGTATATATTTATTCCATGCCATAAACTAAAGGAAAGAAAAAGAAGAAGGAATAAAAGAAAGAAAATATTGTTTAAATTCCTTAGTCAAACTCTAGCAAATAATAATAATAATAATAATAGTAAAAAAAAAAAAAAAAAAAAAAAAGCGTAGAAGTGTAAAAGATAACACATAAAAAGATCGAATTGATTGCCAAGAAATACAAAATAATATATTTCTTTTGCGTTTACAGCACAGGCCCTGAATAATTAAGAGAGAACAAATTAAATAGTTGAGCTGCGAAATTATTATTACTAGTAAGATTCTACAGTAAGGGAAACGACTCCAGAAAGTAAATTAATCTACTGTCATATAATATGAGCTTCTCAAAAGAAAGAAATAAAAAAAAAAAAAAAAGAATAATAATTTATATAAAATCCTTGAGCTATGATTTACATTCAACAGTAGCAATGTAATGTACTATTATTACTTCTTGAAGAATAAATGGCCGTCTAGGTCTTGACTATTTTCTTTCTTTATGGTTTCTATTCAAGTTAAAGAAGGAACGATGTATTTAAAAAGTCTAACCAGATCATTATCCATATTCTACAACCAATTATAATTATTATTAAAATTAAAATTTTCTGCATTAAATAGATCTCAGTTGGGTACAAATAATTTGATACTGCGTCTATTGTAATAGTTTGTCAAGCTAGTGATATGGCTGATAAACATAGCTGTTTTTTGATACTAATATTAACTGTCTATCATTTGATGTTTCTCCCTTCACCCCACTTTTTTTATCTGACCTGGATAATACAGTTTTATTTTATTATGTGCTCAAATGAGTTTTAGATGATTTTATTCAATAAACAAACAGATATTGAATTATATTATTTAATAGGCCATGTAAATTCTTTTTGTAGAACACAACAACCAAAAAGAATAATGATGTGCTTTAATTGCTGCAATTCAGTACTTTTTTTTGAAAGAGATTATAATGTAATTAAGCGGCTGGTTGTTTTGCAATGACCTCTAAAGATGGCTTCATAAAAAGAGAGAGAGAGAAAGAAATAAAAGAATAAAGCCCCTTGGGAAAGGCTCCTGTAGCTGGATAATCTACACAACAAGTCGTCTTTTTAGTCAGTGTACTATAAACTAGTTATGAGATAGTAATAATAAAAATAATAATAAACGCCATCATGAGTCATTTAGACAAAGAGATAATTCAGGAGGAAGGTGAAAAATAATTGATATGAAATCAGAGACTATGAAGTCCCGAGGAGAAAAACAAGAGAGTAATATTGAAAGGTATGTTTTACATAAATGGCGTAGATATGTTAGTATTATGATACAAAAAAAAATGTTAAAGATAGAAGAGTTATTGGCTGTTGACGTTGGTAAGCGCTCTTACTGTCGTGACATACTCTACTGTATGCATGAGGAATAGCATACCCTTCCCTCACCAAGAAAAAAAAAAGACGCGCTTGGCATACTAATTAGCAACCAAAGAAAGCCAATAAAGTTCAAGAAGCATTGGAAATATTGCATCATAGTATTACAATAAGTAAAATTGAAAAAAGGAAGAGATATACAGCTGTTACAAATATCCTTCAAATTTATTCATTAAAGTTCTAAAGATGGTTTAAAGGCATTATAAACTGCTTATATTATTATTTATTAAATCAAAGAGTATTGATAAAGAAGATTTTATATATAATGATATGACTATCTATTTCTAGTTTTTCATTTTTTTAATTTATACACTATATACTTTGATTGTCCAACACATACAGATAATAATATTATTTAAACCTCCGTTTAAGCAGCCGCGTGTTTTACTCACATGGAGCATAAAAAAAAAGGGAATACAACAGTTTTTTTTTTATTATTAATATTTTTATTTTTATTTTACACTTCTATTAATAAATAAAAAGAAATGTCTAATTTAGAAAAAGAATCGAGTTCTGAACAACCAGTTCATTCCATTGAAAAACACCTCGAAGAAAAAAAAAACGAAGAATCACAAGGTCATCTAGACGAAACGACTACTACTTCTTTATTACAAAGGAATATGATTGTACCCAATTCTGATGATCACTTATCTGAACAAGTACGCATCTTGAAAGATGCTTTCCCAAGTACGGATGTAGAAGTGATAGAAGCTGTTCTTCAAAGTCAAAATAATAATATGGAAGCTACAATTGAATCACTACTGGCTATATCCGATCCTAGTTACACACCCTCAGTTCCTGTCGCTTCAGAACAACAAACACCTCCTATGCCCCCACGTCCCTCTAAACCTAACAACAGACCACCCTATACTTATTGGGAAGACGCATCTAAAACAGGTATTCATAGTGTAGAGGAGCAAGTTCGAATGGACGAAGAGTTGGCTAGAAAATTAGCTATGGAAGATGAAATGAGAACTCAACAGCGTATGTAATTTTACTTTCTTTGTGTACGTTATATAGGCATCCATTTAAGTTGGTTATTTACTTTTTTTTTTTCGTTTGAAATAGTACGCCCAAAACAGCAATGGAGACAAGAAGAGGAGCCTATTTTTAATTTTCAAGGTAATATAATATACGATTTTAAATACATAGTCATTCATATTTTTTCATTTTATGTATGTAATTATTGACAATAGAAGAATTGCCACTTATTAAAGAAAAAATGAAAGAAGCAGGAAATGGTATAATATTCATATGATAAAGAGAGAGAGAGAGAGAGAGGGTTAAGGAGGAAGAGGAAAGCTTTTATACTTAAAGTATAAATTTACTCTCTTATTTTTTTTTTTTAAAAAAAAAATAGCTGCCAAGAAAAAGATGTTAAATTTTTATAATCAACTCAAGGCAAATACACAAAAAAATACAAATCAAAATTATCAGCATGAATCTTCATCTATGCCTACTACAAATGCGTTATATAGGTATTATCTGCTTGTAATCATATAACATTTTTTTTTTGTATTCAATGTGTTGTATGATAGAGGATTACCAAGTGATGATGGAGATGATCTTTTAACTGGAGATATATCTGCACTTCATTTATCAGATTATGATGTATATGCAAAAACTGGAGGGAAGACAAGAAATTCAAATGAATATAAAAAAGGTATTTTATCGATAAACATTTTGAAAGAATAGTTCATTAATGAAAGAAAAAATATATATTCTTTCTTGAAGATAATGATGTTATCTACGTTAATTCCCCGTTAAATACAACGAGAAGTTTGCAAACATCTACTTCTGAAGCACAACTTAAAGCAGATGAAAACTTTGCAAGACAATTAGCTGAAGAAGAGTCAAGGGGTAAAGTAGATAAATAAATAAATATATATATATAAAGATTGTACATGGATATATTTAGCTAATGAGTTACGACTTTTAAATGGAAAAAGAGGCAAGAAGGCTATCCTCTAATATGACGGTGAATACCACTTTACAACCACCTCAAATGCCACCTAGAAAATCCGTTAGTCCTACAGTAGTTATTTCAACAAGATCACCTTTAGAGTATGAAGGAGATTCAGATTATGAAGGCAAATACACAAGTAAAAGAAAAAAAATAAAAGGCGAGGAGGAGGAGGAGGAGGAGGAAGAGGAGAGTAATTAAAAAAAAAACCGAGAATAGTTTTAATAATGGTTAAAATATAGATGTTGGTTTAACTGTTGCATCTACAACAGAAAGTAAAAATAACAAGATAGAAAGTCCTAACAATGATGAATTAGAGACAGATAATAATAATGTTCCATATGTTATTGGAGATGATGATGATGACTCTGATTCAGAAGATAATTTGATTGATGATATTGAAGAAGAAGAAGAAGATAATAAGTCAAAGAAAGGTAATATGAACTAGTGTAAGAAATTTTTTTTAAAAAAAAAAAAAAAAAAAAATTAAATTTATTATTAGATGACATTGCTACTATAACTACTACTAATAAAGAAAATGCAACAGCAGCAGCAGCAGCCGTTTTAAAATGTGAGGATGAAGACACTAAGAAGGATAATGAAAAACCATCTGCTACTACAAAATAAAGGTTGTAATTCAAGTAAATTAAATAAAAGGTTTTTCGTATATATGATCATCATCATCATAAGGTCGCATATACTGTTGACTTTACTTTTTATTTTATTTTATTTTTCTTCCCCTCTCTTGTAATGAAACTTATAAGTGATAAATAAAACCATAACCATTACCGGTCGGAAGAATGATATTTTCTACATTTTTACATTTAATAGAGATTGTTCCCGTATCAGGATTGCTTCTAGTTGCTCTTCTTTTCCTTGGTTCTACTTTCAATTTTATATAGGCAGCACTACCTATACTATGTTGTTTTCGGATACTATACCATATACAATGACCCTGTAGATCATGAAGTTTAATATATGGATAACCCTTTATAAAGATATTTAAAGTATGAATATCATGTCTTGAAAGATCCATGGAGATATCTTCTGGATTGATGATAGGTCTTAAAGATTTAATACTTAAAGCAAAGAGTTTTAGTTTAGGACAAGATTGAGATATAAAACGTAGCAAGTAGGATAAATTCTCTTCAGCTGGTTCTGGTATAGTGGCACCATATAATTCTAATCTATCTAAATTATAATAGGGTTGTGGAAAGATGGGATGCAATGAGATAAAGAAAGAATGTAGTTTTAAATGAATGACGTTTGGATGTTGATTTAAAAAGGAATTGAATGGAAAGTTGACGAAGCCTTGATCTTGACCAGGACCAAGATGATGAGGACAGAAGGAGAGACTGATGGTCTTCAAGTTGGTAAATCGATGAATGATGATTTGAAAATCAATGTCTATATCAGAGATAGTGATATTCAAATGTTCAATGTAATTCCGTTGATTTGAATAGGATAAATTGATTAATTCTTCCATGTTTCTTGATATTGAAAAGAAGTCCTTGATTCTCATCAAGTTAATCTCATCAAAGGCGTCTAAGATCTTTTTCGTAAATGGGTGAATATCAACATCGAATTCCTTGATATGTTTACAATTCTTTGCGATGCAAACAATTCTTTCTTCAATAAGTGGGTCGACAGGTATCTCCATAAAGAGATTTTCATCAAGCCAAAATTTAAATAGAATGCGTTCCATATTCAAATATTTCTTTGAGACATAATCCAATATTTTCCATTTAAAACTTGATCTCATCGTGACTTCCTCTAGACAAAGTTGATTGATAGACAAGGCAGGTTCTACAGAAGATGTCTCGAGTTCCCATGGAGAGTTATCATCCAAGGTAGCATACTTGAGATCTAATATCTCCAACACGGGAGTATTTGAATGTAATTTCTCCAAGAGTTGAATGTTGATATAGGCGTGAGCAAGACATAGATGTTTTAAAGCAGGAGCATTGGATAATGAACTAATAAGCTCAGTTGAGGCTCTACTTGAAGACAAGAAGTAAACAAGTTCAAAGTTAAGCATCAGATAACTTAAATTTTTGAATACATTTGACTTGAGCATCGAAACGGTATACATGTATCGATTACGCTCTGTAACCGATTTTAAATTTTTCCATTTTGAAAAACTTTTCTCGGTTCTAGTAGGAAAGAATGAATGACTTTCAAAGAGGGACAATAAAAATCCGATAGGACCATAGTTATCTTGAAAGAAAAGATCAGAACTATCTTCATCTTCGAAATCAGATTCAGAGGTTTCAAAATCGAGAGAAAGTTCTTTTACATTTGGAAATAGTAATGGCCATTTTCTAATGTGTTCAATATGTATCTCTTCATTACAATCTACATTTATTTTTTTCACTGTATTTGCATATTCTTTATAATTCGTAAAGAATTCGACCATCTTGTTATGTTGAATACGAAAGCGGGTAATATCTAAAGTTTCATATAATTTTGAACGTCTGATTATTTTATTCCAATATCTACAAACATAAGAAGCCTGATAAAGATCTCTATTCCCTAAATAAGATATGATTTGAAAAAAAGTTTCATAAGGTAATCTATTCATATTGATAAGAAGAAGAAGGAAAAGAAGAAAAAAAAAAAAAGAAGAAGAATAAAAAAAAAAAAAAAAGAGAGAGAGAGAGAGAAAAGAAGTATAATAATCTTAATTAAATTTTAAGCAGTAACAAAATACATATAAATATTTATATATACATGTACATATACATATACATGAATGTATATATCAATGTGTAATAGTACAAGTAGTAATAGTGGCAGTGGGAGTAGGAGTAGTAGTAGTAGTAGTAGGAGTATTAACTTTTTTTTTTATTATATCTTGCATCATTTTCCAAATCACGTTTATTTTTCAACATAGTGTAATTACTTTGTAGTAGTAGTAGAATGAATGAATGGCTGCATTAAAAATAAAAAAAAAAAAAATTATACTCAGCAGAACAACAGTGATTCAATAAAATTGTAAATCTTTATACATGAATGTAATATAATAAAAAGAAAGGCGGCTTATCCCCCACCAAAAAAAGATGGGCTTATGTGTAACTATAAAGTGAAACTTTCTGGTATTTTGAACTCTTCTGAAATAAAATAAAGGGTAGATAGAATGTCTTGGTGAAGCTGAATTATCCTTTCATAATATTTGTTCAAGATATATTAAACAGTCAAAATGCACTAGTAGTAAAAAGAAAGAAAGAATGATAATAATTTATTCTATTTTTATAATGATAATATTTTAAAAATAGCAGTTTTTATTAACAAAAAAAAATTATAGACACATTCTTTAATAATTGAAAGAAAAAAAACTAAAGCTATTCGAGCTACATGTAAAAGATGTATACAATTCATACAATTATAATCAGTATAATATACAAAAAAATTTTTTTTCCTTTTTTTCTTTTTTTTCTTTTTTTTTTTATCTTTTTGTCTCATAGTAATAGTCAGTGGTAAGGCGGACGGAATTCATCCCGAAATAATAACGTTAATTTATTGGGGGAGAGAGAGAGAAAGTGAAGGAGGGAGAATCATTATTATATTATGTCAAAAAAAAAAATTGTACAATAATAAAAATAGTAGTTTTTTTTTTTTTAACTTTTCTTTATCCCCTTCCCCCTTTTTCTTCTTTTCTCTTTTGTATACAGTTAGAATAAATATTCATAAAAGATGCATAATAATAGTCAGCATTTATTACCTTCAAAAACAACATTTATACCAACTAATATAGTAAACTCGATTCTATCCTATACACACTATCTCTTTCTCTTTCTTTCTTTCTTTCTTTCTTTCTTAACACTTCTTTTTATTGTTATATAGAAGACATCTTATGTAGCTCCAACTAGAAGTTGTAGTAATAAAATTGTAGTCGCTAAACGACAACAAGAAAGTGTAGTTCATATTACCATCACTGCGGCTGGTACCGTCATTTATACCCAAACAGCTACCTCTTATTCTTATATTCCAAGTTATTCTCCTGTTTATGAATCTCCTGCAATAAATGGAAATAACAGTAATCAAAATGATCCCAACAGTCATTTCCATAAGAACAATAATCAATTGAATATAGGCGCCATCATAGGTGGCGTTGTTGGTGGTGTTGCTTTAATAGCTTTAATAGGTTTAATCATCATCTATACTATACTATACTATATCATATTATATTTAACCTAACCTAACATAATCATTATTATCATTATATTCTACTTGTACTCTTTACTTCTCATATAGGTTTAGGCTTTTTATTTATGCGTCGTAGAGCACAAAAGCAAAAGAGAGAAAAAGAAAAAAATGAATTTATTGATGATGACGACGATTCTTATTATCAAACAAATAACAACAATCGTCATTCAACTTCTAACGAAATAACGACTACAACTGCGGATGGAATAATAACAAAGACAACAGCTGGTTGCTCACCATTAGCTCCTAGACATCTAGTGGCTCCTCTAGAAGGAGATGGAAGAGAATCAAAATTTTATCCACTAACAAATGATGGTTATTACTATGAGGATATAATCGCTCCTTCTTACCCACCCACAAAAGCATTTTATTCAAGAAATAATAGTATTACTTCTGATTCATTACCTTCAACTGCAATTGACAGTAATAATAATATATCAACAAGTTATAATGGCATGCGACATGTACCTAATGAAGTTGATTATCCTGTTGTTGCTACTAATTTAGAAGAACGACATGTACCTCATTTAAAAGATGATGATGATATTCCTAGAATAGAACCTCCTCATACTAGAGATTAATTGTATCAACTATTTATATGTATAATAATAAAAAAAAATAAATAAATAACAAGACATGATATTATAAATAAATAAGCTTCTTGTTGTTAAATTATAGAGTTAATATCACCATTCAAGTGATTCCTTTTTAATAGAAGAAATAGATGTTTTCTTTTTTTTTGTAATAACAGCAGAAGGACAATATTGATTTACAGGACATTGATCACATCGAGGTCCTCTAGGTAAACAAACAATTTGACCGAATCCCACCATCATCGGGTTAATGTTTCGCCATCTATCTTTTGGTAACCAAGATTCAAGGCTCTACCGCCAAAAAAAAAAAAAATAAAGGAAATAAATATCACTAAATTATATCTTGTTGTACAATTTTTTTTTTTTTTTTTTTTTTTTTAAAAAAATAAATAACTTTACAGCTCTTGTTTCTTCAGGTGTTTTCGTTTTTACCCAACCTAGACGATTACAGATACGATGTACATGAACATCTACACCAATCCCTATATTTTTATTCCATGCGACTTGTAAAGTAAGATAGGCCATCTTGGGTCCAACTCCGGGTAAAGACGTTAAGCCTTGTATTGTATCTGGAATATCACCTCCATAGTCGTCTCTCAATCGTATTGCTGTACGTTTCAAGAAGGCTGCCTTCCTTTTATGAAATCCTACACTGGATATCAATTCATCTAATCGGTCTTCTTTAACATCTAGAATACTTTGTAAATTTAAACCTCCTGGTAACTCTGCCTGTAATCTCCAAACAGTCGCACTTGTCACTGTATCCTTGGTTTGTGAAGAAAGCATGAGACTTACCAAGGTCTGGAAACGTTGAACAAGAGGAGATGCGGTCGTTTCTGCTAAACGTTCACAACCCATCGTATCTACAGGCGCCTTTTCCTTTTCTCGATAGGCTTGAATCAGTTTATAAACAACTTGCCAGTCTTTATTCTTAACAGGCGTGTTTTCTATTCTTTCTTTTCCTTTCATCTTTAATAATGATGACTCTTTAGTAGTAGACGTTGATACTAATGTCACATGTTGAAGATTTGGATCCGCTTCTTCTTCTTCTTTTTTTACTGCATTTATCTTTCTTCTCTTTGTAGGAATTACCTTTGTTTTTTCTTCTTCCTTTACAGGAACTAATTCTTTCTTGATTACATTACGAATATTCCTAGGACTTTTACGTAAAGACATTCTTTCTTTCTCGCACTCACTCTCTTTTTCTTTCTTTCTTTCTTTCTTTCTTTCTTTCTTTTTTTGACTTGAATTAATATTAAAAGGGAAATCGTATTACACAACCAATTTTTTTTTTTTTTAAAAAATAAAAAAGTAAAAATAGGACACGTCATTATAATTCTTCAATATACACACACATGTATACATTTATTATTATTATTATTATTATTATGCCATCATCCAGCCTTTATTTTGCTCTGCTGATTCATCTATTTTATCATTACTATGACTACTACTACTAGGCTGTTGTATGACACCATCTGATTCTATATCTTGTCTATGATAGGCTATTGAATGACCTCGCATTAAACGATGTAAACTTGCCACACTTGATCTTGTGCCTACTCCAGCTGCACCGACTGTAATGTCTGAAAACCGTAAACTACTACTACTTCGACGATGGGTAGGAGGAGAGTTGTAGTGGTGGTGTTGTTGTTGTTGATGTGGGGATTGATAAAAAAGTGTTGATGATTTCAAGCTGTTTTCTTGCCAATCGCCATCTCTTTCTAAATCAATAGTTTGTTGACTATTTGTAGTGTTATTATTATTCCAATGAGATAAAAGGTCTTCATTTCCTCTATAATAAGGAATCCCTTGTTGTTGTTGTTGTTGATGACGATATGGACTGTATAGTGAACCTTCCGTGGCAACATGATCTACAGTTGCCCATTGAATTTGTGGAGGTACTTGCATAGTACCTAATGTACTTGCTCTTGGTCTATTTCCATTATTATTTGTATTCTCATTTTGAAATGGTTGATGAAGATGATGATGATGATGAGATGGCTCTATTACAGTTGGTAAAGGAGGAATATAAGATAATTGTTTAGAGTTATTTTCATAATGAGTTGGTAAACTGAAATAAGTAGGAGATAAAAAAGAAGTGGCTGTAGCTGTAGCTGTAGACGTAGACGTAGACGTAGACGTAGACGTAGAGGATGATACTGCAGCAGCTGTGGGTAAACTATTATTAGTATGGTATCGATGAGACAAGATAGTTGGAGAATGAGGTTGATATTGTTGTTTTTGCTTTTGTTGTTGTTTCCTTGGAATGAATGGAGGCTGAAATGGATGAAGAAAGTGTTCACCGGTGATAAAAGGATGTCTCTTGGCTTGTTGAGGTGACCATCTTTCAATTGGGTTTAGATTAAGTAAGCCTTGAAGGAAATCAATAAAGGCTAATCTATTTTGCCTTTCCTTTTCAATTTCTTTCGCTGACATTTGGGCCTTTCTCATGATTGGATAATGATTGATGAGGTCAGGTAAAGTATTAGCAGAAAAATAGCGTTTTGAAGGTTGTTCTGATTTCCCTTGTTCTCTAGAGTATGTTTCGATTGATTTCAATTCATATTTCTTTTCATTATTTCCTATTGAAACTCTATCAAAGTAACGATGAGCATTTTTCCCTACTTCAATCATATAATTGGGCGGTGTCCTAATGATAAACTAAGTTGAGTTAAATAATGATAACTCACTTCCTCTTTCTTGTATCCCTTTACCCTAACATTTCCACAATACGACATAATTGATTATATTCAGAACTACCAGGAAACAATGGAAGACCTAAAAACAATTCTGCTGCTATACAACCCAAAGACCACATATCGATTGCACTTGTATAAGGTAATCCAATCAATACTTCTGGAGATCTATAAAATCTTGATTGAATATAGGTATACATCGTTTGTACTTCATGACAAGCAGAACCAAAATCAATGACTTTGATAGTAGGTGACTCTAGACTATTTTGTGGAAAAAAAAAAAAAAAGGTGAATACACATGTATAAGAATCATATATATATCTACTTTTTCAATAAAATGTTCTCAGGCTTCAAATCACAATGAATGATTCTAGCTTCATTTAATACCGTTAATGCATCCAATATTTGAGCAGTAAAGACACGTACAAGATTTGTTGATAAACCACGAAAATGATTTTGTTTGATAAGTTCGTACAAGTTGACTGATAACAATTCAAATACCAGACATAGATGCTTTTTATGAATAAATGAATCTTTTAATCTTAACAAGTGATGTTCATCATATTGATCATATCTTTGATTTAACTAAAATATACGTACGTACGGACATACAAACACACATATATATACATACATATATACATACATACATACATACATAAATACATTATATACATAAATACATTATATACATACACATATATATATACATACACATATACACACACACACACACACACACACACACACAATAGAATAGAATATATATATATATAACGTGAATACTTTTGGATTTTGATTTAAATGCTTACCATCTCTAATATAGCTACTTCCATCATACTTTGTTTAAAATAGGCTAATTTATTTTTCACTACTTTTACAGCTACAATCTCTTGTGTCTTTGTATTTCGACATTTAACAACTTGACCAAATGTACCTGATCCCAATACATCCATAATCAAATATCTATTGATTTATTTATATATTTTTGTTTATTATCATCATTAGAATGGATATACCTTAAAAATTCTTTTATTTATTTCTCTTTCTTTATTTCTTTCTTTCTTACTTTTTCTACACTTACTTGTGTCCTTCTGTGTTCCCAAGAATATCATTTACATATAAAATATAATCAAAATCTTCATTATCGTATCCATCATTCCGACATGCTTTCCTAGGTTTCGTTAATACTCGACGAGGCTTATTTGTTTCATTGTATTTAAAACCATGATTACAATTTTGATATGTTGCTTTTAATTCGACCGTAAGCATATATAATGGCTAAATAAAATAAAATAGTATTATCATCTATACACATCAATCATTATGCCAACTTGGGTATTTACCCCGTATCTTTTCCCTTCTCTTATTCGACGATGATGTGAAAGTGGTAAATCGAGTTGACTCTTGATTTTACGAAATGCACCCGACATGTTTGGTTTGAGTATATATTTTTCTTCTTTTAATCGAGGTGAATGTCTGTAGATGGGAGGAGAGGACATGTATAGTGTATTGTTGTTATTGTTTAGTTCTTTTGATGAATGGTATTTTGTCATTGTATCATCGTTAATTGTAATACCAATGTAATTTGTATCTTGCTGTTGTTGTTGTTGTTGTTGTTGTTGTTGTTGTTGTGATGATGGTGAGGATAAATTAGTAGGAGTTGACAAAGAAGTAGAAAGAGATCTTTGTTTTTGTTGTTGAATTTCCAAATGCAGTAATGAAGATGAAGTGTTTTTTTTATCAACTGTCTCTTGTTGAAAGGATGCCATTGAATGTATGTAGATTTTACTTGTGAGGAGAAAGTAAATCTGATAAAAAAAAAAGGGGGAGGAAGGGGAGGAGAGGAGAAAGGGAAGGAAAAGAAAGAAAAATAATAAAATAAAATAAAATAAAAAAAAAATAATAAAAAACGATATATGTGAGAAAAGTAGTAATGGTGTGAGAGAGATAGTAGGGAGAGCTTAAATAATTTATGTATTGTATTGTTCATATTTGAGGGGAGATTTAAAAGCAGTCATGCGTAATAGAAGAGATATACAAATTATAAAAAGACAAAACAAACAAAGGGGCCCACTTTCAAGATATCAATAAATAGCAAAGTCCTTTCAAAGAAGAACTTCATTATCGCAATGATGAATTAGACTTTAGTTATTTTTGCTTGTTGAGAATGCTTTTAGGAGGAGTTTTTATCTTTAAAATTCAAAGTCAAAACAGTGAGTTGTTGTAGTGTCCTCAAACAGCAGTAAACAAGATATATTTGCGTGTTTATTATTTGATAATAACCATTTCATCACACACACACACACACACACACACTACTTTTATTAAGCTGTCTTTCTCAGAGTTCCTTTTATTTTTATTTTTTTATTTCTAGTATTAAATACATAAGAAAGGTTCCAAACCATATTTATGAAAGGATAGGATTCAAGGGAATTTTAAAGAATTATCGTATTATGTTGAAAAGGTGTACTGATAATATGAAGGTATGCGTTCATTTATAGAGCGTAACATAGAGACATGAATGTTGACTGTCTAGGATGTATAAGGTTATTTGGCTCATCAGTAATGCATTGAAAGGAATTCTATTTATGTAACTTATTAAGACAATCATAAAAATTATTTTTCTTTTCCAAAAATATGAGCATGTTTATTAATGTTAAGAAAATTATAAAATTAAATTATTTTGAAGCATTCATATAGAAATAGGCACATTAAACGATTATTATAAAGTGTTTAAAGATGCCACATTTCAGCCATGAATAAATACTTCAAAAATATCCAGGGATAATTAAATATACGAGGGAAGTAATTCCTAATAAAGATAGAAGTTAATAAACTAAATTATAATAAATACATGAAGAAAATGTATATTTAATAAGGGAATGGAATCAGGGTGTCAATTTGAATCATTATGAATCATGTGAAGAAATTCAACAAAAATAAATTTTTGCTAAAAACATCATATTGGAAATTCCCTTATATCATGTATACATATTTCGTGTTATGATATACAACTTACCAAAATATATACAAAAGAATATCGAAAAGAGAAAGAATAAAAAGGTAGATTTTTGTAGCTTGCCCTTTTTTTATAGCAAACTTAAATTACTGGGTTGTTCTTATCATTATTCCTCTTTTTTTTTTTCAAGTGGCTTTGCGTTGTTATGAAGAAAAATTTTTTTTACTGACTTTAAAATATGTATGGCGAGGTTGATTGGCTAACCAGTCAAAATTTTTAAGTCTGAAAAAAAAAAAAAAATAAAGAAATAAATACTTTAGGTTGAAAATGCTTACGATCTAAAATATATCAAGACATGCTCTTAAAGATATTGATATTATTAAGCTTTTATAACGTTCTATACAATAGTTGAGCATTAGAATAGCATAGTGATTTTAAGTAATAAGAAAATTCAAGCTTATTGGTTTTTGTGTTTGGTGTATTGATATCGATAAAAGCTTCTTACATCATAGAATTTGGATCAAAATATGCAGTGATAAGAAGAATTTGAATTTAATCGTGTTCAAGTCAAACAAAAGGAATGATAGAGATCATTTTCTTCAAGTGATACAAATCATGCCCTGCCAAGTTATTTGTCTTTCTTTATTTATTTACTTGGCTCACTTTGAAAGCTTCATCTAGCTTATCTTTAACACAGAAATACTCTAGATGCTTAAATCAATATAAGAGAAGAAACCTGTCATATACCTTAATTGTTTCTCTCTTTCTCTTTATACTTGTACTTATCTTTGTCTAATTGACTATAGCTGATATGAAACGACGAATAAAGAATGAAGAATATGAATACTAAAATGACTTTAATTGAATATTAAACTCATTTACCCTTTATTTACAGACACAGATGTACATTTACAAAGGCTCTACAAAGTCCAAACAGAGGTCAAAAAGACTTTATAATTGTCAAATAGACAGACCAATCTCACAAGGGGATTATGCTTATTTGTATACTATAACAATACATATGTCTCATTTAGACAGTCTATTAGTTGTTCATCAGGGATATATCACCTTTATCCCAATAAAAGAAATTGATATCAAACAATATTAGTGTAGTATATGTAAATAGATTTCGCGTATTAGAGTTTAAGGACAATACAATTTTGGTCATGCATAGTGACTTTAGTTAACTCTCTCTTTAAGATATGCAACTCTCGCTGAATTATTACTTTTACAGATCTAATAGATAATTTTCTTAGCATTTCTGCTTCCTAAAGTTGTGGAATATGATGATAAAGAAAAGTAAATACATCTAAATATATATAAGATTGCTCATAATGTTATCTCTAATTATGGAAGATTACACATAATCTCTAGGTAAGCATTCTAATTTTCTTGTAATATACATCATTATATCCAACCATGACATATGATTGATTTATCTAAAAGGCGAACATACATTCTCTTTAAACTCTCTCCTTCTATCTCTCTCTCTATATATATATATATGTGTGTGTGTATGTATATGTATATATCTATCTATCCATTTATTAGAAGTTGGTTTAAAAGACAATGTTTTCTGCATGCATACGAGAAAAAATACTTTTAATACCTAACAATGACTAGTTTAGGTTTACCTAACTTACAAATAAAGTATTAACTGTTATGATGTATTTATATGTCACATGCAGAACTGAATATATTGCATTATTTTTGTATCCAAAAAAGTAAAACTTTATTCTGCAGCTGCAACAATAGTGTGTAAAATACATAAATATTCTATTTTTTATTTTTATTTTTATTTTTTTTTTTTTTATTTTTATCCTTTTTATCCTTTTTATTCTTTTTATTCTTTTTATTCTTTTTATTCTTTTTCTTTCATTCTTTTTAATTATATATACTACTATCATTCAATGACTTGTCAACATGTCAAGAGCAAGTAATAATACAAAAAATAAAATCACTTTGCCATTACCGTTTTTATTAGAAAGCAATACAAATCCTTCATTTTCATTTGTAATGAGGCAAAATAAAATGAATGAAAGCTTTGAGAATTTGAATTTGTCAAACCCTATCGATTCTCATGACAGAAATCCTCAGTCAACCACAAACCTAAATTCACATCAGTTAACAACTTCTATCAAAGCGAAACGTCAATCACATACTCGTAACTATCAGTTATATGAAGGAAAGACTCTCTTTTTTTGTGGTGGAAGGTTGTTAACGAGTAGAGCTTTTTGGGCATTTGGTTTATCCATCTTTTTATTAATAATGCCTTCAGTTTTATTTCTTATATTCACGTATGTATTCTTTACCAAGAATGTTTCGTTTTTATTTAATTTTATTTATTTATTTTTTTATATACTAATTAGATGTCCTTGGTTATGGCATCATGTTTCACCTGCTATTCCTATCCTATTTGCTTATTTGTTTTGCCTTACATTTACTTCTATGTTAAAGACTTCATGGACTGATCCGGGGGTAAGTAGTATATATACATACTAGAATAGATTTATAAAGTGAATAATTAACAGTTTTTTTTTTTTTTTTTCGCTTTTCTTACTATTAGATTTTACCTCGTAATTTGGATATAAAAAGTACACAAAATGTAAATCAATATGGATATAGATATTCATTCATGTCAGATGATGACGGCCTGTTTCCTTTACCAAAAGAAATTACGATTAAGAATGCTCCTATTCAGCTAAAGTATTGTGAAACATGCTGTATTTATAGACCACCTCGAGCCAGTCATTGTAGACAATGCGATAATTGTGTAGGCAGGTAAAAAGGGAAAATAGAGGGTAGGGGCCAAGTGAGTGAGGAAATAGAGGAGACAGAGAGAGAGAGAGAGAGAGCGTGTGTGTAAGAAAAAAGATATAGAATGTCTATCTATCTGTCTATCTATCTATCTATTTGTCTATTTATACTTATATTAACCTATTCTATAGAAAATGAAGATCATCATTGCATTTGGTTAAATAATTGTGTTGGAAAGAGAAATTATACAACCTTCTTTACTTTTATTATGTCTGCTACTATCTTGTGCTGTTATGTAATCGCATTTTCTTTGACACATGTCATTCAAGTTTATTTAAATAGCAGGGAAAGCTTTAAAGATTCTTTATTGCATACACCTATTAGTTTTTTAATTGCTATTTTATGTTTCTTGTTATTACTCCCAATTGGTTGCCTAACTAGTTATCACTGCTTTTTAGTTATGAGAGGCGTTACAACTCATGAACAGGTAAGTCTTCTTTATATATATATATATATATGTGTGTGTATACATATTAAAGTCTATATAAAAGTTACGTTCAAATTTGGCTTCAATGCCATTTGAAAAACATCCTTATGATTTTGGAAATCCATTTAAAAATATGTTTCATATATTATGCAGACCACATAATAAGAGGTAATTTTAGAAACATGTATATTTTATTGAAGATAAATACATAAATAATTAAATATATGTATTAGTTATATTGCAAGACGTAAATATGCTGAAGAGATTTATGAGGTTCAGCCTATTACAAACAATCCTGCAAAAAGAAATTCAAATTTATCTTCTACAAATAACATACAAGATGAATTAGGTCAAGTTTCTACTTTGGAGACTATAACTACATCTAATATTCCTTTACATACTATTACGTAATAGTAACATTTTACGCATTATTTGTACTTTTTTTAATCATTATCTACTAATTTTTTTTTTAAAAAAAAGAGAAAAAAATACATCTGTTTATATATTACTGTACATATCACCATAATAAATTATTGGTTATTTTTTTTTTACTACCACTTTTACTTGTTACGATTAAAATATGTTTTTGCTATCAACTTTTATACTTTTTTTTTTCATTTTCCCTCTTGTCTCTTAAGAGGTCTTTCCTTTCTTATACACGCTACTCGAACTGTCTCGGGCAATATCGCAGATGAAAAATGCACTGTACCCGCCTGACCATAAAAAAAAAAAAAAAAAAGCAAAAACAAATAAAATTCATATTTTAATCCGTATTATAGCAATGTTAAAACTACAAGAAAACCATTCTATCCCATTGCCGTAATAATCTGATTGTCGACCCTATTATTCTCACACTACCAATGACAAGAAGTGAATGGTTTCGTTGCGTACGATGGCGACTTGGTTGGTTACTTCTTGGTAAACCCTCCTCCTAAGCCTGCCCCTTCTATCCAAATGGACTCTTCACACGCTCACATAGTTTTTCTTGTTTGTATATATGCATAACCGCCTTCAGATGCCCCAAGTCTATTGAAGATCCACTCACTCTCTTATCTCTTGAACCTCCTATTACCATCAACATTCCATACGAAGAAAGTGAGAAAATCAATGGATGCCCGGCTCATACGCTGGCCTTCCACATGTGCAATTCTGCTTGGAGATGGACTATCTAGCTTCACTCTCAAATCCCTGAACCCTCTGACCATCATCTTCTTTCAATACAAAAACGAATTTCTGATAGTTAATTATCATCACTTATACATACACTTCAACACTTTCCCTTTCATTCCAAGAGGAGTTTTCTTTTTTTTTTTTTTTTTTTTTTTTTTTTTTTTTTTTTTTTTTTTTTTTCCATAGCGACCTAATTAGGGCAAGCCTGCATCTATAAATGCTATATGCCCATTGGCCATTTTTTTTTTTTAATTTTTAAATAAAATTCTTCTTTACTTGATATTATAGCAATGATTTCTGAACTTGAAAAAAAAAAAAAAAGAGACCATTTTTTTTTTTTTTTTTTTTTTTTTTTTAGGAATATGCCACCACGTTTCCAACCAGTTCAAGCAGCAAATCAAAGACCTTTGTACAATGAAATATTAGTTTTACAAAAGCTACTTGGAAATGTAAAAAAAAAAAAAGGGAAAGAGAGAGTAGAGAGAGATGAGAGAGAAAGAGAGAGAAGGATTTAAATTTATGCTTATTCTATAAATATTGCGCACTAGGACATTCTTGAACAAGCTGCACGTATTTTAGATTATTTTACAATTACAAAAGAAAGGCAAGTCTTTTATTTTCATACATTCATATATATATAAAAGTAACCGGTCAGCTTATTAGTCAATTAGAAGCCATCTCAACTCAAACACCTCTTTATCTACATGATCAATTAATAGAGAAATGTGAAAATTTTGAAACAGTATGTGATCAAATCTATTACAATTTGGTAAGAGATTTTTTTTGTTATTGAAACATTATTATTATTTTAATCAACATGGTATCATAAATTATAGGAACAATCAAAACGTGTTTTACAGTTAGAATATCAACAAAAAATGATTGAATTGAAAACAGAAATCTTTGAACGAGAGAAACAACAACAACAACAACAGCAACAACAGCTTAAAAAATTAGAACAAGAAGAAAATGAGCCAATGAATATAGACAATGACATGCTCGGTTTTGAGTCTTCACAGATGGATGTTTCGTTACCTTTAGATGATCCAAATACAATGATGGAAGCAGATCAACAACAGAGTTCTGCAAAATCAAACGATCCCCTGGCTGCTAATATTGATGAAGAAGATATGGATGAATTGTTACAGATTCAAAGAGACCGTTTAGACCGATTAAAAAATGTGATTGTCTTGGGTATGGATGCAGACGCAGTTAAACCCAATGGTCAAAACGAAGTCGAAGAAGATTTATTATTTTAATAATTTATTTTTGTTTCTTAATATTCCTTTATGTACAAAATTAAAAATGGGTCCAATAAAACGTTCAGCCAAAAAGGGAGTCATGGCAGCCGATGCTGCTATACGAACCGGTAGTAATGCCTAAAAAAAAAAAAAAAAAAAAAAAAAGAATAGATGTTAGCACCTATATTGGGAGATAAAGGGGGAATCCTATTTATTACCTTGACAATACCATAAGTAGTGACCAAATGTATCATTGTACGATTATCAGGTTCTAATGGCTCATATCCATAATGAACACGTACTTTATTCACAAAACGATTTCCTTCTGATATAACTGTATCAGGGAAAGGTATCTTTATAGATGAATTGTCTAAAAGTAAATAGATGATTGGAAAGGGTGCAATAGCAGTTACTTCATGTAGGATGGCAAATGAGGTCATATAAGATCCGGGTTTGTTTTTAAATTGTTGAGCATATTTACGATAGCTAGTTGTTAATGGAGAAGACGCTTTTTGTTGAGAAGAATTTGGGGTTGCCGCTTTATGGCTTGTATTTCGAGATAATAAGCGTAAGCATTTTGTTGTAGACCATTTTTGTGTATTTGTTCCAAGACCACGATAAAATGAAATAAAAGTCATTATGACACAATAAAGGAGGAAAGGAGAATATATAAATAAAAAAGAGCTTTTTAATATTAAAAAAAGGAAAAAAAAAAAAAAAAATGCTGTTGTTAAATCCGATTACATCAATAGATAAATATATCAAAATGCATTGCATTTGTTTTTTGTTTTTTAAACTACTACAAACATTGTATAATTTTAATTTTTATAAGAAGGTTAAAAACACATGCATGTGCGCGTGTGTTTGTGTGTGTGTGTAAATAGGTAAAAGACAGAAGGGAGGAGGAAAGGGGAGAACCAAAAGGAAAACAGGGTCATTTTTGCCACGATGTATTTTGAAGGAGAATAAAAAAAAAGCTTATTTTTTATTTTTTTAAGGAGAATAAGAGCAGGTACTAGAAGATGAGGTACAACCTGTATTACAACCATGAACCTTAGCATGTCTACGAAGGTTACTTACGACTGAAAAACTACGCCCACAACCTTCTACAAGACATTTAAAAGGTTTCTATATCAAAAAAATAAAATAAAAGGATTAAAAATAAAAAATAAAAAAAAAGTCGATTCATAGTCTAATATTTATACATCTAAATTACCTCTCCTGTATGACTATAAATGTGAGTGGTAAGTGAGCTCGGACGTGTAAATCTTTTATTACATATATTACAACCATATTTTTTGTTTGACGTCGTTGTAGGACTTGATGATGAACGTAACGCAGATACGTTTTGAAAATAAGTAAAGGGAGAAGGAGGTGAAGACGAAGAATAAGAGGATGAACGTGCTTTTGATGATGATACTGGAGGAGTTAAATAATGCTGATTGTTAAAATAATTTAAGGTATCAAAATTAGGTAGACTATTTACTAATGGCGGAGTGGTAGTAGAGATAAGATCATTGAAAGTAGGAGTAGGACTAGTTGAGATTATTCCTATTCATCATCATTTCTGTTAGTCATTTATATATATATATATATATATATATATATATATAATTCTTTAATTATACCTTGATAATAAGTTATTGAGGAAGGAGATGAATAATATCGATGATGATGATGATGATGATATTGTTGATCATCATAAATGGGATAATTACCGGTATACACATAAGGAAAGGAATTAACATTATTATTCATTAAATTTGGCAAGCCAATAGATGAATTTCCTTGTTTTTCTCTTGTTTGTGGTTGATAGTGACTGGGTACAATAATCATATTTGACTCATTGTTCTGATTACTCTTGGATTCATTTATTGAAGTTTGATTATTTAGCAATGAATGTTGTACAGGTAACGGATAAATGCAAGCATTATTTCCATACAAAGGTCTTGTTGTTGTTGAAGAACAGCAGCCAAAATTCGGATTTTGTTGAGATAATAATTGCTGATGATAGCTGTCAAAATTAAAACTCATTTTTGGGTAAATTGATAACATAGTTAATAAATAGAAAAGAAACCACCAGCAAGCCGGGAATGAATAAATAAAATATGTAGTAGACAGCAAGCCGTAATTTAATAAGTGTATAATCAAAGATACTCTGGTTCAACCTAAGTTCTTTTTGTTTATTAATATTATTTGTTATATGTAAAAAGAAATAAAAAGAAAAAAGGACATGTATAATTAATGACTTATATAAATAAAATAAAATAAGGAGAAGAAAAAATAGCAGTAAAAGGAGCAAGTAGTATGATTCAGAAGATATAAACAAGTCAATTTAATACAACTATTAAACCAGTTAAATGGTTATTCAGAAGTCACTTTATATAAATGTATTTATATGCACGTTATTTTTTGTTTTTAACAGAAAGATCGATCATATATTATCCACTCACATTGATGTAACCCATTTATTATTATTATTATTATTCATATTATTATTTACATACCTGCTATTTCTTTACACATGTTTTTTTTTTTACACACTATTACAAAAAAGAAATTTGTATAACTAGCTTTCTCCTATTATTATTATTATTATTTTATGTCAAATACTTCTTCTTTCTCCTATAAATAATAAATTCCAATAAATAGATTCGTATTATATACACAACATATGGATAATAATAATAACCCTATGTAATACCATCATAATTTACAACGTGATAAGACTGACGAACTAGTATTTCTCTATTTGAAAAAATAAAAAATAAAAAAAAATAAAAAAAGACAATGTCAAATCCATATTTTTTTTTTCTTGTGTAAATATCATAAACCTTTTTATTATTATTATGGAATTTTGCGGCTCCCTAATGTATTTGTAGTAATAATAATAAAAGAGATCCCTAAAAATAAAAAATAAAAAAAGAAACGCACTAAATAGAATTTCTTGCAAAAGGCTGATAAGCTCTCGACTATAATAAAAATAAAAATAAAAGATTGACTCAAAATAATATATATGTGTGTGTGTGTGTGTGTTTGTGTTTGTTTGTTTGTTTATGTCCTTGTTTGTATTTTTTTTTTGTTACTTCTCCCGTTAGTTTAAAAAGCATTGGCATTAAAGATAGCTTCAGAAACATAAGCTGCCGTAATTTGTTTACCACCAAACCATCTTCCATTTAATGCTGATATAGCCTTTTCTGCAGAATTAGTACTATCAAATTTCAAAAATACTTCACCCTAATATTTTATTTGTTAGTCAGCCTTTTACATAATATGGAATAGAATAGACTTACCATTGAATCCGCATTGACCTTGATATATTCTACATGGCCATATTTTTCACATTCTAATTTAACATCAGTTTCAAGATCGCTTACCCAATCTGGTTCTGTCTCTCTATTCATGATAATGAATAACTATCTCTTGATTAATAATAAATTGAACAACTTACTCTGAAGGATTAAACATATTATTTAACATAACATAACGAGATGAAGATGTAGGAATGTAAGGCTTAGGTCTAAAAGCAATATAAATAGTTATAGTATTTCTATTGATACAACGGTCGTTTTTTTTTTAAAAAAAAAAAACTTACGCTGTATTCATATCCATCATATTTGAAGGTGATCGTTGGTCATTACTATATTCTCTAGCTGCTAATTTAGCCATTAATTCAGCTCTCGAAAGTGAATTCATAACTACACCTTCAGTTTCTATATAAATAATGTTAGAAATAAAGCTAAAAAAAAAAGATAAAAGAATTATATACCTTCATCATCAAGATTAAAATTGCTTGAGCCCGACACAGGTGGTTTCTCAGTAACAAGTCCTACTTTCAACTATGAACACATAATAATATTGTGTTAATATATGAATATATACATATATAATCATTACTATTTAGAAAAATAAAACTTACAGGTCTACCAGCTAATTCAAATCCATTCATTTTTTCCAAGGCCTGTTTTGCATCTGAAGGGTTTTTATATTGAATGAAGCCAAAGCCTTTTGAACGACCTGTTTCAGTATCTATTTATTTATTTTTGATATGAGTAAAGTGTTTAAAAATTGATAAATACTTTCATTTAGTTTACCTCTATGAAGGTTAACAAAGTCTAATGGCCCAAAAGGTTCAAATATTTGACGTACATCATTTTCTGTTAAACTAAAATGAAGTGAGCCTACATATAATCTTTGATAAGTGGGTTCTGATGAACTTAATCTGTATATACATATACGTGTATGTATTTAAAAAAAAAAAAAGATAAGTAAGATTTGTATTTTTTTTTTATATATACACATATTCAAATAATTAAACTTACGCGTTTCTTTGTGCCTGTAAAGCTAATCTATTCTTTTCAGCTTCTGAAAGTTGAACTATAACTGGAATACCTAAAAGTTTCTGTCCAGATAATGCTAAAGCATTCTGTACAGATTCTTCTTCATAAAATTCAACATATCCACAACTATTATATATATATATTAGCTTATTGAACCATATCTCCTCTCTCCCTTTCCCCTCCTTTTTTTTCTTATATTTAGTTTACCCTTTTGATTTTCCTGAATTTCTATCTTTGATGATAGTTGCTTCACGAAGTCGACCTGCCTGAGAGAAAAAGTCTTCTAATTCTCGGGAAGTCAAACGAGCAGCTAATTGAGTAACAAATACAGTTCTTCTATCTCTGTCTTCTTCAGGGATAGGTGGTGATGGTGATCGACCGCTTCGTCTACTTTTTTTATCATCATAGCTATCATGGCGAGGAGGTGTTCTACTCCTTCGTCTACGAGGACTTCTGCTAGAACGTCTTCTACTGCCACTTCTTCTATAGTCGCGAGAACGAGAACGTCTATGTCGTCTCTCTCTACTTAATGATCTAGAAGAACGGCGATATCTTCTACTACTATGTCTAGAATCTGAACGATGACGGGAAGAGCGATGTTGAGAACGAGAACGAGAAGAACGATGATATTCTGAATGACGAGAACTATTTTTTTTTAAAAAAAATAAAATAAAAAACAAAACAAGTAATTTAGCGTTTTTATTTTTTTTCTCTTTTTTAATCCTTTCATAAAATATTACCGATAATCATCATCTCGACGATCTCTACGTTCTCTTTCATCCCTATAAGAATCTTTGTGTGAAGAAGGTTGCTCTTCAGGCTACATTATATATATAAATATATAAACGTATATATATATATGAATATATATACATATATGTATGTATGTATGAAATGAATAAAGTTAGTATACATGAAGCATAAAATATTATTAATAGCAATTACATTCTTCTCTTGATAGGGAGCATCAAGCATAGCTTCTACATCAACATCCATTTTTATCAGCTTTTTTTCTTTTTTCCTTTTTTTATACTTCTTTTTTTAGCTGGTTAAGAATAGCAAAGAATGGCAAAGAAAAATTAAGATAAAAATATCAAACAAAAAAAAAAAAAAAAAAAAAATAGAACGTCACTTATAAACTATCCAATCAATTTACTTGTAAGATTATCTAAAACGGAACAATTGATGGTGAGCGAATATGCAAAAAAAAAATAATAATAAGGGTGTAGACATTATACATGATCTTTCTGAGGCATCTATCCCTAAATATTGACACTCAAACCTACTTGATTTATTTATAAGCATAAGATATTATCATATAGGATGTGAATTTTCCCTTTCAAAAAGATAAATAAAAATGTGAACTACATCAATATTCCGACTGTATCTTTTTTTTTTTTTTTTCGTGTTTGTAATAACATAGATCGAAAGGAATATGCTTACTGACAAAACACACACACACACACACACAGAATTAGAAGTATATGAAAGGACAAACTGGATTGCATAGTCACATTACTTTTAAATAATAATAATGGGCTTAATACTTTTTTTTTTTTTTTTTTTTTTTTTGCACAGACTTATTCTGTTAGGTTGTACATTTATTGAATTCATTGTAATTTCTTCAATGCAAAATTATTATTTGTTAATTGATCAATACGAGGGTCTCTCTCTCTCTCTCTCTTTCCTCCTTTTTTTTTTCTAAAAAAATATATATATATATAGATATTATGATAACCCTTTCTTGTAATACACGAAATAAGTACTATACATCATGTCCTAGTGAAAAGTATTTATTAACAAGCAAATACCTATAATAAAATGAAGGAAAAGTGGAGAAGATTATATTTAAATTGGTTAGCAAGTATAGAGTAGGAATTATACTATTGATAATATACTATATTATTTGATTAGTAAAACAAATACACAATGATAGCAATGAAGAAGAAAAGAAGGAGAGAAGGAAGAGGAGAGAGAGAGTGTGTGTGTGTGTCTGCCTTGTTGTGTGTAAGGAGCTTCATTTATGCCTTTGTATTCTGGTGATTTATATCCCTTTTCATTCTCTTTACATAATAAAACACATTTACAAATATTTTTATATTTATAAAATCACTTAAATATTGCATATGTAAATTTAAAATTTGGTTGTTCTAATCTATAATTCTTTTACTTTTTTTTTTTTTCTTTCTTTTCTTTGTATTTTTTTTTTCCTTTCTTTCTTTTCAAAATTATTATGTCTACTGTTTTTATTCAACCATTAAAGGAGAATTATGAATCATTTTTTAAGAATAATCAAAACAAAGAAACGACACAAAAGATATCTATAATAAATCTTTCACATATATTGGAAATACCATTGGAACTATTGGATACTACACATTATACAACAGCTACTACTATCTTATATAATCAATTGCTTAATGATACTATGAATAATGAAAGCCATCTTTTTTGGTATATAAAATAAAATAAATAAAATAAAATGAATAAGAATTATATTATATTCTAATCATATTTATATCAGGCATACACAAACTACAGATACTACACCATGTATTCAGGATGATACAATGATTCCAAACAAGAAAAAGCTTGTAAATAGAACAATAGTGACTCATAGTTTTGCAAATAGAAAAAAATCAATAGCTAAACATCGAAAATCAATTCTGTCTAATTCTTTTACTGCTGAAGATGAGAATCATTGTATTGATGAAATAATTCGTAGTGATAGGGAAGCCACGTTAGCTGCCTTGGAAAGAGGTCGCGTTAAAAATAGACACATTGGCTCTATGACGTTTTATAATGAGGAGGCTCTTGTACTACGAAATGAGAAGCAGGAGAAGGAGGAGGAGGAGGAGGAAGAAGAAGAAGAGAGGATGCCATGGAAGTACCAAGAGGAGTTGAATCATTCAAAGGAGGATCATGTTAAAGAACGAAACATCAACAAAGGGTACCAAAAGTTGATGAATAATTCTACTCAAAACAATTCACTTCTTAATGGTAAGACATGCATGTAAAAAAAAAAAAAAAAAAAAAAAAAAAAAAAAAAAAAAAAAAAAAAAAAAAAATATCATATGCATATACTAAATAATAGATATGTAGGTGAGGATGTTGACACAACTATTACGGAGAAAAATAGGGTACATCATGTTTTATATTTTTCAAAAAATCATGATAAAACAACAACTGTATTATCTATTGGAAGGAATTCAGCCGCATCACAAAAGGAGAAGGGGCTTATAAAATGTAAACATAATAATAATAATAATAGCTCACAAATGACTCCAATACAGCTGGATGAAATAAATGAGAAGGGCATGACTAACTGTATAGATTCTGCCATTGATTTACATTCAACTGCCGTGAAAGATGAAGAAAATGCTTTACAACAAGTGTCAACAGCAAAGGCTTCTAACTTGCTATCCTTTGAATCTTCCTCATTACCTCCTCCTCATCATCATCATCATAATACAGATGATACTTTTTCTTCTTCTCCATATTATACTTTAGATAAGAGTAGCAACCCTTCCAATAAAGATATTTCAATATCAACAACAACGAAAAAGAAAGTTTCCGTTTGGTTATCTAAAAAAATTTTCCAAACTAATACAACGAATAGACATGAATCACACACAAAGTTAAACTCTTCTGATACTCTATCTGAAAATAAAACCACCACTTCTACCATCAGCACTACTCAAGTCCAGCAACAAGAAAAGTTTAATATCTCTTTCTTATTCTTTGGAAGAAAGTTAAGCTCCAAAAGAAAACATGCCATCAGCAATAAGAAATCATTCAAGAAATCACCTACGATGAGCCAAGAATTTGAAACTTCGTCCATCACTTCTTCTTCTTCCTGTCAAGGTTCTAAAGATACTCAACTGAATAGTTTTAATTATACTCGACTTCCAATTCATACAGAGAGAGCTATCTATCGTCTCTCCCACTTAAAGTTGACTAATTCTAAACGTCCTCTTCGAGATCAAGTTGTTATTTCAAATTTAATGTTCTGGTATTTATCCATCATTCATCACAACATAGTCATCAACTCGCAGGCTGGTAATAAGGACTTTAATAATATGAGTCATATCGATTTAGCAGATAATAGGAAAAGATTGTATCGATCTTATGTAAAGCAACAACAATCTACTATCAAGCGCAATAATAATAACAAGTGTCGAAAATTAGTATCCATCAACAAGAGAGATACAACTCTGTATCAACCGATGTTAACAAGAAAACCTATTGATGATCAACAGCAACTCTCTACACATAAAGGACTTGATTATCAGCAGCAGCAGCAGCAGCAGCAACAACAACAACAACAACAACAAAGGAAAGGGAAAAGAATGGGCGATGGTTATCGACAACTACAGCTTGAGATGACGAGATACGACTCTATTAGTTTCTTATCGGATGATGATGATGAAGAAGAAGAAGAAGATGATGATGATGTGAGTGATAATTCTGAAGAAAATAGTGATGATGAGAATGGCCATCTTTTTTATTCTTCTTCAGAAGAAGAGGAAGAAGAAGGCTTTAAAAAGAAGAATGTTAAAAAGTATTCATTCTTTAAAAAGTATTCCGGGAAAAAGAATAAATTACAACAACAACAACAACAAATATCAACACTAGATTGGCAGTCATCTTATAAACAACAAAATGAAATAAGCATGACTATTATGAATGAAGATGAGGACGATATACCATTAGCCATGTACCAACAAAAAGGAAAGAAAAAACGATAAATTCTTCCTCATTTGTTTTTTATCAAAGATTTATATTATAATAAAGCACATACATACATACATACATGTATATTATTTTAGTAATAATAAGAAATCGTATACATACATACATATTTACAATTATAAAGTCTATGTTATAACACGAGATAAATACAATATATACTATTATAGACATAGAATAGACCAGCTATTATGTACTAGACCAGTAATTTTGATGTAGTCTATGAATATATCCAGAAAAAGTAGAACCTTTAGTTCCTACAAACTTTACACCTTTACTTGCAACAAGGGCATCCACTAAAGGTATAAGATATTTTCGCATACTTTCACCTGTATGTGATGTACGATATTTATCCATATGACTCCATATAGGGTTATTGGCTTCTAATATTTCATCCAGTGTAAATGTACATGGTAAATGAGACCAAAGATGGTGAAATCGCTTATCCATTCTTGATCGAATAGCATCAGTTGCCAGGAAAACTAAGGTGGTTTGATTCGCTTTTGCAAGTAAAACACATTCTGAAAGTGAATAATGATTATAATTGGATAAATTATCTTTAGATGAAAAAGAAAGAGTGCTAATATGATTTATAACATACTGAATATTTTCGGGTAACTCTTTTACAAATAATCCGTCAGCTGTCCTTAGATGAACACCCACATAATTACCAGCACCTCCCAGTAATTCGACTACAACATCTGTAATCTTCAAAACAGCAGGATGTTTATAGGTCATACTTTTTTGAAGTGACTTGAAAAATTCAATATTCTCAGACTTTTTTATAGGAAATTTACCTGTACCAAACAAGCTTGTAAAATGGATTAACTTTTGTGAATAATTTTTTAACTGAGAGACATCAAGACTTGCAGTATATTTTCCCAAAAATGGATTCTTTACAGGAACATCATATATTCTCCAATCATATCTTGTTTTATCTATATATGTATGTGTATATATGTTTTTTTTTTAAAAAAAAAGTGAGTTTGACAACGAGAGTTAAAGTAAATGCTGCTGCACAAAAAAAAAAAAAAAAAAAAAAAAAAAGTACCTTTGAAAAATAAAATATCTCTATCAATATAGACGCCAGTTGCTTGTTGTTGACTCTTATTTTTTGAATTTAAAATATCTCTTTTAATTCCAAATCGAGTTTGAAGCCAATCAAAATCACTTTGTTCACGCTCAATAATATTGATATGTCTTTTAGCCCAAGATAAATCAAATAAATCATCAAAGGAAGCCAATGTGTATTTTAAAGGATCAGGGCAGGATGCTAACTTTCGAGATTTTTTATCTTTAAATTGTTTACAATCGTTATTGGCTGTATCGCGTACTTTATGATGTAATTCGAGTCGATAAAATGGATTCCAGCCAAATGCTTCACCCAATAGAGCTTTGGGTAAAATCAGTGTCCGATTTAAATACCAAGCTAACAATATGCCATTTTCAACTAATTTATAGAGAGAATACTATAAATAAACAAGTTACTAATAAATTATCATTATCTACCTTGAATTAATTGATTCTGAAAACCGCTATGTGTAAAAAATGTCAAGTATTTTTCGTCTGTTTGAGTCGATTGTTTTTTTGAATCGGAATTAGTTAATGTTAAACTTGCTGTTGCAGTCATTGTTTGATTAAAAGTAAATAATAATTCTCTTTTGTCATTTGTACTTGTCGTTTGATATATGTAAAAGATATAAGATAATAAAGTTATAACAAGTAAAGAAGCTTTACTTGAACTATATTTTATCATTTTCTATAAAATAAAGAAAGGCTAATAATAATAACAATAAAAAAAATTCTCTACTTGGCAAAAAAAAAAAAAAAGTAATATTTTGTACTACATGAGATTGTTGCAACTATTAGACTATAACTTATAACCTTAAAATAAATATATTAATTACAAAACCATGTGCTTCACAGCATAATTATCCTTCCTCCAATACACAGTCATTGTTAGACTATTGTATTTTTCAGCAAATAAGAGAAAATTTTAGAAAAAATAAGAGAAAATTATTGGACAAATAAGAGAAAATTATTGGATAAAATAAGAGAAAATTATTGAACAAATAAGAGAAAATTTTAGGTCAATTAAGAGAAAGTCCAAGAAAAATTAAGAGAAAAAAAAATGGCAATTAGTAGAAAGCACTTTTCTCACTATTATTAACAAAAAATGGATATTGACTTTGATATGAACGAAATTTCTCTACGCGACGATGACATTGAAGCTGTACCTGAAATCATTGTCAGCGTAATGTCAATGATGAGAAAGAAGTGGGAGTACAACATCACTGCATCAGCCATGGAGTTAGATGAAGATGCGACGATGGAGCTGAAGGAAGGGTACGAGGGTGATGAGGCCAGCAATAGCTCGGATAAGGAGGAAAATGAAGCTGATGTACAGGGTAGTGAGAGCGATTTGAAAGAAGAGAAGCCTCTCAGAGATCTGGCCGAAAAAAAAGACGCCGCTAGCAATGCTAGACGTGTGTACACTCAGCAAGATATCAACAAGCTTATTTCCCTGTTAATTGAACAGGTTCCTGTAAAAGATGCAGCTTTAAAAACAGGAATAAATGAGAAATCAGCTTACCGTTTCAAATCGCAATGGCAGAAAACAGGGGAAATACCTCAACAGAAAAAAAGAGGGCGCAAAATGGGAACTGTCTCTGAGCTTACTGAAAAACACACAAAGTTTATTACCGACATTGTTGATGAGTGTTCAACTGCAACTGTAGCTGGAATACACGAGTTGTTGCTCAAAGAATTTCCAAGTCTCTCCGTGAGCCCATCCGCAGTATACAGACATCTTAGAACCAGCTGTGCACTATCTATGAAGAAGTTGGAGAAAATTTCATCTGCTAGAAACTCGGAAGAAACTCTTAAGAAGAGAAAGGAGACCATCCTTCAATGGCTAGCTGATAAAAATATGGACTTTGAGAATAATTGCGTTTTTTTGGATGAAGCAGGGTTCAATTTACACATGACACGCACTCGTGGCTGGTCCAAGATAGGAGAACCTGCTAAAACAACTGTCCCTGCTTCAAAAGGCACCACAATAACCATTCTTGGTGCCATCTCTAGCGCCGGCATTATTGACATCTCTTTGAGAAAGCCAATATTAGTTTCGGGAGCTAAGAAGAGAAGAATAGATGGGAAGGTTGTTACAACGACAGCTAAGGTTGGAACTAGGACTGAGCACTATTTAAATTACTTGAGTAATGTGATGGATGTTCTTGACCGAAATAATATGAAGGGCTTTTACTTGGTAATGGATAATGCTCCCATACATAAGCCAGCTACAGTAAGAAACTTAATAGAAAGCAGAGGCTATAAGTGTGCATATCTTCCGCCGTACTCACCATTCCTAAACCCAATTGAGCTATTCTGGTCGAAGGTGAAGTATGGCGTCAAAAGAAGCCCTTTCGAAACTGGTGAGACACTCACACCCAGAATAATGGATGCCTGCTCCAAAGTAACTAAGAAAGACTGCCAGGGCTGGATTCGCCATTCTCTCAGATTGTTGATAAGACAAAGATAACAAAAGAATAAGACAGAATAAATCTGTGAAAACTTTGTATAAAACTTTTATTATCAAAATGAAAATTAAAAATTAAAAATTAAAAATTAAAAAATTAAAAAATGAAAAACTGAGTTTTCAAAAGATGAGTGCAAAATGGATCCTTATTTATATCTTGTGGAGAACGGGTTACTTCGAGACAGGAACAGAGTGAAGATATCTTGAAAGAAGAATATTTCCCATAGAATAATTAAAATTATTGTGTTAGAGCTCTAGTCTTTGCCCTGACTGAGAATTAATCTCAGTTAACTCTAATAAACATTAAATTATTGGTGCTTGATTTAGCCGGTTATTTTTCTTGAAACAAAATAATAAAATCTCGTTTGTTCATACTTGTGAATGATATAGGAAAGACACTTTTGATATATAGATTTATATTCTAACCAGCTTCTTTATGTTATATTCATTCCTCAATGTACTACTTAAATGAATTTCATTATATTATATAGTGTATTCAATTAGAATAGAGTTCTCATAGATAGTATATGATTATATTTATAAGTTAGTATTTTAGACAACATTAAATAATAATGCATATATATAATTAATAGGTATAATCTATAATTCATATATCTTTATCATTAATAACTCCTTACACTATGTTTTTCTTATCATTATTTTGTAGAGTTAGTATTTATTATAACATTATTTTTTCTCATCACAAGAATGTCTTATAAACTGAAATCAAATAATATTGTATGCATAAAGTGTATAACTAATAACTATAATATCATCCGGTTCTTCATGACTCTGATTTGTACATTATAAGATATTATGTAATACATCATTATATACACAACACAGATTCTTTGAAAAGTGTTTAGCCCTGGAGAAAAACTTATGAGATTTAAGTATAAGTAAATTTTTTGCTAATTGCCATTTTTTTTTTCTCTTAATTTTTCTTGGACTTTCTCTTAATTGACCTAAAATTTTCTCTTATTTGTTCAATAATTTTCTCTTATTTTTTCTGAAATTTTCTCTTATTTGCTGAAAAATACAATAATTCAAGTTATTATTCCTAGTAAGAATTCAGTAGAATTGTGACTGTTATATTCAAATGCATCAATATTAAATAGGTTGGGTCACTAAAAAAAAAACTTGGGCCAGCCAAAAAAAAAAAAAAAAAAAAAAAAAAAAAAAAAAAAAAAAAAACGAACCTAAAGTCGTGAACCTAATTAATTTGATGCAAGAATTTGAGCATATGTCTATAAGAGAAGCGGCCTCAAAAATTGGGTTGGCAAAGTCAACAGCCATACGTAAAATTAAAGAATGGAACGAACTGACAAATAGCTCTAACCAAGGAGTTTTTCCCTGACACCATCAACAAAAAGAAGCACAAAGGCCGAAAGGTTATTCTTCAGGATGTGCATACTGTGTTTATTTTCGAGTTACTAATTAACGAGCCAACCTTGACAGTAGAAGCTGTTACTGATCAGCTTTGCACGACTTTCAAGGACATTCAGACTACTCCAAGATCAGTAGCAACTCATATGAAAAATAAATGCCGTCTCACTTATAAACGTATTATGCCACAGTACTTTGCACGGGATAGTGAAGAAACTATTGTTAAAAGATACAACGAAGTCAACTCTTGGATTTCCCAAAAATTAGATTTTTTTAATAATTGCATATTCATTGACAAAGCTGGATTCAACAGGAATATGCATCGCTCATATAGCTGGAGTAAAGTAGGAACTCCCTGTAAAATTAAAGTTGAAACAAAGGGGCCAAATGTGAGCATACTAGGTGCTATTTCTAAAGACGGTATCATCACTCTTTCGCGAAAGGAGATTATTACTGTAGCTGCAGCTGGGAGAAGGCAGCGATTAGATGACACTCCAGTTGTTAAGAAAAAAGGAACAACTGGTAATGATTTTTTTTTTTTTTTTTTTTTTTAGAATTTGTAGAACAAGTTCTCACCACAATTGATACGGTCGGCATGAGCTACAAATATTTGGTGCTTGATAATGCGTCTAATCATAAGTCAAATCTGGTTAAGGATTGGGTAGGACAACGAGAATATCAGCTAGTCTTTTTGCCACCATACTCTCCGTTTTTAAACCCTATTGAGGAGTTTTTGTCGAAGCTAAAAAGCGTCGTAAACAACGATCCGTCTTCAGTCAGACAAAATTCAAAGATCAGTAAACGTATCCGTGATGCATCTGTGCATATCAGCAAAGAAGACTGTCAAAAAGTGACCCGTTTTTTAAAAAAAAAATGACCCAATTTTATTAGTGACCCGGCCTATTTTCTTCACCTGTAGAAAAAAAAAATTGAACTAGTCCATTTCACTGCTTAGAAAATAAAAAAAAAATTGAACTGGTCCATTTCACTGCTTCATTTTTTTTTCTAATATCATCAAATTCAACCAAGATTAGCTGCTAATTAATGGTCAAAAATATAGCCAGAGAATAAGCAATATGTATTTTCTTTTGCCATAAATACACAGAATCTAACGTGAAAAAACTTTTGAAAAGAATGGAAAGTTTTGAAGATGTCGACATTTGCTACGACAAGGATCCATTGCAACCTATATTACTTTGCAACGAGAGAATAGATTCTGAACCTTTAAAATATAAGAGATATAACTATAGTTCATTTTTGATAGAAAATTCTTTATTCAAAAAATGAAAATTTTAATAAGGCGTGTATTCATTGACATCGATAGTAGCCATTATAACTTTAAAATCAGCAAGTTGCCTATTTGCTTCGTTGTTTGTAATTAGGACGACAGTTGAATAATTTCAACTCTTCCACATTATTTAACAATTGATCTCTGTCAAAAACTTTAAATTGATTTTCGTAGAAATATAAGTCAATGATAATTTTTTGCATTTTGGGATAGTCACTACAAGATTATTTGTTCAGTTTTTATTTCAGATTTCATATTATTTTCCTACTTGCCTTAAAATATTTTTTAAATCACTCATATTGGTGGTGAATCCTGCATAATCTAACGCCACCACACAAACTTTATCATTGTCTTGAATAAAAGCTAAAAAGCCTAAAGAATAATTTCTTTTTCAAAATTTATTTGATCAAGTTATTATTTAGTTTTTTACCTTGAGTGTTTCCATTAACTTGATCTAATTCTGATAATAAAGAATCTTGATCATTTAAATCTCGTTTATAAAAACCTTGTTTTATGTTGCTGTATGATGATACAAAAACTTTGTCTACGAGTGACCTTTGACGTAATATGTTCACCATTCTTTGCAATAAAGCTGCTCGATTGTTGCTTGGCATTTTTGACTTTCTACAATAACCAATAATATGATATCCATCATTTTTTAATTGGTTTACGTAGGCATGATGTCTTGGTATTACATCTATAATGTTTTTCGCAAGATCAACTACAAAACTGGAGTTAATTTATTTTGTTTATCTTGCAATGCCATTTACGAGCTTTACCATAATATCCGTTATCCAAAACATTTAAATGACGCCTTTTTATCTTTTTGTTTTTTGTGTTTTCTTTTATAACTTTACGTTCAATCTCATCTGATAAAAAATCAACGTTTTGCTTGTTCAACCATTGGGTGAATGCCAAAGGTGTAGTTTTGTCAAATTTTTTAGTGAAAGTCCAAACAATTCCTAAAATTTCTTTATCATATACATAGTTTAACTTGTATAGAGAGTCTGGCGGTCCTAAACTAAAGTTATATTGCACTTGGTCAACCTACCCACAATGAAGGAACGCGTTCACTTCCTGCAAGCTAAATTCTTGCTTCGGTCTATCCACTCTCCGGACGATACTCTTGTCTCCAAGTTTTTACCACATGTACGCCCTTCTTCAAGCCACTCTCAATGGTATAAACTTTCGAAAACACCTATCTGGCAACGGTATACTGCTTCTCTTGACGATAATACTTATGATTCTCGTGCTTTTGCTGGTATCTGTAAAGCATACCTAAAAGATAATCTTGGTGATCGACGAAACAGTAATAATGCTGTTCTCTTGTCTGCCTGCCGTCCTACCCTAGGTATCGATCCTATCCTCTGGTTACCTATGTCAAATGCAGAACACAGCTGAATAGTCCACTGGCGCCTAGGTTGGTTACTTGGTGGTGTCCCCAAACCGTGCATCTATCACCCTAATGCCTTGTTCACAAGATCTCATGCTATATGATGCCTACATATGCATCGACGATTACAAGCGCCTTTGATCGAACCCGACCCTTTGTCCTTCCTCTTGAATAAGCTGTCAAATAAACAAAAACGCAGACCACCAATCTCATCAGCTTTCAACTCATCTGTCTTTTCCGCCTGGACGATTCGTTGGCCTGTTATGTGCCTTCTACTTTTTGAGCTTGACTACCTTCATCATAGTGAACTTCCTCCAGAAACTTCTATTCCCCCTCTTGGTACAAAACTTGTAATATGATTACGTAACTCTAAATCTAGTATTTATTGATACATCTTGCTTTTCCTCTTCCCTTCTCTTTCTTTTTTACCCTTTTGCCTATCAAAAGGTTTTTTAGTACACTTTTATCCTTTCTCGAACTGACCCGGGCAATCCAATACGCCAGTATTATGTGCTCACATGGGTTGTTTAAATTTTTGTTATAAATAAAATAATTCTTAATCGTATAGAGAATCTGGTGAAGATTCTATTTCCGGTCGATATACATAGTTTATAAAATCTACAATTTGCTCATCATTGTCTATATTTTAATGTCGTTAGCAACAATTTCGTTTCTTGCATTTATTTTTACTTACAAAACAAGATATCTTTCTTTTCATTTTTATTATATTCAGTTTCTTCGTGGGGGGTTTTTTTTTATTTCTTTTTTTGATTTGTACAGGCTGTATAGATTTGGAGCACCAAATATTCGCGCTTCACATACAAACTCTGATTCACATGGACTACTTCTGTAATAAATTTCAACTTCCTCCATCTTTGCTACTTTTTCAGTACAGATTTGAGCATTCTCTTCGTTAAATTTTTACAATAAAAAATGCAGCATGCTTCCTCACGAGAGATAATGTTTATTTTAAACTGGTTGAAAAAAAAAAAAAAAAAAAAAAAAAAAAAAAAAAAAAAAAAAAAAAAAAAAAGCAGTGAAATGGACCAGTTCAATTTTTTTTTTCTACAGGTGAAGAAAATAGGCCGGGTCACTAATAAAATTGGGTCATTTTTTTTTTAAAAAACGGGTCACTTTTTGACAGTCTTCTTTGCTGATATGCACAGATGCATCACGGATACGTTTACTGATCTTTGAATTTTGTCTGACTGAAGACGGATCGTTGTTTACGACGCTTTTTAGCTTCGACAAAAACTCCTCAATAGGGTTTAAAAACGGAGAGTATGGTGGCAAAAAGACTAGCTGATATTCTCGTTGTCCTACCCAATCCTTAACCAGATTTGACTTATGATTAGACGCATTATCAAGCACCAAATATTTGTAGCTCATGCCGACCGTATCAATTGTGGTGAGAACTTGTTCTACAAATTCTAAAAAAAAAAAAAAAAAAAAAAAAAAAATCATTACCAGTTGTTCCTTTTTTCTTAACAACTGGAGTGTCATCTAATCGCTGCCTTCTCCCAGCTGCAGCTACAGTAATAATCTCCTTTCGCGAAAGAGTGATGATACCGTCTTTAGAAATAGCACCTAGTATGCTCACATTTGGCCCCTTTGTTTCAACTTTAATTTTACAGGGAGTTCCTACTTTACTCCAGCTATATGAGCGATGCATATTCCTGTTGAATCCAGCTTTGTCAATGAATATGCAATTATTAAAAAAATCTAATTTTTGGGAAATCCAAGAGTTGACTTCGTTGTATCTTTTAACAATAGTTTCTTCACTATCCCGTGCAAAGTACTGTGGCATAATACGTTTATAAGTGAGACGGCATTTATTTTTCATATGAGTTGCTACTGATCTTGGAGTAGTCTGAATGTCCTTGAAAGTCGTGCAAAGCTGATCAGTAACAGCTTCTACTGTCAAGGTTGGCTCGTTAATTAGTAACTCGAAAATAAACACAGTATGCACATCCTGAAGAATAACCTTTCGGCCTTTGTGCTTCTTTTTGTTGATGGTGTCAGGGAAAAACTCCTTGGTTAGAGCTATTTGTCAGTTCGTTCCATTCTTTAATTTTACGTATGGCTGTTGACTTTGCCAACCCAATTTTTGAGGCCGCTTCTCTTATAGACATATGCTCAAATTCTTGCATCAAATTAATTAGGTTCACGACTTTAGGTTCGTTTTTTTTTTTTTTTTTTTTTTTTTTTTTTTTTTTTTGGCTGGCCCAAATTTTTTTTTAGTGACCCAACCTATTTTCTTTACCTGTAACATGCAATCATTGGTATTATTATAATAAATGAATATGGATGCATTGCTTACCCTACAATGAGGATTCTATTTTTAGTAGTAGTCACAAATCATCAGAGAGGAAAGAATATAGTCATGATGGATACAGGGTAATTCTTTATTACGCCAGTCTTTTCTTATAAATAGCCTTCTTCATTTTCATATTATTTTGCATTATTCAACTTTTTAGTAATCTATAAAAAAGCATTATAGACTTATCTTTTCTTATTTTTTAAGGTTACATTTAACAAAAGAAAATGAAGCAAATCGTATATATTATATATTTCAAATATCTAAATTCTGGTAGAGTTTTATTCAATATTTGAATTCGAAAAAAAAAGTATTATATGTAGAACAAAATAACTAAAGGAGACTACGATAAGGAAATATAACCTAAAATTTGAACATGTATTCAATAATTGATAATGTGTTTTAAATACTCTGTAATCCAGATTTCTCTTGAAAGTCTTTATAAAATTGTAACATTTCGGGAGTGATACGTCTTGTAAAAGTATCTAGAGCTTTTTGGAAATGTCTCATTTTAACGGATTCGATTTGGATATTTTCTTCCATAGCAAATAAAGCTGCTTCTTGACAAATGGCTACTGCCTCTGCACCTGAACAGCCTTCACTCTATATATGATAATTAATAATATTGTCTCTTTTTCTTTACTTTTTTTTTTCATTACTTTTTCGGCAAGTTTATCCAAGTCTACATCATTATCAATACTCATTTTGCTGGTTTGAATTCTAAAGATTTCTTTACGTGATTGGAAGTCGGGTGGACCAACATATAAAATTCTGTCAATTCTTCCGGGTCTTAACAATGCATCATCCTAGTATAAATGTATACATAAAAATTAGTATGTAATGACTTGTATCACATAATACATTAACCTACAATAATATCGGGTCGATTCGTTGCTGCTACAACAGTAACATTGACTAATGCTTCAACTCCATCTAACTCATTCAATAATTGTGATAGAACTCTATCAGCAACAGATGTGCCACCATCCCCATGAGATCCTCTCTTCACTGTCAACGCATCAATTTCATCCTTTTTTTTTGAAAAAGAAAAAAAAAAGAAAAAAAAAGGGGATGTATTTGTTATATAGGAAAATATTATTTAAAATCTTTTTTTTTAACTTACAAAAAATATAATAGAGGGTGATGCTGCTCTTGCTTTTCTAAATACTTCATGTACAGCCTTTTCTGATTCTCCTACCCATTTACTAAATAACTATTGAAAATAATAATAATTAAAAACCCGTCACAAACAAATACTTATCTATCTATACCTCTGGACCTTTTACTGCAATAAAGTTAGATCCTGCTTCAGTAGCTAATGCTTTAGCCATCAATGTCTTACTACAACCAGGTGGGCCATATAATAAAATGCCTTTAGGTGGTCTAATACCTAATCTTACAAATGCCTCTGGATGTTGTAAAGGCCACTCTACTGACTCCTTTAATCGCTGCTTAATATCACTTTGCCCTCCTATATCTGACCAATATACTTTAGGTACTTCTAACATAATCTCTCTCATAGCACTAGGTCTAATCTCAGTCATAGCTTCAATCATGTCTTGCATATTAACAACCAGTTGATTTTCACTAGTCAAAGAATAAGCAGCACAACGCTTAATACATTTTAATCCAGCTTCTCTACATACTGCAGCAATATCTGCACCCACATAACCATGCGCTTTATTTGCTAATGACTCGAGTTCCTCATCACTTAATCTATATGGCATCTTTTTGAGAATCGTTTTCATGATCGACAACCTTGCCTCAGCTGTTGGTATACCAATTTCAACCTCACGATCAAATCGACCTGGTCTACGTAATGCTTCATCTAAAGCATTAGGTCGATTAGTAGCTCCAATAACAACAACACGATTATTTTCTGTCGAAGCTCCATCCATCAAGGTCAGTAAAGTTGCTACTACCCGTTTCTCTAATTCACTAGGCGCTTCATCTCGTTTAGGGCAAAGTGCATCAATTTCATCAATAAAAATAACAGAAGGGGCATGACTGATGGCTTCATCAAATAAATCACGTAGCTTTTGTTCCGTTTCACCATAAAATTTACTTACAATTTCAGCTCCATTGACAATAATAGCATGGGCTCCTGTTTCATGTGCTACTGCACGAGCAATCAACGTTTTACCTGTACCTGGAGGACCGAAAAGTAAGACACCTCGCGGTGGCTTTAATCCGTATTTTAAAAATAATTCAGGGTTTTGAAGTGGTGTCTCGATCATTTCGCGTATGATGGCGATCTGTTTGGATAAACCACCAATATTTTCATATCCAAAAGTTACCGATTCAGCTGTTGGTGGGTGTTTCTTTTTTTCAGAATCATCTATTAACGTAGATGTCAGATGAATCTTTGTATTTGAGGTAATAAGATATAATTCGGATGGATTCTTTGATAAGATGTCTATAATTTGAATTCTTGATCTATTTCCAGAATAGATGAAATCAATGAACTGTGATTGAGCAATGAATTTTAGTTCCACTATACATAAATCTATCTAAGTTTTCTGAATCATATCAATATTTTTTTTTCTTCTGTTTTACCAAGATATTCTTTTAGAAAAATATTAAAATCTCGATCTAAAGAATATGTTGGGGTAGATATAAATTGAACATTGATTTGTGTTGCTTCTATATGTGAGTTGAATACTTTTTGAATAGTGACTATATCACCAATTTGAAATGATCCACTTAATCGTAAGACTGTATTTAATTCTATAGCTTTACTCTCATACTTTTGTTAGCTTTTAATCTACCCTCATGTTTATACATGTATATAATACCTTCTGCTGAAATTGTTAAAGAGGGCCAAGCAATGCCAAAAATAATCTATTGTCAATGGATTATTCGTTTCTTTTGTTTTATTAATTTTGATCTATTTACTTTTCTTTTTCTTTTTTTTTTTTTTACCTGATCTTGCTTTTCGATTCTTATTAAATCACCTGTTCCAATTTGATTTTTTTGCATCACTTCAAGAGATAAGAAAACTCTTGTATGATTTGTATCTTTCTGTGCTGCTTTTATTTCTAAAGATGTATTCATCTGTTTTTAGAATATATATTACAAGGTAAACAATGTTTAAAATGAAAATTTTTTGATGTTTATTACGGAGTTTTTTTATGCATATTATTAGTTGATTGGCTTCAATGACATGATATTCATTATATAGTCTTTCCAAAAGTATAATAATTAAAATACACCAAATTATGTATAGGACACCATTCCTTATTAATATAATATCTCCTGTTCTCCTGTAGTTTCACCTTGAATGAGTCACTATATGGATTAAGAATCACTAAAGATAGATAAAAAAAAGAAAAATAGTCAGTATATAAATATTAAATAGGAGGGGAACACACACACACACACACACACATCTTTACCTCCAAACCTAATTGATGGATGAACATTATAAATATGTTCTTTTAATATAGTTTTATACTCTATTTGCTGTTCATGTGTTAACGCATCTTTTTCAGGATTATTCATCAATGCTCGTCCAAACATAACAACTTCTATATCTAACTGTCGTTCATGACATTGCTTCATCATAAATAATTGTAGTTGTGCCTCTTCACTACGCCAACAATAGTCTCCTATAACTTGGTACTGTCTTTCATCAAGATTATCCAAGTCGATATCTTTAGTATTGAATAGATATAGAAGCATAGAATTAACTCTAATAAGCATAGGATTATTTGTAGATGTAAGATTACTCAAATCACATTCAGCTTGTTCTGCCATACTTGCTTCATCAATCGATACTCTATTTTCGATATTATTATTATTTTCTTTAAATATTGATATTCCTTCATCAATAGTAGGGTGCGTATAAGCTGCTTCAGTTTTGTGCTGGTTTTCAGTATTATCTTCTTCTTTATCAGAATGTATCTGATCTTCTCTCTCCACAAATAACAATGATTTTCCATTATTATTTTCATTAGACTCTATCTCTACCATTTCTTCCATATCCTCTCTATCAGATTCATAATCATCAATGTTCTCAAAAGACTGTACATCATAGAATTCCTCTTTATTATAAGGTTCATAAAACTCCTCTTCAGAGTGTTCTTCTGAAGTATTTAAGACTGTATAGCCCAATGATGATTTTTCTGTTTCATCATCATCATCATCATCTTCTTCTTCTTCTTCTTCTTCTTCACTGCTAAGAATAGTGTAAACATGATTATCATCTTGTTCAGTTATTGAGCTTTGTTCCTCAACAGATTTATCATCAACGTGACTGTAATCATAATGATGTCTCTCTTCTGAGGAGATTTTATTTCCAAAAGTTTCTTCCTCTGATTGCAATTTATTATTTGTTACATTCATTTCTTCTGCTTCAGATTCGACATCGATAAAGTCATCACTTTTTTCTGAAATAGTGTCATTAGTCTTTGACAAATTTTCTTCTTGCAAAACCTCTGTATTCAAATTTTTTTGTAAATCATCTTTATCCGACGCTTTCTCAAACTCTTTTTGTAATTGCTCTTCTATACTATCGTCCATTTTATAGTCAACTTCATCGCTTATAATGGTATTTTCTTTATGCTCAATGATGTCTTCTGCAGTACTAATTGTTTCATCTTTTGTTGAATTGATTTCTGTAGCATTGATTGATCCTTGATCAACTTGATTTTCTGGTATCTCATTCTGGTTAGTAGTGATTAGCTGGTTATTACTTGAATAGTTTTCGATATTATCCTCTATCTTTGTCTCCTTGTCAAATTGTTTAACATCTGCTGCTAATACATCTTCTGAATATAATGTAATTTTAGTTTCTTCTTTATGTTCCACTACATATTGATCTTTAGGTATAGATTCTTTATCTACAATCATGAAACTATCTTTTTCTGTCAATTCTTCAGTGAAAGTCATATCGATATCAGTAGTTGAGTGAAATGTTAATTCTTTAATAGTCTCTGTTTCTGTCTTAATCATCTCTTCTGGTTGATTCAATATGTCATCTATATCTTCAGCTGCTTTATCTAAATCTTCCTTTACAACATAAAATTTTCCTGTAGTCATATCTTCTTCATTCAAAATAGAAGCATCCGCCATAAATGTATCATAATCATTGATAGCTGATGCATTATCTAAATCATTAGGATCTGTCTCTGATTCATTTGTATCTTCATCAGATCTGCTCATATCGCTATCATGATGGATGATTACTATTGGTGATAACCTATTATTTTTTGATTTTCTAATTTTAGCTGGCTTATGTTCATCATTAAAAGATGATTCGATTTCATCCCTATCTCTCTTAAGACTCATATCCCTATTGCTCATATTGTCCTTATTTTGTTCTAGAATGATTTCTGTAATCTTTGAGGGCATATTTTGTAAAAAGCCATTCATATCTAATGTATATGAAGGACGTGATGTTCTTTCTTTAGAGACCAATGCTTCAATGCATTCATCACAACTTGCTGTTAGCGTAAAAGCTTCGTGAATACTGTCAGATTCTACTTTCCAGACATTTAAACTATAACTATCATTATTCTTGTTTTGAAGTATAATTGATAAGTAAGTTTTACTTTCTGTTGAAATTCCATTTGGTGGTATCAACGATAATCCTACTATTTTTATAGGATTTTCGATATCAAAAGGAGGATTGATTATTTTTCTTTGTTTTAATGTCGAGTCACCATGTGCTGCTACTAATTTAATATAGTCTCTAGCATACTGGTATTTAGGATCGTCTTTAGGTTTTTCCTGAGCAAATACGACTGTCATCGAAAGACTATTATACGATCGTGCACAAGATAAGTGAGTAATAGGGTCTATAAATATTGAATAAAGATAAATGGGTTAATAAGCAAGTTATTGTATTTTTATTTTATTTTTTATTTTTTCGAAACATAGACATAGGATAGATAAACTTACATTTTGGGTATTCAGTAAAAGAAGATAAGTCTAAAGGAGACCTTATTCTCGAAGACCTTGATGAAGAGTAAACACTGGACCTAATTCGATAAATAAGGATATTACCTTGACTAAAGCCTAACAATATTTGTGGATCGCTATGACCCATTCGTCTATCGCCCTTTTCTACTGTTAAAATAAAAACTGATGTAACATAACCCAAATCTTTTTTATCTTTTGTATTAGTTTTGAAGGATTCAATCAACTTTATTTTAAAAGAAAAAAAAAAGTTTAAGTTTTAATATTTACACTGTATAACTTAAGCTTACCTCTGAGGATACGTCATTTGTTAGCTCATTAATGCTTAATAAAATCAGCTTAACACCTTGATCTTTTGTGCCAATTACCATAGCATAGGAAGGCTTCATAGTAGAAGACCCTTTTCTATCCTTATATTCCTATTTATTTGTTTGTTTAGAAAAGAAAAGTAGTTTATTTTTCTTTTTCTTTTTTTTTTTCTTTTTTTTAAAAAAAAAAGAACTTGGTGTATACTTTACAACATTAAATGGTAAACGAGATATGCTTGATTGGCTTATTTCTCCTTGGATAGGCTTTTTTGTGAGAATTTTTGACGTTGTTTTATCTTTTACATTATGCCAAAATAAATGATTGTTATTATCCTTATCATTACCAATAATGACAAGAAAATGGCAATCCTTTGATTTACAATATAATGTTGATTGGATCCTTTCAATCTATTGATTTAATTATAAAAGTTAACGATATACATCTTATTACTTGTATACATGTATATATTTATTTGTACCTTATACGTTTTAACAATGGAATTTAAAGAGGCTATAGTAATTTGATTTACAGTTATAACAGAAGTATTTGGATCTGTATAAATATATTCAACAAATTCATTGGTGAAATTAAACAATAAATCAAGTCCAACTTGATAATAAATGTTTTGATGATTGATGCTTATTTGCTGATAATCGCTCATTATATTATTTTATTAAATAGGATATAGTGGTATACGAAAGAAATAAGTAAACACACAGCTATTTTTTTTTTTTTTTTTTAAAAAAAAATGCAGCTTTTTAATCTAAAATAAGAAATTAGCTGGTAATTTTTTTTTTTTTTTTTTTTTTTTTTCATAGAGCTGCTATGGAAATTTCTCACAGCTGTCTACATTCACTTCCCTAATAAATAGATGGCATTACATCATACTTTTTTTTTGTTTCTCTAATATCTACAAGTGTATATAAAAAGAATAGTATTTCCTGAAGAAAACCTAATATAAGGAGAGAAATGATAAGCAATCTCTTTATCCTTCCTAATAAATAAAAGAAGTCTCTCTCTCTCTCTCTTTTTTTTTTTATTCAAATTAAATATTACATATTAAACTGGTAAAGACCTGTCTACAAGGTTCAATTAGCACCGTCAATCTAATTATTAATAAATGTTAAATTCATATTGTATATACTATAACCTGTATTCACTACACCTTAAATTCTATTAATTAATGAGCAATATTTATTTATTATGTTTTATTGTCTCTATCAAGTAGGATATGCATAATTTGTCAGTATTCATAGCAGAACGTACCTGTTCTAAAATTATGAATATTTGTTAACCGAACCTAGTAAGTTGATATGAAGGAAACTGATCTAGCAGTCTTTATCATGGAAAGATGAAATGCAGCAGTTTTTTATTCTTTTTTCGATATTATGATCTTCTTTTATTTCGCAACTGATTATATCAGAGATAGAATAGAAAACTTGTTATTTTATGTTATAAACATCTTATTGGATCTTTAATAGAGAAATTGACTTCTTTAAGCTTCTCCCATTTTTCTAAACTCTTCTACAAAAAGGAATTACAATAAAATTATAGCTAATTTTTGTAGGAGCCTTTTTTTTTATCTTTGTGAGCAGGTAGTATCTTAATGATACAGAATTTTTGAATAGCTGTCTGCGTTAATCAATTTTAGCTTTCTAAATTCATCTCAATAGCTTGGTTTCCTTATAGTTTTCATTATCAACTTGGCATTAAACAATCCTTAGGAATAATAGCTAAGTATGCTCTTTGATACATGGAATACTTTTGTTATTGGCTTTTTATTGTTTTTCTTTAATATACGCTGTTCATATTACCACTCTTTTTTCAAAAGCAAAGTTTCCGGTAGAAATATAGTCGCATTTCAGTATGTAACATGTAAATCTTATCCTTTAAATAGATATGATTGATTTCACCCAGTTTATTATGAATAATCATGCAAGAGATCAATGGAAGATTAGAACTTATTTTTTAATAATTTCTTTAAGGTTTCAAAGTGTATCTTCAGTAATTTTTATTAAATGTCCTTAGAAGAATGAAGTGGGAAATAAAAACGCATTAAAATATTAAGAATATTGATGCTTTGATTTTTTTTTTTTTGATCTGATGGGGGCAATACAATATGTACTTTTTAATGAGTTTTAAAAATTTTATTCAATAAAGATTAATTGTAGAATTAAGATTTTTATTTTCCGCCTAGTTTCTGGTTTTTCTTTAACTGAGAAACTTAAAAAAAAGCTCAAGAGCTACTTTATTATTATTGTTTTTTTTAAAAAAAAAAAAAAATAATAATAATAATACAGAATATCCATATTTAAACATTTTCTGGAAACGAAACCTTATTTTTTCTACTTTCATTCAGGAAAAAAAAAATTATTTTAGAATTGTCATAGTAACCTCCTCTAAATCCATCATAGGAAGAAATCCTTCCAAGTTAAAATTATATAAATTGTTCTTAAAGACCTATTTTTGACTTTGTTTCAATTACTTTATATATTAAAATTAAAATGAAACAAAATCTTCTTTGTTACATTTTTGTATTATTTTCAGGTCCCACCTAAATTAACAAAAAAAAAAAAAAAAAAAAAAAAAAAAAATATTTATAATAAATTATATTCTTATTTATTTTATTTTTATTTTTATTTTTATTTTATTTTATTTTATTTTTTTAATCCCTTTTCTTCTTTATTTCAAACCATGAGTAGTATTTATGTACCGTTTGAAGACCAAAAGAAACAAGATGCATCAATTACACTTCGAGCAATGGGGATCCAATTGGGTATTAACGTTGGAACAGCACTTGCAGTTATGATTGGATTCAGCTTATTAAGACCTGTAAATAAATAAATCGATAAGGTTTAGTTTGTTACTAACTTTATTAAAAAGAGAAATTCATTAGTCTATGCACCAAAATTAAAATTTTCTGCAAAAGGGTACACAAATAAATACACTAATTTTATATTTTTATATAAAAAGACTCACTATTCATATTAGATCTCAACCTCCTTCAATAAATTCTAACGAATGGTTTGCTTGGGTAAAACCAATTCTACGGATACCAGATGATCAACTATTAAAATTAATTGGATGCGATGCTCTTTTATTTATTCGATTCACTCGTCTTTTAAGAAAACTTTTCTTTTTTATGACTCTAATTGGTGTTTGTGCATTAATTCCAATAAATATAGTAGCAACTAAATTAACAGGGTAACTTTGTTTAATTATAGTAGAATTATATATTCATATTAAATACATAAATATATATATATATATTTTTAGACAATGGCCTCCACCTTCTGGCAGTATTGACATTTTATCGATTGCAGGTATCAATCTTCATAATGGAAAATTACGTACAGATCCAAATACTGCTTGGTATTGGTCACCGTTTGCTGCTACTTGGCTATTTTCAATCATGATTGCTTATTTCATGTATAAAGCTTCATGCGATTACATCAAAATGCGTCAATATTATTTTCGATTACCTGAGAATGAAATCACAATGAAATCCTTAATTGTCAGTCGTATCCCTGAAACAATGAGATCTGATGACAAGTTAAAAACATGGATAGAGTCCACAAAAGCGATTAAATACCCTATTAAAGATACTATGATTGGCTATCATAGTTCAAAATTAACTGAGTTATTCGAAAAACACGAAATAGCAGTACAAAATTTAGAAACTACGTTGGCATCTTACTTGAATGGTATACATAAATATATTTATATTTTTTTTAAAAAAAAAAACAAATGAGTCTTATGTATTCTATGGTATAGATGGTAAAGATTCAAACTTAAAAAATAAAAAAAGACCTACAGTTCGTATAGGGAGTCGCTTCTTTTGCTTTGGTGGTCAAAAAGTAGATGCGATCGACTATTATACAAAGGAGGTATCAGAGTTAGAAAAGGAAATCAATGATTTACGAAAGAGTCAAAAGGCGAAAACTGCTCATTACGGTTGGGTCTCATTTGATAGGATTGAATGGGCTCATGCTACAGAACAATCTTTAAAAAAGGAGTTAAATATTCGTCTATCACCTACTCCATCTAACCTTGTTTGGTCTAATTTACCATTAGATGAAAAGACTCGCAAAACAAAACGTTGGATCGGTCATGCTGTTTATTGGGTTTTCGTATTTGCTTGGATGATCCCCATGGGTACCCTCTCAGCGACGTCTAATATCATTAACCTCATTCGTCTCATTCCTAATTCAGCTGCCTTTATTGAACACCATCAAATCTTAATGGGTATCATTCAGTCTTATTTTACACCCATCATCATGGCCTTCTTCTTTTATTTACTACCCATTATTTTTCGCTTTTTATCTAAACATCAAGGTTATTGGACACAGACAAGTCTGGATCGTAAAGTGTTGACAAAACTGTATATCTTTTTCATTATCAACAATCTTTTAGTCTTCACACTTACATCTATGTTTATCGGTATCTATGGCCAATTACGATCTTTGGTGGAGTCAGGTACTTTACCTGGGGGTCATCAGGGTATCAGTCTCACCGGATACGTGATGCAGGTTGCAAAGAATATTGCAGATGTCTCTACATTTTGGATCAACTTTGTTTGTCTTAAATCTCTAGGACTCACGATGGATCTTGCCATGGTTGTCCCTCTCGTGACTATTACCGTACGAAAATTCTTAACTCGTCCGAGTCCTCGAGAGATACGAGAGATGGCAAGGCCCCCATTCTTTGATTATCCTCAAAATTATAATCTTCTCTTGTTTTTCTTTACCATCGCTCTTGTCTATTCTGCCATGTCTCCCTTAATCTTACCTTTTGCTTTTGTTTATTTCTGTGTTGCGGGCTTGGTCTTCAAGTACATGCTGATGTATATCTATGTCACTAAAATAGAAAGTGGCGGTAAGATTTGGCCTGTTCTATTTCAGATCGTCATGACGTCCGTCATCTTCTTTCAAGTAACCATGATCATCATCCTGACCTTGAAGAACGGTTACCTCCAGGCTTATATCCTCATTCCTTTACCTATCCTTACCTTGATCTTTCAATATGTCTATTATCGTCGTATGCATCGTCTTGGATCTTATCTGTCGGGTACTGAGCCTATCCATCCTGTTGCTATAGACGAATCATTTATGGGTGATCAGGATCACCTGAAGAAAGAAAAGACGAAAAAGAAAAAGCAGAGTCTCGAGAGTCAATTCCAAGATCCTGCATATCATGATCAATTATTAGTACCAACCGTTCATGATGACGTGAAGCATCTTTTAAAGGAGGTCTACCATAACGACAAGGGGGAAACCTATCAGGATACGAAAGGGGACCACCCACACCATCTATTTCACGAAACGATCGAGATGGCTGAAGATGTCGGTAAACGTATACTTTATGACATGGATCTGAATGAAAATAAGGGATTCTATCGTCATTCTCATCGAATGACGCTTTACGATAATAACAATCAACATTGTCCCATTCAATTTGACACCATCACAGAGAATGATATCTTGTTAGAGGAATTGAGTGATAGTCATGATGAAGTGCCTCTATCAAAGAGTTTTAGAAAGGTATCAAATGAGGATAATAAAGCAGAAGAAAATGTTGAAACATTAGCGCTCTTGGCAAGAGAGAATACAGAACAGTCCTCTTCCTCTAATGGTCACTACGACTATGATCATGACAGTAGTATCCTCTATAATCATACTGAACCTTTAGTAGTAGCAGCACTTGAACCATCCTCCTTTTTATCCCCACCACCTTTACCTGCACATAACCCGCCCCTTATGAAACGTCAATTACAACAACGACAGGAACGCAATGTGACCTCAGAATACATTGAATTATATTCTTCATTTACACCTACTGCAAGTGCCGTTGAATTAAATACGAATCATCATGATCTTGTTCCATCTGTAATTGAGGAAAAGATACTGATAGAAGAAGACGACGACGACGTCGACGATTTGGATGAGTCGACGACATCGGATATGAATACTCAAATACTTTATAAAAGATATTCAGCGCCCATTTTCAAATCAGAGGATTCAATAGAGGAAGAAGTAGGTCATGCTCAACGTTATTCTTTACCACCCAATCATCATTTTCAATTTTATCAACCTTCATTAGCCATAACTGTAGATGAATCACAAGATGATGGAGAGTCCATTCAATTAAAACGACCATCAAGTCTTCCAGATATATTGAATCATACTCATAAAAATAATTCATCATCTTTACAAAGAAGTAAAACGATGCCAACACAACAATCGCAGTATTCTCAAGAATTAGAAAATCCCTTTGAAGACTGTCATTGTATAGAAAAATCACGAAACTCTATTTCTTGACACTCATAGCTCCCCCTTTTTTTCATTATAAAACTTGATTCTTTTCTCTTCTAATAGATCTATTATGTCAAAAAAAAAAAAAAAAAAAAAAAAAAAAAAAAAAAAGGAGAGAAAGAAGAGTTGCCAATTATTTATTTATTGTATAATACACTAATATGTATAATAAAGAACAAAAGTCAATGCATACATTTGTATATAACCTTTATACTTTTTGCATAGAATAGAGTAGTTCACGTTCCTCTTTATTCGTTTATAAGATGTTTATATAAATACATACATACATATATATATATAGGGCTTTTTGCTATCATTTTTTCTCAATATAGCTATACACTGTAATCATCTTTTACTTTAATTTGTTCCTAATAGAAATATTTTAAAGTAAATAATCAGTTTCAACGACTTTATTATATCAACATTTATCAAATAGGCTGTATTTAAATAGATAGAGACTTTATAATAATAATAATAAAAATACCAGCATTTATAATAGAATTATACTTTAGGTATATATATATATATATATGAATGAAAAAGAAGGAGTCCATATTATTATACACATGTTAAAGACTTGCTTAATTCTTGAATAACTTTTGTCATTTTCTTTGCTCCTTTAATGTCCTCCAACAGGCTTTGATATTTATCGGTTATGTAAAAATTTAGTTTTTTACATTTTTCTTCATATCTAAATGATGAATTATGAGCTTTATACCAAAAAAATATAAATATATGTATTATATAATACCTAGGCATTGTTTCTTTAGTTTCGTTCAAGAGTCGATGGTATCGAATAATGATCTCTGGAATATAAATTCTTCTCAATGCCGTTTTAGAAATAAGAACTGTTTCATTGACATCTTATTAAAATAATGTTAATACCATATATATATGTATATATAGACATATCTAAATTACCTTCTCCAGGCCAATGGCCTTCTAAAACAACTATCATTTCATTACTGACCTTTAATGCTAATTTCTATATAAATGCACATATATATTTAACTCATGCATCCTGTAGACAAGACTATAAATGTGTCTTTTACCTCTGCTTCATTTCGCCATTCAAAAAACTTGACAAGTTCTCGTGGACTTTCACTACAGATACAATAATTAAACTCTTTACATACCATACCATACATACATGTATATAATAAATAATTTAATAACTATTATTTACCCTTCTTCTGGCCTATTTTGCACCCATTTTTCCCATCTTTCAAAGTCAAAGAATGCATCTACCAGTTTTAAGTTTGCTTTGTATTCTTGTACGATTTTTAATATACTTTTGTTTTTTATAGTTTCACTATGTATCCTTTGGAAGAGAGGCTTTGAAAATAAATTCAGGACTTGTTTTGCTAAATAGACTTTACATGCACCCAAGAAATAGCGAATCGTCATGTTGGCTGCTTGGAAAGCCGAAACACATTGTCCTTCATCCAACATTAACCAATTGAGTGCTCTAAAAAATAGTTGATATTCATCGCTCTCTTTTCCTGATAATTCAAGCGTAGGACTATCTGTCTTCACTACATCCACCATTCTAATATGTGTCTAGTACAAGGCGTCAATATATATATATACATATAGAGAGTATTCTAAAATTTAATCTAACCTTTTCAACTGCCTTTTTGAAAAGTTGGGTATGTGTATACTGTAAAATGTCTGATATATGAAGATTGTATTCTTTTCCAAGTTGTATAAGAATAGCGCATTCATCATCATCGCCCTCAAAATCTACAATAATATAAAGGATTAAATAGGACACAAAGTTACCTATTTTTCTTTTTCTCTTCATAACTTACTTTGAAGAAAGTGTGAATAGAAGGGAATATGATATTCTGGAGCACGTTCAGAGGCGATGGTTGCGATAACAAGGGGCCGGATAACGATAGGATTAGCATTTAATTCACCATAAGCAGATAAAATAGCAGCTGTATATATATTTTCCTGCCAATCTAAAAACCTGCATCCATATAAAATCAATGTAGAAATGAATCTCAAAATTAATTCTCGATGATTTACATCATCACTATGTATTATTAGTAAAATGGTTAATAATGTATGTATGCATGCATGCAAGTAAACCCTTTACCTTATATATATACGTGGATTTAATGTTTTATCAGATTCATTATGAACTAATGCTTGGCAAATATGTTTAATAACATCTTGAGATGAATTAGATAAAATAGCCGCTTGAATATAATGAAATAAAATCCTCGGATCATCTCTAAATAATAATATGAATAAGAAGGAGAAGAAGAAGAAAGAAAGAAAGAAAGAAAGAAACACTTGCATGTTTTAAAATGAATTTACTTATTCATAATAAGGTCTTTAGATGAAGCATAATTTCTAACATCTTCAGTCAAAATAGTCAAGCTGTTATCCTCTACTAAACCTTCTTGTACATCCATTAAATCCTCTACACGGCTATTTAAGTAAGTCCAAATAACATCTTCCCAAGTATCACATTTATATTCGTACAAGTACTCTGTTCTACCCCCAATGGCTTCAAAAAAGACTCTTTTATAATGCTCCATTGTTGTCTATATATAATTGTGAATAGCCAAATTATTTTGAAAGCTTATTTTTTTTTTGTTGTTGTTTATAAGCGTATACCTCTTTTAATTCATCATCTATAGTTTCACGCCAACTTTCTCGTTCTATTTTTTCTATAGATGTTACTTTGTTCTCTATAATAATAAAAGAGAACTGTTAGTATATTGCAACCTATTAATATATATATGCATCTATTTATTTATTTATTTATACCAAGAGCTTTATTTTGATACTGCAAATACATATTGGCCATGTAATTATAATAGGGTTGAATATTATTAGCTGAAACATGTGAAAAGTCATTGGAGCGAATTTGTTTGTAATATGCGTTAAATGTTGCTTCTTTATCGTTCATAGGATCTGTCATTCGTCTCTTTTTATTAAAACGAACTTGACCGTTTCCAGATGCTTTCCTTTTGTGTATGCCAATTTGACTTATAATGTCCATAACTTCATCATCAATCTCTTTATCCTCATTAACACGTTCAATTAAGTCTTGATCAATAGGAATTTCTGCTGCCCATTGTTTAAGCATCTATGTCGAAAATGATAAATAAATATATATATATATATATATATATATATATATATATATATATATTAATGCTTTGTTCAATCCGTTTACCGCGTATCGAGTTATTTTCGACATCTTTTTCGTTCTAAAATAAATAAATAGATAAAAGGTTAAAAGTGAATATTTGCAAGCAAAAAAAAAAAAAAAAAAAAAAAAAAAGAATTACTTTTCTAGCAAGTATAATAATTTCCAAGTATTTCGCTCATATTCCATAAAATGAGAAGGCTGGGTAAAGCTCTTTTCGTATTTACTAGTCAAGTGTGCTAATTGAAAACTACTTTCTTCTGCCGTATTCATTTTAAACAAACTGACAATTTTTCGATAAGCGTCGTGAAGTTCATCATTATTGTTAGCCATTATGTAATGAGGTAATAAAGAAAAAAAAAAAAAAGAAAAAAAAAAGAAAAAAGGATTAGAAAAAAAAAATGAAAATGAATTATGTGACTTGTACATCAAAATTACCAGTAACTACTGCCAATTTATTAAAAATAATGCAGCAAGAAGAATATACATGCTTTTAATAATATATACATAATAAAAAAAAAAAAAAATAGTACAATTATTATATTTAAATTAAACCCGTCCTTTTCCCAATTGCAACCATTCCAACAACATAGATTAACATGCCCATTACAATCCAATAGAACCAAACTAAATCCATGTTATCTTGACCAGGTACTTTAACGTTCATACCAAATAAACCACCTATCAAGTTCTTATATAGTTTGAAATGAAATCTAATTTAATTATTTGTTTGAAATAGTGTACATAATTTAAACTTACTAAAGGAACGACAATGGTAGCAAAGAAAGTTAATCGATTAATGACAGCATTCGTTCTATTACCTGCTTGAGATAATTCGATTGAAATTTGACCAAGATAATTTCTATGCGCTCGTCCTAAAATAAGATCGTAATGATTGACGTTTTGCAACATTGTAAGGATATGATCTATATTATATTTATTAGAGAGAGAGAGTTAAAGGTAGTAAGTTGTCTGCCTTTTTTTTTTACCTTGAATATCTCCAAGATATAATGTCACTTCATGATGTATTTTTATTTCTTCTAATTCTAAGGTATCTTCTGTATTTTGACTATAAGGCTTTTCTCTTAAATAATTGCCTTCTTTTACTTTATCTTCGTATCTTTTCATTAAGCTTCGAACGACATCTGCTTTTGGACCTAAAAGACGTAATAATTGCATGACAGTCTTTCGACAACTACCGATTCTTCGCAACATATCGTTTTGTTCTGATCCATTCAAGACAAGCACAAGATCATCAATAGAGTCTACTTCTAATTCTGTATGCTGAATCAAGGGTGCAAAACTATCTGTAATATTATCAATCAAAGCATAATTAATCCATTCTGGTGTAACTCGAATGAAATCCTTCAATTGATGAATACGTCGACGGACATTATGAGGATGAGGTAAATCTTGAAAACGAAACTAAAGAAGAAGAAGAAAAATAGGTGTCAGTGAAAGGTCTTGATTGATAAGCAAAGTTGATTATTTACAGTTAAAACACCATCTTTATAAATAATGATATAAAAATTAACTGCTTCAAGATAATCAGGACTATGGAAGTCATGGTTGAAACTACGAAAACTGATAAACATGTAATTTTGAAAGATTTCACATTTCTCTCTTGATTCTTGTGCTTGAATATCCTCTGTCGTTAAAGGATGTATTCTAAAAATCTATCATATGATATTAAGGGCAAAACTTCTTTCTTATTTTATTTATGAGGTACATCTATTTAAATTTACCTTACTGATTGTGCGCATTTCATCATTTGTTGGAGCTAAAATATCTATCCACCAGCATGTTGTTTCAACTAACAGTTCTGCAACTGTTTTATTTATTGCTTTTTCGTCTAATGTTTGAAAGCCTTTTGTCTCTAACAAATTACGGAAAGAATGACTTTTAAGAGATCCAGATTGTACAGAATAAAATGTATATCTTTCTACACTTTTATTTACTTCAGAAGGATCCTAACAAAAAAAATAAAATAAATAAAATAAATGATAAATAAAATAAGCTATATGCATAAATGTTTTTTTTTCTTTTTACCTTGATATTTTCACCATATAAACTAAATCTTCTAGAAACTGAAGGTTTTTCATTAGCGTCAAGTAAATCGTCTAATTTGGCAGTGAGTTGACGTTCTAGTTTGAAATCTGTTTCAAGTCCCTCATCGATATTCTTCTGCTTTTGAAGATAAGCATTCAACATGTTGATATCTATAGTTGAATATTGATCGGAACTTTGAGAAATGTAAGGATAACATACTTCAACTTCGGGTGATGATGTTGTGTCTGAAGTTTGCTTTTTTTCTTTATTTCTTAGATCCTCTTGTTGCATCGTTGTTGAATCAGGCTCCATTTGAACAACTACATCGTGATTTGTGACAGACAAGAATGGCCTCATATGGAAGGTTTTATCCTCCATTTTCCTAAATTAGGTTTCTTCTTTTTTTTTATTAGATTAAAGCAAAAAAAAGCGAGTAAGTTTTCATTAAATAGAAAAAAAAAATGGAAGAAAAAGATAAGAAAGTATGCAAAAAAAATAAAACAAATAAAAAAAGGAATCGGAGTATCTATTTTTAAAATGTCTGATAATGATTAGAAATTATTTATTTTTTGTGACCAATGAGCATGAAACTAAGAACACGATAAAAGTTAAAAAAAGTAAACGCTGAAATCAGAGGGAAATATAATATGTATAAAAATATATACACATGTATATTGAGAAAATAATATGTAAAAAAAAAAAAAAAAAAAAAAAAAAAAAAGAAAAAATAGTTTTATGAAGAGATAAGGAGGAAAAGAGAAATGAGACAGATAACCCATTTCATACAAAATAAAGCATATGGATGGCCAACGAATGATCCAAAGAGAGACCAAGTTAAAGGGCTTAGAGGTTATTTTTTTTTGTAGAAAAGCTATTAGGTAAAAAAAAAGGAAAGGGGATCGTCAATTGTTTCAGACATTTGCAATTGTTGGTGCATATTTAAAGAGTGTATGAAATGCGACTTAGTGAATAAATGATTAGGATAAAAAGAGTGGGGGGGTAAAGGATAATCATGTGGTAGCTATCTAAAATGTCAATGGATACAACGATTATGGTCATGGCTTGTCATAGATAACCACAATATAGGATTAATTGTCAAGGTATTATAGGAAGAGTAACGTTCTAAACATCTTTCAACCAAGTTATTTAGAAGGAAGGAAGATCAAACAGATTTGAAGGGACATTGATAAAAACTATCAAATAAAGGAATATATGTTGTTTTTTTCTCAAGAGAAGTTTTGAACAGGCAGTACCATTGCGAGTGATTGACAGCAGCATGTTGGAGGTATAGGTGTATACTAGTGGTGTTAACAGATTAGGAGCAAGTGTAACACATTTCCCATTAGTATTCCCAATTTGAAGCCATGACTCTCACACAGGTTTTGTAAGGATTGTGAGATGAAGGCTTCTGATATCAAGACTGTGTTATCAGTACAAAATAAACAGGACAATTGTAAAGCTAATTGGACCAGATGATCGTGGTGATAGTTCATCAATGGTTTTGATCTTAAATCGTTTGTATAAACAGGGTAAAAAAAGGAAATAGAGCTCTATAATACACCAGTAGCAGGTGAGAATTTAGTTAATGTGGCACTATTTCAAAGTATTTCTAACTGAACATTATTGAAGAGGTTACAAAGTATATGAAGGAGTGAGTCTGGTAAATGATTCCATATGTAATTTTGATCAATTGTATCTTAAGTTGATTTCATGTCCAAGAAGACTAAGATAAAGTTGATTTTATAATAACAAATTGTGCACCTATAAACTATAGTCTCTAATTTTATACTATATGCATATGATATATATTTCTGTAATATTAAATAAAACGTCTTCTTTTTCTAGAAAGGATAATTCTAAGGACAGTTGACCTATTGAATATGAATTTAATACAATGAACCTTTTTTTTTATAAAAGTAATTCAAGTCAAGTTCAAATGACTAAGTTTCAACCTAGAACTGCCCTAATCTTCTTAGTCAACATTTTTCTTTTTATATATGTATATATATAATTTGGTAGGTCTCTTATTTTTTCCTTAATTACTTTTTATCATTATCTCTAAACTGACTAGGGCAATTCAGGAACCTTCTAAACTACATACCCATTGGTTATATACATACGTTTATAGGATGACCATGTTTTTTCTTTCTTTCTTTTGATTAGTTATTATGGCTCATTCTCTTAACATTCATTCTTAATGAAGACAAACGATGAAAATAATAAACATGTATTAGTAACGCTTGTTTTGTTAGCCCCTTAGATTGGTCACCTCAGACAAATGAATAAACATAGCAAAATATCAAGACATCATTTCTGAAATAAATAAAATAAAAGTTATATGTGACGGGCTTTTGATAGACGCATGAATGATTAATTTTTTTTTTATTTTATTTCATTTTTTTTTTTTTTTTTTTTTGATTCATTCAGGAAATGTCATTTCGACAACAAAGACTAATGACATCAGTAACCATTATTACTGCTATTGCTTCTCTAGTTACAGGTTATATTATCGGAAAATACACTACTGAAAAAGTAAATACTATAATAAAAAAATAATCAAGTCAAGTACTGTCACTAATTCTTATGCTGAATTTAGGAAAAGATTGACAAAAAAATCATAACTGAAGAAGTAGAAGATAGTGAAGATGAGTTAGATGCTCTTCCTGAAGAACAAATTGATATTAAAAATTATGATAACTTTAAATTGGTAACTAAAGCAAAGAAAGATAAAAACAAAGTTAAGTTTAATAAAACTTTCTTTTAGACACTTGTCGTTCGTTCTGATCTTGGAATGACTAAAGGTAAAATTGCAGCTCAGGTAAAGTAAATATTTAGACTATTTTTGACATTTATTTAATTTTCTTATTATTATTAGTGCGGACATGCTACTTTAGCTTGTTATAAAGCAGCAAAGAAAGTAAACCCATTGGTAAAGTATATATTTAGATACATTAAAAAAAAAAAACCATTATAAATCTAACTCTATGTTTCAGTTGTTAAAAGCATGGGAGTCTTCGGGTCAAGCAAAAGTTGCTTTAAAATGCGACAGTGAAGATAAGCTGTAAATACATCTTTTTTTTTTTTCTAAATAAGATAAATGACAATTACTTACAAGTTCTATCATATAGTTTAGAATTACAAGCTATTGCTCATAGTCTTGGTTTACCTGCACAAACAATAAGAGATGCTGGACGTACTCAAATTGCCCCTGGTTCACGTACTGTATTAGGTGTTGGTCCAGGTATATTGAATTGTGTTAATTTGACAACATTATTATTTATTATCAATTATTTGATAGGCCCTGCTGAATTAATAGATAAAGTAACTGGACATTTGAAACTTCTTTAGAAGATCCCCTTTTTTAGAAAATTATTTCCATTCACCCCATAAGATAAAATGTTGATTCTGTCTCGTAATGACAGTAAAAATAAAAAAGATGTCTTAGTTTGTAACACAATAAATAATTTCTACATTCATTTTCGTGAACTCCACATATTTTTTCATTTTTTCTTTCTTCTTTTTTTTTTTGGTTTTCTTTTCCTTACTTTATATTACTCTCATTTTGTTTGTTCGTTTGCTCGTCTTCTCTTGTTTATCATGAAGGAGGCTTATGTGACTTTAGTTGCAACTGACTCTTATGCTGCAGGAGCACTTGTCTTGTTTCATAAATTAAGTGAGCTCGGCTCTAAGAAAGATCAAGTCTGCTTAATTACACCTAATATATCACTTTGTGTACAAGACACATTAAAAAAGGTTTGTACACAAGTCATCATGGTAGACTTATTGCGTTCAACGGATAAGAAAAATCTTGAATTACTCGGTCGTCCTGAACTGGATATCACTTTTACTAAAATACATCTTTGGCGTTTAACACAATATTCAAAACTTGTTTTCTTGGATGCTGACTGTTTTCCATTAAAGTCAGATGTGGATAAACTCTTTGACCATCCTTCATTTTCTGCTGCCCCTGATGCAGGTTGGCCTGATTGCTTTAATTCTGGTGTCTTTGTTACTGTGCCTTCCGAAAAGATATATCAAGACTTAATTCAACTTGCATCCGAAAATGGTTCTTTTGATGGTAAGTTGCCTTTTTTTTTTATCTATATAAACATATGTGTATATAAACCCCTCCCCTTCCCTCCTCCCCCCCAAAGATGATCTAATATTATCTAAAATAAGAGAAACTCTAATCAATCATATGGTGCTTTTTTCCTTTTTTCTATTTTTCATTAATGTCATTTAGGCGGAGATCAGGGACTTTTAAACACTTACTTCAGCACTTGGTGTAATTTACCTTCTCACCGTTTACCATTCACTTTTAATACTACACCTACTGCACAATATGGGTAAGTTTTTTTTTTAAAAAAAAAGGAATTATGGAAAGATTAAAGTCATTAAAGGGAAAAAAATAACGTCTAATTTCTTTCTATTTATTAGTTATGCACCTGCTCATAATCAATTTGGCCGAAATATTTCTATTTTCCATTTCATTGGAGAAAATAAACCATGGAAATATCAACGATTCGCCGACGGTAAAGTATTACCTTTAGGTAATACATGGGAAGGTATTAAAGAGATGGTTCAAGAATGGTGGAATACTTGGGATAAATTTTATGGACGCGTAAAGTATTATCATATTGAAATCATATATTTTCGTTGTACCTTTTGATAATCAAGGGTTTTTTTTGTGTGTGTGTCTGTGTGTGTGTCTGTGTGTGTATTAAACTTTATTTTAATTCCGATCTTAACAGATTTCACCTTATCATTTATTATCTGGTAAATTCATTGAAGAGTTTGATGATGGATTTCAAACATGTCCTATTGTACCTTTTGATGAAAACGTGAAAAATGCTTGGGAAAATCAAAATATTAAAGTATATGATGAACGTAGACAAACTAAACCTATGCCTCCTATTTCTCATATTACCATTGGTCAACCTGACTGGTTAAAGGAAGAATTACTAAGAAGTGAACAGCAAAAGAAGCAAGAAGAGGAGGTAATTAATAGGCGTTTTTTTTAAAATGATGATTATTTCTATCATTTCTTCTTTTTTTTTGTTTTGTTTTCTCATTCTATATACATGTATATATTTTATAGCGAAAACGTGAAGAAGAACGTCAAAAGAGAGAACAAGCAGAGAAAGAAGAACGTCAAAGGAGAGAACAAGCAGAGAAAGAACAACGTCAACGTCAAGAAAGGGAAGAACATGATCGCTTACAAAAAGAACAACACACTCAAGAAGATGTTCCCAACAAAAATAACCATTATAGTATGATTGAATGGGATCCCGCTCATCAAGAACCACCCAAGACGGGAAAGTTAAGTGCTAATATTCCCGATTTGTCCAATTATACAAACGTGTGGGACCAACCTCTTGACGTCCAACAGAGTCATACATGGGTTGCACCTGTACATCATCCTGAGCCTGAAATCTTATCTAAGCCCGAATATTCTAATTATCATCCCGACGATTATGCTCCAGATGCTCATTATTCACCTATTCATACCAATTATCCTTCTCATCAACAAGAATATCCTCAAGAACAACACCACCACTACCAAGAAGAGCATCATGAAGAAGAACATTACCAAGAACAATATTATCAGGAACAACATCATCAAGAAGAGCATCATCAAGAAGAGCATCATCAAGAAGAACATCAATCGGAATTTCATCAAGAAGAGAATCATCAAAAAGAACATTACCAAGAGGAACATCGTCAAGAAGAGCAACATCATGAAGAACCCATTTATTACTCTTCTTTCCCTTGGGAGTCAAATCCAGATCATTTTCCTCCTCCTTCTCGTATATGGTTAGATGAACAACCGCATCATGAACCTGAACATCATCATGAACCTGAACAACATCATGAACCTGAACATCATCATCATGAGCCTGAACATCATCATCATGAGCCTGAACATCATCATTATGAATCCAGTAAGTTACTCGAATATTTTTTTTTTGAAAGACAGGACCAATTAAGTTATCTTTATCTTATATAGAATCGAATGAAGAGCAATATATAGTCGAGTCTAATTCAATTCCTCAAGAAGAAAATAATCAAACGGAATCTGTTCGACAACCTGAAATGGAAAAGTAAGTATAACTTTCAAAATGATTATGTATGTATGTATGTATGTATGTTTATTTAATATATATTTTTTATTTTCTATTGTCTTAGTCAAATACGTGAGTTACAAATATCTCATCAAGAGGAGCAATATCCTCTTGTAACCGAATCCAAACACATATTAGAAGAGGATCCAAATCTATTTGCTATTGATAAATTGATGAGCCCCTCTGCACAAACCAAGATTGAAGAATTTATTGCTTCCTTGATAGAAGAAGAACAGGATGATAATGATATCAGTGATCGTGATCTAATTCCGATCAATTTTAAGCCTACAAGCCGACTTCACACCGGTATGTATACACCTTCACCAGGTAGTAGTCGCCAAGGAAGTCGTTCGAACAGTCGAAGAACAAGTGTGTCCTCTAGTAGACGTAATTCAGTCTACTATAGTAGCAATAAATCTACTCAACCAGCAGAGGCCCTCTCACCTGAGACGCCCATCAACAGAACCTATCCTATTTTGCCTGAGAATGAACAACCAATACAGCAATCGAATATGTTTGCCTCTGCTGATTCCTCATCCTCTATGTATAATCGAAAGACACCTTATACATCTGCCGCTGTCACACCTGTTGCTCGCGTATCACCCGAAGAGCGTGACGATTACAGCCAATACGATTACTTTGGCTCCGATTTGACGACTACGTCAAATCCCGATTTTTTATATAACCATCAGTATTCCTTAGCAGATTCCCTGGCGGCTTTAGAATCAAGTTTAACCAAGGAGGAATGGGATCCAGAGAGGGCATTGACAGAACTGAAGGAACATAGTGAAGGGATGGTCTTACGTCAATCTCTCAAGGATGCACTTGCAACATCATCTCATCCATTAGAGGATAAAAAGGGCGTGCAAAAAGATGACGACGACATGGATGCTATTGACCTCTTGCCTCCTCCTGCTGCTGCTGCTGCTACTGCTCAACAAGCCAAGAAAGAGGGTCAAAAATCATCATCATCATGGGATGAGGAAGAAGTCTGTGAATCTCCAAACGCTCCTATCTCAGACGAATCCTCTCCTCGTACCCCTTTAATACGTAGCATGTCGAATTCGGATTTGTCCAAGGAGATTGCTATAGAAAAGGAAAGATATCGTCAGCAAAGAGCTTCATTGATGTTGGCTCAACCTCAAGCCGCTGTGGCCTCCATGTTGGAAGCAGAACTTGATTTATCTCGTGGTACTTTATTTAAACGACGTTATTATGATGACATTATTGTGGACCCCGATTTGGCTGTTGATGAGAAAGATAGTCTACTAGTGGAACCTACTTCTACTATTAACGCTTCGTTGGTAAAGAAGCCAACTGAGTTAACGGCATCTAAGGTGGCTATGAGTGGCGATGATGAGGATAAAGAGGAGGAAGAGGATATCTTGTTTGTGCCACCTATTGATCAAAATATTGCCTTTTATGATGACTGTGTGATTAGAGAATCACAAAGACGTCTTAGGGCTCTGGTCATTGGCGAAAATGATGATTCTGAATTATCATCATTAGATATAACGATGCCTCTACCTATTGCTACAGGTACTCATCATACACAATTGAATGTGTCAAAGCAACCCCTTCATATGTACCAACGTGATGAAACAAAAAATGATCCTCAACCCTTTGGATTGTCATGGAATAGTAGAGCCTACGAATCAAACTTTGGATTTGACGAAAAACATAAACTTCATATCTATCGACCTGAGCTCGTGTTGAGTCAAGATGCAGCAGCTGAAATTCAATCGTTCAATCCCGAGATTGAGCTTGTGAAAACAGAGGACCCTATTACAAAAAGAAAAAATCGATTAGCAGCAGCGAAAAAAATGAAAGAAGAACAGCAAGAAGAAGAGGATCCAACTGTAGTTTGCTGTAAAGAAAAGGCTCCTGAACAGTCAGCGATGACAGAGAAAAAAGAAGAAAAGGATCCGAATGTAGTTTATTGTAAAGAAAAGGCTCCTGAACAGTCAGCTGTGAAAGAAGAACAGCAAGAAGAAAAGGATCCAAATGTAGTTTGCTGTAAAGAAAAGGCTCCTGAACAGTCAGCGATGACAGAGAAAAAAGAAGAAGAAGAACCTCAAAAGAAGATTAAAAATACTTCAGTCCGTTCGACTGATAAAAGAAAAAAAAGAAAAGAAATTCAAAAAAGCAGAAGAATCGTAGAAGATAATGAAAAAGGATTTATTAGCATAGAGTGCATCATACTAAAAAAAAAAAAAAAAAAAAAAAAAAAAAAAAAAAAAAAAATTATCAAATACTACTGTATCTACATCATTTTATTAAATTCCCTTCCATGCATAAAATAAATAGATCATATATAATTATACAACATTGTAACTATATCTACTTTATATGTCAGAATCAATTACACGACATATTGTCTTTATTATGTACATATATACATATATTCATATGTATGTATATATGTATTAATAATTATACAACTATTATTATCATTAAAAAAGAAAGTGCGTTTATTATAGTACATGAATTACATTATCAACCAGTATTTTACGTATGAAATGAAATGGATTGAAAAAAAAGCTATTGTTTATTGTAGAGTAGTTAACCGAGCAGAGACTGCTTTCCAGAGTCGATCAACTACCAATGCATGACGTCTTCTAATACTTAATTCATCCTCTTCTTCGTCTTCGTACTCTTCTTCGTCTTCGTACTCTTCTTCGTCTTCGTACTCTTCTTCGTCTTCATCCTCTTCTTCGTCTTCATCCTCTTCTTCATCTTTGTTATCAGCACCTTTAATTTTTAAATCTTTGATTAAATCCACCAAATTTGCATAAGGAGACTTGATATTTTCATCTTCTAACTCATGAGGTGAATGATGTGGTTCATTCAAGATGGTATGATAATTATTGTTAGAAGGAGAGCTAGCAGTATTAATAATAATAGGAGATACATCTTCTTTAACCTTGTCTTTCTTTTCAGGTTCAGCTTTATCAGATACGGTCTTCTTGGTATCATCTAATTTTACATGATCCTTTTGCTTTTTATATGTTGGTGTTACTTTAGCAGAAGAAAAGACGTTTATCATATGTATTAACTCCTTTTTGTTTTCAAAGCTAGCAGAATTAGTAGAGGCGTCCATGACAGGTGTAAGAGCAACATGAGTTTCTTGTTGACTTGCTTCAAATACAGTAGCTTTTTCTGGTTTAGTCTTAGTCTTTGTGGTATTTACATCAATAGACATAGAAGGTGATAGCATAGAGTTATTATTATAAAGAGGTGAGTGAATATATCCTGGAGACCAGAATTGAGGTTGAATAGTTATGCTATTCTTATCATCTTCATCATAAGAAGGTGTATGAACGACAGAAGATTCACTTGCAGACGTAGTCTGTTGAATAGAAGGAGATAAAAATATGTTCTGTGTGTCAGTGAGTGTATTGTAGGTTGAAGGACTATCATGATTAAGTAACTGAGAGGTCAAATCATTTATAACTCGTTCATCTTCCTCTACTACTAACTTTGGATATAAGTCATAATTATTAGTAGTTGATAATTGTGGCTGTTGAAATAAATCAACATTATTGTTTAAAATATCAGGATAAATATTTTCTTCAGTATTGATGTTAGCAGACAATTGTTCAAGCCAATTATGTAAGGCAGGAATAGAATCTGGTTCACAGGGTAAATTCCAATTATTTTGTTGTTCCAATATGGGAGCGATTGAATTTAATTTTTCCATCATATCTATTATTATTATTTACTCAATAAAAATGTCTTGGTTAATTCCGCCAAGATTTTTTTTTTTTTTACCTGTATCATAAGTCGGAGAGGCTTGATTATACAAGACATCGTCAATAAAATCTTGAACTGGATCTTGTTGTAAGTAACCAGAATTAAAATATTCTTCATCTGTTTCTGGATATAATTTATGGCTTTCATTGTCTTCAAGTGAGAAACTAGGGCTACTACGCAAAGATAATAGATCTGATAACAGCAAAGAGTAAAAAAAAAAATGTTATTGAATAAATATCATACGTATAAATTTATATTTTATATTTGTATTACCTTTATTAGAAGAAAGATGAGTATACTTTGTTGAAGAAGAAGAATTTGTTGATGCAATTGTATTTGCTGTCTTTCTTCTTCTTCTTCTGACTGGCTTGTAGCCAGGCTGATTACTTAACAAAGAAGCTATATGTATATAAATATGTATTAGTTATTATTATTGTTTGTTTTATAGGTATTTTTTTTTTTTTTACCTTGATGCTCTGCTGTATGAATTCTTTCATGTTTTTTCAAATCTTGAGGTCGTTTAAATGCTTTACTACAAATCTACATAAAGTGTTAAAAAACGATTTTTTTTTCTACAAAAAAAAAAAAAAAAGACTTACTGAACATTGATGAGCTATAAGATGAGTACATTAGCAATGTTAATATAAATGAAAAGCATTAGGTGTACATATATATATATATATTTACGTTTTAAAGGTACATGCACTCTTACATGACTTGCGAGATGATCTCGTTTAGCTGCAACAGTACCACAATTGTTCCATTGACATTGTAAACATAAATTGTTAGTTGCTTTTCGTCCTATATGCTTCTCTGATAAATGGGTAAATAGGTCTTCGGCACTTGTGCAACTTTCTTCACAATTTGACCATTGACAAGGAAAAACTGTTTGTATCATTTGTTAAAAATCAATGCTTACAAAAAAAAAAAAAATAAAATAAAATAAAAAGGGAAATTTATAGATAAATAAAAATACCAAAGAAAAGCTTATTTAATGCTTTATCTTTTTCTTAATTTAAAGTCAGCAATACAAGAAAAAAAAAAGCTGTAAATGTTGAATCTTTACTATTGTTTCAAAAAAGAAAATAAACAAAAGCAATTACAGTAATAAAAACCGTGTTTTTATTTAATTTCTTGTGTGTTTTACAAGAAAAACTCTATAATAAAGACAAGAGAAGAAAGGGTATACAACATAATAAATAAATAGATTATTGAGTCTTTTTGGTATTCACAGTTACTACATTTTCCATAAATTCAATAAAACGTTCACCATAAGCTTCAGGATGAATGGCTGATATAGTTTTCTAATCATAATAAAAATAAACAAAGGTTGGCTGAATAAGTTCAATTGTTATTTACCTTATTTTGTGTAAAGCTTTTCAAAAAATGCTCTGTTTTCTTTACAAAATTATAAGGAGTTAATATATCAATGATTCCTAAGAAATAAAGCATATTCGTTGTTTGATTATTTTCATCCGTTGATCTAAATCCACCTTCTTCTGAATAAAAAATACAAAATTTTCGCCTAAATTTAAATTAAGGAAACAAAAATTCAATTCAATTTTTTTTTTTCAACTACTGCTGCTATTATTATTATTTACTCATCAAATGGTGTCTCTGGTAATTGAGAAGAATCAAGCTGTACAGGATTCACATTCTTAATAGCTTTTCTAACTATATCCGCTTTACTTTCTCTTCTGTACTTTGCTGACATTGTTCTTGTTTGTGGCTATATAAAGTAATAATAATAGGAGTAAGGATTATATTAAATTTTCTTTTTCCTCTTCTAATACTTTTTACCGATACAAATTGAAGATGCGTATCCCTTATTCCTTCTGTATTTCCTTTAACCATATCATGAATCCCAATCAATAAACTATAATCCATAATATTCAGTTTAGATAACAACTATAATATAATTTCAGTATGTATATATATATGTAATTTATATGATTTATATTATATAGTTATCTATTTTCTACCTTCACGTCTCTATTTAATTGTGATATCAACATATTTCGTTTAATTGTTCCAAATTCCAGTTTTTTCCCCCTTTCTACCCAATTTAAATCTTTTAAAACTGCATGTGGATTTTTAGCGATCTCTTCAGCAGATGTCAATCGACCAAAGGTGGATCCTTTTAGATCATAAGTTTCATGAACATCTTTGTTGCTTGGAAATACGTTGCCCATAACAACAAAATGAATTTTTCTACCATGAGGTAACTTAATACGATGTAGTCCATAATATCGACATAATAATGTGTTTGGATTATTACATACATGCTATGTATATACATATATATATCTGTTAATCCACAATGTTATATAGAATAGATCAATGTACCTCATAATAGTGCTTAAGTATCTTTCTCATAAATTTATGTTCAGTATGATGTATTGTCTTGATGATAAATCGATAATCTCTTGAATAATAGAAAAAACTTCCACTTTTACCAGGTGAACCTAATTCTGATAAAATATATTTGTTTGTCAATGACATCTTATATATATGTATATATATATATGTGTGTGTGTGTGTGTGTGTATATAGAAATATTAGAGCCATCATATAACTGAGATATAAATATAAATATAGATGTAGATATATATATATTTACCATGTAATCAGCTGCATCAATATGAAATTGTTCTCTCAAATAGCGAAACACCCAAGGAGCATAATCTTTGAATTTAAAGTCATACTTGACACCTGGAGTCAATTCATTACCAGTACTAAAAGTTAATAATATACATGTAAGTGACTTTCTTTTTCCCTCTCTTTCTTTTCTTTTCTTTTCTTTTCTTTTTTTTTTTTCTCTTCTTAATAAATATCAATATTACATATCAAATACTAATTTATGTGCTGCAGTAAAATCATCATCAATTAAAGTCTTTTGCATTTTTGCAGATACTCGACCTACCTATTATTATACCAACCATTAATTCATAATCATGTTAATGTATATCTATGTTTTCTTTTTCTTTTTTACTTACAGCAATTCGAATGCCTGTTAACATATCGTACCTATAATAGATAACCCGAAAAATTGGATTAATTTAAATAGTTCATTTCATTTACATCTATAATAACATACATAAGTTGATAATTACGATGTCCTTCCGCTACTCGAGTACCAATCAGTACACGACCGTCGTCGTCATCGTCATCATCATCGTAACGATATTGTTGTAGTCTTCTGGATGTTCTTCGAGCTTGTCTTCTTGCTTTGATTTCAGATTCCAATGCAGCTTGTTCTTCTGGATCTAAATGCCCTAAATCGGGGGTAGTTGTACGACGAAAATGAGATAATGAAGAAGTAGTAGGAGGAGGAGGAGGAAAAAATGAGTAGGATTGTTTCTGATGTTGATCATGGTATTCGGAGTTAAAAATATGAGATGATGAGGATAATGGTCTCTTTTTTTTTTTTTGATTATTCAAGATAGTTGAAGAAGACGAAAGAGGCAAAGGATTTGACTGCGTAGTTTTTAATGGATAAAAGAATCCTTCTTCACTCTCTTTTATTGTTGACTTGTGGTGATAATGATTGTCTGCTGTAACAATAGTATGATTATTTATTAAAGAAGGTGATCTTTTTGTATCTAAAACTTCTTGTTCTTTATCATGACTAACTATTTTTTTATTAGTTGTTATTACCGTTAACGGTCGATATTGCTGAATTGTTGAAGGTGACATTTATTTATTTTGAAATGAAGGAAAGAATGGAATGGAATTAGAAAGAAGAGGTAAAAATTTCCTATAGAAAAAAGAAAAAAAAATATAGGAGACAAAAAAAAAAAAAAAAAAAAAAAAAAAAGATTTAAGCTTATTTTTTTTATTTTTTTGGATTTTAAGAAGCCTTCCTAATTATTGTATGTACGCTTTTTATTATTATTATTTTGTCCAATCAAATACAAGTATTTTAAACATTGGATTTGTCTAGTTCAATTCATAATACATCATCACCTTTGCAAAGACTATAGTGAATTATACTTATTTCGAAGGAATATTCGAATGGAGTTTATACCGATAAGTTTGATATTACAAAACAAATTCCCTTTATTTCCTCTTTTTAATCAAGTCTTTTGTTCAATAATAAAACCAGGAATTATCCATTTGAGTTATTATCGGCCTTACAACAAAAGACTTTTAACTATCAGTTCATTTTTTTTTGTTAAACTCAATACTATCATTGTTGATGAGGATAGACTTTTACATGCCTTCCATCTCTTTTCAAACGCTACTGCTTACTAATAGTAATAAACTACTCGATTAAATCTTCTTTTTGGTTATTTATTCAACTAGAAAATGCACTTTGCATAAGCTAACTTGCCCATCAACCATTAATATACAAAAACTCAATGTATTTTTACTCTTCTTTAGTGACTTTGATAATTTTCACTTTAATTGAAAATTTTATTGTTAAATTTATTTGGAACACATTATATAAATCTTTTTTTTTTCTTTTTGTTTCTTTTGCAGTCCTAAAAAAATAAAATAAAAATGAATGAAGCCAAGATACAACTTCTTGGTGTACTTCGAGAAGCTACTTCTCAAGATTATCAACGCATAAGACAAGCTGAAAATATGTTGAAACAATGGGAAAATGAGCCAAGTTTCTTTGCCACTTTACAGGTAAATAAATACACGAATATGCCCCCCAATATCTTTATCATTGACAATGGATAATTTAGGATATATTCTACGATCGTTCTATTGAACATGATATCCGTTTCTTAAGCGGTATCTATCTTAAAAATGGTATTGATCGATTTTGGAGAAGAACAGCTAAAAAGTAAAGTAAAAAAGAAAAAAAAAATCAAATGAAATCAAATAAAATAATACTCATGCATACATTTTATTTACTTAGTCCTATTCAACCTGAAGAAAAGAAAGCAATTCGTCAACGTTTACTTCAATTCATTGACGAACCAAGTAAAAAGGTAAATATTGATGTATATCTATTAAATAACAAAATTGAATGAAAAAAAAAAAAAAAAAAAAAAAAAAAAAAAAAAAAAAAAAAAAAACTCACAAAAGAGATTAGCTTACAGCGCAAAATGCAGTTATTGTCGCACGTATTGCTCGTCTTGATTATCCTCGAGAATGGCCCGAGTTATTATCAACGATGATTCAAGCATTAAATAATACAAATCATACAAATGAAGAGCATGCACGCCTTATACATCATCGTGCTTTAGAAATGTTATTTGAAGTATTATCCGAATTAAGTACAAGATTATTATCTGCAGGACGTAAACAATTTTCAGATATTGCACCTCATGTCTTTCAAACAGTTGCTCAGATTTACTTGGTTTATGTTGATCGTACATTAGCTCAATTAACTAATCCTGTTAATGAAACGTCTTTGTTAGCTGAATTGAATATCGTTTCTATTTGTGTAAAATGCTTAAAGATCTTGACTGTTAGTGGAATTAAAGATGTTCATAAATATGACGAAACAAGAGTAAAGTATAAATTACATTATATACATGTAAGCTAACTTTCTTTTTCTCTCTAGACATTTATTGAAATTAGTCGTAAACATTTAGAACAATACATGGAATGTCGAAATATATTAATTCAATTATTAAATGGTAATCAAAGTAAAATTAAACAAGAGTTGGAAACTACTATTGAAGATTATGGCGCATTATATTTGGGTTTACAAAAGACACATCCCATTTCCGCCACATTATGTCCAGCTTGGTTAGATATTATTCGTTATTACTGGCAACATATCACGATGGAGGGGCCACGGATTATAACAGGTCAATCCACCTTATTCGAAGCCTTTTTATTACAAGGATTATTACTTGTGAAGGAAACAATTAAATATGCGTCAAGTAAACAAAAGATAGATGATGATATCTTGTTGTCAGTGACAGAGGAAGAAAAGGAATTAACAATTGAATCCCATCGTTTAATCCATCAGCACTTTTTAACACCCGAGTTTGTGAGTAGATGTGCAGAAACACTTGTAAGTCAATACATGTTATTGACACCGCGCGATTTTCAAAAATGGGAAGAAGATCCTGAAGGATGGGCTAATGATTTGGATTCTGAGAATTGGGAGTTTGAATTAAGACCCTGTGCAGAAATGACATTTATGAGTTTATTAAATAATTATAAAGATCAATTGATTCCCATTTTATTGAATTTAGTTGAACGAGTTGCAAGTAAAGCAGTAACACTATATATAATATATTATTAGTATTATTATGATGATGATGATGATTAACGTTAGCATCTACATGTTATAGCGGTGACAGATCAACCATCATTATTATTTAAAGATGCAGTTTATGGAGCCATTGGATTAGGAGTTCACTCCTTATATGGAAGGCTTGATTTTGAACCCTTTGTGATGAATCGCTTAGTTGTGGAATTAAGAGAAAATAAAGAGAATCCTAATTTCAGAATATTGCGACGTCGTATTGGTTGGATGTTGGGTAAATGGGTCAATGAAGGGATAAGTGCTGATTGTCGAAAAGTGATTTATGAAATATTATTGGAATTGATGGCAGAGAATGAAGATTTAGTAGTTCGATTGACAGCTGCTAATGGATTGAAACAAGCAGTTGATGATTGGGATTTCGACATTAGTATTGTTTTACCCTATTTGGGTACTGCCATGTCACTTTTGATGAATTTATTAAATCAAGTAGAAGAGTCAGATACGATAATGAAATTAATTTCTTATCTCAATGCTATTATGGATAGAACAGGATCTGATGTAAAGAGATTAAAAAGGATGCATATCTTTAATCCGATATATTAATTTATATTCTTATTTAAACCTTAGATGATACCTTATGCAGGACAAATTATTCAATTACTAACACCCTTATGGAGTCCAACTATAGAGCCTTTACTTCAATCGTCACTTGTTGTTACATTTACCAAGATAACTAGTGTAATTATATGAGATATACATGCATATCTATTTCTTAACTTGTCTCATTTTATAGATTCTTAATGAACAATCGACTCAATTACATACTATTCTTATACCAATTATAAGATATTGCACAGATCGTAATAATGTAAAGAAATATGCATCTACTATTAAATCAATGTATATTAAACTATATTAAATATATACATATTAGGAAGCACATATCTACTTGTTAGAAGATTCTTTGGACCTTTGGTGGACCATGTTACAAACAAGCCCACATAGTAGTTCTGAAATAATGTCACTTTTATTTACAGCATTAGAATTATTAGACTATGATACAGAGAATTTAAGAAAGATATTAAAGATTATTGAAAGTTATCTTCTTTTAGATCCTCAAACGACCTTACAACATAGTCTTATTTTATTTACCAAATTAGCTTCCAAGATTGAAAATGCAAGAGAACATGTAGTATCTTATATTGTACATACAACTGACTTGGCATTACAAAGTGGACCTTTACAAATCTATGGAGAATCACTAGTACAATCAGGATTATTAACTCGTATATTAACTGTTTTAGTAGAAGAAAAGGTAAAGAAGTAAATATAACCTATGTACGTATACTGATCTGATATCATTATAGATGTATGGTTATACAGTCATGAATTATATGAATATATTCTCTCGACTATCCATTTATGACGCCAGTTTTGTTATTCAAGTAATTCAGTTAGTAGGTCAACAACGAGGAGAAGATGAAAACTTTTTAGGCCATGTATTCGATACATGGTTAGATAAAGTAAGATAGGTTTTAAACACATGAATGATGAGAATGGCTTGGTTAATAAGATTCAAAAGTTTGATAATCTTAGTCAAACAAGAGCAAGAAAATTAGCATGTTTAGGTTATACAAATTTAATATTAACTGGAAATCCTGTTATATTGAACAGATTAAACACTATGATGGCAATTTGGAGTGATATTGGATTAGAATTAAAAGAATCAGACGAAACAGAGTAAGCCTATTATTTTATTTTCGAGTTAAATCTAAAGGCTTACTTAAATCTCCCGTCCCTTTTTCTTTCTAGTGTTCTTTACAGTGAAGTAGATATGGAAGGAGATATTTATGAAATTGATGAAAGTGCTGAAAAGTCAAGAAAGAATGAGGTAAATAAAGGAGATGCAAAGAAGAAAAAAAAAAAAAAAAAAGGGAGATTTATATTAAGTTTTATTTTATAGATATATTATCATGATTCAGTCTTTACAACTGATTTAATTCAACTTATTCGTCAAACATTAAATGAACCATCTATTCACATGCTTATGAATCAAGTTGATTCCACTATTTTAGATCAAATTAATCAATTATTGTTATCCTAGTCTACTTGTGACCGACTTTATAATATCAGTAGCATATGATTATAGATTCAGTGAAACGTAGTGATTTGCTGCTAATGTAGAATTTTTATGTAAACAAATAAATATAAGAGCAGTAGATATACATATAAATATGTATATTTTTATATTCTTCTTTTCAATTTCTTTTCTTTTCCCTATCTCTTCATACATACATCCATTTATTTCCTTCTTTATGATATCGTCTCTATTTCATCCAGTAGTCATTACAACAAGTGCAATATCATGTCTTGTATTTGGATCATGGTTTACATTTTGGTACAAGACAAACTTGGCTCGTACAGAACGAGAGAGAGCTTATGTTTGCACTTTATTAAGTAGCTTTGTAACCAGTCTTTGTTCATTACCTTATGTCTATTATTTCTTAAAGAACGAGGGTCATTTCCCAGACTTTATGTCCAATTTTCAAACAAATCAATTGCCAGTCATCATCACGACTTTCTTTATGACCTTTTTATTTATGGATCTTACAATAGGTTCTATATTCTATCCAAAGAAGATTGAACTCCTTACAGGATGGATTCATCATCTTACTTACTTGGCTACCCTTACCTGGGCTATTCATCAACGTTATTGTGCGATCTTTATCATGATGTGTTCATTAGAGATACCTACCTTTCTATTAGCATTAGCATCTGTACGCTCTCGGTTTCGTCATGATTATTTATTTGCTGTAGCATTCGTATTCACTCGTATCTTATTTCATGCATTTACCATTCGTTGTGCTTGGAAATCTGCAGTCTTGAATCCTGTCTCTTATCGATCCATTCTTATTGCCTTATCCTCTTTCTTTCCTGTTCATTGTTATTGGTTTTATGGTACGTATGAATGAATGAATGTATACATATTCGTGTATATTAAAATTAAATTAAAATTAAAATTAAATTACATAAAATAAAGGGTTTATTAAGCAACAAATCCGCTTAGCCAAGAACAAGAAAAAGTTAGGAGAAGAAAGGGTGATCGTTTCTGATAAGCCTACAACTAAATCATCTCATATATTAACAATGAATATACCTAATAAAGATATCAAGTTGTTAACAGCATCAAGCATTGTTAGAAATACAACAATGTTAATACAGCGATCACTCTCTTCCAGTCATCATACAACAGCATCCTCCTCTACCACTGCTGCTTCTACTAAATATATCACTACTACTACCGCTCCCTCATTTCTTCCATCATCACCACCTGTGTCAGTACATTAAAAAAGAAAAGAAAAAAAAATAGATGAAAATGAGTTTTTTTTTTTTTTTTTTTTTTTTTTTTTTTTTTTTTTTTTTTTTTTTTGTTTGTTTGTTTCTTTGATTGATTGATTTATGTATAAAGAAAAATAAAATAAAATAAAACGGTATTTGTTTGCTTTTGCTTTTTTATTGTTTCTTTTTAGTAGTAGTAGTAGTTGTTGTTGTAGGGTTAGGGTTAGATCCTTTTGTTCTAAAAATGACTTGCTTTACTTTTGTGTAAGCATGAATGATAGTGGGTGGAAGGTTAGGATGTGCAGTAGGTGGTGTTAATAATTGATCTATCCTTTGACCTAATTGAGTTAAAACTTCACGCGTATAAGGTGACATATAATAACGCATATGTAAAAATTGGCCATAGAGTAGAATAGAAAAGAGACTTGAGCGCAGTCTAAATAAATAATATGAGTCTCTCTCTCTCATATAACATAATACGTTTAGATAGATACTAACACAAAAAGACCGAGTACAAGACGTGTCATGATGATATAAATTTCGATTTTAGAAACAATTGGCATTAATTGTTCATATAATTTATCAGTGTTCATATTTTTGACAATAGAAATCAATGGTAATTTGGTTTGTACAGAAGCTGGCAAACATGGTATTATATTATTTTTACCAAAATCGTTGACATGAAATACAGAATATATAACAAAAGGTAATAAAGTAACTATAATAATAGAAAAAAAAAAAAAGTTCAGCACATATAACGTAAGCACATTTTAATTCTTTTACATGCTATCCTTCTTGTAAACAAAAAGTAAACAGCAATAATGAAATATTGAACATTTTCATCCAATAACATTCTTCTGAAATAAAATGGCTGGTTATTATTAAATGGCTATTTCAATAAAAATAACAACAAATGATGAATAACCATGGTAATATACAATTATCTTTATGCTTACCTTGTATGAATTATAAATGACAATGCAGTAAGAAGAAACAATACCAACATAAGCCACTCTATATAAGAAGCTGAATGGATGAAAGAGTGCCTTTGATAAAAAGAAAATAAATCCATTCGTCAAGACTATAAATTGTCCAACAAACCAAGCAAAATGAAGACTCTATATGTATTCTTTGTCAAAATGCTTTGTGTAATACTTTAGAAATGACAAAGCTTTTTTTTATTATTATTGTTATTTACCTTGAAATCAAGCTGTTTTATAGCTGGTGTCTCTTGTTTAATCTTTTCCTCTGTTTGCATTTCTATTTGTATTATTATTATAATTAAAAGAAAAAAAAAGAAGAGAAAGGAAAAAAGGAAAAAGGAAAAAAAAAAAAAAAAAAAAAAGGGTTAAAATTAAAATGTGCATCTGCTTTGATGCTTATTTAGGCATTTTGTATTTCCCATTGTTATTAGAATTTTTTTTTCTTTTTTTGGCATCTATTTCATTATTGAACCCTTTGTTGTCTTTAGATGCATTATTATTAACTTTACAAATAGAATTTGTCATAATGAAGAAATATAAATAGCCATCTTTTTTTTTTGTAATAATGAAGCATTCCATCATGAAAATAAAAGTATTCACTTTTTTTGAAATAATATAAATAAACTCCACTATTTTTAATTAACAATATATTTGCAATACTATTTGAAATACGCAGAAGTATCTTAAAAGAAGTGATTAAAAAAAAAAAGTAATTGAAGCGCCGCGTACACAAAATAATGGTGCTTCATTTTTATAATACCTTGTTCAGTCACAAACAGAAGACAGCATAATTAAAAAAAAAAGAATTCTTTAATTCAAGAAGCAATGACTAATAAAATAGATATAAATGTAGTTAGAGGAGAAACATTCAATTATAATAATAATGGTTTACTCGTTAATCATGATACTTAAAAATAATAAGCTGCTTCAAAGAATAAAACAAGCAATCCCAGCTCTTGTAACTTACATTATTTTATCAATAGAGTATCTTTTTCGAGATTGAATACTAGATTAACTACCCGAGGAAAATGAGTGCAAATAAGTACTTGCTATTTCGTACATCTGGTGCAAAGCTTTTTGTACTGATCTGTAATCCAATCCATACTATCTTAAAAAAAAAAGTAGATATAAGCTTCTTTTCATGCAGCAACTTACTCTCTATATCGTAATAAAAAAAAATTATGGGCGAAAATAGGAAGCACAATTTGTCATGATTCGCTCACGAAATATGAAAGATTAACAGTTCGTGCTGTTAGATCATGCAGGTTAGTTACCTCAAATGATTGTTTGAATTGAATAAAGTATCTAAAGAGCTATTAAAGCAAAAACATTGGCTTGAAATAATATCAGCACACTTGATCATTTCGCTAGAATAATTCGTACTCGTCATCGAAACCCAGATTTGTGTCCAGTATTCTTTCAATAATACTGTATAAAATTTTGATTGGATGTTATTTTTGTTTAATTCAAACCCCATTCAAAGAATTAACTATTCTAAGCAAGTGTGGATCTTAAGTAAAAAAAAAAATCATTTATCTTTAGTTTCAACATATTTATTTAACTTTTTTTTTTTATAATATACAGTTATAAAATATGGATTCTGCGCTTTTAGCACAAATTCAAAAAGGTAAAAAACTAAAGAAAGCAGAGACAAATGATAGGTCAGCACCTATAATTTCAGGTAATTGAACAAAAATAAATTTTGAAGATGTTTTTTTATAAAAAAAAAAAAAAAAAAAAAAAAAAAAAAAAAAAAAAACTGACATTTCTTTAATTAAAAGCGCCTAAAGCATCTGGTAGTGGTAGTGGTGGTGCAATGGGAGGCATGGCAAGACCACCAATCCCAGGCGTAGGTCAACCACCAACTTTATCTCATACAGCTTCTGCTCCACCTTCTAACATTCTTACTGGACCACAATTAGGTGGTCTTTTTGTTAATGGCATGCCTACTCTTCGAAAAACACGAGGTGCTGCTGTTGATACCGGAAGAGTAACATCAGGTAAGTTTTTGACTGTTTTTTTAAGGAAGGAATTACATTTTCAAACTAAAATATAATCTCACACTGCTTATTTTTTTTAAGCGTCTTCTACACCTCCACCTCCTCCACCTAGTACTCCAGCGCCTTCTTCAGTTCCAACAATACCCGGCCGATTACCTATTTTTAATAAACAATCTACAACATCAAGTCATAATACTTTACCTAGAAACTTTAAGGTGCCACCACCTATTCCTGGAAAAGCACCTTCGTACCACTCTGCACCTTCAGCTCCTCCTCCTCCTCCTCCTCCTCCTCCACCACCAACAACAACAGTTACTAGTGCTCCATCATTACCGTCATCTCCTCCTCCACCTCCTCCACCACCTTCAGTTCCTCCTGCTCCTCCTGCTCCTCCAATCGGCATTTCACCTAAAACTCAAGCATCACTTATTCCTCCTATACCAGGACGTAATAGATCAAACAGTTCACCACAAAGATTTATGCCACCGCCACCTCCACGCTCAGTACCATCACCACCAGGTAGTCCTGCTATGCCGTCCAACCTTCGTCCAACAGCTTCGCCTAAGTTTGGTATTTCTTCTCGTCCTAATATACCTTCAAATCCTCGAAGTGGACTAGCTGTGCCTCCCGCACTTCCATCTGGGAGACCTCGTGCCTCCTCTGCCTCATTATCTTTTGCATCTCCTAACACGGGAAATGCTGCTCCTCCTCCACCACCACCACCACCACCACCACCACCACCACCAACATCATCATCATCATCATCATCTGCTACAGCTGCTGTACCTTCATTCGGTTCGCCTTCTCAACGTCATATCGCCACACCTCCTCGCTCTTCATTACCTCCACCACCATCTGTTCCTAATAGCAATATACGTTCAAATATATCAGCTCCTTCAGCACCACCACCACCACCGCCACCGCCACCACCTACAACAACAACAACTCTACCCCCAGCAGCAGCCCCCAAGTACAAGCCGCCTGTAGTTACGACAAGTCAACCTGAGCAACAACCAACATCATTAACAGAAGGAGGAGGAAGATATAAATTTAGGCCATTAACTGATTTACCATCTCCGAGAAGAATATTCATAAAAAAGAAACATGTATATCCAAGTGGGGAAACAAAAGGAAATAGTAAGTCTTGAGACCATCGTATAAATAATGGGATGATATTAATATTACTTTATGATATAGGTTTTCCTTTAGATTATTCAAAATTGCGTTGTTAGATCAGATTATTATTATTACGTATGTATATTGTATAAAAAAAAATACATAAATAAATAAAATAAAATAAAATAAAACTTATATATTCACCTGAATAATAATATGTATAAAGTCAAAAAGAGGAAGAGTAGAGAAAAAGAAAGTTTTTTTTTTTTTTTGAGTGGGTGAGTGGAGTATTTAAGAGCTGCTATGTAGATTTTAATAATGAATAATATATAATGGGGGGAGTGGGGCTTAAACCAGGTCTAATAACAGTAATTGTATAACCAATAAATAGCAACCTACATTGGTTTAGCTCTGATAATGACAATTTGAAGCGGGAGGAGGAGGGGGGGGGTCTTTTATTTTTAATTTTTTTTAGGCTATTTTGTAGTTCTAAAATAATTAAGATAACCAATCCCTTCATTTCTGCTTCATGTTGCTACTTTTAGAAATTTGTATATAATCTAACAAAAAAGAAAAAAAAATGATAAAACTAAAGGTTCAATAATACGGTTAATTCATATAGTGTGTAAGTATTGTTATAGATACTTTTCGTTTTCTTTTTATATATATGTATATATACAAGTATGTGTCTGTGTATGTGTGTGTATGTATGCATGTGTGTATGCATGTATAAATGCATGTATATTTTATATATTGGAAAATAAATGTTTGGAAAGAAAGATTTAATTTTAGATCAATCTATTGTTTCAACTGTTTCTTTTTTTTTCATCTCCTGATATTTATTTTTAATTAAATTATACCACAAGTACTTTATTCCTCTTTTTTTTTTTTCTTTTCTTTTCTTTTTTTTCTTTTCTTTTTTTTTTTCTTTATTTCCTTCCCTTCTCTTCTTTTATTTGACAGGAATATGCCGCCTTTTGTGTTTGATACTCTACAGCAACAACATCCGGTAATTGAAAAAAACAACGAACATCCTGATTATCGACATCCATTATACATTGGAAGCTGGAAGAGATCAATACCTGGTAGAGACACAGACTTTGCACGAGATGATATGGATGAACCCCATTTGAAACGAAAGCATACTTTATTATCGAAATACTCTGAGCAAATTCAAGGGTTATATGGTACAGACTTCAATTCGTTCTACATAGCCACCTTCATAAACGTGCTTCAATTGGGTCTTGCTTATTATTTTGGTCATCGTGAATCGCATTGGCTTTATTTTACAGCGGTTGCTTATTTTATTGGAGGTACTGCGACGGGTATAGTAGGTGTCCTGATTCATGAAGCGTGTCATAATCTAGTGACAGGATCTAGTACCTATGACCGTCTCATTGGACTCTATACTAATCTTGTACTCCCCGTTCCGATCTCACAATCATTCCGACGATACCATATTCAGCACCATACCTGGCAAGGTGTTGAGGGCTTAGATCCAGATTTACCGTTAGATTGGGAGAAAAAATTGATTCGCGGTAATAGTGTCAAGAAGGTCCTATGGATCCTTATCTATCCTATCATGTATGTCGTTCGAGGCATTGCCCTACAGCAGGCATTAGGTCATAGACCTGGTAAATGGGAATTAATCAACCTAGTCACCTCAGTCATTATGGATACCCTTATCGTCCTCCTTTGTGGCTGGAAGGGCCTTGGTTATCTCCTTTTATCTCTTTGGTTTGGTTATTCTTTACACCCTGGTGCTGCTCATTTCATTCAAGAACATTATACCTTTGATGATGGACAAGAGACGTATTCCTATTACGGTATCTTGAATTTCCCTTTTATGAATATTGGATATCATAATGAGCATCATGATTTTCAAAAGGTAAGTTGTATATTATAAAAAAAAAATAAATATATCATGTATTCACATAATTATACTACTACTTATTAGATCCCTTGGTCTAAACTCCCTGCCCTTCGTAATTTAGCAAGCGAATATTATGATACATTATCTTATCATACTTCATGGCTAATGGTTCACTGGAAATTTATTACTCAACCTACAATGGGACCACAATCAAGAGTTGTTCGAGATTATACTACCTTTAAGAAGGGTCGATCTTTATTAGCTAAAATTCGAGAATATAATAATAAAAAGCAAGCATAATTTTATTTATTTATGTATGTGTATATCTGAATTATAAAATAAAGTAAAATAAAATGTGGAGTTGTTATTAAAATGTTTCAGTAGAGGGATAATAATCTAATACATTTTAATTTACTCAGCAGCGGTATTTGGAGGAGATGGAAACCATTGTTCCCATTTAGCCTTTGCAGCTTCTTTAAATCTAAGCATGACACTAGGAACATCATCTAAAGCTGGACGTATATCTAAATGAAATACAGGAACACCAGGCTTTTCTTCAGGTGCTTCATAATAATCGATAACATATCTTCTTGTTTGTCCACATCGACTAACATACCAATCATGTCTATCAAATGGCTTTGGTGCACTATATAAAAAAAAAAAAAAAAAAAAAAAAAGTAAGAATAAAATAAATACATCTTTATAGAATCTATTTATCTTCTTCTTTACCCAAAAAGTGAATGCCATTTTGCTTTAGGTGATACTTCCTTTGGCCTACCTTGAAACTTGGATAAGTAAGGATCCTCTTCACAATCACTTTTTACCAAAAAATATACATATTAGTTTTCTCCCCCTCCCAATTAAGAAAATTAGTTGCTTATTTACCATTTATACTTTGACTCCCATTTAAGTATTTGCTGCCAGGCTTCTTCATTTAAGAAATTATGAATATCCACCATAGTTTCAATCTCTTCCTCGGGTGTTTCCCAACCCTTTCTTCTTAACGCATTATAAAATTGTTGAGGACTAGGATATTCCCACTTTGAATTGGTGTCTGTGGATTTTGGAATAGACGATATGACTCTCTCCTTGGGTAATTCTATTTTTTGATCGTCTTGTGCTGTTTGAGCCAGTTCAGGCATCATATTAAGCTCATTGATTTTGTTATTATTACCCTTGTGCATAGGGCAGTCGGATGGAATGCCAAGAGGTTTTGTTGATTCATTATTTTCTGATTTGTGCATGGGACAACCAGATGGAATGGTTGGTTGTGATTGACTATTGTTTTTTGTATTATCCATAGGACAGTATGGACCTTCTGCTTTAATATCTTTTACTACTGGATTAGAATTATCTATTGTCATTCTGTTGGTATATTTGTTTTAATTATTATATAAAGAAATGAAAGAGGGGGGGTGCAAAAAAAAAATAAAAAAATGGAGAAAAAGAGAGGAACCAGGTGCCTTGTTATTTTACATTATTTTGATTTTGACACATTCAAAAAAAAAAAAAAAGAAAAAAAAAAAAAAAAAAAAAAAAAAAAAGAAAGAAAAAAGGACGGAATTTAAATTTATAATGAGCAGTCATGCCCACCGTATTTTTCGTTTTTACTGTTTTTACACTTTAGTTTTTTTTTTTTAGATAATTTGCTTGCCTTTTTCGAATGAAATAAAAAAGGAAATTTAGATATTGGTCATTCGGAGTTTTATTAAGCCAAACTTCTTCAAACACTTCAACAACATTCAAGATTCTATAGTATATAATGAAGCGAAAGCGTGAAAATAATCCAATTGACAATTTAACGATATCAAAAGGAAAGAAGACTTTAACGAGTAAGTATCAAAAAACATACATAGCAAGAGGGTATGTGCCTTACTTTTTTTTTTAAGATGTGGATCATGATACACCTACTTTGACGACGTTTGTTTCAACTTCACGTGCTTTTACGTCACTTGCTTCTACAAGTTCTTCTTCTAGTGATTCACCTCATATTTTAAAGAAAATACAGAAAAAAAAATAGAAAAAAAGCGTGCCTTGATCAACTTTAGAATGGAAACAGCAAGCAATACAGTGGAAGAAACGGATACAGTAAAACATAAAGTAAAACAGTGTAAATGCGGCTCAACCACCCATATAAGAGTAAACAGCAATGCATGCCCCCCCTAAAAAAGCAAAAAGAACCAACGCATGGCCTAGACGAAAAAAAAAAAGAAATCTTCGTGATCAAATGCTCCTTGAAAAATATTTGTAGAGACTCTAAGCTCATTGATCAAATATCTCTCGTCACGGCACACACAACAAAAGTGATGTGGGTAAGATCGTTGTTTATCAACTATCTTTTTTTTTTGAAGCTCTTAACAAAGGATGAAGAAGTTCCGATTATGATTCAGAATGATGTCTACTCCATCTTTACCGTCGTCACTAGTAAGGGCAAAAAGTCTCCCAGTTATATTTTGCAATGAATGTGAAATTGATGACACAATCCTACAATCCCTCAAGAGTATTGGATGTTCTTCTCTTTTATCCATTGTATGCAAACAATACGATGTGCTCATACGCAACCACGTATGTGAGAATCACGAAAGGAGAACAATTCGCTTCTTTATGGAATCCTTGTCCGATAAAGACTCTACATTTTTTTTTTTTTTTTTTTTTTTTTTGCAAGGACTTACCTGTTAACGAAAGAAAATATCTAGCTAACTATATCTATTCACTAAAGCTGAAGCAGAAGCAGAAATCCGTATGGCCTTCATCTGTCGAAAAAAATCAACATTTTGAAGAGATTGTACAAAAGATGGAGTCGTTATGGTCTAGCTATCAAGTATTAAGCTGTAACTCGGAAGATCTGTACTCTCAACCACATCAATTCTTTAAATGACTTTTTTTACATTCAGCAAAAAATAAGTGAAAAAGGTGTACATTATGGAAGAAAAATTAGTCACCGTTGCTTTGCAGGAACAAGTCCTGCAAAGCATTAATTCAAATGTTCCATTCATCCCTGGGCAGAAATTATCCAAAGTCAAGCCTCATTTATCTGCTCTGGAAACGTTTGTCACAAGTGTCAAGTCAAGAATTGCTGATGGAACATTCACGCCTGAAAAAAAAAATAGACGGATAAACGTGGCTACCGGTTTTTCACTCTATTACCGATCTATTCATTTGAAACAAAGTCGGTCCAAATAATAGATGCCACAGCTTTTTAGCGACTAGTGAAGGAATCAAACATTGAAAATTACCCAAAAAGTACTAAAACCGAATCGGATCTATCAGATTTCTACTAGAAGTTTCCATAGAAAAACAACCAGCCGACTTTCTTGAAGATATTGAAAACGGCTGTACTGTCTAGAGGAGTAGACCTTGGTGTCAATACAATCTTCACTGCCATAGATACATCTGGGAGACAAAGGACAAGCAGCTTAGACGAATATTACCATTTATGTGGTTATAATGATGCAACGTTTACACGAAATCAGCATCAGAAGCAACTCATGGCTGAATACTTGAAAATATCAGACCTGAGCTCATTGAAGACATCGAATATCAAAGATTTTATTAAAGCATGCAAAGAAAGACAGGCGTTATATGATGATATTAAAAAAGTATTATAACGAGAATAATTGGCAATTGTTTAGACACTATAATAGTTTGCTTGATCATTTACAAAAGAGAAACTTTATAGGAAGCCCAAACTGATATTCCAATATTACATGAAGAAACAAAAAGGTGTGCATGAGATTTGCAAGAGGTTCGACTATAACAGCAGCAAATATCATCAGAAGTCATCTACTGGTGTAAAGTCAGTTATTAATAATGTAAGCGAATTCTATCCACCTACCCCGGCCGACCATAAAGAAAGGCCAGTAAAAACAATCATTACTTTGGGCGATGGTGTGGTTTAATACTAGTTCACGAGGCAACAAGTTGTCGCCGGTCAGAACTATTGCAAAAGCGTTGAAGAGGTATTGTGGGCAGAAGTTAGAAGTAGTGATGGTTGATGAATACCTTACTAGCCAAATCTGCAACAAGTGCAAGATCAGAAATGTCGAGATTGTGGTGACCAAAAAATCAAAGCGAAGAGTACACATATTATTACAGTGTCAACAAAACACTTGCAATATTGTGTGGAATCGCGACATTACGGCAGCTCACAACATCTTGGACTTGTTTTTATTTACTTAAAAAAAAATAGTCAGCGTCTGAGCTAATTCAAGCGTAAAGACGCAACCATCGATGAACCATCCCCGTGTAACTGATACGACTCTCTCATACGTCCGTACAGCGTAAGTTCCATATTTTTTTTTTAAAAAAAAATAAATTTACAAATTTGTTAATTATTATTATATTTTTTTTTTTTTTTTTTAAAAAAACAGTTAAAGGTATGAATGATTTATTGTTGGAACTCGTCTAAAACTAACTTTTTTTTTATCTGAATTTCCTTTTTTGTTTCATCTGAAAAGTAATTTTAATTCGTCTGAATTCAAAGTGTAGAAACTATACACTCGCATTCTTGTTATAAGTTTGAAATATTCAGATTTATTATTAACCCAATAAGCAGGCTAATAAACTACATATCAAATTTTCCTGGGGAAACGCATGAAAAAAAAAATCTTTAATAAGCTTATAGGAGAACATTCACTTATTATCTAGTTTTCGTTAGCTTTACTATGTAAGACGAGCTAGTGAAAGCTTCGAATCTCAATCAGCACAAAATTTGCATAATAGTTTTTTTTTTTTTTTTTTTTTTTTTTTTTTTTTTTCCTTTTCGTTAATATAAAACAGCAATGTCAAGATTAAATGGTTTAGATATGAGGGCAACACATGGTAATTATTTACAAAATGAAACTATTATTTTCAAAGGGTCACTAAATATATACAGAATTTGTATAAAGTTTAGTTAATATAAAAATGACTTTTATTATGTTTAACTCTATTATGATATCCAGTCTTATCATGTTCAAATTAATTAATTGACTTTTAAATATATCTTCCTACAGTCTCATAAATTAAATGCTTTACATTACTGAGAATAGCACCTTCAACCAAAGATTATATCAGAATTTAGGCCCTTTCATCATGAAGCCATTTTATGTATCAAGGTCAACTACTACTAGTTTCTTTTAAGAACAAAAAAAAACCCCGCTATATACATTTAAAAAGAATTGATTCTATCCTTTAGCCTTTAATGATAGTATGCTAGTTTAGTTAATATAGATTGAAACATTGTACTTGAATAATTCAGGATAGTACAGAATTTCTTTTTCATTTCTAGTTACAAGAGCTCAATGTTTAATAGTTTGAAATCGATAAAACTACAAGTTTCTTTTTTTAGACGTTCATAACTTAATAACTAATACTTCTCTTTTTTATATATTATATCTATTCGCAGTTCTACTAAGAACGAAAAAAAAAAATAAAATAAAATACGACGATATCAAATGTAGTCTAGTTTTCTATGTAATAAGTAGATACAATAAATGAAACAGGGATACTTGGGACTTGTTAGAATAAATGCACATGCAAAGGTTATATACTCATAAAATACCTTTATTTCTCATTTTCTTATAAATCATGTTCCATCTTGTATCGATCATTGATCTATATATAAAATAAGACATTTATTTGAATATCAATCTGCTGGTATATTTGCAATACTAAATAGCAGATATATACTTTTTTTTTTGTTAAATACTTATTATTTGGAGAGTTGACTTATCGACTCTACGCAATATGTTAATTTATATAATAATCATTTTGTACATTTATTTGAATAATAACATTTGTCTAGCCTCTTCTTAATTTAGTTTGACACTCTATGTTTATAGTAATACACGTGCTTACATAATATGCATACTATATTATTGTATATTTTGATTCTTTTTTTTTTTTTTTTTGTTTTTGTTTTTGTTTTCACTACAAGTAAAAAGATATAGAACTATATACACTGGGTCTATTAGTACTTTACTAACAAAAGGACTCATCTTATCTTTATGAAAGGTTTATTTTAACTTTTATTGAATTGTTTATAGGTGACTTTATAGACATAATAAATGTCAAGATGGTCTTTACTGGTTTTTATAGATATATATTTTTATATACATGTATACACATATTTATTTATTTGAAATAAAAATAAGAATCACATGATAACAATATTACTCAAATATACTTTCTATAGAATAGCGGGTTTAAAGATCTACTGAATTATTTCATATAGCGAATCCTTACACATCTGTAGATAAATAAAACAAAAGTCAAAATTAGTTTTCATAATTATAGGATGTATAAATCTATTTTTTTTTTTTTTTTTTTTTAAAAAAAAGCTGTTTTTTTTTAACGTTTACTCATTTCAATATAACTATTCTATTCTTTTAAAAAATAATAAACAACTAAAATTATACATCGACTATGTATTTAAAGCGTGAAGCGTAAGAATCTATTACAAATGTACTCAAGTCTTCCTACTATATACGCGTAAGCTATATTTGTTAAGTTCATTATGTTCATATACATCTACACATAAATATACATACATGTATATATATGTATATATAAAATGTTTAAATGATAATTAGATATATATTGTAAATCAATTATTATAGCTGTATATGCATATACATATGCATAAAACCACATGCTATGTATCCTAGATCTATAACAATAGCTCACGTTTTTTTTTGTTGCACTACTAATAAGTTGTGTGTGTTTAATCGCTATTATAAATTTTAAAGTTAGACGTTTATAGTTTTGATCTAAAGCTATGTAAAGCCTTTTCATTTAGAATTAGCCTTTACTCATATAACTTACTATATTATATAGCTTAAATAGTATAGAATATATTCAAACTTAACATGAGTATAATATTGAATAAAAGAAAAGAAAAAAAATACTTGTATAGAAAATGTCAAAAATTCGAAACTATTGTAGTTTTCTTTATTGGAATTATATAAATATCCATCGTCATATTATATATTTGTATATTTATATATATAGAATGCTGTTAAAAAAAAACCGATAAGAAAAATATATATTACTATACAAAATACAATGTTCAAACTGGAAAAAAAAAAAAAAAACTATTTTTATTTACAATAATCTCAAAGCATGCCTACTAACTTTATACCGAAAGAAACAGAAAGAATAATCTGCAACTTAGCTCGTGCCTTTTGATTCTTTCAGAACATTTTCACGTATGATTCAGAATATGCAGTTGAGGAAAAAGAACAAACAAACCAAAAAAAAAATCTACTTATTATTTTTAACTTGTTTGACAATTACATGAACGATTTTTATTTCGTTAGTAACAACATAATTTAGTAAAACAAAATAAAAAACGTGAGTCACGAAAAAAAATGGGGTTTTATGCATCTTCCAACCTATGTTTAGAGGCAAATTCGATAATGATTATTACCATGAAAACGTTTTTATGTTAACTCCACATGTGTTTACAAGTCAAATCAAGAAACGACTCTTTTTTTTTTTTTTTAAAAAAAATACAACGAAAGAAAAACTTTAAATTTGAAACTCAGAATTAACGCCATAATATAGTAGTAAATCTTTTTAAATATTCTAGTTTCATTTCAATTTTGAGCATTGCGGAACCCATTCTTTACGATAAATATGGACATTTGTTTTTGGTTTCCTTTTTTTAGATTATTTTTTAAGGGAAAACGAAGAAGGATATAGATTTGTAGAAAAGGAATCAAAATTTTCATTCAAGGACGCTTTGACCATCTAAAAATTACACAGATTAATCATTTAAATGCGCACAAATAACTGGTTAAATTAATTCAAATTAAATATATAAGTGGAGTTAATTCCCAATTACTTTTAAGTTTATTTTTATTATTATTATTATTATTTTTCAGGCAACGATCATCTATGACAACGGAACAATCCTTCAGTTTTCTTCTATCTGAGTTATTTACTTTTTTTTTTTTTTTTTTTTTTTTTTTTTAAAAGTTATATATAACCCATATACAATGCAATCTTTCTCTGTTTCTTTGTGTGTGTAGAACATATTTTCTTCCTCCTCATTTTCTTAATATTCCTAAAGATACGAAAAGAAAAGTTCTTTTCTTTTTCTTTTTTTTTTTAATACGTAAATATAAATATATTGAATTAGATTTTTTTTATTTTTGTCTTTTGCGTATTTGTACCTTTTTTTTTTTAATGAATTTCAACACTATTCCAAATCAAAGAATTGATTTTAGTTCACCAATTTATTCCTACCAGACTTATCCAATACAATCTCAGTATCCACAGCAACAGCAACCAATGTCATATCCTATTATTCAAGAAAATAACATAACAAACCAACAGCAACATCCATCTTCTTCTCCTCCACAACAAAAGCCAAAATCAGCGGAATTGAAATTCAAGATTGAATCAGTTGGAGCTCATCCAGAAGATGATGATGATTTGGATATGTGTCCTGCAAGAACACGTCCTTACTGGCCAAAGCAAATCATTCCTTGGTGGGTTCCTTCTCATCCTAATGAAAAACCACCTTATTCTTATGCTACTTTAATTGCTCATGCTATTCTATCAAGCAAAGATGGTAGACTGACATTGAATGATATTTACACGTGGATTTCTAAAAATTACCCTACTTTCTCTGTTGGAAATGGGGGCTGGCAGGTAAAAAAAAAAAAAAAAAAAAAAGTCTATTGTTGTCTTCTTTTTTTGATATAAACATAAATTATATGCATATATTTATATAGAATTCAATTCGTCATAATCTGTCCTTAAATAAAAAATGGTTCTGTAAAATTGATAGAAGACCAACACAAGCTAATCCAGGAAAGGGCTGTTATTGGACTTTAATTGCTGGCACTGAGCAAATATTTATAGATAATTTAACTCAAGAAGGAGGTCATAGTCGAAAACATCATGATATTGGCCTTACTGCAGAACTCTCTGTTGGACAACGTCGAGGCGTATGTTATTATAATCATAACCCACCACCTAATACCACACAATTATGTAATACTAAGTCAATACTCCCTTCTTCCTCTTCTTCTTCCTCTTCTTCTACTACTACTACTTCTACTACTACTTCTATTACTTCTACTTCATCAGTAACTTCACCCCTTCCATTAGCCCAACAACAGCAACAAGATAGTAATAAATCCATGTGTTTAGATACACCGCCGCTTACTCCGACAAAGCCAGAAATATCACGCCCCTTACTTTCACCTTTATATACAACATTCCGAATGGTGGATATGACGCCGAAGTCCGAACAAGCATTGATGACTACTACTACTATTAATGCAAATGATTCGGATAATGATTCTGCAGTTGACTTGAATGATGATTATATTGACAGAGGACATATCAAAAAGCGTAAACTAATAAAGAAAATGGATACAATATCTCATATAAATGAACATCCCCCTTTAATCTATGATACAAACCCGATGAATAATTCAGCTACTTCCTTTAATTTATTACCTACCTCAGCAGGTTGTTGTGATATGATGAGTAACTGGGTTGAAGATTCTTTAGTTTATCCTTATCATCGTCATCATGACGACGAACAGCAATCATGGATGTTAATGACAACGCCAATTCAACAGCATCAATTATCAAATAATTGGTCCGACAATCTAATAGAAAAGAATAAGAAATACCCGATCACTGTTAATCTTGATGATGAAGAAATAACTCAAAAATACCTTCATTTTACTGAAGAAGAAGAAGAACCACAACAACAACAACAACAACAACAATACCAACCCAATGACCCTATTTTATCTCTTACTGATCCTATTTATTATAATCCTTTATACCCTCCTTATAACTCAAATACCATCGTCACTCCTTCCACTAATCACACTAGTATGCCACAGTCATCATTACCTAATCAACCTACGAATAACTATCCTTTTAACCAATTTGTCTCTATGCAAGATATCCTTTATTCTTAATAATAAAACATTTTGATTTACCAAAAAAAGTATTTTGTTTATACTAGTTTCAGTCTTTTTTGCCTCGTGCTAGTTTCAGATCCTATAAATAAAATAAAAAGGGATGAATGCATGTGAAATATGTATATACTAGGTAACAATTAGGGTATAAGTCATTCAATAGCTTCTTGTCCATAATAATTACATATTTATAACCTACATCGTTATATCCAATAAAATTCCTTTGATTTTATTTATAATAATAATAATAAGCAATGAGAAAAAAAAAATCAATTTATTCATTTTTTTTTTTTTTTTTTTTGTAAGTGATAATAAAAAAAAAAAAAAAAAAAAAGACAATAGTCTACAAGCACACACACACACACACACACACACATGCGTGCGCGCGCGCTTTTAAGATATTATATTGATAAATTTAATAAGCATCTTATTTCTAGTTAGAATTAGCTCTTACAGTCGAAGAAACTAGGCTGGGTCAATAAAGAAAAATTTTTTTTGGCCATTTCCAAAATAAATTGGGACAGGATTGCAACATTGGGACACCAACATGAAAATGGGACATTGGTACGAAAATAGTACACAGAAGGGAATATGGGGAATTAAGATACTTTAGTTTGTTTGGTCAAATCAAAAGTGTTACAACTTCTTACCTGTAACATCATTAAGTCGTCGGCTCGCCGGAATGAGCCGAGACCACCATAATGGTGGTGGCGGTTTGTCGTTTGAAGACGGTGGGGCGATCATTGTCATTCCATATAGACTGAGCTATGTAAAACATATTTTTGCTGGCCATTACATCTTGATTCCAAAAGATATATTGCAAGTTTTACACTTCAATACTTGATGGATCATGGTCATCTTCCCTACATCATTTTTAAAGCAAGAATTGCAGATCTACGAAGGATTGGTTTTAGCTGAAAGTGCAATACGTAAACTATGTGTTGTTTTTTTTCTTAATAACCTTTGATGTATTAAATTCATTGATGTCTAGTAGCAAGAGTTCTCCAAGCCTTTGCCTTGTTTTTAATTGTTAATATATTTTGTTAGATATGCCATGACGGAGACCTTTGAACTTGTTATGATTTTTTTTTTTTTTTTTTTTTTTTTTTTTTTTTTTTTTTTTTTTAGTCCGTCACCAAAGACCACTAGAGGCATCTTGCTGCTGTTTCCATTTTCAAAACAGACTTTGTTGTTTCTGCTGTAAGTTACAGATATAATAGTTAGAGTTTACTGAAATAATAATAATAATAATAATAATAATAAAAGTGTACACCTTTTTGATTTTGGGATGGTGGTGAGTGCTCTTTCTTCTTGAGCAGTACAAGGTTTGCGAGTTTTCCTTTGTCTTCTTTCTCCTGCTTTTATTATACTTCTTTCCACCATTTATTAAGATGTTGACACTTTCTTGGATGGCTTTTTGGGAACTAAGGTAGTTCAACCATTTAATCTTAGAAGTTTCAAGGCCATAGAAATTAAGCAAAGTATTCATGTGCTACAGCATGTAAGTTATATACAAAACAAATTGTTCCATAGACACAGTTTTAGGCGAAGGAATGTCTGTTTCAATCTTTTCAATATCTCGTCTCTGTTTGCGCTTCTGTTGCTCTTTCATTCGTCTTACACTTTCACCCCATATTGTAATATTCGATTAAGGACAAGCGACGTATGTCAGTGGCCACCGTGATAAGAGACAAAAGGATCCCGTCTTCCTGGGGTCTACAGTACATGGACGGAAATGCTTATCCATCTCTTCGCTTATAAAATCGTTCAACTCTAGACAGATATTGTTTTCTGGTGATGACAGAAGCACTTTTCTAGCAAATAAAACTCTGCACGTGTAGTCATCAGTATACAATCCATTGAGAAACATCTTTCCTTTTTGTTCAGGCAGTGCTTGAAGCTTTTCACAACTCTATTTTTTTTTTTCGTCAGTAATTTGACTTATAGATATATGTAATAGTAATGTATACCATTGAATGCCCAGCTTCTTAAAGTCAAACATTTGATAGAAGCATCTTTGTTTATGATCGAAAGGAGATGATTCATTAGCTTACTTTTTTGTTTAGCATCTGGTAAAATTCCAGTTAGGTTCTGAGCATCTATCTTTATGAATCGCCAGTGCAATCCAGGATTTAGGAATAGACTAAAACGTCTTGGAAGTAGGGACTTGATCAAATCACTTTTGTCATTTTGAGAAGTTTGGGCCTTGTATATATCATTGTATTTTTTTTTTAAGGATATGCCCTTAATGCAGATAGAATTTTGAAGGGTTCATTGTTTAAGCTTTCTTTAGACACTGGAAGCTTGGACATGCGATTCTTCAATTCTGAAATCAAAGGATTTAAGAAACTTGGAAGATTATTAGCCACATCCGGATCAAAAAGGGCAAGAATATCATTAGGTATAGAGGATGACTGGGAATATGTAAGCACTTGATCATATACCAAGTTCTTGATACAGCCAACTTTCTCATTCTAGTTTATACAATTTTAATATAAAAAATTTGAGAAACTGAACATGTATATTAAAGAGTTTGTTTTTATCTCTCGTTGATTACCGGATACTTTGTCCTTAATGTATAGATAAAGTAGTTACATATAATATTTTCAAAGTTTTCGACATAGTAGTTATTGTATGTTGTTGCGACAGTTTCACATGCAGTTGACAGAGATTGTCCATAATTCTTTAATCTATTTTCTGGAACAAACAAGCTACCATTTATAGTGGCAGATAGTTCAACAAAAGAGCTTGTAAGTTGAACCACATCTAGATTCTGTTTCTGCAGGTCTTTCCTTTTTCGTGTCTTTGTAAGCCTGTAGAATTGGCCCTACATCATCTGAGCTGCCCCTAATCACTCTTGAAATAGTGTACCCAAAAATTTTGATAAAAAAAAAAGTCATTTGTCAACTTGCTTGGGTGTTGCAGAATAAAAAAGTTTATAAATAGTTGTGCTTTGAACATGACTTCACGGATAAAGCTTGATACAGCCTTGACCTTTTCCAAAGAACTGGCTTTGTTTGGGAGTATTCTTGCAGAAAGTTGCAAATGGAACAGAGAGAGAGTATATCTTTGATAAGTTGATTCCAAGTTTAATTTGTAAAAGTTCTGCTAGCTTTAGATTATAGTTTTTTTTTTGCAGTGGGGACTTCTTGTAGAGTTATGCCCCTCCTCTTGGCAAGAACTACATTTGTTCTTACTTTTGGAGGATGACGCTGCTGAAGTATTAGTTTGGCGGCTTCTCTTTGCACTCCTTTTTGCTGTTATTACAGCAGGAGAGTCTTTCCTCTTGGTAGCTTTATGTACATTAGCTTGTGAGGCCTTGTAAATGCATAAAGTGTTTTTTATTTTTTTTACTTACATGTTCTCTTAGGGTTTTGAGTGGTTGAGTTGTCCTTCTTACTTTCAGAATTGACCTTTTCTAGCTTTGCACGTTTCTTAAGGAAAATTAAATGCTCCACTTCAGGGTGAATAGGTGTGCGTGGCATTGATGAATTGAAAAAAAGAAGTAGAAAGAGTTCAAGACAGCATTTGTCTGCTAACTAGAAAATATACTCAGTGTAAAACGTGTCACATTGTAATGAAAGCTATGACGTGAAGTCTTGTTACTCTAGTTGAAGGGGAATATATCTTTTGATTATTTAAATTTATTTTTATAACTGAGCAGAATTACTTCAACTATCATTTAAGCAATAAAGGCCTTGTTGGTTAAGTAAAAGTTATATACAAATGAATTTTATCTTCGACTCTTAGATCATGAAGTACTAGAATCATACGAGCGCTACAGAGGCTGGCTGTTTTTTAGGGTTACAACCCTTAAATCAAGGCAAAAAAAAAAAAAAAAAAAAAAAAAAAAAAAAAAAAAAAACCCTTTAAATTTGTTCAGTATAGTCCCACATTCGCGTTCATGTCCCCTATTCTCTTTTGTGCTCCATTTTCACACTGATTTCCTATTCTCATACTGGTGTCCCATATTTCCTTCTGTGTACTATTTTCGTACCAATGTCCCAATACGTCTGTTGATGAAGACGACAAGGATTGTTGAAGGAACGACCAACAATTTATTTTGGAAATGACCAAAAAATTTTTTGTTGACCCAACCTAGTTTCTTCGACAGTAATAAAATATTTTTTTTTATCACTAATAATGAAAAAAAAAATAGATGTACAGCAGTACTGCTTATTATATTTATTTATTTTGTTTTATTTTATTTTGTTTTTTTATTTTTTTTCAAATACTAATAAAAAAAAAACTTTTTATTTAATTAAAATGGATAGATATTCAAGAGGTTACGATGATAGATATCGAGGTTATTATGATAGACCTCGATCAGATACATATCGACCAGGAGAAAATTATCGTTCTGAAAGAGATTATAGAGATGGTGGTGGACGTAATTATTCACCTAATTCTCACTATTCTTCTTCACGTTCACCTAATCATCATTCGAGTGGTGGATCTGGATCTAGAGGTGATAGATATAGTTACTCGGATTCTAGACATTACTATAGTTCAAGAGGCCCATCTCCATCACGTTCTCCTTCAAGATCCCCTAGACGTCCTTCTGGTGGCTATTATCGTTCAAATTCTTCTTATTATAGCTCCAGAAGGTCTCCTTCACCCTTAAGTGATCGAAGTAGTAGAAGCTCAAGTAGAAGAGATTCTTATGATCATAGACCTTATCATAGTTCACCTTCTTACTCTCAATACTATAGGAGTGGTCCCTATTACTCAAGAAGACATTATTCTTCTTATCCTTATTCAAGTAGTTATAATGGTTACCGTAGTAACAGTAGAGAACCTTCAATAGGACCTTCTTCATTACAACAACAACAACCCATTTCAGCTTCTGCTAAATCTATACATTCTACACCCGTATCCACTGTCCCTAATTCACCTATTATTAAACAAGAACAATCATCTACTGTTATTCCATCTGGAGCAACTCAATCACAGTCATCTACTACAGTAATGACCACTACCCCAACAACAACAACAACAACAACAACAGAAAAAGGAACAGAAATGGAAATAGAAACGGGAACATCATCAATAACAACAGTAAAGGCAAAAACAGCAACGACAACGGCAACAACAGCAGCAGTGGTAGCAACAGCAACAGCAACAGCAACAGCAACAACAACAGCAACAATGACAACAACAACAACAGCAGCAGCGGCAGCAGTAATACCACAACAAGCTTCTTTACAAACAGAATCCTTACCTCCTACTTTGCCACAGATGACAAGTGCGCCTATCACTTCTTCTTCCAACATAACTACTTCATCACCTACAATAATTCACACACATACAATGCCTATTACGTCTACTACTACAACTGCTACAACGTCAACTATAGCAGCAGCAACAGCAACAACAACGAGTCATAGTGGAACAATTCAAGTTAGTGCTCAAACTCCTACTTCTACACCTATTTCAACAAATAATAATAATAATAATAATAATAATACTTATCCACAAGCAAGCTCATCTTCCTATTCATATACTTCACATGCTGCTACTTCTTCTTCTTCTTCTTATACAAGTGCTGGACCAGGCAATACTGCTCCCTTAAGAGGTCCTCCACTTTATCATCATCATAGCAGCAGTAGTTATCATCACAACCCTTATTATAGCAATTATCATCCCTCACCTTCAATAACAATGCCTCCTATTCGACAAAGAATCTCTTGGGCCCCTGATCAAGAAAAAGAGGTAATTCTAAAATATTTTTAACAATCTATATGGATTTCGTATTCATTTTTTTTTGTTTTTTGTTTTTTATTTAAAAAAAGTTGGAAAGATATCATACAGAGCAACGAAAATTATGTGATGAAGAGAGTAAGATTTTAACAAGTTCACGTAAGAGTCGATTTGAATTAGAACTCGCCAATTGGGAAACAAAGAAATTAGATCATCAGTTAGAGCTTGTTCAAAGGCAATGGGAAGAAAATAATATGGAAGAATTAGTACGAGATGAATTAGCCTCTTCCAAGTTTTCAACATCACGGTCTAATTCATTTGGTTTAACTGCTAACGCAACAACAAAGTTACCCATTTTATAAAAAAAAAAAAAATTGTATATAGATTATATAATAGAATTACATCACTTCTATTATCGATCCATTTGTTTGATTAGTTATTGGATTTCTCCTAATAACTATATTTTATACTCTATTTACTATATAAAAAGCAAATTGGACTCGTTATGTAAATAATATAAAGGGTCGTCATAAAAATTTGACGTGATAAATTAAATGAGAAATAAACATGTAATCAATAATATCTAAACAATATTTCTAATCAAGTAGTTGACATTAGATGTATAGTTTATATGCAATCATTAAATCCTCATACTCTATTCGCTAATTCTATCAATAGTCTAAATTACCAGAAGGACTAATTAAAGTCGAAATATCTCGTCTATTTAATGTATGAGAGCATTTATATATCCTTATAATATTTTACTTGAAGCCTTTGTATTATTTATAGTCTCAACCGCTTTTTTTGAATAATTTCTACATTCCACAAAAAAATCTTCATAATCCTCCTCTCTCTCTCTCTCTCTCTCTCTCTCTCTCTCTCTCTCTTTCTTTCTTTCTCTTGAACTATTACAAGATCTAATAGTTAATTTTATTAGTACTCCTGCTTCCTAAAGTTGTGGAAATGTTATAACAAAGAGACATAAATGCATCTATTTATTTATCTATCTATGTTTATAAGGATCGCCTACAGTTAGGGAAGGACTCCATATATTTCTCTAGAAAAGTATCCTAATCATCTTGAAATATACATCATCATATCAAATTCAGTTCTCTTCTTAACAAGGGTTCATCTATTTACAGATCGTTTATCCAAATATGATATAGTACTGACCTGTCTATTATATAAAGCTAACATACACTTTTTTTTTTTTTTGTAGACAATGAAATAAAAACGCCACAACGAATATGATTGGCTCTTCTTTAGAGGAGAGACTTAAAGATTTATATAATCATTCTATTGCAATAAAGAAAATGCTAGCTTATTAATTTATTTTTTTAATTTAGTATATGTTGCTTTTTTGAATCGTTTCCTTTTCCCCCCTCCTCCCCTCTCTGAACTTGGGAAATTTCACTCTAGTTTTGCAAGTTTCTTGTTGTAATATTTCGTAGTCAATGTAGTAAATATTGATAAATACCTAGAGGAAAGCACAAAAAGCGACTTGAATTAACAACAATTTACGAACTCGGGCCATTTTTTATTATCCTAATAAAATTGGGCTTGGCTTTGTGACCGTTTGTAATTATTGATTGTATTGGATATAATTTTAAAATCAGATAAAATTTTTTGAAGCTTACCTTCTTTTTTATTATTATAATTATTATTTTTTTTTAATTCTCTCTCTGTGTGTGTGTAGTGGACTTTGTGTGCAAAGGGAATAGGTTCATCTTTCTTTCTTGTTATTCAGCTGTACATTTTTTTCCTTCCTCTTTAATCTTTGAATAACTTTTTTTTTTTTTTTTTTTTTTTTTTAAAAAAAAAGACGAATACATACAATCGTTATTTACTTGTTTAATCAATTCTAAAAAAAAAAGAATTACAATATGAATCAACTGCCTACATCGATTGCACCATTGCTGAGTTCCATTGCTCCTAATCCAACCACTTCAACTTCTACCACAAATACTGCAGTTAGATCAACTACAAATACGAAAATGGTTGTAAATTCTACTCCTATTCATCGTAATAAACTACAAAATGTACCAGCATTTTTGAATAAACTTTACAAGTAAGTAGTTGCAACTGTTTTGTGTAAATTAGTGAAAAACAAAACAAAATTATTAACATTATCTGTGTTTATAGTATGGTAGATGATCCATCAACAGATGAATTGATCCGTTGGTCAGATGATGGTTTATCTTTTGTTGTTATCCGTCATGAAGAATTTGCAAAGAGAGTGCTACCTCGTTTCTTCAAGCACAGTAATTTTTCTTCATTTGTACGTCAGTTGAACATGTATGGATTCCATAAGGTACCTCATCTTCAAAACGGTGTACTTAATACAACAGGAGAAGCAGAGCGTTGGGAGTTTAGTAATCCTCATTTTCAGCGTAATCAACCTGATTTGCTTCTGTTAGTTACAAGAAAGAAAGGTCGTGATCCTGAAGAGAAGGAAGCAGGGGCAGTAGATCTTCATTATATTCTTGATGAAATTGCTGCTATTAAAAAACATCAAATGTCTATTAGTAATGAATTAAAAAATGTTCAAAATGATAATCAAATATTATGGCAAGAGAATATTGCAACAAAGGAAAGATACCATCGACATCAAGAAACAATTGATAAAATTTTGCGATTTTTGGCTTCTGTCTTTTCAAATGATAAGAATAAACATGTCGTGATTCCTCGAAAACGTCAGTATTTATTAGGAGATGGCACAACACAAAAAGAAAGTAAAGATCAGTTACCCACATCTCAGAATAAGAAAAGACGATGTAGCAAAATAGAAGATGTAGATGAAGATCATGAGCCTCCTTTAAAATCACCTCAGAAGACATGTAGTTTCGATATCTCTGATTATGTAAATGATACAAATGATATTGAAAAGGAGACAACAAGTCATGCTTTATTGAAACCTATTCAAGAGGAATCTTCGTTACCACATCCTCCAACTTCTAGTACTGCTACTGCTGATCTTCAAGCTGCTATTGCTCTAAATGATCAAACTAAAAAAGATAATGCAGCATCATTAGGTAAATATATATTTGTAAAATAGATTATATTTTCTAACATATACATCTATATCCACAGCCTTACCTGCGCTTAATCTGACCATAAATAATGGAATAGATATACCAGCAAATACAACTACAGCATCAACAATGCCCACTAATAGTATTCCTGATATTACATCACTTTTTAACTCACCCCACTTTCAAGGATTAGTTAATTTAGCTCAAGCAAATCCTGCTTTATTCAATCAGTTAACTAATAGTAATTATTTTGATATTTCAAATCAGTTTTTAGCTAACAAAGCAGAAACCACAAATTCTGGTACAACTACAGCTATTAGTTCACCGACCACCACTGTGGATACACCTACGACGATTACTATGCCTACAACTCCTGGAGAATTGGAATCTAGCTTAAAGACGCTTGCCAATGAGCTTGGACTTGAGACTGATGGCAGTGGTAATCAACTGAGTTATGTCAACATGGATGATTTTTTGACTACTTACGGTGAGTTAAAAAAAAAAAAATAATAAAAATAGAGCCATTTATTTGTAGAAAAGGAAAAGTACTTATATTCTTTATCTATTTATATAGCAGAGGAACAACCTTCGAATACAAATGAAGCAAGCTCTTTAACCAAGAATTAAGAGAAAAATAAAAGAGCTTCATTGCCTCTATATCCCCCCGCATTACTTTTATTTTACTTTTTTTTTTTTTTTTTTTTTTTATCCATAACCCCCTCCCTACTTCCTAAATGTTTTTTTTTTAAAATTCAAAAAAATATTTTGTTTATTCCCAATATTGCCTTTCATTCAATATATTATATGGTATAAACCAAGTTCATATTTGTATATAAAAAATACACATAATCTATCAATTCTTTTTTTTTTCTTTGAACACATAATAAACATGAATAGACTTTATATGTTTGTATATTAAAGGAAAAAAAAAAAGTTATTAACCATTCTATCAATTTCATCCTGTTTGGCTCTTACATACAAATAAATATTTATATAATATTCTTTTAAAGAAGAGTCAATCTAATATAGAGTCTTCCTAATATTAGATACATATATATATAAAAAAAAAGTCTATTTTATTACGCATTACAGATAGTCGATAGCTTCCCTTCTCTGTCTAATACGGATAGTTGATCATAACCACCCAGACTTTGACCATTCTTGAAGAAATTGGGAAATGTTCGTTGACCTGTCAATTCAAATAATGCATATTTAATTCCTTTACTATCTTGATCAAGATTTGCCTCAACAATATGTATATCTTTACAATACTTGGAAAGTAATTGCTTAGCTGCTATAGAATATGGACTATAAACAATTATATCATATCATAAATAAGTCACTTATACATAACTATCATTATTATTATTATTTTCATAATACCAGTAAGTTTTGCTATAGAGTACAAAGGGGTATTTGCGTAATGTATATTGAATCCAAGCTCTTTGTGGTTGAATCAAACGAAGTGTATATAATTTTGGTGACATGTTAAATTCAATAGGCATAAAGTCATAGTTTTTTAAAATTGATTTCATATATTCATTCATGTGTTTGAGTCGTACGTTATCAAGTCCATAACTGATGTCGATCACTTCAAAGAGGGACGTATTCAAGTTGTCAGGATGAGCTGTAATAAGATGAGTGTAACGTGCTTCAAGGAAATCATCTTCTGTTACATGGCTTTCATTCTTTGAGTAAATCCAATTTGGATTCGACTGTCCATAAAGGGAGGCACCTGTCATGGCTGTATCAGTATCGATATGAACATGAACATAGGAGGATGTATGATTTTCAATGGAATGCAAGGATGCAAGAGCTTGTCCACCAGGATAATTGAGACGAGATATTTGAAACATCATGATGGCTATCATGAACGAAGCAATTACAGCAGCAATAATAATACCGAAGAACACAACTATACGAGTAGTTGATCGACGAGTAGTTGTAATGACAGTTGAAACACAAGAGGCAGCAGCTGCAGTGAAGACAGGAATAGTATACATGATAAAACGCCATTCTTTATGCGGTAAGCATGAAAACAGAACAATATAAATAATCATAGGCAAAAGTAGACGACGTGAACGACGATCGGTAGCAAAGGCAATCCATGCCAAAGGATAAGATACAAGCAATAAACGTGGTAGAAAGGAAGTAAAATAAGCGTAAAATGGTGAAGTACCCCATTCTGAACTCTTATTAAGAATAGCATTAAAATAAAATACCATACCCTCAGGCCATAACCACCAAGTATTCCAGAAAAAGGAATCCAATGGGATAGTTACTAATAAACTGATAAATGCAGTCGTCATTGTCTCCTTCAAAATTGTATATAAATCAATTGTACGGTATAAAAACCGTTCTATTCCTAACAAAATAACTAGTAAAATACCAACTTCGAATCTAAATACAATACCAGTAAAGGTAAGATATCGAATCATCCATCTTAAATGATCTTCACGACCACTCATTTGAGATAAACTTGATATCCAATGAGAAAGCCCAAACAAAGCCCATGGTAATGCTAACGTGTTTGGTAAAGTACGAGAAGACCAAAAGACAAAATGGAACTGACAATGTAAAAGCAAGAGAGTCCAGATAGCAGTCCTTGATCCGAAAAGTGTTTGGACACCAGAAGTAAATTTTCCAAGTGAAATTATGACAAGAGCAGCAAGAACGATACGTACCAAAATCTGCTGATTAAGAAGTGATATAGATGGAAACAAGTAAATTAATGGCCAACTTAATGCACTTAAAATACATGCACCGAGGAATGTACGTGGAACGACGCCAGGGAAATCTAAATGGTCATAATGTTCTACTTGATGTATAATGTCATGTGTTGCTTGTAAATTAAAACTTTCTTCAACTTTAGTATAAGGTGCCAGATATATCTCTATCACCATTAATATAAATAAAGATCCTAATAACAGCTTCATATTCTATGTATGTAACTGTGTGTATTATAATAATAAACGTTGGCAGCAGTTGTTATAACAAAGTTTCAAAAAAAAAAAAAAAAAAAAAATTACTTTGAACGCCGCAATTACATAAATTTCAAAAATAAGCTACAGTTATGAGATTGCAACAATTCATAAAGCAATTTAAGTAGTGCCTTATTGTACAACATATATAAACAACTGCTACTACTATTAATAAATATCTATTATAATCTTCTTGTAGATAAGCAATAAAATAAATGTAACATAATTCGATGTTATGCAGAAATAAGATTAAACACGGCAAAAATAATTATTATCCTTGAAATTGTCACATGAAAAAAGTTATGCAGATAATAATTTATGAATAAATAAAATCTTAGAGATGAGCCACTATTGTATATAATATAACTCGAACTAGTTTCTTTCTTATGCATATAAAAAAATACCAAGGAATTGTTTTTTTTTATTTATTTTATTATTATACTCATATTATGTAGAAAAAAAAAAAAAGGAATGCTAGTTACTCTTAAATAAATGCATGCAATTATATAAATTATTCTCTAGAAATATCACGACCCCAGAAAGTCTTTTTAGTCCAATCAGTAATAACCAACCACTTATTACGAGCAGAGAAAAGATTAGAAATATAAGCAGAACGCCAGAAAGCAAAGGTAGCTACACCACCTGTAGCAACATTACCAGGACCAAAGGGTAAATCGGCAATAGCCTTATCAGATCCAATGTAACAAAGAGAACCTTGGTGGGAATAATGGAAAGGCTTGATATCCTTGGCCTTTGCAAGACGACGTAATCGTTTAGCTCTTTCTTCTTCAGTCTTTGCTGCTTCCAATTCAGCCTCGTTCTGTTCAATAGCATAAAGTTGGGCAAATACACGGGCCAAATATTTGCCCTGTTGTGAAGCAACTTGGGCTGTAGGGGCGTATTTGGTGGCTGTTGCATCACCCAATGCAAAAATATCTTGAGCACCTGACATACGAAGCCAGTCATCAACAGCTAAACCACGTCTAATAGTTTGAGTTTCTGGATATTGTGCCATTAATTTCTTAATAAGAGGACGAGTGGTGTTACCAGCAGCCCAAACAAGTAAACCATAAGGCATTGATTCCTTTTCACCATTAGCATTTTGGACAATAATTTCCTTTTCACGAACCTCTTTCACCATTGTCTTGGTATGAATATCAATCTTTTGTTCCTTGAAGGTAGATTCGGTATATTCGATCAATTGTTTAGAGAATGCAGGAAGGACATTTGGCATTGCTTCTACAAGTGTAATTTTAAGTTTATTCGCAAGTTCTATTAAAAAAAAAAAGTTAAGTAAATTGTCCTTCTTCATCTGAATTTACAGTTTTCCCAACAATCATCCTTAATTTTAGAATACAAGTACTTTACCTGGATACCAACGAGTTAAATCTTCAACCAAGAAATCATGGAGTTCGGCTGCATATTCAATACCTGTAGGACCACCACCTACTACAACCATGTGTAATAAACGTTCAATTTCTTCAGGTGATTGACCAGGAAAAGCAGCTGTCTCAATACAATCCATTAATTTAGTACGAATCTTTTGAGCATCCCATACTTCTTTTAAGAAGCAACCATATTCCTCAACACCTTTAATACCAAATGTTTGACTCTGTGCACCAACACCAATAACTAAATAATCATAAGGAATTGTACTCATTGAATTTTCTCCCTTAATATCGGAATTATCTATTATAGATTTAAAGTTAAAATAAAGCAAAAAAAAAAAAAAAAAAAAAAAATGACATAATTTTCGCATCAATAATAAATGATGTATTTACCAACAATTGTAATAACTTTCTTTTCTGCATCAATGTCAGTACATTCAGCCTCATATACCTTGACTTCATTTGCTTTATGACGAGCAATGAAACGAATGGGTTCAATAACCGAACGAATATCGATGGTGCCAACCGTACAAGAAGGTAAAAGTGGTGTAAATAAGAAATAGTTACGTGGAGAGACAACAACAATATTATAAAGATTAGTATCGACAGATTTCAAAAAGGATGTACTAGCCCAACCACTACCAAGCACAACAATTGTCTTCTTTTTAGGATCAAATGGAATGGGGTCTTCAGTAGGATGACGATGATAATACATGCCTAATCTTTCACTGATAAGCTATCACATAACCAAAAAAAAAAAAAAAAAAAAAAAAAAAAAAAAAAAAAAAAAAAAAAACGAGAAAAAAAAATTTTTTTTACCATAAAAAGTGATACCCAAGAAACCTACAGTGCCAACTGCAGCAATACTCTTAAAATTATTCCATCTTCTTTTCTTTGATGCTTGAATAGTATTATTAGTGATAGTTGAATTAAATCTATGCTGAAATGTACGTTGTACAATAGGCGCTTGACGAGAAGCAGCTATAAATATAATATTTTATGAGGATTATGTGATTTTCATAAGCAAATGACTATCAGGTATTACCTCTTAATATTCTAGTAGTTGATAACATTATTATTTATAATAAATAAATAAATAAACGAGGGAATAAATAAATAAGAATAAATAAATAGAAAAGTATGAAAAATAAAATAAAATAAATGAAATAAAATGAAATAAAAAAATACAAAGAAAAAAAAAAAAAAAAAACTGATTAAAGATAAAATTAAAAGCGGGAGAACAAATGTAAAACTGATCACAAACAACACAGGGGGACAATAACAATAAACTGAAACAGTTTCTTAACAGGGTTTAAAAGACAATTACAAAAAAAAAAAAAAATCTATTGTATTATGTAATATTTAATATGATTTTTTTTTATTGGCTTATAATAGTAGAAATAAATATGAATGTTAATGATAAAAGAATATATAAACAAAACTGAATTAGTTAATTGATATAATATGTATAGATGTGTGCGTGTGTGTGAGTGTGCGTACGTTTTTTTTTATAAGGGTTGATTATTTATGGCGGTGATGTAATTAGATAAGAGGGATATTATTATTTTTTCTTATTGAATTCTGCTGCCCTGGAATCGAATTCAAGTGAATCATCGTACTCCGATGGTTTTAATGCATCAGATTCAGACATGACTTGCATACCATTACGAAGGACACCAATACGCATTGAAGTTAACAAGTTACGAGCACCATTAGAATGGTTATAAATACCACCATTGAAGGCAGTTGTCATGTCTTTACCAATAGCAGTTGAAAGATACTTGGTTCCTCCAGGATGTTCTTTTATAAAATTAGCTACATCATAGAGAACACCTTCAATCAATATCCATTTCTTATTTTCGTTCAATACAAGTGATTGAAATTCTTCCCAAGTATAAATAGGTAAATCCTTAAGAGGTACACCATAAGTGAGAGTTGCTTTTTCACGTTGAATACGCTTTTCTTCCATGAAGATACGTCCCTTCTTGACTTCATTAGAAGGAAATTCCTTCAATTCGTAGGCAAGACCAATCCAAGACAAAGCAGTAATAAGCCATTTAGTAGGATCATATTGACCAAATTTGATAGCGTTACGATAATCTTGAGGGAACTGGTGATGGAAATTGTGATAGCCTTCTCCCATTGTGACGAGAGCAGTGATCCAGTGATCACGAGGGGTATTATGATCGTCAAACGTAGATTCACCTAACCAATGAGCCAAACTGTTTACACAGAATGTAGCATGATGAACAAAGATAAGACGAACTACGCCAGCATAGAAATATCCGCCCTTAAAAAATAAAAGAGATGTTAGTCTTTCTGTTTAATATAAATATATATAAAAGCTTGAACTTACTCGGAAATCACCCCAACCATATCCAGCAACCAAAGTAGGGAAGATGAATCCCATAAAGAGGGCAAAATAAGGATAGTATTTATGTTGTAAAGCAACAACAGGGTCAGCCTTAAGATCAGCAACATCAGAATAACCAATACGGTTCTTTGGACGGTTAACTAACATCCAACCTATATGAGAAAAGAAGAAACCACGATGAGCACTGTAAGGATCTTTATCAGTATCAGTCCATCTATTATAATAATAAATTAGTATTAAGAAGTTTGAGCTTTTACTTTTTTTTTTTAATATGTACCTGTGATGAGCACGATGACCTCTAGACCACCAATAAATAGAGCCTTCAACAGCACCAGAACCAGCAAAACAAAGCAACCAACGTAAAAGAGATCGGCCACGATACGCACGATGAGACCACAGACGATGATAACCTGCAGTAATACCAAGGCCAGTAATGAAATAATAGATAATGGCCCAAATCATTGTTTTCTTTGTTAATTCAGTAGTAAAAATACCATAAAGACCAATGAGGGGAGTTCCTAATAACAAAGTAGCATGTACCCAATTGACATGTTTTGTCCAATTCTTTGAAGTGATAGTTTGATCAAAGAGAGGAGGCATCTTTGTCTTTGGTAAAGGAGCCTTCATTGACTCTGTCTTTGTACGTTCAAGAGATGTAATCGTTGCGGTATTTGACATTGTAAATAATCTCTATCTTATACTATCTATGCGTATAATTCTGTATATAAATAGAAATGGTGCTATCTCTCTTTTTCTTTTTTTTCTCCTTTTAGTTCCAAAAAAAAGAAAAGAAAAGAAAAAGATACTAGTAATTAAATAAATAAAAAGGACAAAGTTATGTATTTAATAAAATGAAAATTCTTATGTTCTTTTTATATGTTTTTGAAAAGTAGCATATGGAATAAATCCTTGGACCATAAATTGTTGGGAGATGGGGGCCAATTTTGGGGTGTGACCACCCAATAGGAAGTTGTGTACTAAATGTCCCTTTGCCTTTTTTTTTACTAGATAAAATGTAGTATTTCATTCGTTTAAATTAGCTTTTTTGTTTTCAGTCCTTCAACAAATCAATTGTCTTATCATTATAAAAGGCTAATAATAAACTGATTTATTCGGACTACAGAATATATATTGTATAGTGTATTATACATGTATATTGTAAACAAAAAAAAAAGCTACTATTAAATTTAAGAAATATGAAAGATTGTGTTACAGACAGATAACTAACCCAAAAAATGAAGCACCCAAAAAGCACGCATTTATTGCTATCCCTCTGACTTGTGTATGATCATATAACTATCACATTGAGCATTTATATTTATCTCAGCCTAAACTGACTTTTTTTTATCTCCACATTACTATTTTTTTTTTAAAGCAAAAAAATTTTCTCAACCAATAAAATATTTTTAAAATAAGGGCATGATTAGAGATCTTGTAAAAATATAAGCTCTTTAAAGGGGAAGACTGTGCTCTTCACATACGTGATTTTATATATTTTTAAAAATTGTCCATTACATTTCAATAACTGTTTTACTAAGGTACACTGTATTTTTTCAGGTATTTTGTACTCTAATTTCTGAATATGTATTTCTTTTTATCATTTCAAACTTCTGAAGCCCTGAATTCACCGCTTTAACAGCTATAAAATTTAAAAAACTTTCGTTTTTATTTATACGTTTATTAAAGAGTTCCTATTGCATCGTATATATGTTTTCTCATCTTTACTGTATTATTCCCATTTTTACTATAACCTAATACAATTAAAAAGAAGCTTTTGATCTTCTCATCTAAACCACTGCAACATATACGGTTTCTTGTTCCTACAATATATCGAGTATTTCTAATTACTGCATGATAAATAATACTTGGTCTTTCTTTTTTTTAAAGAAAAATATCTTTTTTTGATACTTATGTACATAAACTTTATTTTCTCTTTGGTTATTACGTTTTTTTTTTCTATATTTTTTACTGCATGTAGTGTGCCTCTTTATGATAATTTAAGCGATATTTTATCCTCATGCTACTTGAATCTAAAGCGTAATTTTGTTTCAATTAATTTATAGGACATGGAGAGAATAATTTCGTAGTAAATTATATCATTGATCTACTTTTTGTACTTCAAAGTATCTATACCGCGGTTTGCGTTGAAAAATAATAAAAAAAAATAGGAGAAGAGGAAATATCCTTGATGTACACATTTTCTTTGTATTTTGTCGAAATACTCATGTTTTTATATTTTCCGATAATAGATTGTTGCTGTGTGACCACTACGTATAGCTAGAAAGTTATCAGTATTTCTATTTGGTCAGAGGATATTGCTTTGGTTTAATTATACATGTATACAGTCTGTACGATAAATTTTGCACAAAGTGGTATTGGTGGTGCTGTAGCTTATTCAGGGAAACATTATATATTAGTTTGTAGCTTGAATCTGCAGACAGTCGAATTCTATCCTATATAAATTATTATGCATAAATATAATTTCTTTTCTTTTCTTTTCTTTAGAGCTTTAGGGCTATAACCATAGTACAAAGATTTACTTAAAGTTTAGAAAAAGTAAGATAATATGAATTATGTTTGTATAACCTTTACTTTAAATACATTATTAAATAAAAGCTATCAAATATAGTCTTTTATAACCCGTTGATAAAAACTTCATTAAAGTCACAATACTTTGAAGGTTACCGTTGTAAGCTACACACTAACCAAATAAAAGTTATTAATTATGTTTAGTGCAAGAGGCTTTTGCGCGAACAGATTAAAAATATATAAATACAGGATATTTCTTTTCATTTTAAAAAGGAAGCTACTTCCTCTACGCCATTGATCATCAAAAAAAAAAAGATAATAAAATGAGTTTTCCTAATGTATTCTTGAGTTCTCCAAAACTTGTTTCCAAAGATAGTTTGGATCCCTCATATGATTTTTATTGCTTCTCTGTTAATTGGAATTGCCATTGGTTGAAAAGTTCAAAGAATCGGTCTTGGGTGTACTAGCTGGGCATTTCTTCTTATTTTCGGTTAGTCTTTTCATAACCTGTTATAATTACTCCACAATGTACAGCTTAGAAAGATTTAAAAGAAAAACTTATTTGATTATTATTATACTCGAAGGAAAATAAAGCGGGTCTCAGAGAGCATGCACCATATGGAAAGTCGGAGTTGAGTCAACAAGGATTATTTTAAGAACGATATACAATTAAACATTGCAGTAATTGATCATATTGCTATAATAAGTAGCAACGTATTTACAGTCGTTCCAACGCCAAAGAGCGTTTTTTTTTTTTTTTTTTTTTTTTTTTTTTTTTTTTTTTTTAAAAAAAAAAAAAGTGCGGCTAATGAATTTTCCCAAAGGACGGCTTTAATTTTTCCAAAAGGCGGTTTTGATTCATTCAATGGGCGGTTTAATTTTTCACAAAAGGCAGTTTATTACATCCCGATAAATGGTTTCTTACAACCCAATGGGCGGTTTTTTACATCCCAATGGGCGGGAAAAGATATATGTGTTTATCTACTAAGAAAGTCTAAATGAGCACACATTTTTTATGAGGATAGACAGGGGAGAATTGTTGGCGAAGAAGGGCGCAATGCTATGGATTGGGAAGAAGAAGTGCATACCCATCACCTAGACACGCTAACCCGCCTTAGACTATTGAAGGTTTAGATGCTGAAATGGAGGAAGCTGCAAACATAATAAGAAACCAGATAAAGCATTACGATGGCTACTCCAGCGAACAAAAACTACTTTTTGTTTATTACAAAAGCGTAAAATCATGTAATGCTGCTAAATCTGGTAGATTAGCGGGTGGAATTGCTGAACGACAGCACAGAAGTGGGCTAAGAAACTCAAAGAGGTCAACGATTGGAATACCTTGGAAAAACAAACCAACAAAGTCAACAGGCCAAAGGGGCGGCTTGAAGAAAGACATAAGATTCATTTACTTAACTTTTATGATGACAACCCTCAAGCCCAGATTCTTGATGTAGTTGCTTCACTGACAGAAAAATTGAAGGGTTTATGTTAAAAGAAACCAGTGCTAAAAACTTTTTGAAAGACAATTTCTAACAAAAAATCTTTAAAAAAAATCTAATAAACGATGCAGTTATTCTTCAAGAAATTACTATAAAAGTTAAGTAGACTCCTTGGGTGTGAAGTAAAATGCCAAATCTTAGTTTAGCAGTGATCACCAATCGCGTTGGAACTGCATTTCAATTATAAAAGGGTTGGTGAATGCGAAATAATTCTCAACAGATTTGATTTCTCGACGAACAAATACATCGTCGATTACAGTTTCTAGCTTGACAGGCTTAGAAACAGCAATGTTCATGTTATTGCTTCTTATAAAAGTCAGCAAAGCGTCTCTCAAGTTACTCTCTGTGTGAAAGCCAGCATTGAAATCACCACACTGTGCTGGAACTCTTTTTGTCGAAGGTTTCCACGATAAAAATATATCGAAGTAAGTCTTGATAAATTTTGTATTCTCATACTCATTCACAACAGCTAGCCTCGCAGCATTGGTCTAATAATGTAGTATCAGGTTCCCTCAAGAACAGAGATTGACCCTAGTTCATTTAGACTGAAAGTTCAATCATCCAAAAAAGTTGAGGAGTTCTATTCCTAAAAAAAAAATGCAACTGGTTGGATGAGGGTCAAGCAAAAAATATGAAAAGATATCCGTAAGGTTTGTTTAATAAATGCTGTCAAGCAATATATATCATGTATGGGTAGATAGTAGTATTCTCAAGGGTAAGAGAAAAAATAGCAGAAAGAAGAGAAAATAAAGCTTGGCACAATCTGTGTACCTTCATAAACTGATCATTAAGATGTAAAAAATTAGAAGCTTTAATGATTAATGAGGATATATAGAGAATATGAAGAATAATGGTGATAGGTGTACAGATAAAGGCAAGCAAGGTCGAAGGTACACCATTTCTGAACTTGTTACTTTTACTGTTGTTCATCGCCACTCGAATTGTCATCTGTGAAACCACTAAACCAGAAGGGCTTTTATGCGTCTAAATGCTCCTTTTCTTTTGACTTTATAATTGACTTCATTGATCCTTTTTGGGATAAACTGCTCTTGAGGCTCAGGCAGTAGTCCTATATAGTGATGTAATACATGATGAGATAAAGGTACTTTTTTTTTCATATAACAGTTACGGTACCTTAAAATATTTTAGAGAGTTGATATATTCTTTAATGGAACCATTTCTTATGAGCTCAACACTATCAGGAACATCTATGTCAGCAATCTTATCGACTACAAACCAATTTCAATCAGTTTGATAGTATATTAACAGTTCCCCTTCTAGACGTGATATCAGCATAGACGGTATATATTTAATTTCGTTGTTATTCTTCTTGTAGTTTCTAAAATATATTGCTGAGCATAAAACTGTCTTTATCTTGTCTTTAAAGTACTTTTTTACTGAAGACTTCTTTGCATATTCCACCAAACTCAGATCAGCAAAAGTCTTCCAAGGAACGGTTACCCTCAGATCAATTTTACATTGATAACCTACTTTCTTACAAACCATAGGAATTGTATCGCCCCTAGAAATAAATATGAGTCTTTGCATCTCAATAAGGCGAATGATACTTACCATATCAAGCGGATATCACAGCCATGAAAGCAGTTTTCCATAATAGGAGCATACAACTTATTGATGTAATCCTGCTCGCTATTATCTTCATCTTTATCATACAAATACTTATGGCTGGTCATTGATTCAAGTCTAAAGTAGAAATATTAACGAGCGATTATTTTTTATTTGCTTTTAAATTATATACTTACATCTACAAGTATATTCTTTTAATATATTTGTTGCCATCCTTTGTCTCATCTATTTCTTTGATGGCTTTGCTTAAGAATTCAACATCATCCTCAATAATTGAAAACTTGGCAAAAATAAAAAATTAACGGAAAAGACATAGAACCAAACATTAGATATTTATCTTACCTTCTCAATGATGTCGTCAAACGCAGCAGTTTTAAGTGTAGCTTGATTCAGACGCTTCTTTGATAATACTTCAATAATTTGTTGTTGCTGTTGCTTATTGAACCCCTCCACTGCCAAACTTTTCTAGTGCATGATGCGAGGGAGTCCATGGTCTTGAAGCCTATTGAGTAGCCATTTGTTAACTTTATCTATTTTTCCCTTCTTTCTTTTTTCCCTTTTTTCTTTTGAGGTTCTTGGGTTTTTAGTCCCACCCTCTCGTCTTAATTGATTTGTAACTTTATATACACTTTAAGTTCCCCTTAGTTAGCAGTAATGTTTAAAAAAAAACGAATGCATAATAACTAATAAAGAGTATAAATTCACGCCTGTTGCTTATTGAATAGGTCAAGGTGAGAGTCAGATGAAATATCAGAGATATCAATAATTCTGTTCATAGCGAGCCTATAAATCATATTAATGAATTAGAAGCTCATATAACAGAGTAAATAAAAAATAACCTACGTCGTGAAGTAATTGCTCTTATAGTCAGTAATATTAGTCTCCTTAGCGTTAGTAGTGATGATTGCCCCTACACTTTTTCTTAAGCCGTCCAGATACAACAAGTCCCTAGAAACCTTCTAATATTATAAAAAATATATTAGATACAAACATCTTCAATTCTAAAATTATAAATTACAGGTGTTCTTTTTTGACGTTTTGCTTCTGGAAGTTTTTGATCGCTTTTTTTAAGTAAAGCCTCATTGAGCGTATCCTTTTTTTTTTTTTTTTTTGTTGCAACTCGTCTTCTACCAAACTTTTCCAGTACTCTATTGTTGTTGCTAGTAGCAAAGTCTATCAAAGAACGCAAAAATTAATTATTTCAAAGAAATAAAATTAAGCAATTTACAACAACTAATAGGATGCTTACGCTGTAATCATTGTTTTTTATGTTTATGGCCCATTCACGATAAGCTACGTTGTTGCTCTTAGATGTTTCATCAACGGAGTATCTGTAATCATCTTTAGCATTTTGATGCAGATCAAAAAAATAGCCTCCTTCGAAAAAAAAGGATGGTAGTCCATTATTGTTGTTGTAATTTTTTGATAGCCAAGAGATTGAATCCCTAAACTTGACTGTTAGACTACATTCTCTTGTAATTTAGGAAGAGATGCATACCATACAGGTCTCCTTGTAATGCTTCTGGTCTTGAGAGGCATTTACAGTAAAATAAGATAAAAGCTATGAATGAAATTGTTTTAAGTGGTTACATTGGGTGACGTATCAAATATTGTAGCTGGCACGTATTGGCAGCAGATTAATGAATTTCTATTATCCCTTTTTTTTGTGATGAAAACAAACACCCCCAGGGCGGGGTTTCTAAATGGAAAATCGTACTCTGATATTGTTAAACGACTACCAACTAAACAACATTCACTCATGGATCAGGCCGTCAATGCCAATCCTCCCTTTACATCGCATTTGGATCTTTCGAATTCCAGCCTGGAAGTGAAGGTTGTTCATATTAAACTTTGGTATCACACCCGAGCTGATGGTGCTTGTCTTTTAGACATCTCAAAAGTATCGAAGATCTCTGTCGAAGATCATCTCGATCAGATCGCTGATCTCTACGTAGGGACAAAAAATTCCTATGGTATTAAATTTACTGGTCGTCAGAATACACAATATATTGAAGTGTACCCTAAAACTGAGATTAAGAACGATTTTCTCTCTAACGGTGTGCTGTATGAAAAATTTAACGTTAGACTTCTTCCATTTGGTCCTACTGATGTGCTTTTAGACAATATTAGAACCACTTTAGAAAGACATGGTAAAGTTTTGGACGTATCATTAAATTATGATACCCGCAAAGATTGGTTTTTGGGTTCTGGTTCGGCCGTTATCCAACAACTGAAGGATGGTCAAAGCAAGCCTCTTCAACATTCTCTCTCTTGGAAGGATGATGAATATTGTTATGCCATATTTCCTAATATGCCGACATAGTGTCGATACCGTCACGGTAATGATTATACCAAATACGAATGTAAAAAAGCCTTAGATCGCATATTATGTTATTCTTGTGATAGATATGGACATAAGTCCGCTGATTGCGACAATCCCAAGTCTAAGAAGGCTACCGCTATTAAAAGTAAGAAATTTAAGAAAGTTAGAAAAACTTCTGTAGGTCTTGATCGCCCAGCTGAACCTTCGGTTGGACTTTTAAAATCTAAATGGTCCCCTCAAGCTGATAAAGAAACTGCTGAAGATAAATTGGGCAGGAAAGAAGGTGGTCAAAAGAATAAGAAGAACACTATTCTTGATATAAACTTTACAAAAGATGATGATATGTCAACTAGTGATGAGAATTATATTTCAGGGGATGAAGATGAAGGGGATTCTGATGCCTCCATAGATTATGTTAGTGACGGTGAGATAGATCAACCTACTAACCCTACGTCTGATAATAATGACAACCCCGTCGACATTACCTTAAAAAATTTTGTAAGCTCCACCCCAGCCAAACATTCACTTATGGATAATAATGGAGCAAAAATTTCTCAGAGAACTAATGCTGATGTTTCCTTTCGTAAACCAGATGATGATAATGGTGGCTATATAATTCAACAGGAGAATAATCCTTCATTGAACCAATCGAATTCTAATAATCAATGATTGGAAAGAAACTACAACTTAATTATGGAACGCTAAACTGCAACAGTTTAGTTAAAACAAGCTCTTCTACAGAACAATCATTATATATTCGTCACCTTCGAGAACAACGACTCGATATTATTTGTTTTCAAGAAACCCATGCCTCTCCTTCTATTATTAATTCTTTAGATATCCAGTTCCAAGCTCAACAAACATTTTGGACCCCCCCCACTGTGGTATTATTTCATTTTCTACTCAATATATTCTGACACAAGTTAATACTGACCATATATTTACCTCAAATCGTTTTATTTTATGCAAAGTTCAGCATCCTCATAATTTTTACACTCCTGTTTTGATTGGCAAAAAGATAAGGAAAGACAAATAAACAGAAGACAAGCCTGTGAGAACTTTGTATAGTTTATTAAAGATAATATAAAAATTGTACAACAGAAAACTATGAGGGAAAAATCGAGGGCTATTTATATGTTTTTACTAGGTAAATGATATTTATAGAAATATGATTCAGATAAACAAGTATTACTATAATAAAGTATTTTACATAAAATGTTGTCTTTGAATAATTCTACAATCAATAAAATATATTTTTATTCTTTTTTTTTTCTCCCTGAGTTGTCGCAGTTCCTAGAAGCATAGCGAATTATTATCACTGGGATGAGTGACACATCAATATTAATTCTCAATGAATGTGTCTAGTTGCAACAATACCAATTATTAATGAGTTACTATCATTATCATTGTATAAGATCTTATTACTTAACAATATTCAATATTATCAATGTAGATATGATATGTATTACTCATGAACAATTATGTAATTGAACACACCAGTTATAATCCTGTTTGAATTATGTATATAATTATTATTAGTGCTCGAGCATTTTAACAATGACTATTATCAAAACTGAATGTAGAATGAATATTATGCTGTGGAGTACAGTACACTAGTTTTATTTGAATAACCTCTTTATTATGTAATAAATGATGATTTATTTCTATTAACTTGGTTGTAAAGACAACTACAATCATAACATACTCAACTGTCTCCTACCCTGTATTAACACACTACAATCCAGTCAATGGCGTAAACTTAATAATACAGCTCTTACTAAGACCTTACCTGCACCTCTTGATAGCCTGAACACCTCTACCCTTCTTCGACATTGCTATAATTTTATTGCAAGGAATTTCCAACTTACTCTCCAGCAAAGGCACAGCAAATTATTGTCTGTCTGTCGCCCGTCTTTATCCATGGACCCCATTCTGTGGTTACCTATGCTCCCAATAGAACGTAGTCAACTCATTAGATGGCGGCTGGGCTGGCTACTTGGTGGTACTCCTAAACCATGTCAATGCAAATTACACAATCTAACAAAGAAACACAGTATCCATTGCTTGCGCATCCATTCTCAGTTACGCATGTCACAAGACGCAGATGACCCCATCAATCGGCTTCCCTCTCGACCGCCCAAGTCACTACATAAACAGGCCTATTGGCGAATACATTGGATTACCATCCAAAGATTCCTCTATAAATTTGACATGCTACAGCATGGTGCTCCCTACGATGATTTAGTCCTATCTAATCTATCTTTAAACTCACCTTTTCTTCTCTGGCTTAGCCAGCATTTATAGACTCCCCTCTCTTCCTCTTTTTCTATCCTTTTTCCTTCAGCCCAAGAAGGTTTTTTTCTCTAAATACAGATTTGAACTGGTCCGGGCAATTTTAGTATATAAAATACTTGTGCTCATTTGGATTTTATTTAATAAAACTCAACTTTTTTTTTAAAAAAAAATAAGAATAATAAATCAATATTTAATTGTATTTTATACTTTCTTTTAATGCTTGAAGTTTTATCTAATTTGGGTAAACACATTATTTTATTTTAATCACATTCAATGTAACTAATACTTCATATATAATTTATTAGTTATTCTTTCTTGTACCAAAGGATTCAGTTTTTTATATGTTGTTCTCTTTACCTCTCCACAATTTATATCAACTTTTTGTCTTATTTTATTTCACTTCTTTTTTTTTTCTCAATAATTTCTGAAAAAGCTTTGTAAATCGTCCGAACTTGGAGTTAAAAATATCCAAAACGTGCAATATACTTCTAATTCTTGATCTTATTCCGACCCGAGCAATTTCAATCAAAATCATTTAGGCTCAGTTAATTCGTGCACCCTCCCCCCCCCATAATTTTTAAAGAAGGAACAATAAATACATGCTGTTTATTGGATCTAAGACATTTCAAAAGCAATAAAATTGAATCACTATGATGTTATTTAATTTTGATCCAAAACAATATTTTTGTTTGCATAAATTAGCAGCTTTTATTCTCTTTTTTCTTTTTTTTCTTTTCTCTTCTTCTTTTAGCTTTTATAATAAAAATGAAAATAAAACCTTCAATTATAACACTAATTTGTATATGTTTATGGTTATTCATAAGTCCTTCTTTTGCCATTGGTAAGTTTGTTATTGTTATTTCAAAAAAAAAAATAGTTATTAAGTCCAGCCTATTTAGTAAGAACTGAAGAACTAGCTGAATGGACAAAAGATGGTCTCGCTTCCTATTTTAAGAAATACAAAATTATTTATGATAAAACACAAGATCATCCTTCTTTAGTCAAGATTGCCGAGTCCTATAAAGATGCAGCCTCTACTAATATGAAATATTTTGGTGACAGTGTTGATAGAATTCTTTCAGGGTTCACAGATAGTCTTCAAAAGAATACACGTTTAGCAAGTAATGACTTGTCTGGATTCATTACTAATTTAAAACATCAATTGCGTCAGTTAGAATTAAAGGGTGAGCTCACTCAAGATCATGTTCGTGCTATCCTTGATAAAGCTCATCATCAAGCGATACGTCAAAGAATCATGACTGAAGCGGAGTGGAAGAAGGCATATGCTGTTTTTCAATCCTATTATCAACAGCCAAAATGGTACCAACGCGTTTTAGGTTTTAAATCTCAAGTGGATGCTGGTGCTTCCTCTTTGAATCAATGGATTCAATCTGTCATTGATCATATTGTGGCTACAGGGAGTATGACAAAAGAAGAAGCTAAAACCCTTACTGATGAAATTCGTACAAGTGTAACAAAAACAGATCTTCATAACCTTGGTGATAAAGCCTGGGTTGAAGAACTCACTCAATCTATCACAGATCATACAAAACTCGAAAAAGATAAAGTTGAAAGTATCATTGAATCAATTAAACATGATATTGAAGGTTATAAAATCTTTGGCCTTGAATATACTGGTCAAGCAAAAGAAGAAGCTAAGCACTGGTATGGCCGTACTATCGCTTATTGTCAAGATGTATGGTATCAAATTCAAGCATACATCAGACAAATTCAAGTTCGTGTTCGTCGCTTTTGGTATTCTCGTGAAGTACAGAAAACAAAGAAAGCTGCTGAAAATGCAGCCGAGAGAGCTTCAGACTCACTCATGTCTGTCGCTAGCTCTATTACAAGTGAATGGCAAGATCCTGGAAATTCTAGAGCTCGTTCTCGTACCATTCATTCCGTTTTATCAAAGGCTTCAAGTGCAGCTGTTCAAGCTACAAACATGATTTACGATATGGATTTGAAAAATATCGATTTGAAGGGAACTTTTGCTCATTATTGGACTCAGAAGGAACATGATGCTTATCGTCGTTTAGGTTATACAGAGGCACATATTGATTGGATTAAAAATTATCTATATAAAACTTTTAGAAATCAAAAGACTCTTGCTCGATTTAAAGCAGATGAGGCAGGTATTGCTATTAGACGTTATTTAGAGGATTTAGGGATTCAATCACCAGCTCAAGTAGAAGATTCTGTTCATATGTTAAAGCGTCATTTAGAGTTGTGGAGAACTCTTATAGACTAAGCGAAGTAATTACAATTTTTTTTTCCTTTTAAGTGTATACTCTTGTATAAAATGTATGAACAATAATATATAGTATGATTAATATTAATAAAGTATATGTATAAAGTATTCATTGAATAAGTATATAATATTTGAAAAAAGAAAAAACGTATATTAAAAAAATAATTTAGTTTTTATGAATATATGCATGTATATTTTTATACATATTGAATATGATGTTTTTTCTTTCTTTTTCTTTTTGACAATGGAATAAAAAGCAAAAATAATATACAAGTTAAGAATTATAAGCATAACATAGCGAATATCTTGTATAAGCAGCTGAAACAAAGAGAGATTTTAGTTGACTTGGCATTGACAAGTATAGATAAATATGAAGATCTAGAATATATAATATTTGTATTCAAGTTATTATCTCAGGTCTGCAGAATATTTCAAATCATAGTGATGTTAATTATAAAAACTACAATATATCATAGAACAGAAATATAAACGCTTCGAAATAAATATGATGTATATCAATATAAATATATAGAAAGAAAAAGATAAACCGGTATATATCTAATATACTTACTGAATTTCCTTTATAAAGAAATTACATCAAACCTTACTTTATTTGATATACACATGCTAAACTAATTATTATTTGGATGTCTTTAAAAGGGAGCCTATAACGGTATTAGGGGCATATTTATGAACTACATCTGGCATATGTATCGCATTGAACTCTTTAGAAGCATCTTTGCCAGCATATAATAATATAGCTCTTTTCCCACCTAATTTATTATACATACATATAAAAAAATAAAAATAAAATAAAATAAAAATATCAAAGATATTTTACCTGGATGCTCAGACAAGAATGAGGTTGCGTCGATAACATTTCCATTAACTATAACCCAACAATCATCTTCTTTATTATGTAAAGCAATTTCTTCTTCTGTAAACATAGTCTTGTTTAACTCTTGATTAGCTATTGCGTCAAGATGATTTTTCACAAGTAAAAGGCGGTTTTTAGCTTTATTTGTCATATAATAATACTTGTTTTTATTCTTTTATCGACAATAAAATAAAAAGACTGCCTATATCGAATGTTATTTTTTTTATAATATGTGTTTGTGACATATTAAATAAGTCACAAGTACTTTTTTCCCTAGTCTTCATAGCAAATATTATAAAAGAAAGATACAATCATTTAAACATATCTTTCAAACTTTAATTTAATTTGACACTGTTCCAAACTATTGTATTAAAGAAATATCCTTTACTTGTTTTTTTTTTTTTTTTTTTTTTTTTTAAAAAAAAAGCAAATTTAATGGCATAATAAAAATTTATGTTCTAAAATAGACGTAACCTTTAAATGTGAATATAAATTTTTTCATCTAAAATACAATAGTAAATAAATAAGTGTAGTTTGTAGCGTAATAATTTATTTATACATTGTTTCCTATTTAAACAGTTATCATAAAAATGATAAATAACAGCTTTGTTGCGAATTATTTTTTAATGCAATTGTCGATCATTACAAAACGTCACAATATGTGGCTTAGTCATCCGAGTGTTTTTTTAGCTTGTTTTTAATTTTTTATTTGCCTAGCAGGAAAAAAAAAAGTCGATCGAAATAAGCACATACAGTTTTTTTTTTTTTTTTCTTAATTATAGTTAATTACTTAAAAATGGCTAAAAAGAAGGGAGGAAAGAGAAAGGACGATTATTGGTAAAATATTAATAATTATTTTTAAAGTTTTATAACCTTACTTATATTCATCTATTATTATTAAGGGATGAAGCTTTTGAGGAAGACGCCATTGTTACTGGCGCTGCTGCTCCCAAAGAATCTGAAGAAGAATTTGCTCAAAGAGCTTCAGCTTTTTCTGCACTTGCCGAAATGAATGATGAAGAGGATGATGGGTAAAGGACATGATAATCGATTGCAATTCATTTTTTTTTTTTCTTGACGAATATGATAATAACCAATTTTTTTTATAAAAAAAAATAGTTTAATGGCTATGGTTAACAAAGCTGCCAAAAACAAAATAAAAAAGGGAAAGAAAGGAAAACAACAACCTGTTGAGGAAGAAGAACCCATCACTGAAGAAGAACCACAAACTTCTACTATCGGCACTGATGAACCTTCTCAAGACATTGACGATTATGATTGGGTTAATGACAACAAAAAGAATAAAAAAAATAAGAAGAATAAACAAGCATCTGAACCTGTTTCTCCTGCTCCCGAAGCTGCTGATGGTGGTGAAATCCGTATTTTGACAAAGAAAGAAAAGGAAAGACTCAAAAAGGAAAGACTTAAGGAAGCTAAGCGTTTAGCAGCTCTCGAGAAGAAGAAACAACAAGAGGCTGAAGAGGCTGAATTTGATAAACTTCTTGGTATTGATAATAAAAAGAAAGAGGAAGAAAAGAAACAAGAACAACAGCCTGTTGCTGCGGCTAATGAAGAACCTACCGCAGCCAAAGAAACTACCTCAAAATCTAAAAAGAAGAAAGGAAAGAAGACAGCTGCCGCAAAGGAAGCTGAGTCTGAAAACGCTTCGGCTCCTGCTTCAGAAGCACCTGCTACACCTCCTCCTGCACCTAAAGGTAAAAAGGGTAAAGGTGGTGCCGGTGTTGCTGCCTTGAGAAAGATGCTCGAAGCTCAACGTGCTGCTGAGGAAGCAGAACGTAAACGTCTCGAAGAAGAACGTAGAAAGGCCGAAGAGGAAGAAAGAAGAATTGCTGAAGAAGAAGCAAAGAAGGAAGCAGCTCGTGCTGCCAAGAAGGAAAAAGAGAGACTTAAGAGAGAGCAACTTCGTAGGGAAGGTAAATTGCTTACTAAAGCTCAGAAAGAAGCTCAACGTTTAGCCAAATTGCGTCATGAACAATTGCTTGCTTCTGGTCTTGTTCGCGTCCAAGCTCTTGAAGAGAATGGCGAAAAACCTAAGCGTGTTGTCTATAATAACAGAAAGAAGAAGACTCTTTCTAAGGAAGAACAAGAAAAGAAGAGACAAGAAGCTGAAGAAAGAAAGCGCAAGGAAGAAGAAGAAAGAAAGCGTAAAGAAGAAGAAGAAGCTAAGAAGGCTGCTGAAGCTGAGGAGTCTGAAGATGATTGGGAAAAAGCTCTCCTTAGTAGTGACGAGGAAGAAAAGAAGGAGGATAAAAAAGAAGAGGAAGAGGATCTCAAGAGTGACTGGGATGCCTCCAGTGGAGATGAAAAGGAAGAGGTAAAGCCTGCTGCTCCTGCACCTACTAAGGAAGAAGCTGCACCAGCTAAGAAGGATGTTACACCTGCCTCCACTAAACCCAACATTACATCAAAGAAAGAAGAATCTGACTCTGAAGAAGACTCTGAAGAAGATTCTGACGAAGATTCTGACGAAGATGATAGCTCTGAATATGATTCCGAAGAGGATAGTTCTGAAGAAGAACTCAGCGCTACTCAAAAGCTTGCTCTCCAAAAGAAGGAAGAAGCTGCTGCACGTCGTGCTCAACGTCAAAAGGAGGCCTTGGCCAATCGTTCTAAGGATGACTTACGTTCACCTATCTGCTGTGTCCTTGGTCACGTAGATACTGGTAAATGTTGGGGACGAGATACACCTATTTTAATGATGGATGGTACAACACGTAAAGTACAGGATGTAAAGGAGTTTGATTTGTTGATGGGTGATGATAACACACCTCGTATGGTGCAACACGGTTCAGTAATTAAGGGAGAGGGTATGCTTTACCGTATTGTTCCCGCCAAGAGTGCTGGTGCTGATTCTTTTGTCTGTAATGGTGATCACGTTCTTGTATTGACTATCCCTCAGAGACAGTATGTTCAACGCAAAACTCGTACAGAAAATGGTGTAGCACAAATCATGTATTCTGCTGAATCATTCACTGTCGATCCAGTTACCAAACGTCCTAAGAGACAAAGTTATGGAGAATTTGCTACAGAAGAAAAGGCAAAGGCTGCATTACCACAATGGGAACCATTGATTTGGGAGTGTTCTGTATTGGAATACTTAGATCTCGTACGCCATGATAGTGGTTTAGCTAATCTTTGTTCAATGTACAAACCTATGAACGGTGTTGAATTCGCAGAAAATGCTGGCCAACAATTTACAAACGCTATTACTGAAGTATTTGGATTTAAACCTACACTCTCCCAAGAATTAGACATTGCTAAGTTGTTGGGTCTCTGGTTAGTTGCTGGCGGTAAGATTTTGAAAGACGGACCTGTTACCGCTGAAATGCCTAGCCAAAGAGCTGTCATTGACTTCTTACATTCTTGTGCCAATGTAATGAACACCACCTGTGAACGAATCTTAGATGAATCAAACACTAGAGGAAATGAAATTTTCGGTTTCAAGTTTGGTGATTCATTTGAACAACTTTTGAAAGCATTTGGTGTAGCAGAAAATAAGAGCATTCCTAATGCCATTATGCCTACCTCATTAAACCATAGAAAAGCATTCCTTGCAGGTGTTGTTGATGGTAATGCCAATCTTGAAGTTAGCTCCATCAACAATAATGGACTTGTGACAGCAGAATACTGGGAAATTAGCAGTGAACATGAAGATATTTTGTTGCAACTTCGTAGACTTGCTCGTTCTGTTGGGCTCCATGTTGGTGCTATTGACAAGAAGACATTTGGCTATAGAATCCATATTTCAGGTGAGATGATGCGCACTCTTAACCCATATATTTCTCTCGACTACAAGAAGTCTGTACCTCATGAAGCAGAACCTTGGAAGCAACTCTGCGACAACTCATGGACTTTCTATATTGAAGAAATTGGCCACGGAGAATACTTTGGTTTCACTTTGGATGGCAACTCAAGATTGTTGCTTGGTGATTACACCGTTTCCCATAATACTAAATTATTAGATAAGATTCGACAAACTAATGTGCAAGAAGGTGAAGCTGGTGGTATTACACAACAAATTGGTGCTACTTTCTTCCCTGCTGACACAATTGAAAAGAAGACAGCAGTTCTTGGTGATAAGCGTGTCGATAAACTTAAGGTTCCTGGTATTTTAGTTATTGATACACCTGGTCACGAATCTTTCACCAATTTGAGAAGTAGAGGTAGTTCTCTTTGTAACATTGCTATTTTGGTCGTTGATATCATGCACGGTATTGAACCTCAAACACGTGAATCTATTCGTTTACTTCGTGATCGTCGTACTCCTTTCATTGTTGCTTTGAACAAGATCGATCGTCTTTTCGAATGGAAGGCAACTCCTAATAACTCTTTCCAAGATTCTCTTGCCAAACAAAAACCTTCTGTTAAACAAGAATTTGAAAAGCGTGTGGCTGACACTATTCTTGCCTTTGCTGAAAATGGTCTTAATGCTGAACTTTACTACAAGAACAAGAATTTCGCTAAATATGTTTCATTGGTTCCTACCTCTGCTCACACTGGTGAAGGTATTCCTGATTTGCTTAACTTGCTTATTCACTTAACACAGACACGTATGAGTGAAAAATTGATGTATATTACTGAACTTGAATGTACTGTTCTCGAAGTTAAGGTGATTGAAGGTTTGGGTACAACTATTGATGTTGTTCTTGTCAATGGTTGGTTACACGAAGGCGATCGTATCGTCGTCTGTGGTCTTAATGGACCTATTGTGACAACTGTCAGAGCTTTATTGACACCACAGCCTATGCGTGAATTACGTATTAAATCCCAATATATTCATCATAAATCTGTCAAGGCTGCTTTGGGTATTAAGATTGCTGCTCCTGAACTTGAAAAGGCAATTGCTGGTTCACGTCTTTTGGTTGCAGGACCTGATGATGATATTGAAGACTTGAAGGAGGAAGTAATGTCTGATTTGACAGATTTGATGACTTCTATCGATCGTACTGGTCACGGTGTCTGGGTTCAAGCTTCTACTTTGGGTGCCCTTGAAGCTCTCTTAGAGTTCTTGAGAACATCCAAGATTCCAGTCGCAGGTATCAATATTGGTCCTGTTCACAGAAAGGATGTCGTTAAGGCTAGTGTGATGTTGGATAAAGCAAGAGAATTTGCTGTCATGCTTTGTTTCGATGTCAAGGTTGATAAAGAAGCTGAAGATTTGGCCGAAGAATTGGGTATGCGTATCTTTACTGCAGATATTATTTATCACTTGTTTGATCGCTTCCAAGAATATCATGCTTCTATTATTGAACAAAAACGTAAAGATCAAGCTGGTGAGGCTGTGTTCCCTTGTGTCTTGAGAATGATTCCTCGTGCTATTATTAACAAGAAGGATCCCATTATTATTGGTGTTGATGTTGTTGAAGGTACTCTTCGTTTGGGCACACCTATTTGTGTTGTCAAGACCAATCCTGAAACTCAAGCTCGCGAAGTGATTACACTTGGTAAGGTTACATCAATGGAACAAAACCATAAACCTTTAGAAATAGTGAAAAAGGGTGGAGCTGGTGCAGGTGTTGCAGTTAAGATTGAATGTGCTTCTTATGAAACTCCAAAGACATATGGACGTCACTTTGAAGATACCGATGAATTTTATTCTAGAATTACACGTCAATCTATTGATATTATGAAAGAATCTTTCCGTGATGATTTATCAAAGGAAGAATGGGGTCTTATTGTTAAGCTTAAAAAGATTTTGGGTGTAGATTAAATAACATTTATTATTTGTGTAAAATTTTAAATAAAATAATATTTTAAGCATAGGCATATAAGCATAAACATAAACATAAACATAAAAAAAAAAAAAGGTCTGACATTTAAATTAAGGAGAAGGGGGAGAATAAAATACATATTTTTATTCAAAACAATATTTTTTGTTTCGAAAGTTATACAAAAAAGAAATGGTAAATGATAGTCAAGAATTAAGTTAATGAAAAAAAAAAAAAAGAAAAGAAAAATATATTTATTGAATTGAATGAATAGCCACAAGAGGATCAACTTAATCTATTGCAACATTCTGCTAGTATTTCTGCTGACCAAGATTTAGAATCAGGCTTTACATCCTCTCAACCTGTAAATGGCAATTTAAATAATACTATAAATAATGCATCTTTCGAACAGACTGGATCAACAAATAAAATTAGAGACTATTTTCAACAGTCAAGGTAAGCAATTGTATCCTGAGAAAAAAAAATTATTAGATAGTAACCACATGATGTAAAGTCATCCTATTGCAGCTTTTTTCTTCTTGGCTTTTAGACTAGGCGCATTATTGACATATTTATTAGGCTCCATTTTTACAGAGAATTTTACCTTTGTGTTTGTTATTACCATCTTACTTTTGGCTTTTGACTTTTGGACAGTAAAGAACATCTCAGGTCGATTATTAGTGGGGCTTCGATGGTGGAATGAAATTCAACCTGATGGATCCAATAAATGGGTATTCGAAAGTGCTAATGTAAAGTATATACAAATGTATATAAATGTATATAAATATACACATATATGTATGTGTGTGTGTATTATGTCTTAAGCTAAACATTTTCCTCCTTTTTTTTTTTTTTTTTTTATTAATAGCCTAGTAGAATTAACAATGCTGCAGATACGCGCTTGTTTTGGTGGACATTATATGGTACACCAGCTCTTTGGGCATTATTTGCCTTATCTTGTATCATTACACTTAAATTCTCTTGGCTAATCATTGTAGGCGTTGCATTGGCGTTAAATATGGCTAATGTGTATGGTTACACACAATGCGATAAAGATGCAAAGAAAAGATGGGCAACAGGTATGGCTGCTCGTTCTGCTTTAGGTTCTTTAGGTAGTGGTGCAACTGGTTTAATAGGACAGGCTTTATCAAGTGGGATTGGTAAAGTTTTTAGCTCAAGATAATATATATTTATATACATGTATGTGTATATGTATACATTACATACATAATAAAACGTATCAATTTATTTTATCTTATTATATTTTATTTTATTTTATATAATATCTAACAAATACATATATAAGAAATGTATCAAACCCATTCTCTTCAATCTCTTCGGGCAATTGGTTTGGCACGGTTATCAGCAAATAAAAACTTTGTTATCTTCTCAATACCATAAGCAATACCAAAGTCAAGAATCATACAGAGCGTTAACTTATAACGGAACTAAAATTGTATTCAATGTTAGTAAAAATAAAATAAAATAAAAACAAAGATAGGAACACTTACCGTTCCAGGGAATCGAACAAGCTTAAGTTGATCATTGACCTCTGGCCATAACTCAGTAGCACCAGCTAAGGCAACACCACCGACAGACATTAAACCATAATATAAGGCCTTATTATCTTGAATACGTTCACGGAAAGGATAACCTTGATAGTTGATAGCAAAGGTAGATACTTGCATAGATAATTGAATAAGATAAACAGCACTATTTAATAAACTAGGCTCAAATTCACCCTCCAAATCAACTTCCTTTGGTCTAATATATAACGAAATAGTTAGCAATCTATACATAAATCATATTTTCACTAATACTTTACGGTTCAAGAGATTTAGCAAGACCATTAATATAAATCAAAGCAATAATATGAATAGCGAATTGTCCCATGACAGATAGAATAATGTAAGGATTAAAGATGTTTGGCTGAGGGCGTTCTTTAGATAATTTCTGGAGTGGTTTACCTCGAGAAATACAAAGGAAACAAACAGCCATTAACATACCAGAAATCGTCACTTGAAGATCGCCAAATTTAATACCATCCAGATACAAAACAGATAAACTATAAGCAGAAATTAAACAATTTAAAGCTAGAATTTTGTACATTTGAATTGTTGCTACAAGTGTACAACGACCTTGACGAATGATGTTGTTGACTAATATACAAATAAATAAATTAGCTTAAAACACAATTTTATAAACATATATCCATATATACTTTACTTGAAGTCACATTACGAAGTTTAGAAGTGAAAGGTGCAGCAACTGAAGCATCACCGAATTTAATAGTAGGGGGCTCTTCCATATCCATACCTTCCAACATCTTTTGTGTAGCTTCTTCTATCTTTTTCTTTTGCTCCAATTGTCTTCTTTGAGCAGGTGTTAAATTCTGATTCTGTTGTTGAGCAGATTGAGCAACGAATTCAGGATAAAGATGAGCAATAGCAGGAGGAGGTGGAGGAGGTGGCTGATTAAAACGAGCAGAAATACTCTTTTGTTGTTCATACATGGCCTTCATACGTTCAATACGTTGACGTTCAGCGATCTTTTGGAGATCTTCAGGAGTTCCATCCAAAAGTGCCACACCAACATGTGCTTGCTTCAAGGCGCCAACATCATTTGTACCATCACCAGCCATTAATGTAGTATAGCCTAAATTTTTTAATCCTGTCAAAAGATATTCCTTTTGAGAAGGAGATACACGTGCATAAACCCAAGTGTGCTCAAGGATTTTGTTCATATTTTCCTTATGAAGCATAAATTGACTCATGGCAAAACCGGTTAAACAAATATCATACTTATCCAAAAGGGCTTGATCCAAAGGCTCAGAAGGATCAAATTCAACACGATAAGATTCATCTACACTGTGGAATACAATTTGATTGTCCTTACGTGTTTCGTCTCTATCTACAATCAAAACATCACGTTCAATAATGCCTACTTCACGAGCTACTGCACAGGCGGTCAATGGATTGTCACCAGTAATCATAATACATCTGTGTGAAGATTCATTTAATTCCTTTAAGGCAGCAATAGCATCTTCCTTCAAAGGACAGGTAAAGACAATAAAACCGGCAAAAGTAAGGTCACATTCAACTGACTCACGAGGCAGGTCATTAATTTGGTTAGCAGTTAACTGATGATCCAACATTTTATAGCCAAGTGCCAAAACTCTGCTACCTTTACGCGTAAAATGACGATAAGTTTCAACATAATCTTTAGGAATATGTGTATACATCGTCTTGAGCGTTTCAGGAGCGCCTTTGACGGCAATAAAGGTCTTTTGTCCATTTATAGAGGGATGTGTTAAAGTTGAAACGGAAGATTGACGTTTCAAAGCTGAAGAGAATTGATAACGACGACGAATATGTAAATTATGACTACGCTTTTCTCCTTTAGGAGTAACAACATCATTAGATCCTAATTCCCAATTAAGAGCTTTAAGGGTTTCCTTTTCCATAGGATCGCCTACAACTCCATCTTCAAGTTGAACTAAAGCATGCGCACTGGCTAAAACCCACTTGGTAAAATCAGGAACCTCAGTGGCTTTTGAGAGTTCGGTTAAAGGTTTGCTTTTACTATTATTTCCAAAAAAAAAAAAAAAAAAATGCATGAATAAAATAATTAATAAGATTCATATAATATATATGTATGTACTCAACTTACTCAGCATAAGCAACGCCTTCAAAAACGAGATCTTCACCAGTTAAAGTACCTGTCTTATCAAAACAACAAACGTCAACACGACCAGCATAAGGAATACGGAAGGGTTCAGTACAATAGATAGCAAACTTAGAAAGAGCAACTAAACTGCTGTTAACGGCTAAACTCAACTCCATAGGTAATTCAGGAGGTACAACAGATGTAATAATCAAAATACAATCCAATAAAAGTTTTGACTTTTTACGATCATTCTTAACACCTTCTTCCCATACATAGGCAGAAGCAGCAATAGCAAATATCAATAAGAAGAGAATAAATAATAAGGCTTCAAAATTATTAGCAGAAACACGTTCAGTTGAAAAAATCATAGTACGAACTAGTTCACCTTGGGATGTTCCAAAACCAGTACGAGCAACAACACAAACACAACCCTCATCTGGTGGAGCCTCATGTTTAGGTGGAGTGACCTGAAGTACCTTCGTACCACCATAAAGCACATTTAATCGATCTGCAGAAACCAAATCAAATTCCTCCTCAGGGCTTCTAAGAGCAACAGATTCTTTTAATAAAGGTGTTGATTCACCAGATAACATGGCTTCATTTACAATACAGGAGCCATCTGCAATAACCAAATCACAAGGAACACCTTGTTCTTCTTTAGTACGAGTGATAGAAACAACATCACCAGGTAATAATTCGTCACTTTGAATTTCGATCCATTTCTTTTCTCTTTTAACATAGATAGGATATGGCTTTTGATTCATACCACGGAATTCACCAATAGTGCGAAGACGTTGATAAACGACTGTACACTCAAACACAACCAACATAAAAAGAGTAAATAGAGAATAGTACCAATATTCATCTAAACACCAAAGCCCAACACAAAATATTTGAAAAACAAAAAAAGGAGCAACAGCGTGTTCCTTGAATAGTTCTATAAATGTAGGTAAAGGAATATCAAATCTATAATAAAAAGAATAAATTAAATTTCTACTTTTCTACGCTTAAGAATCTAACTATTTTACTTATTCATGCCATAAGAATGACTAAGAGATTCGATTTCTTTCTTAGTAGTTAAACCCTTTGTACTTTGATAAAAACCGACAATACGATTAACATCAGAGGGATAAAGAAGTTGTTGAAATTGTTTTTTGTCAGGATTCCAGATAAATTTCTTTTGTTGGAATAGAAAAGAGATTTCATCCTCATTTGTGTCAATGTTCTAAATAAATAAATAAGTTAATGAACATGAGAATACAAAAGTTATTTTAACATTACCTTGCTATGTTCAAGTGGAATAAGTGTACCTTTTCCTTGGTAACGGAAAGGAACAATCTTAATGATGGTAGCTTTGTGTACATTAGGTTCCTAAGTTAAAAGAAAAAAAAAAAGTTAAAAAAAAAAACTGTCATGTATTCCATGTAGAAATTAATTTACCTTGACACAAGTGAAAAGGGCTTTTATATTAACACTCCATTGACATGCTAAAAATGTTAAAACATGTAAAGTAAGGATACTACCAAGTGAAACAAAAGTCCATTCTTCAGATCCAAGATAAACATCATATTTAAAGAAGTATACATAAATAAAAACAGGGTAAAACATGCTGACAAACGGCCAAACATACATGTGCCAATGTTTAGGCAATGGTCTCAACAAAGCAGCCGAAGCAACTCGTTCCGATTGAACAAGTGTTTGCGTCCTATAAATAGTGATTTAATTTTCTTGAAGTTTGATAATAATAATAAAAAAAACTTACATTATTGAGCAATTGAACGATTTCGTTTGGTTTGATGAAAGAGATGTATTATATGATAAAAACCAAACTAAATAACCGCGTAGTATACACGGCAACAGCGTCAATTATTTGTTTTGTGTAATCGGAAAAAAAGACAGAAAGCAAAATATAATTGGAGTTTAATTGCGTAGTTTAAAATGATATACGTATATGAATATTCATATTTTTTGTAGGAACTCTATGAAGATAACAACAGTACGATTAAAGACTTATTTTATTTATAACAAAAATTTAAAACCCCAAGTGAGCACATAATACTGGTGTATTGAATTTCCCGGGTCAGTTCGAGAAAGGATAAAAGTGTACTAAAAAAAACCTTTTGATAGGCAAAAGGGTAAAAAAGAAAGAGAAGGGAAGAGGAAAAACAAGGTATATCAACAAATACTAGATTCGAAGTTACGTAACCATATTACAAGTTTTGTACCAAGAGGGGAGAGAGAAGTTTCTGGAGAAAGTTCACTATGATGAAGGTAGTCAAGCTCGAAAAGTAGAAGGCACATAACAGGCCAATGAATCGTCCAGGCGGAAAAGACAGATGTGTTGAGAGTTGATGAGATTGGCGGCCAGCACTTTTGTTTATTTGGCAGCTTATTCAAGAGGAAGGACAAAGGGTCGGGTTCGATCAAAGGCGTTTGTAATCGTCGATGCAAATGTAGGCATCATATAGCATGAGATCTTGGAACATGGCATTAGGATAATAGATGCAGGGTTTAGGGACACCACCAGGTAACCAACCTAGACGCCAGCAAACTATCCGGCTGCGTTCTGCGTTTGATATAGGTAACCAGAGGATAGGATCGATACCCAGGGTAGGGCGGCAGGCAGACAAGAGAACATAATTGTTACTGTTTCATCGATCACCAAGATTATCTTCCAGGTGTGTTTTACAGATACCAGCATTTTTTTTTTTTCAATATAAGCTTGAACAAGTCTATATCTTACATTTTAAAATAAATCCCCTTATTTGTATTCGTAGTGTCCAATAATCTGTCATTATTGTCGATTCTTGTACCCAAAGTCTCAGTAAGTCCTTCAATGAAAACACCATCTTGTTCTTCAAATTTCCTCCACTTAAAAAAAGGTTTCTGCCATCTATTTTCTCAGGACGTGTCATGATTGTAAGATTTGTAACTTAATTCAATAAGATAAATAGTTAAACTAAAACATATAGTGCATTTGTATGATAATTCTGTCTATGGACATATTAAGTATATTTACTTATATGTAAAAAAAAATAAATTTATAAGCTAAACTGGGGTAATATAAACACGTGTAATAATTGATTTCACTCAGAGTACACGTATTAGTTATTAAAAGATAAATATGTACATACAAAAGACATGGATATATGTCTATAATGATTCTTGATACTATAATCATTCTCTGTCTATCATTATATTATCAAATACAATTTGTTATATTATTATTCATTACCTTTATTCACAAAATGTATAAATATTTTAACATTGTCTACCTTTATTTTGTATTAATCCTTAACTCATCTTTATCTTAATAAAACTTATTAACAACTCTCAATGTACTTCTTCTGTCTAATTCATTTTATTTCTCATTTCTATTTTATTATACTCTTACCTGTAAATCACAACACGAATGAGCCAAACCGAAAGCCCTCATAACTTCAGGAGGAGTACAAAAAATATCTGATTCATTTTTATATATATATATATATATTTCGACAAGTATCATCAAGCAACAAGACATGATGCAGTGGAGAGTTTGATGGAAGCATTCGAGAATTTCAGCTTGAAAGAAATTTCTGTTCGAAACTTCATTCTCCATGAATGCAACCTGATTGTTAAGAGAGCACCCTTGCAACCTTTTGGCAAGAAATAGCACTGATAATCTTGAAGAGCGCTATTATTGTGTTAAAAAATGAGAGTTATAACAGCTACGGATATTATTTCAGTTGAAATCTGGGAATCTTTAAAGCCCAAGAGAGTAAAGGTCGATGGAAATAGGAAGAGAAAGAAGCCTTTAGCAAAAAAAAAAAAAAAAAAAAAAAAGCGTTGCATAAGGAAACTTTCACCTAGATATTACATGATGTTCATCTTTAAGACGTTAGATAAAATTGACAAGTTTCCTGAAATGAGAAATTTCTATATCGTTATGAACAATGCATTAATCCATACTTAATAGGATATAACGAGCTTGATCGAGACTAGAAGCTATAGAGCTATATACCTCCCTCCCTATTCTCCTGAGCTCAAACCGATTGAAAACTTCTGATCACTCGTCAAAAAAAAAAAAATACTTCAATAAACAACCATTTTGGTGAGTCTTTGGTCAATTCAAGTCTTCAATAAACTTACAAAAGTTGATTATGACTAAACCGGACTTTAAGTAATGAAAAGGCGAATTTGAACTATTTACAAAAGTGAATTCGGTTCATTGGAAAACGAACTTTTGGGGGGGTGAAGTTACTGTAAATATATAAAAAACCCCAACATTAGTCACAGAATACATGAAAATTACCCGGGTCAAATCATTAATTACAATAGAATTTAACAAGATAAATGAAGCAAAAAAATACTTACAATAGAAAGAGACAATCAATTCAATCTGATAATAAAAGAAATAAACTTTTCCAAACTTTGTCAAACATTGTACTTTGTACTTATATATATGGGATCTGGGTTTAGACGTCGTAAGCACTACAGACATTGTGAGTATGATAAGTAACAAAAGAACATGGATCCTCCTTGTATCTTTTCTACCAACTGAAAGTAATATTTTTTTTTTTCGTTCAAAAACACTTGGACATAAATAACTATATAATTAAGAATATATAGTACACATATTATAATATTAGATTAGAAGTAGTAGTCAATAGGAGCAAATAACTTAGCTTTAAATAATCCCTATTAAGTTATTTTTTTTTGTAGATTAAATATGGAAACTGTATAGAAGTAATAGTTTAATACATTTCTATTCTATCATATAATATAGTTTCTATAACAAAGAATACCAGATGTAGTCTATCATAAGTTTTAGCAATTATAGTAGGTTAGAGCCTCAGCTATAAATGTAGGAAATACAATATATCTAATAATATAAATGCTGTATATAGTATACACCAATTTAGATTGTATGTATTTTATATATTCTAGTAAATATCATTTATTTCTCTTAGTAACGCACATAAGCATTTATTATATGAATCATCTAAAGTATAATTTTGGTAAAAACACGTCCTGAAACTTAAAAAAAAAAAAAAAAAAAAAAAAAAAAAAAAAAAAAAAAACGCGGCTGTTAATGTTTTTCATTTTTATTCTCCAATTTAAAAGCTTATTATTTTAGTCATTTTTACTTCTTTACATATAATAATGGTAATCAAAAACGGTTTAAAATGTCCAAATTGTTATGCTGAATCTAGACAAGAATATGATACAAAAGAAAATGTAGTGTAAGTATACATGAGCTATGTTCTTTTTATTTATTTATTTATTTATTTATTTATTGATTAACTGTTTGACTAATTATTTTTATTATTTTTTTATATATACAAATGAACAGTAATTGTAGAAAATGTGATACTGTTTATTTATATAATTCATCAAATAAGCCAAAATACCAAGCATTCTCCGATGTGAGTGATGATGAAGTTACTGATCATTCAGATGATTATCAACCTTCCGAGACATCCGATCTAGATGATTTTTTCGATGACCAAAGTAACAAAAATAAAGGAAAACAACATCAAAGCCATCTTTTTTTTTCTGATGTTGATTCAGATGATTCAAGAATGCCTAGTTGTAGTAAAAATATAAAGCCCAAAAAAGAAAATTATCAACTAGTTCTAATGAACTCATTGATGATAAGAAACAAAAATCCAATAAAGAAAAGCATAAAAGCAATATTCCTAAACTTAAATTTTCCGATTCAGAAGCTGAATTGATGAGTGAAGGAGAACTTAAAATACCAACCATATTTTCTGATGATTTCTTGACAAGTCCATCATCAACAATCGAACCTAAAATAGAAACAGTTACTAATAATGATGTCTTAAAATTAGAATTTTCTGAAATGGAAGATGAATCTGATTTTGAAGAAGTCAGTAAGAAACCAAAACCAGAGACAAAGCCAAAGAAGCCAAAGTCAAGAAAGAGCCATAAGAACGATATTAGTGACTATATTGATAGTAGCAGCGACTCTGAAACAGAAAAGTTAAAGATGTTTGATCCTAAACGAAAAAAGCAAAAAAGACACTCTACCAGAGTTAGTGGAAATATTAACTCTATTGGTAGATATAATCCATATATTGTATTCAATCAAATTACTAGAAAGAAAATAGCTGAGACTAACCCATCTGCTAATTCACTTGAAATAAGTGCCTTAGTAGCAAAAGCGTGGAACACGTTGGGTGAGGTATACATAAAAAATCATTTAGCAATAAAATTATGATAGGGAATACATATATATATATATCATACTTTAATAATATAGGAGCAAAAGAAAAAGTTTAAAGAAGACTTACAAACAAAAAAAGATGAAATAAACGCTATGAGAAAGATACGAAAGAAAAGACCAGCAGGAAATGGATATCTTTTATTCTCAAAAGAGGAATTACCGAAAGTTAGAGCAGAACACCCTGATATTAGTTCAATAAACGATCTTAGTTCAATTGTTGGTATTCGTTGGAAAGGCCTTGATCAAGTAAATATGACAATTCTTTATATGTGTATTTTACTTAATTTTCATTTTATTATTAGGCAGAAAGAGATCGATATACTGCAATTGCTAAGAAAGAGCGAGATGAATGGATAAAAAATTATCCGGACGAGTATCAACAATACATGGATAAGATGGTTAATAAAATAAAAGCCACAAAACGTAAACAAAAAGAACAAGAAAAAAATCAGAAACTCAAGTAGAGATCTTTTTTTTTTTTTATATGTGCATATACATACATACATGAAATCTTTAATTACATTTACTGCATATAATATAGAAATACCAATTATTAATATTTATTATTGAAATAAATGAACAACTATATTATACGTGTATGTATATTTCTATTAAATAGTTATCATAAAGTAAAAGGAAGTTTCTCTTTGTAGAAATAAAGAAGATATTTATAAAGGTGAAGCATAATGCTTATGTAAGATTTCGTGAAATTTATTATTTAATATCCAATCAAAACATTTGGTAATAAACTCCTGATAAGATTTATTGTATATTGCTAATTTTTAAACTTTTTTATTTCTTTTTAATCTCTTTCTCTTTTTTTTTTACTTTTTTTTTTCCTTTTTCTTTTTTTTCTTTTTTTTTCTCATTGAATATAACCTTGCACATTGCATAGATCCCATGCCATGTTTCGACATAAATATTATACCTTTATATTATTAGTATTCATTTCAACTAGTCAATCACAATCAGTAACTGGATTAGGCGCTATTCAAACAAAAATACCTTGGAGAGCAGGACATGCCTCAGGTAAAAAAAAAGAAAAAAAAGAAAAAAGAAAAAAGAAAAAAAACACAATAAAATAATAATGAGTTTTTTTTTTTTTTATTTCTGTCTTTAATTAAAAATTTCCTTTTTTTAGTGTATACACATCCTTATGTAATATTATATGGAGGTTCAAAAGATATAAATGCAACTAATATAGCATCAGCGTCATTAACGGGCTCAAATGATGTATGGGTATGGGATAGTCGCAATGGTTCGTGGTATCAACCAACAATTCAGGTACAAGGCGGAGTTGCAATGCTACCTCAAATCTACTTCAAGGCTATTCCGTTGCCTAGTGAAGGTCAGCTTATGGCACTTATTAGTAATACTTCTTCAACAACAAATATGATACAGAAACTAGATATCAATAGCTGGTCATGGTCGTTTCCAACATCAAGTAAGAAAAAAAAAAGAACCCTCCCCCCCCTCAATTCTTTACGCTACTAATATATATTCTGTATGTTAGATATTCAATCTTCAGTTCGTAATGTAGGATATTCAATGACGATAATTAATAATACAATATATACATATGGTGGAATATCTGCAGGCGCAAAAGGTTTCCCTATAATGAATGCTCTTCAAAATTCATTATCAACAATAGATGCTAATAGTTACCAATGGTCAACTGAAGCTAATGGGTTAGGTTTAGCAGATCATACTACTTGCTATTTAAAGGTTTGCAATTGTTTGATTACATTTGGTGGAACATTAACAGGAAATCCAACCGAAGTAACAGATGTAAAATATTTATAATATTTGATATGTACACCATCACACAAAATATATTTATTATTATACTACCCCCCACACACACACACCTTTTTTTTTTCTGGTAGGCTATCAGTATATATGATTTAAGTAAGAAAGTATGGAATGTACAAGGTGCTCATTTGGCTCCAGGATCATCTATCCCTAGTGCAAGAAGATTACATACAGCAAATTGCTTTGATGATTTTATGGTAGTGTACGGTGGGGGAACAAATCAGCCGGTAGATACAGATGTCTGGGTCCTAAATGCTACATCATATCCTGTTATGTCATGGCAAAAAAAGACAATAGCAAATCAGAGTGAAAGTCCAAGTTTACGTATGGGTAATAGCCATTTTTTATATTTGTAATTTATTTAAATTTATAAATATATATATGTATGTATATATCTACGTGTATGCGTCATTTTATTATACTTATAGGACATTCGGCCGTATTAGATGAAACGAATAAAAGGATATATATATTCGGTGGATGGGGTGTTAGTGCAACAAATGATTCCAATATGTACGTATTAGATATCAATAAATGGAGTTGGACTCGAGTAGCAACTACAGGATATTCATTAGATACAATACCTTCAATAAATGGAACGATTCCAATTAAAAAAAATGACTCTAATACAAGCCTAAGCCCAGGAGCAATTGCAGGTGCGGTTATTGGTGGTGTAGTGGGTGCTCTTATATTAGCAGCTGCAGCATTTTTCATTATACGTAAACGAAGAAGACACCATCAACAAAATGAAAAACATGATACTATGATCATTGGTGAGAATATATCAGAAAACCTTCATCATCGCCACAATAATGAAGATTCATTTTATTATAGCCCTAATGGATTTTATAATACAAATGATGATGATAATAATAATAATAATGGCGAAGTATATTATACTGATAACAATGCAGTCAGAAAAAGAATTTCAAAGGCTTGGACTGGTCCCAATCCAAGCAGTACACAACATTCATTGACAACTACAAGACGCTCCGAAATTGGTGATTATACTGATCGAGTTGTAACAGGCGTATTAGAAGCTTTAGATGATAGTGGCTCAAACACGATTAGCAATAATAATAAAAGAGACTCAAAAGTTCTCCTTGTTCATAATAATAGTAGTGAAACAAATGGGATAGGTCAAGTACCAAATGAAGTTATTGTGCAGAAGCCAAATGAGTTTTCTATTCCAGCTACAAGGCATCCATATATCCATGTAAATGATGAAGAGATAAATAGTCCTGTACCAATAAGTCCAAACGTATTAAGGCCAAATGGAGGTGGTAGTAGTATGGTCAATCATACAGGCCACAGTCAATATTATGGAGAAGATGGTAATAATAGTAGCAGTAGTAATAGACAACAGACAACAAGAAATACAGCTGTTCCCATTACTCATGCAAGGATAGGCAATCCAACAGCTAGAGAGGAACTTGCTCATAATGAAGATGAAGCTGGCACAAATCGTTGGGCTTCATTATCTTCTTCTATTTATAATCGTCCTATGACAAGTGAAAATATTACCTCTCCAGTTCAATATATTTTAAATAACTCATCTCATCAGGTCTTAAGTGCAGCCACATCTACTCAAACTTGGGATACAACAAAGGATTCACAACAAAAAAGACTTGTTAATCATCATCTTCATAACCAGCAACAATATCCATCTTCTACTATAGATATGCCTATTGCAGAGATCATAACGCCTCCTACAACCATTACCACAGATAGTAGTAAATCAAATAGCAGAAATACAAATGAATTACAGTCCTATAGCGATCATAATAGCATCAACAGCCATAGTATACAACCCCAATTTAATATTTATAATACAGTTAGCCCCTTAGACGCACTTGCTTCACTTGGACAGCAACAATACACTGAGAGTAATGGTCAACAGCAACAGCAAGAACAACAGCAAGAACAACAGCAAGAACAACAAGAAAAAGAAAGTAGTCATTCTGATAGTTGTAATGCTTCATTTACTATAGTGACAGCACTGCAAGAGTCAATTATTCCTTCTGGTAAGAGAGCTCAAGAAACAACAACATCTGCAGCAACGTCAACACAAGAAATCCAAAATCAACAACAGCAGCATAAATACTTTCAACAGTTAAATCCGCTTATTACAGTACTCCCTCATCGCTATAAATTAGATAAAACTAAAATACCTATCATAGGTCCTTCTAATAGTATCTTATTTGCTCTTAAAAAGGATCAACAAACAGTAGCAATAAAATCATTTGGAAGACGTGAAGCATGGGAACGCGAATGTCGAACCTTGATCAAGTTGAAGTCAGACTGGATTGTTGAAATTTTAGAAGTTTTAACAATTCAAGGCGATGATAACTCACCGTCTACTACAGCATCTATATCTACTGCAGAGACTTCATTATTAGATCATAAAAGAGGTGCACATGATCCTATTACTACTCATCGTAATAGTGATACAGATGATGAAAGGGACATCCAATATGTGACTGTGATGGAAAGATTAGATGAAACGCTAAATATATACATTCATAAGCAGTCCTCTGATAAACAGAGTAATAATAACATTGCCCGAGATATATTAAAATGTCTTTCATGGTGTCATAGTAAAGGTATTGCATTCTGTGATTTGAAACCGAGTAATATTATGCATCGATATGGTGAACGATGGAAATTGATCGATTTTGAAGCAAGTCGTACAATTAATGAAGAATGCGTAGGTGTTATTACGCCAAGATATTGTGCACCTGAAGTAGCACGTGCGACTACATATGGATTAGAAGGCGCAAATGGGGTTGTGGCTACTGCTAGTGTAGATCTATGGTCACTAGGCTGTATTATTTATGTAAGTAAAAAATAAATAAATAAATAAACGATAGTCATTAACAGAATATTCTATAGGAACTGGAAACCAAGAAGGCCTTGTTTCCTAATAACATTAAAGATGAAACAATTCTTCACTTTATATCACATCCTTCACCTTCAACGCCCATTTTAAATAATGGACTTCGATGGAATGAAAACAAAGAACTAGAGATACCTCAACTAGAAAGACTCATACCTAATCCACATACAAGACAGCTGGTTCGAACATTATTAAGTCGAGATCCTAATAAACGAGGATCTGCTTCTCAACTACTGGTATAATATTGTATACAATTTATTCATCTCTTACTAATATTTACTTTAATAATAGGCTGATCCATATTTCACTTAAATAAATATATACGTAAAGCATTTCCCCCCTTTCTTTAAATCATTATATTCAAGCATAATACTTTTCTTTTTTTTTTGTCTCACTTATTTATTTAATTAGTCTGAAAACTTTGCTTTACTAAAATCTAATTCAGGATGTTGTTTCTTGAAATTTTCAAACATTTGTTGTTTCTTTAATGCATCACTGTCAGGTTTACCCATTGCCTTTTGGCGTTGATCGAACTATTATTACAAAAACAAAGTTAATTAATAATTCACAATAATAATAATGATAATTAATAAAAAAAAAAAAAAAAGCAACTTGCCATCATTTTTTCAACCATTGCCCGTGTCTCTCCATCTAAATCGCTTAATTTGGAATTTTCAGGTTGAATCTTTTGAGTATTAATTTTAGGTGCACCTTTAATTACACTATCCCACCACTGCATTTGATTAACTTTTTCTAAATGAATCAAAACTTCTTTTTGATCATCCACAGACCAAGTACTATCATCAACCTTAATTGTTTGACTTAATTCACCCTATATAATGAATTAATATATCTATTACGAAAAAAAAAAAAAAAAAAAAAAAAAAAAAAGTGTACACTTTTTCGCTTACATCAATAAAGGCCGTTTGACCTTTAAGCGCAACCTTAAGCTTATCTTTCTTTAAAACAATGTCTAAATCACGAGCACGTGTTCCTTTAGGTACTGAAATGGTAATATCAACATCTTGTAATGTTTGTTTCCAACTAGTAGAAAAAAAAAAAAAAAAGAAAGAAATTATTTAAAAAAGAAAATAATAATGTAAATTCTGACTTACGTGTAGGGCAACTTGGCTTGTTCCTCTTCTTCCTTTTGCTTTTCAAGTTTTTCTTGAGCTTCTTTGGCTGCACGTTCAGCAGGAGATAAGCCTTCAACAGGTTCGTCAGACATAGTTTTTTTTTTTTTTTGTTAAAAAAAAATTGAATCTTCTAGAAGAAAAATAAAATTTCTCAAAATAATAATGTAATAGTTTTTTTTTTTTTTTTTTTTTTTTTTTTTTTTTTTTTTTTTTTTTTTTAAACATTCATGCCACCATTGCCGAGCATCAATTTCTAAAAAAGGAAAACCATTATTTCATTTTATCTAAAAATGAATAATCTTTTTTTTTTTTACAACTTTCCTTTTTTTTCTTTCTTTATCTGTTATATTATGTTCTTTGAAGCCACTTATGTACCTTCACCACCTTTATCTGTTGCTAGTATAGGTATAAAAGATCAATATAAAAATAACTGACTGCCTATATTTAAATATTGTATAGATGACAATGACATTCCGAGTATAAATGCTGAGTTACCGACGATGAATGACAACAGTGGTAAACAATCTATTGAATCTGATATTGAATCTGATTCAGATAAGCCAGTGGATCATGTTATATTTGTAATTCACGTAAGTTATAAACTGACCAACATTGTGTACTATTCAGTTACTTGACTATTTTTTTGTTTTGTTTTACATGTTTAGGGTATTGGACAGGTATGATGGATAACACGACTACCAATTTGCAAATAAATGACATGTATTCTTTCTTATTTTATTATATAGCAAACAGAACAATATGGTCACTTTTATGAACACAGTAAGAGATATATATATATATATAACAACTTATAGTTAGTTAAATAGATGAAATATATCTAAATAAATAAAAAAAAATTGTCTTTGTTAGTTGAAAATTTGCAAGAAACAACTAGACAAGTATTACAAGCCAAGATACCAGATCATAATGTACGCATTGAGCTTATACCCATTGAATGGCATCGACATATCCATGATCAAGTTGACCCTCTTCTTAACAAAATTACTTTGAAATCAATACCTACTATTAGACTTATCGAGAATGATTATCTTGCTGACGTTCTCTTTTATTTCTCTAAAGAGAGGGGCCAGACGATTGTTGACAATGTCACTCAATTATTTAATACGTCATATCATAACTTTATCTCTAAACATCCTGACTTTAAAGGGAAAATTATCATCCTGGGTTATTCCTTAGGTGGCATCATTACTTGGGATATTTTATCACACCAAAGAGAATTACAAACTAGGGAAGAAAAGGAAGCGTATAATAGCATGAACACCATCCAATTCTCAAAGTTGGATTTTAAGCCACATTATTTTTATGGATTAGGTTCACCTATTGGAGCAGTCTTGGTCTTTCGAGGTCAAGATCCAAAATATTATCATCCTGAATATGATATTCAATTTGAAAACATCTTTCATCCTTTTGACCCATTGGTATGTGGCTCATCAAGAATATATATATATATATATTTGTATATGTATACAGTCTACTAATAATAATAATAATAAAGGGTTATCGATTTGAACCTTTATTTAATGATTACTTTATAGATAAACCTGCTGTATTAATAGAAAGATCATTCCCAATAGGTCCCTCTTTCTCTTTTCCATCATTCCCCTCTACAGGTTTCTTTTCCTTTTTTTCAGGGAAACAACAAGAAAATAAGGCTGCAAAAACAATTTATAATGCTACTTCTGAAACTGCAGATAACCAAAAGGAACAAAAGACATCATCCTCTTTAGGATTTATGACTTCTTTATTTCAATACTTTTCGAAAGGGGGCGGTATTGTCGATTCTACTTCTTCAAAAGAACAAGAGTCAATTGTAGGTTCAGTAAATGCTGTTGCTGCTGCTGCTGCTGCCGATGATGATGATGACAATGATGATAAAAGTATAATTGCTGCTGCTGCTGCTGCTGCTGCCGTTGCAACAACATGTTGGGATCCAATACAGACTAGAGAACAATTGTTAGCATTACGTGATGACCTGGATAGAACACTAAAGAATCTGTCTATGAATGAAAAAAGAAAAAGACGACCAAAGACGATCAGGTCTAAAACGATTCATGCTTTAGAAGATGACTATTATAGCAGTAGCATATACTCTTCTTCGTTAGAACAAAACTCGGATGGTTCTGTTATGATGGATAAATTCATATCTAAAAATTGGCAAGAGAATGATCAGCAGCAGCAGCAGCAGCAGCAGCAGCAGCCAGCTACAAGATTAAAGCTTCGAAAGACAAAGACAACAGAACCAAGGATGGCAAGACATCATTTAGTAGAGATCTTAGGTATTGATGGTGTTTCTGTAGATGAACGAAGTCGAATAATAACAACCACATTGAATAAAGACAACAAAGAGCCTTTCCTAAAACCTAATAATCAAAAGTATGACTACTCTTTTGAAGGAAAGAAGAAGAAAGAAGAAGATGAATCCATGAAAGTTGAAGATCACTTGATAAATGAAAAATCAACAACACATCCTAATAATAATAATATTTGGTTAGATTTAGATAATGAGCTTAATAAACCAGGCCCTGCAATTACAAATCCAGGAGAGTCTAAAGCAGATGTAGCTCAAGATGCTACAGTTGTTGCTCATACAAACACAAAAGCTCAAGAGAAGGATAAACAAACAGATATTGAAGAAGAGATGGAGGTAAACAAGCTGCTACCAGGGAAAAGACGTATGGACTATGTTTTACAGCCTGAAAGTGTTATGTCAATGATTGCTAATGAATATCTTATTGGCTTACGTGCTCATTTCTCTTATTGGACGAACAAGGACTTTATCTGGCATATGTTACGTCGTATTGAAGTTTTAGAGGGGATGAAAAAGAAGCAGCAGCAGCAGCAGCAACATGATGATGAGTCATCTACTACTACCAGTAATTAATATTCATTGTAATAAAATAAACAAAAAACAAAAGCTGATACCATCTTTGTAATGTCTTGAAATTATAAATAAGAATAAAATCAAGAGTATAATATATAAAATAAAAGTCATCTTGTAAGAAGTGAGATGATAAATATCATGCAATTACTATTTATAACATATATGTGTATTATGTAATAGAGCTCATTTACTTCTATATATACAAATATATGAATGTATACATTTATATACAAATATATATGTATACAGATATATGTATTTGTATGTACATATAATTCTACTAGTTTGTTAACTATTACTGTCTTTTTTTTTCCAATTCTTAACTATAAAGTATCTTGTATATCTGCTGTTGTTCTATTACTATTATCATCATCGTCTATTATAGTAAATAACAGAGGGGTATCACACGAGTGAGTAGTGTTATTAGTATTACAAGAAGCTGTAGAAGAGGGTCTTTCCGTGGTAAGGGCTCTTTTCACAAAAGATATATTTGATGCTGATATAGCAGTTGAGCTAATCATATTGGAGGATAAAGAACGAGAAGAAGACGAAGAAACAATATGACTATTTAAAAAACGGCTACTGTTTGTATTATGGTTCATCATGAATGATGATGACGACGACGACGACGACGACGACGTTGTCTCTTGTTGAATTAAACTATTAGTAGGTAATAAAGAAGTATAAAAAGCAGTAGGATCATTATTCCATTGTATATGATCAGGCTGTTGTTGTTGTTGTTGTTGTTCAAATAAAATACTATTTATATCATCTTGATTCATCGTCATCATATCTCTAAAGTAAGTTGCGTTATCTTGAGTAGTAGTAGTAGTAGTGGTAGGGATAGTCACATCATGATCAGTCCAATGATTCCTTTGTCTTTTCTTTATTTTATTAAAAGTCTTTGGACTTATCAGCTTTTTATCTATAGTTGCTACTGTTTTCCTTTTATTTTTTAGAATCCTTTGTTCTTCATGAAGACGTAATTGAACTAAAATAGACTTTGAATCTTGTATCTCTGGTTCTGTATGTGACATCTTGGAGTCTATCTCTTGAAGCAGTAATGTCGTCTTTGTTTTAGTAGATATCTCTTTCTCAGTATCTTGATTGTTTGTATGAAGAATAGATTGAATCATATTATATTGGCTCTCCATATTAGACTCAATACGTCGAATTCTATCTTCAAGATTAGATATATTATTAATATAAGGATCGATATTAACTGCAGTATGCTGTGTCGCTCGAGATCTTCTGCTAGTAGGATAAGCACACAAGATACCTGTCGACCCACATCTAGAACAACTAGGATATAATCCATCACAACGTACCTATAATATAGAAATGTTAATATAATTTTTTTGTCTTTTTGTTCTCTTTATTCATTATGTATTTACCTTTTTATGATGACATCTAAAGCAGGCTATCGGAGCTCTTGATCGTTTTGCTTGTTGTGTTACTGAAGAAGAAGAAGAAGAAGCTCCTATACGAGTAACAGTGTTAGTTAATTGCTGCTTGTTATGATTTTGTTCTTGATTCATGGTTTTCTTTGAACAACTAGACATGAAATGGATATGAAAAGGAATGTGAAGGGTAGATGATGAATGATAGTATGGAAAGAAGAAGAGATGTATTTTTTTTTAATAATCTATACAGACAATATATATATATATATATATATATATAAATATATATAATATATATGCATAAACATATAAAATAGACGTTTCTATATATATGTGTAATATTTAATTATAGATAGCTAATGACTAATGCTTCATGTAACAGGGAGTCTATATTATGTTCCTTTTATTAATGTAGTTCAAGTTAAAAGATATCTATTCTTATTAATTATAATAGTAATAATATATATGCATCATATGTAGTGACACTTCTGTACGTTGTTATCTATATTTATAGAAAAAACTTATAGTAGTAAAGATCATATATATTGCTATATTATCTAAGAAAAGATGGATAAGTAGAATAGCCAAGCCAGCTTAGATTTTATAAAAAAAAAAAAAAAAAAAAAAAAAAAAAAAAAAAAAAAAAAATCGATGTACAGCATAAAAAATTATTATATTTCAACACAGTTTCTCTTGCTTTTCTTCATTGCAAAAATATAAAATGGTTAAATTTTCAGCTGATACAGTATTCACAGGTATTCTTTTTTTTTTTTTTTTTAAACCACAAAGCAACAATTTTTTTTCTTAATATATAAATATATAAAAAGAGAAAGAAAGAAAGAAAGAGAGAGAGAGAACTAATACATAATCACATGAAATAGACACTTCAGAATTAGATAAATTACTCTTTCAACAAGCACAACAAAGGATAGCTGAAGAAATCAATGAATTCATTGAACAATTTGAAGTAAAACAAATCATAAATGAATCTATTTAGTATTTGCCTAACTTTTAATTGTTGATAGACAAAAAATGATCTCATGACTGTAGACTTATTAGCGAAAACCTATAGTCAATTAACAACATGTGAAACAAAACTCTCTAATGCAACCAAACAAGCTGATGATAATCATCTATCGTCAACAGTGACGATTAAAACAGTAGCCAGCAAAACGCAACAAGTACAAGATATCCTTCAAAATTTGCTGCAAACAGTAGAAGCTTGTCAGAATCAAAAAAGAAACAGCCCCTTTTACAAAGAAAAGGAAGCTTATTTAAAAAAGAAAGAAGAACGAAGGAAGCAGTTGGAAAAGGAAATTAGAAAAGAATCCGATAAATTAGAAGAATTTTATGCAAAGAAGACAAGGGAGTCAATTTATAACAATATTGTTGGAATCCATCAATAAAGCAGATACTTGCTATAAAGAGGACTTCTTCTTTTATGTATGCTTTTAAAAGAAAAAAGAAAAAAAAAGTATTGATATAAAATACTTGGAATATTGTCAAGACGATAACTAAATAAATTTTGCTTTATTTTTATTTTTGTCTTCTTCTTGCTAACGCTCTTTGTCGAATCATGTCAATTTCTTTTGCTCGTCGTCTCTTATTATTTTCTTCTTCTTCTTTTCTTTTAAGTTCTTCAAATTCTTCTTTCTTTTGTATTTCTTCTAATTTCTTCTTTTTCAACTCTTCCTCTGCTTCTATATCCAGTGTTTCTGTACTCGCTTGTCCTTCACCATTTAATCGTGTCTGTGGTAATTTCTTGATACGTGATTGCCCTTCACCTTGCTTTACCCAGTCCCATACAATTTTACTTACACCTTTCATGACAGCTTTGTTCGTGTAAGTAACGTTAGTATACATAACCCAATCTAAATCTGCATATTGGATTTTATTTCGATCTAATAGTTCTGATGCAAGTGCACATTGAGGATGTAAATAGAGTGCAACTAGGGCAGTAGATGAAATTTCTTCAGATGTCGTTAGATGCTGGTCTGGTGAATAATGTGAGAAAACAGATCGATGAGCACCTTTGTTAGCAATATTCGTAAAATAGCCTGTCAAAAAGGACTTTAGAATAGGCACAGGATCTAGATTATCCCCACTTTCATTTTCCCCTACATGGCGCCGCTTATGGCTTGATTTCTTTTTATGTTTATTGATAATAGTAGGTGCATGTATGATTTTTAAATGAAGTTTGTCCATTACATCTATTAATTGTGATCTCACGTTTTCTGCCATTTCTAACACGCGAGGGTTTATATAATTCTCTTTGCACCATTGTCTACTTTTATCATGTCTTTTCCATTCATGCCAAACGTTGAGACAGGTCATATGGTCCCCTGTATGATGTGCAAATTTTAACTTGCAAGCTTCAGCCCTAATGGCTTCATTCTCTTCATCTTCATTGCCTTGTATTCGTCTTCGTTGTTGTGGTGAAACTGTTTTAAATAACTCAAGATCCCCTGCCATCATACTAACAATAATCAAGACTTCATAGCTGCATCCGTACTCAATTGAAGAAGCAATCAAAATACGAGCCAAAGGAGGAGAAAGAGGAAAACTGCTCATTTGATGACCTAATTTCGTGATCCTTCCATTTTCATCAATAGCTCCTAATAAATAAAGCTGCTTCAGAGCGTTTCTTACAAGCGACTCTTCAGGAGGATCAATGAATTCAAAATGTAATACATCTACAATATTGAGTGTTTTTAGTGAAAGAACAGTACTCATTAAACTACTTCGTTGTATTTCGGGAATTGTATTGGGCAGCATGTGTTCGAAACTTTCCTCGCTATAGAGACGAAAGGCCTTTCCAGGAGCTGTACGACCAGCACGACCAGCGCGCTGAATTGCAGCAGCTTGACTAATTTCTGTCACTAATAAAGCATCCATACCAGTATTAGGATCATACGATTTCTCCTTTGCAAATCCTGAATCTACAACATAACGAATACCAGGAATGGTAACGGATGTCTACACATAGCATGTGTTAGTTAATATATATATATATATATATATATATATACATATTTATTTACAGTTATAGTTTTATTCATATACCTGAGCGACATTAGTAGCAAAGACAATTTTACGTTCATTTTCACGAGGTAATTCGAAAACAGCTTTTTGATCATATGTTTCTAAACTAGCATAAAGTGGATAAACAACAGCTCTTGATACACCTTTCCCATGATCATAAAACCTCACTTCTCGTTGATAATTACATCCTCTTTCCTTTTCTAAAAATTGTTTACAAGCACGTTCAATATCCTGCTGTCCAGTTAAAAAGACCAAGATATCTCCTTTAGGTTCGCGGCAATGAATTTTCCAAGCTTGTTCAACTGCACGATCTACCATAGCTGATTTTAAACTAGCCATCGATTTTGTAGAAGCATCTAATAAAGGGTACACAACTTCAACAGGATAAGTTCTTCCCGGAATTTCAAAGATGGGGCAACCACCAAAGAAATCAGAAAACTTTGTCACATCCAGTGTAGCTGACATGATAAGAATCTTGAGATCAGGTCGTAATTGGTGTGTTTGTTTCAGGAGACCAAATAGAACATCCGTATCGAGTGTACGTTCATGCGCTTCATCAATAATAATCACATCGTATTGACTAAGTTTAGGATCCATAGTAGCTTCACGTAATAGTATACCGTCTGTCATATATTTAAGTTGAGTTGAATCAGTTGTACGATCGTCAAAACGAATGGTGTAGCCAATTTTTGATCCCAACCGAACATCTTGTTCTTCACTAACCCTTTTAGCAACTAGTTAAGAGAGAAAGAGTATGTGTGTTTATTATTTCAAGACAATATACATTTGATGAGCATAAAACTTATTTTTACCTGTAATTGCAGCAATTCGTCTATGAAAAGAAAGTCAATGAGCTACAATAAACAAGAAATGGAATGATTTACATGTTACCTTGGTTGTGTCACACCGATCTTTTTTATTTCAGACATTTCCTCTAAAATGTACTGAGGGATCTGTGTGGTTTTACCAGAACCTGTTACATTCAATTTATTAGACAAAGAGAAATCACATTGTTTTTTTTTCTTTATACCTGTTTCACCAATCACAACTAGAATGTTATATTCACGGATTGCGTCAATTAATTCATTCTTGTAATCAAAAGTTGGAAGACTTTCTCTTTGTTCTCGAATACGATCATTATTTGATCTCATTGAGCCGAATGGAAAAAAAAAAATAAGATAAATAAAAAAAATAAAATAAAATAAAAAAGGCAATTGAATTCTCTATTTTGCTTTTCAACGTTTGAATACTAGTAAAAAAAAAAAAAGGAGTTCCAAAACTGAGAAAACATCAAAATCCAAAAAGCGCATACTATGAAATTAAAGTAAAATAAAAATGCCCAATGAGCACGTAGCAATTTTATTATGCTGTATTGCCCTAATTAGGTCCAAAAAAAAAAAAAAAAAAAAAAAAAAAAAAAAAAAAAAAAAAAAAAAAAATGAAACATCTCAAGTGACAAGAGGGAAAAAGGCAGAAAAAAAAAGAACTCAGAAATAGGATACATATACTAGTCCATTAATACATCAGCTTCATACCAGAATTAACGGAAGAAGGAGGAGGAAGTGTTTGATGAAACAGATAAGCTATTTTCATGTAGAATAATACAGATTTGTTGGCCAGCAAACTAACCAAGGAAAAGTTAGTTGCGAGGACTTTGGTTTCTTTAAAGGCAATTGGTTAACGGAAAAAAAAAAAGGGAAATCAGATCATCAATGGTTAGAGGTATGCTAAGTCGACAGTGCATAGAAAGACATTGAATCAAGTATTCACAAGTAAAGTTCTCATCTGGAATGAAAATAAGAAAAAAAAACATGACTGAGGGACACCATCTGGAAGCCAAGCAAGGACTCGATTTGCACTCATTGTGGGTCATTGGTAACCATAGTATTGGATCCTGTTCCAAAGAAGGGCAGCAAGCTGAGATTAGTTTGGAATCGATATTGTTGCAAAGGCGATCAAAACTTTCTTGTAAAAATTGTTGACAAAGCTGCTTAAAAGCACGACGATCTAGAGTATTTAATACAGAAGTACATAAATGCCATAGGGAACACTTTGTGAGTTCATGTCATTGTGGTTGGCTGGGTAGAGGTCTCAATATGTAGCAATAGATGTTGTAATAAAGTACTTTAACGTAGCTCCCGGTGAACAAAGGAGAAATTTTGGTTGTAAAATTGAGATTTGATCTGCTATTGAACAAGATAAAGCATTACTTTGGCTGAAGATCGGGATAAACCGCCAAATATACAGCGAATACAATTATTTTGACAGAATTTCATTATTTTTTTTTTTGATATGGTTGTTATTCAGAATATTAATAGTGAATCTGTATTTCAACTGAGATTGTACTGTTTGAATGTAGAAGCGTAGAGAAAGTAAGCGATCAGGTACTTTGGAATTAACCACCAATTTGGTTCATGATCTTTATTGCTTTATTATCATTCTGTTGAATTAGTGCTGAAGTATCAAGAAGACTATCCAGTTTGATTGGAATAGGATCATTATTTATTCAAAGTAACTCAAATTCTGTAGTTTATTGAAATAAAATATCATCTTGAAGATAAAGACATGCATCTTGTGTTTTTAATAATTAGTTTTAACAAAGATGAAAAGAATAAAAAGTAGCTTAGTATTTATTATCAAGTTTTATTTAAGACTCGACGTCCAAATATTATCTTTCTTCTTCGGTAGTGAAAAGTGATCTAACTCAATTCCATCATCACTATCGATATTATCATCATTTTTTGCTAAAAATGATCCAAACATTAGGGTTGTATTATTATTATTAATATTAATATTATTATTATTATTAGTAGTTGCTATTTGCTGGTTTTGCTGTAATAAGTCGTTATTATTCATGTTTATAACTGCAGTAGTTGAACTGTTTTTTACGATTGATAAATGTCTGTCCGCTATTTTGCTATTATTTTCAAAACCAAGTGAGAATGAATTGGGTCTTGAATTTTTATCCTTTTCCGAGGTTGTTGTAAATAATAACATTTTATTCTTTCGTTTATATCTTCTTCTTATGAACCAAATAATCCAACCCAAGATTAATAATATGCCAAGACTACTAAATATATATATTGGAATTGCAATTGATTTATTCTTCGCAGTCCATGCCTTTATGGTGTTCACTATGGATTCAACAGAGAATAAGATGCATTGTATAGTATATGATTATTTTTGTAATACTTACAAGGCCCAGTACCAATGCAGACTCCTCCTTTACAAAATCCTGCTAATCCACATTCAGTTCCATCTAGAAATATACCACTTAACATTAAACAATTATTCGGTTCTTTGGGATCTGAACAGCTAATTAAACATGAATCTTGCTGGAATGAGCATTGCTCACTAATATTTTGTCGAAGCCCTCGTGCCATACATTGTTGATCTCGTGAAGTACAAATTCCTGAAGCACATTTCATTGTCCCGTTTGCACAGCTTGTTCCATCTTCACTATATTCATCTATTGGACATTGACTGGATTTACCAGTACAGTATTCAGTTCGATCACACTCAGATACACTAGGTCTACAAACAGTTTCTTTGGATGCTATTGCACATTTCAAACAGCATTGATGACTATAATCACTATTATATATGATAAGTTATAATTTACTTTAAATATATATGTGTATGTATGTATGTATGTATGTATGTATCATTATTGTATTACTCGCATATAGCATTTGGTTTCAATTTACATGTTCTTGCATAACAGCACTCACTATCTATTAATCCAGAATCACATTCCTCCCCAGGCTCTAATATTCCATTACCACAAAGCGAAAATGTACCTCCAACACGCAAGTCAGGTGCTAAAAAAAAGAGAGAGAGAGAGAGAAAGAAACGTCAATAATGAAATATTATTTTGTGTGCTCTTATATTTGTAGCTTACTTACATTTCAAGCAATAACCAATATTAGGAAGAGTATTACAAATATCTGATATAGAGCATGGACTAAAATCATTAGTTGTTACATTACTGGTAGGATTCATTATATAAGCTTCTCCTGCACTACAAACCGTGTTACTTAATGGACAGCAACCGCATTCTCCATGACAAGGACACATTTTTGCAGTACAGTCATGAATAGCGCCTTTTTTTTTTTTTTTTTTTTTTTTTTGGAGACACATATTGATTTATTATTAACATGAAGATTGGGAACTTGTAGAATGAATTACTTACCAAACCCATGACCAATTTCATGTGCAACTACTTTCCATTCATCCCTTGTTATAGATGATACTCCTGTTCCTGAAACCCATTCAAATGTTCCATCATCTTATAGAATTATTCTATAAGCATATATCGTTCATATACTAAATAACTATCTATATTTTTTTTTGTTCTATTCTTTACCTTCTACCTGCTGTGATACTTGAGTTTCACATAGCTGACCTAACCAAGCAATACCTACTTTTACACCCGTTCTAACGTATACATATATATTAATATGGAATAGTGAAAAATAGAAAAAATATATATATATATATATAATTTACGAGCATTTTGTCATGAGATGCCAAAGTGCTGCTCCATCATCTCCTTTATTGCCTCTCCAGAGACTAAAGTCACTTAGACGGTCATTAATAGTATAATGGCTTGAACATGCTTGATTCCAAGCCATCACAGATTTTTTTCTATTATTAAGATGAGTAGTTGTTGAAGATGGACATTCAGGTACAGATATCTGTAAATAAATTAGACCTAATGAAACATTAAATGTCCTTTCATAAACAGCAGAGGCAACGTTCCAATCATTAATTATTTGTAGTTTTGCATAACGAATGCTACCATATGATAAAACGTAGGAGCAATCTGCAGCAGCACCCATATAGGCAATCTTTCTTGCTGTAGGGCATCCCTGTGTTGCTATAATGTCCATATTCGAAGACGATTCAATTAAAGTATTGAAGAAGGATACATCAGTTCGTTTTTCCCATAAACTTGATAACGAAGTATTTATAATAGCGGGTAGAATTGGTGCAGTATGAGTTCCTGCCATACGTCGATTATAAGCCATCTCTTCCATGGCACATATACTATCTATTTTGTTATTTACTTGAAATATACGTTTTTCGAAATGATTTGTAACTTGATCTGAGTCTCTATAAATAATCATCTTTGTAGTATTAACTTCGGGATCATCTGTCCTTTTTGAAAGATGATAGTTTTTAGAAGTCTTAATATGATATATATCTGAATCAAACATGAATGCTCCTTCAAATATTGGGTATGAACTTCTATACCAAAAAAAAAGGAATCAATATTATATATATAGCCTTTTTTTTTTTTCTTACGGTGAATTAGTTAGTGTGATATCTTGTCGAAATATGATTCGAGCCCAGTTATGAGGTTGGTTTTTAATATGTCCCTTAAATACAAAATACTCATCAGGTATCATTCTTTCCGTTTCGGTTATCTTAGTATGGTTAAATAGAATAATTTGAGCATCAGGATGAAAGAGATCAAAATTGGGAAATAGTTGAAGCTGAATGTATGTATTAAAAGCAGAAAAGGAAAATAAGAAATCATCATTATTTTCTAAGGTTGCAGATTTGTCTCGTTTCCTAGGCTTGTTCCCCATTAAAACATGAATGGTTGGATCATGTATAATTTCAACTTTATTTAATTTCGAAGGTAATTGTGATGCTGTTACTATTCATAATAAAATTATATTTTAATTGTGATGCATCAAGAAATAATATATAATTAATACCTATTACTTGATCAACAAGAAAAAGAAAAGCTAATATTATATAAAAGTATGTTCCTGGATAAAGAAGAAACATTATAAGCTGCAATAGTAATAAGCTCTTAGCATTCCTTTTTTTGTAATTTTTAATAAATAGAAAAATGACTAAATTTTGTAATGAAAAGGTATTTGTATATACGTTAGGGTATAAAAAAAAATAAAAAAAGAAGAGAGAGAGAGAGAGAGAGAGAGAGAGAGAGAGAGAGAGAGAGAGAGAGAGAGAGAGAGAGAGAGAGAGAGAGAGAGAGAGAGAGAGAGAGAGAGAGAGAGAGAGAGAGAGAGAGAGAGAGAGAGAGAGAGAGAGAGAGAGAGATGTGTACAGAAATGGAGGGGAGGGGAAACACTACTGGTTTTTTTACATATCCTTGGCGTCCTTTGAAATTTAATTAGCAGCCTTTGACATACAACTCACAGAATTGAATAAGTGTTTTTTTTTTTCTTAAAAATTTCCGAATAAAATGGGAGAAGGTTTTGTCATTACAAAGGCACCCAGTCAAACATCCCTCCCCATATAATTGGTCTCTTTACTTAATTGCTATACAAGAAATTTGCCAAGGTATATCTCAATTGGTTACATTCATTGACTTGGACTGAATCAGCAAACAAATACAATAAAATCAGAACAAAGTGCATAGAGGGACAGATTTGATGTATTTAGGGGAAGCCGAACATTTCAGTTAACGTATGAGTAGCTTTAATTACAACAATAGATATTATTAATACATTTATATGTGATCTAGCCCTCATAACTAGATATATTAACCAGACATAATAGATATCAATAAATGTTTGTATATAGCTTAATATTAAGACACACCAATACTAGTTGTTTACAAGTTACAATACCCGGATCAAAATATATAAGAACAGTATATTCAACTCGATTCAAGCTATATATTTGAACATCTTTAATAAACAAAGAAAACAATAATTTATAGTGTTATTGGATAGATGCTGTCTTTATTAGGAACTAAGCTTTGATTAGTACTATTCTTAATTACTTCCATCAGCAAATCGCATCTTAGATAAATTTATATATGTTAAATACTCTTTAATAAAAAGAGAGTAAGAATTAGGTTTTTAATTATCTTCGAATAGTCATTATCTGATTAATCACTTGTAGTCTTTTTTCTGATCTGATCTAATCTTCTGTTGTGACTTTATCTTTGTTTCCTGGGAATACATCTTTGTTAATAAAGTATATAGATAGGTTGAAATCGTATCCCTTCTTTTATATTATTTGTCCAGATACTTTTAATTTGGGGTAATTAACTGTAGCTACCTTATTCTAATGATAGTTGAATTATTAATTGATATCAGACTGCGACAGCATATTATATATCTGAACAATACATCTTCCTTGGAGGTACAACACTTGGTAATCTGAACTCGAATGGCATGAAAGCCATTCTTGATAAATGTATCCAAGTAAAATCTATACAAGTTAAAAAGGACAATGGAAAAAAAAAAGGTACCACTTCAATTACTTATGTGATATTCACCGATGACTGTCTATGGCAATTACAACTACCAAAAAGTGGCAAATACTTGCAGTTGGCCATAAGTAGGTTGATGTCAGAAAGCAATTATTTCGGACACTTAACATCTAACACTATAAGTGAAAACTCGCTGTTTAATATTTCATGTGATATTACTACTGACTTCTTGAAATGTATAGAAGTAATGGAAGAAGAATTAAAGGAAGACAAGTTCTGTGCTGATGATAAATAATGCTTACTCCCTTTTTTTCTAGAGATGGTTTGAGAAGGAATTAACAGATATTATGAAACTGCTATTGAATTTGGAGCAACTCTTGCATTACGTTTGCATGAATATTGGCTTAGGGGATTTGGTTTTCTCTGTAGTAGATGATACACACTTCACTATAGGTAACAGTGATGATACTCTTTTTTTTTATTAGGGTGTGTATGATCTGATGAAGGATAAAATTCTTATAAGTAGCAACTCGCAGTTAGAAGATTCGATGGACTCTGATGCAGTAGAATTGAAAGATGTACTCAAATGCCCGTACCTTATTAAGTGAATTTGCGTTTAGATTCTGTACCTAAAATCCTTTCTTCCCCTCCCCCTTCTCCTTCATTCTAATAAAAGTTCCAATCAAATTTATTCATTTTTTCAACAATTTCATAATGAGATGTACAAATAAGAAACACCTAGGCAGACTTCTTGTGCAACAACTAGACGCAGAAGTCAATGATATATGATGTTTTAATGGGTGCCATCATAATGTCGAAGTTATAATGTTATTTTTAAATTTTTGAGAAGCACATATCCACACTCTATGCACTGTTTGGTAAAGGTCACTAATTGCAACATTAGAAGATGCTAATTTAAAAAAAAAAAAAAAAAAAAAAAAAAAAAAAAAAAAAAACTTAGTAAGATCATTGCAATTTGTCCAAAAAAGGGAATAGCTTCAAGCGGTACTATTTTAACCAATGGTATTGTAAAAATCATTTGTAAAATAAAACCGTGTCTTTTTTTTTTTTTTAGTCAGCTTTTGCTTTTTCTTCTTCTTCTATTCGTAATCAATGTCACAACAAGACGAAAGAATAGCCTATTTCACAACTTTATGTGAACAGTTATATAATCCAAAATCATCAGAAGAGCGTCTTCAAGTACAAAAAATTCTTGAACAATCTTTTCCAACATTTACAAACACGAATGTATTACCCTCAGATAATATAACAGCATTACATTCTTTTAATATTCATTCACCAACAGATACTGCTTCGGCACTTCGTATATTATTAGAATCTTCTCCTAGCCCATATGTTCAAATATTTGCATTAGGCCGATTAAAGCAGCTTATACAAACTCAATTTTCGTTATTCAATCAAGAATCAAAAATACAATTACGTAAACTTTTAGCATTACTTTACCTATAAATTGTCTATTAATTCTTGTTTCTTTTAGGTTCATTTTTATTACAGCACGCGTTTATACACCCTGATTTAGTACCTTTTGCCATTACTCATCTTGCTGCTGTTTTAGCCTCTCTTACTTTATTAGGTTGGACAGAAATCGAGCAATATAGAAATGTTCACAAAGATATACTTCAATTTATTCAAGTAAGTAAATACTATATACGCATCACTATTTATACTTACAATATTACCCTAAGGCGTCTGTTGATCATCGTATAGTTGGTTTACAAATTTTAGCAATTATGGTACAAGACATTAATCCACCTAGTTTTACAAGAAGTGCATCAAAGTTTAGAAAAGCGGGTAATATATACTTAAATTATGCGAAAATAGATAGAGATTAATGTATATATTAGCTGGTGAATTTCGTGACACTCAGCTGTTAGACATTTGTAAAACTGCATATAAAACATTAGAAGCATCAACACAGCATATCATTACTACGAACAACCAACAGCAAGAGCAACGTTTGCGAGAAGCTGCTTTAAATTTATTGATAAAATGCTTTTCATATGATTTTAATGGCACAAGTGTAGATGAATCAGGTGAAGATGTTGGTATTGTTCAGGTAATATATATATATATATATATATGTGTGTGTATACATTTACTGTTATCAAACTAAATAATTCTTACACACATGTATATACTATAAAAAAAAATTTTTTTTATAAAAAAAAAAAAAAAAGATTCCTGCTTCTTGGAAACCATTGTTAGAGGATCCTGAATTTTTAAATACAATGTTTAAAGCATATGACGAATTCCAACCTCCTTTATCTTCTAAAGTTATGGAATGTCTCGTTCAAATTGCCTCAGTTAGAAAGACATTATTCAGCGATCAGGAGATACGCTCTCGATTTGTCATGAGAATTATGCAAGGCATCCAGGACATTATTTTAACCTCCAGAGGACTTAATGATGCCGATAATTATAATGAATTTTGTCGTCTTTTGTTTCGTTTTAGAGCTTCTGTTCCCCTTAACGAAATGGTTGAAAAAGCTGGTTATTTAGAATGGATTGAATTGATTGCAGATTTTTCATTAAAAGCGTTTCAGTCTTGGAAGTTTGCCCCTACAACATCCATGTATGTTTTGAGCTTTTGGGCACGTATTGTTCAAAGTATGACATACTATCAACAATTAGGTGAAGCTGCTGTTGAAAAGTTAGGAAGAATTACAATAGAGGTAAGCCTTTTTTTTCTGAAAAACTATATATATAGTTATATGTGTAGTAATAAGCTTTACTGATGTCTATTAAGTTGGTTCGATCTTATGTTTCAACCACAGTTGAGTCTGTCCCCGTACGTATTCAAGAAGCTCTAGATGATCCCTTAGATAATGAGGAAACTTTAATCGAAACTTTGAATATGTTAGGACAAATTGCTCATTGTAAATACGAAGCTTCTAGCACCGCCATGATGGGATTATTTGACCCTATTACTGTTCAATACCAGGAACTAATCATGACAATACAACAACAAATGGCAAGTAATAATATTGAAGGGTTAAAAGAGGCTTTAGAAATTATTGAAAATAAATTTGCATGGCTTGTTTATATTATGGCTTCTTTTATTGGAAATAGATCAGTAAAGTATAAAAGATGTATTACATATCAGTATTATTTACTGTTTTTTTTTAGGCTTTCCTTAACTCAGCAGATTTAGACAAGATGGATAGTGAGATTACAACCAAAGTACTTCAATTAATGAATGTTCAACAAACTTTACTCAATCAACATGGTAATGCTTTCATGAACGAAAAATTGGATTTAGCTTTTATATACTTTTTTCAACAATTCAAGAAATCATATATGAGTGAATCTAATGGAAGAGATGTAAAATATTTTTTTAAAGAAAAAAAAAAGGCGTATGGGCATCTAATAGTTTTTATGGTGTAGATTTATTCAAAACTTTCGAAAGTATTCGGAATTAGTGATCAAATTATGATGCTGGATGTTATTATGCGTAAAATGTAAGCAAAAATAGAATAGCTATTGTTACATGTCGTGTGTATTTACTGTTTCTTTTCTTCTCATATATAGTGTTTCTAATCTGCAGTATTGGAGTAATAATGGATTATTAATTCAGCGTACTTTAGAACTTTTTAATGAGCTCGCTACTGGGTAAATAGATTTAAAGTCAAATGTATATTATAATGTATGGCTTACAGGTGATATATTGTGTATCATAGTTATGGAGCTTCTAAGAATCTTAGAAAGATAGAAACAACACGTCTAATAATGCAAAATCATATGGCAACTGAATTTGCTTTTTGTCAATCAACCAGTAATAAACGACAAGATGAAAATCGAATTTTATTCTTCCAAGTACTTTGTAAACTATTGTTTGCAGATGATAATGTAGATGAACGTACATTTTATGAGTTTATGAAGCCCTTCGATATTCGGTTTGACAATTTAGGTCTTTTGGATAATGTAGAAGCTTTTAGATTTGAAAATACTAGAGTAAAGTATTAGTAAAGATAAAATCTATAGCGTATAAAACTAACTATATATGTTTATATAATAGCGTGCTCTAAGGGACATTTTCGTGGATCTATGTGGATTCATTTCTCCAATGCAAACACGTCGTCATTTTAATTTATTTTTCGAATGGTTTTATGAAGGAGATTATAGTTCAATTTTGTTACGTGCTATAGAAGCATGGTCGCCAGACCCTATTGTTAACAGTCTTTTGAGTTTCTTTTCAGAATTTGTACATAACAAAAGTCAACGTTTATCTTTTGAAGTTTCATCTCCTAATGGTATCTTGATTTTTAGAGATGCTAGTCAAATTATTTGTTCCTTTGGTCAAAAAATACTTAATAAGCAGCAGGAATTAGGCATGATGGATAGTAGCAATGATGATATTTATGAATACAAATATAAAGGAATTTCAACTTGTTTTAGCATTATGTCTAAATGTTTAGGGGGCCGATATATAAATTTTGGCGTCCTTTGGTTATATCAAGATAAGGCTATTGAAGACGCTTTAAATATGATAATTCAACTTATGCTGAGCATCCCAATAGATGATTTGTTGGTAAGTGCTATCTTTTTCATTGTGTGATAAAAGTGATTCATTTTTTTTTTTTTTTAGAGTTACCCCAAATTATCGACTGCATTTTTTCATCTATTGGATGGACTCACCTATGAAGAATTGATGTCTATGCCCAGTCTTCCTTCTGATGCATTTGTCTATATTATGCAGGTCTGCGAACAAGGTGTTGAATCTAGCGATATGGTTATCCGTGGACATGCTTGTGCAGCAGTTTATAATATTTGTAGCTATTTAATTAAACAAGCAGAAAAGTCTGGGAGGGAAAAAGAAGTTCCATCAAGCACAAATACAGCAAGTACAAATTCCAATCGTAGAAGAAGTCAACAACTGTCTTCTTCTATGCAAGACAATCATTGGCTTTTAGCATATATTCATCAGCAATATCCTCAAACATTACCTACTTTACTGTATACAGTATTTAATCTGGTTTTATTTGATGATAACAGTGATCAATGGACGTTATCAAGACCTCTTTATGGACTTGTGTTCTTACAACGAGATTATATGGTTAAATATATTAACGCTGTTATTGAGCAACAACTTCCCGAGAGAAGAGCGTTTGTAACCACGGTAAGTTAAAAATAATTTTTGAATCCGCTAAACTCAACACTAACAAGTTTTTATAAGTCTTTAAATAATCTAATTGAGGGTGTTAATTGGAATTTTACACCAAGAGATCGTGAAAGATTTACTCAAAACCTATCTTCATTCCGAAGATTGTTAGGTTTAAATAGCATTGCATTAACGCCTTTATTAGCACCTCCATCTTTTTATTAAAATAAACTTTTTATGCCAATTGGCTATTGCTGTGGCTCAAAAAAGTAAGTCACAATAAATTTGGGTATTTTTTTTTTTTTTTTTTTGTTGAAAAAAAAAAAAGTTTACACTTTATCTTTCCTTGTATATATTTAACGTGTGTGTGTGTGAATAATGGAAGCAAGCAATAACGAAGTTACTAGATTATGGAGAGCTTTTCGTACCGCACATCAAATGGTTCACGATAGAGTAAAGATATTTACTTTTTTTTTAAAAAAAAAAATTCTATCAATTCATCTCTTTAACCAAAAAAAAAACACGGTATTAATAAATTAGGGTTATGTCGTATCTCAATCAGAACTTGATATGGACTTAGAATCTTTTAAACGTACATTTGCTCCATCTGGTGATGTTGAGTAAGTTTATAATTTTTTTTTCTGATTACTTTTATTTTTTTCGAGTAAATGATCTAAATCAAATCATTTTGTTAGTCGTGATCAATTAACATTTGTCGTTCAACATAAAGATGACCCTACTGATCAAATTCTTGTATTTTTCCCTAAAGATCCCTCTGTTGGTGTAAAGCCTTTGAGAGTGTAAGTCATTTGTATTAATATATACATATTTAAAAGTGTAATATTTACAAAGATGTTTGATTAAATAGTTTTGTTGAACGTATGGCACAACAACAGATTGCAAAGGGTATTTGTATTTATCAAAAGAGCATGACATCTTCTGCCAATAAGGTCATTCAGTCCTTGCCTTCTAAGCATACATTAGAATCTTTCCAAGAAAACGAATTATTAGTTAATATTACACACCATGTTTTAGTACCTAAACATGAAGTTTTGACAACTGAAGAGAAGGCAACTTTATTACAAAGATAGTAAGCATTTTGAAAAAAATAAATAAATAAATTAGATACTGACTTTTTTTTTTTACAAGTCGTTTGAAGGAAACTCAATTACCTCGTATTCAACACACTGATCCAGTTGCTAGATATTATGGTTTGAAGCGTGGTCAGGTAAGATATATATAAAAAATAAAAAATAAAAATAAGTACTTTATTTTTAATAATGTATTTTCCTTAGGTTGTTAAAATTTTAAGAGAAAGTGAAACTGCAGGACGTTATGTCAGTTATAGATTATGTATTTAAAAAAGAAAAAAAAGAAAAAAAAAGTATATTTGAAGGCATTGAACAATAATACACATAAACATATATTCGCACATAATAAAATATATAGTATTATATTTTTGGGTATTATATAATGTGCTTTTAAAATAAATGAATGTATATATCTAATGAAACGTATTTATTGTACTTTTTGTAAAAAGAAAGCAACTATATGAGCCCCAATATCTACTGCGATTTGAAACAAAAATCGAGGTGCAAATATTTTCCATGTCATTAAATGTCGTCTAAGAACAAAAATGAACACTGCGCATAAAAATGTAGGAATAGATTCAAATAAAACTAAAGTATATAGCAGTTTACCATAAGATTGCTTGTCCTTAATCGTAAGCCAGCCTATCCAAGTTATAATATGTCCTGCGAATGTTGAAAGAAGAAGCAAAATTGAACCCCCATAATAATTCACTTCATCAAAGCCTACAAAGGCTGCCTTCCAGGGTAATGAAGTAAATGTTGCTTGATGACCTGTCACAAAAAATAAATGATAACCTAGGAAATGAAGTAAAGTGGTATGTATCCATCTATTTTTGTTATAAGTAAGTAAAGTTATCAAGAGAGGTGATATACACATTATGGTAATTGCTCCTAAGGGATGCTGTAAAATAGCAAGCATAGTACTTGTCAAAAGTAAAAATGACCATCCAAAACGATCTATGTTTTTCCTGTTCGACCACCAGGATTTGAGAGATCCAAGAGCCCATAATCCATAAAGAAGTCGAGGTAAATAAATATCCATATATTTTCTCCAAACAAGCGGTAATGTTTGTTGCCCCCCATGCTCAGCCAAGTACTTTTGAGCAATCTCATCTATTATATGTACAAGGACAATCAAACCACAAATTTGATAACTCCCCGCTACTATAACCCCCTCCTGTCTATGCAGTTCACCAAAATGATAAACAATGATACCATACGTAATAGCTAAAATACCAATTGTTATATAGCCTTGTGGTTTTTCAAATCCAAACTCCAAGAGATCGTTGCTTTGCAAATAATGACAATAAGGAAACTGTTCTTCACGGCATTGGCCGATAACACTTAAGAGACGTACTAGTATTAGAAATAAAAGTGGATGAAATATAGCATTTAAAAATTGAATGACTTTTGACTTCCAACTGTGATTCATTGATGCCTGTTGATTGATGATACTAAAAAGATTAGAAAGGGTCCAAGCTACTGATAGTGTGGCTAAAATAAATTCTGTGCTTTGATCTTCCCAAACAACAAAACTGTTAGACCCCAATGTGCATCCTCGTAAAACTATACATCCTACAGTCACTGTTGTCGCTAGCATTTTCGTATCTCGCTCCTTTCTTAGCAATAAGATGATAAATGACAATAAAATTGACACTATAATGGATGTGGCTATCCAATCTTCCTTTCCCATCTTTTCAAACCAATGCACTGGAATCAATTGTAAAATGGTGTCTATAAAATAGTAAGAGGAGCCACCCATTACTGCGACTATTCCAGAGAGTATAGTTAACATCTTTGGCCATGTTGTTATCCACGTCATTTTTAATGCAGCTATCAATGTCAATAATGTATTTAATCCTAATAACATAAGACCCAATATCATACTTCCAGTGTCAAATTGCGCCCAAATTGTTTTACAATAGTTAATCGTACTGATTAAGAAATGATCATAAGCCAAGATAGCTTCCTCTAATTGGCGCGTTATATCGTTACTTTGCTGCTCCAAAAGTTGGAAAAGGATTTCTTCTGCTTTGTAAAGATAAGCATACATGGACTCTAATTTATCTTCACTAAAATCCAAATGATGTGTATTTTGGGTATATTGTTGTAAATAATCATGAACTTGTAAAGCATTTATACGGAATTGTTCCGCCATATGCCATAAATAATCTTGTTGATCCGTCTTTTCTAAAGGATATAACACATCAGGTATAATAGCTCCTAAATTCCCAAAGGGGATAGGTACCTGTAAAAGATAAGCTAGTGTAGGTACTAAGTGAATTTGAGCTACTATAGGGTGTTTAGAAGCGTCGTAATTGAGACGTTTTGTTATATCAGAAAGTTCATAGCCTAATAACTGCGATCTTTTATCATGAATACGTTTATAAAATTCTTTATTCTGGATATGAGTTAATCTTCGCTCTGAATGCAAGAATAAGGTGCTTGTTAATTCTTCAACGCTTTCACCACCATGATCGCCCTCAGAAGACATTCCGTGATCACCCATGATGACTAACAGTGTATCATTATCAACATGCTCTAACAGACGTTCAATAACAGTATTCATTTGCTGTAGTTTACGGCTCATGTGTGGGTTAGAGGGCCCGTATGTATGTCCACAGTGGTCCACACCCAAGAAATGGGTTATTATAAGCTCCCAATGGGTCTCATTATTATTCAAGAGAGGCCATAATTGAGCTTCGATCGCGTTATCGACTGAATCAAGATCTAGCATTTTGAAGCTTTCCAAGGCCCAAGTCTGATTGGCCACAAAGCTTTCAGGAAATAAGGTAACCCAAGTATCATCGCCCATAAAATATCGATTGTGATAACGGGTTGCAATGTGACGCAAAAGATGATCTTCAGTAACAGCCGATGAATCAAAATTAGAACCAGCATCAATAAAAGTAGGTAAAGAACCAGTCATAAGACCTTTGATGCGTTGCATAGTTGTAGTGGGTGGATCGGCACGAAATTGAAATAGTAAAGAAGATTCTGGATGTGTTTGATGAAGCTGATGTAAGACAGGAAAATGATTAAGAAAATAGGCGTGAGAAGTAGTATTTGGAAGAACAAAGTCAAATCGTAAAGCGTCTATAAGGATAATAATAGCACGTTTGAAGGCTGAACGGGCTGGAATAGAAGGTGGCTTTTGGCTTGATGATGATACATGATGAAGTGGGAAACGATCCCATGGAGGATAAGTTTGACCAGTTAGATCACCAAGTGTTTGTCGTGTTAACAAAAAGCCTTTGAGAAATATACAAAGACTGAATATTTGAATTATAGCTAGAAGAACAAAAATTGGACCCAGTGTAGGTTGACGGCATAATTTCATATTAGTTTTTAGAAAATATAACCTTTAATAAGCAGTTAAACTTCTACACTATTATAATATGAAACAACAATCTCCGTTTATAAATACACATATTTTTTAAGTTCACTTTCTTCTCTCCATAAAAATACGTGTTCTCTCTTTTTTTTTTATAATTAATTTTTAATGTTTGAAAAGTCTCTTACTGACCTCATTCGAGGGATAAGAGCTAACAAGAAAAATGAACAAAAATACATTACAGCTTGTCTTCAGGAAATTCGTAATGAAGTAAAATCAAACGACTTGGATATTAAATCAAATGCTATATCTAAATTAACCTATGTAATAATAAGCTATTCACATTAAAACAAAAAAAATCGTTTATTAAACTAATGCTTATCCTTTAGTTGCAAATGTTAGGTTATGACATGTCATGGGCTTCATTTTATGTCGTTGAAGTTATGTCAAGTGCAAAATTCTTACATAAACGTGCAGGTTATTTAGCTGCTACTTTATCTTTTCAACAAGATACAGATGTTCTCATGCTGACAACTAATTTGATTAAAAAAGTACAATTGATACGTTCTAAAGACATGCTTTTTTACTAAATAGTATTTTTTTTATAGGATTTAGCTTCTCCTATAACAGTGGATATTGGTATTGCTCTCAATGGTCTCTCCCACATTGCAACATCTGACTTAGCTCGAGATCTTTCACCAGACCTTGTCAGTATGCTGAACCATTCAAGACCCTATATTCGTAAAAAAGTCGTTTTGGTGCTTTATAAAATATTTCTAAAATATCCTGAAGCACTTCGTTTAAGTTTTCCTCGGCTTAAAGAGAAACTGGAGGATCCTGATCCATGTAATTTTGACTGTAACAATAATACAACTTTAACTAATTTTTTTTTTTTTTTTTTTTTGGATAGCTGTTGTATCTGCTGTAGTTAGTGTTATTTGTGAATTAGCACGAAAGAATCCAAAGAACTATTTATCACTTGCTCCACAATTATTTAAGCTGTTAACAACTTCTTCGAATAATTGGATGCTGATTAAGATTATTAAATTGGTAAAGAGACACATTATATTTGTCTGTATGTATATTTAGTTCATATTACTAAAAAAGAGTAATAACTATTTTGTTAGTTTGCTTCATTAACTCCCCTAGAACCTAGGCTAATCAAGAAACTATTACCTCCCTTAACCTCTTTAATCCAAACAACACCAGCCATGTCTTTATTATATGAATGTATTTATACTGTTATTACAGGTGGATTCCTTGAAGCCGCAGGTGATGCAGGTCATGCTTTAGCTGTAACTTGTACAAATAAATTGAGAAAATTTCTTGAAGACCCAGATCAAAACTGTAAATACATTATGGATAAAATTATTGTATATCTTTGTTTAATTAATTCTTCTCTTTTTTTTTTTTCTTTCTTTGAATATGTACAAATAGTAAAATATGTTGGCTTACTTGCCATGGGTAAATTATTGTTGACTCACCCAAAACTCGTAGCAGAACATAAAGATTTAATCTTGGAATGTATTGATGATGAGGATATTAGTATTCGCATTCGAGCTTTAGATCTTGTTGTAGGCATGGTTCATCGAAAAAATCTGACTGAAATTGTACAGCGTCTTTTAGCTCATATTATGCCAGATCAATACGATAACAATCAGCCTGTTCCTATTTCCCTTCATGATTCTTCTGAATTATTTGATCCTATATATCGCATAGATATTATACATCGTATTGTATTTATGTGTTCACAATCACATTATCATCACCTTCAAGATTTTGAATGGTATATTTCTGTTCTTGTTGAGTTAGCCTATCATTCAGGTGTTAATGTGGGTGAACTTCTCACGAATCAACTTATGGATGTGACAGTACGCGTTAAGAGTGTACGTGAATATTCAGTCAAGCAAATGTATCGTCTTTTGCAAGATAAATCATTTTTGGAAACGGCCAAGAAACGAGACTCAAATATTGAAGTTCTTTCTGCTGCTGCGTGGATTTGTGGTGAATATTGTCACTACCTGACAGATATTCCATCGACACTTGAAGCACTTTTAACCCATCCAGAAATTCAGCAATTGCCTGTCAAGGTGCAAATGATTTACGTTCAAAACATTATTAAGATTTATGCTTATTGGACAACAGAGTTGGCCCCTCGTTGGGACGAGGAATTACAACATGAATTTACAAAAGTAACTGAGGTATTGTATACTAAGATGGATTTGTTTATACATCACCATGGAAATAGGACTGGAGAAGATTTAGAAGTGCAAGAGAGAGCTCATAATGTGAAGGCATTATTTTTGATTATATTGGATGCTGTCCGGGAAAATACAGAGACGATGCCGTTGGAATTACAAGGTTTACCTGAATTGTTCTTCATGTATGAACTAAATCCTGTAGCACCAAAAGCACAGTCGAAAGTACCTGTATTAGAAGGTTTAGATTTAGATGCTTGGATTTATGAACCATTACCAGATCTTGTTATGGACGACTCAGAACTTAGTGATCATACTGTGAGTCGTAAAAAGAAAAAATCGAAAAAATCGAAAATTGTGGAGGATGAAAGTGAAGATGAAGCAGAAAAAGAAAAGGTAATTAAATAATAAAATATATGTATATGTATATATATTCATTATTTAATGGTTATTATATAATAGCGTCGTGCTGCAAGAAGAGAAGCACGTAAAAACGATCCTTATTATATCCATGATAATAATAAACTACTAGACGATATTGATTCGATTCCTATTGTCGAATTAAATTTAGAAGATTCAATAAAAAAACCTATAAAGAATAAGCACAAGAAGAAGAAGGTAGCTGCACCTATTTATGCAGAAGAGGAAATGCCTGAAAATGCTACGCTTTCTGATGGAGAAGATTCCAAGAAAAAACAACCTAGTAATATTGGATTCACAAAAATGACCAGAAATATTTTTGAAAATGAAGAAGAAGTAGGATTAAATAGAGTGGACTTGTCTACACCATTAAGTGAAAATGAAAAGTTTGAACAGCCTAAGGTCTATTTAAGCCCTGAGGAGTTGAGAATGAAAGAAGAAGCAAGATATAGAGCTGAGCGTAAAGCGATGAGAGCATTACAGGTTAGTTAGTTTTTTTTTTTTTTTTGAATATGTTTTAGATACATTACTTATATTGAACATACAGAAAAAAATAATGATGTAACACATAAATCAAGAAAAGGAGAGCATGAAATGAAAAAGAAGGTACAGGAATCCACAGTTGAAAAAAAGAAAAAGAAAAAGAGATCAAATCATAAAGAGAAAGAGCAACTAGAAGTGAATAAAGATGAAATCATGCGTGACGCAATTAATGAAAAATCAAAAGAAGATCATCCTATTGAAATCTTCAGTAATGATCAAATAGCAATTGTAAGTTCCTCGTTATTACTAATATTGATCTTTTATTAATAGCCATTTTTTTTTAAAGATGGGTATATTACAATTAGATGCCTCAAAAGAAAATAATCCAAGGTTAGGAATTGATTTCACTATTAAAAATAAGGAACCAAATAAAAAAATGCTGCCAGATGTGCATATGGAATTTGTAGAATCATTGGATATAAAGTTAAATCAAGATAATGTTACAAGTATGATTGCATCAGCTACCGAGCATTTTGAATTACAATCAAATGAAGAGATCGAATGTAAAGCCTATTTCGATATTCTTACCAAAAATATAAGAAAAGGATTATGTATTAAAGGCGACTTGTTTTATAATACTGAGGTAGTGTAGAATATATAATTATACGATGTACATAAGCTTACAGATTTTTATTTTTTATGCAGGATGTAGCTGAGTTAACTCAATTTACCTTCGAAATTCCTATTCCCATTAGCTTATTCCTTATTAAATATGAAAATGATGAAATGATGAATCCAAATAAATTTGCCTTATTACTAGCAGAACATGGTCAAGAATTCGAACATCATGATCATATCTCTTTAAAGATCGAATTGCCTTCGGAGGAGTTATCTAGTCGACAAGAAGCTCTTACAAATGCATTTGAGACTATTACTAAAAAGAGTGGACTAATGGTAGTTGAAGTAATTGCAGGAGCAGCTTCGCTTTATGGTCAAAGTGTAATTGATGGAGCTCAAATAGCTGGTCTTTTGAAATGTAATCTATCGCCTGAAAATGACGAAAATTATGCAACGTTGACAATTGATCTGAAAAGTACGGATAATAACTTGTTAGAAGGCTTGGTAGAGGAGCTTTCATCTATCCAATTTTTACCCCAACAAAAAAATAAATAAATAAATGATGCTTTATTATTAATATAAACATAAATAACAAAAAAAAGGGACTTAGATTTGTTTTATGAATACAGTTTCTTTTTAAGTTTTTAACAAAACTATCCCAAGTAGTAGTTAATATCATATAAATATTACTAGATCAATGACTTGATATAATAGGATAGTCATTATCGACATAAGCATATCAGCTTCATTCTTAGACTACATTACGTATTACAGATAAACCTCTTTTTTACTGATCTTATCTAATCATCCATGCCAATTCTGTAAAATTGTTTCTGAAGACTAATATCTTTGAATTAAGTTTTTCTAATATAGAAGTCAGCTTATTTATTAATTTGATGTTGAAATTTTACTAAATTGAAAAATAAAAAAAAAAAAAAAAAAAAAAAAAAAAAAAAAAAAAAAAACACTAAAAATAATCTAATTTAAACTTCCTCTTTTAAGAGTGTGAGACAAGGAACTTATTTAACGAACGCTTTTTTTTTTTTTTTTTTTTTTTTTACGTAATAATCTGGTCTTCTAATGAACCGTCATCCACGTTTTTTCACCACTAATAAAAAAGGCATGTAACACAGAGGAAAAAAAAAAAAGGCCAAAGGAACTGTGCCCTTACACGTCTTTCCTTATATAGGTGAAATATATGAACTTAAAAAACAGTTAAATAGTGAATATAGACAAACACGTAGCGATGCAGTAAAGAAAGTAATTGCCAGCATGACAGTAGGAAAAGATGTTAGTGGTCTATTTCCTGATGTTCTCAAAAACATGCAAACGGATGACATTGAATTAAAGAAATTAGTTTATCTTTATTTGATGAATTATGCAAAAACACAACCTGAGCTTGTCATCTTAGCTGTCAATACATTTGTTAAAGTAAGTAAATGCCACACACATGAATATATATATATATATATATATGTATTTATATGAAAAAAAATAGCAATGTTAACGATTTCAATAGGATTCAGATGATCCAAACCCTTTAATTCGTGCATTGGCCATCCGTACTATGGGTTGCATTCGTGTTCAAAAAATCATTGATTATCTTATGGAACCTCTCCGAAAATGCCTCCAGGTATGGCAAGAAGAAATAGATAGCAGAAAAGGGGGAAAAAAAATTTTATTTTATTTTTTTTTTTATTTAATTTATTCATTTACATACATATTAGGATGAGAACCCATATGTTCGTAAAACAGCAGCTATTTGCGTTGCAAAGCTTTTTGAAATAGAGCCTGAAATGACAGAAGAACAAGGATTTATTAATATGTTGAAAGATATGGTATCAGACGTAAATCCTATGGTTGTTGCTAATGCAGTAATTGCATTAGCTGATATTCATGAAGACAATCCTGAAAAACATTATTTTCAAGTTACTGAGACAGTTGCCAATAAGCTATTACATGCTTTAAATGAGTGCACAGAGTAGGTTCATAGTATTATTGATATTGATATTGATAATATGTATGTATGTATGTATATATATGTTGATGTTTTTGATATTAGATGGGGTCAAATCGCTATTTTGAATGCTTTAACAGATTATAAGCCAAAAGATGGAAAGGAAGCAGAGACTATATGTGATCGTGTCATACCACGTCTACAACATGCTAATGGTGCTGTTGTTTTGTCAGCAATCAAAATTATATTAATGAATATGTATTATGTAAAAGATAAGGAAATGACACAAACATTTTATAGAAAGATGACGCCTCCACTTGGTAATAAAATGATATCAATAGCAATAAAGTCATTAACCCCTTTTTTTCTTTTAGTTACTTTGTTATCGAGCCCACCAGAATTTCAATACATTGCACTTCGTAATATTACACTTATATTACAAAAATGTCCCCAAGTGTTAAATAATGAAATGCGAGTCTTCTTTTGTAAATATAATGATCCACCTTATGTAAAACTAGAGAAGCTTGAAATCTTGATTCGATTATGTAATAGTAGAAATGTAGATCAATTATTAAGTGAATTAAAAGAGTAAATAATCTAGAAATATAAACTTTTTTTTGTTTGTTTACTAAACTATCCAACAATTAGATACGCAAATGAAGTTGATGTCGACTTTGTTAGAAAGTCAGTAAATGCTATTGGTCGATGTGCTATCAAGATCGATGACGCTACTGAACGTTGTATAAATGTTTTATTAGACTTAATCAAGACAGGTGTAAGTTATGTAGTTCAAGAAGCTATTGTAGTAATCAAAGATGTTTTTCGTAAATACCCTCGTACGTATGAGGGTATTATTCCTCAATTATGTGAAAACCTTGAGGTATTAGATGAGCCAGAAGCTAAGGCCTCACTTATTTGGATCATTGGCGAATATGCAGAGAGAATAGATAATGCGGATGATTTAATTGGATACTTTTTAGAAAACTTTACTGAAGAAAATTCTCGAGTTCAATTACAACTCTTAACAGCTACTGTCAAGCTATTTTTGAAGAAACCAAGTGAAAATCAGGGCCTTGTACAAACCATTCTTCAAACAGCTTCTAATGAATGCGATAATGCAGACATTCGCGATAGAGCATATATCTATTGGCGATTACTTTCAACGGATCCACAAGCAGCGAAAGCAGTTATATTATCAGAGAAACCACCTATTGCAGGAGAAAATCAAGAATTATCATCAGCCCTTTTAGATGTTTTAATAAGAGAAATTGGTACACTTGCCTCTGTCTACCATAAACCATCTGAAACATTTATTGCTGGTAAAACATATGGTGCTGATAATGTATCTAAAGCAATGCATAGGTAAATTACATTATTTTTTGTAATTGTAATCATTTATTGACTTTGTAAATATAGTCACTATGATGAAGAAGAAGATCCCAATGCTCCACCTCAAAAAATTAGAGAAGCCATTAAGAATAATAATATTGGCGATTTACTAGATTTAGATTGGAGTGAGCCTTCACCAACTCAAGAGATGCCCATGTCACCTCTTACTACTAGTAATGCTAGTAATGCTACTACTACTACTACTACTACTACTCATAATAGTAGTAACAATCTATTTGATGATTTACTATCATTTGATACTAATACTAGTGTTAGCACAGTTAGCCAAACTACCAATAATCATACAAACAGTACAGATGATATAATGAAATTATTCAATACTAGCAATAATTCTGGTTTAAAAAATGTAAACAATAATACAACTAATAATGATCCTTTTGCAAATCTTTTATAAATAATAAATTTGATGATAGAAAAGCTTGAATACAATAAAATAAAATGGCATTTTTACTGATGCCTTTTTCTCAAAATAGACAAGTTATTAATTCTTATTAAGTAGCATTTTATATTATAGCTAACTGAGAGATAAAAGTCTCTAATTACAATCCTATTAAATCAATTTATTACTCCTGTCTATTAAACACAGGGGCTCTACTAAAGTTATTAAAAAGTTAATACTAATATTCTTCAATCTTTTTTTTTAAAAAAAAAAAAAAAAAAAAAAAAAAAAAAAATCAAATACTCTACAGGTACACCAGCACTTGTACCACCCTACTTTCATTAGTGATCCGCTCTCTTTTATACTCAATTTACTGCCCATTTGGAAACCTAAATCTCCTTTATGGATAGTGCATTGGCCTGAAATATGTACCCTATTGCCTGAATTGGATTATTTATATATCACGAAAAGTTCCCTTCTCCTGTTGATCATCCTAGTTCTCAATTGGTTAATTGAATATAAAAGACTTGTGCTAGTATATCGTAACTGTTTTCTTTTGCTGGTAAGCTGTTACTTTTTTGACTGTGTATTTTTACACCCTTTTTTCTTTCTTCTCCCCCTCTTTTTTTTTAAAAAAAAAAAAAAAAAAAAAAAAAAAAAAAAAAAAAAAGCTTTTTGTCTAATAAAAAGGTTTTTTGATACCTCTTCCCCTTTCTTTGATCTAGCCTGGGCGATCTGATTCATTTAAGTCGTAAAAATTTAAAATATAATCGTATTTGCGACATATTTTTTTTTCTTTCTTGAAAAGTACGACACTTTAATTTTTTCTTGTGACATCATTTGGGTAAAAGGTGTATATTATATTTCCTTTTTTATTTTCCCTTTTTTTTTTTCCTTTTTTTTTTTCCTTTTTCAACACGTATAACAGTACTTATGGATAATAAGAAAAAAGAAATATTATTACAGATAGAACAGGCATTTCGAGTGAGCAATGAACAACTAAATCAACTTGTTTTGGGAATTAATGAAGAAATGAAAGCTGGTTTAGATATTATGAATCGTTCAACTAAAAATAGTAGTGAACTAAAAATGATTCCTTCTTATGTTACAGGTAGGCATCACTTAAGATGATTCTTTTATATATAAATATATATGTATACACTATTTGTATATAACCACGTTTTTCTTGAGGTTACCCCACGGGCAACGAAAAGGGAACTTATTTAGCACTAGAAATTAGCGGTGTTGATATCTATGTCTGTCAGGTGAAATTAAAAGGAGAGGGCGGGAAATTAGCGATTAATCAATACCAATACAAAATTCCGGATGATTTGACAGCAGGCGACGATATTGGTGATTTAATTGATTATGTTGCTGATTGTGTTGGTGATTTTCAGAAAAGAGTAGGAGCTCATAAAGAAATTGTCTATAGTATGGCTATTAGTATTGGTTTTGCTGTGCTTCAGACAGGTCTTGATAAGGGTAAAATTATTGCATTAGAACATGGATTTGATTTCCCTAATGTGATTGGATGTGATGTTGTTGATTTATTTGATCAAAGGTTTAGAGCGAAAGGATTAGCAGTGAAAATAGTAGCTATAGCAAATGGTAAAAAGAAAAAAAAAAAAGAAAAAAAAAAAAGATCTCATATGAATAGGATATAGATCAATAGATATAAAAACTATGACTATTAATACTTTATATGATTAGATGGCGTCTGTACTTTATTAGCACATGCTTATCAGCATCCTTCAACACGTATAGGTGTTATTCATAGTGCAGGCACAAATTGTGCTTACTATGATAAAATGTCAAATATTAAACAATTTCGTAATGAACCTAATAATCAGCATGATATGATTATTAACACTGAATGGTGTAATTTTGGCGCTAGACATTTGCCCTTAACTGAATTTGATTATCTATTAGATAAACAATCTAATAATCCAGGTGTACATAACTTTGAGAAAATGACGACTGGAATGTATTTAGGTGAAATTACGCGACAAGTTCTGATATATTTAGTAAATCAAAAGGTGTTGTCCTTTAATAATAATACAGAAGAAGAAGAAGAAGAAGAAGGTAATCTGTTAATGATACCTTATCAATTTGATACAAGTTATATGTATGTATGTGAAGCAGATCAAGGAGATAATTTAGAAGATACAAGGTTAATATTGGAAGACATGTGTAGAGTGGGTAAAACTAGCTTAGAAGATAGAAAGATAGTCAAAGACGTATGTGAATGGGTTGGATATCGAGCTGCATTATTATTAGGTGCAAGCATTGCAAGCGTTGTGAAATACATGTTTGAATGTGGTATTGGTTTAAATGAAGAAAAGAAAGGATTCGCTATAGCTATTAGTGGTGACGTGTATAAAGATTATCCTTCATTTCATCCTAGAGTATGTGAAGCTATAAAAAATTTAATCCCTGACGAAGTTGCATCTAAATTATCAGTGGGCATTGTACAACATTCCCGTATAGTAGGCGCTGCTATTGTAGCCATGATGGCAGAAAAAATGTATAATTTAAATAGTAAACAACAAGGAGACATTATCATGGATGATGATGATGATGACGATGAAGACGACGATGATGATGATGATGAAGAAGAAGAAGACGATGACGAAATTATAGTTTAAATCATTGTATTATTACGTAATAAAAAATATGAATTATAATAAAATTATCATTATACTAAATAATGCTTTATTTAGTTGTATATATTATTACATAAGGGTGTTTTTGATTACATAATCTATTTTTGTTGTTGTTGTTGTTGTTGCTGATTTCCTCTTCCTTTATTTTGCTGTTGTCGAGATGCTTGGTTATTATTTCTACGATTATTGTTATTATTGTTATTATTTTGATTTTGTCGGTAAGATTGATTATTATTTCTTCCTTGTTGATTATTATAGCGATTATTATTTTGATTATTTTGATTATTATAACGACGTTCTTCTGCTAAAACAGTATGTCCTCCTGACACTTGCACTTTATGTTGTGTCAAGGCTTTTTGACAGGATTCAGGGGAATTAAATTCTACAAAAGCACAATTTCTATTACGTGAAATACTTAATGTTTTAACTGAACCAATCTTATTAAATGCTTCCAAAAGTTGATCTTCACTAATGGCTTCATTGACCAATTTAACAAAAATATTTGTAGCATCTAAATTAAACGAGTTAATATTTATATCTTTTATTTGAGAAGAAAAAAGAAACAAACACATACCTTTGTTGCCTTTACGGGTATTGGGCCCTTTATTTTGTTGATTAGTAACATTGGTTGTTTTTTCTGTGGAAGTATGATTGGCTGTAGGAGCATGATGCGTAGTAGTAGTAGTAGTAGTAGTAGTAGTAGGGGCGGCAGTAGTAGTTGTGGTATTAGAAGAAGCAGGTGTAACAGCAGTCTTTTCTGTATTTGAAGTAGTTGTATTTGCTGCAGCTGCGGCAGTTAAATTAGCCCAAGTTTTTGGTATAGCTGGTTTATTTGCAGGAGCTGGTGTTGGTGTAGGAGTTGATGCGCCACTAACAATAGCAGGCTTTTCATTTTGTTGTTGTTGTTGTTGTTTTGTTTGTTTATTATTAACCTCTGATTTCTGTTGTTGTTTAGACTCAGTTTTCTTTTTCTTTTCATCTGTCTGAGCAAGAGTAGTAGATTCTGTAGCAGTTACTTCAGAGGCTTTTTTAGTCTCATTAGCAACATTAACATCCTCAGCCCATTTCTTTACTTGTTCTTTTTTAATTTCTTCCTCTGATTTCTTATCTTCTTCTGATTTCTTTTCTTCCTCTTTCTTTTTTTCTGGTTGTTCAGAAGTAGGAGTGATTGCTTTTTGAGTTACAACAGGTGAAGCAGTAGATGCTACAGCACTGGTAGTAGTGGTAGTAGGAGCAGCAGCATTAGAAACAACTGGACTAGTAGCAGTAGGAATAGGAGTTGCATTAGCATTTGTGATTGTTGTAGCAACACTAGCAGGAGGAGGAGGAGGAGGAGAAGAAGAAGAAGTGGCTGTTGATTGTTGTTGTTGTTGTTGTTGTTCAACTGGACCTTGACCTTGATCACAAGTATAATAATCAATTTCTACCTCATCTTTCAAGAATCTGAAAATGTCATTAAGTACATAATAACCATTGGGCTGAGTAGCCAAAAAGAAAGTTTGGCTAAACTTTTGAGAAGGACCATTTTGATTACACATTTCACCCAAAACTTGAATCAAGATGCCATTGTTGGCAGATAATTGACTATCTACCTGAGTAACTAAAACTTTACAATCTTCAAACTTACATTCTTCAATTTTTTTGCGAATTTCCTAAAAATAAATATATGAATATATGTTTTCATTATTTATAATCACTTCTTGTTCACATTTATATATATATACCTCTTGTCCTTTTACAGTAGTAGAAACGGAGCCTTCATCACCTCTAACAAAAAGGGAATCCTTGCTATAAAAAGCATGAAGCCTATGTGGCTTCTTATTTAAGAAAGTATAATATTCACGAACAAAGATAAGACCAACATCATGTGAATCAAGTTGAGCTGAAGTA